GGTTCGGAACCTCATTCTCTGGCCTCCATCCTGTCATCTCTCGAGCCTAGAACTTCCTTGTCATGCCGGTAGGGTACGAGGGTATAACCGGACCACAAGAATGCTTGAAGTGACCTCTAGTAGCGAAGAAGAAACAATGTTATCGAAATGGCCAAGCTGAAAGAGATGAGTTGAGTCAGTCCTAGAAAAACCAAGGCACGTATAAAACCCTTATATTCCAGCCATAGTCTCAGCAACAACATCGTTGCATGAAAACTCTGGATTTTCGATGAAAGACCTGGCGGCCTCTGAAGAAGCTATTTTCCCGCTTTCGATAACAAGATGTGCCACGGACATCCCCATTATCACAAGTGCCAACACACATCGGTTAAATGGCTTTACTGCCCAGAAGCTATCTTCGACCTGGATACTGGGTACGAAACGCCTTGCTCGAACCCAATCTACTCGACTCCTCAGCCCTCAAACAGTGATTGTCCGCTGCAGAATTGCCACTACAAATCGTTGAGAGGGAGCTGGACATGTTGCCAATGCGGCTACGACACTAACTCACAAGGGTGGTGCAGTGGGAAATCCAGCGATCCCCGTCTCGGTGCTCATTGGACGCCGTCAGGTTTTCCGTCAACCGGTTGGCAGACTTGCGGTCACGGTTGCTGCAATAAATGTAGTAGGAATGGTAAGATGGACAGTTGGCCCTGGTGCTCTGATGGAAAGCCATTGACCATTCGCAGTGTCCTCTAGGGGTTCATCACCCGAGCTGTCCTTCACAGAGGTCCGCAAAGGAAAAGGAAGCCGAAAATCCGGATACAGTTCTGCACGAGGTTCCCACAAACGAGGCCATGGATATGACTACGTCACATTTCCGACGGTACACGAAGAGGTGTCAAGCTCGTCTTCGTCCTCTGCTTCATCAGGGAGCCTAGGGTATGACATGGGCATCGAGTACTCATCAAAGAAAAGCAAATCTTCGAGCGGAAAGAAGAAAGGCCAACGCCGCAGTCATCACCACTGAATGGCTGTTGACAATCCTGGCTACCACAAACTGCGGACGCAACATAGCAGAGCTCGCAGATTGTTCACAAATATCGCTTGGGTTGGGCAGCGAAGAAATGCTCCCGGATCCTTGAGTGATCAAGGGGTTGCCAATACAATAAGCTGTAGATTACTTTTTGCTTAAGCTACAATCGACTTGCATTGCAGTGACCGGTCTCCAAGGATGACGACCTTCGGGCAGGTTCATACCCGACAGCGCTTCCCAATACACGTACGTCACAATGGCCGTTCATGAGGTTGAGACACATTCTTGTGCGCTCGTGTAGCGATTTTGGCCCAGCGTAGGCGGTATGCTTCATCGAGTAGACTACATAGCGAAAGAAATGGGCAGCAAATGGCTTCGTGGGACATCACACTGTTCCAAGGTTGTCTTGTCACACAAGATTCTCTGACCACAGCGTCACACGAAGCGGTCCCAGCTGAGAGGTTCAAGGCGGCGCGATGCGGTGGCCCCTTACACGACGCCGAACACGGCCGGATCGGCAATGCTCGAGATGAAGTGATGCGTCGGTAAGAAGTGCGCGCAGCATTGGGCAAACTACGGGGTCTCGAGTTCTTGGAGATCTTCATCCTGTTGCTCACAAGCTGCAATCGGCCGAACGATGCTGTGTGTGCCCTAGGACCATAACCCAACCGAGGGTGCATGCCAATGTTCCAAGTCTCCCGGTCTTGTACATGTGCTGGAGATGGCAGACCGCAACTTTGACACGCATGTGTGCTGCGCGTTGGCGCACAAGCTGCAGCAGTCACCTTGCAGAACTGCAAGAAGCGGTTTGTAGGTAATTAGATGCTCTCAAATATGGCGCTACAAACCTTCCCGCACACCCGTTCTGCCACGTGCCGAACCCCTGTAGCACGAAGGATTTAAGCGACCCGGAAACAGGGGTGATCTCGCAGCTTGCGAAACCGATGTTCGAGAAACGACCTCGCAGGTCTCGTCATGGATAGTTGTGAACCAACCCATCGACATGATTTGATCATGATAGATAATGTGCAGTGAGAAAAGAAGCGAGGCCCCGCCAGTAAGACGTCACAACACGGCTTTGGTCTTTACCTTATCTTCAGGCACTCGGGTAACTGAGGAACATGCTCCAACCTGCAGATTGTGGCGAAGATTGTTGGTGCGGATGGTGCCAGTGGCAGGCACATTGTTGGTGGATTCACCCACAAGTTACGTGCGTTTGACATACCCAGGGGCAGACGTCCAGGACGAAGAGAGCCCCTATCATTGATGAACGCGAATACCGAGAACCACCGCCAATTGAGTCGACGCTCTCCGCGGGCGTTAAAAGTTAACTTAACATGCCGTCGGCGGAGTGCGACAGGGCCTCTGCGGACCTTGTCGGCTTGTCGGATTTCATACAGCGACGTCACAATGAAAAAGTGCGCCGCGCTCCTGTCCCTGTTGCTTGGGGGCCAAAGGAAATGGCCGAGCAAATGTGTAGTTATCGCTATGATATCGGGTAGGGCGGACTGACGGACGAATTTTCTCTTTGATCGACGACGATAGATACTGGCACTTGGCGCCATGACTTCATAGCGAATGATGCAAATCACCCAAAGCCCTGAAACAGCGAGGATCGCTGGCCCTAATCTCCACCGATCAGCTTTGGCGCGTTACATAAGAAACCGTTGGTGGTGGATTGGCGGAGCTGGCTTGGGCCTGACGCTGAGGAACAGAACCGTTCCTGGAGCTAGCACTGCAGCGGCGCTGTGCGCTCCAAAGGAACTTTGATTTGGGTGTCATTAGCATGGAAAGCAGTTTTCCACCCTCGACCTTCCCAGCGCCAGGAGCGGAGTCACGGTTGCTTCCCAAGCACCAGCAAGCTGTCAGGCCCCCAAGAGATTGGATGTGTGCTGCCTGCTCCAACTTGTACATGAGCACTTTGTGGCAGGCCGTGATCAGCTCCTCGCGAATCTGGATTATGCAGGCTGGCAGGATGGATGGATTGCCCACGCGGCGTGGCGGATTGGCACGCTGCAAGGTGTCAGGGTGTCAGGGTGTGTCCTGACGCTGGCCGCATATGGCCATGTGGCACCTCAGCGCTAAAGCACAGGGTGGCAGATGCGATCCCGGAAACCCCGCTGGCCCTCACGCTTAGCTGCCCGCTTAGCTGCCCACCTGGGCGACCGGCGCCGTCCAAATCCGGGCTAAAACGTCTGATGACAGCCAAACAGCGTCCCTCTAGGAGAAGGCCGCCGTCGGATTGCGCTGCGGCCGTGTGGGCTAAAGTGATTGCCGTCTCGCCACGCCGCGGGCTCCATGGATGCCTCTGAGGACCTCGGGCCAGGAATTAGGTGCCAGCCGATGCACCTGACGGGCATCGTCACATCTCCTTGGGTAGGTTTGGCAGAGAGGCTCGGGGAGCAGTTGGCAGGCTGCACAATATTACGCCGAGGAGACCTAATTGCTTGACAGGGCACTGGATGGAGCACGAGGGGGATAGGGAGTAATAGGGGGCTTCAGACTCCAGTGACATCCATGGGCAACATCTCCATCCTGGCTGATCCGCCTGGGGTGCCGGCCAGGGAGAGGAGGGGAGGAGGGCGGTGACGAGGGCTGAACTGCAGGGCCTCCGGCCGGCGCACAATTCTCATAGGACAGCAGGGTCGACAGGATGCGCACCTGATGAGCAAGGGCACAGCTCTATCGCAGGGTCCCAGGTTTGGGTCACCAATGCAGTCGATTGTGTGGTCAGACGTTTCTTAGCGAGGGGGAGAGCCTGAAAGGCAGAAGGGCAGAAGGGACGTGGAGGGAGGGTCACCCCAAGGCCGGTCCAGTCCAGTCCCACTCAACCACTATTCCACCCTGCAGGCACGGCGGCTAACTAACCTGGGCCCCTGGGCCCCTGGGCCACTGGGCCTCAATGCACCACCGCCATCACGCATGGTTATGGTACGCCCATACGCCCATACGCCCATGCAGCACTGACACCCAGACATCAACGCTTGATACCGAAGTTTGATTTGCGCTCTCTCCATCTTCCCGTTATCAGTCAGTCCATCGCACCCTTCCCGTCCGCACTGGAACCACACCACACTCTCGCATCGCCGCAGCATTGAAGAAGCCCTTCACTTATCCTTCGCGCCTTCTACAGTACCCTTCGGCCCTGTTGCGTTGCTGCCCCTTCACGCGTCGATTGCGCCGGTCCTTTATTAGTTGCGTTTCTTGATCGTCCGTTGCGTCTGTCAGGTCGCTCCCAGAACTGTCTCTCGTCGCCGGCCTTTTCAGAAAACAACCATCGTGACACATCGTCAGACCGCTTTCAGGACTTTGTTAGTTCGCGCCCACGCCAACACAACCATTTCTGGACCCCGATCGCGACACACGACTCGCGCAACAGCGTTCCTGGCACGCCCATAGACGAGCCCCCAGAACCAGAAGAGCCCTACGGTAACTCGCCTCTAGAGCGCTGCAGACATCAGTCTTTGTCGGGCCACGGCACTCGAGACCTCCACTCTATCTTTTGTGATCAAACAAAGACGTCGACATGCCTACCTCATTGGACTCATCCCGCCCAATCATGGCCCCCTCGGTACGTTGTCCCTGCCGCTTACTCTGTTTTTCGTCGCCTTGCACATTTCTTGGGATCGAGTGCCCGGTATCACTAGCCTAGCTTGCCCAAGCGTACCAAGGAGCCTGTCGTCATTCACTGGCCAACTTCGACCCAGTCGTCACCCTGGGCCTCCCTAGTGACGAGGCAGATAGCGGTTGAATGCCACATCGACAATATTCCTCACCTCACATCACTTGATTTCTTCAATTGTTGATCACAATCCACAAAACTCCATATTTTCTCCTCACACTTCAATGGTCTGGGAACCTCGGCCCTACGCCCTGCGCCGTGCCTAGAAAAAGTGTCTACGCCAACCTCGCAAGGTCACACATCGCTAACCGCCGCTTTCCCACCCTACAGGCGCGCACATCTGTACGATACAGCCAATTCAGCATGCAGGCGCCTTCGCTCGCCCCCACGATGCAGTCGACGGACAGCGCCCACGCCGAGATCCGCACCATTGAAACGGGGCTCGACCGCATGGAGAACAAGGCCTTGAGCCAGCAGCGTGTAATCTTGTCGGAGGAGAAGACGGCCAACATGAGCAAGCTGGCCCTGGGCGCTAAATTGGAAAGGGCTCTCGACCGCCGCATGAGCAGCCAGGATGCTGTCATGAGGCCGCGTAAGAACACAGTTCTCAGCGAGAAGTCTGCTATCCGGGCTTAAGAAGTCGACACGCAAAGAGGAGGTTGACGCTCCGCTTGTACTTGCAACAACCAGACTGTTGTGGAACACCCTGGGCCTGCATACAGAAATGAGCACACCCACACAGTTCATCCGGGGGCCGAACAGGAGACGGGACAGGCGCCGAGTCCCCAGCATGTCGATGGCTTCCAGCGGACTTTTGTATTATGTATTGTGATGTGGGCATCAGCACCCACATAACGGGCAGTCCAATCGATGATATAAGGGGGCCGTGGGAGGCGAGGGGAGGCTGCATTTTCATTTGTCTGTTTAGGGACGAGTCTCCCACTAGGATGACACGCGCGAGGATTGGTACGCAGAGGTCATTTCATACAGCTGCTTCGAAATGGGTATAGACTGGTTTGGCAGCGAATTGCAGAAACACTTCAGGTTCAGCATGATCGGGAAGTATGGGCTAACAGACGAGAGAAGATGCTGAATTTGTGGAAGCGTCAGTATGGACAACCTTTCAGGACGTATACATGTAGCATGAGTTTTCTATAAGTGCAATTGATATCCTTGAAATTGACACTGGCTACTGTCTAAAACCGCTATGCTGTAGCCTTGAGTCACATGCATTGCACACAAAATCAATTGACTACCCAGTAAATCAAGTGGTCCTGGAGCCTCAAACCGGAAACGCCATAAAAAAAAAAAAAGCGAATGCTGAATACGCCTTGAACCGTAGGGCTCAGCGTCGAAAAGGCAGAGGATCAAAACTGGTAGCCCTCTAGGTCCGTACCCCTGATGCCTTCGCAGACTTGCGGGCTAGAACTGCGCTTGGGGTTCAGATTCCTAGCAGTCTGTCCAGCGTATCATCGACGAGCCCCCATTTACCGTCCCCGGGTGCCCTGGGCAGGGCAAGACAGTTGTGCTTCCCTTTCACGTCACTAATGACCAGGCAACGTAGGCCCACTCGCACTGCATTTTCTTTCCCCCCAAATACACAGGCCTACGAGCTTTTGGCCTGAGCCAGTTTCGTGTCCACCTCGGCCAGCAGCGCCTTGAGGTCGGCCTCCTCGCCCTCCATCTCGAGGCCGCGGCCGACCCACTCGCGGGCCTCCTCCAGGCGGCCCATCTCGACGAGGCAGCGGCCGCGGCGCCACCAGGCCTTTGCGTTGCCGACGCGCTTGGCCTCGACGCTGGCCTCGGCGTCGACGGCGCCCTCGGCCCAGCTGGTCAGGCCCATGTGCGCCTGGGCGCGGTTGGCGAAGAGGGCGGCGACCTCCTCGCGCACCAGCTGCTGCGGTTCCCACAGCGGGCGCTTGAGGGCCATGTCGATGCCGAGCCCGTAGAACTTGACGGCCTCGGCGTACTTGCCCTTGCGGTAGCAGTCGTTGCCCGAGTCCTTGAGCTTGCCGATCTGCGCCGACCGCTTCGGGTTCACAGGGATGGGCGGCGGCGGGATCTGCGACGGCGTCTCGAGCGTCAGCAGCGTCCGGTGCAGGCTGTTGAGCGCGGCCAGCTCCGCCTGCAGCGCCTTGTTGGACGAGAGCCCCGGTGCGCCTATCGCCTTGGTCTGCGGGTCGATGTCCAGCGGCAGGATCTCAATGACGTCGTCGGCCGGTTGTGCCATTTTTGCTCTGTGTCTGTCCTGTGTTGGGGTGGTGTATCGTGCTATGCGGTGCGCGACGCAATGCCGTTTGACGATCACCGCGAGTGGTCGTCCGAGGTTGTCGTCGCAGTTGTGCCGCCAAAGAGAGACAATGTATTTTGACTGGTGTCGATTTCAAGAAATGAGATCAGTGGCGCAATCAAAACAACTGGCTGAGAAAAGAAGTAAAAGGGTGCAAGTGATCATGTAGACATTGTCAGTGAAGTGGTAGCCATTGCCAAAAGGACAGCTTCCAGTTGGATGTCAATCAGTCCGGTACTGCTGTGCACGGCTGACGGATTGCTCCCAGCTGCTGCCACGTTGCTAAGATAAGATAAGGCCAGGCCAAAAGCCGCCCGCGGCTTAACTTATCGTTAACGGCAGCAAAACATAGGCAGTAACATACAGCCACCCGGCAGGCATAGGTGCTTTACTGTCTGTATTTACCATCGTCCGGTACGGAGTACTTGAGTACTCTGCTCGATTTATGCACGTCCAGAGCCTCTACAGTATCGTTACACTGGTTACATGCGGCCTTAAACGTCCATCGGGCAGACCGGCTTTGATACCCGCCACATGGCGCAACATTTCTTCACCGGTGACCTTGCTTTTGCCAACTCGTGGGGTCAATGTAACTGACGTGCAGTTCCGGATCGATCTGACATCCAAATCCATGTAGGTGTAGCGAGCTCTGGATCAGTAATCTGAAATTCCTTCGCCGGCTAGGGCCCAGAAGCCCTGATCCCTGGATACAGAATTCCTTTGCATATGCAACTGCATAGTTTGGAACGCTTCCGGGCCTGTAGCTTTGGTGAGAGTTCTCGCCGGATAGCCGCAGACATAGCCCCGTTTCTCAACCAGGGAAAGACTCTCCTTGTCACGTATGATGTTTGCGCAGGCTCGCGGTTCCACAGCGCGCCCGATAGGCATGTCAGCGCACTCGAGGCGATGGAGTTGCTTCTTCCGCCTCCACGCAATGGTTTCCTGATAAGCCTAACCGCCGAGGTTCTCCTCTCTTCTCCCATTCAACCAGAGTATCATGAGAACCGGGCAGGTTGTGTTAAGCGACTCTCGTCATCAATCTCATTGGTTTGGTATTGTCAGACAGCATTGCTACTTCTGCAGGACTTGTCACATTCGATACCTCCCTCGTCAGAACTGTGGAAGTATCTCCAGCCCGGGCTTCAGTTCCAGTATCTCGAAACGGACGGAGCGTTTCCTCCGTATCAAAAGTCGACAGTTTTGAAAACTGGTAATTATCATGCTTGATGGCACAGAGGCAATGGGGTCATTTGCAATTACGGTTCCAGATGCTGTAGACCATACCCTGCGGCAACCGACAAGTGTGTACATTTGGTATTACTACCCTTATAGGTAAGACTTAGCTATGAGCTTTTGGAAGTCCACAGCAACCCGAACAGCACTTAGATTGGTTGGCAGACTTCTCATCTAACATCAGGTTGTATAATCTTGCTTAGATGATTGACAATTTAGTAGTGCCTTCGGCGACTTCTACATGCTACTTGCAGTGAATAATACTCTTACGATCTGAAAGTCGCAATAAGAATATATCACAACAGCACTATCAGTTCTTAAGTTTCATTAATGCACAAGCTCTGTTCAGCCTTCTGCGTACCGACCCTCGTTTCCTAGCTTACAAGTTCCACTTGGCTTGACAGCCAAATTTCACGTGTTCAATCTAGGACAGTAACATGGCTTGCCTACCTTGATGGACTTCGGCTCGGTGACAAACTGCGGGACGGGCTGCCTGAGCGCAAAGCTCGGCGGAACTGCCTTCTCGACAAGCGGCGCGCAAGGCTGCTCACAGCACCACCAGCACGTCGCATATTGTCGCGTCGTGTAGTTGTCGTTGCTCGCGGTGAGTCAGCCTCGTCAACCACATCCTCGGGCAGGACTTCTTGGCGAAGAATGCTGGTCTGGCGGCGGCGCGGGCGACCCCGGGATCTTGGATCTGTCATTTCCGTCTCGTTAGTCTTCTCCTTGTGCTTTTTCCATGTGGCATCAGGCACGTAGGTCTTCCTCAGATTGTTTAGCTGGGTCATATAGCTGTCGAGTTCGGCCCGCGCGGCAGCCTTCTCGTTCTCATCGATGTTTGCGAACATGTCCACGGTGTCGAAGTATGGAGCTAGGATACCAAAGCCCTCGTCGAGATCGCTCATGATGAGCCGCAACATGGGGTTACTGGTGGAAGCTGACCGCGGGTTGGCGTCGAGCCGCTCGATCAAGTCGATAAGCCGAAACCTATCGACCCGGACCCTTTTGCGAAAGTCAGGAGTTGAAGACTCTGTTGTGCTTGACGGAGACTGAGGTGGGCTCGATCCAGCGTCCGATGGAGGCTTTGCCATCCCTTCCAAGGGCGCGGCATCTTCCGCCTGCCGGCGCAGGGCGGTGTCTGGACTTGGGTTCTCAGGACGGACAATGGCACCGTCAAGAGCCTCTTGGAGATCACTTACGTCATTCAGGCCGCCGTTCTTTGTGCCAACACTATCAGTCTCCTGCTCCTGCTTAGACATGCCTGTTAAACCAAATGTAACCTACCGAGGGATTAGTGAGAGTGCCTAATACATAAATCGGGACCTACATAAGCATGGCGTCCCTGTCATACTTATCTTCATGGGTCATTTACCACAGAATGACCTCTTGTGAAAGCAGTATGCTGTTAGACAAAGACCTTGATCGCTGTATAAGCAATTGTTTCAAAAAATAGCAGGTGTTGATTCTTTGTCAACTTGGAGCCTTGTTTACCACCATCGAAGAGGACAGAAGCCATTCATGAGCCTCCACGGAGAGCAGTAGCTTTAAAGCCATTACCAGTCATGAAAGGCTCCTTATCGCTTCGATTCTCTTGTGAAATCCTCCGTTCTTGGTGATCTGCACCACGATTCACTCCGAGCTGGGTGTGGATTTCCCTCACTTCATCCACAGGGTGGCCAAGCAGTCTGAAGAGCATCATCAAGGTACAATAACGGACTATTATCCCCCCCTCGTGATCAATCTGGAAACGAGGAGAACGATGACAAAGAATTGTGTGAAGAGTCTGCTATTTACCGATTCCCGAGAGCTGTCAACTATGTAACTATGTATGAAAGGTGACTGCGTTCAGAAACAGGTGGCCAACGTATCAAGACTTCTTGTGGCAGTGATTGGAGAATATTATAAAGTCCTCCAGCCGGTGCAATGTTTTGCGACTTTGCTTTGTCAATAGTCCCCTTGGTAATGCCAATTGAATGTTATTCAATTGTGCAAGGGACTAAGTTAGTGGAGAATCAATATCGGGGATGGATTCAATGGATCCGTGGATATGATGGATGAGGTTTCGTGGCATTGTTTCATTCACAAGTACATGTTCCTCTCAACGTCTTTGACTAATCCTTCCTGAGAACCCGAATAGTTGTCAAGAATTGGTATCCTGTATACGCCAGATGATCTAGTCACCCGTGAAATTGCTGCCGAAAGCGGAGGCCGGGAATGGTGGGGCCGGCTAATGTGTCACGCTTTGCAAAATTCTAAATCAACGTCACGAGCGAATGAAGATGAAGGAGGAGTTGTGTGCTGCAACTCAAGTCTCTCTACTATATCCGGGCTAGATGATCGCGGGGTTCAGCTGTCGCATTGTCAGGCTGGCAAGATTCAGCCCGCGCACTTGCACAGCAAAAGCAGCTGCTCAAAGTCCCTTGACCGCACAAGCGCCGCCGATCACCGCTAGTCGCTTCGCCAACAACTTGCACCAACAGCAGGCCGCTCGGTATTACAGCAAGCAAAGGAAGACGACGACAGCCAGTGTCCTCAACGACACCGGAATCAAGATGGCAGGCAACGACTATTTCCTTACGCTGTCCTGCCCGGACAAGCCCGGCATCGTCCATGCCGTGACCGGCATGCTCGCCAGCCAGAAGCTCAATATCCTGGACTTGCAGCAGTACTCGGACCGCACTTCTGAGAAGTTCTTTATGAGAGTGCACTTCGGTCACGCCGAGTCGACAGCCAGCATTGATGCTCCTTTGAAGGAGCTGGCCGCGGAGCTCAAGACCGACTTCTATGACGTGAGATCCGTCAGCGAGAAGCCCAAGGTCCTGATCATGGTGTCCAAGATTGGCCACTGCCTGAACGACTTGCTATTCCGGGTGAAGAACAACCAGTTGGCCATTGAGGTGCCGCTGATCGTGTCCAACCACCCGGAGTACAAGTCGCTAGCCGAGGGCTACGGTATCGAGTTCCACCACCTCCCGGTCACTAAGGACACCAAGTTGGAGCAGGAGCGCCAGATCCTGGACCTGATCAAGCAGCACAACATTGAGCTCGTCGTTCTGGCCCGCTACATGCAGGTCCTGAGCCCTGGCTTGTGCGAGGCCATGAGTGGCAAGATCATCAACATTCACCACAGCTTTCTGCCGTCCTTCAAGGGTGCTAAGCCATACCACCAGGCTTACGACCGCGGTGTCAAGATCATCGGTGCCACGGCCCACTTCGTCACTGCGGACCTAGATGAGGGCCCGATCATCGAGCAGAGGGTCGCGCGTGTCGACCACAGCATGAGCCCTAAGGAGTTAGTCGAGGAGGGCAGCAACGTCGAGAGTCAGGTTTTGGCTGCCGCTGTCAAGTGGTGGAGTGAGAAGAAGGTCTTCCTAAACGGCCACAAGACGGTTGTTTTCAACTAAATCTAGTTGGCGATGACGTCCATTGAAATTTCAAAGTTCGGATGTCGTAATATGGAAACAGATATAGGGGACGGCTCGACAAAATACGGGGTTAGACGCGTAAGGGGTCACGCAAGGTAAAATAAAATTAAAATATCTACAAAGGGATTGCGCACGCATGGAATTTATAGGATGATGATCTGTGGCATCGGAATATGCTACGTCAAACGTGAAGTCGTTGGAATTCTCTATTCTATCATCTTAGTTGCTCTAGTGTCTTGGTGCTGGCTCGCCTTGAGCTTTACTTCTTACAAGGAGATATTATTTGCCTCCTGAAAACGACACAACAGCCCACTTCCCACTCCAAGCCCATTTCCTAGATCCACTATCGCCTCCTCCGCCTTCGGTGGCTCGAATTTTCTCATCCTCACCAGGCTTCAAGCCGACTACAACATCGGCTTTGCAGGTTCGGAGAGCCAGAACATTGACACCCGATCCAGGTCCAAGCGGACCGATTGCCTCCTTAAAAGGTGTCGTAGGGTCCCATGCAGCCTACATGATATGTCAATGAATGCTATGATTAGATTGCCAAGAAGACTTACATCTCCAGTCAACTTCCTGTAGTTCAGGTCACCCTTGAAAATGACCAGTTCGCTAGTCTGTAGATCTGCTACCAAGTCCTTCTCGGCGGGCAGTCTCCAAAAGCTACCACCGTGCGTCCAGAATGCGTTTGGCCGGATTGTCAGTTGGCCTTCAGCGTGGAAGCCGGCCCATTCCTCGAATAAGAAAGCCAGCTCGGTTGCCTCCTTATCAGATAGAGGTGACGGGGTCTTGTTCAGCAGTTGCTCGTCATCGGACGGAGTCTCATAGAATGGCTTCGGGTTGGCCAATGCACTCAGCAGAGCAGCGAAGTCTCCAGGGAGAACGTCTGACACGAACCAGGGAATATCCTTTGGGTGCAACACAACGTTGGTAGCAAGTCCGGCAGAAAGCAGGTACCCAGCCAGAATCAAGTCGACGAAAAGCTCGAAGCCAGCGTTGTCAAGAACGATGTCTACGCGACGCTCCTTCTTGCCCTCGTCGCGGGCCTTCTTCAGGACCTCAAAGGCGGTGCTGAGGTCGTTGGCCAGGATATTGGCCTCACTAGCCTTACGCGCCTCGGAGCCTTGAAGCTTCTGAATATCCTCGTAGGTCAAGCTGGTGAGCAGTGAGAGGTCAGTCGCGTTGCCCCAGAGACAGATCTCCATCATCTCGTAGAACAAGATCTTCTGTGCCTCCTCGTGCTCCGGTCCAGTCTTACTCTTGTCACTCTCCATCTGAGTGACTAGTTCCCTGTATCGCGTGGCAAGTTCTAGGACAGCGGGTCGGGAGGACCGGAAGGTGCTCATCTTCTGCCGTGCGAAGACATCGTAGTTCTTCCAGTGGGTCGAGAGTTTGAAGGAGGTGCTCATGCGCCTATCTTGAGTCAGTCAGACTTGGACTGGAGGCCACCGACGGGTCTGTATACCTGTAGAGATAACACTCGCTGTACAGCCATGGAACGTTGAACCATGTCGGGGCGCCCAGCTTTTCCAGCTCCTGGTTGTAGAGCGCTATGTCTGGCTTTCCGTCATCCCGCAGAGGGGTGAGCTGACGGTCATGTTGCAGTTCGTACTTCAAGCGCGCCAGCTCTTCGACGATCTTCTTGCCCTCGTCCTCCTTCTCTCTGTCATTGCATGGGGTGATTGACCGGTACACGTCGTCAATGGCTTGCGTCTACGTCGGAGATCAGTCTATCGCTGTTTCGGTCGATGTGTGCGTGGAGTACGACTGACAATGATGACTGGCCATCGGTCTCGCGCAGAAATGTACGCAAACGACGTCTTGTCGCTCGTCTTGTAAAGTGCTAGGGGATCGTGTTAGACCACGGTGACATGATGCGGCTTTGTCTTGGAATCTTACGAGTCTTCGTGTCTAGATCCATTCTGACTGATCACGTTCCAAGGCGATGATCACAATGCCAGGACTCTCCAGGGGATGACGATGATCTTTGGTGTGTCTATTTTTCCCCAAGTGACGAAGGCCGCAACTTAGTGTGACCATGGCGGGGTGTTTGGTGTTTGGCGGGGTAAGTTTACCGTTCGGCTAGTTGCATGACTAGTGTTTAAAAAACATTGTCGAGTAAATACATACATACCTATCTATGTAGATAGGAAATACCCAATCGAGCGAGGATTCTCATAATTCGAAGTGTGGGTAACAACAGCGAAGCTTACCCTGTCATTCTTGTTGTATAATGCTTGTTCCTGCATCCATGGATCTTACTTATGCAAGTCTGCCACAGATCCATCGAGACATGAACAGGCCAATTCCACGAAAGCCTGTGGCAATAGCTCTACATGAAGTCAGTATGGCCGGCCCCACCACAAGCGCGAATGACAGCTGAATTACATGCAAGCGACCAATAAAAGGGTGTTCATCAATAGGTTGAGCTTATCAGTGATGATATCCTCAGTGCTCGGGTGAATTCATGTTCCTTAAACGCATGCACCTGCCTTGAGCAGCTTCCTGGGACGTAGGAATATTGACCGACGAAACCGGGGCAACATCGCAGAGCGAACAAATAATGAATGTCCTTCTAGAAACGCCATGACGGAAAACAGGTAAACTCGACTTATACGAGTGCGAACAAACGTTTATCCTATTGAGACTTGGGTGGAAGACGCATCGGCACAGGTGGATTCATTGTGCTGGCTTCGCTTGCCCATATCTGAACGGATCATCACTATGTCACATCCATATTGTGCCATGGTCCTCAGAGCTATCAAGCAAGGTATATAACATTTTGACTCAACGAGTGCTGGAAAAGCTAACTTATGTACGGACAAGAGTATGTAACTATCTACAGGGAGAAGTGAAACGGCGAGAGCGCAGCGGGAAAGACAGACAGCAAAGTTGACAGCCACACCAAGAAAACATTGCCGGTAGAGACAGCCTGCATCGGATACAATGCGAAAGATATATGCCGAAAAGTATTTACGATGAATCGGATGCTGTCGGAGAGCGTAAAGCGGCTTCGAGGATCGAGACGGGTCTAAACCTGGAAGCGGCGGAAGCGAGGAGTTGTAGACTCTGTTTCTCGCTTCACGGGGCTGTTGGGGTTACCCTTTCCGTTGACAGTCCAGTAATCAGTCAAGGCCTCCTCGACCTGGGAGAGCTCGCTGTATGGTTGCTCGCGAGCCAATGTTTCAACCTTCTGTATGATGGCCTCATCGGTAAATATACCGCTGCGAGATTCGAAGTCTGCCTTGCTGTACGGCTTGGCTCTCCAGCGAGCGTCCATGGGGTCCGAGAAATCGGTGGTCTCATTATATCCGAAGTTCTGGAGGTTGGTTACGTTGAATGCAGCCATCATGTCTCCATCTTCGTGGATCAGATTGTGGCAGTGGAACATGTAGAGACCATCCCAGGGGTAGTAGTGTGCTTCAACAAGGACAGTCTCGCCACGGCCTAGCCAGACCACATCCTTCAGACCAGCTTTCTCGTATGGCTCCACGCCGCGATCCTTGCCAGTACGTTGCAACACTCTGAAATCGACCAAGTGGACATGGATGGGATGACTCCAGCCACCCGAGCTATTTTCGAGCTCCCAAATCTCAACAGTGCCACGAGGAACCTTGGCAAGCACACGGTTCTCGACGTCCTCAAATCCGACACCATTAATAAGCCATTGGCCGTTGCTTCGGTGGAACAAGAAGTGGTGGTCAATTCCGGTAGTCGAAGGTGGGAAAGGCACGTCACGAAGCTTCGCGGGTACCGTAGAAAGGTCACTGACGGAACCAGAGCTAACCATGAAGCGCATGACCTTGTCAGTGTTCTCGTAGTCATCATCAACACCGATTCCACCGGCCTTCGGCAGATTGCGAAGCTCAATAGCTTGTCCCGCGAATTTGCTGAAGTCGAAGACGATCTCGTACCGCTCTGCCATCGAGATGAGCAGCTGGTTGACCGTGGCTGGTGCCTCAAGCAATCCGGCATCAGAGGCAATGACCTGGAAAGGTAACTTTCCGTTCAAGTTGGCCGAAGTAGCAAAGTACAGAGCAAAACTGCGTGAGACGGAGGCATCCAAGAAGCGGAAACGGTACTTTCTGGGCTCAACATTCATGAACGGCCAAGGCTGGCCGTTAACGTGGATAACATCGCCCCAAGTGCTGTCCTTTTCGCCAATGGTGGACTGAAGACTCCCATCCTGGTTATAATATTTACTCGTCAGAATAAGGGGAATATCGAATTCACCGTAACCAGAGGGCAGGCCTAGGGCATCTTCAGCTGGGTCAGTGATGATGTATGCGCCAGCCTGTCCGAAGTAGGCGTTCTCGGCTGTCTAGGTCAAAGTCAGAGACAAATCCAAACGGGCTTTTAAAGTACAGAGATGTCAGGTATGCCCAGCAAGCTAATATAGCTGTGGTACAGAAAGTCCCTTTTAAGGAAGAAGGCATCCAAAATAGCTGAAAGAGTGAGGAACAGGTAGAAGAAGAGGGCACTCACGATGCCTATAGCATGATCATGATACCAGAGTAAACGGGCGCTCTGCTCGTTGGGGAAATAGTAGTCCTTGAATTCGCCAGGGAAGGTCACATCCTCAGCCCAACCATCAAAAGGTGCTCGGGAGGGTGATCCGTGAAGGTGGACCGAGTTCTCTCGGTCTGCTTGGTTCATGAAGCGGACGACTGCCTCTGTTCCCTTGGGGACAACAATACTAGGCCCTGGAGACATGCCATCGTACCCGATCAAACGGGCGGGCCCCAAATTAGGGTAAACCTGTTGTTCGAAGGGCCGGATCTCTATTTCGTAATACCAGATGGGTTTGCCCGTGACAGGATTCGTGATGACCCTTGGAGTTGTTAGTTTCCTTGCCTCTCAAATTGTTGCTTCGATTCACATGAAGTCTGTAATGTGTAGTTCAATCCTAGGTTTGGACATATGTTCGCACTAGGGATGGATCCGCACTGGTGGTACCGCACTGTGAACCTACTTCTTCGGCTGTTTCACCGGTGGAATTGGGAGAGCCACTTTATAAATCAGAGGGTATTCTGGGCTCTCGTCGCTCTTCATGATGCTGACGATATCGCCGGGATCATCCTGAACAACCGCAGCAATAGCAGCTTCTTCTTCAGGAGGGACATTTGAGTCAAATGTCTGTCCAAGAGTGCCTGCCATGAGGCAGGATGCCATGGCAAACCAGCCGAGTCTTGGTACCATTGTTGTCAAGGTTGGCTCTAAAGAAAAGAGTGAATGAAGAGGTTGGTGCTTGAATAATGCTTCTTGTCCTGATGTCGAGATCATCCAAGGAAGGAGTTTGCGGTCTCTCTTTATAGACGCTGGGCAACCCGCAGCTATCGACTGTTAAAACTCAAAATTTGAGTCAGCTCCCTCCTGAAGTCCTACTTACTCTTGCTCACCGAGTTCTTGCCCCATCTCCTGCACAAAGTCTTTGGTAAAAGTGTCCATATCACTTGCATTCAATAGTCTCGCCGCCTCCCCAGTGCGTTCCCTGATTCAAGGGGATGGCCCAGACCAAGAAGTGGACACCATCACAAGAAGTTGGTTGCAGGAAACGCCCGGCTCGACATTCCCCGTAAGCCTGGTGATCCTCTCGGAACAAGATCTCGGACGTCTTCCAGGAGGAGTCTTCCCTAGCATCATGCTTCCTGCAATTTCCTAATGCACAGATGGCCCGAGGATGGTGCTCAGATGCTTCCGGGGGAGCCCAAAAGTGCACTAGTTGGACAGGGTGGTTGAAAATATTGTAAGAAACCATAATCATTAGTAAGACTGTATCCCTCAGAGATCGAGTATTACCCGTGGCTTCTAACGGCCACCATATCTCTTAGCAGGGGTTGGTGATTGAGCATGGGGACCAAGACGTGGCTTGACGCAGCCCACGTGCCACGCGTATCCTACCGCACGGCTTGCAACATACCATCGAGTGCTATTCCCGGGTCCGAGCCTCGAAATCCTCAACGTTCATGATGACTATGGTTTCCAGGATGCCTGACTAATGCACAACTTCGCCGTCCTGATCTTGGCATCAGGCAGATATGGACCCACCAGTGCGTATAGTCCTAAGCGACTCCTACCTTGTGCAGGTGGCGCGAACCCGAGGCACTCACCAGACGTATACACCACAACCCTCGCACAGCCGACATGCGACGAAATGTAAGAAACCCTAGCTTGTCAGTAATCTCATTTTCTACTTTGGGCCACCTGTTCAAGTAATTCTTTACAAAATGGCACAATTACTTGATAGCTGAGCAACTCACTGCAACCACTACGAACTCATCGCCTTCTGGGGCATTGTGGGATACCCCCCATCCCCCACGCCGTGCTGAAGATGCTTGGCCACTCGGCCTGTGTGGGATCACATGGCTTAATCCGTCAACGTAGCTGTGCTTGGCCCGTCTATAGGCTGCTTCGGGGTTCCAATTTTTAGAATTCCGTTGTAAGACTACAACAGGAATTGCTCCGAATGGAACATGATTGGTTCCCGGTTTCTCGAACCCGGGTATCGCATTGTCGAGGAAACTTAAGCCGCACTCTGCCATTCGCCAAGCACTATTTGGTGGTAAGACTCCTGAAGCCACGCGCAGGATCTATTGCCCTTGCATGCTTTGAATGCATCTCGTAAAACCGATGGTAGGACAGACAAGGTGCATCGCCAAGAGTACTGCCAAGAACACCGCCAAGAGTATAAGAGATACTTCAAGCTTAGAATCAAGCTTGAATCGGTAGCCAAGTGCCACGAGGAGCCAATAACAAGGTTGACGAACCTGCATGATCAACCTGTTTATAGGCTTGGCGACGACTTAGTCAGAGAATCCAGGAAGCGGCACGGCGTACAGACATATAAATACACAAAGGCCGGGGTCCACAGCCAAATGCGGGTTAGGCAACCTCCAAATGCGAAGCGGCCCGCCTCCGGCGCATCCAGTGCGACGTTGACTGGGGCCGCGGGATGTGCCGGAAGCGTGACTCTTGGACTCACATCAAATTAGAGAATCCGTGGAGGATCCCGTGCGGTGGTACTGACGCTGTGTCACCCCAACTACATTGACGAGTATACACGTCTTAAACCCGCAAACGAATGCACGTTCCTCGCCGGCAGTTGTTCGCTGCAACGACAAAAATGTCCGATAGACAACGTTGTCATCGTTGGTGCCATTGTGTCGGTGAGGCTGATCAGATCACTACCCTCGCAAATAAACTGTTCGCATCCTCCAGGTTTCTTACTCCGATTCAACTCTACTCACATATGCCCCCAAAGTGAGGCTGAATTCCTTCAACAACGCCTCGCTTACATATTCCGTGTGCGTTCGTCCAATGGTGCGTGAAATACAGGGATGCTTCCCCTCGTCCTACCAACCTGGTTGTAATTTTCTTGGCTATACTTGGCAGCGCCCCAAAAATCATAACACAAGACAATTATTACACGAACGGCTCAGCCCCTGTAAACACGAACTTGTAAGCTGACAACATCCAATAGAAAATCCTGAATTTGAAGGATCGTCTCCATCCCTGGCAGATCATATCCCACGCGATACCCCCCCTTCTTCCGAACCCGTGGCACGTGGACACCATATTGTGTCATTGCGATTCATGGGCTAGAGTCATGGCATTATCCAAAACTAGATAACTATTGTCTCGGCGCCAAGCAATAGGCTTCCATCCTTCGGCCTAGACTTGAGGGTTTTCCGACAACGTTGCTATCGTGCTGGAGTCTGCACGAGTTTTGGGGCTATGTGATCCCGAGAGACACCAACTTTACCGCTACCAGTTCAATATCCGACCTTGGGTGCAGGACGAACATTGTTTTAGGCTTCACGAGAAATGCAACTGCAACTCCTCACGACCTCCCACCGGCCCCGCCATGCGTGCGCTTGGGCGGAAGACCTTGTCAGATGCTTGCCTCGCGGCCATGCACGAGAACAATATTCATTTCTTTCTGCATCCTGAGACGAGACGGACCTTGGAGTTCATGATCTGGCCTCTCCTCATATGCTTGGACAGAAGTAAGACTAAATCACGGCCGAGGACGTCTGGACATATAAAGTCAGTACATTCCGCAGTATTTGAGTTTGCTGCAACACCACAAACTCATTCCTTCTTTGACTTTCTCTGGCACGCCACTTCAGTGGTTATAGACAAAATGACAAAGCTTTCGTTTCTTTCCATACTGACGCTGAGTCTCCAGCTCATGAACATGATGACGCATGTTCTTTGCCAGGATGCGCCTCTGTTTATACAAGGCGGCCTGGAGGGCGCAACGGCCGATGACGACACTTACAATACTGGTGGTTTCATTCAACTCAACGGCTTCAACATCCAGGTACCAAAGAACATGTTGGTTCAGTTTCCTGCCGCCTACGTGCCCTGGAAGGACTTTGTCGAAGATAAAACCGCGATGATGGGGTACGAAATCAACGTAAGTTAGGGTGCGGATATCTTCCATAGTATCCAGTGCGACAGAACGAAGGTGTTCGATATAAGGATGGATATTAGATGAGAACCAATCCTTCTCCAACCCCCAGTGCGATCCCCAGTGCGATCCCCAGTGCGATCCCCAGTGCGACACCAAGCGAGATCTCAGGAGAGGGCCTTGTCTATCATCAAAACCAGTGCGATTCCCAGTGCGATTCCCAGTGCGATTCCCAGTGCGAAACCCAAGTCAACTTCACCAAAGTCCGGATGTGTATCTCGGAGGAGAAAAAGAGTTTGGAGGGAAACGAGGAAAAATTTGATTGGTTGAAATGGAGCATCGTGGCCTGACAATTTATCGCCTAGGTTATTGGCAACTTTATCAACAATGTCCCAATTGCAGCGCAAATCATCGCCTACGAATTCTTTGAAGGACTCTCCAGTGGATTCATCGAATCTGTGAACTTCAGCGAAGGAACTCTCCAGATCGCTTCTGGTCCAACCCTGCGAATCAGCGACCCCAATGCGGTCTTTTCCGTTGGATACACTGGCGCCCCATTCTTTACCGCGGATGACGAAAGCCCGAGCATTAGTTCGTTTTCTGGTATGTACATCTGGACGCCCTTTCTATTCTTTGGGGCAAGTTTAGGCTGGGAAGGACTATGTCCTGAGAGCCAGCTCGCTCTAGTCCCAAACAGGCAATCTCGCACTAGCCAGCCAGCGTGATTATAGGTACCTGATGATGTGAAGTACCCACATACTGACTGTGGCAGGTTTCCCGATGTGTATACCACGCAATGCTTCAGATCCCCTGTGTCCGTCAACCAACAGACCATTTCAGGGATCTGGAACCTTTACTGTGGCAGACCCATTGCGGATGGCTCCTTTCCTCGCGGGAGATTTTGTCACCTTCTCCGGTATCCGGAGGGGCAACGAGATGATTTGCTTCAGCATAGTTGCCCAGAATGTGCAAATCACCACGCTGCAAGATCTTGTGTATGTTCGTATGGAACTTGGTCTTCTTGGGATTGATAACTTCAACCTCAACACCGAGCTAGCCGAATCTCGGGTAAGTGCCAATGCACGCCCTTCACTCCAACAATAGTCTAACGAGAGTCAAGTTCGTTGGCTTTGTATCCAACTCCGCGGCCACTGTTGCTCTCTATGCCATGGATTACGACCCGTGCACAGGAGCTGTGACCGATCGCATTGTGGCCGCAATGGGTTTGAAGGGTGGACGTAACGAGCAGAACAAATTTGAGTATCGTGCAGATATCACGCAAGGTTACGCCAGGGACTACCGCGTGGTCGCCGAGATCAATGGCATCCCGAAGACTCGAACCACAAAGAACGGGCTATTGGCAGGAACATATGTTCAGCCTGTTAACGTTTGGGTCCATGCTGAGCAGTTGACCCCCGGAACTCAGCCCCCGGCGTACGACTTCTCGCAAATGCCATGGTTGACCAACGGGGTTGGTGTTGATGAGTTCGGCAACCTCTGGGGTCCTCTTGACCCCTTCCCGCAGACCGGTATCTTGATCGATCCTCCAGTTTGTGGCTCTGTCTCTGCTTTGTCATTCAAAGGCGACGAGGTCAAGACTGACTGGGCTCCATCCTGTAAGCGTTCCAACAGTCACATGCCAATGAATTTAAGACTAACCAAGCCTACCAAGACACTCTGATGAACCAAACTCTCCCGGATAACTCGACCTCAACGACCAACACTACGATCAGCCCGGCCACTGCCGAGGCTAGTCCCATTGCAAAGAGAGCCCCTAATGTCCGTTGGCTGTCAAGAGCCCGCCTTGACGCGACTACTTTGCCAGCTGGCGACCCCCAATTGATTCAAGTCTCTGTTCCTCAACCCGAATAGTTGATATGAATGGGTGTTTGCTACATTTGCAGGTGACTGCCTTGACCATCCTGTCGTTACCGGCCGAGCATTTACATTAACTTACCTTCTTGCATCTCGCTTCTTTTTGTACATATTCCTTCATTTGCATATAGTGAGGCTTCAGAACATATTTCTCTTCAAGTTCCAGATACTTAGTTAGCTATTGAGATTGATTGAGATTATCCGTCCGATTGCTATCATTTTGTCACCAGGTAGTGCATGATGTGACACTTTATATTTGATAGGTAAGCCTTGGTGGCCTCACAGGTGGAGTAGCTGTAAGAGTAGTTGTCAGTAATTGGCGATGTTGAGTAGAAGAAGCTGATATTAGGTAATTGAGCTCTTGAGCTATGCCTTGCAAAGTCGCTGAGTCTGTCCAAGTGATTCCGTACCCTGTATTCAAGAGCGAAAATAGACAAGAATTGCAGTATGTCCGTGTCAATATCAAAGTTGTTCGAATTCCACAGGGCTTGGTTCAGTTACGCACTACAGGTCCAAAGCTTTTTGAAGTTGTTCTTGCACCGTTAATTACAACTGTCTTGGCTTGCTGATTTTACTCACCATGATGGCTCCGCTCTGACTTTACACCCTCACGTACTGCCGCGCTGGGAAAGACAAAAAGTTGACTTACGGTAATTAGAACGATTGAGATTAATCGGAATATCTGAAAAAAAATAAAAAAAATACAAAAAAATAAAATGTGTGACATTCCCTATGGCCTGCTTGAAAGGAGAGGAAGAAGTATCAAGGGACCGAGACTCGCATACGAATATAGGGACTAAGAGGATAATGTCAGATTTCCTGGCCGCAGATTTGACGTCCGTGAGAAATTCGAATTTCTTCTTGCCCAGACTATGCGAAAACAGGTGTCCAACGACCAGCGGGAATAGTTATGAAGCACAACATCCTTGCTGGACTGACAACTGTCCCTGTAGCATCAGCGATACCTCTGAACCACGAAACCTACCGTGGCCTCATGATAACCCCCAGGCATTCGATGGGTAACGGGTTTTACAAGCTTTTCGTATATGTACATGAATTATGCAACTATTCCTCTGAAGCAATCTCAGTGGCTTCCTACCTGCCTGGATCTCGTGATCATGATCGCGAACAGCCTCTAACCACGTTCATCGCCACGATCGGTGGGGTTGATGACTGGAAGGCATCAATGGATCACAATAACGTTCTGGCGAAAGTACGCATGTATTTCAATTTGTTTTTCGATACGAACAACAGCATTTAGATACCAAAGCATACACGATCCTACGTTCAAGCGGCCGAGACTCTATCGGCTGTCCTAACTACTAGGTCGGCAGGGATACCACCGGATGTTTCGGAAGCCATAAGTAGTCCAGCAGCTAGTGCTGTGGGCGACACGTCACCTGAAAGCAATAGTATAAGCAAACTTGGCTCCTTTGGATGCGTTGTTTCTCGGGTGCTCAAGGGAAGAAAACTGTCCTTACGGGGTTGCATTCCAAGCTTCAGGTGAACGGAGAGCTGTGCGGTGCCTTTGAGCCGGGTTCGGCATGCGAAGCTCTGCTGATGCAAAGTTCCGAGTGCTACCATGGTAATTCGGCCATGCGCCGAACAAACTACCTATGTAAGATCAAGTTAACGCATACAGTTGACTTTCATTGTCGCCAAGAGAATTGGGCTATGAAAGTGGAGTAGCGATCAGCGGTGCCATGCGTGAGTGTGATTAATAATGACGGCCATTGAAGCCACCTAAACCCGAGGGTGAAGTGGGGGATCTGCCGGCGAGAGCACGCGATTTCCGATGGCGCCATCGACAACGGAGGGTCCGATCAATCGAAACTAGCAAGCCAGGGAGCGCCCAACGTTGACTTCCCTATAACCCGAATGTATACCACTGACTAGCTAGATTCGTTTGCAGTATGTCGCACGACGAGCAGGGCGTGGGTCAATCGCCTAAGAGCACCGAGCGCACTCCATTGCTTGCAGGCGAGCAGACGGCGCACGGCGGTCAGGATTCGGAGCGCAGCTCGCTCGATGGCCGCCAGGCTTCACAGGACGAGCATGAGGAAGCGGCTCTGCTCGAGCCGCAGCAGGAGAAGCGCACCGCGAAATGGTATCTATGGAGGGCATTTTGGGTCATTCTAGCGACTTTGGTGCTTGCATTATTCATCAAGGGATGGGTGGATTCCGATGCTACTGATGTGAGCGTGCTTATTCTCCGAATGAGCGTGTATCTAATCATGATCTACAGTTCGATTTGGGGGGTGCACTCAAACGCGCACTTGGCGGAGGACTTAGCGGTGCTGCAGCTATGGTTCTACAGGTCCTACTTCTCATGGTCAGTTACGCTCTACATAGATGGCGAACGTTACATGGACTAAACGTCAGGGGTAGCCTATTCGGACGATCATGAACTATCAGTATCGCCACGGGTCTTCTCTTGCCACTGCTACGAAGACACTTTACCAGGATGGTGGCATTGGGAGGTATTACCAAGGTCTATTTGCAGCGCTCATTCAAGGTAGGGCCTCTTTTGCTATATGTCGAAGGATAGATTCTCATCTTACCCAGGTCCCGTATCCAGATTTGGGGATACAGCGGCCAATGCTGGTATTCTGGCTTTACTCCGCTCTAACTCGTACTTGAATCGCATGCCGACTCTGATCCAAACCATCTTCGCCTCGCTCTGGTTTGTTAAGCCCCCCATCACACGGTGATATAACAACACAAGGGAATACTGACCGCTTATAGCGCGGCCGCTTTCCGAATGATCTTGACCCCTATCGATACCCTCAAGACGACCCTGCAGGCACAAGGACCCCGTGGAACCGCCTTGCTTCGCCAGCGAATAAAGACGAACGGCTTGGGTAGTCTTTGGTGGGGTGCGTTCGCTACGGCTGCCGCTACCTTTGTTGGACATTACCCTTGGTTTGCTACAGTGAGCACCCTCGCCCGCCAATGATAGGACGATAAACTGACCAGTCGCTCTCTAGTATAATTTCTTGACCGAGTTCATAGAGGAGCCGTCAAAAGAACACCAATTGGGCCTGTATCTACTTCGCCTCGCTTTCATTGGATTCTGCGCATCAATCGTGTCTGATACCATATCCAACTCGTTGAGAGTGGTCAAGACATATCGCCAAGTCAATGACACCAAAGTCTCATATTGTGAGTATTCACATGGCAAGCTGACTACTTCATTATTGACATACCTACAGCGGAAGCTGCAAGACTGGTTGTCCTTCAGGACGGCCTCTCTGGCCTGTTCGGACGTGGCCTGCCAACCCGCATCCTAGCAAACGGGTTGCAGGGCATTCTATTCTCTATACTGTGGAAGCTTTTCTTAGATCTGTAAGTTCAGGAGAACAAGATTTTCCTCAAAATGTGGACGCTAACGTAGGACAGTTGGGAAAAAGAAACCAGTTCGTAGCTTCAACATGTATTGCGAACAGTTGACGAGAAGGGCAGACCCGAAGGCTTCTGCCGCCACGGAAATGCCCAGTGTTGATGGCGAATTGATAATGATGGGTGCCCGGTACCAGTTCCGACGTGTACTTGGATAGGTCAGGCTCCATTGAGATTTGAATAACTTGGCTATGGGTAAAGGGGCGAAGGGGCAAAGAGACACATCTAGACTACAGGGGGCTCATCCTCTCGCGCTAATGAGTTAGGTGCAAATGAGGACTGGAAGCCTGCATTGGTAATTGATTGGAACGGCCATATGTCATATGCTGGTACATGCCTTGGTTATGTTAAATACGCGATTGGATCTCTACAAATAATGTGCTCTGCGATTCGGATCTCACCTGCGCAAATATGACCCCGATGTTGAAGCCCCACTCATTGGGTGTGGTTGGGGCCCAGCTGGCTACCATATGCACTTAGGTAGCCAATTGTAGAAACTGAACCTACCATTAGCGCCCCAAAACTTCGCTGACCCCATCGGCGCGGGACCCTGCATAACCACCTACATCGTAGGGCCTTTGTTTTGACGACCCCCCAAGGACTGTTGCAGCATCAAGTCGCATCAACGCGACCCCAACTCATTGCTTCGGTGTGTTCCTCAGCAGTGACAGGTCTACCGCTGTGCACCCGTTGCACAACAGGCATACCAAGAACATGATGCCATCGGACTCGCTGGCGTGCCTTCCGCCTGAGCTTTTGGCCCGAGTATGCGAATTCATTGAGCTCAAAAGAGACCTGTCTGCGATTATCCGAAGCACGCGACAGTTGTATGGAGTCGCCACGGCCTATTTGTACCGAGACATCGATCTCCTCTCCGCGCAGGACTTTGATCACCGTTCTCAAAAGGATGAGAACAATGTCTACATTGAGTCTCTCGCGAGAGCATTTCTGCGAGACCCCCAGCTCGGTCACTATGTCCGTCGGCTCGCCATTCGTCTTCCAGAAACGTCCAGCCGTCACCAGTTATTGACTCCACTGAACCTAGAGACCGAAGTGGCCGTCAGATCACTTTTGAGTACCGCCTCCGGGCCCGCGACCCACAGCACCGCGGCCCAAGATCATTCCCCCGGTGCTAGTGATCACGACAGTGGCAGCGAGGAGTGGGATACGACAGATGACGAGAGCGATCTTGAACTGGAAGCTGACTCATCCGTCTCGGAAAAGTGTCCGGACTTTCAAAGTGAAGCGGACATGTGGGTTTACTTTGCAGGCAAGAACAAAGCTACACGGCGAGATGTGTTCCTGACGCTGCTACTCTCCCGCGTGCCCAGGCTGGAGTGCTTGGACCTTGAGAAGCCCAAGCGTGGATGGAGAACTGGCTTTCTTGACCAGGTGCTCAATAACAGCCACGATGGTCTACAGCCGTTCAAGGACTCACCAATGCTCAGCAGCGTCCGGAAAATGTGTTTTGGTTATACCTCCCCCGAAATTCGCGGCGAGTCATGGATTGGCTCATTTCTCCTTCCGGGGTTGGAGGAACTGTATTTGCACCGCATATACAGCCTCGGATCCTTTTTGAGCAAACCAGCTGGAAGCAGCAGCTTCACTGGCTGTCTCAATATTACACATCTTGAACTACGAGATTGCAGGATACCCCCGCCGTCTTTGCGTCGCTTACTAGCTGGCCCAAAGGCTCTGAGAACTTTCATCTACGTCATTGGCGAGCCAAGTAGCCAACTGGAATTCATGGTCCCGATCAGCTACAAATCAGTCCGCGCCGCCCTCGAGCAGCAGAAAAACAGTTTGGAGCATATTTGGATTGACTATCCTCACGATTACTCTTGGGACGAGATGACCAGCCAGCACACCCATCCTATGGGTAGTTTCTCTGGTTTCACCAAGCTCAAGCACTTGCACATCGCCGGTACCTATCTGTTTGGTTTTGTGTGGGAGTCTGACCTTGACCCTAGGCGCCTCGTCCAGGCACTCCCGCAACAGATCGAAACTGTCCATATATCTCATGCCGACGAGGATGATGAGACGTTTGAGGGCGTTAACTGGGTGATTGCTGCCAAAAAAGAAGGGCGGCTTCAGGACTTGACCGAGTTGAAGCTTGAAGCCGATTTTCAGTGGCTGTTGCATGCCCGCAGCCAACTGAGGCAACTGGCAGTCAAAGCAGAAGCAGTATCGCTCCATATTAAATTCTTTGATAATTCTGCTGTCACCAGAATCGAAGAGGTTGCGCATTGGAAGCAAGTTGCGCTCCGCCGACAACTGTCGCTCTTTGGCAAGCGTTTCGAAAATCCATGGGGGTTCAAAGGAGAGGTGTCATGGCCTGAGCGTGTCAGCGGTTGCATGCAAACTCCCATCTATTGGGAGGTCGCCATTGATGATTCCCCATATCCAACGCGTATTAGTCCCCCCACAGCGACACCAGAGAGATATCCAAGAATAGTCCTGCCGGGGAAGTAGACAGCATATTTCGCTGGCTAGCAGCCCGTAACGCAAGCTTGATGCTTATGAGTAGAGGATCCTCGTTCCCACTACAGCCGGTAAAGGATGGTCCATCCTAGACCGAGATCGTACGATACGTGACTACATGCATAAAGGGCTAAAGTGAGTTGCCGACGTTGTGACGAATGGTATTGCCTAGTTATCTGTGGCGAAAGGCTTCAGCCTCTCTAGTCGCCGAATAATTTTCGTGAGCTTGTGGCCGAGAATCTCTTCAGCAATATCTAGCAACCGACTACACTCGCTTGCGGCCATCAAGTCGCACCCTGTCAGAACGATCTCCTCCCAGAGAACCTCTTCGACGTCATATCCAAATCCGAGCATGCCTTCATCTAATCTCCATATTCGTTGCAAGACCCCGGTACCATTCCTTGTCCACAACTCGCTGTCCGGGGAGAGAAGCCTTCCGATATCGAGCTTCAGGAGATTGCAGTGAATAAACAAGGGCTTTGCCAGTTCTGCGTCAGTTCTGTCCCCGTCCTCGTTCTCTGTTTCGCCATATTCATCTTCCATTCCCTCATTCATGGTGCGTGACTGCGCTGTCTGCGATAATCTCATCCTCACTTGATGTAAACGCCAATCATCTCTTGGATCTGCCTGCCTCATGCCTGTCGAGTGCCATGTATTGTTCGCCCAGCGGCCCATAATATGGATCGGTGTTGTTACATCGTAGAATGGTGCGCCAAGCACCATGGCAGCATGCAAAAAGGTTTCTTTATCGCCTTCGCCCTCAGCGCCCTGGCTAAGTAGCGGGTAATACCACATTGGGCCAAGGTAGTTGTAATACAGTGCCAACAGCAGATCATGGGCATGCCGCGCCTTGTCGTACATCAGTATTCCTGCTTCGGAAGACTTCCGAACCCCGAGCATTGGTGTTTCTGTACGTGAGATATCATAAAACAGTGGGCTAGCTGTGCTTGCCCAGAAATCGGGCCAAGTTACCATGCCGGTCGATTTGAACGGTTCAGAACTGAACAACTTATCGGGATTGTGAGCAGGAAACGCGTCGGCGTCCATGAACAGAACCTCCTGGAACGGAGAGAAAAGCACCGAGAAGATCTTGTACTGGTATTTTCCTAAGGACAAAGACGGTAGCGCCATGTCCAGAAGGTCAGAGAGTATGACGCACTCCGCCTTGAGTGGACGGAAAACCTGTTCGCAGATGTATTCGTCGTAGTCACTGTCATTGTCGATGAATACGACCACGGGAAGCCTGGAGCCGGTTCGACGAAGCATGCGTAATGAGATAAGGGTTATATTGAAGTAGTCACCACCTCCTGTAGTGACTATCCCCCTCGTCTTGCTTTCATACGGTAATTCGGGCGCCAGTATACTCGTAACGAAAGTCATGGAATCATGGCTGCTCCGCAACGCCCTGAGAGAATCCTCGGGCAACCTGATGAGGTCGAGACGGGGGTGTTCTGGGTCAATCTCGATATCAACGCCTTGGTCCTCCGGCGTGGCTTTCTGCGCCAACTTGATCGGCTCGATTTGAGGTATCAGGTCGTCGATGTTCGTGCGCAGTTTCGTCCAGAATTCAATCATGCGTGGCGACTGTAGGTGCTGCGCGCCGGTAACGCTGGGTACAACGGCTCCGGAAAGGTCGCGGAGAAACCGCCTGCACGCGTGCATGAACAGCAGGAGACTGAGGCCGAGCAGCAGCGAGGCGAAGATGCGCCACGCTCGCGGGCGCTGCGAGCGCCGTATCCACCCCATTCGTTCTGCTGGGCTTTCTGTGAATGTTGGGGCCAGCCAGAATGCGTGATATTGCCTGCTCGAAGTCTGGACATCGACATGACAGACCCCGTCGCATTCGCTGGGCTTTTAACCTCTTCGTCGCTCAGGGGGTGAACTCCCTGGCTGAGGAGGACAATACCGCGCCTAAGACATTTTTGACTGAGACATGCTTTGGGCTGCACTTTTCACACTTCGCGTTCTCGTCCATGGTCGAGCTGATTTAGCCTACCGATAGCTTCTGCAATACCCAATTCACTAAATGAAGGCTTCTTGCTGGATCTACGGCTTCGCATTATGAATGGAGCTGGAGATGACAGTCTTCAGCTACTTCAATTGTCTGAGTCTGAAATGTGGAGGATGCAATGTCTTACTGTAATATCGCAAGAGAGAGCCCTTGTCATGGGGGATTACAAAAGCAATCTCGGTTTGTGGTCCCCGATTTATTCGACGTTTAAGCTAGTGTGTTTGGCTAGCACGTCACAGGTCATTATGCGTGAGGAACAAGCCATCGAAGTTATTGGAAGGGCTGAAGCCAAGTATATGAATTAGAGTATGTATACAAGGTTTCGGCTACTGAAGTGTACTGTTCTGTATTAATACCCGCGTGAATGCATTCACTCATGTCAAGATCACATTCCTATAAATCCCTTTGATCCGATGCCGTACCCATTTTTGATGACCGAGACCAGACCCTTGATTTGTTATTTGACAAATCATCCGAGGCCATTTGGAAGGTGCTTTGGCTACCACTCAAGCCATTTACAAGGCAGCAAGGGCACCGAGGACCAGCATTCCAATGCTGCCAGCGGTAGCAATGGCAGCACCGGCAGTCACGACGCTCGAGGGGGCCGTGGTGGCGGAAGCTGTGCCGTTAGAAGCGTGAGAGCTCGAGTGGGAGGCTGAGGCGGTGCCAGAGGCCTTGTAGCTGCTCGTCATCGAGACAACGCTGGACTGGACGGTGGAAGAGGGAACAACGGTGCTGGAGGCCTGGGCAGTGGTGGAGGAAGCAGCTGTGGTAGAGGCAGCAGTGGTAGAAGCAGCAGTGGTGCTACCGCTTCCGCTTCCGCCGGCCTCAACGGCGGCGCAGAACTTCTGAACGGCGGGGAGGACCTCGTCTGTTATCGGGTCAGTTCATGAGAGTCTTGGTTGTTAAGGATCTAGGACGTACTCAGGGCAGTCTCAGCACCGCAAGCACCGAGGACACAGGTGGTGGCATCAGCCTGGAGAGCATCAATGCTGGCGCAGATGCATTTGTAGTCATCAGCGGTGCACTTGGTGACCTTTGTCCGCGAGGCGTCGATACAGGGGACCGCGCAGGATGGGATGTCGGAGATGGACTGGGCAGCGACGGAGGCAGCGAGGGCCACGGCAGCAAATGCGTACTTCATTTTGGCTGGAGGTTGTTGTGAGGCTTGGAGAGCAAGTTGAAGTTTCGAAAGGGCGATTTGCGCGTTCTATTTTAGTATACAGTCAACGAATGTTGTATCCGATGCGGGTGTGAAACGAATGTCTGGTTGAGGAAGAAAAGGGATCAAAGCGGTCGTATCCTCTGGAGGGCCATTCGGTCTTATATCCCCCCTTCCTCTGCATCTGTGATCACATTGTGAGGTGGTATTCAATGAGTGGCACAGAGCTAGTGGGAGGTCATACCACTGCCCAATAGAGGTCGGCCCGTCCACATCCAGTACGATGCACGATGCAGTCAGTGACAGGGATTCATCGCCGTAAGGTGTTCTTGTTTCGTAATAGCATCACCACCGAGGGGCCCTGGTAGAAGTGAGATATATTGAACTTGCCAAGTTGGGATACATCCCCGAGACGATCAGCTCGTCCCCGGTTTGGTTGGCTCGGTAGAGTCTGGGGAAGCACCAGGATCCTTCGTTCACCTGCTTTTACGGTTGTCGGTCATCTCACTCTGCAGCCTTCGCTGTGCAATCAGATCATGCATCAAAGGCCCATATTCGAGCCATAAACAGGCTCAGCAGTGTTTCGCATGATCTAGGCGAGGAGGGATCTCCACCCTGCGAGGTTGGATACGCTGCCAACTTGACTACCTCGGTCATGAGTTGTCACTCCGTCATCTGCAACGCTGCAAGACGACGGATCGACAAGGCAAGAGGCCGTGTCGTTGCGTCAAGCTGGACTGTTATGAATTCGCATCGTTAAGTCAGCAGGTTGGCGGCCCGTAGTGGTGGTAGTCACACTTGCTGCAGGAACACGAGAGGAAGCGAAGCTGTGTTGCCACTATGAGCTGCAGGTCCCTCGCTCGATGCCCCCGTCAGCCTCCCAACCGCCTTCAGCTCGGCGTACCCATTGCATTCACTGGTTGACTGGCACCGAGTAAGCCGGCGAGTTTTCTCGACTAGACCATAGCTACATAGAAGCGAGTGCGCCACCAACGGCCCCGAAATCAGGATCATCCTCTATTGGTCGGCAGGTCAATATTCTGGATGCCTCTGAACATTGGCCTCCCCAGTCTTCTCGGCGATGGCGTACCATTCTGGCTTAGAGTATTCTGGGGGCGGTCGTAGCCAAGATCCGGGGGTGGGCCCCCTGGCGCCTGGGCGCTTCGGTGGGCTCGCCACTAACCTGTTTGTCGTACGGTCCTGCAATACATCTCCTTGGGCATGATGCCGAGGTGCGTTGCTTCGGCGGTCGTCCAGAAAGCAGCTGATCGAGCAAGCGCCCTGTCATTCCAGGCATATGATTCTGTCAGAGCGCACAAGCGAAACGAGGCTTCGTGAAGCTGATCCACTCCTGCACCGTTCGGCTGATGAGTCCAAGCAGACGCGCCTGCTCAGATTCGAGCCTCTCGACCTATACCTCATAGCCTTGCCTCGCGCATCCCAGTCCCCTAAGCTTTTGAACCTGGCCCGTATCTCTTGGACTTCCAGGTTGGAACTCGGGGCCTTCCCGAGGTCATTTCCCCCGGATTTACTGCCCCACAGAATAATGTGGTCTCATTTAAGCTTCTTTAGCACACCCAGTGGGGCCGCGGCGTACCGAACGTAAGATCTCCGTGTACGAATCCCCGCTTCATGGATGGTAGTCACAAAGGAAATTACGAGATCCTCGTGGAGAGGAGTTCAAGATGACCGTTTCCATGCACAGAAGATGGGCCGGGAATCAGAATTGAAATTGGTGCGGTGGTGTGTTGACTAAACCAACGGCTATGCATCCAAGGCGAAGCACCCGGGCGCCGGAAGACTCCTGACTGGTCCGAGCCAAACTCGACTGGTCCAATGATCCGAAATGCCGGTAGTTCCATGGCCTCGCTTCGTTGATCCCATGTGATAGTCATCTTATTTAAATTTACTCGGCTTAATTTATTCGCGTTTTGGTCTTGGCGTGGACATTGGGGCTCCTAGGCACCCGTCACCTGTTCCTAAAAGATCATATCTTGACCTGCGTCCGACATGTACAAATTGAGATTAGGACCTGTCGACCATGTGGCCTCGAAAAGGCTCCAGTAAGTGACAACCAGAGTCCATCAGGTACATGAAGTCGTTGCTGGCGGAACATCAGTCTCATCGAAGTAGTATGCCCGCATGAAGATTCAGTCTGCCTCTTGATGCGGGCTCTGCGCCTCACGTGCGGTGCATAATCTCGGGCCCTTGCATTGCATAGTCTAGCTCCGAAATGAGACTTTCGCTTAGGCATACAGTACATCGTTGATTCAGGCAATGGAATTATCTGTCTTCATGTGTCTTCCTACTCTACATGCAATGTAGTAAACATCTGTGCATTTTGATGAGCTGGGCTATACAAATTACCAATTTGCATGTTCCATTCGCCACTTTCGCTCGAGAGTTCGACTAAATCTGAATTACTCGTCTTATTTTATTGTTATTCAATTCAAACAATTTATTCAATTCATACCAAACAATCACCCAACCGAAACCACTATTACTACTCCGTACCTATTCGCCAGGAGCGTTCATTCTCTTTGATGGCTTCCATCTATACTTGGCCATCCTCAACGCTCAGACTTATACGTGTAAATCATCCTTGCCTCCTTTGTCACCTTGATACCCTCGACTGATGGGTTTGATCTCAAGAGAGTGTGTTGCGGCCCCGTAATATCTGTCTCCCCATCCTGCATTAATAAAGTTGGTCCGGAGTGTTGCCCCTCGGCTATATGCCCGTGCTTGCACCGAAACTTCTGTTCGTCGTCGTCATCGAGTTATGAGGAAGCACCAATTGAGTACAGCCCACCACACTCTTTCCGCTCCCTAGTTTTCTACGCAATAGTTGACGCGTCTGCCAATTCCTACCTAATATAATTTAAACACGTTGTTGTATGCAAGCTTACAACCTGATGATATAACGGAGATGGTGTAGAACCCTTCAAAGTTGGGACGCAGGGGCAGAATACTCCTGCATATTCAAGATGGACCCAGATCATCTGTGAGGCCAGCTCCCTGGCCCGGTGGGAAATATTTAGACGGCATGGGATGACAAGCTCGCCTTTTACCCCATAAGAAAAAAGGTATATCAGTATCAGCACCTGTTGAGGACAAGATCACGAATGAATTTCACAAGACAACAGTAGAGAAGATCAAAGTGCTGTCAGCCTTCTGATGTTTGGGCGCTTGAAGTGACCAGCCTTTTCTCGTTTGGTGAAGCAGAACAGCAAAACCTGGAGCTAATATGTTAGATGGTGGCGGTGAAGAATAGTAATGGATCTTACCCAAACAATGTCCACTACTCCCAGTGAGATCTACGCAGCTTATATCGCGGCCATGTCTGAGGCAGATTCCACAGACTCGTAATCGAACATAATCAGAAGCACAGATGTTGTAGCATACGCAGGAGTAATTGCATTGCCACCAAATACAACCCCACGAAAAACCCTCTTGGTTGATATCGGTAAGCAGTACACCGGAACAGATATCTTGGCTTTGACATGCAGTGCGTATATAGTCGTACCGGTCGCAGCCAACATTGAGTTTTCGTCAGGAGGTTGCCAGGAGTCAAAACCATATACGACTATAAATTCAGGACTAGAGTCATCGACTTTCACCAGTTACCAGCGAATACCAAACCTAGTCTGGTAATCTGTTTCGAACGCCAACGAGAGAACACAGCGGTCCGTCACTTCAATCTCATACTAAATCACAAATCTTTGCTCCTTTGGTCCGTCCTAGCTATAGTCGGGCTCAGCTGATACGTGTGAATTTTGTTTCCAGAATGCGCGTATTTTTTACCTGCTGCTGTCGGGCTTCCTCGAGTCTCACCTGGCGAATATGTGGATAAAATCTACGTTCCCAGGATCATGTACGTCTCCCTCATTATCATGAGCCTACATTGCGACCCGCTCTCTTCTTATACTCAGTCATGTGACCTCCATTCTTGTGCATCGGAAACCACATCGAGCATGTGTCGACAATTTGTTACTGTCTACTCGTATCAAGCGCCTCGAACAAGTTGAACTCTGATTTCACGTATAAGATAGACCTACTTCTTGACCACCGCGACCTGGCTCCTGACAGGGACATTCTCTTGCCGTCCAACCTCAGGAAACCCATCGACCTTGACGCCCTTCCTGAACAACAGGCAATGAGAAGACCCACCGAAATGGAACATCCCAGTCAAGCTCCCCTTTTTGATTTGTTGGCCTTCACGCACAGTAATTTCACATGTGCTCACTTCATCCATACCGACACCAATAAAGGCCATGAGCCCTATTGCCGGATTATCAGCCTCGATAAAGATAACGGCACGGGTTGCAAGCGCCGTAAGATATCCCTGAGCTACGCTGATGCCCTTCTTGTCGATGTCGACCTGGCCGTTCTCGCCAACGCCCTCAAACAGCGGCTCGGAGAAGTAGGTACCATCCCGGACGAAGGCCCGAACGACCTTGCCGGACACGGGGGCGTGCCAACGGTGGTACGACAGCGCCGATAGGAATGCTTGGTACACAGTGGCGCCGTCGAACTGCTGCGCGAGCGGGTCGTGACCCAGCATATCCAGCACCGAGTACGGCTGGCCCTTGATCCAGAACTTGTCCCGCAGCTTGGCGTTCCGCGCCAGGTTGTACACCTTAGACTCGCAGCAATTGGCGATCACGCTGTCATCGTCTGGCGATGCGACAGGACGGACTCCATCCCGGAGCTCACGCGTGAAGAAGTCGTCCCACGAGGTATAGCCATAATGTGGCGCGTTGGGATCACAGACGAACATGTCCGCGAAATCATGCGATGTCTTCAGGGGAGCGTTGGCAACCTGCATGACATCCTTTTGGGCGTTCTCTCCGAACCAGCCCTCGCTATGTTTCTCCAGCACATGAGCCGAATCGGGTGACTACACATGCATAAGTTACGCACAGCCTTTCGGAGAGTCTACACCCGACCTACCTTCAAATATTTGCCCCATTCATTGAGAACCCGCTTCAGCATAGCATTCACGTCTGGATCCAGGAATGCCGCATGTCCACTGTGTATGTACTGTAAGCATGAGCTGTGTCATCCGTTGTCCATAGCTCTTACCTCGGAGTAGCCATAACATAGTCGAAGACACTGCACATCGGTACACCGACCATGCCAACGCCATACGCGGCATCCAACCACTCAGGCGCCTTGCCGAAAATGTGATTGAGCACGTCCAGCATGTGCTTGTAGTCACGGATCTGCCGCTTTCCGGTCGGGTCTGTCAGGTATGGTTCCTTTCGAGGAACCTCGTCCCACATCTGTGTGAAGTACATATAGATGCGCGGATTAGATTCGATAAACTTTTGGAATTCCTGCAGAATCGGCACCAAAGGTTTCTTTTGGCCAGCCTTATGTTTCTTATCGACATGCTCGATCTGTCGAGATATCCATTCGTGTTGCACTCGGTGGTCGGCCGGAAGCCAGGCGCCGTGTCTAAAGGTGGAAGAATCATGTAAGTTCTTCGGAAGCCACTGTAGGCGGGGTAGATTGTTACATACTTGTGCTGCCTGTGCTCATGTGGGATTTTATGCTCATCTCCGTGCTGATGAACCATCTTGGAGGCTTTCTGATTGTCTATCTCTCTTTTCAATAAAATTGTAGAACAATTGCCTGTTCCTAGAATGCCAAGAGATCTTTCCTAGAGATCTTATAGCCCTGGGCTGCTGTGCGGGGTCTCGGACAGCGCGGCCACTAATGCAAGGGAAAGCTTATAATGTCCACTCATGATGTAATGGAGGGCCGCACTGAATGCATGGGGCTCAGTAATGCGCGCCGTGCTTGGAAGCCCGGACATACGATCCTGCAAGTAGAACAATAACGACAAGAACAGTTGGATGAGCTGATGAAAGCGTGCCCCTAATCTGGTTTCAGTGTCAAAACCGTTGAGACACATGCAAACAAGGAGAAGTTGACCGACCGAGCAGGTTGGACAGTAATTCACGGTATTGGGGTTGCCCATGCACTGCTCAACCGTCGATTCACCCATGGCCCCTTGCCGGCATTCCGTTGGATGACTTTTTGACACGCGTCAGAAGGCTGCGCTTTATCGATATGGTCGTAGTGTCGTCACCTAATATTGCCATGGCTTGCGCACAGAGGCAAGGGTAAATTTAGTGTGCCGCGTCAAATCAGGTTTCAAACTAGCGCAATTGTTGAGCCAAGGAGTATAGGTCTAGATCCAGTTCCATAGAGTCATGGGATAGAGGAACGCAATGTCTACCAATCATCTATAAGCATATATGAGCGCGAATATGTGCATGTATCTACGGAATATATATATAATAGAAGGTAAAAGCCAAGTTTCGAGGTTCTACTCCTTCTGACCTACCCACGACAACAGCCGATCAACGAATCAGCATGGCAAAGCCCTAGATCGCTTATGTGAAAGCTGGGTTGGCATTGTTGAAGAGCTGTTCAAAGTAGGCCTCAAACCAGCTCCCAGCCTCCGGAGCGGGCTGAAGCGCGTCTGACAACCCGCAGTGGTAGTCGTATCGGGTAGCAGTGGTATTGCTTGTGCCATCACACTCGCCGCCGGGCTTGACCCAGACAAAGGCATCCAGCAGCTCACTCGGGGTATTGGTAGTGGGACGGGTGCCGAAGCCGGTTCCAATAACGTTGCACCAATCGCCCCAGGCCTGCTGGCCCGTTGGCTGCTTGCCGCTGCGACCGCTGTCGGTAATGAAGTGGGCATCGAAACCAGCAGCTGACAGAAGGGGCGCAATGGCGCTCACGTAGTGGGACTCATCATAGTTCGAGTTGCCTTGTGTGTAAGAAGGGGCTGAACTGAGACTCCAAGCATTGTAGTTAGCAACGTTGGTGGCGAGTCCACGAACGGCGGCTGGCTTGCCGGCATCGTTGTAGACTTGGGCAAACAAGGATGCAGCTGGCGATAAATTGGCGGGCCAGCCCAACCATCCGGCATGGCCGGCATCGAGATACATGGCCACATTGGGGAGGTTGAGGTTCTCTAGAGCATAGTTGGTACACTCCAGATAAGCGCTTTTAGCATTGGCGCATTTGGAGACACTCAAGTTGGTGACCAAGTTAGCCAAACTGTCCGGTTCTGTGTGAAAGGATCAGCCTGACGACATAAAACCGATGATTCTGTGAAGTCTTACCAATGACAAGTATGATGCGCACATCAGAATACTGCTTGATCAACGTTACGATCGCATCAATATATGCCTTGTACTTTGCAACACCACCGTTGGCGATAGAGTACTCGCCATTTGACGCAGCAGCTGCACAGTCACGATCTGGCAGATCGTAGACGACGAAGATGCCGGCATTTGGTGTACCACCAGCCTTGTTCGCTGCACGGATATCCGCAAGCGTAGTAGCCATCAGGTCGACTTTGGAGAGAGTGTCGCTGAGAGCAGAGTTAGTGGATCGTCTCATAACCAACGTGGGATCTACATACAGCCACATGAAGCTGGGGACCTTAGCAACAGCTGCTGCCTTCGCTCCTAGAGTTGGCACAGCATAGGCTGTGACTTCAGAAGCATAGTAAGAGTTGGCCCACTGGTTCACGCCAACAAAGGGGTTGCCGGACCATGTGGCAGTCCCACTTCCAGCAGGAGCCGTGGTCGAGGTTCGGGTTGCGCTGGTGGTAGTAGAGGCCTTTGAGGTTGACGAAGCCACTGTAGTGCTTGTTCGAGATGTCGTGGCAACTGAAGTCGTTGTGGCAGAAGCACTTCCGGGCAGACATTGACTATAGTAGTCGTTGCCTTTAGTGCAGACGCTTCCAGTCGCACAGCAAGTAGCTCCGTTCCACCCTATTCCTCCACACTGTCCACTGCAGAGAAAGTCAGATTGAACCTAAGGACAGACTTCGGAATGCTTACTACATAGCAGCACATGACTGACGTTCCTCCAGAGAACCCTCCAGGGGAACAGCCATGGCCAAGGAGCCAAGAGCGGCAATGAGCAATGCCTTTCCTGCCATATTGATAGAGTCACTTATCTGGTATGAAGGTAAGCTTGGCAGGATTGTTTGAAGTAAGGATCAACGGTTATAACTAGGCCAAGGAATGTTTTATACTTACTGAGGAGCATGGGTCGCAGGCTCCAAAGCCCGGGAAGACGGGATCTCGAGTTTACCATCCATTTGCACTTAGACGCTCTGCTTTCCTACAGTGGAGAGAAAATAGGGCTAGTAAACCTTTTTCGTTGGGGGTATCCTATTCTCGCTCTCGACAAGGGCCTTCTCAGTCCGGGTTTCGGTCCGCTGAGGCACCTATGAGGCTTCAGTCAGTACCGTGAAAACCATCCATGTGATGAACATTCCAAGCTTGGACATTCGACAGGCACTGCTCAGGCGCATATGCGACCCGCTAAGAATAAATCCGCCAAGGAAGTCGAGGCCTTTGAGGCTGCTCGAAGGCTCAAGGCCCACAGGGTTGGCGATATCCTTGGATGCATGGTGGTATTCTCGGAGACCACCCTCCTTGATATGCCGAAAAAGGAATGATGGCGCTCCTGGGAGAATTTGGAGACTACTAGCTCGGGAAGCTTGACGGAATAAATGCTTCAAGGTTCCGGTTGTCCCTAGTGTTTCCAGGTCGTTGACTGCACAATGACCTAAACTACTTGATCTAGAAGTAGTGATATCTGACATTAAAGCCGTCGCCGTTAGTTATTGAACATAGGGGTTCGAAGAAGCGGGTTAGTGGACCGAGACACACGCGTAAGGTTGTTGAGATCGTGCTCTGTAATCACTATGGGTTAGTGCCAGGCCAACTATGGCCAGCCACTGGACATAACAAGCACGACGTCGAAAGGCCAGCTGCAGAGGTCCATTGGCGTATTTAGAAACAGTCTAGAACGATGCAGTCAATCATTTCTTTCCAAATTTCTTTAATTGTTCTGATGTGTCTGTTTGTTTCTCGCATGCGTTATTGCACTGGACGTGGAAGGGGAAAACCCGCTGCGCATAATGACGCTACTGTCGGGGTTGCTTGCCAGGTAACTGGGACGGTTCTATATGAAGCGGCTGATGCCAAGTGAAGATTAGATGAGTGGAACTGGATCATCCCGCACTGACCGTCTTGCTGTTTGTTACACATGCACAATTCGAGATACACTGCAGCTGCCACAAAGGAGACAGCTTGGCTGCAGTGTCTTGGCAGTTGACCCGAAGTACAGTACGCTGCCGAATTCAAGTACCTCGCCCAGCGATACATGATAGCTCAACTGGGATTCGACTGACTTCATACATGGAGATGTCTTGGTATGGGTGCTCGCTTGTAGGCAACATAGTAATCGTGGACCCGGGCGGATGAATTCAACATGAGTCCGTGTACAGATTCTCACGGCGAAGTGGCAAAGTTCAAGAAGACGCCACATTCGAAAAGGAACATCTTCTCCTGGTCGAAGATAGTATCTATACCTGGTCCAGCCAAGTAGTATATGTCTTCCTGAGAGCGGAAAACTCTTGTACCGCTTGAGTCCATGTTAGCATCTGCATACATTAGGTTGTGCCCCCTCTCCAGGAACCTTAGAAGGAGACCACCTTGGACATGGAGCCGTCTGGTTGACGGAAATGCCCAGGTGCAGGTGGAGGGGCAGAGCCGGAGCCGCCAAAAGCTAACTCCGCCGCCAGCGATGGACAGGCATGGATCTGCCCAGGCAATCCGTAGCGACGGGAGGGACATGCTAGGGGGTTTGCCCGCTGATGCGCTAGCTACACCTGCCCCCTAAACCCCCTAACGCGACTGCGTATCCGTAGGCCGACCCACATTACCAATGTCCAGTACGGCAACTCACCTTGTACCACCCCCATCACCCATCACCTCCGACCACATGCACCCACCATCGCCGCCCGCCGCAACACGCCGCAGCCGCACCTCTCCCGCTCCGACAGCTCGACAGCACAGCGTCCGCAGGCCGGCAAGATGCTCTCGGGTATCTTGATCTTCAACCAGAAGGGCGAGAATCTCATCTTCCGCGCCTTTCGGAACGACTGCCGCCCCCGCCTTGCCGACGTCTTCCGCATCCAGGTCATCTCGAACCCGCAGGTGCGCTCGCCCATCCTGACCCTCGGCAGCACCACCTTCAGCCATGTCAAGCACGAGAACATCTACCTGGTGGCCATCACCAAGAGCAACGCCAATGCCGCCCTTGTTTTCGAGTTTCTCTACCGCCTGATCCAGCTGGGCCGTGGCTACTTTGGCAAGTTCGACGAGGAGGCCGTCAAGAACAACTTCGTGCTGGTTTACGAGCTTCTCGACGAGATCATCGACTTTGGCTACCCCCAGAACACCGAGACGGACACGCTGAAGATGTACATCACCACCGAAGGCGTCAAGTCGGAGCGCGCAGCCGAAGATTCCGCAAAGATCACCATGCAGGCTACTGGCGCTCTGTCCTGGCGCAAGGCCGATGTCAAGTATCGCAAGAACGAGGCGTTCGTGGATGTCATCGAGGATGTCAACCTCCTCATGTCGGCCACTGGCACCGTCCTCCGGGCGGATGTCAATGGTCAGATCATCATGCGCGCATACCTTTCAGGAACCCCAGAGTGCAAGTTCGGACTGAACGACAGGCTCTTGCTTGACCACGACGGACTCCAATCACTGCCCAGCGGTAACAGACTCGGAACTAAGGCTACCAAGGCCGCTGCGGGAAGTGTCACGCTGGAAGACTGCCAATTCCATCAGTGCGTCAAGCTCGGCAAGTTCGACTCGGACCGTATCATCTCCTTCGTGCCCCCGGACGGTGAATTCGAGCTCATGCGCTACCGCGCTACCGAAAACGTCAACCTGCCCTTCAAGGTCCACGCCATCGTTAATGAAGTTGGCAAGACCAAGGTGGAATACAGCATTGGCGTCAAGGCCAACTTTGGCAGCAAGCTATTCGCGACCAACGTCGTGGTCAAGATTCCGACCCCTCTGAATACGGCCCGCATTACCGAGAGATGCACACAAGGCAAGGCCAAGTACGAGCCGAGCGAGAACGTTATTGTGTGGAAGATCGGACGATTCAGTGGGCAGAGCGAGTTTGTTCTCAGTGCCGAAGCGGATCTCACAAGCATGACAAACCAGAAGGCATGGTCCCGCCCGCCACTAAGCTTGAATTTTAGTCTTCTGATGTTCACGAGCTCTGGCCTCTTGGTCAGGTATCTGAAGGTCTTCGAGAAGAGTAATTACTCAAGTGTTAAGTGGGTGAGATATATGACAAGGGCAGGGTCTTATGAGATAAGGTAGCGAGCCAGTATACCCATTGTTCCTGCTATCAAGGCTAATTGTCCTGCCAGGTTTTGAAAACCGCAACGTTACTAATTCTCCGATCTCATTTGCGACTTACGTCGCACTGGTATCGGGACTCTGAACATGCCACTATACGGCTGTACATCGAATCAAGCCCGAGTCGACAGCTGATTGTGCTCCGTCCCGTAGTCAAGACCGGAGTAGAGCCTCTATCGTCGCAGGCATAGTTGCGCCTTATTGCTGTCGCGCAATGGTTACGGGCTATTCTCGGCAAATCGTCTAGGTTACTGCAGCGTTTGTCAGCAACCTCCAACAGTGCCTCCTCAGATGTTGCGCGGAGATACGTAATTTGTGATCTGACATTAGTATATCGACGGGGTTTGTGATGCTTACTAAAGCGATGACACCGACCTACGGGATTTGGATTTGACTCACGGATATCTAGCTCTGTGGAGCTGACCAAAGCGTGTCGTCATCCAACGGTGGACGGACACCGGCAACGGGCTTTCCCAGCATATAAAGTATGATGAAATTACATAGGTGCGAGAATGATACCCAAACAATCCTGTCAGCTCGAATAAGTCCATCCACGCCTTTTGTGAACCCAGTACCACGATGCCTTCCTCTACACCTGCTGCATCTGCAGACGACATTGCGAAGCACGGCTGGTCCGCCGTACCAAGGGACTCCAATGACATCTTCGGAGATAACCCGTATTTGCACAAGCCCCCAGTGATGACCGTCGATAAGATTCCCTTTCCGTCTGAGGATCCAATCGTGTCCAACGTACAAACATACGCCAAAGAGCATCTACAAGAGCCGACATATAACCATTCGATGCGTGTCTACTACTTTGGTATTACTTCTCTCAATACCTTATCATGGAAGTAATTCTCACGTCATTAGGCTATTGCATCTTGAAACACCAGTTCCCAGAACACGCAGCCAAGGTCTCCCCGTCTACCTGGGCGCTCACATGTCTGCTCCACGACATAGGTACCACCCCAGAGAATCTACGGTCCACCCTGCTCTCTTTTGAATGGTACGGCGGCATCCTGGCGCTGAGCCTGCTGGCCTCGCACCATGCCCCAAAGCCCCAAGCCGAGGCCGTCGCAGAGGCCATAATTCGGCACCAGGACTTGGGTAATGTGGGTAAGATCACGTTCCTGGGACAACTGATACAACTGGCCACCATTTATGATAATATGGGAGGCCGGCCGGAGCTTGTAGACCGCGAGACCAGGGACCAGGTCGTTGCGAAATTCCCGAGGCTCGGCTGGAGTACATGCTTTGCGAAGACTATCAGGGAGGAGAACGGACTAAAACCGTGGGCACATACTACTCATCTGGGAGAGGAGGACTTTCCGCGAGGGGTCGAGGGAAACGAACTCATGGCACCTTACGAAGAGAACGAGAAACAAAGCGCTATGAACTATCACTAGTGTGGGTAGAGTGTGCGCCCCGGTCCATCGGACAAAATTCATCGTGAACATCGTATCACGGGGTAGTTGCACCTCCCTTTGATCTGTGATCATAGTCACGTAGCAAGAACTTTGTCAGAATCCTGCAGTGAACTGGTTATGATTATTCGAGACAATTTTGAAAGTGTTCCACAAATGTGAGGTGATGTAGAGCTACACACGATTCACTCCGCGGCTGGTTGTCGCCCGGCGACTTTGCGTTACTCGCTTGGCCGGTGGCTGCCTTGGGCTTTTTCGTCGTCCCCGGCAACAGGTAGAAAGCGCCTTCACGGTATCTTGTGAGCTATCACGCATCAATTCTCACAAGAAGCATATTCAGTGGTGCACTTGACGAGAATCATAACCTGGGCTGCCCTATAAATTGCCATGGGCTGGCTGCTCATACAGCCGCTGCAACGTATCAGAACTGTTTCCCACGTGGCTTCCCGCCTAACATCCACGATTCTGCATCCAAATGAGTCGAGTAACTGCGAGATTTTACTCTCTATGGAAGCTTTATTTCATCTCGATCGGGCCACAGCTATGGCAAAAGTGGCAGCTTGCCAACCTCTCTGTCCCTGCGATATCCGCGACTGCCTTCGAGAAAAGACAGTTCCGTTTCTCACAAGCTCTGATCCCGACTGGAACGTGTACGTAAAGACGTACAACATTCGCCTGCCATATGAACCGTGCTTGATCGCTCTCCCCGAGACTCCGGAGCAAATCGCTGGGGCTGTCGTCTGCGCGGGTAACCATGGTATACAGGTCCAATCCAAGTCCGGTGGACACTCTTACGCCTCTCTCAGCAACGGGGGTAAGGATGGTTCCATGGTAGTACACTTGGACAAGTTTCAAGAAGTCATTGTTGGCGATAAGGGAATTGCCAAAGTCGGGGGTGGAGTCCGGCTGGGACCCCTAAGTCGGGCAATTTACAATCAAGGGAAACGAGCACTCGCTCATGGGACATGCTCTGCCGTGGGAATCGGTGGCCATTATACACACGGGGGATATGGCCATTTTTCAAGAGCTTGGGGTCTCGCCATGGATCAGATTGTCGCACTTGACGTCGTTCTTGCTGATGGCACCTATGTTCATGCCGATTCTGGCAGGAACCCAGAAATCTTCTATGTAAGTCCTACAATCCAATCTTAAATCTTGACTAAATAGGCGGGTGGCGTTTCAACCAAATTGACATAAAATTCCCTTGAGTAGGCCATGCGGGGTGCCGCAGAAATGATAGGCATCGCGGTGTACTTTTACCTTCAAACCCACTCAGCCCCTGAATCTGTCGTCAAGTGGGACTTTGACCTATCGCCTGCAGCACCAACGAGCAACGTACAAGCTGCCGTCGACACAGTCCTACATGTTCAGGACTTTGCTCATAACGCTTCAGTTGTAGATCGCAAGCTCTCATTCGGCCTCGTCTTCACCAAAAACGGCCTTGGCCTGGGAGGCACGTACCTGGGCAGCATTGATAAATTCACCGATTCTATTGCTCCTGCACTGCTACAGTATCTTCCCATCACCCCTGATAAATTCAACATACGAGAGGTCTCTTGGCTGGAAGCGCTGAAAATATTGGGTGGTGACGATCTAACGGTGCCGCCTATGAATCAGGCCGCCTGTAGCAACTTTTATGCCAAGTCAACCACCGTTGCGGAACCTGGCCTCTCCCGCGAGAGCGTCTTGAGTTATGTTAAATTTATCGCAAACGAGGGCCAGCGGGCTCCGGAGGGAGTACATTGGTATGCCATACTGGACTTATACGGCGGCACGGACAGCCAGATCAACGACAAGAGCACACTGGCATTACTGCCACCTGCGGCATTCGGAGACCGGAACCTCGTGTGGGTTGCACAGTACCAGGCATACGTGAACAACGATTGCGAATTTCCCAATCGCAAAGGTATTGCGTTTGTCAGTAGCATGAGCGAAGCCTTGACAGCGGGTATGAGCTCCAGCAATGTTGGTGCCTACGTGAACTACGCCGACTCTGAGTTTGACCGCGACATGGCGCGTGAGATGTATTACAGCACCTCGACATTTCAACGACTGAGAGACATTAAGCGAACGATTGACCCGAGGAACATCTTTGCCAATCCGCAGACTATTGATCCTCGTCTGTCCTGAGACGCTGCAAAATATATTAAAGATAAATGTGCTTATCTTACAATGTCGCAGCCGATGCGAAGCACCATTCAAGACATAACTAAGTAGTCCAAGCTCGGCTATAAAAATGGTTATGGCGTGGAGCAAGGTGCATTGTTATTTTATTCCGTGAAAGAATTTTGTCATGAAGTTCATGGATCGTTTACAAGCACGAAAAGTTTCATTCTTCTTCTTTTTGTTCTCTATCTATCCGGCCCACGCGCCCCACCCCCTTCCTTCACTACCATGGAATTTTGCTTGGTGTAGTTTGGGTTTCCTCGTAAAGTTGGTTCTAGTTCCTGACTTCCCAATGAAATTATTCCACCAGCCTATGCATATTGTTTCCCCTGTGGCAAACAATGCATCATGATTTTCTTGGTTGAAATTTGAGATCATGAGGTCCTTATGCGTCCGAAAACGGTCGTGCTGTTAAAGAGACATATCTAGGAGTAGTAGCGAAATTTTGAGGACAAAGCACAGGGTTGACACCCAATAGCGTGCCATCAAAACCACCGAACCGATTATTGCTTGCTTTGCTTTGCTTTTTTTTCACTCACGCTTTTGAACCGAATAGTCGTCAATATGAACCAAGCTTCGGCAAATCCGCCGCCTCATGTGGCTCCCAGGAGTCGATACAATACAAGAGACCTTGGTGACGGCACATCGGATACTCAGCTTCCTCGCACTCTACTCCTGTATGTCGAAAACTGGGATGGACACTCGTTTCCTAATTTTAAGCTGTCAGATTTACAGGAAATAGGCATCGATGATACAAACTTCGCCAGTGAAAATACAGGCAGAAGAATTGTTGGCAATTTTACTGTAGGAGGGCGAGATGCGGCCCTCTTTCTTGCGGAGTACGACAGTACCATTGATTTTGCCAAAGCTTTAGTGGTTGAGAATCAAAACTTGCGAGGTGGAATCGATAGCCTTGGAGCACAAGTTCGAACTTATGAAAGTATGCTTTCGATTACGGATCGAATATTTAGAAATGAGGTGGGAGATACACTAGCAAATGGGACAGGCACGACTGATATGGTTACCTTGCTCTCCGAATCTCACCAGAAATGGGCCAAGATTCGTTTCCGCACTTGGTTTCAGGGCATCCGGGTAGATCCATATTGGCAATATCCAACGACTAACGACCCACCAGTGGCTACAACGGCAATTGATGCCAACGAACTGGCCCATGAAGCAGATCTAAGTGGTGATTACCTCCTAGCGAGAGGTCACAAGCTGTGGAGTGTATGGGATCCTCAAACAAGGAATCCACTGGATGCAAACAAGACGATGCAGATGTCCGCCGCGGTATTCGCCTATTCCTATGGACTGAGTATAGATGAGGCTGGCCTTCTGAGTAAGTACCAATTCAGATATATGATACCATTCTGAGCTGAATGAGCAAGTCTACCAAGCACTACAAGATCTCTCTGGTCCAAACTTGGTTCGCCTGACCGAAGCCTGCCGCAGGGCTATCCACGTTATCAATTCATACGTATCTTGGAAGGACAACACGAGGTTTGGTCAGCTTGGTAATAGCAATGCGGCAAACGACTGGCATGCGGCCTGCAGCAACGCTGAGAGTGCTTACCAGAGGTATCTTGACGCTGTCATCGATGTCGTTTGTTCACTGTCCAACAAAGACTTTGGGACAGCCTCAACTCATGTGACCAGGCTAAGTACAGAGCAAACAGCTCTGGAGACTGCTGTAAAAAGCACTACATTCTGGACTAATCTACGTCGAAACGATAGACGGCTTCTCAGAGGCTTTCCAGTCATACCCAGAACCGACCGGGGCTCCTCGGTCCCACCCATTGTGATGCAGTCCTTCTTCCCCGATCCAGGACCGAGGGTCGCCCCCCGACGAAGACCGCAGAATCAGCCAGCCACGATCATAAGACTCACTCCACTGGGTCAAACACATTACGGCTCGGTCCCTGTTAATAGGCCGCCACGTGCGGTGCAAAGAACGACAGCGCCAACTGGTGGGCAAACAGGCCCATTGCAGCAAGGCACTCCCGCAGCGTCGCAGTGGACAACAGTTGGAAGAGGTGGGAGAGGCGGAAGAGGCGGAAGAGGTGGCAGGGGTGGTAGAGGTGGCAGAGGTGGAAGAGGTGGAAGAGGTAGAGGTGGAAATCGTCCCACAGCCAGGAAGGCCATCGTCTTCACTCCTGACTCTATCGAGTCTGAAGATGCGGATATATATGGTGGCGTTGACAGAGGTTCCGACAATCTTTGGGAAACCAACCACGCAGGTATCGAGTCAGAAGATTGTTTTGGGGAAAGAAGCCCTCCAAGGACACTGAAGCGTAAAGCTGAGGTGGAAGGCGAGGTCCAAGGAGGTGGAGCGCCCGCTGGGAAGCGTAGAGTCATATTGGCTCCCAAGGATCCTCGGAAGTGAAGTAGGCTCTTGAAACATGGTACATGGTTGTTCTCTTCCTGTGTGCGGCGATTAACAGAGAACCATCCATCAAGGCCAAGTCTTGTGATTGTAGTGTAGAAGGTACGAACATGTGTTAAAATTGTTTTTTGTGTGTTGTTTGCTTGACCTAGTGAGACCGGTCAGCGGTGTCCTCAAGAAACGGAGAAGTATGAGGACGATCATCGGTATCCAAATAACTACGCCCTCTAGTGAACTGCTCGGCACGATCATGTGGTATGTCCTGGTGATAGACGATCGTATGATCTCTGAAGGGAGGCCGAAAGCCAAGCTTATCATTTTCGAGTTGGTGTGGCTTGAAGTCAAGAATCGCCAGATGGATGAGTTGCCGAGGCGCGGAAACACTTTCGTGCGAGTGACCGGCAAGGATCGCGTATCGTCCCATCGAACATAAGCATGGCGTTTTTCTAGAGACAATATTGAAGCGGGCTTCGCCTAATTTTGGATTTCAACCTTCGTCGCCAAGACTCTCGTCATCTGACAGTGCACTGGTGTCGGATTCTAAAAGGACAGCAGTATTCCACATCAGATACAGTACTACGGCCGAATGTTTATCATTCTGGGCCTGAGCTGAGGGGGATTCAAATGTCGTGGAAAGTTGAATTCCATCGTGCCAGAGCATGACTCATGACATCAAAACATTTTGCCGGTTACTGGGTGGAACAAACGTGAAGCGTGCAGGTAGTTCACGTTGTTTCCCACCGTGTCTGTGGTGTGTCAAGGGGTGCGCTTCAACTTTCTATCGATGCGAATTAAGACCTGCCCCCTCCCCTCGAGGGGCTTTCCGCTTTCCTTCGGGAAAAGCACACTAATATCCACGTCGCTGGTGTTACCTTGCATGAGGCGGTCGAAACGGGTAAGTTGTAGACCCTCTAAACCAAATTATTATTCCCGCTCAAGTCAACCAGCTTCGAATAGTAAGTGGATGCTTTCTCATCATAGATCGACACGCAGCGCATTCTTTTCCGACGTACTGTAGTGCAGGAGTAGGTGATAGCAATCGCAGACGTGCGCCTAATGAAAAGGTCAAAAGTCACGTTTTAGTTAGGGGTCAAGCAATCGGCCGCCTTTTAGGGCTGAAGGATGGGCGGCACCACGGTGCGACAATGAAACCCCCTCCCAAGTTCGCGGAATGCTGCTGATTTACAGGACTAAAACTGTAAAGCCAGCGAATGATGTGACCGAGAGCTTCGCTAATATCTTGAAATATGAGGATTGGCAATACTGGCCTAGGACGCTTCACTCCAAAGGTAATTGAACGATTAAAGGAAACCCCCCCTCCCCCCCCAAAGTATCGCTTGAAGGATTCAAAACTTTTGGTAATTTATGCGTTCACTGTATGTTACTAATCTTGGGGCCGTGGGAGCTCGGGCAGCTGAAGATCCCAATCGTCGCAGTACCCTGGCAAGATAGTAAAGTGCCTTGCATGAATGCATTGTAGGACTTGAGGAAACCACACAGCTTGCTTGGGCCCGTTGGGAAGCCAGACAGGCCGTATACAAGAACACTATCAGTGAGTGACCCAGCATCGCCCAAAAGTGATCACGATCAAGTCCAAGGAAGCAGGAAGCGTCATATGCTGTCCCGGCTATAGCGATTGACCACGACTGGTGTGCCCACATTTCATGATAACTATAGTAATCTGACCACTAAAGCTCTGTCTGAGAGCAGTGCCACCCGGAGCCTCAGCTGCTTTGCACATAGTGTACATGATGAGGCATGGTTCACCGTTCCGGCATTCTAGCAACCAGATGTGAGGAAGCAAACAAAGCTTCGCACACGGCCGGCAGAGGGAACCTAGCTCGGCTTTTCGTCCAATCATGTTAGCCTCGCTGGACAGATTTCGGGCTCAGCGAAGGAGATCCGGATGAGGAAGTGCCTGGACTGGGGCTAGTTGGGGCTTTGCTAGGGTGCTCTGGCGTTGCTTACGGCATGCGCACTGCAGCGTCACGGCACAGTCATCCGGTACAACCAGGTAGTTGTCCTATCTTCAAATTGCAGGTCAGCACGTTGCAGGAACATAGTGTCAGTATCCACAGCAACTTAGAGATGACTTGCGGAAGGATTCAGGCTGCATAATAGACAGGGACCTTTTCCATCGTGGCGCAGGCACTTGAAGATGTTGTAGAATGGGTAGTCAGATAGCGCGACCGCCGCCAGCTCCGATATCCGCCTACATTTCAAGCAGAAAAGATGTTGTCTGACGTCGAAATTGAAGTCCCAGACCTGTAAAATCTATCGTTCATACAGGCCTCGGTATACCACAGCCCACTTCAAATCACGCTACAGCATCGCTTAGCCCCCACTATTGGAACCCTCCGCAGCTTTCAATGAATGAAGTCATTCAGGCTACTCCTTACAAAGGGGCTCCTGATCTCATCGATCAATCAAGATGAGGACCGACATCCCGATCATAGTTCGCCCCTCGAAGTTGAGAAAAATTGACATAAGCATTCAGCTGAAGCACATGCCTGTCATTGGACCACCGTTAGCCAACGAGAAGCGTCGGTCAAGGAACCAGCCCAAGATGGCGACTCGCTTGAAAACTGATCGTCACCTCACTCTCCCAATGCGCGATGATAGTACTTCAGCCCGCAGTCGCAGCGTCAGTGATCGTAGCGACCGAAGTGATGACTCTTCAGACCACCCAGAAACCAGCGGTACCAGCACCCGTGAGCCCAGCAGTAGGCTTACACGAAGGCGTGCAAGTAAGCCCAAAGTGCGCACCGGTATGTTACTGTCCCAATCTGCCGCACAGCGGCGAACGACCGAGCGTCACTCTTATCAATGTAGGCTGCATATCATGCAAGAGAAGGCACGTCAAATGTGACGAGCGTAAACCAGGCTGCAAGAAGTGTGAGAACCTCGGTGCCATATGCGAAGGATACGCTCCGCCGAAGACAGCAAGGCAGATATCACGAGCGGAGCGGCCGCTTCTGCCACGCCCACAATTGGCATCCCTCGCCGTCCAGAGTGCAGACAGTCCTCTTCAGCCTCTAAGAAATCAACCACCACTTCTTATATCACCAGGTTGTGGCTTTGAATTGGCCGAGGATGACGCGTGGTACTTTTCTCTCTTCCGCAACCAGGTCGCTTATGATCTTTCCCAACAACACCAGCAGAACAACTTCTGGACGAGATCATGCCTGCGCGATGCAGTAACTATGAAGACAATTAGGCACTCAATCTTGAGCATAGGTGCCTATGCAAGAGCCTTGATGGATTTGAAAAACGACTGGCCGTTGCTCCAGGACGCAGATCGTCCCTGGTGGCCAGCCTCTGTCTTCAACCGCCATCGCGAAGCTGCGTTCAGTCATCATGATCAAGCACTGTCGTGCCTTCGCGAGGAGATCCAGACCCATGGAATTGACCACCGCAGCACCATGGCGGCAACCTTACTCTTCATTGTCTTCGAGAATATGACTGGTAATTATCATGCATCTGGAAACTTGGTGAGGTCTGGCATCAAGGTCCTGAACAACATGGGCCGCACTCAGTCAAGGAGTTTCGTTTGGCGAACCTACTGCGAGACCTTCGAAGCGCCCGATGAGATTGACGAAATGGCACATATGTTTTCCAGACATTCGATCGCTTCTGTGTTGATGCCCTTCCCACACGGGAAATCAGCGTATCACATGCTCCTCGACGACGATGACGCACTCTCCGACAATGAAGAGAATCTAATAACCGACTACTCTACGAGATCGACTGTACTGCACAGCCTCGAACATGCCCAAGCCGTCTGGGAGACTATCCTCCCAGCCTTGGGCCGCTTCTATGCGAAGGCACTTTGGAGGAACTTGAACCCAAATTATGAAGTCGACACCGATGCGATTGATGAACAAATAAGTTTTCTTGCTCGCTTGCAGGAATTTGGAGCAGGAATCGCTGTGTTAGACGCGGTTGGGCACGATGAGACCAAAGTGCGCCAGTTGAATTTTCTGGCAATGCATCACCTAGTTGCCACTGTTCTTGTCTCATGCTGCTTGGACCGCACCGAACTCTCGTATGACGATTTTACTCCTCAATTCCAGGAGGTGATCGCAAAGATTAGGCTCTACATCAGCCTGGAATCGCACACCAACAAGACCGGCTTCAGCAACGAGGTGGGAGTGTTACCACTCGTTACATTTATCGCAGCAAAGTGCCGTGTGCGTAGCATCAGACTGGAGGCTCTGGGAATTATGCGGAGTCTGCGTTCGCGTGAGGGCCCCTGGGATGGGATCAGCTTGGCAAACGCCATGGCTCATCTAATGCAGCTGGAAGGGCAGGGTGACTCCCAGGACGGGTCGGGATTAATGCCTCCACTGGAGGCAAGATATGTGTGGACCAACATGTTTTGGGATTTCGAAAACAGACGAATGTGCATGCAATATACGAAGGTGTGGTCGAATGGGTCTGGCGACTTAGAGAAGATAAACAGAGTAGTAAGTGGCTAACTGGCGGGGTTGATGCCTTATCTGTAGCACGAGGACGAGTAGAGCATTTACTTCAGGAATTCATAAGAGCTGGGACCTCTTGGAAGTTTGAGGCCTTAATGACAGCGGCTTGGCCGGGTAGCTTCCGTTCATGTAGAATACCTGCCATATATAGGCAAAGAAGACTGCGTTTGCGCCGCAAAACAGCTCGGAAGGCAGCAGCTTTAAAGTTCCTTCTATTGGTCATCGAGCATTTGCCCCTAGACCAGATAATGAAGTCGGAGCATAGCCCCCTTCGTCAGCCTCAGCTGGGGCAACATACGGGCAGGCGGCCGCCTTTGCCTCATTTCTCTGCGAATTGGTTAATGATAATGCGAACATCACATGCATGTCTCGCATAATCTATTTTTCGCCGACACAGCGTCTCGTATCTTAGAGTCCCTATGGCCAGGCTTAGCTTGCTCTGTCTTTTTAGCAGTAGACGAAGTATCAATGGACAGGGCGTGGTGGTATATTTCCTGAAAGCCACCGGAACTGACTGTCTCTTCCTGGCAATTGTAGACAGCCCCTTTAGGTTGACTGAATAACATTTTTCTTCTGATGAATACGGTATTTATCTATTTTTGGCATATCCATATTTACCAATTACATTACAGTTTCATTAGAGGGCGGCAGATACCATGTAAACCACCACGTCTTATTCACAACAGTGATCGTTTCTAACCTGGCTGCTTTTCAGAGCATGTATTGAGAGGCTGATACTTTTTTCTCGTATGCCTAACGCTTGGTTCGTTTGGAAGCTCCGTATCTCGGATTGAGCAGGAAGTACTGTGACACGACCATGCTGCATCTCCTATTCAAATAAGAATAAAGTGGTCTAAAGGCCATCACATTGAATCAGAAGCTGACTCTTACTTCGCTAGGAGTGATGATCATGATTTGATTCTCGAAGTTCTATGACTCGTTGAATCAGGAACGTTTTCATATATACTCTACTAAGAGACCAGAAATATCCCTCGTAGCCGATACATATTTGCCCCATTCATGCTCCACATTGCCATGTAGTGTTGAGCTCTATACGCTATGGAGGGAATGAGCAGCCCTGCTGCACTTCTAGCGTCAACGTGTGCACGATATCCGTGGGCCGTGAGCTTGTCGCCACCAAGATGTTATGCTTCCCACTCTCCACCCTCCAGCAGTAGCCGCCTTGTTCACTAGGGCGTTCGTCCCAGTATGCTGCAGCATCCGCGCTAAACTGCATTTCTATTGACCTTTCTTCGCCGGGACGAAGATGTACCTTGTCAAATGCCACCAACGACTTCGGAGGTCTCACAATGTCAGATCCGGTTGATGGAGGAGCCAAGTAAACCTGAATGGTTTCAGCGCCCTGCTTGGTTCCCGTGTTTCTAACTACGGCTGAAATGGTCACTGTGCTATTCTCTGGCCCTTCAATCTGTCCTTGCATGTTGACCTCTTCGATCTTAAATGTTGTGTAACTTAGACCAAAACCAAATGGGAAGCGTACCTCCTTCTCTGTTCCGTAATGGCGATCAAAGTGACGGTAGCCGACGGAAATGCCCTCAACATATTCGACTTGGCGGGAATCATATGAATCGAGCCCAAAATTTCCATAGCATGCTGTGTGCTCATACTTCTTTGGCCATGACATGGGGAGTTTTCCACTGGGTGTGGTGTCGCCAAGCAAAACATCAAGGATGGAATTGCCGCTCTCTTGGCCGGCATACCACCCCTGAAGCAAAGCGGCGACGTCATGAATCCACGGGACTTCGACAGGTACCCCACTAGTCAGGACAACAATGGTCTTAGGATTTGCTTGGGCAACACCCGAAACGAGTCGATCTTGAGAGCCGTCTGTGGGAAGCGACATCGTCTCGAGATCTTGCCCCTCAGTTTCCCACTGGGTGGTGTTGCCAACGAAGCAAATTGCTAGATCAGCCTCCTTTGCAAGCTTAATTGCCTCTTGGTACAGGTCTGCTTCCATTTCCTCTTGGTAGACTAGGCCCAGATGCGCAGATATCTGGCCTTCAAAGAGGGACAATTCCGAGTTGTTGACCTGGGATGGTATTGTCTCAATGACAACTTTGTACGGTCTATTCGGCAAGAATTCGTATTGGAAGCGGTGTTCCTCTTGAACGCCCAGGAAGAATCCCATACTATCCCGAGTCTCCTTTTCCTGATGATATATAAGCTTCCCATCAATAAAGAGCTTGGCCGGACCCATGCCGGAGAAACTGAGGTAATGTTTCCCGCATACTGATGGCGTAAAAGTAGTCGCGAAACGAGCTGATAGCGGTTTGACGACGTTGTTATTCATCATCGAAGTGAAGAAACCACGGGCATAGTGTTCAGTCCAGACCGGGTCACCCGAGAGATCTGGACTACTGTAGAAATCTGCAGTGAATCCAACATTTCCCGCACGGTTTTTGGATCCTTCAATAAGGTCTGGATATACCCTAAATATGTGAGTACCTGAACGCAATTAGTACTATTACCAATCGAAATGGACTAAGTGATAGTTATACCTTTTGAATATGTCAGCTCCACATCATCACCAAGTCTCTGTTGAAAGGCATCCCATGGTGACACCTTGTAATGACAATTCAGCGAAGCGCTGCCTCCGCCGTGAGCAGCGGCGTATTTGGCTAGAGGACCCAGTAAAGCCACCTTTTTGGCCTTTTGGGGGTCAAACGGAAGAATACCATCCCGGTTCTTCAACAGGACAATACCTTCGGCCCCGGCATCTCTAATAAGCTTCTGGTGTTCTGGCAGGTTTACTGACATTTCCGATGGAGTGTCCTGGCGGTCATCGAGCTTTCCGGTCCTCTTGAGTAGCATGAGCAGAGTGCTAGAACATCTATCAAGTTCTTCTAGCGATATATCGCCTGACTTGATAGCTTTACTGACTGTCTCGAATGTTCTGTGCTGAGGGGGGCCAGGCATTTCAAGACCAAGTCTTCGACTGTCAACAGCAATTCTCTACTCCAGATTGCGCGTAGCCAATTTAGAGGCAGGGGCAGACCTACCCAAACTTGACACTCTCTACACCATTTGTCACTGCACCCCAGTCACTCATCAAGAGCCCACCATATCCCCACTCGTTCCGGAGGATGTCTTGTAGGAAGGTAGGCTGAGCGTCCACATGCTTCCCGTTGACTTTTGGATAGCTTGACATGAAGCACCAAGGGTCAGAGTGCTTGAGTACGATCTCAAAAGCGCGGAGATATATTTCTCTTCTTTGAATCAGTGGCCAGTCGGCTGAATGTAGTGGATAAAACATACCGCAAGGCCCTATCAGATATAGTCTCATTAACTGAGAACCGGCGGGTATCTTGCTCGTTGGCAAGGAAATGCTTCACTGTGGCTGCGACTCTCTCGCCCTGCATGCCGTTCACATATTCTGCTGCTAGGATACCCGAGAGTAGAGGATCTTCTGAGAAAGCTTCGAAGTTGCGTCCTCCCAATGGCGATCGATGCGTACACACCGTGGGGCCAAGAACAGCGTAGGCTCCCTTTGTCTGTGCTTCTTGACCCAGTGCCTTGCCGATTTGCCTAGATAGGTTACGGTTAAAGGTTGCAGCGAGGGAGACACTTGCTGGGAAGCATGCTGCTGTCTTTCCATCAAAGAACTCTGCACCACGTGCACCATTTGGCCCGTCCGTCACCTGTATCCCGTTTAGTTTATGTCTGCACTTTGCGGGCAAATCTGTTGAACCTTCAGGGATGGGATGTTTAGACGCTCAATGGGAACAGTCTCCCATGTGCTTTTCCCCCCGAGTAAGCTAATTTTCTCTTCAAGGGTAAGACGTGATACCAAGTCTTGCACTTCAGCATCAAGCCCGACGTCCATATTGACCATTGTGAGATAAGCCAGCCAAACACGCTTCGCCGTCAAGCTTACAAATAGGCTATTATTGAAACGATTATATGCCCAACTACGGCTGTTTTAAGAGAGAAAAGGTGCTACAAAACATAACAGCAAGCACGGCCTCACATAAAGTACTATTGTATTAAAGTGACTACGGATGCATGTTTGACCACGACCTCGTGTCTCCGGATTCGGTCATTGCCTTCGGGACCTGCCCGGTAGCCTAAACAGCAAGCCTAAGGAACCCAGAGATGAAAGATGGAGAACTTGTGGGGTTGTGATCATTCCGCGTGACTTCGATTCAGCAAGCACGGAAGACATTCGAGTGCGTCGGGAAGTTGTCATCCGTCGGTCGACGAATCCGACCAGGGAACAAGTGCCAAAGATCCCCCAGAGATCTCCCACAGATATCCCAGAGATTTCCCGTGCACTTTTGGGCCCGCTTGGCATCAATTTTCGCGAATCAGGTGTCAATGAGGCGGATGGCGCTACGGCTTCGTCGCTGAACTATTACAAAAGTCTCACCTGGGCAGCCTGGGCGACAATTTTATGGGTTGCTGTTTACTTTCGAAGCGGATCTAAAGCAGTCCCGACAGGATGGAGATGACATTCTACTTATTTTATTGAAAGCACACGTGCGGCCATTGCGGGCGCACCAGTGGCAAGACTGTGCCAGATAGCCAGACAGTTGCCTTCAGGGGCGACACTTGCTGGGGCCGCTGCTGCTGGTCCATACAGCTTAAGCACACCATGCGAATACTCAAACTTGATCACGCAGAGTCCCGGATATGGGTTACCGGGCTGTTCGAATGCATGCCACTAACTTGCCTAAAGCGGGTGCTAAGTCTGGGGTTATAGTACTAGCGTCCATCCCCACCATGACTCCAGATTCATCTCCAGTCCCCACCCCCAGAGTGTTCCACGTTGTCGGAGTCGGGGTCTTGGAAGTTAGGCTTGCTCCGTATACTGTTGTGCAGCATGCCAATCAATTATTTAAGTGGCCCGCCTGCGCCGTTAGCAATTTTGGTGATCCTCTGTGATCTGCAGCTTCCAAGTCGTTCTTCCCCATCTTCACCAGTATAAGTAGCTCCTGCCATGACGGACATCAAAGAGGCAAGCAAGGTTGACGCGCATCATGAGGAGGGCGCACTCGAAGTATTAGAGGCTTCTTCGCGGGCTGCCCAGTTTGAGGCAGCGCAGCATTCATTGAACCGGGTTGACGCCATAAAGGCCAATATCAAACCGCTAGCATGGTGTAAGTCACATAATCTCCATATAGAGGTCAGGAAGCATTCGCAAGACGTTCGGGGGATTGCCCATTCGTATAACTGATATCAACCTCTATAGGCATGTATATGTTCTTTATCTGCATTACATGGGGTTTTGACGGCTTGGCCGGAGGTGTTGTGACCTCCATTGCAGAATTTCGGAAGGACTTTGGATTTCCATATGCTGGCGACTATGTAGTGGATGCCAATTGGCAGCTGGGCTGGCTGGGTGCAACATTGTTTGGTCTCATATTCGGTGGTTTGGCCACAGGTATCGCTGTCAATCGCTTCGGAAGGCAGCCATGCATTGCAACAGGTTTTATCCTCAGCATCGCTGGCACGTTTGTTCAAGTCTTCGCTGCCACACCAGCCCAATTCTTCGGAGGCAAACTGTTGACAGGTCTTCCACTGGGCTGTTTCACAACTGTCGCGCCAACCTACGCGTCGGAGATGGCACCTCTACCCATTCGAGGTGCAATTACTGCTGGTATGAACTTTGCCATTGTTCTGGGCCAGCTCATAGGCTATGGTGTAATGCGCGAGGCAAGTTTCTACCAAGGCAGTCTGACCTACAAAATCTTGTTTTCGACCCAGTGGGGCTTCGCTGCAGTTGGACTGCTTGTGCTGCCCTTCTTTCCCGAGTAAGTAAACCCGTCCCATCGATCTTGAGATACATGTTGTCTAACTAGAACGAGATCCCCGTATTGGCTTGTTGCCCACGGCCGACACGAAAAAGCGAGAGCCAACTTGGTCAAATTGCACGACGATTCTTACGATATTGATGGGAACATGGCAGAAATCCACGAGTCTCTTGCCAGGTTGAACCAGGAGAATGAGTCACAAGGGTCGATAGCAGAGTGTTTCAACCGAGACAATTGGAAGAGAACACTGGTTGCTACGAGCGTGTTCTTTATACAAAATGCATGCGGCAACAGTTGGGTCATAGGCTACATGAGCTACTTCATGCAGCTTGGTGGAATGAGCGCAGCCAAGTCTTTCGACACAACTGTTGGCCTCTGTGGGCTGATGGTGGTAGGGAACATGTGCGGTTGGGTTTTCGTTGAGAAATTCGGTCGGCGAGGTACAGCCCTTTGGGGAACCGTCACTCTCTGCATCGTTTTATTCCTCATCGGCATACTTGCTTCAGTTCCCACTGACAATGCAATATGGGGTCAAGTTGCTTGCATGGCGCTGTGGTCATTCGTCTATCAGGCTACCATCGGCTCAGCAGCTTGGCCAATCACAGCAGAGAACGCGACATCCCGTCTGAGGGCTCCGACCCAGAGTTTGGCCACAATGATGAACGGGCTGTCGTCCTGCATTTGGAGCTTTGCCCTCCCTTACGCCATAAATCCGGATCAAGGAAACCTTGGAGGAAAGATAGCATTTGTATTTGGCGCTGTTCTTATCTTTGCCTCCGTGTTTATCTTTTTCATGTACCCAGAAACTAAAGGGAGGACATACATTGAAATTGATCAGCTCTGGAGCCGAGGCATTTCTCCACGTCATTTCTCAAGGACAGAGCTTGTCACTGTTTCTAATGAGAATGTCAAAGAGATCTGAGAAGAGATAGGAAGAGGAAGAGTGAGGAATCGTTAAAGGTGATTTCCCCTCAACTCAGCATACAGGAGTTCAATATTGGTACTGGTACAATCAAACGGTTGAACCCTTAATGTGTCCATTAAAAAACCGCCTGACACCTTATCTAGTTATTGCAGTCCAACCCACTCCAGTCCACCGCTAGGCGGTTACCCCATCCTCCTGTGTTACTTGGGTAAACATGGCTGTCGACTCTTCTTTAAACGCGGGTTACCAGCGCGCTTTAAGCATTGCTATTGACCTTTTCTTAGACACAGTAGCTGGTACTTCATTGAATTTTTTTGGGTTCCCCAGCTTCAACTTGTCCGAAGTAGGTACGATGTTGTGTCAGTGAGGCCAAGCCGTCTTTGACGTGAGGAATAATTTATTAATGTGTGATGGCGTGGGTAGCGAAGCTAGTATGGCTGATTAAAAGAGCACGAGAAATTAGATTGTGCGTGCCCTGGCGTTATTTAATATTCAATTCGGTCTAGTAATATTTGTTTGAGCTCAAACAAAAGATCCAGAGATACCCTCGGGCATCGTTCCATTGCCCGATCGTTTCCTACATAAGTAGAAAAGTTGAGTACTAAGGGATTTGGGAAAGGAAAGCTTTTCTCATCACTGTTGCGGTCATTATGATTTGGTGAATCGAGGGCAAACCTTGTCCAAGGGTCAACGAGAATATCGTTGGAGCATGGCATGAGGGACTGCGTGGAAGGGGGTAGCACCCTTATTTCGGCTTGGAAAGCGATGAATTGACTCCAGAACTGCATTTATTCTTTTGTGCTTTATACCATCGACAAAGTCACCCATTATGCGTCATAAGTGGCGTCAAATGAGAATGCGGTATCACTTCCAGCAGAACTGGATCTGCTTTCAAGACTTTGGATCTGGCAGGGCCGAAATTTGCCCAACAGTACCTTCGTCACGTGGGGCGGAGATCGACCAAGTACATTGTGCTGCCTGTCGACCTGAACCTGACAAGCCCAAAGCCCAGCGTTGCCCTGTCCGGAAATGTAGACAAAACCGATAAGACGCTTTCATATCAGCTTTCCCAGCTTTTGGCAACCCCAGTGAAGCCCCCAGATTAGTAGCGATATTGAAAATACACTGGAAAAACAAGGGTCTCAATCGGCGCTTTCTGCTTGCGGCATGGGACACGCAATGCCTAATGCGACTGACTATACGATGGGCTATCCGAAAGCCAGTTACAAGGACGGTCATGACGTCTGGCAGAGTTGGCACTACGGACGAGTCTACGTCGGATAAGAGTGTAAAAGGGGTTTCATCTTGGTAGATAACCGAAGGATGGCGGGAAGGGATTCAATGATGTTTGTCCACTATAAAGCGGCACAGTCAGCATGTCAAGCATGCATCTGCATACACTGGCTGCTGGAGCAAGTAACAGTGTCATGTAAAAGATTATCCCAGCCACAAGATAGCTGTTTCTACTGATCGACAATTTGGTGTCTAACATTTTGGGGTGGTATGATTCATTGCAAATGAGGCATGGTGCAAACGCGCTTGACAGGCATGGCTTACAGGTACGCAGCTCGACCCAGGTTTTATACTCAAGGTATTTTTTCTTTGGGGACACAAATATATCAATACTCCCGGGATTTATGTATTCAGATATGAGCGCCTACCTCTCCTGCGCCCCAGCAAGCCGACGCGAGAGTCGCGCAAAGCCCCGCCACAGGGGGCGTATTATTGCAGTGCACGAGCCGATCGCGACGTCATCGTTACGGCCCCTAGATGCTTAATGACGAACATACCTCGCAGCCCCAAACATGTCGAAGTCTTGGACAGCCATTGTACACCATCATGCTTCATAACCGCTACTAACGATAGATTACCCAGCTGACACCTTGCGTCGTATCTGATATCCATCCTCGTATTGCTTGACTGAAATCATGGCTACATTCTCGAACACCAATACTGGCAGCAAGTCTGCAGAGCCTATCAAGGATAAGAATATCGATCGCGATGTTCCTCTCAAGGAGAAAATCGAGGCACTCAGCGAGTTCATTACATCGCGAAAGTTTGCTATGATGACAACTCGAGATACATCAAGTGGCCAGCTTGTTTCTCGGGCCATGGCACTGGCCGGAAAGGTAACCCCAACTTCTCTACCTGCGGTTGCTTCCCTTCTAACTCAGTAGCAGGAGTCCGGTGACATAGACCTAGTCTTCACCACCAATACCGAGTCCCACAAGACCGATGAGCTGAAAGCAGACCCACACGTCAATATTTCCTTCCTTGATGGGTCTGGACAGTGGGCTTCGTTCTGGGACGCATCAATTGAGACGGATCGCGAAATCGTCAAGAAGTACTACAGCTCGTCACTCAAGGCGTGGCTGGGCGACCTGGGCGATGGAAAGCATGACGGCTCAAAAAATGACCCCCGCATTGGGATCATTCAGGTCAAAACTCGTTCCGTCACTTACGCGCTGACGACCAAGTCTGCCATGGGGGTTGCGGCCGAGGTTGCCAAGGGTACTTTGACGGGAAACCCTCCCTCAATAAGCAAGCTCAGAGAGATCAGCGAGAGCGAAATAACGCAATGGAGATCCATCGCTACCTAACCTACTAGGAACAATGCTAAAGGGCGGCTTTTCAGTTATTTCATCCATCATTCATTGCTAGTTGTAAATTTAAATCGATTTGTCCTGAGGTAAATTCCTCAAAAGAAGAAAAGATAATTTACTAGTTTACCATAGTGTAGAGACGAGATGGGACGCTTACATGTCAAAGACAGGAAAATATCCAACCCTCGAGACATGCATCAAGATAGAAGGGTCAGATGAAAATGATAGCTAACATATCAGGACATATAGACAGAACTATCCTATGTTAGAACATTCTCCCACCAAAAATCCGCCAAATGTATTTATTCACACACTAGCCGAGTAAAATTTGTCGCACGAGGTCCTACAGATTGGCAAACAAAGCCGCTCCACCGAAGAGTGCAGCAGCTCCAACCGCTCCGGTTTTCATCGGCATACCAGGGTTACTAGTGCTGCTCGTAGCTGCACCACCGCCAGATGTAGCAGCTGGAACAGTCGTAGTAGGCGTAGAAATACCGCTTGTAAATGGAACCCCAGCAGTACCGCTTGAGGCACCGCTGAATGCTGGTGGAGCACTTGTAGCGGTTGCATCAGGGGTCTCAGTTGAGTTGGCAGGGTTGAGAACCCTACAAGTATTATGAGAACGGACTGGAAGGTGAAGAATCAGACAAGATATGCTTACTGGTTGATGACGTGAACAACTCCGTTGCTGACCAACAGATCTGGGATAGTCACACGAGCAGCATTGACGAATACCGCTCCATCTTCGACTGTGATGCGAAGCTCTTGGCCACTTGATGAAGTGACAGTTTGGTTCCGAAGATCGGTGCTATAGGCAACAGTGCCGTTGATGACGTGGTAGCCGAGAATCTTTGCGAGGTCGTCGGTCGACATGTTCGCAGCGAGGTTTCCAATGGCGTTGAAAGCATCATTGTTCGGAGCAAAGATAGTAACGTCTCGAAGATCTCCAAGCACTTTTTCCAAGTTTGCAGTTCGAATAGCACCGGCAGCAGCAGTGAGGTTCGACTTCGAAAGGGTATCAGTGACGTTCATGGGGATTGTAAGGACGCTATCGATAATGTGAATAGTACCCCCAGTGAAGTTCACGTTCTAAGAAGAGTCAGACGAGTCCAATACGTAAAGCCGGGCTACTAACAGGGGTAACCACAGTAGCGTTCTCCTTGTATGCGCTGAAGAAAACCACACTCCCATCCGAGGCTCTGGCTTCCACTCGTTGTCCCCCGGTGACATTGGCATATGACTCGTTCGTAAGATGCGTCGCTGCAAACACTGATGAGTTTCCGAAGCTATCGGCATAGAACGTGCCATTGATAACATGGTAGTTCAAGAGGGCAGTCAACGCTCCTGTGTCGCTGAGGGTTGCGGCGGCATCAGTGTTGTTCAGCAGCGCGCTCAATGCGTCGTTGTTAGGAGCTAGGAGTGTGACGTTTTTCAAATTGTTGAGCGCCGGGCCGAGGCCTGTACTCTGCAACAGACCTGATATGAATTAGTAAGATCCATATAGCCTTTGCTGGTGCAAACTTGATATACTATTCAGGGTGGACAAGCTCGAGTTCTGTCCATTCAGAGCATCAGTCAAACTCTGAGTAGACTGGGACGAGACAATGCCGGCCAATGCCAGAAAGAGACTGTGATAGAGATGCATGCTGATTCCGACTGTCGAATGCCAAACTTTTCTGCTATTGACAACCCTTATAGTGCATATACAAGCCAGGAAGCCACGAGCAATGGGCAGAAGTAGGATCTTAAGAACTCGCGGTCTGCACGCTTACTGCAGAGTGCCAAACTTATGCCGTATCACCGAGCTTCGTCACGAGCGTAAGACAACATAAAGTCATTGACGTCGATAGACAGGGCCAAGCACATCGGATTGCCCTGGCCGGACAAGGAAAGCCAATGAGGGATGACATTGCTGGCCACAACCAGCCTCTAGACACTCTAGAAAACCTGATGCAACATAGGCGAAAGTCAAATCGCGGAGCACTAAGTCGATCCCAAGTCCGTCCTATCCGTTGGCTCTGTCTCGTTAATCTTGCTAAATGTGGACAGTATTAATCAAGTTGGACTGCCTCAGATCAAAGCCAATTACTTCGACTCAGCTGTCAAGCTTGTGTCCTGTATCATGCTCAAGCATGCTGTCATATTTTCTCGCGGTCTTTCTGTCCTGGGCCCATTGCTACGCCCACCATTCTGCTCAATAAACCGATACCAGCGATGCAACTTACACGAAAGGATACTTTTGCGTAATGGGAATTAGGATCGAAAAATCGATGTCGTCAGGCAAGACAGGACAAGGGGCTTGGAGCGCCACGACCCCTAGCTTCCCCAACTTTAGCCAAGCCCAACGATTCCCCGCGATTGGAAAACCGGATGTGTTTGGGTTCTAATCGGGAAACAAGCTCGCATAGAAGCCCATTGCGGCTACAGACCGTGCCAGCAGCTCATGACTGTTTCTCATTGGACAGCAATAGACTCCAGATGCCGTGCTCGGAAGAGTCGGCCGGTGGTGGCTGCGCTTCAGGATTGGATTGTTTCGTAGCATCCAGGCTAGCGTTGTGGCTATGCCGGGGACTCGTCCCATTGGTAACTTGCAGTAGAGTTCCATGTTATGGCAACAAAAAAACTTGAGGACGGTTGATCTCGTCACGAGACTCCAGGGCTGACGTGGCCGTCGGAAGGGTTTATGGCTAGCTTCTTCCCCTCGAGTTGCGCAACAGCATTGTGTCCTCCCGCACGTGGCCCGTTAGGCGAGGTCACAGCAGAAATGCTATTTGAACCTGCCGATCACTGCCGTGGCAAATTGCGAATGTATATTGTAATCACATCGTTCATCGGCAGAAGCCTTTTCATCTTTTCGTAGAGATCGTGGAATACAGAGATGTCTCTTGGTTTGACAGGACAATGATTATCCTGCCTTCTTGCCGTTTGAGGTGTTGTTCGTAGTACGGAACAGTATTTGCTCCAGACTCGAGTCGCAACAAACCTAACTTAGATACTGATCCTTGCCGTGGAGGATATACGTAGACCTCTATGCGACGGGCTTCACTATGCTCAAATGTTTCAAAACGCTGAGGAGACGGAAACCTAGTTACTTTTATCACTCTACTTTGCGACATCATTGCTACCTCCCTTGATATTTTAATCTTGGATAATTTCAGCTGCTATATCATATAAAGCCATTCGATTAGCCCTGTTCTTAATGTTCTGGCATGATCGTCGTTTTGGCACACCGTTAGGAACACAGACATACGTGTGGATGAGTGCATACTCCACACAAGGCTTGGTATAAATCTTGAAATATCCGTGAATGGCGATTCGTGCGTTGTCATCATTCTTTCAATTATGAACACCCCTTTGCAAACGACGTTTTCCTTATGTACCACATTACAATCGTGCACCTAAATCAAATGCCATGTGTCTACTTTACCCTTTGCATCTTGTCAGAGCGCGCTTCAACTGGAAGGGAGGCAGCGGAACTCATTTTTCGAGATGTGAGGTCGGGGTTACACTATAGCCCTTTTACTCGTTACTAGAAGTGGGATAATATCTGTTACTTATGCTCCATAGCCTGAGCTTGAGGATTCCTGATGATTTGCGCGTTACGTGACCTGGACTTGCCATAAATACTGAAACTTCCGCTTTTCCAAATATGGAATGCAGGTTGGAAACGATACTGTAGTAGATGGTATTTCAAAGCTGTGTAAGATGTATAAACTTCGTAAGGGGTATCACATGCCCAACTCCTAACAAGATGCTGATAATATCAAATATAAATTTCGCCCTTCTCACCAAACTCATCGGACTCGCTGTCCTTGGCAAATATCCGCTCATCTCTCAAATCCATCCATGCCGATATCAGAAGAACGAAGGAAAACGTGAATATGAGGAGGCACAATACTTGTGAAGTAACGCCGGCCCGATTCTGGTGTAGCCAGCTGCTCCACGCCTGAGAGGCCGCGTCGAGGTCGATAGGAGCTCCCCAGTTCGCTGCCGTCCCGTTGGCCGGTCCCTTTTTCAAAACTTGTTGACATTGGTGCCAGATGATTTGGTTGACAGACACGAATAAGAAGCTGCCAAAGGAGAATAGGGTATTGAGGATGAGTATGGAGATCAGTATCCGTCGAAGCCATTTTTTTGTCTGAAGAAGTCAGTCTAGTGCCACTCGCACGACGACATCCGTGAACGCTTACTCTTGCCGAGGTCTTCCTCATGTAAAATAACACCACCTCAATGATTACTGAAATCACCAAGCTTGAAGCAGCCATCAATATCAATAGCTGCTCCGTCATTGAAAATTCACCGCTCCTTGCATTCGAATACGTCTTGATTCCTTCCGCTTGTGTGTGGTGCCTGACCGCCGCCATGTCGTCCCTTCGAGATAGCACACCTCCTGCCTAGAGATGTGCACAGTTGTTGTCACGGCTGCCCAGGGGTCACGTAGTATACTGTGCCTCGGTGAGTGACGTTGTGGTTTTGAGGGCGATGAGGGGCGCGGCGGATGTGTCCAGTTGTTGCAGTTCAAGTTGCGTGAGACGGGCATCAACCACGGAGGGCTGGAGGTGTTTATGAATCTTCCGCATGCGCCGTACCCATGCGCAGCATTGCTGAAGACTCAGCCCGAGATGATTGAGGATTGCCAAGACTTAGTCGAGCTGTACAAATTTAGTACGCAAGCGGCCCTTTGGATCCCTGTCACTGGCCCTGCACGGCCATTCAGTGCCAAATCTGGGGTAAGAACGAACTGCGCCAGTTTGAAGGATTTTAGGTGGGCTGACGGGAGCGAGGATTGACGAACAATGTGACGTGATTGTCTGATAATCCAATCATTAGTTCGAGGGACCTCTCCATCACTGAAGCGGAGTTCCGTGGTAAACGGAGTAAGGGCTCCTGTGGTTCTTGAATCCCCCGTAAAGCTTCATTCGAGGGTCCGGCCCACCAACCGAACCCCCAGGACATGACCCAGGTGGTCCAACACGAGACCAATTTAACCTACCGACAGCTCGCGACGTGCCAGTGGAATTGCACTACCTGCACTTCGGCTGGGACCGGCGATGGGTGCATGCAGCTGCGCATGCTTGGAATGTAAGCATACATTCTCGAATGCCTTGTGTTGTGTCACCTTCCGCCCCAACGCGCTGGATGTTCTCATGGCTTGGTTGGTGGTTTAGGGGCCCTCAAGGAGGGCTGTCTGTGGTGTGGTCGCTTCCAGGCAGACAAAAGTGCACCCGGGTGCTGGGCTTAGCCAGACTTGGCGGGCTGGCGAGGTTCATGCTGCGCCTCTGGCGAAGAGGGGCCAGCAGTGGATCACTGCATTGGTTCAACTGGCACGGCCCTGCACCAAAATAAAACCATACGAGAACTGCAGCATGGCATGGCACAGATTGGTTCAGACCTTGCCAGGCTTCGCACTCGGTGCTTGATCTTATTTGGGTGCACGAAGGAGTATGCACCTCCCGTATATTCCCGTCAGCTATTTACAACGTCTTCCAGTCGAATGACTTCTCCCATGCCGCCGCAACCTTGAGGCAATCCACATCATGATATTTGCGGCCGACGATTTGCAGGCCAGTTGGCAGCCTCACCGATGCATCTTCCACCGCAGGGACGAAGCCGACCGGAAGTGACAGGGCTGGGTGACCAGAATCTGGAAGGGTTTATATCAGCCAAAGGTTAACTTCTTGATAGGAGGTCGAACGTACTGTCAAATGGCGCTGTGTTGGAGATCATTCCTGGCGTGCGAGAAAGGAATTTCAATGGTGTCTCAGATTCCCCCAACGCTCCTGGATCTGGCAGCCGTGGTGGAGGAGATGGGAGAGTTGGCATAACGAGGACGTCACACTCCTCTAAAGCCTTGTCATAGGCATCCTGTTTTGAGGGTGAGTAACGCTGCTATTCTTCTCCATAGCTGGAGCTCAGAACTCTTACACTTATTGCCTTCATCAAGTTCATGCATTTCCCGTGTAGCTTTGCGCCGTATTTCTCCTGGACCCATAAGGATCCTAAGTAAAAGTTGCTGGCTCCGGGGCCAAGCTTGTCGAACTGGGCCTGCGTGAGTTGACTACCCACCAATTCAGCCCTGTCTGTGAAGTGAAGTTGCTTCCGTCCCTGGAGATCCCCAAGAATTCCTTGCCTTGTACCTGCGAGTTGCACCGCGCACATCCATACCGTCGGCGCCTCCTTATGGAGTGGTACGGACACTTCAGAGACGGTGGCACCAAGGCTGGCGAACTTTTCAATTGCCGACTTTACGGACCTCTCCACATTTGGGTCCATTCCTGCGATGTCGAATCCTTCTTTCAGGATCCCAATCTTCATCCCTTCTAACATCTTCGAGGTCTCTCTTGCGGCGACAATACCGACAGGTTCCACGAATTTGAGTCTCTCTCCCTCGAGGCCGAAGGGCGGTTGTCGGTCGTCCCAGCCATCTGGGCCTGCGATGGCTTCGAGGAGTAATGCACAATCTCGGACATTCTTGGTCATCGGGCCTACATGATCTAGGTGTGCATCCAAGCTGAGGATACCGGTATAAGGCACCTTTACGGCAAACAGAGGTCAGCACTTACAGTTGGCGACGTATACCTCTTGAGACAGCATAAAAAACAGACCAAGGTGGATAGCTGGAACTCTGGGGGTTACATACCAAGCCACAGGTAGGCTTGAGTCCTACGATGCCGCAAGATGATGCGGGAATCCGGATGCTCCCACCTTGGTCACAGCCAATGGCAAGATCAACGGAGCCGATTGCTACCAGGCGACCCGAGCCGCTGCTTGACCCACCGGCATTATAGCCATCAGCATATGGGTTATGGACCTGGCCGGTAATGGCCGTGGCTGACATCCCCTCGCAGCAGGAATTCTCGCAAGCTGGTCAAAGTTCAGTATGAAGATATAGTTCCAACACTCGTACTAACCTGCTTTCCCCAAGATGATACCTCCGGCATCCATGATCCTCGTAGCAACGGTTGCATCGATTTCCGGTACCCACTCAACCATATCCGTCCCATTGGTGCACGGTACACCAGCGAAAGCCATGTTGTCTTTCAGAGCTACTGTGCGACCTTGCAAGAGGTCATTTTTGGGGGTTGTGCATTTGGCTGTAACCTTTAGTTATGTCAACCTTTGTCTTATACAGGAATATCGATAGCAGACAGAATGAAGCTCACTTTTATCGCCCATCCACCTCCCTCAGTGTCCTTGGGCACGTGAATGTCCGTACGAGGGTATTTCTCCAGGTCTGGGCAAGGTATACCAGGCTTGTCGTCAGGTAGAGAAGCGATCGCTGCATCGAGGCCGCTGAGTAATTTACTGTAGTCTTCCAGCAGAGGAGGTGACAGCGAAAGGCCAGCCTGGGACAAGATAGGTTTCAAGTCCTCAGGCGCCACCCTAAGTGTCCCTGATCCCACTCGCAGCACTGACATAGTTATAACAATAGTTTCCTGGTTGAGGATTTCAAACCAGAGGAGCGGTTGTAGAATATCAGAGGTGGACCAGAGTCACTTGCTGCCTTGGACTACATCCACATCCTGCCCCGCATGGCTTGGCAGCTCCGACAGACTCATTCCTTATCAGGGCTTCATTATGCTAATTGGGTCCTGGATGCCCTATCATTGGGTCAGCTTCGCAGTGAGCTTACTCTGATCGTGATTCGTTGATCTTTAGACAGACCATGTCCCTCACCCCCGGCTCCTCCGACATGTATGGGTCCCTTCCGTGCCGTTCGGAGGTGACCGATCCCGAAACCGGGCTTCAATAGCGGGGAGACGCTGCCGCGATCGAAACTGCCTAAGTGTATCTTCAAATTGTCGATGAAAAAGAGTCAGGGGTATTTCGATAGGAGCCAGAGTACAGAGTACTTCAAGATTGAATATCTGCGACTTGTGGTAGATACAGTAAGCAGGAGATAGCTCAATATTTTCCAGCTTTGTTAAGAGTCAGCTTGCAGACTCTTGGGTACAGGAGTTCCAATAAGGTTTCATTTTTTGTTTTCTTTCTCTTGAAGAGAGCTATAGGCAGTGCAGTCGTGAATATATACAATGAAAGGATGAGGCTCGCGTCCCTTAACGTCTGCCATATGGCGAAAGAGGAGTTATGGTGAAACAACGCGGCATTCGAAGCAAGCACTTTCTAGCAGGTAAATACCTTTGGGCCGGGTACGGTGTATGTCTGAGCCTTGTAAGCATCGTAAGTGATCCCAGGGTCAGAGCCGGCGTAGGCTCCAGGGAAAGCCACAAGACCAGATGGATTAGTTGATCCGCCTCCCGTGACCTGCAATTGGTGGCATCCGGGGTAAAATTGGGCCCCAGGGTATGAGTAGGACGCGTGCAAGGCAATTATCTCGTGGCGAACGAGGTAGTAACCCGCCGAAATGCAGGACGGAATGGTGTAGGTGTAGCCGGCATTGCCTGACTTCATCAGGGATGTGTCACCCCAGGTGTCGCTCGTCCCAGTGCGGCCGCTCTCGGCGATCTTGAACCAGACCTTGTCCTTTCCGGGCATGTAGCCAGTGCAACCTATTACACTAGTGAGCTGGTCCCTCGTTCATTGCGCTGAGATCGTCTTACCAGAGCTTGGGCACTTGGCCATATAAGTGACAACAGGCCCAACATGGCTATCAGGCCAAAGGGTCCAGTGTAGAGTCACCTTAGAGCCTGCGGCGGCAGGAGCATGTAGAGCGGCCGGCGATGAACCAACAATACCCCCGTCAGTATAGCCACCGCATTGCAGATCATCGTAGGTCACGTCGGTCACCGGGCCGTTTCCTTGAATCGGTCGAGAGATTCTGCTAGGCTATGGTGACAATACATAAGTTTATATTCATCCAGTGAAATAGAGAACAATGCATACCGTAGGTGAAGTATAGGGGTCAGTGTATGGCTGATAGAACTGATAGAAATTCCCGCCGATAGTCGCGTTATCTACGTATCCATGACCTGCGACCAAGGCAGCGCTGCCAAGCCCGAGGAGAGTAATTGTCAGCTTCATATCGGCAAATTTCGGGCTCAAACACTTCAATGCTGAGTGATGATCAATAATAGCGCCAGCTTAGCAAGTAGGGAATATGAGCTACTCTGCTACACTGGGTGGATGGGAGGTATAACGAAGAAAACAGATCGACAGCACCACGCCACCTTTTCTTTTATATAGGATCTCTCTCGTCTCTCCATTGCTGGATTATCTTTGATTTGAATGCCTTACCCTCTTGCCGTCACTCATGCTCGTTAGATGTTAATTGCCCCAAGTTGTGATCACTGGGTTCATTCTCCCCCAGCTTTATTGGCCAGTTCCACTATCACAGGGGAAGACTATGGTCCTAGCTTGTTTACGTGGTGGAGAAATTGATAGTCTGCACCCCAGAACCATGTCTCACTCACAGGTCCAATCAGGGAGTTTCTCGTCCAATAAGTTGTCGTTACAAGTTAGGCGCACCACCATTTTCGGCAAACGGAAGGGAAGGCAAGGGTCATTTACCAAGCCAGAGCGCAAAATGTGCAAGGGTTTTCTGCTGTTTAACGGCCTTCACCATCCGCATTCGTGGTGGTTGGCGGAATTTTTAGCCCCTGCCAAACAAGAGATGGCCCCATATGCTTGGCGAATGACATCGCTTACTGTTAACTTGAGACGGACTAAACTAGTATTTGCTTCCCAGTTCAGTGGTTGAGATATATCAGTTCTCCGAGTTCCTCTATCATGTCCAAGGTTTGCTTTATACACACTGTCTCCGACATATCTCTGGTATCGTCTCCAAAGTCATTTGGTGGAATTTCAAATGACCATATCTCCAGCTCATGTCCAACTTTACCATCACTACTCTGGGTTCGCATCATGAGAGTTCTTCACGCCTTTGTTGACTCAGCCCGATACCCAGTAGCGACGTTGCAATACTCTAAAACACTCGTCGATATTGAACTTCGTCTGTCGCTCGTTTCGGTTATTACTTCATACTTCTCACTGATGAATGATCCACCCCAACTGCCCATTTGATATCGCCTGGATCGCAAGACCCATGATACTTTCTAGCCCACGTGGTAATTCTTATGTGGCTCCTACAATAAAGTCAATATAGAGGTGCAGTCCGAATTGTCATCATAGCCATTGAAGTGTTACGTCGCAAGCGAGCAGGAGACTGAAATGCCTGCTACCAAAGCAGGTGGCCATCTCAAGCGCTTGCCTCTCATAGCGTACAGGTCACTTTAAATACATGAGAGCGCCTCTGAGCGGCCATTTGTTCGATAGGTCTTGAATGACTTTCCACTGTTTATCAAAGTCTGGTATCATGGCTTATCGGCGTGTCCAACGCACGTTCGAATGAACGAGGTACTGGCGGTTGGTAGAGATCAACTAAATCTATTGATATGGCATGAAAGCAAGATATAATCACAAGTAAGTTTCACACGCGATTTGATAGTAATGACTACCTTAGATTGGCAGCTCGTCATAAGATTAAATCACTAATACCCGAATCAGTAATATCTCCAATCACTTAATAAGAAGGATAAACGGCAGCGCCATCAGAAGTATCCTGTGTGTAACAATGGCCAATACGCCACCTTTAAGGTAGTACTTCGACAAGCACGAACTGTGCAGCTATATGAATGAGAAAGAAAGATTGCGCTCTTTTCCATATAGGGTTAGTTATAGAGCGCTATAAGGCTTGACGATTGGGATTCCGTCACTTCAGTAATTGCGCGACGACTGCTTCAGCCATTCGGATACCTCTATATAGTCACGCTTGTTTGGGGAAATTACCAGTCCCAAACAGGGAGGTTTTTAGTCGAACTCCATGCAGTTCCCCGAAGACCAATACAAAGTTTGTATTATGATGATTAAATGCTATTTGACAGGATAAGGACATCAGCCCACGCGACAGGTGAGCCTAGCACGGAGGAATTATTGCCACCTGTAGAACTTTGTCATATTTAACGATGCAAGTGCAGGGCATCTCCAGCAGGACTTGGACTAGGCTTGGGGCTAGTGCTTGGATATAGAAGATATCTCAGAGTTTGATGATAAGTTTAACGAGGGTTTCCATTTTTCCTGTTAAGATGGTCGCGAGCGTTCTGTTCGGAAAGACTAATACGATGCAGTATTGATTTTCAATGTTTGTAACAGAAAAGTACTTTGGCCACATCAGCTTCACATACGACGACGAGCCGCCCAGTCGACACCTAAACGACGCTGCTCAGCGAATACAAGGCAATATATCGCAACGCTAGGGTAGTGGGTGAGAATTGTCGATACCTTCCGGAAACTTGCATGTCGAAGTGAGCCTGCAAAGTCGAGTCCTGCCGACCATTTGTCTTTATAGGTAGGCTTAATCGCTTCTCGAGTTGTGACCAACTCCAGGAACTCCAAGTGTAGTCAGACAGGAGTTCTTCGGCAACCTCAAGATGTCAATTCTACATCTGCGGCACCCTCGGACTACTTCGAAACTCCTTGTCCTTGTATTATGAGACTACGTTGCGCAGTTATTATGGTGCGAGAGTTTTGTTTTAATGCTTTGTTCTACTTGAAGAGAAATTGACGGTAAGAGAGTAATACTATTGAGATCTTGGAATAGTATAGTTCTGATGCTCTCTCGCAGAGTCCAGAGTATGAAGGCAACTGGCAATTATGGGGAAACCCTCATGTATGGAATTAGTCAGAGTTTGTTCATTTCGTACTCTCTCATCTGCGTCGCTAAAATCACGAAACGGAAAGGTCAAGACCATATGTTCAGCTATTGGAACGACGTGCTGTTGCCTTTGCGCCTGAGACTATGAGTTACTCCTAGTAAGTTGCTCGTTAGTGTATACCGAATTATAGCGAACAAGACTACACACCAGGATGTCAGTATGCTCGCTAAGAATACCACACTCAGTAGATGTCGACATGCTCGCAATCTTCACTTATTCGGTAGGGACATAGAGTTCGCGCCTGTAACCTCGGCCGAGTAATTTCTGTACAACGTTACTTCTGTTTCTTATTCAGTCTGCATCAATCTCAAAACAGCGCGCTTTGCGCGGTAATAGGCGGGAAGCTGTCTGGTGATCAACGACAGGGGTGTGTCCTGCTTCGCCACAAAGCCACTAAGTCCCAGGTGAGACACATTCTTCACCGAGTGAGACACCACAGCAAAATCGCAAGGTACGAGATCCCTGGCTTCTTTCTCCCACGAGGCAGCCACGATCGCGATCCTTCGTGCGCCGAACCAGCCAGGGGAAATCAACGACGAGTCTTACTGGTCGTGGGTGGCTCCCACCTCTGAAAATCTTGGAGGAGGGGCCGTCGGCACTCCTGCGGCGCGGAAAATAGAGCATCCTTCTGCAAAGGCAGGCCAGCACGGCCAATCGCGTCAGTACCAGAAGCGAGGCAAGGAAGATGCAGTTCGTGTCTGTCCCCTCCCCTGCAAGACCTTAGGCAGATAGTGGTTGACTGGCTGGCTAGCACCTTAAGCCACCTCGTGGTGGGCTTGTTCGGGGGGTAGCAAGGGGCTGAAAAGGTGTTCAATTCATTTACCCGCCCTATAGCGTGTCGTTCCAGATGGTCCACGCCGCACCTTTGGACGAGGTCGGCGATTTTCAAATAATCAACGAGGTGCGTCGTGCTGTACAGCCTCTCCTACCAGACGTAGACGACTACAATTTCCTATGCATTTCAATGTTTCAAACTTGTACCAAGGATCTACTGTCTCCGCGGCCATCTTAAACTCACTTTTGCATGCTGATAGATTTCATCTTGCCTTTATCCAAACTGCCGTATACAGCATAAGGCAGGAATCTCTCCCTTTTCGGACAATATTTCACACTTGCCACATTGAATCCTGCTGGTTCCGATTGAGGACAGGACCGGCCGCTCATGACCCCACTAGCTTACAGGAGACCTGTGCCGCGTCACTGGAGCGAGCGGGAACGGCATGTTTCCTGCAGGAGCCCCCCTGCTCAAGCCCCATCACAGCCTATCCGACATGACCGGTCGAGGTTGCATAGGGCGAAAAGCTGGCTTGGCGATTGCTGATTGCAGTTGCGATCGCCATGGCCAAGCCTATAGCTTGGCACGGGTTACTACACGGGTCTGCACGGGCCTGTGCGAGTATGTGAAAGCTTGAACGCTTTCGCGACGCTTCTAGGTACCTCATCTCCCTAGAACTAGGACACTATCGAGGTTGCGCTCTGTCTTTCGAAATTGGCTTTGGCCGTATGAAAATCCTAGGCTCGGCAGCTGCGGAGCCAACAAGGCAGTATCGAACCCGGTGGCGTTGACTCTTACAGTCTCATCTCCGAGGTGTCTTTGCTGCGGGTGGCTGCCAGAAAGCCTCGTGCGAGCCGCTCGGGGCACAGTCAGGCACCAAACATGAGCCGAATGGCCTGGTCACTACTTATCGAGGCAACTATGGGAGTGCCGCGCGTCTGCTGAGGTTGCAATTTACTTCAAGGTGTGATGGAGCACCTCCGAGCTGGGACGCATCCGGTATATCGACTGTTGTGAGGTAGCCTCCCACGACTCGACGCCTGTGCCGCAATACTTGGCAAGTTGGTCAACATAGTCCCGTGACAATATCTGTATCTCAAGCCGTTGGGTTCTGGACCTGTCAGGTCATCTTTGTTAAGCAAGTTGCACAAGTTAGACCATCAATGACCATGGACGTCCTTGCTTTGCATTCTGGAGGTGTAGGGATGGTGTCTCATGAATCGTCTCATCAACCACCATGACGATACGATGTTTCTGAGCGGCTTCTTGACCATGTATGTTGTACTGTATGCTGTGTACAGTTAAGGTTCGATGTACTAAGAGCCCCTTAATCTAGCCCACGTGTCATGACAAATTGGGAATTGAAAGGCCTGCCAAGCGCGAGGTAGCGATGCTTCACGGGGAACGATTGCGTTTGGCCTGCCAATCAGCTTGCTAGCGAAGGGGGAACCAAGTGCTTACACCGTGTGATTCGGCCTAGACCCTGAGGATGAAAGCATGGGAACCAATAATGACCATACCAAATGCCTTGGCAGGACACAATTCGCCGTCCGGAGCCGGAGCCAGCACCATGTGAACATCTGCACTGTATTCTACAGTCATGCGAGAATGTGGCACGGATAGTCTTGATCAACGTACTCTCGTGGGTTTTCCGGCCGCGCTTCGAAGTGTTGGTTGTAATCGTTGAAGCCTTTATGGTGTCTCTACGACTATATACACTAGTCTACTGTACAGCATGCTCGTCCTGAGGGGGCTAAACCTATTATTCTGACGCCTCTAAGCATGACCGGGTATCGTTGCTCCATCGCTGTGATCGTGTCCATTTTGATCGTTACCAATGACTCCATCCTGCGCCGTGAATTCCAAAAGAGGTCTACCAAGGGTCCACCCTTAACAGAGTAAGCCAACCAAAAACCCAACGCCGATCGCTATGCATATTCCAATGATTTGTGTACTTCCATGCGGTCGGAAAAAAGAACCCGCATCATTTGACGTCTCTGTTGCTGCGGGTAACGCAGACGTTCCCCTCGGCAGGATTACTGTACTCGTTGCGTAAGGTTGCGCAAAGGTATACGATGCCGATCCCACTCCACTTGGCCCGATTGTCAACGTCTGCCCATCGATCACGGTGGTTATTGCAGTCGTTGCCCAAGTGCCGATGGCAAACGTTGTGCCATCAATAACCACTGCCGACCCCCCAATCTCCGTGATGGTAGCACCGCCTACGATTTCATAAGTCGTCGCTGTTGGGGCTGCTGTTGGACCGCCTAGAGTCACCCCGTGCACGGAAACGCCGGTGGGGCCAATGAGAATAGTGTCGCCATCTACAACCTTGGTGGTGACACCGGAGCCTGGGCCGTAGGTAAAGGTGGTGCCCTCCACTACAACTAACGAATTACCGATGGCAGTGAGTAGTTCCCCACCCAACACAGCTGCTTCTGTTACGCCGGCGGCCTTGATGATAGGAATGGTTGCGCTAGGGAAGGCGATGCCTCCGGGACCAAGCGTAATAACTTGGCCCTGAACCACCGCTGTTGAGGGCGTACTGCCCACCGTGAAGACTGTACCATCGATCGTTGCTACAGTGGCACCGTAGACAACCTGCAATCCCCCAATGGTGGTCGTTGTAGAGGTTGGTATGAAAATTGCTCCACTTGCCGGCCTCGTCACCGTTGCACCAGCACCAATAACTTGGCTTGGATCAATGACAAATGTATCGGTCCCGACAACGACTGTCGATGTCTTGCTTTGAGGGCTATCGGTGAAAGTTTCTCCATTGATGATGACTTGCGTCGTTTGGATGATGACGGTAACAGCCGTTGACGATGTAGGACTTTGTTTGACAGCTTCAGGTGTACTTGTTGTGACGGGCGGCGGCCTGGGTGACGAGAGTCGGCCATATTCTGGAATTCCTGTAGGGTTATCATCACCATCTGGTGTGTTATGGTCCTGAACCATGGTTGTCCCTCCACTACCGTAATTCGGAGGCTTTTCAGATGAAAACACGACGACAGGATTTTTGTCTGTCGTGTAGAAGGTGATCGTTGAAGGTGCTCCTCGTACTTTAGTCGAGGTCGCAGCAATGGTCGATGTCACTTCAGTCGCTGTGGGCGGTGGCCTGCGATTGCCATCTCCATCTCCGGTTGAGGGGTAAGTGTACTGTGAGCAAGTCTCGCCGGACCCACCACATACCGAGACAGACAGTCGACCGGTTGTCTGAGAGCATACGGGCGGTGTGGTAGGGGCTGGGAATGGGGCCGTGTAATCACTAGGAGGTCCGGTCCACGTAGTAGTCCAAGTGTGAATGGTAGACCATATCGTAGAAGCGCCGGGATTGGTTGCGACACAGCTTTGAGGGTTGTCTGTGGTTATGCCATCATCCCTGTTTTGTGTACTATCGTCTTGCGGCGTAACCACTGGTGACTGTGGCTTGTAGGTCACAATAGTAATGTTGTAGACAGGACTAACTGTAGAGTTTGGTACAAGGCTGCTTCCCGTGCCATTGACCGGATAAGGTATCGATGAAGTAGTCAACGGGTTCACAGCCGCGATTGTGCTGGTGAAAAGCGTTGGCGAAGATAACATTGATGATACCAGACTTGATGCAGAAACCTCTAGTTGCGATTCGGATATGAGGCTACTTTGCCATGTTGGGGAAGTAGTAGGACTGGATCCAGCTATTAGAGTTACAGGTGCACTTGGTCTTGGCAATGCTGTAATCGACCCGAGTCCCTCAAGAGTAAACAGTTGGTTTGTCGATGTGGATATTGTCGTAGCCACGCTACTCAATACAGAATTGGATTGCGGTATCGACAGCGATGTCGACGGTGAAACTGCCTCGGTTGGATTACTTGAGGTAGCAGTGGCCGGGATTGTCTGGTTATCCGATAGCATGCGACGTGCAAAACGACCCCAGTGAGGCTCTAGATGGACGTTAGTATTGCAGACTCAAGTACGGTGAAAATGCCTCCACTGACCTGCTGTAACTGGTTGCAGGCCATGAACCAAGAGGGCTACGACAAAAAGCAACGCGCGGTCCATGAGCAACATGGCCTCAACTTTTCGAGCCTATTTTGAAGGCCGAATCCTTGAAGTTAAGACCAGACCACACGCGCGAGAAGTGTCCGAGACGTTTTCAAGATGCCGCCAAGTATGCGAGCATTCGAGGATGGAGTCGCAGGTGTCTGGTCATAGGGCAGACATAGTGGCACGCGAGCTGGCAGTGGACGAGTGAAGAAAAGCCCAAGACTATGGCAGTCGTGAGGGAAACGAATGACAACCGCGGTATAGGCAATCTACGTAGGTCATTGTGGGTAGGATTAGGACGTGGAGGGGGATAAATGGCAGATGTCGCGAAGCGAATGGCTTCTAGCTTATCCCAAGCCCTCGTATCAACGGCATTTGCTTGCAATATCAGAGAGATTGGCACTTGTGTGGGTCGACTCATTTGAGATGCTGACCTGGCCCAGGGCCGGCCAGGGGAAACAGCCGGGGTGGACTGGGTTGTCTCGGTCCTCAGCAGGGTCATGACGGGGCCACTTGAGAACGGAGCGCAGCCACACACCCGCCGTCTGGTAGCTACCAGTAAGCTTATCACCCTAGTTAGTCTTGGAGCAACCGGGGGCTCTTCAGCGCAATGCATGGTGTGCATACTTGGGCTGAGATCGCAGATCAGCTCCAAGTTCCAGGCGGAGGGACACCGTCGAAGACTTTGGAGGCAGGGAGGGTTCCGCAAGTTGCGATGAGCACGACGCCGTAGGGTCTGTTCTCCGAAGAGGTCGGGGAGTCTGGTAGGTGTCATCGCTTGCAAATTAAGATGGAAAGTCCTTTGCATGAAAACGACGGCAAGCCGTTTTGGGTCAGCTCCGCGTATTTCGTGCATACGGCCATCTGACCAGAAGACAACCTGCTCCGTGTGGTATGGCACTTTAAGCGGCCAGACGGCTTGTCGGGACATCAGGGTCTCTTGAGGTACGCGGGTACTTTGGGGAGAGAAGACACGGAAGGTCGGTGCCGGATCTTCGCTCCAATCAGACGTTCAATTGGGGGCCAAGATAACTCAGCACGGGTGGTCTCTGGCTGCTGACACTGGTGACCCTAGCCCTCACTGACTCTGGTTCAAGCCAGCTTCATGGGCTCCAATAAGGCCATAGGAATTACCTGATGGAGATTTACAATAGAGGGGAAAACAGCGACAGATGACACGACACCAGAGTGAAAGGCATTCATCAGGATTCACCAGCAGTACGTTGAAGCGAGGTAACGAGGCACTCGTTCTCTCGGCCCGGTTAGCCTCGTGGTGGCGATATGCTTCAAGCCTTCGGGAAAACGCTAAAGGGCTTCTAGTAGGTCAAAAGCAAATCATAACACAGCGCTGGGCCCAGCCAGAACAGCAAAGAAGAATGATAGGATCAAATAGCCAATGCCGAACAGGTGGTTTCGAGGCGCATCCAGTGGCTGAAGCCTTCCGGAGAACCGCTGCTGGCTTGAGTCTGGTCTTCCTCAAGCCACTATGTTGATTAGTTATATTGTATCAAGACGCTGTGGTCCATCCTGGTTGCAAACACCTATGCCGTATGAGCTGACGAGCCTCCGAAAGGGAATTTCTCTCCATCGAGAGTGTCTTGGTTCACAACTTCGCCATACTGGGTATACATTAACGTCAAGGGTTCGCATAGCAACCATCGGGTTTGGAATCAAGGGTCATCAAATTACCCAGGCGGCCTACTTTCGCCTGGGGATTCTCCAAGATTTCTGCTCGCGATCCCAGTGCCATGGTTACAGTACCTAGGCTATCGCCTGTTCGAGCCTTAAAGTCCCCAAGATTCGCAGGGATCAGTGGCTTCAAAAGGCCATCCATTGGTCTTCAAGGCAGGGGTTTCTTCAAGAAATGCTAGTCGGAAAGCGCTAGAGAACGGGAATGGCGTACCCACACACCGGCACCGGTAGCGTGGACGTGTCCTCTTATGAATCCCAAGAAGACAATTACCGAAGCATGCCAAACAAACTATCGAAAGAGACGCGCACGCTTCTCTGCAAGCTGGCGGAGAACAGCAGATCACGCGAGGCGGCACACGCTCAGGACTATGCAATGGGGGGCCGGGAGAAAAACTTGCATTTGGACGTATCGAGGCCGAAGAGGCGAGCGAAAAAGCTTTACGGCCATAGCGTCTGGATACCCAAGTGCTGCCTTCCCAATGGATGAGTCTCGCCTATTTACACCTCAGCCTAGAACGGCTTTGGCGGACTCTACAGGTATGCCATGGGCATTTTGCACGTAACCCTGACTGGTGGACTGGTGCACTCGGTGCCTTGCTGGTTGTAGGGTCGGACAACGGCCGCATTGGACGGTAGCCTTACCAAATACCAAACCATGAGTACCTTAGCTATGCCGATCATGGAAGGTGACCAGGGCAACATACGCCGGCTGGACGCACCCCCGAGACTACATAGCATCCCCAGGTGCACAACAGCACCGCTGCTACTCGCCTTCTTGCTCACTTCCTTACATGACAGAAGACAGGGCGAGCCTCCACTTGTTCTTAGCTAGTTTGAAGACTTAAAAACACCATGCTGATCGTTGTCCAAACGCATAGCAATCGCAGCAAGCACCAGTCATGACGGCATGACGTTTGGTTTGACTGATAGCCCTGAACATGTAAGTCTCGCCGTGAACTAAAGTCTGGCTTGTCGGCTATTGAACATGCATCTTTGCGACTAGCATGTCGAAATGAATGCCGACACTCTTTACAAACAATCTTCTTCAAACACAGTATTATGCAAGCTCAGGCGGGTCCTTCCTCTGACTCGAGACACAGACATTCGTCAAAAGTCAATAGTCTCCGGCCGGATTTTGCAATTTGTACTATTGGGACGTCGTGAGTTAAACGGGACTGCAAAGTTAACCTCTTCAGTCGTGACATAGACAGGCTGCAGCCGAATCCAAGTGAGATAGGATTTTCATAGCAGATATCACCATCGATGTACTCTATACTCACTATAAACTACGGAAAGAGTGCTCCGTAGCAAGATTACCATACCATTACGAATACGTACCATTGGCAGCACTGCGACATACGTATGATGTTTAGAATACTTCTTTACTTTATCAAGCTCACGCCATTTCTTGAAAGGATGTATTTATGAAACGTGCGCTGAACTCCGCGGCGAAAGCATGAGACTGCCCAGCACGGCTGTGGTACTTGCGTCAGACCATCAGAATATGCCCTGCCCAGCACGAGAACACATCCCATCCGCCAGTACAACACTCGATTCATGCAGTGTCGTCCTTATCCCAAGGAAACGCAAAGTATCTTTGTATCCTTTTGCGGAGAAGCTATCATTCGACATGTCGGCAAAAAGGGAGTTACTCTCATTTAACCAGATGTACAATGTGTACAAGGAATTGCCGTGGGCGACAATCTTCAGCTTCTTGCTACCTACCGGCAAGGGTCCGCATTGATTGGCCCTGAAATTGAAGGTCAATGTCGAACCCATCCTCTGCGACCGTTGAAACGGGCGGACCAATCGGTCGCTTGCTTCAAGGCCCACAGGCTTCCAGCCGTCTTCAAGCATACAGACTTTGTGCGTATGGGTGTGTATGCTGACACGGCTTGCACGGAATGTCCATGCAAGAGACAATCAATCGACGAGTGGCCAGCAATCCACGCAGCAACGTTTTGAGGGGTTGTCGCGAGCCATCGGCTCATTCTGCTGCCCCCGACCACCGTTCCCTTGCCAGACCTTGCTTGCCCCATGGCGATGCCGCCCGCCCACGGGAAGCAGCCAGGTTGTCTGCAAAATCGGCTAGACTAGTACGCACCCGAGCTGATCTGAGCAGACAGTATCTGATTCTTTGGATCGGCAGTGCTCAGTTTTGCAAGGTTAACATGCCATGGTGGACGGCAATCTGAACCTTGGCCAGATACGACAGCGAGATGAGAGATGACAGGCCCCCTGAAGCTTCCTTCCTCAGAGCTCATTGATGACAGCATCAGAGCTGACAGTGTGATTGAGTCGGCCTCGCCAATGAACGTCCTGTTTCGCCTGGCCCTGACAACGCGCTCCACGCGCTCCACAGGCCGTATGTCCTGTTCTCAAAGCTCAATGGTGACATTCCGAGAGATTCCCAGCTGGAGGAACCCCAGTGCCGCAGATTTATGACAACAATGATGAGATCATAAGGGGAAGGCGTTCTCAGTTACAGCCAGAGTCTGTCGCCAGTCGACGAGATATGCCATCCTACATAAGTAACTAGTGTATGTAAGCGCCTCAATCGCGTGTCACGGAATAGAACGCTACAGATCCGCGAGGCCGGGTGTTCGTACCATAATAGAGGCTAGCTCTGCGTCGACTTTGCTTTTGCAGCTCACCGGCCGGGTGTCGGTTGGTGCTCTTCTTAGCAAAACGGGCTTGTCTGGCGGGCTCCAGTCAGATGGCTTCAGGGCCCGGCGATGCTAGAGATTTAGCGTGAGCCACGCAGCCATGGGGGCGTACCGTGGATCTTGCGATCCCTGATATTTTCCTCAACTGTCCCTTTAGCCACCGACGCCCCCTGTTCATCACGCGATGTGCTGGCTGGTGCTCATGCTGGTCGTCTGAAGTGCGGCACCGTCTGCCACTGGATAGGATCCCGGCCGGCTACCCTGGCCAGGAACCCACCTGCAGAATTTAGAGGGTGCCCTGTACTTTACTGCCGGAATTGCAGGCTGCCCGCCCGTCTGGGTTTCGTTATCGTTTCTCTCCCTCTCCATGCGCGCCAGTGACGGGAACTCAGAGACGACACGATTGGGAACGTTGAGCATCACGAGGGCCGATCTGGTGGATTTGCGACTGCGAATAGCCTCGTGCTACGCACCTTCTGGGCTTGATGGACTCTAGCATTTCAAACTCCCATTAGCCCCGAATGCGTTCCTCGGAAGCGCATCCGTAACCTCACGCGAGTGTGCGTACGGCCGCCACCGGGAGTCACCACGACTCGCGACAATGTTCCCGACACATTCCACGGCTCGCATACTAGGGGCCCTACTTTCTATATCTCGTTTGGTCCAAGCAGATGTTGAGGCGTTATGGCTGGAACCGTCCTTGAAATGGTACGGCGTTGACGGCAATTGGTCTTCCATGGGCCTATTTGTTGGCGAGCCAGCGCAACAAGTCGACGTCACGGTTAGCACCTGTCTGTCCGAGATCTGGGTAGTAGAGACTACAGGCTGCGGGTCAAGTAAGGGAACATCAACGCGGCTGAGCATGAATATGAACTAATTAGGGGGCTAGGTGTCCTCTGCGAAACCGCTCGTGGGGGCCTATTCGACAGAAGGGCATCCAACAGCTGGACATCCCTTGGCCCATGGCAACTTGGCCTGGATTACCTAGGACAGGGCGGCAACGGAGATTATGCAATGGAAACAGTCGTCGTCTACGACAGCGTATCCCGATGGCAAACGACTCTCCAAAAACAGGTTGTTGCCGGCATCAATGACACCGACTATTACACGGGGTTCTTCGGCTTAGGCATTACTCCAGGTCGTTTCGGAGACACAGTGGCGCCGAGTCCTATATCTGCCTTGGTCGAGCGCGATGGTACCATTCCGAGTCATAGTTATGGGTACACAGCCGGTGCGTATTATGGCGGCCCGTACGGAACACCATTGTCGTTGACACTTGGTGGCTACGATGAGAACCGGTTTGTCTCTCACGGTACAAATTTCAGCTTGAATCCGAGGACAAGATTGCCGGAGGTGCTTGTCAGAGGGGCCACTGCAACAATCGGCAGCATTGAGAAAGCCCCAACTGCGTGGACATCAACTTCGGTGCCACTGATGTCGTTCAACGAATCGGTTACAGCAATCATCGATAGCTCGACCCCGTATCTTTGGCTTCCAACTGTAGTGTGTGACCGGTTTGCGCAAGCGCTCAATCTAACGTGGAATGACACATTGGATCTCTACACATTCACCGACAACGCAGTATTCGAGAGCTTCTCAGACACAGACCTCTCCTTCACGTTCTCCCTTTCCAGCGCTGACAACCAGGACAATTTTGGCCGCCCCTTCGACGTGCCTGGAGTTGTGAACATCACAATTTCGGCCAACGCGTTTGCTCAAACTCTTCGTTACCCCTTTATGGATGTGTTCCAGTATGGCGATCGCGCGGTTCCTTATTTCCCGCTTCGAAGAACCGATTTTGGGAATCAGATGATTATAGGGAGATCATTCCTACAAGAAGCTTACTTGAAGGTGAACTATGAGGCTAGCACGTTCTCAGTTCACCAGGCACTGTTCCCCGACAATCCGGCACGCAATAAATCTATTGTAACAGTGAAGTCTTCGGAGAACAGTCCCTATCCAGGCCCGGCGACGGCCTCGGATAATTCGGAAGGACTGAGCAAGTCTGCAACTGTAGGGATTATCATTGGTGCATGCTTGATTGTATTATCAATATCCTTCACCGTCTGGTGGCTGCGACGAAGGAAGCGGAAGCAGAAGAAAGCGGTGAACACGGAGGTGGATATCAAGGACACAGACTCATCGGTCGAGCCCGAAACACCACGGACGCCGGTCGCCCGGATGTTCTCGCGGATTACAAGGAGGCTACCGGGAAGAAGGAGCCGGAGAGGTGTTGCGCACGAGATGTCTGGAGATAACACTCAACCGGTCGAAGTGGGAGGGGCCGAACGGTATGAGCTGGCGGTCCCACTGGAGCCGGTGGAGTTGGATGCGACTGATGCTCATTCGATCAACGGCACCACGGAACTGGGGACAGAGGAGACGCATGAAATTAGTTCCTATGAACTGGCACGCCGGAAAATGGAACGGCAGCTACAGGGACCAGTGCCGGAGTACACCCCCGGTCCATCCCCGCTAGAATCGCCGATTGAGGGAGCAGAAAAGAGCTTTCAGGACATCAGTCGTGTGCCGCACTATCGACCCTCGAATCGTTCGCTCCGTTCGGACAGCACAAGTCTATCCCCAGCATCTACTCCTACACACGACAATTACTCGTACTCAATACCCTCTCCAATGACACCTTATGGGGAGTGGCCTACAAGTCGGATGCCGGACTTTCCATCACCCGCTTTCAATCCGCCGAGTTCATTCTCTCGGTCGCTCTCCCATTCAGGCTCAACGTATAGCCCGCCGTCCCCGGGCACACTCGATCATCGGCCCCTGAGCCGGTCTGCATCCTCAAGCGGATCACCTCCCTCTACCAACGCCTCACTCATGCCACCGGTGCCCACATTTCAACGGGCACCAATTGACCCCTCCAAGGTGGTGTGCCTAGGTCCCTTGCCTAACAACATTCGCCCGCCGCATCCGACATCGATGCCACGCCTATTGAACCCGGCTGGCCACGCCTTCACTCTCCCGACGATTCCTTCAGCGGCGGAGTCGCGGCGGGAGTCGACAGCCGACACGCTCGGGAGCAACTTCACGGTAGACGAGGAAGCTCATATTCGAGATGAGATTGAGCGAAATGGGACTTTTGGAGAGCCAGTGGCGGAGGAGGAACCAGAACTCCACTCTGCCCGTTCATTCGGCACACTCGACGGGACCGATCTGGTGCATATACCGCAGCCGACGACTCCGATTACTGCAACACCGAACACGGGACGACTAGAGACAAGAGTCGATCTTGTCCACGTGCCGACACCGGTAGATCCTACTGTGGTCTCCAGCTCTGCCGCTCAGCGCCTCAATGGTTTCGACTTGGTCCATGTGCCGCAGCCAGCAGAGAAGCGGTATAGTTGGGAGCAGTGAGTCCGCGACAACGGACAACCTCTATTTACAAGCAGATCGGCGGATCCCCCTGTCTGCAAAGCTTGACGCACATCTTTTCTTTCTTATATATTTGAATCTGCATACAGTCTAAATAGCGACGGAGTTCACGGCTGGCTTTTCTTTTGGGTAATCGCGAAAATGAGGGAAATGATACTACCGCGGCCCAGTTCCCCGCTCACGAGTCGGAACTGATGGGATAATCTTGGTTAGGGCTATACCACATATACTAAAGGTGTTCTGGGAAAAGGAGTTCACCATCGAGGCAGATAAAGGCTGGTTTCATGCACCCGACCTCTGGTCTCCAAGCTTGATCAGCAGTAGTGTTCCCCAATGGGGTTGGGCAGATACTTCGCCAAACTAGTGAATAAGTTGTATATAACATGCAAAACATATATAGCGCAGCGCGAAATCCAGACAAAGATTGAAGACAAATGCCTGTACCCCCCTGTGACAGGATCGTGCCCAAGCGATCATAAACGTATGTTAAACGCCAGTAGGACAAGGCGTCGTCGTTTAAGGTCGCTATGGTTTAGTGTCTTCAGAGCGTCTTCTTACTGGGCAGATCATGTAGTAGGTAATGGAGTGGTGCCGTGGAAGCGATTTCACATGTCCATCTGCATCCCACTAAACGGCTCGGGATGCACGTCGGTAGTCTACGAATATTTGATGCGAGTCCCCGTCTCAATATTCAATATCGCCATGACTCAAGCAATTTTTCTATGCAACCTGGTATGCGTGGTATGAACTTAGAATCATTGCCAAGTAAGAAGGCCGTTCCCGCCCCCTCCAGTTCCTCGAGATCAGCCGCTTCCAAGAACAGCAAGCGCCGGCAAACAGACCGCTTCCGTCACTGCCGTATCTGAGTAGGTGATCAGGCGCTGCTCGCAGGTGACCAATACGAGCCTGTGCCAAAATCGGAAAAAAGAACCGAGTTCGATGCTGCAGAATTCCTGCACGATTGGATGGGTAGTAGGGTACGACCGCGTGGCTTGCAGGATGCCACCTATACCTCGGAAGGAGATGTTGCATCTGGGCATTCGGCCGAAACGAGGCCGGACATTTGAGTTGTGCAATACTGAGCGGCTGTGCATCGCGTACGTAACGTAAGACATCCGCAGTGCAGTCTATAATGACAAGAACAGACGAGGATCATAGGTTATGCAAAATGCCAGTCGCTACCGTAATCAAACTCGATAATTAAAACTAGGGTCTGTCAAAAACTTGTCTAAAGCGTTCCGAGAGCAGAAAGGAACCACTGCGCTGAATGAACACAGGGTACGAAGAGAATCAAACAACACAGGATATCTCGAAGTGAAACCATGAACAAGCACCACGCGACCGCACCAATGTTCAGAACGCTCTCTCTTTGCCCTTCCCCTTTCCGACCGGAGCCAGTGCCGGGAAGTCGTTACCACCGACACTGGCGCTGGCCTGGCTCAGTTTGCGACTCTCTTCCTCAGCAAGACTCAGTTCCAGTGCTAGCCGTAGATCATCGTCCATGTCGTGACCCTCTGCAGCTGCGCCAGACGAGCCAGCACGCTGAACTACAGGCGTTTGACTTGAAGACGGGGTTGATGGTGATCGTTTCCCTCGCTTCTCCTTATACATAACTGGGAACTCATAGCTCTCTGAGCTATGTTCGCGGGGAGATTGGCCGGCATCGTTGACGCCTTCAAGTAGAGAAAGCCGCAGAGCTTGTTGGATTTGGAGTTCGTAGTCGATCTCATCGTCCGGTGCGTGGGCAGCGGCACTAGTACTTGCCGCGGGCGGAGTTACGCCACTTACGCTGGGGTCAGGAGTGACAGTATCTAAGCTCCTGCCACTTGTCGATGTGGTGTCGAAGGCCGAGCCTGTATCGCTCGCGCTAGTCCGGCGCTGCTCATCCAGCAAGAAGGACTCTTGAGAGACCATCTCTGCGTAACGGAGAGCCTCCTCTTCGGTGAGGTCAGCGAGACCAACACCGAAGCGGGCACGAAGCCGTGTCTGCTCTCGTGCTTTATGTTCCTGCTCTAAGCGCAGCTCCTCCGTTTCTGCGGCAATGTATCCTTTGACACCGCCCCCAAACCGCCGTCCCTCAGAGCGGTTGTGTACATCAGAGTGTCTAAGACGGCGCTTCCTGCCTGCCGGTTGCCCTGTAGAACTATAGGCCCAGTACCGCACAAAAGCGCCAAAGCACACTATCCCTCTCAGGACGGTGGGATCAGGGTCCAAGTATAGGGCTCCGGCGGCAGCAAAATTGCTGCTTTGCAAGGCGGGATTTACATTGAGCATATGCCGAGGAACACGCCCAGTAGAACGTGCGTTGAGGGTGCGGATCGGGTCGGAGACAGATGCCAAAGGATCCCAGGCTTGCACAAGTCCGTCGCTCCCACCGTGCACCAGATACAGGGCAGAGATAGCCAAGGAGGATATCTCAGGCGATTCTGTCTGGATGATACGGACAGGTTGTAGGCCATCGGTCAGATGTCCTTCCCTCATATTCCACAGAAGCACAGACCCAAGGCTAGTCCCAACACCAAAGAACCTCGCACGACGGCCAGGGATATCCGAAGGAGCCTGTGCAGTCGGCGTCGCTGGTATATCCGATATGCTAGCAGCAGATGCCAAGGGGTCTTCAGAAGTGATCATTAGGCCGTACAGGGACATGTCGATGCTCGTGGCGGTAATCTTGGCATTCTTGTTTGGCAACAAGAGCTTGGTTTCACGCCAATCATCAAGGCCATGTGTAACGGGTAGCACAGGAGATTGAGTACCAGAAGATGTCAACACTTGCTTCAGAAGTGGCGATCCAGATGTAGTTGGGGATGCCGTTCTGACTGGGCCACCACCAAACAAGGATGGTGTAGGGTGAGGTTCGACAGGGGTCTCAGCGCCTTCTGTGGGACAGCCCTCCTGGTCGGCACGATCGGGAACAACTCGAGTAAAGCGGGTAACAGCCGATCTGTGGTCCTCCTCAAGTCCGCATTCAATAACGAAGATGCCTTCCCCGAAGCCGTGACCGTCGTCAGCGGCGAAGTCCACCTCAAGTCTCCGGCGCATATCCCAACCATTACACACTTTGCGGAAGTGATTAGGCTTATAACGCAGGAACTTCTCGATTTCCCGAGCTTCGGCGACCATCTGGTCCTTCTTCAAGTTCATTCCATTAGAAGGAGACCGTGGGGAGTAAGCACCCCGAAGAGCATTCCGCCCAGATTCGTCGGGACGCGCTTGGCGGCGAGTGGCATCGACCAACTGCCAATAAGTAGAGCGTCCGGCGTGCCAGGCACACTTGGTGGCGTCTTCGGCTTTGGACTTGGACGCGAGCGGTGTTGGCGGTTGTGTCAAGTAGTACACTTCACCCAATGCGTTCAGAGCAACTGCCCACACACGGCCAGCTACTTTTCGCTTCTGGCTATAGCCATCATCAACCACAATTGAGATGATGGGCACGCCGGGACTCAGCACCCAACGTGCCGTGATTGCCCCGTTGGCGTAATGTGATGCAGAGGATTCGGTCCCGAGTGAAAAGGCAGTGACAATGCCAAGCGTAGAACCAGTCAAGATGCCTACCATCGATTGCGTGACTGACGGGACAGCATTTGACTTGGCAATCCAGACAGAAGAGATGGCTTCAGAAAGCTCTGGGATCTTGGGGATATCTGGATGAGCGTCTACAATGCTCGGCTCTTGGCCCAGATACTTGCCTCGGAAGACACCAGTCGGACGGAAGAACACCCTGCCTCCCGGGAAACCTTCACCGCCGACAACTCCGAAAGGCTGGCTAACATCCATAACATTTGGCACGGCAGCGGGACCTTCTCCAACGCCGTATGGCAAGAGCTGAGGAACGACCTCATCAAGCTGAGCGAATGCAAACGGATCGTCGAGTCCCCATTTCTCCACTTTCCCGCTTGTGGGATCGCTAGCGCTGCATACATTCAAGTCTGCTGCGCCATGCACTACTCGAGGTGGCTTCTTGGAACTGGAGGCGAAGGTGGCATGGGCATTGGTGACCATCGAGGGCAACTTCGAGTTGTAGGTCAAGACCGCACTTAACTTCTTGCCAGATTGGCTGCTCCGAGCAGAAGATCCAATGCCGCCAGACGTTGAGCCAGGCTTGCCTCTTGCAAGACTCCTCAAGAGCTTGGTGCGTAGTAGATACTCGCTTCGCCAAGAGGCATGAACCGTGAGACGTGTAAAGTGGCGCACCTCTGATCGTATGAACTCAGAATCGTCCTGGTCCAAGAGAGGCTTTGGCTTGCCAGCCAGCAGCAGCGCATCTTGGCCCGGGAAGAAACGCTGGAACGCCATGCGCCACGCATGTGGAGTTGTCACGAGCGTATAGAATCTCCGCGAGACCAGAGCGACGGCAGAGTGCGAATCGGGATGCAGGTGAGATAGGATATGCGTCAAGATCTCTGCAGGAGGTCAGTCAGCTCGGTTGCGCTTCGAAACGGGAAGCAACTCCACATACCATTGGGGAAATCGGCAAGCTGCGGGCCATCATGCTGAGGGTTGGCGCGCCTGATGACCTTGAAGCCTAGAGCCTGTCGGGGCGTCGATGGGGTTAAGGCATTTTCGTACTCAGATATTCGGTGGCCCGGAGCTTGAAGGGTGTCCTCAAGGCTCAGTCTGCGCAACCTCTTCTCGAGCTGGCCAGCGTTGACACCGTCGGCAGACGCGCTTGCCCCGTCGCACCCAGCAGCGAGGAGCGAGGCAGGCTGTGGCGACGTGCTCCGAGAGCGTTGCTGCAGCTGGCCGGGGTTGGTGCCATCGTGTTGGAGCTCGTGAAAGCCATCTTGGTGGGACGTTTTCGGGGAGACTGGGCTGCTTGTTTCTTGAGCGCGTTTGGAAGACTCAGGAAACTCTAGTTGCATAAAGTACGGTGGCGGAAGCGTAGGGGAAGTTTGATTCGACTGTGCAATATCTAACGGCACAGTCGGAGAGTCGGTGAGTGAATCAGGGTTGCAAGAATTCGGGCGCGGTCGGGATTGTGGTGCGGTGTTGCTGAGCTTCCTGGGTCGGTTGCGATGTGAATCATAAGGGGAAAAAGGTTGAACGACGTTTCCTGCCCACGTCACGGTTCGATGGGACATGGGGGAAAGATTGCGATTGCGGCCCGTGCGAAAATGCCGCCCGAATCCACCCGCTTACATAAGTGGACCGCCCGTCTTATACGCCAGCAGCACAAGCTCCCTTGCCCATGATCTACTTCTCACGATCAGCGGATCTGCTGCAACGAGGTAGAAGAATAAGCAAGGGCCCAGGTGACCTGATACATGTGGAAAATTATTCAGTCACTGAAACGCCCCAATCATATGCTGATGCATATCACTCATCGTAGCCGAGTCTCCGGCTGGTGTCGCTGTCACGAGCAGGTCTGGCTGAAACGGGGAATATCCCGCCACAGCGCAAGTCTTGCTGTTCCACCGCCCGTCGGCTCTCATCCATATGAGACCTTCTAAGGAATCCCAGATAGTTACTATTGGTTTAGTTCCTTCAAATCTGGGGGTTCATATGCACGCAGCGGTATCGCAGATTCGAGTCAGAAACCTGTTGCGATATGAGTTCTATTCTGGGAGAATGCTTTCCGTCAAGTCGAGATAATGCGGCCTATCTTCTCGACCCATGGACATGCTTGTTCACGACTCGCTCCGCTCCCATGCAAGTGAACTCAAGCCGTACACTCCTTGCTCACAATCTCCTGTGCGATGATTTCAGCCGCCCACACAACACTCTCTTCAACCGAGGACAAGCGAGCCGGACGGATATGGACGCCGTGACTTGGATTAGCCACGCGATGGCAGTCATCTTGGGGACTTAGCAGGTAAGCATGGTAGCGTGTGTATCGGTCCCTATATGATCATCAGGGTCAGCCATACTAGTATTCCCAGGTTTGAGAGGTGGTAGTTCCCGATAGGAACCCCAGGAAAGGGATTTGAAGTGAAGTTAGTATACCGAGATGCTAGACTTCAAGATGAGAAGGGGTACGAGCAACAGTTCCGTGACTACACTACAGGCAAAGCACCAAGGGATCAAACGATCAAACCTACCAAGCGTGCTCAAAGTACCACTCATACCGCCAGTGGTGCTTGGGGAGCCGTCCGTGGGGATTTGCTGCTGAGCGTTCCCTGTACTCGGCCCTGGCAAAGCGACGCTGGTACGCTGTATCTCGGGGTACAGGGAGGAATAATGCCAGGTCCAGGGACTCTCTGAGCGCGTGTTGTGCCAGACGCTGCTGGGAGACAAAGTCCATGATGGCCTCCTCGTCGCCCGACGGGAGCTTGAGCAGGTCCTCCTGGGACGGTTGCGCCAGAATCACACTGCCCTCGACAATGGTGAGGCAGGAGCACAGGGTTGGGAGGCCGGTCGCGGAACTGAGTCTGAGTAACTGCCCGTCGTTGGTGTTGTGGGCCTTGCGGTAGTTGTATGCCCGGACCAAGGCGGCCTTGATCATGGTCGTTGCCACGTCAACGGCCTGTTGAACAGGGCTGTTGGGGAGACGGATGATGATCGAGGCGTCTCCACCTCCAGCTCGAGGATTGTTGACATCGTGAAGGAGTCCGGTGAAGTCGACTGCCTCTATACAGTCTCTATCGACGCCATCCTTGGACTGCGCGGTGGTCGCTCTGGTTGGGTAATGGATAGCGGGTATCAAGACCAAAGGCCACTTCTGCTCAGATGATTTAATGAAGTGAAAATCCTGGTTTACAACCCTCGGGCCAGTGGTCGATTTGTCCAGGAACTTGCTGTTGTTTACCTCCTTGGAAGCGACGGATATGGCGTTATGCAACGCCACACGTAGTAGGCAGGAGAGGGTTGACTTCCCACTCGATGATGGCCCTCCTATGCCAATCTTGAAGGTACGCAAGGGAACCTCATTCTCTGATGCAGTCGCCATCCTGTTCTACAGTATGCTTCATGGGTATAAGAACGTATATTGAGACTGGGATAGCAATACAATGGTGAGAAATTTTGACTTAAGATCAACTTTATATCAGCTTTGTAAAAGCGATATTTGTAGTATTGCTTCCAAGTTAAATCACCACTCCGGTGAATATTGAACCGCCGTTGGCAAGTGAAAATTGGCAAAGCCGCAAGTTTGACGATCGTGAATACATGACTTATATTATTCTGATTTATGCTATCTGGATTGTTCCATAGAATATTCACAATCACTACTATAAAATCGTGTGAATTATCAAGGGTGAATGAGAGTTGGAAACCTCCAAGCTCATTGATTGTTCTCGAGGTATCCACAGCGAATGTGAGATTGTGTGATTGGTAGACGGCACCCAGGTGAGTCTCCCGCTCCATGTTCCAACAGACACAATACGTATTTTTGGAGCAGCCCGAGGCGCAGTAGCGCCCGAGCGGCCCGTAGCTATTCAGTTCTTTCGGCATCGACCAATGGGACAGGACACTGGCCAGTGAAGCTCCTGCTCTGCGCAGTGAATATCTTGATGCGTAGACCGATGGAGTGAGTCTCACTTCTAGTACATATACCAATACAAGAGGTGCCAGGGTAATGGCAACTCACGGAATACAGAAAGACGCCAGCGGACGTACGTTATGGCTTGGGAGATTCGAAGCAAGTGGAGAGCCCCTGTGTCCATGGCTTCCTAGTGTGAGACGTGATCAACGCCCGAGTAGACGCCTGAAAAGCAACTGTAACAATAAGCCAAGTGATGTGACCATGGTAGGCAACTCGGTACTCAAGCCAATCTATCAGTCCATCACCGATGGAAACTACTCCACTTCAGTGAAACTCGTCATGAGATAGAGATCACATAGAGATCACAATGTACAAAGGAATTTGCGTGTATTGAGAAAACAAGACTGAATGGGTCCATATTTTGAACTTGCTGTTTTGCCTATCCGCGGCTACCATAGTATGTACATAAGACTCCAGATTCCCACCTATAACACCATCCATCAAAGCAAAGAACCAGGCTCGGCTTAAGCAGCCGAAGCAAGAGGCTCGGGCTGGACGCCAACACGCTCCTTGCTCAGGATGTCAAGCATGAACTGAGTCGGTCTGTTGTCCTTGTAGACCTTCTGGGTGGCCTTGAAGGCCATGACGTCCTCGATGTACTTGTCAAACAGGTACGAGCTGTCCATGGGGCCACCCTTGGCCTCAGGGTGGAACTGCGTCGAGAAGATGGGCCTGGTGGTGTGGCGCATACCCTCGTTGCTGCCATCGTTCAGGTTGACAAAGTACTCCTTCCAGTCCTTGGGGAGGGAGGCAGCATCCACGGCGTAACCGTGGTTCTGACTGGTGATGTGGCATTGGCCGGTAGTCAAGTCCAGAGCCGGGATGTTGTGGGCTCGGTTTCCGTACTTCATCTTGACAGTGCGGGCACCGATGGCAAGGGCGAGCAGCTGGTGGCCCAAGCAAATTCCCATGACTGGAACCTGGGAGGTCTCCATGAGGGTTCGGAGGTTGTAGACGGTCTCCTGACAGTGAGTGGGGTCACCAGGTCCGTTGGAGATGAAGATGCCATCATAGTTGTCGGCGACCTTCTGGATCTTGAAGTTGTAAGGGAAGACGGTGACGCTGGCGCCACGGCTGACCAAGCTTCGCAGGATGTTCTCCTTGACACCGCAGTCGATGAGGGCAACGTGGAATTTGGGGTTGTGGGCCTCGACCACAAAGGGGGCCTTGGTACTAACCCTCTTCACGAGGTTGATCTGGCCGGGGTCGATAAAGCTCTCATCCTCATCGGCGTCGTACTCGTCACCAATGGAGATCCTAGCCAAGGAAGAACCTTGCTCTCGGAGGTGGGTGACGATAGCTCGGGTGTCCACGCCGGAGATGGCGGGAATACCCTCTCGGGCACACCACTCGCCCAAGCTCTCAACGGCAGTCCAGTGGCTGTACTGCTTGGCTACGTCCGTGACGACGACACCGGCACACTGGATGTGGGGAGACTCGAAGTACTTCAGCAGGTTCCACTGGTCGCGCTGGTTCGAGGGGACACCGTAGTTGCCAATCAGCGGCTGGGTGAAGACGAGAATCTGGCCACGGTACGAGGGGTCGGTCATAGATTCGGGGTATCCCACAAGGGAAGTGGTGAAGACGGCTTCACCCGAGATGTTGGAGTTGGCTCCAAAAGCAGTTCCTCGGAAGATGGGGCCATCCTGGGCGGAGGGAGTAGGGTTAGCAAGCTGAGCGGATTCGAGGGCGACGAGATGTCTCGACTCACTCGGATGGTGAAGGTGGCCTCGGTGCCAGACACGGGAGCAGTGGCACGGGGATTGAAGCCAGTGGGCATCACTCTGCCCTTGCTTCCCTGGTTGGCCTTCTGGGCCAGCGAGGCGGTGGTCGAGATGTATCGGGTGAAGCCAGCAGGCTTCATAGCCCGGGGGGCAATTCGGGCGAACATGTTTGTTCTAAGTTCGGGAGGTAAAGTAAAAGCTTTGGGATTATTCAATTGACCTCTCCTTAAGCGGACAGAGACCGCCACAAGTGGTCTGGATAGCCATGTTAGTCTCAAGGCGGTGAGTCAGGGATATGGAGCAAAATGGCGGACCTGAGATATAATCCTGTGAGATAAGCCCGTTAGCGACGGTCGCGAGTAAGTCGAGGGTCGCGAAGACAGAGGATTCAACCAAAACAAACACGGCACTAGCCTGCCCCCCAAGAGACATGTTCTTGTGGAAGGGAGATGCCATATCTCATGGTGGGGCGTGACGTGGAATTCCCGTTCCCCGAGAGCGCTGAGCTCCCGGGCAGTCAAAAAAAAAGCAGCGTCATCAGGGTCAGGGTCCGAGTCCGGTTCCCAGAAGAGGAACGCGACAGGGGCAACACGAAACGGCGAATCCAACATCAATTGGCAACGTACCTGCGAAGTGAAGACTGATGGACGCCCGGTCATAAGGGCAACGTTCCGAGCAGAGTCGTCAAGAATCGGTGTGAAGATGGGAGTGGGAGAGGGAGAGAGAGTCAAGGGCAGAGCGGTCGGATGCAGGCTAGTTTAAAGATAGAGTCGGATCCTAGCTGACGGAACAGAGATAGGCTAGGAGAAAATTTGTGTGCAGCAATTGGGAGCTATCTGACTGGTCTGCCCAACCAGAGCCTGACCTGGGCTGGGCCCCACCGCCTGCCCACTGGACCGCTGTCATAATCTTTGGCCGCAGCAGGCCTGGCAGGCTGGCAAAAGCTGGGGGCCACGCTGCCTCTGGCCCTCTGCCCCTCGCCCAGCCGCCGAACCCGGACGGCGGAATGAACCCTGATTCCGCCCTTGGTTTAGGCCTGTCTCTCCGTCTCAGGAACCCGTTTTTCTTCGCTTGACATGGCAGCTTTACATAACCCCCATGACTATCATTCGAAGCTACTAGCGAACCGCCGGCCGTGTACAGCGGAGGATAGCCGCGGGGTTTTCCAATTTCGTGCACGTCTCTGCACTCCCGATATGAATTATAGTCGTAATGGCATTACATGACGGGCGCGCACCCAGGCGGCCACCCGAGCCCCGAAAGCATTTGTGACAGTACGATGCCGAGCTTGACAAAACCCAGACTGGGGGAACTGGAGCTACGTAATAGCTTACACGGGGCTCGAGACTTCCCCCGCGAAATCAACCCTCGTTGCACGTACCCAGAGCTTGACAGCCGCACACACACAAGGCTCTCGTACTATAGACTAGTTGTACCGCTTTAATCTCTGCAGATACACCATCGTCCAGCCGTGATCAGGATGTCGTCGCCCACGAGCCAGCCACGTCCTGCAGCCACACTCCAGGATTCAGGATGGGGCACAGGTGTCATGGATGCACGTCCGTCTCAGACTTGTTGAGACAAGAATACCCGACGAGGGCATTTCTTCTTCTAGTACTCTAGCGCGTACAAGACTTATATACAATTGATGCCCCCTACATCAGCCGCACACTCATATAGCACCAAGCTCCTTCAGCTTGGAAATTAGCCCATCGACGTCCTCGACCTTGCCACCTCCTTGTCTTGGCGCAGGCTCTGGATTGAGGATAATGATGTTAGCGAACTCGTGGTGATCGAGGAAGTCGGGAGGGGAAGTAAGAACATGTCTCAGTTCCCGCCTGAAAGGACGTACCTGTGACCTTGACCACCTTCAACCTCCTCTCGTTGGCCACGCCCAGGTCGCTGAGGCTCATCTTGACCAGGGGCTTCTTCTTGGCCTTCATGATGTTGGGCAGGCTGGCGTAGCGGGGCTCGTTGAGGCGCAGGTCCGTCGTGATGACCATGGGCAGCTTGGCCTTGACCGTCTCGGCGCCGCCGTCGACCTCCTTGGTGACCAGCACGGTGTCGCCCTCGAACTTGACGGCGCTGGCCTGGGTGGCCTGGGCCCAGCCCAGCAGGCCGGCGAGCGTCTGGCCGGTCTGGGCGGCGTCGTCGTCGATGCTCTGCTTGCCGAGGATGACCAGGTTGCTCTTCTCCTTGTCGACGGCGGCGCGCAGCATCTTGGCCACGGCCAGCGGCTCCAGCTCCTCGCCGTCCTTGACCTCGACGTGCACGCCGCGGTCCGCGCCCATGGCCATGGCCGTGCGCAGGACGTCCTGCGCCTTGGGCGGGCCGGCGCTGATGACGCAGATGTCCTCGACGGGGGCCGACTTCTTCTCGCGGATCCGCACCGACTCCTCGACCGAGAGCTCGTCGAACGGGTTCATGCTGTGCTTGACGCCGGCCGTCTCGACACCCGTCTGCGCCTTGTTGACGCGCGGCTTGACCTGCATGCGCACCAGAAGTTAGCCGGTCGGATCAACGTCTGATGGGGCTGCTCGCCCATGTCCTCAAAGAGCGGCGGTGGTCTGGGGGTCACCGTCCCAGGCCCAGGTGCAACAGATGGACGGGCGGGCTCGATTGGGCCTTACCGCGTAGTCAATGACCCGCTTGACGGGGACGAGAATCCGTAAAGCTGACATGGTGAAGAGTTGCTGGTATCGGGTGTCGAGATGGGACGGAGGTGAGATCTCACGGGCTCGAGTCCGGATCTCAATGACGCAGGGAAAAGCTCCCCCGGCCGGCCGACGGGCAGCTCAGCGATACCGGCTAGTGCCGGCTTCCCAACCTCGGGTCCAGCCTGCACGTGACGCCCCGCGCCGAAACCCCAGCCAGCCCGAGGTATACTCCAGACGTACTCCGGCCGTGGTCGTTGTGATAGACTTGCAAGTTGATTTCGCAAAGCCAGCCCAGCTAGGTATATTGCATAGTCTTCATTTACTAACTGCTCCCAACCCAAACGTACGCCTGGCGCAACACCAATTCTTTAAACCCCTGTAACACGCCAACCGCAACGACGCAAGATGTGATCTGTGCCAGCTCTGTGATACTCAATATATACGCTACCCAAGACTCCGTCTAGCAATGTCTTTGGCCGTTCCCACTTGCCTGACTGCCCGCCCGCTCTGCTCCATGCACCTGTACACCAAGACCCTTGGAGAAGTCCTTACCAGTCGTCCCACTCGTCGTCCTTCTTTCCTGCCGCTCCACCACCAGGCCCTTTGTTGGCGCCCATAGCAGACGTGCCGATTGAGCTGTACTTGGGGCCTGACCCGTGTCTCTGGTCCGCCACGCTGGAGAAGTCATCCCAGAAGGCTTTCTTGCTCTCGTCAATGTTGCCAGAGCGTTGTCTCTGTCCATCTGGGCCCTCCACAAAGCGGTTGAAGCCCTCCTGGGCGTTCTTGGCCCCTGACTGGGCCACCCGCCCAACGTTTCCTGCAGCGATTTTGGCTTGGGCAGCGAAGTCGGATTCCGAGATCTGCAGGTGAAGTATGAAGATTAGTCACCGCTCAGTGGCCAAAAAGCATGCCTCAAGAGTGAGCAACGTAAGAAAGAAAGAAAAATACAAACTCACCTGCTTAGCCGTTGGTTGTATGAAATCACTGTTGACCGTCTTCGCTGTCTTGCTAACCGTGCTGGCAAACCACCCGAAGCCCTTGGTCAGCGCAGCCATGGGGTCCTTCTGCACCTCGTCCCAGTTCGGGACGGCAGCCTGTCCCTCGTTGCCCGTAGGCGCAGGAGTGTTACCAAAGCCACCGTATTTGCCACCCTGGCTTGGTGGCAGGCCGTCCGGTCGTGAGGCGTTGTCGGCGCCCAACTTTGCAAAATACTTGTCATCGACCTTGACCTTACCGGCGGCGCCAGGTGGGTTCGGGCTCGCGGTGCGGCTCCCACTCGTCGCAACGCCCTGCATTGGCGTGCCGGTCCTGCTGATCTGCTTGGGCGGCGGCTTGCTCGCAGCAGCGGGCTGGGGTGTGCTCTTTCTCTCGCCGGGGACGTACTCGCGGCCCTCAACCTTGGCACTAAGCCTCTCCTTCCACTCTTCGCCAACCTGACCGCTGTACCGTTCGGCAATGGTGGCGTCGTCCCAGGAGAGCCCCATCATCTTGGTGTCGTCGTGGTTCTCGAAGAAGGAGCGCCAGCCGTCGTTGCCGCCGAGGCGCATGCGCTCGATCTCGGCCTGCTTGAAGGCGTCCATGGTGACGGAACGTACGAAGGAGATGTGGACGCCGAGGCCGCGGTGCACGCCGGCGCAGGAGAGGCAGATGAAGACGCCAAATTTGGGCGACGCCCATTGCGGGTTGGGGGCATTGCAGTCGCAGCAGTTGTTATTGTTGTTCGTTTTCTGGATTGCAAGGAGCTGGAGGAGGAGGAGGCAGATGATTAGCATGGACTGAATTCATGTTCTCCTGGGCAGGCCATAGACAATGCTCTAATGCTGGGAATATAGCACACGCACCTTGGATTTCGTCTCGGGGTCGACCTCCCACATGGCTTTGGAAGCCATCTTGCCTGGTGTCCTGTCGATGCGACACGAGAGTCGTCGTGGCCCCGTAGTGTGTGTCGTGAGATAGCCACTGGCCACGAGTCGAGTGGAGGGGCAGCTGGGCTTTGTGCCAAAGCCACAGGCTCTGTGTGTGCGTGTGTGTGTGTGTGTTCTTTGTGTGAACAGTCGTCCAGCAGGCGGAACCAACGGAGAGGAGTACGGTATCAGTCTGGGCTGGTCTCAAATATGCATCTATCGCTTTCACCAACCAGACATGTCAATACTAGACATAACTCCACACGTCTGGACCGCTATTGACCATATGGGGGGGTTTTCTTGGCCCGCGCACTTTTAGGGGCTTTGGAGGCTCTGGCTCCCTGTAGTCGCGACGGCCCCCTGGGCCCTTGGCAACTTGGGTCTGGTGCCCGTCCGGCGTCCACCTGTCCTGACAAGGGGCGGGCCACAGGTCAACGTTTCACTCGCCAACCCAGCCAATAATAAAATGGCGCCCTTGGATACATACTTGCGTCCACGACGGGCATCATCCAAGTCTCCAAATTTCCAATGCACAAAGAGTCCTGCTTCCTCATTTCCCTCGCAACGAATCTCCCGTGCAATTCCAGAAAACATGTCTGGTCCTTGACAATGGGAGTCCTGGACCACAATATAAGTACGGTTGTAACACACGTGCATCGTCAGATGCTGATATCAGTGTGCAGACGGCACATGTTGCTTTGCTCATCACATTCCGCGGGGCGAATAAATCAGTGTGGTACGGTCATTATAATTCATTAATAATGCCACTCATGAACTTTTCCTGTCCTCTCGAACTCCCCTGCCGTGTCCATGTAGTGTACATACGGAAGAAAACGCGAGAGACGGGGAGAATAGTAACACAAGTGTATGAGAAAGGTCGGTCCAAATTAAGATGTCTGCCAAAACTTGCAGCAACAATGGCGAATATCGATCTATGGAGTGGCATGTATGCTCTCCATCGATAACATCCGAAGCCATATGTCTGCTGCTCTCCATTTTGTGAATCTGCTTGCGAAATCCCCTAGCCGCACCTGTTCTCACCATCTCCCATCCCCCGGTCGACTGTTCCCCACGAACGGCATTTCGATAAGTCTTTGATAATGGGCCCTGGTGTTAGTTACGATAGTTGTCAGGCTGGCGGCTCTCTCGTCCTGCTGGGAAAAGTCTTGGTTTATCGGGTTGGGTCGATTTAGGCGGTGGCGGCAGCCGGGGCGGCGGCCTCCTCCTCCTTGGTCTCGGACTCGGCGGGGATGTTGGCCTCCTCGTCCGTCTTGTCGGGGCTGTCAATGGCGACCTTGACAGCGATCTCACGACCCTCAATCTCCTTGCCGTTCATCTCATCAACGGCCTTCTGCTGCAGCTCCTCCGAGGCCAGGGTAACGAAACCGAAACCGCGTCCTTTGCGGGGCTCGCCACGAGCCTGGAGCTTCTTGATCATGAATCGAGGGATGGGTCGAAGGGCGATCTTGGCCGAAGAAGGCTCGTAAGCGGCGAAGAGCTCCTTGAGCTGTGGTTAGAGGTTAGTATGGTGCCTGGTGTTTATGCTACCTGCCGTCCCCTGATTCACAGCATCTCAACGTACCTTCTCCTCGGTCAGGTCGTAAGGCAGGTTGGCAACCATGACCTTGTTCTTGGAGGGGATGCCATCAGCAGGCGGTCCGCGCTCACGCTTCTGGGCAGGGCGGGCCTTGCTCTTGTCGGCAGTCTTGGAGTTGTCAGTATTGATCTTGTTGGTGATGTCGCTCAGTGGTTGAACCTCTTCAGTAGCCGCGGCCTCGGGGGCAACAGCGGCATCAGCCTCCTCCGGAGCAGGGGCGTCTTCACTTCCTCCATCCTATCAGACGGTCAGCACCATGGTCGGCAACGTGTTGTAACAGGGAGGGGACATCAACGTACAGATCGGCCACCGCGGCCGGCGCGACCGCCTCGGCCACGACCGCGGCCACGACCACGGCCAGAGGCCTTGCGGCGCGTGCCCTCGGCACCCTCGCCGTTGGCAGCTCCCTCGACCTTCTCACCGGTGGCGGTGGGAGTTCGGGCAAGCTGAACCGAGACCTTACGCTCGAGAATCTCCTTGCCAGAGAGCTCAGCAATGGCGCGCTCAGCCTCAGTGGGTGTAGAGAGGTCGACGAAGGCGTAGCCGACGGGGCGGTCAGTTCGCGGGTTCTTGGGAATGGAGACGGACTCGCTGGAGAAGCGCGCACAGTCAGTATACCGGTTCGGGAACGAAGGTGACACTGTTGTGTTTTGATGATGATACCGTGCTGCGAGCGATCGCGGGGGCGGCCGGCAAGTGTACCATGGGCAGAGGGGATGGGAGAAACCTACACAAGGTAGCCGTTGAAGAATTCTTTCAACTCCCCCTCAGTTGTCGCATAGGCGAGGTTGCCGATGTACAGGCGGCGGCCCTCGGCGGCACTGGCGTGGACGGCGTCCTTGTTCTCGTCCTTGCCGGTGATAGAGGTATTGCTCAGAGCGTTGGTAACGTCGTTGACGGCATTGGAAGCAGCGTCAGCAACTTTCTCCACGGTGCTGGCCATTGTGTCTGTTGTCTGGATGGATGGATGTGGTGAGGTTGATGGGTGTGGATCTGGACGTTAGAAGGTGCGGTCACGGGTTCAGGATTGAACTCTGATCAATGGGGGAGTGAGAAGGGTGGCTACGTGCCCTAGATTCGTAGAGAGAAGCTTGAGAAGGGGTGGTCTTGCGGACACAAGATGCTTGAGATGTGTTGTGATTGAGAGGTGTGAAGAGAAGAAGGGGAGGAGGGAGAGAGGTCGGTGTCGGCCGTCAGGATGGAGATGCCACGAAAAATAATTATTTTCCGAGAAGGTGCTAGTGCGGATTGTTACGAAAACGGTGGGGGTGGGCGGTGGCAAGGGCGAACCGTACGTTTACCAGTAGCGGTAGCAGCAGCAGCAGCAGTAGATGTACCACCCCTTTTTATGTGAAATCCGCTGTCGGTACGTATGTAGCACCCTACGACGTGGATGAACAACACCAGTGTCCGTCTCAAGACGGAAAGGTGCAATAGAATCATTAGACATCCAATGAAATCGCAAGCAACCGGTTTGTTTTTTTGGGTTCACTACGCTCGACGTTGAATGTCCTCCCTCGGTCGCTATACTAACTAGTCGGGCAGGAACTAAGGGGAAACAGCAGGTGCTCACGTCTCCCCCCATTCTGTCTCACACCCCACCCCCTCTGTCTATTGGTCTCTAGGAAAGGGCTGTCCTTTGTCGCCAACTCTTTAAGGTCGCGAAACATGCCTGCACATCGATTCCTCGCCGCTTCCGTCCAAGAAAACGTTCCCACCCCTCTCAGGGCTGAACGGCAACCGGCGACTTGCCTGTGAGCAGACATGGAGTTACGGCCGGCGGGAGATCATGAGACATCCATGATGCCTGAACAATGCGATATTTCGTATCAAGCAGAGCCTTCTGTATGAGAAGAGTCCATGTGTTGCCGGGCACATGCTTGAAGGCTTGTATTGCGTACGAACACAATCCATGCAAGAGGCCGGCCGATGCTTCGCTTTCCCTTGTAAACCCTGCAGGTAGACTATAATAGCACCCAGCGCTCGCTTCTGGCTCGCTCTTTCAAGACTGCGTCAATGTCCAAGCTGTGCGCCGAGGTGACCAGCTTAGTTGGTGGGGTCACAGGAACGGGTGGCGATCATCGAGGTTCTCCTATAGCCCGCAGCTAACAATTAGACATGGCTGGATGTCTCTAATGGATAGGTGTCTGGCGTATGCGATACATGGCGTAAATAACAGGTGCTTTTCAACTAAGCGTCACAGCTCCAAGGCAAAACAGTCCACTTTCGAGGCTAGACTGGCTGGAAACACTTCCGTGAGTGGTGGACTGGTCCTCCCGGGCCGGGGGGCGGAGACTGGAGCGCAACCACGCCGGATGACACAAACGGTGTTGTCTCCTACCCAGCCTTAAATAATAAGCATCAACATGTCACACTGAGGCGTGGTTGTATGCGGCAGAACACCCAATGATGACTCAACGCATTCGGTGAGGCTAGCTGGGCCAGGGCCAACACGTTTGTAGGAGGGTATCGGCAGGTTGTGTAAATGCGACGACTCTGAGCTCGTCTGCATGAACCCATTAAATTGCTTTATTTCCAGGTGACCAGTCGGTGAGACCACGACCGCCCGAGCAGGCAGTAGAAATTTCTCTCCCTCATAGTCTTCATGGGGATAATCCACGAAAGCATTATGCAGTTGATGCCATTGCATCTTGTCACGTTAGATGTGCCGTGTCCAGCGTTGACGTCGCTTGCAAACGTTCTGGAAGGTCGAGAGAAGCACTAGAGAGCACGGGGGTGGCCCTAAAACCACCCTACGTCCTTTCTTGATGGGACCCTGCAAGGCATCTTGCTCCCCCTGCTAGCTGATTTGTGCACGCAAGGCGAGGCCCCCCTATTTCTCCATCCTTGCCTGCCTAGAAAAACCTGTCAACAGGAGGCAAAGTCGCAAACTTCGAGGATACTTCTGACCCAAGCAAACGGGTTTCGCCTCACAAGAGCTGAAGCAGCCGCAGAAACCAGAGGCCAATGATCCAACGAGGGCAGAGAAGCAACCAGCTTGGACATGACACAGTCGCGTTCCGTCATCGTTTCTTCTGGCCACGACTTGACGTCGCTAACCAGCCCACTTCGCTGCCGGCGCCATCCGTTGTTAAATCGATGGATCAGGGTCGTCGGGTGCAAGTGGGATGGATGATCCAACCCCATCCAGCCTTATGACACGATACCACACGAATGATAGTAGAAGTTGGCTTTGCAGCACCATGGCCTTTGAAAATCAGCCGCATTTTGTTGTGGTAATGTCACGGCCTCGATGGACTGTTTGTTATGAATGCATGTCGAATATTTGCTTGTGTAGCGCCGAACTGGTTCTCAGTCACATCCATCCATGGTTGACCATCGGTAACTGCGAGTATGGGGCGCTTGGGCGCCGCTGGCATAACTATGGGATGCTCTGGTAGTGGAATTGAGTCTCGACAGGATGGGGGCCATCCCCTGACACATGGCAGACAGAGCCTCAAAACTCTGTTCCGAACCTCTCTGGCTTTGCCTGGAACCCACCCACACCTAAGCCCAAAAACTCCAAGGTTCCTAGCTGGAACCGCCCCCCGCATCGGAGGCATCGGGCAGATCTTAGAGGCTGCGATTGCGGCTCTTAAAAAAAATGGGGGTGGCATTCGATGACTAGAATTTATCAAAACCTGGGTCCCCCATCTGCATGATGGCTATTAGTAGTAGAACAGCACGCAACAGGGACCTTGATAGCCAGCTGTCTACTGCCGTACTGCTGTGCCACTCAGGCCGCCATAGCCATCAAAATGGCAGAAGGAACCCCTGACAATGCGGGTGATGTTGAAGCAGTCAACAAGCGAAGAGTTCTCATCCTGTATGGGTCTGAGACGGGGAATAGTCTGGATTCGGCCGTGGATCTCGAAGACATCACCGAGCGCCTGCACTTCAAAACGGATGTCTTGCAGATGAATGATGTTGGCCTTGTAGGTATACCGGTTTTCCTTTGTCTCTGGAGTAATTTCTACCATGCTTCGACTGTGCATGCGTGTGCTGTGTGCGATTGGTCACAACCAGTACTTTCACAGCAACCCTGACCGATTATCTTGTTGGTGGCCTTGTTTAATCGGGAGAGCCGCGTTTTGATAAAGGTCTGAGGATACTACCGCCAAGTGCATTCACTGACCACTATTCTCAGAGGGCCTTGACCGAGTATCCCCTCGTCATCTTCGTCATCTCCACCACCGGCCAGGGCGAACTGCCCAAGAACGCGCGAATATTCTGGAAAAGACTGCTCTCCAGAAAGTTACGGCCGACGATATTCAACGGTGTCAAATTCACCACCTTTGGCCTCGGTGACAGCTCTTACTCCAAGTAAGTTGGTGTATCATGCCGAAAAACCGCGCCGACTGACGCTTGGCTGCAGGTACAACTGGGCTGCCAGAAAACTTCACAAACGCCTCGAGCAACTAGGCGCTGTTGAGTTCTATGCTCGTGGTGAAGCCGATGAGCGTCACGAAGACGGGTAAGTCGACCACTTTCGCAAATATATCTGCCTTGATACTGCGAGGTCGCGTGCCATGACGAGGACCTTACTGGCAACAAACGAGCGTCTCCAGAGGCATTACATCTGCAGGTCTGCCCATCATGTCCCCATCTGGCTCAAAGTGGCATCGCATCGAGTGTCTATGGGACGCGTGTCCTTAACAGACAAGCTGCAAACATGGCAGTAGCCACTCAGGTGCTTTCCGAGGGCAGTCGTCGCCCAGTTAACAGCCTGTGCCCAAGCATTCGCAACGCATACCTTGCTGACGAGACATCCACAGTATCGACGGAGCATTTCTGCCTTGGTCCATCAGTCTTCGCTCGCATCTTCTATCAGAATTCCCGCTTCCAGAAGGGCTTGAGCCGATTCCATCAGACATACAGCTGCCACCGAAAGTTCTTCTCGAGCTTGACTCGATCATGGAGAAGATGGGTGAAGATACCAAAGACAAGGGCGAGCCGATCCTCGACTCTAAAGCCGCATGGTTCAGCCATGTCGATGCTGTCGATGCTGCCGCCCATGAACAGATTCTGCGAGAAGACAGGCTAAGTCCCACCTCGCAGATCCCATTTGCGCGGCTCTCAGACAGGGCTGCAGCCTCCATTTTCCGAGGTATCGACTACCTGGATCGTCTCAACACGCTCAAAGATGATCCAGTGAAGTACTCGCTTGAGGAATCAAAGTCCTGTGTTACCCAGCTCCCGCCCGAAGATTTGTTGCCAATTCCTCATAGCTGGACGGCCACAGTTGAATCCAACGACCGCGTGACCCCCGAGAATCACTGGCAAGATGTTCGACGCATCAGGATGCGCGTTCACGAGAAATTTCCCGGCGCCGGGCAATCTCCTGAGTCGGGCTCTCACAAGGCGTCCAACGGCAAGCCCCTGCTTGGCGTGAGCCTCTACTACGACCCTGGCGATGCTATCAAGCTTTACCCTAAGAATTTCCCCGAGGACGTTCAGGCTTTGATAGACCGCATGGGGTGGAATGATGTGGCCGACGAGCGGTTCAGGCACTTCACTAAGAGGGATGACGGGATCGCCATCGAGCATGCTCCTCGGGACTGTCACCCCTTGCAGAACAGCACACTGCGGCAGCTCCTGACCAACAACTACGATATTACCGCCATACCAAAGCGCAGTTTCTTCAGCTACGTCAAGTTCTTCACAGATGATCCCATGCACAAGGAGAGACTCTCGGAGTTTGCGGACCCGCGGTTCACGGACGAATTCTACGACTACACGACACGTCCGAGACGCTCCATTTTAGAGATCCTGCAGGAGTTCTCGACCGTCAGGATTCCCTACCAATACGTGGCCAGCATATTTCCCATCATCCGGCCCCGGGAGTACAGCGTCGCCAGTTCGGCAGCGCTGCCCGACGATGGAGAAAACCCCAACGATGTGATGGTTGAGCTCTTGATCGCGGTGGTTAAATACAAGACGGTCCTTCGTAAGACCCGGCGAGGCCTCTGCTCCCGGTATATCGAGTCGTTGATGCCAGATTCCAAGATACGCATCGTCCACGTGGAGCACAGCGCGGGGCTGCAGGACAAGGAGTTGGTGCGCCGCCCGTTCCTCGGGATCGGTGCCGGAACTGGAGTGGCTCCTCTTCGTGCCTTCTTCTGGGACCGAAGCTTTACGGAGTCTCATGGTCCCCACGTGCTCATCTTCGGGGCGCGCAACCGAGAGGCCGACTTCTTCTTTAAGGACGAATGGGAGTCGTATGATGTCAAGGTCTTGACAGCCTTCTCGCGGGACCAGAGGGAGAAGGTCTACGTGCAGGACGTGATTCGGCGGGAGCACAGGCTAGTATGTGCTCTGATCCAGCAACACGCCATCATCTCGGTGTGCGGCAGCGCTGGGAAGATGCCGGTGGCCGTGCGTGAAGCGATCCTTGACGCCATGGTCATGGGCGGGCTGGTGAAGAACGAGCAAGAGGCAAGGAACTACATTGAATACAACAATGACTACTGGGAGGAAGTTTGGTAGTGGCAGGTTGAGGGAAGCTTGCTTGCGGCACGGAGACGTTGGTGCATGATAATAGCAAGTCAGGAAGCATTAACTAGAGCTTAGAGGCCATGTCATGCACTCGGGGCTGACGACACATTAGACGATAGACTTGAGCAGACGACCAGTTGAGCTGGCCTCGGAGGCGGTCTCAAGGATCTGACTGGTTACGATAATGATTTAGTTCTCTGGAGACGTGCGGCCGTAGCTAGATAACTACTCGTAATGTATAGCTTGGAGAGCAACGGTACACCGACGATGCGTGATAATATGGACAGTGCAGCTTGGCACAGGCATTTTAGAATATCCATATGGAATATCCATATGGATAGCTATGTAATGATGGCGATAGTCGCAGCCCTTTCATGAGTCGCAACCAGTTGAAGCGTGGACCGGTGCCAGCCCCTGGGCCTCGCAGTCGTAGCTTGCATCCCCCTTGTGCGGGCTAGATCATGGACGATTGAGCGTCTAGACTGGCGACCCCCACAAACACAACCCTCTAATCTCTGCGGCGATGAGACGCGAATAGCATCACTTGTCTTGCTCGGTATTGATGGAACGGCATCGGTATCAATTGGCGAGGACTGGGTGGGTTGGAACGAGTGGATAAGAAAAAGAATGAAAAGGATTAGCAGTCTTCTCTGTGTCTCTCTTGTTTGCTTGGCAGTTCGTTCCCTCAGCGTGCAGCACAGAGAGAGTACAGAGGCTAGGTAGAGGCTAGGTAGAGCCCAGGTAGAGAGCCCAGGTAGAGCCTGGAGCCTTGTTGCAACAGCAGCAGCCCCGCAGCACAGCCGTAGCCCGTAGGCCTTAGCAGGAGGGACACACACCGACCGGGGCAGCCAGCGAGCGCAGCACACCACACCATTGGACACCACCACACACACACCCGTGGACACCTCTCGCTCCCTCCTCTCACCAAGTCGCATTGTCCCCATCTCGACCAAAATACGCTAGCGAATCAGGTCCTGCCCCTGCCTTCCCAACCCAACGTCATTTGCGATTTGCACCATCAGCTTTGCCCTCCGACAACATCCCTCACGACCTCGACCTCACGCGACACGGCCCCGCCCGGACGCCCCCCTCCAGACTACGCGGATCCAGATCCCACGAACATACATCTAGCTGCTCGTCCGCGGGAGACGACGACGCCGACCAACGACAGCGAGAGAGAGCGCGCGCTGAAATAAAGACCACCCATCACGGCCCTCCCCCCCCAGTCATGGACACCAACATGGAGGACGTCAGCCAACCCACCGAGCTGGCACCGCCCTTGCCCACCACCGAGCCCGCCACCATACCCACGCTCGACGGCTGGATCGAGAGCTTGATGGCCTGCAAGCAGCTGGCCGAGGCCGATGTTCAGAGGCTCTGCGAGAAGGTGTGTCTGTCCGCGCCGTGTTGATGTGATATCAGCTCAGCTGCCTCCTTGCCATCGCACCGCATCGCTTCTCGGTCGACGCTTTTCCAGCCCGCGCCTTTTTGCTAATCACTGTGTTCACCGACAGGCAAGAGAGGTGCTGCAGAACGAATCCAACGTACAGCCCGTGGTATGTGAAACCCCTGTCTACCACGCACGAGAGAAGAGCAGGCGACAGGCAATGCTGACCGCCCGCGCAGAAATGTCCCGTGACGGTCTGCGGTGATATCCACGGCCAGTTCCACGACCTGATGGAGTTGTTCAAGATCGGCGGCCCTAATCCCGACACCAACTACCTGTTCATGGGCGACTACGTCGACAGAGGATACTACTCGGTCGAGACCGTCACCCTGCTGGTCGCCCTCAAGATTCGATACCCCGAGCGCATCACCATCCTGCGCGGCAACCACGAGTCGCGTCAGATCACCCAGGTCTACGGCTTCTACGACGAGTGCCTGCGGAAATACGGCAACGCCAATGTCTGGAAGTTCTTCACCGACCTCTTCGACTACCTGCCCCTGACCGCCCTGATTGACAACCAGATCTTCTGTCTCCACGGTGGTTTGTCCCCCAGCATCGACACCCTGGATAACATCAGGGCCCTCGACCGTATCCAGGAGGTGCCCCACGAGGGTCCCATGTGCGACCTGCTCTGGTCCGATCCCGATGACCGCTGCGGCTGGGGGATCTCGCCCCGTGGAGCCGGCTACACCTTCGGCCAGGACATCTCCGAGGCTTTCAACCACAACAACGGCTTGACCCTGATCGCGAGAGCTCACCAACTGGTCATGGAGGGTTATAATTGGTCGCAAGACCGTAACGTGGTCACCATTTTCTCCGGTCAGTACTCCCCACTATGTTCCTGGGACACGCACCAGCGCAGCACATGCTCAGCGATGGATCCAAAGCCCGGAATGCTGACTTGGCGTACAGCTCCCAATTACTGCTACAGATGTGGTAACCAGGCCGCAATCATGGAGATTGATGAGCACCTGAAGTACACATTGTAAGTTGCTACCAAGCCACTGAGCCTGGTACAAGTAAACAAGCTGACCCATACCCCCTGCCAACAGCCTCCAGTTCGACCCTTGCCCACGTGCCGGCGAGCCTATGGTTTCTAGACGTAAGTTAACCTTGCCTGCGGCTTGTCCGTGCGGAAATGGGGACCTGTCCCGCCGCACGGGCTGCCCTCCTAGTTAGTGTCTTGTTCTCGCCATGCTAACACATTTACAGGTACGCCGGATTACTTCTTGTAGTCGCGTGCTACGAGCCTCTGCGAGGCTGAGCGCTTAGAACCCAGAGATATAGGGGTTGGTTTTTATGATGACGACAGGTTTCCCCCCAGATATACAGACACGGAAGGGGAGAAAGCGGCCGCGCGTGTTGCGTACTGTAAGATTACCCCCCGGCGAAACTCTACTGCGGTATGCTTTCGGTTCGCACGGCGTGTAGGGAATCCGTTGGGTCTCCCCCGACGCTCAGACGTCTATCGTCGGTGGCCGCGAGGAGGCAAACACCCACGGACGAGAAGGAGTACTCACTACTCACATTGCGCTCTTCTTCTCGTTGCTCAAGTCGCGGTACCCCCTACCTCCTTCAAGTCGCCCGTCGCATCCTCGTAGAGCAAGCAGCCACAGCAGCACAAGCTGGCAAGCCGGAGAAAACTAGAGATAATGATAGATTCCCCAGATGATGAGCTGTGTCACCCTTTGCTATCGTCTCTGCCTTGTTGTTGAGGTGATCGTCTCTGTGATTGTTCGATCTCAATATTCTGCTTTGCAACCAGTCTCGTCGGTGGCACTAGCAATTGATGTTCCGATGATCTTCACGCTGCGCCCATGATATACCTTATACGCCCTGCTTATTGGTACATTTGTATATTTGTAAAACAAGAGGACCAGCGTAGTATATACCGTCATCATGATGGCTCAATATAGAAAGATATGAAGAAGAAAAGCCCACATTCGCCTAGGACGCCGCTCATCATAAGCCACATCACATCCCATCCCATCATTCACCCTGCCCACCTACACATTACTCCAAACCCACCGAGGGCAACTGCGCCCCTCCGGCTTCCCCTGACCTTACACACCAAACACCAAACTGCCCTCCCGGCACCTCACCACGACCTCACGAGTGGCTCCCCCTGCGGCCCCGGCTGCCCTCGGACCGTCGCCCTGGGGGCGGCCCGAGGCTCTCGCGCGCCGTGCGGAACGTGAAGGTGCGGCCGTCGGCGCTGAACCTGCCCGCGGCGCTGCCGCTCCTCCGGCGGTCGCCGTGGCTGAGGCGGCGGGGGCTGGCGACGCCGACACCCGCGGCGCGGCGCATCTCGACCTCGTCGCTGCCCTGGTCGGGGCCGCGGACGTGGGACTCGTCGTCGCTGTCGCTCGCGTTGGAGCTGAGCGGCGTGTGCTCGCGGTGGGCGTTGGCCTCGTTGCCGTCGGCCGCCGGCCCCGCCTGCGTATTGCTGCTGCTGCCGCCGCCGCCGCCCTCGAGCTCGGCCACGTTGCGTGGCGCCAGCCGCAGGCCCTCGCACCCCCACGTCCGGAGCGTCGCGCTGCCCCGGCTGCTGCGGCTGTACCCGCGGGCCCTCTCGCCCGACGCGTCTGTGTAGGCGCCGGCGAGGGTCACGCTGCCGGTGCCGGAGCTGCCAGGCCCGGCCATGTTGGCGCGGCCCATCTTGTCCAGCATGTCGGCCAGCACGATGCCGCCACGCTCCGAGCCCATCTGGCTCTCAAGGTCAATGTCCGTGGTGGCAGCGCTCTCGCCACCGTACTCGGTGCGCGAGCCGGCCGAGCCGCTGAAATGCGACGCCGGGCTATACGCATCGCCGCCGGCGAGGTCGGGGTACCGCAGGCCGCGGGTGAATAGCGAGGGTGGGTGTGGTATATCCGGGTTTTGATCACCACTGACAAAGGTGCCTTGACTGTCGTTGGGAAGTTGGCCCCGAGTTCCCTTGCCTTTGCCCTTGTGTGCGCCGCTGCTGTAGTGCTTTGTGGTCCCATCCTTCTTGAGATCCCAAGCCGAGTCTGCGTAGGGATGTCTCTCCTTTGTGATAGAAGACCTCGCTGCTCCCTCTCCAGTGCCTTGCTTCTTTCTCTTGGATCTGGACTTCCGGATAGAGGAAGACGACGACGATTCCTTCTCGGACAAGGTGGCCATGTACGACCCGGGGCCCTTGGCACCGTTGGGCACGAAGAAGCGGCGGTGGACACCGGCAATGATATACAAGTAGCTGACGATCAGGTCCACTCCGAAATTGAAAACATAGTATGGCGCGCGGGTATGATACCACGCCGGATTATTCATGGGCCGCGGGGAGAAGTTTGTGCCGACGCGAAAGCCGGCGCCAGCAGTGAGCAGCATAGAAGCAACAACAAGAAGAACGAGCTTGGTCCTCCAAGGACCCTCGCCAAACTTCTCGACCTGGAACTTGCTGGAGATCGTGGCTGCTAACAGGGTGACGGGAATGGGCAGGAAAGCCAGTACCGCCAGATATGTCCCAGCGAACAGCTGGACCTTGCGATCTGCGTCCCGTGTCGGCCCATCTAATGTGTAAAAGGATTGGACCGTCACAGCGATCACCATGATGAGACACCCAATCACACAACCGATCAGGAAACGGAAGATGACGCGGGCCGGTGTTGACCAACCGAAATGTGGGTGGTACGCTCGGAGGATACGCTGGGCGAAGAACAAGTTCACGATGAAAACGATAACGGTGCCGGCCTGCGTCAGGATGTTGGCGGCCATCGCCATGCGGACGTTGGTCGCATTTGAGGCCCAGATGAGGCGGAGGACCAGCGCCGCTGCTCGGATCATGCTGAAGGCGAACATCATGGCGGAGAAGACGAACAAATGCCCGCGCCTCTTTGTGGTCTGAAAGATGTACATGTGCGCTGCTGCCGAAATAAGGAACAGGGCCAACAGGACAGCGCTTACGGGGTCGTCGATGGGCACGGTGGGCACACCGCCGACCAGGGCGGTCGTGGGCGCGTAAGGCGGTCCTCCATGTGCCTCCGATGAGACATTTGGTGATAACTGCGGAGGATCAGTGACTACTACTACAAGCATTGCATGGATAAGGTGGGGGTAGTATAGTCGAAGCTCGAGTGGTGTCCGATGTCAGTGAGGTAGAGGGGGTATATACCAACTGTGGTGACTCTGGTGCGGGCTCGCTGCTATTAGCACCTGGTGACGATATTGTCGTCCAATTCGACATGGTGTAGACTTTTCTTCCTGTGTTGTTTGAAACAACAACAGCCGAGTATCTCGAGCAGGAGATGTCCGGAGTACCCCAGGTGCAAAGGGTAGTGCGAGCAGTTACCACTTGTAGACGCTCTCAATGCTCTGACCTTTCGGGGAGTTTAGGGGCTGACTGCAACTCGCAGATCAGATCGTCAAAGATATCCCCATTGACCTCTCTGTGTATGATGTCAACGGATCGAAAAGAGAGAAGGAGACCAAGAGTCGCATTGGGACGATTCACCGGGACAGCGCATTAATAAGATACGGACAGTGACAGAAGGTTCCCCAAAGCTTACGTTGAATCCTACCTGTGGCCCGATGGGATGAACCTGAAAGCCTTGACGTTTAGAAATGTACACAAACCTTGTCGAAGCTGCGGTCTGCAATTATAACGCCGCAGTAAATCGGCCCCGAGGCCCGTAAGAGTGTCTGCAGTGATGGCAAGTCGGCTCCTGTCTTGGAACGACCACCGATGTGAGCCAGTGTGTGGGGCAAGGGTCACGTCGTGTTGTTTCGAACTATCGGACATCGTATAGCTCTGACCTCCGGTAAGGCAGGACTGAGTTCTAAGAGGCGCCCCCCAGCTGGTAAATGCTAGGCTTTGTTAAGTTCGCACCGTCTTCGGGTGGCCGCGCGCAATTAAGATCCAGATTTAGCCACCGACGCTAGACATGATCTCAGAGATGCTGTCGGTGATGATTGAATATTTGCACTCTGTAAGCAGATCTTTGGTCCACGGCGGCGCTCACAACCTGATCATTATAGATGAGTAGCACTCTGTGGGGTTTCGGTTTCCGCACAAATTGCAGACTTGGCAACATAGGCCAGCTGGCTTGGCTGATTTGACGGCGAGTTTGCTTGCACGCTCCCGACTTTGTGGCGGAGGATATAGAGTTCGGGGGCGTTGCAGGAGCGCCGCAATGAGCTACTGCTGAGTGGCAGCAAGCAAGATGCCTGCGATGTACATTCGACGGATGCAGCCATCGGTGTTCTAAACAAAAGCTTGTATAACATTTGTCTCTCACGGGAAGATCTGCCCTGGCTCTAGAGCAGACTAGTGGTGACAAATACCCAGCGCAAAGAGGACATCGAGGGGCACTCCGAGCGACTGCGTCACAAGGCTGAGTGCGAGTGCTTGCTCCTATAGTGATTCCACCCTGTGCCGTACTCAAGAGAGTTGATACTTTTGATCACGGCGGGTAATCATGATTCATCCGTGGAATTGCCTTAATTGACCTGAGAGATGACCTTCTCAGGTAATCGTCCGGTTGTTGTGGCCGGCATCTTATCATCGTTACGGTTGAGCTTCCTGTCCGATCTTTGGGGGCAGGCATTCATCATCTGTATCATGCTCTGCATAATCTTACCAGATACGGGAGATACTCAGGACCGAGGTGTTGAGAATAGGACGCCACATGATGTAATCACCTGTTGCACCCTCAGTCGCTTTGACGCTGCAGTTTGCATGCCATCTGCGTGGTTATCAACATGATTGCGAAGCACTCAGACGGACTGCATCCCCTCTCTGGCATCATGGTTGTTGGCAGGCGATCAACCATGCACATGGCTTGATGCAGCATCCTCCGCTTTGCAGAGTGCATTGTATGCCGAGGCTATCGTGCTGCACGAACAGACGTTGTTTTCTGTCGCTTACTGTCACGCAGATGACGTGCCAGAGTCGCCGTGACTGCAAGAGATTGAGCTCGACGAGTCTGGTTCCCCCTCCCCCGCGAAAGCAGCTGCTGGGATTGGGGTGGGGTGGAGGGAAACAAAAGCGTAGACAAGACACTCGCGATATCAGAAACGCGGTGTACGCCCGAAGCAAATCTCGGCCCTTCGACCCGGAATAATCCACACTGGAGTGGGCGGGGGTTGGTTCGTGTCAGCGAAACCCGTATTCGAGGGGTCGGAGAGCATGTCTATGGGGCTATCAATGGCGAGCACAGCACTGGAGGCATAGCAGGTTTTCGTGATTTCGGTTGAGGTTGTGTATCGGCGCGACACTCTCGGTGCCGTAAACCGGGATTGGTATATTGTATTGCTTGTTCAGAGGAAGATGGCACAGCGGCTCCGGAAAGGTCACGAAATGATGCTTGCAGTGCTGTACCATTTCGAATTGGGTGCGAATGACGCCGGGAAACATCACGATATGAAAATGAACATGGGATGGAAGATGGACTGCAACGACCAAAGAGCAAACTGAGTAGAGGTTGAAGTGACGATGTTACCCAAGCTCCGCCAGGTTCCGCCGCATGGGGAGCTCGTGCAGATTCGATTGGATCAACCACGTTGCACCAATCAGATCGAATCCCTGCCAGAAGCTCTGCGTCATCCGCCTCAATTGGCCCCTTGGAGCCCCCAGAGCCTTGGGAGCTCTACCACAGTAGCAGCTCTCCCCCTATCGACAGGGTCGACCTGCGGGCCTGCTCAGGCTGCTTTTGGAGAGGGCCCGCCCGGCCCGCCAAGCAAAAAGCGAAAAGAGAAAGGCGAAAAGCTCTGGCTCTGGCTCCAGCCTCCCGGGGCGCCAGTGGACGACGAAACACGTTGGACCCAGCGGTCACACCTCCCGTCACCTCCCATCACCTCCCATCACCTCACCTCCCCAGACCCGGCCCACAGCCCAGCCCAGCCCAGCCCAGCCTAGCACCAGTTGCCAGCCAGCTTCCAAGGTTGCCAGCACAGCTCTCCAGCTTCCACACCAAGTCGGAAAAGCATCTGCCTGGAACACACACCACACACCACACACCATACACGATACACGCAAGCCCTGCGCCTCGTCATCGCGAACCCCATTCTTGATATAACCTACCGAGATACCAATTGCTTCTCGCCCTCGCAAGCAGCACTCAAACTCCCCAACAGCCACCTAACCACCTACCTTCAAGATGGAACTCTCAGACTCATTGTAAGCAACGCACCAGGGTCTCCTCGCCCTTCTCTCTTTTCCGCGCGCAGAGCAAATCTCGTGCCTAGCAATCCGAGATGCAGTAGGCTAACGTCGCGAAAATCGCAGTCGCCTCGTCAACCTGGCGGTCGGCGTCATCATGGTCCTCGGCGGCATATCGCAGTTCTTCACCGATAACGCCAACGGATTGTACGTGCACACTCCCCCAACTCCTCCTCCTCCGTCCCCAGAGCTTCGCAATCAGACGGTCTGCAACGCATTGGGTCATTCCTATGCGCCGCTCGCTCACTCGCTGGCTGGCGGGCTGGCCGGGACGAAGGAGAATATACGGAGCATATACCCCAGGAGACGGACGAGAAACTAACGCGCGCAACCCGCCGAACAGCCAATCCTTCATCGTCGGTGTCTACGTCATCCTCTTCGGCGCCGCCATCGGCCTGCTCGAGTTCCAGATCCCGCCCCAGGTCTCGCGCTACGCCTCGTTCCTGTTCTCCTTCATCGGCCGTGGCATCTGTACGTATATCAGTTCATCCCTCCCGCTCTCGGTCTATAAAACCACAGTGTAGCTAATTCCCTCCCCCCGTGCAGTCTACATCTTCATCGGCTCCATCCTGCTGAACAACAACGCCCTGCGCATCATCGCCGGCTCCATCGTCGGCATCGTCGGTGTTGCCTACGCCGTGCTCGAGTTCATCCCCTCGATCGAGCCCCCTGCCAACATGCGCGAGGCCGATGCCGGCTGGGGTGCTGGGCAGGTCTAGAGCTCAATCGCGCCCTAATCTCGGTTGAGAACCTTCGCGAGTGTGTGAGCTCGCGAGGGGGGATAAGGAGGCAGGGGCCCATTCTGCGCCTTCACTGAGCGTACAGATGTCCAGGAGGGGCGGCTTGCTGCTCTGGGGGCCTCGACTGGCAGTGCGACTCTCCAATCCTAGTACCTTGGTTGGTTGCAATGACCTGCGTTTCCGGGATGGGCGGTGGCAGGAGGGGTGGGAGCATCGACACGCGCAGGGAGGGACGCGGAAAGATACGGGTGATGCGGACGAAACCTCTGTATATCAGCTTTTGGGACGAGCGTTTCCTTGTACGCCTGGTGAGGGCTTCTGTGTGTAAGCTGGTGTCACATTAGAAACGGGTGGTATCTGTGTTGCAAATAGAAACCGAAATTTCATCACGAAACGAAATTGTACGAGCACGTATTGCAAATCGTGGACGCGATGTGGCACAAATGATCAGCTATGCTGGAGTTGAAAGTAGCAATCTGCCTTGCGACGCTCTAGAGGATCTACTTCGTCGCTTCCCAGCTCCAACCCCGCTGCTGTCGATCCGGCGCAGACGATCGGGGACATGCTGTCCCATATCCGGCGTCCTCAGTACACACTATTACCATCACAGAACCTCCTTGGTCCGCCTAGATATATTGTGACCATGTAGAAATAAGCGCAATCATCAAGTCCGTTGGTCTTGTGAACCCGTAGACTCCTTTCCCCGACCCGACCCAACCCAACCGTAACCCCTTTGCCGTGAGTAGTAGGAAGTTCAAACATATATATGCGTACACGCACATGCCTTGCCTCGCCCAGTGTCAGGGGGGTAAAAGCGAAAACCCGGCTCGTCGTAAAGTCATGTGCTGCTTCCCTCCTTTAAACAAAAACGCCGCCTTTTCTGTAAGCATAGGCCCTTTTTTTTCTCTCTTTCGCCAGTTGTTGATTGCGCAGATCCCCAGTCCAATTTTGAAACTCGACCCCATCATTTTGGTATAGCCATTATATGTCAAAATTCAATTTCCGGGTTATGCCACGCTTTTTGTGGGCGCATACGCTCATTGGCCTAGTCTTCGAGGGCGGCGAGCTCCCTTTCCTTGGCCGCCAGCATCTCACGCATCCTCTCCGCTTCCAGCTGCAGCGCGGCCCGTCTCTCAGCCTTGATTTTCTCGCTCTCCAGCAACCCCGGGCCGCCCATCGTGGTGCTCGATGCCACCGAGTGTGCGCCAGGACTGGGCGCTGAATACAACGTCGTCGCTGGTGATCGCAAGAGACGTAGGGACTCAGCTGCGTCCTCCATGGGGTTCGATATCGGGCTGTGCCCCGGTCCGGTAGGGGGGTTTAAAATCGACTTGATGGACGAAAGACGTTTCGAGCTGTCGTGACCCGGTTCACCCTGGGTTGCCTCCGAGTCGGTGGCAGAGAAAGAGCGTTTTCTTGATGGAGATAGAAACGAAGCAGGGGATAACGAGGACTGGCGGTCGTTCATGATGGATATCGACGTCAAGGGAGCCAAACGATTGTCATCTGTCAAGGAGTCGCGGTTGTCGATGGAGTGCGGAGTATGCAACGCATGATATGGCGTCAAGTCGGAAGACGATAAAGGCGTTGAGCCTTTGTTCTGGCGGACCGGCTCGGGTAACAACGCCATGGAGTAGTCGTTCCGACGACGAAAGCCCAGGTTCACCGACCCGTCGGCATTCAGTGTGCCTCGCTCATCAGATTCCGAATACTGGCTCGCCTGCTCCACGGATTCAAGGGGTGTAGCATCGTCCTGGCCGCCTTGCGCCACCGGAATGACACGTTTCCTCCTCTTGATAACAGCTTTCTTCATAGTCACTGGGCGGTGAACCCCATGGAGTTTGTAATAGAGACCTAGGTCAATTAGCATTGCATCAAGACAGTAGGGACTTCCGTAGACTTACCACAAGCATTGCAAATGGTGTGGCCGCTCTCGTCGCGGCGCCATAAGGGGGTCACTGTCGTGCCACAGTTCTGGCAGGCAATGACCACGGTTGTGTTCTGGTCTTGAGCCTCCTGAGCAGCAACGTCAATTGGTTGAGGCCCATTTTCAGAGCTGTTTCCGTGATTGGACGCCTCCTGGCTCTGAAGGTTGGTGAGATGCGCACTCTTGGCGACGCGGTTATTGAAGGCCGGGCAACCACTGCACCCCTCAGCACCCCCTGTCCCGTTACACCGGCCACCACCAGGACAGGACCCGGTCGGCGTCTGATCCGCTGCTACATAGGTAGCGCCATTCGCTTGACCGCAAGAATTAGGTGAGGTCTGCTCTGGCGACTTGCGGGCTGTTGACACAACGGTCGGCGGGCGTTTCAAGTTAGTTGGGCGCTGCGAATTCCGTGCCTTTAGATAGAGACCGCAGGCGTTGCAAATAGTGGCTCCTTGTGGTGACCTTCTCCAAAGTGGTGTTCTGGTCGTACCGCAGTTACTATCGTCAAAGTTAGCCGAGGATTATAGCGAGAAGTAAATAAACCATGGTCTTACCTGCACACCTGGCCGCTGTGGCCAGTAGCCGAAGCCGTACTTGATCTTGCCATACTGCTGCGTCCGTCTTGAGCAGTACTGCTCGGAGAGGGTGTTGGGCTTGGAGAAGTAGCCATGTTGCGGTCATGTACGGATGAGGTGGTGAAGCTCTCTGAGCCTGGACTCCGGGAGCCCGCCGAGGAAGCATAGGCGACATCTTTGGAGGCCGACAGCTGAGAGTCTCCCCTAGATGCCACCGGGCGAGTTGGCAGGGCGGTCCGCATTGAAGTTGGTTCTTCTCTCGGTAGTTTCGCATGCGAATGGCGAGCAATTTCCATCATGGCTGTGGCGTGTGTTGCGTTCCTGGAGAATAGTCGTAATCCTAGAGGGCCGCAACGGGGTTGGGACGTTAAATTGCGGTCGATGGTCGGTCGTCCTAGCCTGACTGATTCATGTAGTCGATATCGGGCCTGGATATTGCGAGTGGCTAGGCAATGACTACCGATAACCCGCGACTAGGCAGGACGTGCCCCCGTAATCCCTAAACGGAGGATTGGGGAGATATTCGAGGACAGCGTATTGCTGTATGTACAAGAGCGGTGCGCAGAGGGGATGTCAGAGCGGGACCAAGAGGGTATAGATCGAATTGGTAATGGGAAAGCCGGGAGTGATCGTGGTCGTGGCGCAAGGGAGGGATAGTCAATGTACAACTGGCCGTATGGACGGCAAGGACTCGCAGGTCTGGGCAGCGAATCCTCAGTTCGGAACTGATGCCGGCGTTGGAGCAGGTCGGACGTCGGAGATCTGGCAGCAGCGTGTCCGAAGTAGATCTAGGCGAGACAGCGGGAGGCGATTGGCTCCCACGGTGAGCTACTCTTTTGCTCGCGACAGAAGGAGGAGGATGACGATGGAGGTGGTGGAATCCGCACAACGGGACGACTTGTGTGCTGGGCAAGGCTATGTTGGCTTGGCTTGGATACGGCGATCACCGTAGATTACTCTAAACTGGTTGCCTTATGGCACATCAGAATGGCGGTGGTGGTGCTGGGGTCGTCAAGTCGCACGGTGAGGTCAGGTCAAACTCCGCCACCCGCTGTGCCGTATTATCAAGCAGGTACTGTATATCACTTGGGCTTGAGACAACCAAGGTCAGCCAGCAGCCAGCTCGGGAGAGGACGGGTTTGGATCACACGACTATCTTTCGGTGGTCTGGCCAGCGAGTGCATAGCCTTTATGAGATGGGAAACCCAAAGCACCGCGAAGCCGGAGTAGTTTCACCTGCCCTGCCCACAGAAACGCCCCTGGGCGGCCAGAGACTGGCAGACTGCCTAGAAATCCCAAGCTGAGCGCGCGCATGATTCCAGATCCCATCGAAGGGGAACAAGACCCCTGCGGTTCTGTCGGTCGTTGTTGACCGCGCCCGCCCGCGGCGGCCTCCCGGCCAATCAGGACCGACTTATTAGAAATTTTGCCTTCATTTCTCTTCCAGCCGAGTCTCCGAATCCGCAATGCCAGCGAGCCTAAGCCCCGAAGAGCCCAGCGCCGACCCCATCTCACCCATGTCAAAGCACGCCGTCACTGATAAATCTTGTGGGGTGGGACGCATGCAGCGCTAGGGAGTAACTGGGGGTCTTCCCACCGCCTTTAGCTCCAAGACTGGCCTTGGAGCAGACTAAATCTTTGTCACGATGAATGATGTCCGTATTACGTGATGCTCGTGAGTCGCTAGAGTCTACTGGGTACTCAGGCATCTGCTTTTTTTGCACCGTCATCTCTGCCGAGTTGGCGCCAGAATGTGTTTGGTTTTTCACAGGGTGTCTTGGTAGCGTGTAGTCGCGGAAATTGGAAGGGGTTATGGTGTTTCCCGTTGATCTGAATCTCAGGCTAAAAGCTGTGTATGCTGGATGGCCTTTATCTTGGGAGTCCAAATTCGTGCAATGAGAATCCACCCCCCAACCCTCTGGAATGATTGTTGGACGAGACTCGTAGTGGGGTTCTCAAGTCTGGCCCCATCATGAGCCTCAATTGCCTCGGCCAGGGTCGCCAGGACGAAGAAGAGTCGGTTTCGCGGCGCATACCTGTTCGGAACAAAGAAAAGCAACGCCAGTCCTCAATGTGACGGTCTTGATGAGACTCAGAATAACAGAGACCTGGGCTCGGGTCGTCGCCGGCCGTGAGGGTTGCAGGATCGCCGCCAGTTTGTGACACCACTCCTTTCGGCACCGGCCAGACCGCCAAGCTTTTTTATCTAGCCCATCAGCTGCACGTTCCTGGTCGAGATAAGATTTGATCCGCTGGGAGCTTGGGAATCAAAAAATTGGGGCCACCCGGATCTGGATGTCATGATCCGAATGGAGGAGATAACAACTGCATGCGACAACGGCGGATGCGACTTCCGGTACAGTTTGCTGTGGCTGGCTGGGCTTGGCACACGACGTGTCTTCCATGGATGGAGTTACAGTTGCAGGGCTTTGACCACGTTTTGTAACTACAGTGTAAACACCACAGTTCTGCTCCCGGTCCTCGCTCGGTCCGGCGACGTACACAGTAGTAGACTAACGAGACCGAGACCGACACACGCCAATTTTGAAATTGCCCGTACCGCTGTGGAAAGCTCTTCCCATTATTATAACCGACCGGATCTTGCTCAAGGAGACACACAGCCTTTCTAGAGTACACCCACGTTTTGGCCGATCGGCTCCGAGGTCGATGTCGGCGTCAGTCACTCCAGTACTCTAAAGCCGAGGTCGGGATAGAAGACGCCACGAGATCTTTTACAGATATCGTTTCGGTAGTGCCACAACATGCAATAGCAAAGGGTCAGAGATCAGGCCACCTTGTTTATCAAAAATGCGATGCGGCATGTATTCTGCCTCAGTCAATCCAGCCAATAAGATGATACTGTCGCCTAAGGGAATACCAGTCCTGGATGCAATGCTGTCTTTATTCATATATACCTCAGAGCGGCGAAGGAAGGAGACAGGGTCTGTCCTTCAGAGTAATCAAGCGAATCATAGAGCATTTCCTTGCCGCGAACAACCTAGCAAAATGTACCGAAGCCATACTGCAATCCCTTGTGCAAAAGCAGCATCCTTGCAAACTCCTTGACTCCTTGCGACATCCTGGCTCTCCCAGTCGCGATATGGAAGAAACTTGCCCTCTATTATAATATAATACCACAGGCGTTAGGCATCAGGGTCGCTGGCCACTTCTTCCGGCACCGCTTCTAGGCCCATCTCAGTGGCCGTGAGAATGAGCTTGTCTCGAGCCCAGCAGATGACAAGCATTATCATGATGGTATACCACTGTCGTTGATTGTCGGTCTCCATGTTGAAATACTCTTGGAAGAACGCGCGCTGGCACGGCTTGCAAGGGTCGATATGTACCAGGTACAGGTTGTGCTCTACTATGGCAAAGCCATACAAGATAGGCGCTTCGGGGACATTGTCAATGGTTCCCTCCTCTTTCTGCTTGACATATGGTTCCATCCGGGATCTCCATCGGGCTGCAAACTCATCCATACGACGCCTGATTTGGCGTTTCGCGTCCTTTTTACTGTCCTTCTCAGTCACCTCGAAGACGATGATGTTCGACGGCAGCGCCTTGCCGTACTGGGTGAGTTTGCCATCGGCCCATGCCCATTTGATAGCATCTGTCAAACACGGCTTGATCTTCTTGGCGTAGCTGTTGCCCGACATGGCATGTCTGGCGCGCTCTTCTGCCTGACCGCGCGGAACACTACGGTGCGGAGCGGGGGCGCTCAGTTCATCGGTGCTATCTTCTTCGTCCTCCCTGTTCGGCACCCCTGTGGCATCATGCTCGCTCACCTTTATGTCTCGCACTCGAGACGGGAGCTCAGCTAATTTGATGAACACTTTGGATCCTGTTGCAATATCAGCTCGATTATCCAAAGATACAGTACCTATCAACCGGACCTACCCCGAAATTCTTGCCCAGGAGTGCGCTCATAGATGCGCGGTACGGTACTTGCCTCTCTGGTCCTACGGTACCAGAAAGAGTCTGCCAGTGGATAGTTTCTGAAAGCACCCTTCCAGGTGTCGGTAATGTAGGCGTACTTCCCCGGATTGTTCAGCATGTGATAGATGTACTGCAACTCTCTTCGCCAATCTAGCATCGGGTTCTGCAGGTTGCCATCTCCGTAATCCGAGGAGTCAGAAGAATCAGACCAATCAGCTCCTGGGCCAGTAGATTCATAGAAAGCGCGTTTCTTGGGGTTAAACCCATCACCGGGTCGAGGTCCATCTGAAGATGAGCAGCTATGCCAGGAGCCTCGGCGTTGGTTTACTTGGGGCAGTTGTGATGGGGAGTTTGAAGAGGCAACCCCTTGGTAATACTGCGCCGACCTGGATGCTGCACCGCCGTTGAGATCATTCTCCACAGGCTTGGTGATGGCATCAGCGCCATTGGCATTCCTCGCCGGGTCAGGGCCAGAAAACGGTGTAGGAGGAAGTTGCGGTTGAGAAGTCTTAATCGGTGTTGATGAGTTATCTGGGTCTGAGTGGCGCGGCTTCTTTCTCGGCCTGGGCGAGTTGTCGGTGTCGGCGGATAACTCAAAATCCTTTTCTCCCTTTAGCCAGGAACAAAATCAAACAGCCCAAGCTGGTTGCTTAAACCGGAGCATTGCTTACATATCTCACCCGGCTGCCTCTCCCCTTGACCTTCTGCCTGAGGGCGGGCTTGGGGGGTAGCTCGCCAAAGTCAGCAGCGACTTGAGGGTCGAAGAACTGTGCGCCATCTCCGAGCAGATAATTCATCGCGCCCGATTTTTTGCCTCCGTGAAAGAACGTCGTCGTTTCCGTTCGACCAATTCTCTGGGTGACACAGACCACAGATGTCGGTGATGAACGAAGTATGACAGCGTTGACGTTGGGATGAGAGAGAAAGGTGATGTGGGGGGCTGGAGGCTGGCGTTCTATTGAGAGAAAGAACGACCTCGGGAACGGCTGGCGGAAACGGTCGAGGTTGATGTGATCGAGGAACAATTGTGGTTTCTAGGGAGTCAACCCTCTTTGACAGCTTGGGGTGCTGAACAACGAAGGTGTAATTTCCGGAATTGCAATTGTATGGCGTAAGAAGTCCAATGTGAGGTTTGCGGAAGGGTGAGATGGCGCGTGGGTCGATTATCCAGATCATGCCGTGGCCGCATGCGGGCGATTCAATCCTCCCTCTTTCATTGTTCTCCGCACCAGCATTGTACTCGGCCAGCACTGCTTCGGCTCTGTCCAGACTTGAGGTTCGCAGCAATGAGTCATGTCAAACGATGTCGGCTCCGTTTCCGTCAGACGCTCGGGGTCAACAACGACAGGTGGGTGGGAGTGCAACGAAGAGTTACCTATTACTAGATCTGTCGACGTGTTAAGATTTTGGGTACGGTATAGTTTGTCCCAGTAACGAACCAAGGGCGGCCATATCTAGCTACCTACGTTAGGTAGCTTAGTTTTAAGTATATCATATGCCCAGTGCTCAGCATGTGCCACTAAGGACCGTAACACAACACTACATAAGTAACCAACGGAAACTCGTCGAGTCGGCGACACATTGAGATGGCTATCATGTCTACTGAGTACAAGTCCGCATTGCATTTACCACGGTATGATCTGCGCAGTGAATTTGGCAGGGGGCCTGTTACATCTGGTCTGGAGCCTGCAAGCTAAAAGTTGGCCTCTGGGATCTGGGCGCGAGGCCATTCCAAGTCGGGCTAGCACTCCCGCTACACTGCCAGAAATGATGGAATTTTAAAAGTCGCGACGCGCGCCCAGCAATGCCGCTGTCAAAGCTGTCACTTACACCAGACCCAACTAAAAGCAACAACTGCGTCCATGCTCTCTCCGTACGGACCCTTGGATTCCAAGCACACTCTGTGAGCAGGCCCATCATCGTGCTTTGTCTATCACCTCTAGGCATTTTTGTCAGTCGAAAGATCTTGGAGGGATCATCAACTCGACTCTTGGCCCGTAGAGTTTTCTGTTGATGCAGCTCAGAGAACCTACGTCACTTTGACTACCGACTCCCCTCCCGCACCTTCGTCTGGAGAGATGCGCCAACGTCCCTAGTCCATCGCAACCAACCATGGCGACCGACTACAGTAAGATGAAGGTGACGGAGTTGAAGGCGGAGCTGAAGCGCCTGGGTCTGCCACAGGCCGGACTGAAGGCCGAGCTGATAGCTCGCCTGGAGGAAGCTTTTGCAGCCGACCCTGGACCCACCCCTACATCTGTTGCAGACGCCGAAAGTGCGGCTGCCCTAGATGACTCCGGCACCCACAGCCAGGAGAAGGAGGATGAGGAGCCAGCGGAAGCAGCAGAAGCGGTGGAAGGACCAGCAGAAGCTGAAGCCCTGCCGCAAAGTGATGCACCGGTCGTAGATGCGCCACCCCAAGGGGAGCTTTCACCGAAGGACGAAACACCGACACCAGCACAAGCACTGGCACCCACGATGGGCAACCCGGAGCCATCGATCGCCACCACTGACTTTGCTGCCCCCGAAGTCCAACAGCCTCAGACCTCCGTCCCGCCGTCGTCGTCCAGTGCCACGCCCTTGCGACCAGCCGAGATCGCGAACGATAGACAGACGCGCAAACGACGTTCTGCAACGCCCACGCCAACGCTCGACGATATTGCACGCAAAAGGGCTAGATTGGATAGTGAAGAACGCTTAGCCGGCGCTCCATCGTCTGAGACCCAAGACAAAGAAAAGACGGCGCAATTTATGCTGGAGCAGGGACATGTCGAATCCACAGATGTTGAAATGACCAATGCGCAAGCAGAGCTTTCGCCTGGGTCGCATGACAAGGCCGGCGCTGGTGCTCTGGACTCGGATGCTGCAAAGGACGAACCTCCTCAAACAGGCCCGGAACCGGGCCAAATGGGCCAACCAGACGTCGACGTGCGAGAAGACGACAAACGACGATTGTTGCTGGGTGACGACACTTCTATGGCGGACCGTCTCTCACCTGAGAATTTTACAAACGATAATCCAGAACGTGACGTGGAACCTTCCATTCACCCGGCCACGGCTGCCCTGTACATAAAAAATTTCATGAGACCATTGCGACCGCAAGCAGTTCAGGAATATCTGCTGGAGCTTGCCACACCTGCGGGGGCCAAGATTGACGACGAGACTGTTGTCGATTTTTATTTAGACCGAATCAGGACTCACGCCTTCGCTGTCTTCAACTCCGTTTCGGCCGCCTCGCGCGTGCGGACTGCTCTGCACAACCGCGTCTGGCCCGACGAAACCACCAGAAAGGCTCTCTGGGTTGACTTTATTCCACCAAACCGCTTCATCGACTGGGTTGAAATGGAGCAGTCTTCGAGCAACGGTCGAGGCGCGGCGACCCGGTACGAGGTCATCTATGATCGAGACCGCGACGGCAATGTCACAGTCAATCTCGACGAAAGTGACGCTGCACCTCCTGCCGTCAGAAACACGAACCAACGACCTGAGTTCAGCACCACCGTCCCCACCGGACCGTCGCGTGGCATCGAAGGCGCGCCCACCGGTCCTCGAGGCTTTCAAGGCGCAGGCCGACCTGCGGTCCACCCTACCCGCCAGGAGAGAGTTGGCGATTACTTGGCCACTCGCGCACACCCACCTGTCAACTACCAACCAGTGCCAAATGAACTCGTTGACAGACGTCTCGACTGCATCAGATCAGCAAAGTCCAAGACCTACGACCCCGCTAGGGACACCGAGAGGGAGAGATATAATCGGTACTTCTTTGAGAATTGCGACTCGCTAGTCGATCGTGGCAAGGAGATTTTCCTCGATATTCGACCTCCGAACCGCGATCGGGAGCGACGGGGCCAAGGTCGGGAGGATAGAAGACGGGGTGGCCGTGGCCGCAATGCTCGCCGGGGCATGCCCATGCCTCACGGTGTACCCAGGGGCGGTGACCGTTATCGAGGATCGGCGTCTGGCTACGACGACAGATCTCGCTATGGTGATGAGAGAGGTGGAGATCGGTATCGGGCTGATAGATATGATGATCGCTATTAAGGTCCACTGAGGCAACCGTGAGGGATCTCTTGCGGACTGGAACACCTTCATGTATGTTGTCCAAAAAAGGCCAAGGCAGATAAAGGTTCATGAGGAGCTCTGCTTGGATCTAGAGTACAATATCGCAAAAAGAACGTCGATTGAGGGCTCGATCCCAGCATCCATGACCACCTCGTATCAGATCAGAATCATGCTCTTGGGAAGACAACTCATCAACCAATGTGTCATGAGGGCGGTTGATTCGCACCACACCCCGGCATTCCCATATCAAGCTGTTTTGACAGCTCACTACAAAGCTCACACACTATGAGACGATATTTCAGACGGTTCGGAATAAGATCCACAGAAATGCTTTGTGTCAAAACGTAGTTGGTGATCTTGATCCTGAAGCTCCACGATGAACTCAATAATCCTCCATGTGCCAAACTTCCGATGAGTGTTTCCAGTGTCATGACGACACCCGTCGAGGGCCTGCTCCCCATATCGGACGCTCGTGTCTCGGCCCAAGCCTGCCGCCGTGGCCTTGTCGGGTTCTAGCATCTGCTTCAGCAGGAACTGGTCTTGGCAATAAGTCACGCGGCTGTTTCGATACATCTGATGCCTATCATCCTAGTCAATCTTGCATTTGGGGATGACTCCGGTGAGTCACCCACTTTGACATAAAGCCCCTTCCCCAGTCTCTTCCACCGTCTTACCAAATGGAAAACCTTTACCTCCTATACTCAGATAGGTGATTTGAAAAAGCCAGACACTAGCATGGCCGACTACAAAATAATGCGAGGCCGTCGTGCAACCCAGCCTCAGGCTACGTCTGTGCAACGCGAACTGAAGGCGTGGGCTATAATTCTGTCAACACCAGCGCTGCTTGAGCCCATTTTTGCCGAGACAGATCCACAAACTCTTTTGGTCTCCATCCAGCGTGTTTGTACACTCTGGCGAGACGTCGTCAGGGCCTCTGTCTACTTACAAGAACGGATCCTTCTGGTACTCTATTGTGTGCCAATATTAGAGATATTGGCCGAAGCGGGATCGCATAGGGTTTGCCTTGATACCAAAGCATTTGCAAGGTCCATAGTACCGACGGATAGGGTTCTGCATCTTGAGGAAAAGACATCCAACTTGGAGCCACGACCACTCAAGGGTCGCGAATTTCAGGGGTCCTAAAGACGTCACAGAGGAGCTGGACCTCACGGCTGCAGAGAATTCTGAGAAGTTTCAAGCTTACTCTTAATAATACGACCTAGTTTTAAATGTTTAGATTATGGCCGAAAGGCGATGAACTGACAGTCTAGTAGTCGGGTGTACCACGCTGGGCACGAAGCGAGACAAGTCATAGCAGCCATAAGAGCAGACAGCCGCCAACGAAGGACGAACAAACAGCCAACCAAATCACAGTCTTGGCAGAGTAAACCCAAGGCTTCAGTATGGTCTCTAGCTATGTATCGCGCTGGGACGTACATATCAAGCGGGAAACTCACCCCATGGGTAAGGTGATCAATCGGCACTTCTTTCTTTCGAGTTGTACCCATCCCCATCAATGCAGCCAGAGTTAGGGTGTGCGAGGGGATTTCCAGTTCTGTAACTCGTACATAGTTCTCAATACAGTCGGCTTTGCCCACCTTAGCCGCAATTGAGCTTCTCATTCACCACTCATGTTAGATCACCGCCCTATCCTTGAATGAATGAGTATATCAGTGACGAATCTATGTCCGTGATTAATTTAAAACTATATTGCCACCTCTAGGTACTTCTGCCACTGGCCATCAGCGCAGGAAAAGTATCTGGACCATGTTCTATAATTAGCAGCTTCCCCTCGTTGGCTAGTGTCACCAGTGTACTGTTGCACAGCATTCCTTGACCAACTGCTACGTATTGTGACCAGCTTAAGACATGGTAGTTGATGTGGCCTTTCCAACCAAGCACCAAATTTTATTTCCCTAGCATGTTTGAGCACATAAATCTTTTCTAAAAAAAAAAAAAAAAACCAAGCTTCTTCAAAGCATCTTCGCGCCGCGGCGATAATGAGCCTCAATTCAGCAGCATCCCCAAAGCCGAAATTCTGGAGGGGGCGACTTGCGTACCTGAAAGTCGCCGGCGTAAACGTTACGACTATCCTAACCTGGCCAGGATAACGCATAGCGCCAGCCAGCAGTCGGATTGCCTTTTCTTGCAAAATCTACCAATAGAGATACGACAGTTGGTGTACGAGCAACTCTAGCTTGATGCCGGTGTAACACAACATGTCTATATTGTGAATGGAAAATATGCACACCAACGTTGCCTTACCAGTCATTGCGCAACTGATGAGCGGCAATCAGAGCTCGAGCGTCTATGGCTATAAGACTGGAACGTCAGGGGTATTCAGACCGAGAACAGCGTCTGGTCAAGAAGATTACTGTCCTCGTGGTGCAATCACTGGCGGTTTGAAGAAGCTGCCACTTCTTCTACGCAGCTGTGCCCAGGTTGGGTGCCCACCTGCAGTCCATTCCTACCCATGCTCTTGACATGCAAGAAGACGTTGGTTCCCCTCCCGCCCGTAGCACGCTTCTTTCAATAACTCATGAACGCGTCAACAGCTATCTCGAGTGTAGAGTGTCGATATGCGAGAACATAACCTTTGCACTCTGTAGCATACCAATATCGTACGATTTCCTAATAGCACGGCGCATTCCTTTAGTCGACGCGATACGTCAGCTACGCATTTCATGTGTGCTACCAACAAAATCGTATCCCGTCATGGAAGATATAGCGGACAGTCTGCATGAAATATGGCACAAACCAGAATGCGATCTATGGGTGTCACTCTTAGAAAGGATTGGGACCATGAGGTCATTGCTGACAAGCTATATTTGGATCGACTGTTTTGACCCTAGGTGTTTCCTGCTGCTTCTACGAGCGCCTATCTACTTTTTAGTGCCGCTCAATGTACGGCATAGAGTGATTTTCCACCTACTGACCTCTGATGATCACTTGCTCGACCAGCTACGGGGAAAAGGAGTCCAAGTCCTGGGGCGCCACAAGCCCGAATTTCATGGCGATCTTATGGGTAGAGATCAGGTTACTAGGGGATCCTGCTATCCGTATTTTATAGGAAGGCTGATAGCTCAACGGAGGCCGCGACAGTACTTCAGATGCTTGTATTAGCCGTGCTCAGCTAGACGATGCAACATCTCCAAAGCAAGCACAAGGATGGACCTCTGATCTGAATTTGCTTCGGCCGCAAAAGTGAAAATAAATTCTAAGCAAGCGATTAACCATCTCTGCCCCAGAGTCTTAGCCACCGGTGATAGTCCCAGAAAAGCATCTCGAATCACCTAGCCCGAAACCAATGATTTCTTGCAGTCGTTTATGAAGATTTATGCGAACGCTGTGAAGTCAAAGGACACTGATAGTGCCATACCGCACCACTATTAATATATCTACCAGATCCCACACTTTCTCCGTGGATGGCCAAAAATACCATGCTAGCAGTTCACAACCTGGCGTGTTTTAAATACGAAAAAGGTTTGTGATCTTTTTGCAGGTCTCGTTAAAAGAACAACGGAGGGCAGGATGAGCCAGAAGCAACTTCAAGGAGCAATGAGACGTACTTACTCACAAGATCAGTGAGTGAGATGGCAGGTAACACTGACATTTTTCCACTCAAAGCAGTATGACCTTGCCTTTTCATTCATATCGTGCCCCTGCTACATGATTACCTGTGTAGCCATATCAAACCGAGCGATGGAATCTAGTACACCCCGTGAGCATTCCAGAAAATTTGTAACTAATAGCGGAAGCAGACCGTTTTAAAACCTACCAGAGTTGTCTGCTCCCATCGCTCGGGCGCAGTTGATTTAAAAGTAACATCTCTCAGGCCGTATATTACCCGATTTGCTGGTAAGGGTTGTGTGTGTAAGCTGTGCCAGATTAGCATAGCAAACCATACACACTTTAATGGCCTTCGTCCTTCCCTTCGAAAATATTTCCAGACCCATCTCGATGTCTGTAGCAACTTACCTCATGAAGAATAAGTCGCTCGAGGGAGTCGAACTGGTCTACCTTCGAGGAGGGCTGATAGTCTCCACCGGTGAGTTATTTGTCAACAATCAACGGCCCGCTCTCTCGAAGGCCATGGTAATCATTTCTTCAGCCAATGGATTCGCAGCGTTGTTGACACGTTCTCGAGAAATCCTCTTGTACTTTCTTTCCTTTAAGCCCTTAACATATCCCGCGTTAAGTATAACTGTGTCGGGGATTGTTTTACAGATTAGGTTTCGCACGAGTTCTTAAGTTTTAAATGTCAGAGTCCATGCTTCTATTGCCGGGTCCTTATCCATTGTTTGATGAGCACCCTTCATGAGAAGAATAGCCCTTTTACGAAAAGTGTCGTATAATATGTTCTTTGTACTCGTGATAACCCAGTGTTCGGCATGCAGTATATCTCCTCGGAATTTAATATAGATTAGCACAAATTAATAGAAATAGCTGTAGAGGCATTAATTTGTAAGAGTCAGTATTAAATCGTCAGGCAGTAGAAACTATCAGGGAGGGTCCTCGTCGTTACTAGACTTATTCTTGCTAACCCAACTATTCTCTACGTGAATGGATAGAAGTAGCTGTGACGGCGCTTGCGCCTCGCCAGTGGCGCTGCCGCGCCACACCGTTGCGGCACCCCTAGTGCGCTGTCCGTTACAAAAACCCTTACCGCGATTGTAGTAAAATAGTGGAGCAAAATGGGTTTTGGCCTGGAGTCGAAATCGCCCCTCCACTGAGCCACGACCGTAGAACATGCCCCTCTACTCCGTATCTATCCATGAAAATTTCTGGTAGGCCGCAAGCATAACGCGATGGGCTTCGAGAGATGGGTGTATGAGTTGCAGGCCGCCAGGCCTGTAGCCTGTAAGTCTTGGCGCCCCGGTCTCTAGTTTACGCCCGACCGCTCACAATTTTTGCAGACATCATCGATGTGTGGCATCTCTACAGGACGTCCATTCTGCTAACCACTTTTGGCATCCTGGTCTCGGCGTACATCTACCTGCTCTTAACTACAGACCGAGAATACTCGGTCGCTCTGCGGAATACGTATGGTGATGGCAGTGAGAAGAGCAGGGAAGCCTCATCGCCTCAGACTGTCACTGAAAAGTCTTCTGTCCCGTTGTTGAAGCAGCCCTCAACCACCACCAACGGGCCTCGGCGCATCAAGGGCGAGCTTCGCAGACCCGACGTCAAGAAGTCAGAAGACCTGCCCCAGGGACCGCGACGGGTCCAGCCACTCATCTTTTTCTCCTCGCTGACTGGGAGTACGGAGAGGACTGTAAAGGGGTTCACCGAGTCGTTGGGTGCGCTATTGAAGCAGAAGCCTGAGGGAGAACATGTTATCCTCGAACCAAAAATTCTGGATCTCACGGAGGTCGACTATGATGAGTACTTCATCAGCCCACCGAAACCGGCTGAGCCTTCCGGTCCCGAGGCTTACATATACCTGCTCATCGTACCAAGCTACAACATTGACACGATTAATGACAATTTCTTGGAGCACCTCAGGGAGACGCACAATGACTTCAGGATTGACACAGCGCCTCTGTCCGGCCTTCTGGGCTATTCGGTATTTGGTCTAGGAGACAGGGAAGGATGGCCGTCCGAAGAGGAGGGCTTCTGTTTCCAGGCCAAGGAGGTCGACAAGTGGATGGCCAAGCTTACTGGTCGCAAAAGAGCATATCCTCTGGGTATGGGGGATCCAAAGCGGGATATGAAAGAAAGATTGGACGAGTGGACGGAGGGAGTCAAGGATATGATCAGCCTTCTTGCCGAGACGGGAAGCCTTGGAGAGGGTGTGCCCGGAAGCGGAGACGCAGTCGAAAGTGATGACGAGTCCGTATCTGGCGACGATGGCGAAGTTGTCTTCGAGGATGAGACTGTCGAACTCAAGCGGTCAAAGAAGAACCAGTCCGGGAACCTGGAAGATGTCGAAGACTTGGGAAAGATTATGAAATCTTCAGGGGGTGGCCAAAACGGAACAGCGCCGATCGCAGTAGACTTTACGACATACAGCAAACCCACCAAGAAATCCCAGGCTCAGACTGTCAAGGAGATGGTCCCACAGAACTCTCCGACGTACAACTCTCTCACTAAGCAAGGATATACCATCGTTGGGTCGCATTCAGGGGTCAAGATTTGCCGCTGGACCAAGTCTGCGCTACGTGGCCGCGGGTCATGCTACAAGTTCTCTTTCTACGGAATAGCCTCGCACCAGTGTATGGAGACCACGCCGTCGCTCTCGTGCAGCAACAAGTGTGTCTTCTGTTGGCGACACGGCACCAACCCCGTCGGCACCACGTGGCGCTGGGTGGTGGACCCGCCAGAGCTCATCTTCGACGGCGTGAAAGCCGGCCACTACAAGAAGATCAAGATGCTCCGCGGCGTCCCCGGCGTGCGCGCCGAGCGTTTCGCGGAGGCCATGCGCATCCGCCACTGCGCCCTGAGTCTCGTCGGCGAGCCCATCTTCTACCCGCACATCAACGAGTTCCTGGGCATGCTGCACGCCGAGCGCATCTCGTCCTTCCTCGTCTGCAACGCGCAGCACCCGGACCAGCTCGCGGCGCTCAAGGCCGTGACGCAGCTCTACGTGTCCATCGACGCCAGCAACAAGGAGTCGCTGCGCAAGATCGACCGGCCGCTGCACCGCGACTTCTGGGAGCGGTTCCAGCGCTGCCTCGACATCCTGCGCGAGAAGCGCTTCAAGCAGCGCACCGTCTTCCGGCTGACGCTGGTCAAGGGCTTCAACGTCGACGACGAGGTCGAGGGCTACGCGGACCTGGTCGAGCGCGGGCTGCCGTGCTTCGTCGAGATCAAGGGCGTCACGTACTGCGGCACGTCGAGCTCGGCCGGCGCCGGGCTCAGCATGGCCAACGTGCCCTTCTACGCCGAGGTGCAGGAGTTTGTCGAGACGCTCAGCCGCCGCCTCAACGAGCGCGGCCTCGGGTACGGCATCGCCGCTGAGCACGCCCACAGCTGCTGCGTGCTCATCGCGAGCGAGCGCTTTAACAAGAACGGCAAGTGGCACACCAAGATCGACTACCAGCGCTTCTTCGAGCTGCTGGAGGAGAGAGGCGCGGACGGCGACTGGACGCCCGAGGAGTACATGGGCGAGGAGACGCCCGAGTGGGCCACCTGGGGCAACGGCGGCTTTGATCCCAGGGACCAGCGGGTTGACAGAAAGGGGCGACCCATCGAGGCTTGACCAGGGGCAGGTAGTGACGGGGGCAAAAGCGTCAATGGCCAGACAGGGTTCGCCTATGGCTCACTTTGTACATAAGACTGCAAATCAGAATCTGAAAAAAGTTTGTCGTTGGTCATTTATCTATATGCCTTGGCTGCCGGGTTGCCGACCGTCTACGGGTCGTGGTGTGAAATGTACAAGATGAATCCCTCCCCCACAAGCCCCCTTTTCTAATGATTCCCAGCCGGACAGACACAGCGGTTGACCCGGCTTGGCAATATATCTTACATAGCTACTAATAGTGCACGAGTGACGGCCCGCGGTACTCTGGGCCCTGTCATGCCACCTCCCCAAGCACCAAACAAGGCCCTACGCGTTTCTGCTCAAAAAAATGTGTGTGGAGGTGGGATGGGCGGGAAAGTCGGTGGCGGTTTTCTCCTTCTCTGGTTATACAAAAAGGTCTCCAAGGGAGATGCTCGAACGGTTGGTGCTAGGGCACTCTCTAGTCGAGACCGGGGTGAGGAGGCATGCCACCGAGACCATCGATGTCAAGGGCCTTGTCGTAGGCAATCATCTCGGCAAGGACGTCGAGCACACGCTGTTATAAAAGGTTTCATGTCAGCCATCCTGTCCTTCTCAACGAGCAACTGACGCCAGACATCCAAGTCCAGCAGTTCCTCAGCGAAGATGGGGGGAAAACAAACGTACCTTGTCGACGGTCTTGTCGTAGATCTGGATCAGGTCGCCAGGGGTCGGGTAGACCTTGAGGGCCTTGTAGAAGGCGAGGGCGGCGTCGGTGGTCTTGGCGGGGTCCTTGGCCAGGTCCTCGCCGATCTGGACGTGCTCCATGAAGTAGCCCTCGCGCTCGTTGACGCCCGAGGGGAAGCCCTCGTCCTGGGCGGCGTCGACGGCGGCGTGGATGTCCTGGCGGCGCGAGGCCCCGGCGGCGTTGGCCTCCTCCTTCTCGGCGCGCGCCTGTCGCCGGGCCTGCCGCCGCAGCTCCCGCCGGAACTCGGAGTTGCGCCGCCGCTGCACGTCGAAGTAGACGGCGTAGCCTGTCGCGAGGGGAAGCGTGTCAGAAAAAGGTTGCGGGTCTTGGGTTGCCCGCCAGTCGTCCGGCTCGAAAGGGATGCGGCAGCTCGCAGGACGATGGGGGCAGACTGCTCCTCCGTGGGTGGACTTGAGGAGACAAGACCCAAGCGCATTCGCGGGCGCGGGCGCGCAGGAGAGGAGGACAGACAGGGCTGAAGGGAAGCAACCAAACACGGCGGCGGTGCTGTTCAGGGTCGTGATGTGATGCAGGGTGACGTACCTAGTAAACCGGTCGCTACCGCAGCTACGGATATCGTCGCTACCGTCGAAGTCTGGACCATCTTGAGCTACCTTAACGGGGGTTGGAGGAGAGGCAAAGATTCGGCTGGTGTTTCTCAGGTTGGCTGGATAGGGTCGGGGGATCGATGCAGCTCGACGATGTGCCGGAGACGGGAGACGGGAGACGGGGCTGGATGGCGAGGTGGCGTCTTGGTTGTTGTTTGGCCGTCAGAGGTGGTGAGGTAGAGAAGCTTCTACTTTTCTCTCGCAGGACCGGCCGTTGCGCTGCTTTGCTCTGCTCTGCTCTGCTCTGCGGCCAATGGAGCCACGCCCGTAATTTTTTTCCAGTTAGGCCCGGTCCAGCAGCGCCTGGCGTCATATGGATCCCCTGCCCGGCCCTGCCCGGGGGGGAGCATTGGCTGTACATCTATCTCTGGGGCCCGCTGCCCAGGGCTGAATCGCTGACAACTAATTCCGCTGCCGACCTCCCTGGCGACCTGTCGAGAGTGAGCGAGCTGGAGCCTGGCTGCTGCAAATGCACAGGGCGACGGGTGCCGTACCGAGTACTTCAACATGTACGGGAACACTGCGCAAGTCTGAAGTAGCGCTACAAGCCATGCACCCCATGCTCAACACCTGTCCCGCCATCGTGGACACTCGACGGACAAGCTGTAACGTCCTAGCACCGAGCACTGCACATTGCCCAATTGTCGACGCTTCCTCGCTGGCATCACTTCACCATCGCCTTGGTCGTCCACGGCGGTTGGCTTTGTGACGGTGATGCGTAGACGCACGCTGGCCCTGCTCTCTTTTACCGATTCTGCAATACATCACATCCCATCCACATCCACATCCACATTCACGCCCAGTGACCTGGCCCGTTCCTATCAACGTTCCTCCTCTCTCTATCGTCAACCCGACGCCTGAGTATCGTGCAGCGCGAGCCAAACTCTCACCACCGCTTCTGCCACCAGCTACACTGTCCCCAGCTCACCATGTCGGACGATAGGAAGGGGATCTCTCTCCGATCCGGTGGGAAGAGGAAAGGAGGGCGTCCAACCATCAGCGCCCCAAAGCAGATCTCGGGCCCAATCCCCAATGATGGAGTAGACATCCCCCGTAGCACGGGAGGGCGGCCAGGCCCTGCCGGTCCAGGCGCACCTCAACCAAGACCAAGACCACCGCCCTCGGGCGGCAAGACCAGTGATATGGTCATGCGCCGCTACTCCACCCGCTTCAACAACCTGCCCCAGAACTTCGATGCCACCGCGCCCCCTGTCCCGTCCGTACCGAGAATCGATCCTGCCAGATACGCCCAGCCCGGCGAGAGGCGTCCTCCGCCATCAAGGGGAGAGGGCGCTCCCGTGTCTAGGTCCAGGGCCGGAGGGCCGCCAGCAATTGATGTCAAGGCCTTGAGGGACGCCACTCTGGCACCCGACCAGTATGTCGCCGGTATACTCAGCGAGGCCACCGAGGACGAGATCCGCGACTACGAGGACAGCTTGCGGAAGCTCAAGAGCCGCGCGGCCAACGATCTGCAGCAGAACGTCTACCAGAATCGCACCCAGTTCATCAAGATCAGCAAGGAGGCCGAGAAGCTCAAGGGCGAAATGCGCTCCTTGCGGAACCTCATCATGGATCTCAAGTCGAACACGACGGCGCTGAGGTCCGCCTCGGCAAATCAGACCTCGCCCATGAACGGAGACTTTGGCACGGGCCTGAGCAAGAAAGACCGGCGGAGCTCGGTTGCGGACCGGACTGCCCTGTGGAACTCGCAGATGCAGGCGCTCTACAAGAACGTCGAAGGGTCCCAGAAGTTTCTGCCCAACTCTCTGGGCCGACACGTGGTTCAGGATGCCGGCTTCTGGATTGAGTTGGACAACGCGACCTACAAGTCTCGCAGATCAATGCAGATCTTTCTGCTCAACGATCACCTGCTCGTCGCCTCCCGTAAGAAGAGGAAGGCGGACCAGCCCAACGACAATCGTGCTCCTGTCACCAAGTTGGTGGCCGATCGCTGTTGGCCGCTGCTCGAGATCGACATTGTAGACATGGCCAGCTCGAACGAGTCATCCAGCAGCCGGAATAAGCTCGCGGACGCCATCATGGTCCGCGGCATGGGCCAGGAATCCTTCATCTACAGGACCGAGAAGCCCGAGGACACTCAGAAGTCGGCTTTGATGTTGAACATCAGAAAGGCTGTCGAGGAGCTGAGAAAGGGGCTGCAGTCGGAGATGGAAGCCAACAACAAGGCCAAGGAGACGATCAACTATTTTGCCTCCAGGGACCCCGGCCTGCTTGAAAAGACGGAATTGCTGCAAACCCTCTCTGACATCAAGGACATGTTGATCGAGGTTGACGGGAAGCAACAAAACTTGCGATGGGTTGAGGGCCAGATGGACGAGCTAGACATTGACGTTGCACTTCAGCAGTTTGAGACGGCGGTTGCCAAAGTTGAGAAGCTGAGAGAGCTCGCACGCAGTCTCAAGAACAACGCCATCGCCCAGGACTTTATCAACTTCAAAGTTCAAGAACGTTCTACCAAACTAGCAGGACTTATCACCAGGAACCTCATAGACAACCATGCCGGGTCGCAAAAGACAAGACGCAATGTGAGCTGGCTGACCAGACTGGGGTTCGAGGACCGCGCACGGGAGGCGTACCTCGACGCTAGAGGCGAGCTTGTCAAGAAGAGGTCAAGGTTAGTTGGCTCCTGTCACCTATGTCACTTTTCGCACGCTCTTAAGCTAACTGCCCATCAGGCAATGCATCTTCCAAGGCGATCTCCACCTGTACATTTGGCAACTCTCCTTTGTCTACTTCAGCATCATCCGCAACACCGTCGCCTGCTTTCAGAGCTGCTTCCCGCAGGCCATGATGAGCGCCTGTGTCAAGTGGGCCAAAGAGGAGGTTGAGGGCTTCAACGTCATCCTGGCCAGGCAGCTCAGCAGCGTTGAGAAGGACAGCGAGGTCTGGTCCAAGTGTATGGACCGCGCCAAGGTCCATGCCCAGATGCTGTCCGAGGTCCAGCTCGATTTCAGGGACCTCATCGGCAAGGAGGTCTTGGCGGACCAGCACGTGAATGGGGAGAACAAGCCCGTGGGGCTTGGTGTGTCGGCAGCATGAGGCACGGCGTATACGTAGCTAACGATGAGATGAGATGGGATGCAGACGCGTAATTCAGACATGACTTGTATTCACTGTTTGCTCTTCATCCTCAGTCCGGAATCGTCGCTGACTTCTTTGTCGTCTTCCTCCTCCTCCTCCTCCTCCTCCTCCTCATCGCCCTCCTCATCGTCCAGATTGTCGTGACAGGTGCAACCCCCTTTTCCCAGCCCAAACGCCTCATCCCACGCGGCGGCCACCTCGGGGTCGCCCACTCCACCGCCGTACCAGAACCGGGCCCAGGGCCGCCGTGTTGCGAAGCCGTGCGGTCCGCCCATCCACGCATCCCGTCCCTTGCCGGCGCCGCCAGCCGCGTACGGCGACGGCCCCGCCGCCTCGGCCGCCGCCCGTCGCATGTTCTCGCCGACCAGCCGCCGCGAGTGCACCTGCGCCGTGTGCAGCACGTCGGCCATGTGCGCCGTCACGGGGCGGCGCGTGCTCCCGGTCGAGTCCTCCGGGTACCGGTCGGCGCGCGGGTCCGACACCTGCAGGAGCTGCGCCGTGCTGGGTCGTCTTGTCGGCTGCGGGCGCTTCTCGACGCCTGTCCAGACGGGCTTGATGCAGCGGAAGACTCCGAGCTTCGGGCTGGACTTTGGACGGTGGGTACGAGCGTGGGCTGGAGCGGCAGCTCCCTCGGAGGCCTTGAGGACGGGGGGCTTTGTGCTGCTGCTCGCGGCCGGGGTGGCGGTCGTGCTTGTCTTTGTGGCCATGGCGGCTATGGCATGTGGCTCCTTGTCCTGCGCGTGTAGTGTGTTCTTTGTGCGGTGACAAGGAAATGGCCCTGTAGGATTGCTGTGACGGCGATGCTGGTGATCAGGGAGATGAAAGGGGTCTGTTGCGGAATGCAATCGAGGGTGTGACATCGCAACTGTATCTCAGGCGCCCCTCGTAGATGGATGAAATCGACAGGAATGATACCACAATACTGCCTTGGGATGATGCTAGACGTCAGGCACTCATCATGAATGTGCAGCAAGTCCGAGACAAGATGCAGTGTCAAGCTACGGGTCTGCCTGGCTTGACGGTGAGCGTTTGCGGGATGCCGTCGACTAATCCTTGATTTTTATGGACTGGATAGCGATGAAATTCCGTTCGCCACATTGCATTTGTTTGCTCGCTCTGCTCACTTGAGTTGTCGCCGGCAACTGAGCAGTATTTCTCATTACGGTTGTCCGGGCTGCTATCGTCGCTGGATGTTTTGGCAGCGGGGCTATTACAATCATACTAGGACACACTTCTAACTGTTCGAAAGTAATATATCTTCAGAGCTATTGGTAATAATCTTCGTGGGTTTGTCGCCGGTCGACGTATGAGCTGCTTACTCTGTCCAGTGGCTGTACCGGATCAAGATCCTCGACCACTACATACTATTCATGGCATTCTATACGACCATCAAATACTAGATTGTGTAAAAAATATATGGAAACCCCTTCCATAGCAGCCTTGAGCGTTCCTCCAGGACATTCAGCCATCCGTAGTCAGACGTGACCTAGCCAGCTACCATACACTGGCCCCAATCATTTCCCCTGCAACATAACTTACTTCTGTCAATACATTTGCGTAGTGATCGGTTGTACCATGCAACTTGCATCCCTTTTTCATGTGATTTTGTCTGGGGCCTGGTGGACAAGACCATCTAAGCTCATCAGAAACCCTGTAGCACTCGACGTTTGGTCGATAATAGCGCCAAAAGTAACTGCTTGATGCCATAACAGCCCCAGTAGCAGTCAAATAGTAGATATGATAGACTTCTGCTACAGTGCTCTGTTACGTCACCCTAAACAGATGAGTGGCCAGCGCAAGTTGCGCGCGGCTGGACGGTTAGCAGTTCCACACGTGGCTTGAAAGTAGTGAGATATAACAGATAGTGTGAATTGCGCGAGCCTTCACAAGGTATATCCAATCTTTAATGAGAAATTAGAGCAAGTATTGCCGTCTCCTTGCGCTGGCGTACTTGATATGTCCGCAATTCCTATAGCTCAATCCACACATGACATGAATGGTTTCCATATCTTCCTTTGGTACTTCCGATACATTAGAATTACATAAAGGGCTCAATACACTTGACCAGCTATCTCAGAGGTTGGCTGAGAAGTCGGCTTGGAAGGATGTAGTTAGACGGGGGGGTATACAACGAGCGCACGGGCCAAGCGGGACAAGTCGTCAATTGCCTGCCATATTCCCAGTCTCCCACAAATCACCATCGCTCAGTTTTCAAAACTATTGCTGCTCCCACCCAGGCTCTGCCGTGCTGAGCAGCGACATTGCGCACCTGCGCGAGGGAGCGTTGCACTGACGACGAGTGTTGCGTTCCGAGCATTCTTGTTGTGAATAAGCTTCACTTGCTATTAATAGTCATATTGTCATTGCTAAGCGTCAAGTTCGTCTAAATCCACCAAAACGCCGAGCCATCCTCCTCCGACCATGTCCATTGTCAGAGTTAAGCCCTACGCCATGTGCGAAAGCCTAGCGCCCGAGCGCGGACCTAGGGGATGATGGTGATGCCAGTAACGAAGTTTACAAATGTGCGGAACGCTACCCTCACGCTGCCTGCCATGCGAAACCAAAGAAAGAGGACCAATCCAGTACGGCGAGTTGGGTGTACCGTGACGCGTGTCAAGCGACAGGCCCTACCAAGTGGCGCGCCTCGCCATTCCGAACTCCCAGCGCGTGTCCGACGATAAAACAAGGTATACAAGGTGTTGTCGGTCCGCGACGAGGCAAATACGACGGAACGAGCGATTCATCGAGCGACCAATAAGCTACGCGGCCAGGGAGCGGTCTAGACGAGCTCGAAACCATCGTCCTCGATAATCGCCGGTTCCTCGGAAGCCGAGTGCAGACCCTGGCTGCGGAGATTCCGACGGGCCTTCTTACCCGTGAGGGCATCTCCGTTGTAGTCTAGGATCTCGTACTCCTTCTCGACGAGCTTCTCCGTCTCCTTGGGGTTGGTCTTGACGAAGACCTCCAGAGACAAGGGCTTGGAGGGGCTTTCGGTTTGGTCGAAGCTGTACAGGACATGGTCTACCACACTGAGCCTTCGCCTTGTGTTTGGTGTTGGAAGCAGGTCAATGAGGGACCGCGAGATAGCGGGATCGTTTAGCTCTTCCATGGCATCCACCTTGGCCCGCGAGTGACTCGGCTTTAGGTCATATGGGAGCTTGGCTTTGACGATATTGTGCGATCGGACATGGGGGCTTTTAAGACGATGTTAGTCACTGGGCCTCCCGTGAAGCAAGTGCTTCATTACTCACTTGTCAAAAGCGCGCTGGGGCCGGACTTTGGCGCGCTGAGCATCACTTCCGGTGATGATCATGTCGTCAAGACTGTTGATTTTGCAGCCAGCCGAAGGGCGAGTGCCGCGACTCCACTTGGTATAGCGTTCCTTCTCCCTCTTGGGGTCCTGAGCAGCGCCTCGCATGTCTCGGGTAACCTCGAAGGTAGCCATTCTGCAGTGTTGCTGGATGGTGAGTATATGGATGGAGGCAGATGTGATTTAGGTGGTGTTTGGTCAACAAAAGGATACGCAAGCTGCCGTATCTCAGGTACGCTTATATCCTAGTTGCTCTTTGTGGTAGATTGGATACACCTGGAGGACGTGGCCAACAGGGTGTCTTGTGCCGGAAACCGAATGTAGCGCGACGATGCGAGACGATTCGAGATCAAAGGCCCGCCGGGGAGATTTCGACGACTAAATGAATAGTTGACGAGGGGTGAGATGATATTTAGGAGAGAGGTTATTGCAGAAAACGGAGCTGTTCCTTTCTAGAAGAGAGAAGGTGGTGATTGCAAAGCGATCGAGTCACACGGCGGCCAAGGCCCGACTATGAGGTAGGTTGGCTGGGTGCTGTTTGCAAGGATGTGGAGGGTGCTTTGTCTCTCTTGCCGTCCAAGCAGGAGAAAGAGTAAGCAGGTGCCCGTACGTCAGGTGCAGTCCGTCAGATGGGATTTGGCTTTGTTATCGAAAAGCGAGAGTTGGTGCGCGCGCAACAAAGGAGGTCAGTCCGATCTGCTGGTTAGACCGGGGTGACTCAGAATGATGGTCGACTATGCGGACGGGCGGCCAAGTACAAGGACGGCCTTTATCGATAACGATGATGCAACGGTGCTAGCCGATGGTGCGTATAACAGAATGCACCTGTTTGTCTGTAGGTATGTACGCAAAAGAGACAGAGAAGAAAGACAAGCGACACAAGAAGGCGAGGGCAGCTGCTTGTGCCTATAGTTCAGATCACGATGTTTGGCTTTGTTGTTCTTGATTGTTTGATCACCCAGGAGAGAGAGGAAAGGGGGGAGAGGCCAGGCGCGTGGTGATATGGGGGACCTCGGTGGTCCTTATCATCGTGTCGGGCTAACTATCTACAGTACAGCATGTACCAAGTTACAGTCGACAGTTACCGTTGGCCGTTGGTTCTGTTACGGGCGTTGCGCTTGGTGGTGGGTGGCTCCGGATAGTGTGGGAGGATGGCCATGGCGATAAGCTCGTGGCGTGTGGGCTGGCAGTGCGGATGATGCATCATCACACAGGCCGTGTGACTAGTGACGTGCTGCTTCCATGATCCGTCTCCTGCCAACCAGCCTTCCTGGCATCTCCCCCATGCCTCCCTCCTTGGCCTCCGACAGCCTGCCCCAGGGCTCTGGAACTGCATCAGGGTATCCGCACTCCCCCGTCAGATGAATGACACGGAGAATGGAAGCATATTGGCGGCAGCAAAGCCCCGGCCGAGCGGCTAGAGCGGACTAATACGCCAGACAGACATTGGTCACTCTCGATCTTGGACCCCGTGGCCTTGAGTTCGACCACACATGGGCCCTGTGCCTACGTCTACCGAGTACATCGTTACTTGCCGATGACCTCAGGCAGGATCATGATGGAATCAGGCGCTTTGGCTCGTCCCAGCCAGCCAAGGCTCGAAGCTGTTGGGAGAGCTCTCAAACACGCCCGCCGGAGCCGGGGGAGGCCAGTACTTGGACACCAGCCAGGCCCGTGGCGCCGTTGCCATGCTTCTATTTGCCCGTTTGTTTGAGTTATACTGTTACGCATGGAGACCTGCCTAGGATGATCGACCCGTAGACTGGAAACGCGTCAGGTACGAAACCGTGGCTAGTAGATAACACCTGCCGGCCGACCCAGGATCCCCACACTATCGGTCCCCTGAATGCAATGCCGAACCCCCATTCTGTCGCTACTGGATGTACTGTACTGTACTGTACTGTACTGTACTGTACACAGTAGGTGATTCGTGATGGCGTTACAACAAGACGTTGCCAGTCTGTCGGAAAGCACCGGGTGAGGTGAGAGTCGAGGAGATTGCTCGATCGCAGGCACGTTGGCTGATTGCTGGGCATTGGGGAGCCCGTCTCGCCCGGCCAAGCCAAGCAGTCGGCTGCAGGTGCTCTCTCTCGCCTCACCCCCTGGCCCCTCTCCCACCCTCCATCACGATATCACCTCCCCCAGAGGCTGCGATAAGGCACAGCGTATCAGAGACTCCATGTGCTTGCGCCTCTGGGGAATGCGAGAGCGGGATGCACGATTTAGGGTGGTCACTCGCATCTCCTAGGTCCCCCGTCTTCCCCCGAGGCAACTCGTAGCCCATTCGGATATCCGAATTGAGACAAAACTGCAGCTGTGACTCTGCCCGCCAGAAGGGGGCAATGGCCAGCTAGGCACCCTGCAGGATGCCTCAGGATTGATTGCCTCGGGATGCTCAGCCTAGCGAGCGCGTCTCGCCGTATCTACTGAAATACAACTTACCTCACTCATCACCTAAGGTAGTTGCCATTTCACTTCTGAAGGGCCTATGCGCACCGTGTGCTATGGTACTAGACCATCGGGCCCCGTGGCTGGCCTAGCGATAGATCCCAATCTGACCAACGCCAAAGGTAATCTCGACTGACTAAGGCCCATGACGAAGACGGGTCGCGAGAGCTGGGCTGAGCGCCCCCCCCGTGTGTTCCTGCTTGTAAGTTACAGTAGCGGGGTTGCTATTGATAGCAGCGGGCAGCGCAGCGATAAGCTCCAAGCCTTGATTTTGGGTCCTCGGTGCTTTCGACCAGGCCGGCTGGCCGGCTGTGCTGGGGTGCCACGGCAAGAAGCACTGCAGATCCCCTTGCAGCTGAAAGCCTGTCAGATTCACATGGGATGGGAAAGCCTGCAAGGCCTGCCCTGGCTGGCGCTTGCTTGCCTTGTCCACTGATGCCCGTAGCAGGACTGGGACGAAAACAAGGCCGGCCAGCAGTCTGAGACGGCCACCTCATCACTCACCATACTAGTCCTGAGGTGCATTTCACGACCGATGACTTCATTCACGCTGCCAGCTGGTGTCGGGTTTCTTATGGCCATCTTGCTTCCTGAAACCTGCCGGCCGCAATTGGCTTACGAGTCGGAACAGAGGTCGTCTGACGCTCTAGGCGCGGAGTCCCCACTGCTAATCATTGACACAATTGGAGTGATTATGCTGACCAGCTGTGGCTTGACAGGATCCAAAACAACGAGCACATGGCCTAGAAATGACGGAAGTCTTTCCTGAACCGGTTTTCCATTCCATCCGGCGCCTAACTTAGGCAAGCCAGGTTGTATCTCGGCTTCAGTGCTCACTATACCCTTTGAACCACCAAGCTTAGTACAGCACCCAAAGTTACGTTACGTCATCGTCACTATACCCATGCAACTGATCCGGACAAGACAGCACTGCTGGAGATATACCTATTTTGTGTAGCTGCTTTGCTTCCTGACCATCAACTCTTTACGAGATCTCAGATCAGGTCTTATGGAATTTGCCAGTCTTACTGCTTAAAGTAGGCATGGGCGAAAAAGAATCCATACAGCTCTGAGACTCGTCTGGCCATCGTTTCATGAGATATCGATTAAGCATCAATGGCAATTCTTCATCTCGTAAGCTCCCAGGATCAATATACAAGTTGACCTACACAACTGTGAAAGCAAGCCCAACCTAGTTTTCTGACGTGATAGTCGTTTGAGAAATTTCCCTACAGCTGAACACGATATGGAGCGATGGTTGATAATCCAACTGATAATAAATCAAGTTCTCAAAGCATCCCACAAAACCCATACCCCTAACGTAACTGATGTTGCATTGGACGGTCTAGGACCCAGTCCCGGATCAAATCTTGGCCGCACCCCTCGGCTTTGCATCAGCTTTCTTCAAGCACGCTTCTGCCGCCCAGTCGCTCAAGTACAGCGGCATCTCCGTCTCCAGCAGCATGAACGTCAGCCCGTCCGTCTGCACCTTGGTAGGTGTCGTAGATGCGTTGCTCGCGGCCTGGAAGTCCTCCTCGGTCGCGCCGTGCGTGGTCATGCTCCCGTGCAGGCCGGCGACGAAGGGCTTGAACTGCTGGCCTCCGTTGAGCGGGTGCTTGGGGTGCTGTGCGGTGACTATGGGCGCATAGAACTCGTTCATGGTGTTGCGGTGGAAGTAGGGCAGCCACAACGTCTTCTCCGCGACCATATATCGCGGAGGGATGATGGCAAAGTCCACGACGTTGACCCCGGGCTCCCGGTACGAAGGGGCCGAGAGCGCCGTGTACAGGCTCGGGTCGTGCTCGTCAAAGAGGATGTTTCCCATCGGGCAAAAGCGGCCGAGGTCGAACTTGTAGGGGTAGTTCGTCCCGTGCCATGCCGCCACGTCGAAGACCGTGTGGTCCTGCTTTGCCTCCCAAAGGCGGCCGACCTGACGAGAAACCACGGTGTAAGTCGCATCATGAGCGATGGCCACATCGCCCTTCAGCACGCCGTCGAAATGTGCCGTCGGGATCTGGAAGTCTCGGACGTTGGCAAGGCCCGTGGACCCCACGGGGCCGAGTTCAGGAAGGCGGAAGTGGCCTTGGAAGAGCTCACAGATGTAGCCGCGCGCCGGGCCCGCGGGCAGAGTCACGCGGTAACGGATCCCACGGGGAATCACACATATTTCATTCTGGCGGACTAGGAGCTTTCCCAGCTCCGTCTGGATGTCGAGCGCCCCGGACTGGGGGATGATGAGCGCATCGCCGTCGAGGGAAGAGAAGACCGTGTTTGGTGGCATGGACTTCGCAACGGAGAAGACCCATATAGCCAGGCCGGTCTTGGCCGCCGGGTCTCCGTTCTGCGCGAGCAGCTTCTGGGAGATCCAGTCCGCATCCGGATCGGTCGGAACCGCCGGCCACATATAGGAGTTGGGCGAGATGTTGCTGGGTTTCTTGGGTATACCCTCGCCCTTGTAAGGGACGAACTCATCGTGCTTGAGCGACGAGGTCACACGATACATGAAAGTTTGTAGGCTGTGGTCCCGCGGAGCAGTGAAGGAAGTCCCGCTTATCCGCTCTGTCCTCAGGCCAAAGGGCGGCTTCTGCGGAGTGTTGTTCACGAGAGGGTTCGCGCCCGGCAGGGCCTCTGACCTGGGTATCACGATCAGTATAGTGCCTGCTAGGCAACTGTTACTCTGCGCAGACCTACTGATGGTAACTCCCAAATCCCTCCAGATACTTATATGTATCTTTGACAACGAAGTCGGTTACTGGAGCCATCTTTGCCTGTATTTAGTAATACGGTGCTGAGTATGCTTTCAACATCAAGTCAATGAGCACGGGGCCTTTTTCGATATGTTCTTTTCAGTGTTTGATGCTCATACAAATGTTCTCTGACACCGTTTCCCCTCATTCGCCCTTTGTCCTAACTCGAGGTGCCGAAGGTATCGCGCATGGACGTGTTGAGGATTTGGACAGTAGTACGTCAAGTGAGCGCCCATCCCCGCAACTACCCCAACTCACATCTCGAATCACACCCGAAGATGAACGCCTAGGTTGAGGTGTTCCTCGGCATCTCCAAGGCCGCTAAATCGTTCATCAGGTTTCCCCACGTTAGCAAAGCGGAGAGTTTCTGAACTCATGTACTACACCAGGGCCGCCTGCTTCATCTAGTAGAATTATAGTTAGCTCTTCAAGCACCCCCTGGACTAAGTGAAACTTATCTTCAGAGTATACCCAAGAGATCGACCAATTCAGAAATCTCACAGAATGGCATCACCGGTCACACAAATCCATTACTTGACGATAGACACAAGCAAGGACTTGACGGACACGGACTCGGAGGCCGGAAAGGCTTGGAACCGAGCCCTCGACTTATTGGAGCATTTCTCGGGCTTCCGGCGTTTATACTGGGGCCGCTCTCCCGAAGACGAGACCAAGGTGCAGTTACACGTCGGTACGCTGAGCCTTTCGTTTTCCGTACGGTTGATTCTACAGAAGTGTCGCAGTGCTTGTCTATCCCCCTTCACTCCTATTCAGCAGGTCCAGTGCAGCTGATGAGGAACCTCTACTAGTAAGAGACACCCGCGCCCAGCACCAGGCCTTCCTCTCGTCCCCGGAGCACACGGCTTTCCAAGCCATCCTCCAGACCCTCGTATCTTCGTCCTCACCCTCGCCGCCGCTGGTACGCCACGCGCAGCTGCGGGACTTCACGCCGGGGTCCCAGGCGCTCGGCCGCGGGGCCCCCGTGTCGGGGACGGCAGTGTACGTGTCGACGGACGCGGCTTGGCACGAGGGCGCGTGGCCGCTGTGGACGCACATCGTGCCGGGGGTGGACGGGTGCCTGGGGTGCTCGGGCGGGCCGTTGGAGGAGGTCGTTGACGGCCACGGGAGCTGCTACCTCGTCTACGTCGGCTGGGAGACGGTGGCCAAGCATGACGCCTACCACCACACTCGCCACTTTGCACGCCACGGCATCATCCTGCGCAAAGGGAACAAGGGGTGGCGCGAGTACGGGCACGTCCGGTTCGAAGGGGCGAGGGAGGGCGGTGTCAAGGGCAAGTTATAAGTAAGGGATATTTGAGGATTCTGGTGCGAAAAGGGCGAAGGACTAGGTTCGGCTGATATACAGTATACTGATTATGGAGAGCAATTGGGACATTGAAACAGTGCCCGGTGTTTAGGGACTGTGCCTCAAGATTGACTACAAATTATGTTCAAGTGACTACTACTAACTTCCATACTCCTTATAATACCGGAAGGGCTAAATGAGCCCAATAGAAGCTGCAAGTCTCGAGGAGAGAAAAGAAAACCCACCTCAGTAGGAAGGGGAAGTCACGATCTCACCCTCTTCTTCACATCTTTTTTCGCAGCTGCTGTCTGGGTGAGGCTTGTTCGGTCCACTGCCGCTTGAGACGGTGCCAGGATGACTACCACCACCAGGCTGTACGGGCCTGCCACTAGACGATGTTGATGCGATGTTCGAAGGCATTTTTCTCTGCATGATCTCCAAGTATCCACAGAAATCTTTAACTTTGAAGATTGTTTCACAGTGAGACTAGCCTACCCGGGCCGGCCATTGTGCCTTTATACATTTAGAGTTTTTCATGTCTCACTGACCAAGGGGAGGCTTGCATAGCCGAACGTGGAAAAGAATCATAGGAATGGTCCTCTTCTAACCTATAATTCACAGACGCATCTCACTCAGCTAACTCGTGACACAGTAGTTACAAATGCAAAACTTACAGTTGCAACTGATAAGTCTAGTTCAATCTACATATTGCTAGGTTTGGCGTGATCTTCAATCATTCAGTCATTCACTTCAAACTATGCATGGAACTAAGGAATTTGGTTTTAAGGTTGGGATCCAAGTATCTTCATATTACAATTAGTCTATATCAAGAGCCTTCACACCCCTGTAACCGCCACCACACGAAAGCGACCGCTACTTTTCTGTCCTATAATGCAAGCCTGAGATGCCCAATGCCGATTCTAGGAAATATCCCCCATGGAGTTTGACAAGCGGAGGAAATTTACAGGAAGAGAGCACCGACGACGGCGGCACCAGCGAGGGCCAGACCCTTCTCGACGCGGCCGGCACCGGCAGTGACGGGAGTCGAGGGGGTGGTGGCAGGGTAGGTGGAGCTGGGCTTGCTGGGGGCGGTGTAGCTGCCAGTGCCGACAGGGTAGGTGGTCGAGGCGCCGGTGCCAACGGGGTACGAGGGCACGCCGGCGGTCTTGGAGGTGGCCAGGGTGGTGGTAGGGTAGACGGGGGGGACGGGGACCGAGGGGTAGCTGCTCGGGGGAGGAGCGGGCTTGCCGGAGGAGACGGGGCACACGGTGGTGGTGACGTAGACCTCGGTGGTGGTGTAGGTCTCCTTGCCGGGCTCGGTGCAGGTGGTGTAGACGGTGGTGGCCGAGTAGGTGGAGGTGGTGTACTCAGTGGTGCTGGCGCTGCTGGCAGGGTAGCTGGGAGCGCTGACGGGGTAGGTGGCCGAGGTGGAGGCCGACTTGGACGAGACCGGGTAGGTCTGGACCGAGCTCAAGGTGGTCGCCGGGTAGCTGGAGGCCGGGGTGGGGCTGGAGACCGGGTAGGTCTGAGCAGTGGTCGAGGCCTTGGAGGTGGTGGTGTCCTGGTGAGGGTAGGTCTCAACCGGGTAGCTGGGAGGGCTGACGACCGGGTAGCCACCGACGGGGTAGGTGGCAGAGGCCAGGCCGCTGAGGGCGAGGATACCGAAGGCGAAGGTCTGCATCTTGATATATTAAGATTGTATTATTAAGAGGTTAAGCGAATGTAAGTGATGCTGAAGAGTAACGAGTGACTTCGGGATCACGAGCTTTGAGAAAAGCACTAGTTGGAAAAGAACTTGGGGTGAGTTGGAAGAACTTCAAGCGAGCCTGATGGACACGAGGGCTGCGTCCCTTTTGTATTGTGCGGCTACCTACTTACACACCACCACACACTGGACGAACCCATCCGTTCGGCGGCAGCCCCATACCAATCTGCACCGCGGAACTGACAGTTTAGGCCCAGGGGGGGGGGGGGGGGGGGGGGGGAAGGGCATGAGTGGGGAAGAATATGCGAGGTCTGCACCAGTGTGCACCTGGGTCTCCAGGTCTCGAGGAGAAAACAAAGTGAGGCACCGGCGCTGGCTCGTTACATCGCGTAAAGACTCATTAATGATCAACATTCGCACTGCCCTTTCTCATTCGGCGGCCGTATAGCGCGAACCCAGCTGCAGATGCGATGTGGTCCCGAGGCAGGGGTTTCTGCACCAGTGGGCCCCAGCGGGCCCCGGTCCTTACAGAATCTTATGTGGGTGGGCAAATTAGACAGAGACACAATACGAGACGTGGACCAATCCGAGGGCGCCGCTCCCCGGCGATTTAAGCTTATGTCAGGGGCACCGGGCAGGGGGGTGGTAGCGCCCAAGCCGTCGCCTGGCCCAAGCACGCTGCGTGCTTCGCGACTGCTGAGATTCAACGCTCGTGGGTTGGTGGGCGCATTGCCGACCTTCGCGAGCGCCTCTGCGCTGGGGTTCGGCCGCCCCATGATTGGCCAGGCCCGTCTAGGGTGCCGGGGTTGTGGGCGTGCTATACGGGCGTCGCCTACCACAGTAGTAAAGGGGGACAAGGGGGACAAGGGGGACAACGGGGGGGGAAGCCCTCTGGATCCTGCGGCCAGCCTGCCACAACCCCGAACTCCGTCTTCTGGAAAATCCTTTCCCCTACCTTGGCTGCCACTCTCATTTAACCTGTGTATTTAAAGCTCGCGTAGGAGAAAAAAGGACGCCCGCCTGCAGGGGCAGGCAGGCAGGGCGCCCTGCATGGTGTGACTGTGCCTGACTGGACGTGATGGCCGTCGAAAGGAGCCGCGGTGGAGATTGAAGATAACCTCAGCGATCCTGCCGAACGACCCGTGGCTGGGCGCCCACGGCTGGCCCACCACCAACCACACCGCGCTGCCGGCAGGTCCCAGGAAAAGCTGGGGCGAGGCGAAGCAGATCAGACGAGATGGGGAAACTCGTGCCTGAAAAAACAACGCATCGTGCGCATCGCCCGATCGTACCTGGCATGCCAATAAGCCGGCATACGCCCTAATCATCGTTGGTGCAGGTCATGACTAGCAGTTGACTAGGAAATTGGATTTCACATTTTCGTGGCGGCGGAACCTTTCATCATCAATGTCATCACAATGCGGCTTTCTTACGCCATCTAGTTAAGTGGTGGATCTTGGTAAACAGACCCTCTTCCAAGCTTTCCAGCCAACCCACTTTGCCAAACGCCCAATTCATCACAACACAGCTGGTATCCATCCGATTCGGTCCCAAACAGAGTACAGTATTATCAAAGCTCGCATTAAATCTTGTAAACCAGGTCGCCGTCCGTATACCTAAGATCTCGCAATTAGTGGGTGGTCACGACGAGGGGCGGCAGCCCGGAAGGAGGAGCAACTTACATAATCTGGTTCGCCGTATCCATCTTCTTGAGAGCCTTGACTGCTTCGTCGTGGCTGAAGGCTCCGCCGTTTCTGTTGCCAACGCGGCCGTTGACAGCCTCAATGACGGCGTTGACATCCGCAGAATCGTCCTCGAACAGGCCAGTGTTAAGGAGTTGTCCGAGGGCTGTCCGGAACGTCGTCAGACGCTCAGCCGTGATCGGCGCGTCAATGTTCAGACCCGCAGCGCCGGAAGCTAGCTCGGCATCTTCCTGCGTTTCCTCTTGTGATTGTAGCTGCGACGCTGGTAACGAAGAGGCAAACGATGTGGCCTGCGACTGTGCTGGGCCAGCTGTGCTAGATCTGCTAGGGACATTGCGGTTACGGCGAGGTGTGGCGTCATATAGATCATCGTCGTCGTGCTCCGCTGCAGCGGGCGAACTTGGGCCATTTGTGCCACTGGCTGCAGCAGCGGCGGCATCAGTACGATTGCTACTGGCCTGGCCTCGGGCAGCCGCACGAGCGGAGCGAGCCGCGCTGGTACGGTTGGTAGAAGCTCTGTGAGTACCGTCGTCGTCATCGTCATCCTCGCTTTCCTCGCTCGAAGAATCAGACTCAACGGCCTTTGTCCGCCTTCGCTTCCTCTTGGACTCGTCCTCGACAAGCTCCTTGAACAAAGCAAAGCGCAGAATGGCTTCCGCCGCGGTCGTGTCCCGCTCCTCAACCCGATTCGAGAGACGGGCCTTGGCGTGCGCCGTAGCCAGACGAATGATGGTTTCCAGGGTACGGACGGTCAGGGGCGATGTTCTTCGCTGGTTTCCCTCCATCTCGTCGTTTCGCAGACCAACGTAGATATCGGCGATCCTGTCCGACGACTCTTGCGTCAGAACCGGCTTGACACGGTTCTTGGCATACTGGATATACTTCTTCATGAAAGGGATGCTGAGGACCTCGTGGCGCTTGTTCGCACCACGGCCCGTTGTGAGAGTGACACCAGAGTGCAGCATGGCATCGTACTTCTCGTAGACTTCGGTGGGCCTTTGTGTATCATTCTGACTCTGCAGCGAGACACCGAGCGCCTGAGAAGCATTCTCACGGACTGGAGCACCCTCATCAGTGCCGGGTTGCCGGTAGCGATGCATGCGAAGTACGTGCTCCGAGACCTGCCGGTCTCTCGTATCCTCGATGTCGTCCGTGACAACAAAGAGAAGATCGAAACGGGACAGCAAAGAGTCGGGAAGTGCGATGTTCTTGTGGGGGTCTTTATGTGTGTCGTACTGGCCAAAGATGGGGTTCGCAGCCGCAATAACACTGCAACGAGCGTTGAGGGAGGTATGGATACCCGCCTTGGCAATAGTGACGGTCTGCTGCTCCATGACTTCGTGAATCGCGACTCGGTCAATGTCTGACATCTTGTCGAACTCGTCGATACACACCACGCCGCGATCAGCCATGACCATGGCACCGGCCTCCAGCCTCCTCTCGCCGGTCTCCTTGTCTGATGTGACGGCCGCCGTCAGACCGACGCCGGAAGAACCGCGTCCGGTTGTGGCAATGGCCAGTGGTGCCGTGTTCAGCACGAAACGAAGGAGTTGGGATTTGGCTGTTGAGGGATCACCAACCATGAGAATGTTGATATCTCCTCTCAAGTGTGTACCGTTTTCCAAGTTCTTCTCCATGCCACCTAGGAGCATGAGAAGGATGGCCTTCTTGATATAGTCATGACCGAAGATACTCGGGGCTAGAGACTGGGACAGCAGCTCGAACAGGTTCTTCTTCTTTGCAATCTTGTTGATATTTCGAATGTCTGTGTCGGTGATGGTTGCCGCGGCTACACCACCGCCGGCTTTGGACGAGAGAAGAACCACGTTGTTGGCCAGCACAACCGTCTTGAAAAGAGCACTGTTGTGGTTCGTGTTGCGGTTACCGAGGGTTCTGAAGATACCGACCATTTGTATTCTGTCACCAGGCTTGACCTTGTCGACGAGATCGTCGTCTAGAATGACATCGACACCGCGGGGCAGCTGGCCAGCGGGAGCTCGCTCGGGCATCTCCTGGATGGAGACGGTCTGGTGGTCCCTGTAGGTACAGAAACCGTACTCAGTAATGATGGGGTTCCCCTCGTCGTCGGTTTGGGGATAGACGCTGGAGGTGGTGACACCATTGGTCATGGTCTGGTCGCGGTACTCGCGGAAGTGAAATATGTTCTTTGTCTCGTTGTAGTGCACACTCTTGACGACCTTGGGCCTGATCAGGGAGCATCTGGTGACGATGCCCTCGATGGAGACCATGTGGTTGAGGTGGTGCGAGCCCAGGGTGCGCGGGTTGCAGGCGTTGAGGCCGAAGCTGCCGGCCCAGGCGCAGTAGTACAGGACATCTGGGTCGGTCTGGTCCTTGCGTGCGGCAGGCTCGGTCTTGACAATCTCCTTCAGGGCGTGGTTGAAGGCCAGCGTGTAGTCGAAGGGCTCGAACAGCAGGCCTTCTGCCAGCTCCGGGTTGTGGTCGCGCACATGGTCGATGTTGACCACTAACCTCCTCTGGTTCTTCTGCAGCATCAATATGATGTCGGGGCGGTAGCTTCGTGCATGCTGATCATCTGTTCAGGAGCGGCGGCGGCGTTGTCAGCGCCATGTTGTCTCGCCGCGGGCGGTAAAGGGGTGTGCCGGCGGTTCGGGTTCTGACTTACGAGGATCCAGGAACTCTTCGGCCAAGCGAATGCGCTCCTTGGCGGCTTCGTCTCGAAGCATAAACGTGTCCATGGTGTGCGAAATGCCGTCGCTTCGATTCTGGCAGAGATGGGGGGCAGAACGAACGGTGGACGAGGGAGAAGAGGGCGTGCTGGTGTTGAGGGCATGAATTTGGCGGCTAGTTGGTGGGGTTTGGTTTGGCTGCGAATTGCGTTGCGACGAGGCAAGTGCGACGCGAAATTGCCAGGGGGGAAACGCGTCGACCGCGTTAAGTGGTTCTTGGCAGGCGCGAAATGACCGATCGGTACCCAGAGCCCTGTCGCCGGGCCTGCTATTCGGACACCAGGATCACTTCGCACCTATAAAGCGGCGTGGCCCGGCATCGAGATGTCTCTGTCCCATTTCCATGGAATCCAGTACATAATAGAGGAGCCCGAGAGTATCAGGGACCTCGGGAGTGTCCTAGGTACACAGTAAGTTGGTCGTTTGAAGGCCACCACGATGCATGCGCATGCCTGAACAGAAGCAACGTGCTGCAAATCCATTGCTGTTCTTTTTCTTGCAACCTCACCGACGTCGATATGCAACGAGGGCAGACAAAGCACTTCCTTCATGCATACGGTGGATTTGTTTCTCTAATTACGTTACGATCCGTGCCGTCTCATCGCGCGGCGTGCCACGCAGAGTTGCGGCGTTCTTCTTCTGTACTACGCTATACAATGCAACGAACTCTAATCTCAAGTTGAGCCAACCCTCGTTGCGCGAGCCATGCGTTCCAGTACCGGGCCCGCCTTTCCATGGCTTTAACGTGGGCGCCATGTCTTACTTTTTACATCCCGACTCTAGGGCCGCCTTTCTAGGCGGCAGCGGCCTTTTCTGCTTCCTTCTCCGCCCCTTCCTTCTTGTCCTCCGCCGTTGCCTCGGCGGGCTCAGCGACGCCGTCTTTCTGCTCCTCGGCCGGCGACGGCTCCTCGAGCGCCAGCTCATTCCTGAGATCTGGGAGGAACCGATCGATGCGCTTCCACGTCTCAACCCACAATTTCTCCTGGCTCGGGTCTTTGCTGGGTGGCACGAGGTATCCACTGCTCGACATGAACAGCAGGACGTTCTTGAGGTTCTCGGGAACGGCCTCCTCCTATACCAACTGTTAGCCCTGACCACTGAGTCGCTCGACAGACCACTGTAGACTTACCAAGCTATCACCTTGACCACTGTTCATGAGACGGTCCATGATGTCGATAATCTTCAGCCAAAGATCCAGCATCCCGTCCCATTTGGAAAGGAGAACCAGGTATTGTAGGAAGACCTTGCACAGCAGCGACGCCGCCTGCACCCGTGTCTCACTCATGCCGTCTCTGTCCGACGAGTACACCTCTGGCTTGAGCAGCTTCAGAATGAGGGGGAACATGACCTCGCCGAAGATGGCAGTCCATTCCTCATGGCCGCTGCTCGTAAGATCTGGCGAGAGCAGACATCTCTGCAATGACGAGAACGCGAGATGACGAATCTCCCTACATGGGTTGGTGCACTGTGTGCTGAGGGCTTGGAAAACAGGCAACCAGTATGCCGACCACGCTAGTAATCAAAATGTCAGTAAATTTGACTTCGGAAGAGGATCTCTGGGAGCTCATACCTTCGCTGCTTTCCAAGTGTGACTGCTTCATGAGATGAGGTATGCGGGCAGTCATGTTGTGTATGAGGTTGATCGCCTTGACGCCACGAGATACCACCGCATTTTCACTACACGCTGTCAGATGCGATCCTTCAGCCGAAACTAGCCTTGCATACCTTGGTGTTTCCTTCTTTGGACGAGCACTGCGAGGCCGCCTGCTTCCTTGTTCGCCTTTCTGTTCTGCCACGGCACCAACCTTGGCGGCCGAGGCAAAGTCATTCAGTAGAGATATCGCAGCCTCATAATTGTCTGCGATGATTGCAGACGGTGTGCCCGACACGCCGCCCTCGAGTATGTCGAATACAACGCCCGATGACCCCGAGTGACCAGCGAGCGTGCGCAGCAACACCCAGAAGTCGGGGGAAGTCATGATCTCGCTTCGTAGAGGACCTGGCTGGCTAATGCACAGCTTCAGACCTTGTAAGACTAGCTGCGCAGTCTTTGCCAGCATATCCTTGGGGAAACTGGATATTGTGTGAAGGAGTACTGGGGCTCGGACAAAGTCATGTTCCTGTCCGGAGAGCGATTAGCACGAGTAAATCAAATAAAGGTTTTCGTCATAAAACATACATAGCTGGCCTTCAGGATGCTGAACTGGTAGAATGCCACTCTCGACACCAGTATCGAATGATGCCGACTGGCGTCACGCAGAATGGCCTGGAGGGCATCTGAGACTTGCTTGCCGAGCCTTTCCACAGTTTCCGCATCTCTCAAAGCGAGGACTGTGCAAAACTCCAGGATGTAGACAACCGCAGGATCGTATGTTGTCTGCTTGCGTGCTTGCTTTGCACTACCTGGGGAGGACGGTAGGCTTTCTGATTTGACGGTGATAACGGGTACCGAGGAGCTGTCGTCCTCTGGGAGTTCGGCCAAGAGTGCTTCCAAGAGGGGTTCCAATGCTTGACTGGGGAGATTCCTGCAATAACGACTATTAGCCACCGACATAACTGCAGGGATCAGCGCCAACTTACGAGATGTTCGCAAATACATCGCCCATGTGGCAGGCGTTTACGCAATCAACAGTGCTAAGGGTACCCTCCAGCTCTTCAGCCGATGGCTCAGGAGGATCATCAGCCGCATAGCTGGAGATGTATGATGACAAGGCGGAGAAAAGCCCAGTATCCGCAGACTTGGCTGCCCGATCAATGACTTGAGACGGCGTCTGCAGGGGTATCGTAGGTATGGGGAGCCGGTCAGGGTCATTGGAAAAGAAGGAGGGAATTAGAGAGTTAGTGAAGAGGTTGAGCCAGATGCGGACAATCTGGAAAGAGTTGGTTAGCATGGCGAGAACATAAACGAAGCAGACAAAATCAGACTTACGTATTGCCAGCCGTCGTCGATGACAGCCTCGCTTCCAGTAACCACACGGAACAAGACTAGGGTGGCAAGCTGGGCCTTGAAGTCTCTGCCGAGCTTAACGGCAAGCTCACTGACCATGACGCTCGCACCGTCATCTGACACCTTCATCTCCGTGTTCAATGCAGTGTTCGTGGTGGTATCGGTTGCTAATGTCGTCATGCAACTCAGGCAGTAGATGATGCGATCAAGCGCTTCTGTAATGCCATACTTGGAAGCAATCCGTGCGCATTGATCGAAGCCAGTTACGACACGAGCAAAAACAGCATCGTCTGTGGCAGACATGAATACATAAGACAACGTAGAGACGATAGGTTTCCAAGTTGAAGCAAACATATCAGCATCGTATATGTTCGTATCGCAGATGATCAACGGTCCAGCGGACTCGGTCTTCAGCAGCAGTTCTCTCCAGGCGTAGTCAAACGCATGCTTATTGTCATGCTCATCGGGGAGGATAATCTCGTTCGATTTGATGGTATCGTAAATCGCGGAAAGGTACTCAAGTTCGAAGTCCTTGCCGCCATTCTGACCTCGGAGGTTTCGGGCAAAGTCGGTCAGACTCATTCGCTTCTGGCCCTTGAAGTTTGGGTTGTGCTGATCTGTATTCAGCAGGATGATGGCGTAAGTGAGGATAAACACGGCATCCTCGTCCGCGGAACCGGGAGGAACGTCGCTGGAGATATACTTCTTGGAGAAGGTCGTTACTATTCTCTCAATGAGAGCTGATTCGCCAGGGAGACGGAAACTCTCCAGGAACAAGCGAAGAGCTTCGTCGACACGCTTTCCGTCGAACTCAAACAGCTCTGTGAACTCCTCGAGTAATCTCTCGTTGCCCTTTTTGGAAAGGTATTCGCCCAATTTTGACTTTGACAGTCTGGTGGTGCCCTTCAAAAACCTGGCTACCGATACTGGGTTGCTGATGTCATCTATGATTCCTTCCGCTTGCAAGAAGACAAGACCCTTCTCGGGTTTCTCGTTGAACCTGGTTGTACCCTTGACAATGGTCTTCTTTCGCTGCCTTTGCTCACGAAGAGACATCCTATCGGGGTATCCCTCTGTCGTAGGCGTCTCATCGAGTCTCTCCGCAATAGATTGGACATATCCCAGAAGGGCGTCAAGGCAGAGGGGCGGAACGCTCGTGGTGCTCCAGGTAGCTGAGTCCGGCAGGGCACTCCTTGACAGTAGTCCGATCATATCCTCGCACATGTCCATACGGTCAGTATCGCAATCGTAGTTTACGAAAAGCTCCACCATGAAGCTTGGAATTCGCGCCAATGCCCCGACACTCTCAACCATGGCTTGCCGGGCATCTGGTTTCCGAGTGCCGCCCTCCATACCTAGCTTCTGCCGATCCTTAACCGGCACAGGTGTCGACCTGCCGCTACTTGATTGCGAAGGTGGCGGCTTTACGAGCTTCGGAGCTTGGGGTATGCCTTCGTACAGGGACGGATCGATACCAGCCTCGCGTGGAATCTCAACCGGAGGATGTAGGCATGCCACGAGGTACGATAGGAAAAGCTCTTGCTGAAGCTTTAGAACGCCACGGCAGGTTTCGAGAAGTGTGCCGGCAACAATCAAAGCCTCTTGGAGGATGGCCATGTTGTCTGATCTTACGAGTTGGAAGAGATACCGACACAACTTGTCTTCAGCAACGAAGGCCAAGGCTGGGTGTCTCGCAATAGAAGGACCCGCCACTTCCAGGGCTACGTGAATGATTCGTAGTGCCATGACACGCATGTTGTCTCCCTGGGTCTTGTCATGAGGATCCAGCAGATCGACAAGAACGCGGAAAAGCTCCTTCATCGATGGCAGGGAGTACGGCTTGATGTCAAGCTCCAAAGGGTCCTCCTCGGGTGTGTCCGCGGCCGCGTTGCTGGCCTCTGCCGAACTCGAAGATTCTCGGGGTTCTTTTGGCTCCTCTGACTCCTTGGCTTCCGTCGTTCCCTTTGGCTCCTCGACTTCCGGGGCTTCCTGGGCCTCCTCCGCAGGCGGGTTGACAGGGGCATCAGACGATGCAATCACGTCATTTCCGTTCGTTGAAGGGACCATCTTGACAGCATCCATGTCACCGTTTGTCTGCTTGTCCAGGGCGTCGAAATCATCGCCGGCCTCGACCTCTAGGTGCTTCAGGTGCTCGAAGATGATCTGGCACATCCGCACCATGGACGCCTCAGCCGTTCGTCTCAGAAGCTCAGACAACCTTGACTGGCAGCACATGGTCAGGCCGGTCTCCATCATCTCACAGACGCTCTCATCGCTGAGGAGTGCTCCACCGGGGCTGGACAGCATATCCTCCATCAAGTTCAAAATCATAAGCAAGACGACCTCATCCTGCGCGGAGTCGCTGGCCTCGAAGCGGCAGTGGGTGATGGCGGTCGAGAGTGACTGCATAGCGAGGGCGAAACGAGGCGACTCGGGGCTGATGAAGCCGTAGGACAAGAACTTGCGGATCGCCTTGAGGGCGAGAATGGTGATGGGTGCCGATGTGGCAGAGGCCTGAATGACCTGGAGGAAAGGGTGCAGCAGGGCGGGCGCATCGAAGGCGTGGATATCTGTGGTATGGGAGGTCAGCAAATACTACTACACCTGGAGAAGGTGGGCCGCAAGACCGCAGGCGTGCTTCCTCACCTTTGCAGTCGGATAGCTCATGTCGCAGGCGCCCAAAGCCAGCCATCAGGGGATTATCCTGCATGCTCTTGCCCTTCTTGCCGCGCAGCCCCCAGCGGTTGGCCACGCCAATGTCTTGCGCGCCATCCACGCTGATGTTCGCATTCGAGCTTCTGCTACCAGGTCGAAGCATGGGACTCGGGGGCCCAAGCTGCACCGGGTTCGGGTTGCCGCCGAGGATCGAGGAGACGGAGGACTGGGCCCAGCGGGCGTGCTTGCGCATGACCGAGGTGACGGATATGCACTCGTTTATGACCAAGGAGACGGGGTTGACTGCGACGGCGACGGGCCGGCTGCGGAACTGCGCGCCGGGCGCCTGGTCGGTTCGGACGGGCATGGTTGCTGTCGAGGTTCGGCGGCCAGAGGTGTGTGAGTTCAGCGGCTCGGCCATGGGCTGTCGTTCTGGGACGTCATCGCTCTGCGCATCTCGACTCATCCTCGCTTCCGCGGCAGCACACGTCGAGCTTCGAGGACCGTGAGCTTGGCGGGTGTAAGTGTCGGGCTTTCGCGTGAGGTGTAGGTGCAATTGATCCGTTGGAAATGGGCACAGGATCCAAAGTAAAAGGACAGGAGCTCACACTAGGCTCCCACTCCCACTATTCGCCTTGAGGTTTGCTTTGAACAGCTGTTCGAAGCGACTGCAGACGGTCGCTGGTTTCCCTACACGTGATGGGCGAGCCGCTGCGAGTATTCGATTACCCAAGATAACTTGGGTCGGCGATTGGTGTTTTTCCGAAGATGCCACCTTGACTGACTTGAGGTCATAGGTTAGGAAACAGGGGAGCAGGGGAGGTACCTAACCCAGATAGGTACCTAGATAGACTGGCCCACTGACCCACTGGGCCCCCTTACTATAGGTAGTACTTACAGTAAGTTACCACCTTGCACCCCGTCCACTGTAAGATTGATCTGCAGCTCCCGACCCCCTGGGCCTTTCAGCTGAGCGTACGTGTCCTGGTTAGCGCCCGTTACGCAGCCAGAAATGTGAAAGGTCGCTAATAATAAGATTTCCAGCCGCGCTCCAATTCTTTTACGGAGACATCCGGTAGACCATCACATGCATCAATCATTTGTCGATGAGCGACCTTCATCCGGTGCAAATTGTAATAATGTCATGGAGGCATCCCATCCATCTACGTCTAGCACGGGAAGCTGCTGGCGGTCACCTATTGGAGTTGGTTTTATGAACACAGTTTTACTGTCACACCGTTAATCCGACCCGACGTACTGTGGCAAGTCTATACCGATCCGTACTTATACAACACCAAAGGGTCAGGTACCCTGATTGATTGCTTTGTCTGTAATGGTTCATGCACCGTCGTCGTGCAATACCTGTGATCCGATGACACCAAATGACGCCAACTCCGCCAGCCTGTCCTTTGAAACACTGTTATACACTCGAGCCCTAGCCAAAACAGGCGTCCCGTCAAGCTTGCGCTCCTGTCTTCAGCCTAGCCCGGCAGGCTGTGTCGAGATTCACAGCCTGATGGTTCAAGACGCACGCCGCGCTTCTCTGCTCTAATGCTGAGGTCTAGATTGCTATATTTTGGGTTGATAGGGTGGAGAGCCCCAACGACTGCGCTCACGCGTCCGCCATCTTCCCTTTGTTCTTGCTCTCCGCGGACTTGGCCTTCACCTTTTCCGCAGAGTCCTTGCTATTGTCATTCGACATCTTCGAGCCTTCGGATCCTGTGCTCTTCTTGCCCTCTTGCGTCTCGAGATCTTTCATCTGTTCCTTGTCCTTCTCCCACTGCTCGCTGGTGCTGCCGAACGCGTCCTTGGCCTTCTTCTCGCGTTCCTCCTTCTCCTTCTCCTCCTTTTCTTTCTGCTTCCGTTCTTCCTCCATTTCCTAATTTTGAAAAGGTCAGCGATCCACATGACGATGTGCCTCGGTACCAGACGACTTACCTCCATGTGCTTGATGTCGTCCACGCTGGGCTCATACAAATGCCAAATAGTGTAGTGAGGCAACCCAACGACCGAGTATTGCATACGTTTTGCCATCTACGCGATCTAGTCAGTTGGGTTCTTCAATGTGTGAATAAAAGGGCCACAAACCTTTCCGAAGCCCTCGGTTTCGGCGTGCTTTTCGAAACTGAATGCTGGGAAATGGACGCCAGAGCGGAAGACTCGAGCCTTTGCGAGAATGCTGACACCACCTACTCCGTCGATGTCCATTTCCATGTCTGGGTCGCCATATGGATCGCGCAAGTAGGCAAGATGCGGGCGCCACGTAGCGTACTCAGCGTAGCCCTCCACAATCACGGCGTCCTCGTCAAGGGTATCAGCCAAAGCAAGTGCCGTCTCTGACTCTTGCCAGGAATTCAGATCATAGGGCTGTTCGCCTCCTAGCCAGTCGGGCAGCGGTCGCCACACATCTGGTGACTGATTAGCACCGGGGACAATGAGATCCGGACACGATCCCGGATGGTCATGGATGGATGAGTGGAGCTTACTTGGGACTATAACATCCTTGTTATGGCGCATGAGATCCTCCAGAATGGTGAATGGGGCGGTTTCGACATCGACATCTCGCCAGTACACCCAAGAGTGATAGGGGCGCAGGGCAGCACTGAGCAACCAGTTCCGGGCTTGCGCCATCAGCTTTCTCCGGCTAGCCTGAGCAGCGAAGCCGTGGCGACTCTCGACGTCTTGGTTGACCTTCTGGCCAAAGTCCTTCTCGATGATCTGAATTTCGCCGTACGGCTGCTTCGGATCCTCATCGGCCTGCAAATCTTCGAGTCTCTCGACCAGAACGTCAAGGGTCCGGTCCTTGGAGTCGGACACGAGAAAGGCGAGATCGATGAGATGGTGCGGGTAGGTAAAGTTGCGCAGGTGAGAAAACATCATGTTGAGATGAGGCTCGGCGTCTCGCAGCGGAACGCACAGCAGAATGCGCTCCTCCCTCTCCCACCCACGCGCTGTGCCTTGCACGTTTGTCAAGTCGTAGTACCGCACAGTATCCAACAGGACGTCGGCATTGTCGCTGAACAGCCCGAGGGAGAACACCGAGAGTAGCGGCCCACTCCCTGGCCATACGAATAACCCGAAGAGGGCGGCCACGGCAGCTACTATGCCAAGTCGTGTTAGCAGTTTCCGTCTCCGACGTGTCGCTGGCGTTGCGGCTCGAGGCTGGAATCTGCACAGTGAGACAAGACAAAAAGTCAGCTTGGGATCTCAACCGAGAGGGCTTTGGCGCGTCGAAAGCGAAGAGGCACCGGAGGGCACGGGCACTGACCTGTGGGGAGAGATGTCGAAGGTGTTGTCGCGAGGGTAGCCATTCGCATAGGCCCCAGAATGATGTCTTGGCATCATCTTGGAGCCGCCGGACGAGGCATACGACGGCAACATTCGACAAGCGCCAGCACGGGGCCGGCAGTTGGGAGCGCGGGAAGGGCCAAAGGCAGAGTCGAGGGTCGGTTGCGCGTCGACAGCAGGACCCTGAGTGTGAATTGAAGACAGAGAGCGGAGCACCAGTGAATCGCAGTCACGGCGTCGTAGGGGGGCAAGGAGGCGGCCGGGGCCTAGGGAGTCATGGACGGCGGCGAGCGTGCTGGAGATGGCGGCCGGGAATTGGGAATGATACAATGCAGCGCAAGGGCGTGCGCCTGCATGCGATGGCGGGACGTCGTCGCTGCACTGTCTCGCACACTCGGTGCCGTCGTCGTCGTCGTTGTCGTCGTCGTCGTACAGGGACGGAAAACACAAGGTGTCGTCTTCGATTAGGGTCAGAGAGGATCGATCAGCCTTCCAGATGAGGAACCTATCGCAATTTGGCGAGGATGGAGCGCCAAGCCAAGTTTGCCCAAGCTGACCCAGGCACTAAAATATACCTACCACAGGGTACGAGGCCGCGCTAACCAGGCCAGGGTGGTGCTTATTTAGGTGGTCACTGGTGGACGGGCGGGCGGGCGAGCTGAGTCAACGCCCCCCTGGCCCGCTGTTGGCTGTGCAGATTCAAGACGGAAGAAGAAAAAAAAAAAGTAGGGGTTCCTTCAGCGGCCTAACCCCCTAGTTCGTCTGCAGTGCCGCTGCGTTCCCGGTGCTGCGGCCTGCCAACGCTCTGCTGTGGCCAACTCTAAAACCGCTGGTCGATTTCAGGGCCAGGCTAACGCACGTGCCGTCTCGGTTTCGGAAGCACTGCGAGACAAGGATTTGGTGAGAGTAGACTCAAGTTACCCTTTTGTGTTAGTTTCATGACGCACGCTGATGACAGAAGCAACGTTCTCGAACAACTCCTGGCTTGGAGCAGAAACTTCTGCCATCTGATAATGCCATTTTTGTCTTTTTAAGGTTTGCCCGTTTGGACATTTGACGTACACACCGACCAGTTTTGTCTTGATTTACTCCCCGCCTCATCCGACGCTTATCATAAGCGCAAAGACCCAAAAAGCATAGACGTAGCACTACCTCCTGACTACCTACATAGTGATAGCTGGTCAGCGAGAGCCGTTTCCATGCGATCAGCAACGATAACCGAGTAGTTACCAAGTATGGACGGCAGGGGCGTGTCTACTGAACAAAGCCACAGGTGAGAGCGGGCGGGACCGCCTGTGCCTTGTTACGACAGCGATAACAGACTGTCACAGCAGATTAGTTATGCCTCGACCGACCGAGATAGCAACTATTCATATTCCAAGGTGCTCTAAATTCTAACATGCTATGAATGCCGGGACCCCAACTCCATGTAATGCATTCAACAAAGCAGCGCTTCTCCATGCAAAACGACATCTCGATTCTGTCTCGTCAAACGCTTGACGACGGGGCTCGTGTCTTGCTAAGACCTGCCACCCTCCGCCTCTCATTCTCCTCCTTGAGATGCATGGCGTCTCGTTCTTGTATAGTTGGCCGATTCCGAGACCAGCCGCCCAGTGCCAGTATGACGGCAATACAAGAGACAATTGCGCACACACGCATATCATCGTCGAATGCGCTTGCGTAGACATGCCTGATGGCATCTAGCTGAGCCTCGTCGAGCGCGCCAGCCGAGGATTCGAAGGCTTGAAGGATTCTAGGGTCCATGCCGGCCAGTTGTGATCTGACGCTGGCTCCTAGGATAGCGGAAGACGCTGCGATTCCTAAGCTGCCGCCTAGAATTCTGGTCTGGCTGAGGAACCCTTGAGCCGCAGCTTTCACTCCTAATCAGTAAGGCACTTGGTTGTGGACGAATGGAGTTCCACACTCTACTTACAATGGTCCCGTAGCGATGACTGAATATTACCCGCTATCGTCGTCCCCGCGGCCGAGAGCCCGAACCCAAGGCCGATAAATACAATGAAGCCGAGGGCTTTGGCCTCAAGGTCAACTGAGTCGGACAGAGTTGACAGCAGACCGCAGCCTAGAGCTACGAAGCAACTCGCCATCACCATGGTTTCGCAGGTCCTATCCTTCTTGCCATTGATGAAACCAGAGAGGACGGAGCCAAAGGCGCTTGCTCCGAGCATGGGTAGCAGGTAGATGCCGGCGAGAAGCGGGCTCTTTCCATTCACCACTTGAAGTCTAAGTGGAAATGCGTAGAGCAACAGAATAAAGGGGAAACCGAGGAAGAGCGTGTTCAGAACCGCCGCGCCGTAAAAACGGTTCCGCATCAGGCTCATGGGAAGCGCTGGTGCTATCTTGTTTGCCCAACGCTTGTCAACAAGCACCTCCCACGCTATTAGAGCTCCCCAACACGCCAGGCCGGTCAGGAGCGGCGCCAGGAATGATGCCCGATCCCATGATGCGCTGCTGCTAGCGGTTTGAAAGGGGTAGACGACAAGAACAGCTGCGGCAATGAGCAGTACAGAGCCTGGGTAGTCCAGTTCCCTCCACCTTCTTGGCTCGGTATCTGGCAAATACTCTGCTTTCGGCCAAGCCAGGTAAAACAAAGCCATCGACACGAAACCGACAGGCCCACTGAATACATGTCAGTGTGTATGCACCAAATTGGCATATGAGACTTACTTGATCCAGAAAACCCATCGCCAAGTTGTATATTCAGTCAAGATACCACCCAGGACGGGTCCAAGTACGCCGCCAACGGCGATGACAATTCCTACAAGACTCGCCAGAAACTGCTTCATCCTGGCTGGTGTTATCTCAATAAAGATGATCATGGTCAACGAGTACAATCCTAGGTCGTCTTAGATCGTCATTTGCGGTTTCTTTCTCCGGTTACTCACCAGAACCTCCAATACCCTGGAATGCCCGGCAGGCAATTAATTGGTCCATAGCCTGGGCGAATCCACATCCCATAGAGAAGGCGAAGAAAACCACATATGCGAGCATAAAGGCATTCCGCCGGCCAATGACATCGGATAAGCGAGCAAAGAAAACGGAAAACCCCAGGTAGCACAATGTATACGCGAGCGCCACCCAGTTTACTGTGTCCAATTCATGGAACTCGGTTCCAATCGAAAACAAACTTGTTGCTACGATCGAAGAGTCCATCATCGATAAGAGTAGGCCAAGGCAGAGTCTAATTTGCGCTTGTAAGCAATACGAGGAACAATGCGATCGAATGAGTGCATACCCAAGAGCAAGCGCCCAGAACCGTGGAGCTGGTAACTCCTGTCTAGGATCCTGGTCTGTGTCTCCATCTGAAGTCGTTGGGTCGACGGGAGCCTCCCTCACAACCTTGGGCTCTTCATCATCGGTAGATAGCATTGCTGCTTCCTGGCGTCGCTAAGACCCGTGCAATATTCTGAACGTCAGTCAAGGCACACGTACAAATGGGATTCTACGCCTATCAGCGGTTGCTTCGGTGTCTCACGGTTGTATTACCAACAACCGTCTCACAATTACGCATGCACGCTCAGTTATATATGTCGCCATAGAATGATTTGAGGACCAACAGTTCGTTGAGTCTAACGAGACAGCCTTCCGAATGCGAAACTCAAGTACGGCAATCGGGGTAATATTGTGAGTCGAACCCTCTCTTTGAAATCCTTCGAGACAATTTTCGAAACAGCAGCAAAGACACAAATTCTGGTCAATAAAGACCAACAGGTTAGTTCCGGCCCCCACGAGGAGCGCCTCTCGTTTGTCCTTACCACTATGGGAGCGACTAAAACTCGCACTCGCTTACCATAGTCCTCTTTTCTCACAATAGCTTCGGGTTGACCCCACACCGCCCTCACATTTATCATTTAAGCGGCCGTAACCACTTGGGGTCTGTCAGCCCAGCGCAGCCAACCCGCAAGGATGTCTCCTGTCTGTCCACAAGAACAAAGCCATCAAACTGACTCGGCCGTACTCGCAGAATCTTGTTGCCGATGTGATGCCAAACTGCGGCGTGGACAACTTTTTTACGTACGAGTACGATTTCCTAATCCGGTACCCTCAGCCGCGCTGTGGCTAGTCGACCCTGTATGTAAGTCACGGCCGATTGCCTTGTCTCTTTTGACATTTGTATGCTAAGTATGTAAGCCCACCATGTCAGCCGGAGGGCTGCTGACCACCTTGAACCGCCGATAAATCGCACCGCCCGTCAATCTTGGGCTCTGCGGATGCGGATGCGGGCTCCCTCCGGATAGGAAGTCGATTTGCATCAGCATCACTTTCCCGGCATTCGAGGTACCACCGGTGAAGCACCATGACTTCAGCCTTCAGATGGAACCGCGAAAGATTGGTCTGAAAATCGCGGTTGCGCCATTTGCACTGAGCAGCAACACGGAAAACCAACAATTCATCATGCGAACTGTCGTGCTCTGTAAAGTTCCGGACTGATTCCTTGCTCAGTGGAGCTTCGACAGGGCACAGGAAAACAGCACCGTCGTGCCGTAAGACGACATCTTGCAAAATATCCTTTGATGCACTGTTTCAACACTTAGCTTGCATTATGCTGCATTTCTACAGGCAGGTTCTACGGTTGTGGTGTGGTCCTAATCAGGAAACTAGAAAACTCACGTAGGAAACCCTCGTACAATGAAGCGTGTTTGCCCATCACAGCGCAGCGGGCGGGCTGCATGTCGAAGCACGGTGAGGGCCATCTCGACAAGGTGATTGTCAAAGCCATTCCTGTGATATGGGTTGAGCTATTTCCTTTCCAATGAGTGAATGTTGCCTGGCTATTTGTCATGGGCAAGGGACATGGCGGCGCTGGCAGCGAATCAATTACGCTTTCATCCTCCTCCACTCTCCCGACCATTTGGATCAGTCTTCACACCGTTGAAAGCGAGTCGGACCGCAGCAGAAGCATGTAAGAAAACCATGGTGTCGTGCGCAGTACCTACGAACAGTCGACGGTTGCAGGCCAACTCCGACAAGATCCAGATGCATTTTGACAACCTCGGCACTACTTCCTGGCGATCTCTGCATGTACTACACGACATGCACCATTTGAAGGCATCTGCTTTCTGTCAACCTGGTATCACCACCTAGTATAACAACGGCATCGTACGAGATTGGCGGCCTCGCTCCAGCCTCATCAAGAATAAAAGGCCGCCCAGCAAAATTAGCCTAAATAAAGCTTACAGGGGCTCTAAGCGCCCATTCTATCCATCTTTTCAACTGCTTCATGACGACTGACGCAAGGCTTTGGAGCTTGCAGGTTTGAAGAAATTTGGGGGCCAAAGTAGCCAATGAAAGGTACGTCACGAATGAACTCCTGCTACTTCATGCAGCATCGCAGGTCGGCCACTCCGAAAGCCTTCTCACCTCAAAATGATGACGACAAAGTTCCTTCGTGCATGTTGTGGAATTTGCAAAGCTTGCAGTGCTGAAATGGGTGCTATACCATCGGGTATAGAAATAAGGTTTGAATGTTAGCATAGGGCTGTACCGGTCCCCGTGGGAAATCCTTCGGGTCGGGATCAGATCCGCGCCTCTTTTCAACTGGCGCACCGGCTTTCTGCAACGTTGGATCTGTGGCTAAGGGGCCTTATCATTGTGGGACGCGTCAACGTCTGTCCATGCTCACCGCAACTAACAGCCACGACCGGGGTGTGCTGCTTCGACTTTTTCTAGAATCCTTCCATGCTTGCGGCCTCCGCCTGCCTGGTTCCCAGGGTTCTGCCGGACGCAAGCACATGGCGGCAGGGGAGCGAAGGCGCTGTCAAATGAGCCATCAGCGAATATGCCAACCCCTAGCCTTTGCCGCCGAAGGTGGCATCATAAAGGGTATTTTGGGGTCTGAAACCCCGGCGTTCTCTCGGTTCCAAGGTGCGTCGTATGCAGGTCAAGATTATAAGACGTGGGATATCAACGGGGGCCCAGGGTATCAATTCCCCTGCATGGCAAGCACCTTCTCTACGACCCGGCGAACGATGGGCCTCGGCAGCATGGCTTCAGAATGTTTCCCATCTGAGATGTACAGGGATGGCATGCTACCAAGATAACGCGTTTCATATGGGTACTCGGTGATACTCTGTAGTTGAGCAATATCGGTCTCTTGGCTATCTGGGGAACGGCAGAGTATATCACAGCCTGGTCTCAAGAGATGGCAGTATATGTAGGTCCGCAAAACCGTCCTATTGAGGAGCAGAGGCTCAGCATCACCTCTTCTGCTTCTTTCCTTCATTCAATTGACGTATTTCATTGGAAGCATTGCTGGTAACTTGTTGTCTCTTTGCTTCAGAATTTCTGTTCAACTATCAGATTTATGAGTACGAATTTATTACACTTTCTCGTCCATCTATATGCTGCATTCATTCTTCAAAATCAAAAGCACAAGAAAATACCGTTACGGGCGTTTCCCATGTCTTATCTAACTTGAAAACACATCGTTCAAGGATTGATACCTATACCGGCATCCGCTCGACCCTCCACCTTGTCACTTAGACAAACCCTGAAGAATTTTTCCGCCACAATCGAAACTCACGCTCACACTCAACGGATATTGTCGAAGTACAGTCGTGGCGTTGTTGAAGCGCAGTGCCATGGCTTTCTCAACCTCTGGATCCAAGTGGTCACCACTGGATGACTATCAGTCTGAGTCAGCTTTTTGCACTACCCTCCTATGCGCCTATATGCCTTGCTGACCTACCAAAGGTACCAAGTTAAAGCTTGGGTGCCCTTTGCCGGCCCCAGCCAGAACAACATCGAGGGACAGACCTCAGATGTCTCAGCTGTTCCCGAGCTGAGCTTGACGGAACCCGAATTCGACGTTTCGGAGCATCATTATGTTGGTGATGTAGCTTCCTGCAGCCACCCCTATGGAAGACTCCATTGCCCCTCGCATAATACCCACGATATCAGTGCCTGTCATTCTGAGCTTGGAGCTTATTCTACGGCCGACTTCAGCCATGGCAACTCTCACTTGGCAGGCCGTGCAAACGATTACCACCGCTCTGCATCCCTTCCCCCGTCACTCGAACGCTACGTACAAGACCCTCAGCACCACGAGAAAATATCCACGGGGCATGGCATCAAGTGTGTGAAGAAGTCCAAGAGATACCACAAGAGCAAGGCGCGCAAGAACATCGCAACCAAGGATATGAAGGTCGTGGATAGACGCGACGAGTACCAACAGCAATCCAGCGCCGACGGCCGAAGCGGGCGCTCGAGACACGGCAGCTAATACACGTATCACCAATCGTTAGCGCTAATTTCGCGCAAATTATCGCGCCTGCGCTGGGCCGTGGGCGTAATGTGTAATCGTCAATGGAGGATGGGGGAAGCAGGGTGCTATCTTCTGTGGCGTGCCATGGAGTATAGGACAATAGGGGATACCGGGGCGATTAGGTCCGTGGCTGGGCAGGTCTCTATTGCCCGCGAGAGCGAGCAGCGCTCGCGTCTATCAACACACAGAATCAGGCATGACTTGTAATGCCTGCGTTATCAATTGACGTTCATGTTGCCTCAAATTGCCCACGCGAAATTCAGTTGATGGCCTCTCCGAGTGATAAACCACCGTTTGAGGTTGTACAGTGGCCGAAGCAAATATATCAACCGTTATGAAAAGTGGAAGTAGAGCTTGCAGATTCTTGTTAAGCGACAACAGGTACGCACGTGAATAGAGTTGGCCATCACCAGCGATGACAACACTTTTGCAGTCAGAGAGGTATTATTCAAGTAAGCATATTAGTAAGCCCAATCATCAGGGATATTGAGGTTTTGTATCTAGAACACAGCACGTGGCCTAAGTGGTCCGAGTTCTTGTCAACAGAACATAATGGTTTGCTGGGAATATGCGCTGCTGTTTCATCATCTTCGTGTGCGACAGAAGCATAGAAATACTAGTCAATGCCATGTTTCTACTATCTATTCAGGTACATAATTTGCCATGGCAGAAGCGCTTTGTAGTCTTCCTAGCCGCTGCTGTTCCTGGAGAACTACCTGCCATGGTTACCAAGAGACCCAGCTGTCGCGGTGGTTTGGTGTGCGAACTAGCTTGGACAGCTTTGGCCATGACTTAGGTTTCAGAGATTTGCTTTCAAGATGTCTCGAAGTTCTCCAGACAATTGGCAAAGAGATTCCCTAGCCTCAGGCACATAATGAGCCTTTTCGTCGCCTTGGGATGTACTTGAAAGGGTGCTTGTTGAGCAGACACAAGTCATACAGCCTCGATAGGCTCTCAGTCGGAATGCAAGAGAATACACAGCGGAGAATAGATGGGCTCTTTGATATCAAGATCCAAAGAGCGCGCTTGGGCGCCGAAGGTTTGCTAAATGCTCGTTGCTCAGTGCCTCTTTGTATTGATGACGAAAGCAGAACAATAAAGAAGCGCAAGGATGAATGTTCCGGGGCTCCTTCACCAACCAGCAGGTTGTGTAACTGCTGAGATTGCCGTAACTCCATGCTTCTAGAGCCCAAGGCTCTGATTCATGCAACTGAATCAGAGTCTGCAACAATCCGCATTGAGTCAATCTAGTCACCTAGCCACCAGGGGATGAGCCACACCCATAGTCATCATTCGGCAGGACCTGTTCCTGGAACAGATACCGTTTCCTTTCCGTATGGCCTTCAAGATAAAGTACTAGATATGGATCTCATATGGAACGGATACCGGCGGCAGCCCAATAAGGGGACGATGGAGATCTTCCGACAGATGCGGCCGCGGTTGCTTCCGCTGGCGCAGCGCATGTACGGGGACAAGAATGTCATTGGTATCCGCTTTGGCCGGCACAAAGGGACAGCGTACATCCTGATCTACTTGCTGAAGGAGCCTGAGGGCGCCGAGGGCCACGCCTCGGATGAGTTCATGGCGCTCAATGCTAACTTCTACGAGGTCCTCAAGGATGGTACGGCTGGCGAGGCCGAGGTCATTGCCGCACTACCGCCACGGATGGTAGAGAGGGATGGGCTGACAGGACTTGGCCTGGTTGATTTATTCGAGATTCAAGTCAACCATCCCATCAGTGGGAGGACGTTAGTCGGGCCGCTTGAAAAGCAGAAGCGCTTTATGGGGCTGTAGCTGCACAGAATTGGGATGCCGTGTGCGTGGAGTGAGTGTTGCTCCTACATTCATAAGCCTGTAATGTTTTATTGAACGCCCGTTCTGCAGAAGTTTTCCATAGATCAAAGGGTTCTAAATCGAGCGGGCTTGTTCATGTATATATGGAAGCAATGGTGCCAGTCTCGTTACAATGCGATAGTCCCCACGGGTCAAGCAGTTGCACACATACCGCTACAACGATATCCGATGGAATTAATGAAGACAGTAATGAAGACGCACTCAAGCTTTCTATGCCATCAGAATTCTAGTCAACTCGTTGCAGGAGGTGTCTGGTTGCCTTACCGCTTAGGTGGCTATACTTAGTGTAGTCATGACGAGAGCATTGGTTGCTGCCAGCCAAGCGGAGGCTAGTTGGAGTCACCCTTTCCGACACATAGCGAAGCTCGACCCCGGCGTAGCTCAATGTGGCCCAACCTTACCGGGCCGACGTTGACAACGACATATACCGCCGGTCCGCTCCGACTGTGCACCTCGGGCCCGTGTGGGGTACAGATTACCTGGCAGGATTCGGGGTTTGCCACGCAACCTGCACTCTTGAGATGACACCTTCCTTCTCCGAACAATCCTGTCATATTATCTGGAATATTGAAGTCTCTGTTGAGTTACTCCGTAATCAAGAAGTAAGCGCTAGACGAACTTCACAGTGGTTATACCTTAGTGCTCACTGCGGCTGTTGTTCGGTGTAGTATGTTACGCTATCGTATTTCCCGGTCTCTCCAAAGCAGCTGCTTATCTGTTTATTCTTCAAGAAGCATTTCCCACTCGAGCTCTTCTCTTATTGACGGCGAGGACGTGACCACCCTCCTGGGCTAGAGTATCGGACAAGATGCGGATCATCATCGTAGGCGCAGGTCTTGGCGGACTGAGCGCTGCCATCTGCTTCGCTAGGAAGGGTCATGATGTCGAGGTCCTGGAACAGCGCGACAGCATTTCGCCTGCGGGGAGCGGGATAAATATACGACCACCCGCATCCAAGATAATGCATACGTGGGGCCTCAGGCCGGATCTCGAGCGCATCAGCGTGGATACGGCGGGCAACTGCTTCCGCAGCCTGCAAACCGGCGCGGTGGCTACCAAGACTGTCGCAACTGATGTAGCAGACGATCCAGATTGGGGGACGATGCGAAGTGTGGTGATCAAGGTACTCGAACGCAGAGCCGCCGAGGCAGGGGCCACGCTCACCTTCAACTCGACTGTGGTCACAGCAGAGGACGAGGAGGCTGGCCCAGTCCTCATCTTGGAGAACGGCTCGAGAATGCAAGCAGATCTCGTGCTGGCCTCGGATGGGATACGCTCCGGTATAAGAGCGCAGATTTTGAGGGACATACAAGATCCAGTCGAACCTTTATTGAGCGATATCACATTGTACGGAGTTCAGCTGGGCAAAAATGAAATGGACGGCGTCAAAGAGTTTGAGCAACTTATAGGGTCACCTTACCTCAACGTATACATGGGAAACGAATCGTTCGTCGTGAGCAGATATACACCCAATTTGGAGACTCATGGATGTCTTTTCGGGATCAAGGGCCAAACGGATCAGAAAGCACTCTGGGATGAGAAAGGGGATATCGACTACATTCGCCGATTTTTCCGCGGATCCTGCCCAGAAATGCGCAAGGTCTTGAGGTTGTGCACGACGTGTGACAGGTGGAGGCTAGCTGAACTGCCCGATTTGCCGCGATGGACCAGCAGGAACGGAAGGATCGTGCTTCTCGGAGACTCTGCAGTATGTTATGTACCGAAATGACTTACGTGACAGCCCACTTATTCATTTCTAGCACGCAATGCATCCAAACGCTGCTCAAGGGTTCTCCCAAATTGTCGAGGATATCGGAGTTCTAGAGTTTCTCATCTCCCAAGATGCCCATGCATCTATAAATATGAGGACCATAACGGGTGACTGGGAACGCATCAGAAAGCCTAGAGTCGAGCGTATCAAGAAATGGGCGAGGACAAACAGCGACATCTTCATCGGCCAGCCCGTGACTGGGACCAAGCAGGCCGACAATTGGCACATCAAATCGCTGAAAAATACGAAGCCAGATATGAATGCACACTTCAATAGCTCAGCCTTCCTGAAATGGGCGCAGTGCTATGATGCTATTGGCGAGGTAAGCTAAAGACCACTTATATTGACCGAGGCATTGCAAGTAACGTGCAGATAGGCAAAGCGATACCTCCTCAATCGGAAGCCAAGACTATAGACCTCGAACGACGATCAAGCCAGATAAGCCATCACCATTATGGGCAACATTCAATTTCCTGGTTTTGATACTGCATTTGGCAAAGCCGAATATGAAATGATGTTCTCGATGGACTGAAGGAAGCGTGACATAATCATAACTGACAACTGGATTGGTAATCCATGGTCTAGATGAATCCATCACCCTAGATCAGCATTGGCAACCTCGGCCTCAAGTGTAATGGTGTAGACGGTACATATCGTAACACTTAAGATCGCCACTATGATTGAGGAGTTGTATTTGGGTCTCGACAACCAGGACTTGAATCTAGGCCTCCCCGTGGCAGTGATTCCAAGACTTGCCACCGGGGCATTCATTCCTAGCATTAAGCCCATGGAGGGTCATGGAGACCCATGTCTCCTCCTTGAGCCTATCTCAGTATTGGGTACGATTGACAGGCGGTAACCCTTCAAGACGATCATGTCTGCTTACCTGAATATCAGCATGGCGGATTTTCAGGACTGCGTGTACCTGTCAAACGATCTCGATGATCATCGGCGTAGACGACAGTAAAGTAACTTGCCTTCAAGTATCTTCCTGCACTGCATCTATGGTACTGAACGTGTAAGCTCGATCTTATAAATAGAATCTCCACTTTCATCATATAGTATATAGCTGGGTCAGAATTCAAGGCCTATAGCCATGATGTGATTCACCACCACATTTCAAATGAGCTCGTCCCCGCAGCTTATTGAGGTTAGTATCGGGCGTATCGACCCACGGGTCTGTTTCTATCATTTTGTAGCGCACTCCATTTGGCATCTTAGCCAGACACACTTGGCCACACTGAAACAAAAACATCACATCATGACCTGGGCACGTCTAGATGTAAGTCCGAGCGGACCTCGTCATCGCCACCACACGAGGAAATTCCAGGCGAGCCATGTGGCCGGTACGGCATGCACCTGCACCTCAACGGCACAGGCGAAGCCAAGAGCCGTGTTGCGGTGGCGCCAGCCTCCCAAGATGCTTGGTAACCACATCGAGCCGTCTGCCGGATCCGGGGTTATTGGCTAAATTGCCCCAAGTACCGGACAGGGCAGCGCACAGAGGAGAGACAGAGAAACGGTCCAGAGTAGCGACAAACAATGCCGTGTCGTTGGTACCAAAGTCCGGCGGCCTCTGGATCCCACCTGAGACGCGGCCCGTTGCTGATTTTCATGGACACATAGTTGCCCACTGGAGGTCTGCGCGGCGTCTCTGCCGATGTGCCTTATGATGTAAGACGGTGAGGGTAGAGCTCGCGTAAAAGAGAGGACGCGCAAGCACAGAGGATAATAGAAAGGAAGAGGTCACATATAAGAGTCCGCCATCCGGATATATGCTAAGGGCCGTCGGGTCTAGGGCAACACCAGGGGGATATGTGGCGGGTAGCAGCGTCTGCGTTGTAGTATCATAGCCCTTGGAAGGGGGCTGTAATGGTTTTGTGGCCGGCGGTGAATAAAGAATGATGCCCTCTCTACGAGCCGAATACCAAGTTCGACAGGGCGTCGCATAGTCTACGGGTGATCGCAGTGTGACCATGCGCGAGCCCGTCTCGGGTACGGGCAGCAGCTGTCAGAGCTGTCTTGTATTCCCCGACACTGCGATGGCATCGCGTCCGACTGCCGCCTGTGCTTTGCGTGCCACGGCAGGACCGGTACTGCGAGCGAGGGGGGCCTGAAAATAGACGGACAACATATCAACTCTTTTTTTGGAGAGAGGGCAGATCCTCTTCTACCCCACATCCTGAATTGTGGTTCAATTTCCCCTCTCTTGCCTAACTAAATGGACTTTATCCCTCTTCTGACTGTCTCCAACCGGCCAAGACTCTCTAGGAGGTAGGTATAGCTAGTACTCCACCCCGGGGCCCCACCAGTATACCTAAGTGATCGCCAGTCTGCCTAAGCGGGCTTATCGTGCAGAATTCGCGAGGACCTCATGACCCCCAAAAGACTTTGGCCTTGGAAATCCTGTCAACTGTACACAACAGGTTCCAGAGCACTCACTGTTCCCCACCCATTCCCCGCACAGGCGGTCGATATGGGAAGGGGGGCAGGGGGCCAGGGGGCAGGGGTAAGGCGGCTCGTAGCGTCTACCTGCGTAACATCGTCGCACAGACCCTGGTAGAGTATAGCCAGGGCTGGGGTTGGGGTATTGGTACGCTCAGGTCGCGCGCGCCTTCGTCGCGGGCCGACAGCCCATATTGCGCCAGTCCGCATTGGCTGGACGCCGTGACGGTGCTGCCCAATCGCAACCCCCTCTGCAATGCCTTGGCCCCCAGCTCCCACGCCCGCAGGGATGGCTTATGCAAGACATTGACCCCTGGAAGGGACTCAGGGGAGTCAGCACTCAGGAGGAGGCTAACTTCGCCGGCGGAAAAATTATGCTTCCTTGAACACCCTCTCGTGCTCTCGCGAGACCTCGACACGCCAGCGAACCCTTCGTGATGTCCGCTTCACACCCTTACTTAGCAGGAGGACCAGTAGCAGGACCCTTGTGAGCCAGTGTGACCCCTTCTGTGTGCCTCGGGCGGCCGCTGGTGCCTTTGAGTGCCCTCAACAATGCTTAATCAAGTCGAGGGAGGCGAGGATCGCCAGCCACTTCCTGTCGGATTGACAGAAGTGCATGGATTTTGTCCTGCACCCCGGATTACACATCCGCACAGGGTCCCACCATCTCCGGACCTAAGGCAACTTGCAAGGAAAATCTTCAAAAGGCCTGCAGTAGCACGTGGGTTGTAGCCACCTCATCTGATTGATGCGCTTCTTCCGCGGTCGCAAGAAGTACTGTAGCAAGTTGCCAAGCTATGAATTGGTAGAGGCCTATGTACATCTGTCGAGACCAAGTCCCACCCCTTTTTTGTACACGTCATGCTCTCGTAAGTCCTCATTCGCTGCGTGTCCCACAGCGCGGTTGTATCGTCCCTTTTTCGCTCCCCTATCCGACCCAAGAGGTATCGCGACCCGAAAGTAACCTTTTAAAAATGACTGCAACCTTCCCCAGACTAACACCCGGCCAATGGGCCCAGTGGGTATCATTGAACGAAAGAGTAAGCCGCGCCGTTAATGCCGCCGGCTCCTTGGTGGGAGCCCATCAACCCATAGTCCACGTGCATCATGCCGTCGTGAACATTGCCGAACTGCGCATAGTCCATCTCATCAGATCCACCCCAGAGCATCCCGTCCAGGTCCCACAGACCCTGCTGATCTAAGACACCCATGAGCCCGAAACCCTCGGGCTCCAACCCAATCGGTGACATGTGCAATTCCGAACCGTCGGCCATGAGCATGCCATGGTCGGTCACCAGTCGCTGCAAGGGGCTGTGGGCGCGCATCGTCGGCTCAAGTTGCCGCGAGGCTTCGTACATTCGCCAGACTACCTCGCGGCTTCTCCGAGCGGCTAATGACCAGTCTTCCATGGCCTCGAGCAGTTCCAGTACAGTCTCCAGTTGCTTCTGCCAGTCCGGCACACGGGGGCTGTCCCATTGCCAGAAGATACTGACCAATGGAATCATCGCAGCTTGGTAAAGGAACCAGACTGCGTTCCAGCCAGACATCTGGTTGCGAGTCCACTCGCGGGAGATGTCCTCGATAGTAGCCTTTGCAAGGTCACGACAGGCTTCAATGGCTGCGATGTCGTGCTCGGCTGCATGCGAGGCTCCGCTGCTGGCCAGATTGAGTAGGACGGGGCGATGAAGTAACATTCGTAGATTCTGATACCTCCACTTCATGATGCAGCGCACAATGTAGAGAGGCTCGGCGCAGGGGTCGCTGGTCCGCAGTAACCAAGGTAGATTGCTGTACCAGTTGACCAGTTGGCCATCTAGGTTGACACGGTCCTCAGCCCGCAGCAGTGGTGAAATTGCAAGCATATCCTGAACGCCCGTGGCAATCTTGCAGAACTTGATGTTCTCGATGAGAGGAAGTATACCTGCATGCTGTGCCGAGTCGCGACCAGAGCTCAAGCCCGCTTCAGGGACGCGAATGTTGATAGCTGGGCCCCATCTGCCGAAAGATGGGCGCCCCATGGTTGTTGTGGCCCATGTATCAAGGCAGAAGAGACTCCACCAAGTTCGCCGCCGGGTCTCAGCTGCGGCAACTTCATTGTTACTGCCGCTTGCGCCAGAGACTAGGCTCTCTCGGTGAAGGCCGAGAGCGCTGGCCATCCTGATGGCTGCACCAAGAACGGCGTTGGCCATGTTCGGCCGGTTGATATAGTGCAGATAGTAGCCACCGATAAGAGCCAAAGCCTGGACAGTCTCAATGTGGCTACTGCCGAAAGAGTCCATTGGCAGGTGCTCCATTGCTCTGTTGTAATAGTTCAGGTGGTTGTAATCATCTGATTTCATTGCAACGATGCTTCCCATGGCGAACACCATATTCAAGATGGCAAGCCACGGGGCATCGCATCTCTGTCCCTCGAGGTAGTCCGCCCGGAAGGATGCTTCATCAAGCATTGGGATGAAGACGTGTGTCCGCTTGAAATATGCGTCAATCAACGTCTGGCCCTTCCAGGACCAGGGCACCCTTTGTGGTTCTTTGCAGTTTGTGCTCTTCTGCTTCATGATTGGCATGTTGTGTGCCATTTCGACACTATTGAGTGGTGGCGTCAAGGAGCTACGAAGACCGGGCTGGACTTTGAGCATTACCATCAATGCTGCTTTAATCGACGATGCTCCTAGGTAAGAGGCTTGCCGGTCGACTGAGAGTGACAGAGCATTGACGTCGTCCGCCTCGACCGGGATGGGGTCTCGTCCCCGACGCTCCTCGTCCCATTCTGTGTCCCTCGTGGGAACTTGCTCAAGGCTTGAAATGCCGTGCTCGATCGCTGATAGTGGTGGAGATTGCAGACCAGCCTCGATAGGCGAAGCATGAAGAGGAGGGGATGGCATTCCATTCGTGGGGTCGGCGCCTGGGCGATCTAGAAGGTTGAGAAGCTCTTGGCGAGATAGCGGTAACAATGCCTGGGCTTCATGGTTGGGATAAAGTCGTTTGAGGATCGACCGGCACTCTTCTAAAGACTGGGAGAGTGCCTCGAGTGTTTTCCTGGAGGGAATAACGCGTTGCCGGTGCTTGTCATAGAAGCAGCGTTTCGGTGCCCTACTTGACAAGCATTGACCACATGGCTGTTGTCCATCACAGCGACTGATGGATAAATCAATACCGCTGCCATAAAGTAGGGCTCTTGAACGGCTTACATCTTGCGGCGCTTGCACTCAGCACAAGCATGAGGTGTAGTAATGCGCTTGGCAGCGCTGGTTCCGCTTGCTTTAGAGCCCTCTATCGACTCTGTTGACTGCTTTCGGGGAGTAACCCCCTGAACTAGAAAGGATGAGAAGGGCCGTGAGAAGAAAAGTGCGCTTCGGTGACTTACATGTGTGGAACATTCCACCCTGCGTTGGAATAGGGATGGAAGGTGCCATGACTACTAAAGAGTCTTCACAAGGTTGAAGTCTGATATGTCTCAAGGTCACACAGTTCTGATAGGCGAGAGTATCGAGATCTGAGCGTGGTATGGATGAATGGGTTTGGCCGACAACCGAGAGGGCGGAAGGCCATAAAGATTTATATAGATATATTCACGTTGCAGCCGCGTATTGTGGGGTAGCGGAGAGTCTGGGGATGAAGGGTTGGCCAAGATGGAGTGGAGTAAGCTGTTCGAGATGCCCGCCCTAGCACCCTGGGTATCGTCAGGAACAGATGATCAATACCATAATCGTATATAGCCCAGCGCTATAGGCCACGGCAGGCCCTTGGGGTACGAACGGACCCTGATTGTTGGCAGTCCCAGAGGAAACCAATGTATGGGTGGCAGCACGCATGTGGGGATCAATGCCGCGTCTTGAAGGCGATCAAGATGCTACCCCCGGGAAGGTCTTAAGAAGCCTGGTTCAATATACTTGACGAAAGGGTGGATGCTGGCATCAAAGACATCTGCCATGATACCGCGCGAGGAACTGCTGATGCTCATCGGACGTCACTGGCGCGCAACAGCCGATTGGTACCACGCCAAGCGACGGGCCCGCCAGAGAGTTAAAACCAAGTGATGGGAGATGAGCTCGGTGATGGTGGTTTCATACAAAAGACGATGGCCATGCCGGGTAGGGCCAGCAGGGGGGAGGGGGGGGGGAAGACAAATCAGGATGTCCCATTAAATGGTACCTCAATCTGGAGGCGGCTGCTTGCGTGTGGTGGCCCAGACGCCCTCCAATGGCTAGAGCTTAGTAGAGACAGTCCAAAATTCGGACAAACTCGCTGTTGGGCTGAGACCAAGTCAATGAACGGTGAAGGAGAAGAACGGATGAAAGGCAAGGTTTGGTGCCTGGGTCGCCCCGATTCCCCAGAAGAGACTAGGCATGGGGGAATTTGCGGAGTACAGTACCGGCGCTAGAAGTCGAAGGGAAGTTCTGCATCTGCCAACTGCAACTGCTATTCGCTGCGTATGCCCCAGTTTTGCCAGGGGCACACGCTTGTTTTCCAAAGGACCACGGCCGTCCTTTACCAATGGCTGACTCATTTTCGGCTGGAGTATCTCCTCCAGTCGGTCTTCTATAGTGGTTCTCCTCTACTGCAAAGCGCTTCAACTAAGCTACAAGCTCTGCTCCTCAGTCACTATATGAAGCGAACGGCGATCCTCCACATTCCGCGAGAAACTAGGCGATCGCCCGGCCAGACTTGGGGGGATTGGCCACAAAGGGGTTGCAATAAGCTTCTTGATGGGAGGGCTTGTACGGCCAACCAGCGAGTCCAGGGGCGTCCAGGACTCGGAATAGTAGCAAGGAAAGACCATGCGGGTGTAACGGGAATCGAAGATCCAGATGCCGCTCAAGACTCCACATGACCATGGTTTTAATATATATTCTACTGCGCAGTCTGGGCTAGCGCGTACTGTCAGGCACATATATCTCCATGCCTTGTACGGCCCAGCCGTGAGCCGCCCTGAAAGCCGGACCTAGTGCGCGAAATTCGGCCCCAGGAGCTGTCACAGAGGGGATTGGGGTATAGTGGTTGCTTGAAAATCGGGGAATATGACATGTCAAGCCGCGAGATTGCTACAAGCCTTTTCCGCCGGCTTGGAGTGGGATTAAGGGACCGCAAGAGGAGGCGCTAGCACGGGAGCCTTTCCGAACATACGGCGTCAGCCGCCAGCGTGTCTCGGGGGCCCCATGATCAGAAGATGGGCGACAGGGTCAGAGCTGTCGCGCGTGTCATTCGACGTGGCCTCGGTTGACGTGGGCGGGAAGAGAAGGAGGCTGCTACCTACAGACTAGAGCAGCTATTTTGGCGAGCGCGTAGGCGCCGATCAGATAGGTAATCAGATCAGCACTTTGCCATTCGGGCACATGAAGAATGCCATCTGGAGAAACTCGCCAATGTTTGCTGGCCATCCCTCGCTTGCAAATCCCCCGGAGCAGACGGGTCTTCGGGATACTCAGAGCGTCCAGCAAGGTGGTTATGCATTAGGGCTGCCGTTAGTCTGGAAAAGTACCGCTCATACCAGACCGTCGTCCGAACGTCTGCTGTAAGTTAGCACGTAAGATACATAGTGGGCTTAGCAACGGCTTCCCTTGATACCGCGCCCGCTAGCTCCCAGCCTAAGGTGCTAGCAGTCAACGTTAAAACACACGGGCGACGGGGCGGCCATGCCCCCTTTGTGGTGGCCAGAGCCTCAAACCCATGTCTCGCATCAACTGAGACTTCCCTTTTGATTGCCTCTGGTGCATCATCATGCTACAATTGGATATTCGTGCCGGGCGACCTTCCCTACCAATCCATCCCGCACCCTTCTGCTACCCCACAGTTGCCTGGATCCTCGGCTAGAACCTGCATCACCACATGGTTCGTTTTGCGGAGTGCAGTTGTATAGGTGACACCAATCAAGCCACCGTACGCCGTCGCCAGAGACTGCATGCATGAAGGCCAGAGGCTCATGATCTTGATACAGATAGTCTTGGCAGCAGCCTGCTCGCCAATGGCTCGCCCTCTTCGCACAGTGACGGGGCCCGGGTCAGATTAAACCCTCAACACCTTTCTCCACAATCCAAGGAAGCGTCAAGTCTGGGACTTCTCAGCCGTTGAGTGACATGGTTGACTTGCGCGTATGTATAAGAAGAGCCATTATGCAGGAAATGGGAGGCAATCTGCGCTTCGAAGCCGTACGTAGGCTTCTCGCAAAGCTTTATGATAGTTTTGTGCAGATAAGGCGCTGAGAGGCCCCCATATTCCTTATGCAACGAAATGCCGTTGGCCCGGCCGGCCTTCAATGCCACCTATAGCTGACGAGAATATGGTTCGACAGCCAGGCCCCATGTCTACCACAGTAATACTACTATGGTAACAGAAACATGGCGGGAGCGTGGGCAGAACACTGCGCCGAGTCATTCCAAAGCTTGTGCTATTGGCAAAAGGAGTTGACCAAAGGCCAGTCTTTGTGACATATCCCACCAGTCTAGCCCATGCAGCAAGTGGCCAAAAGCCAAATGGCCGTGCTGTTGAGTGACGACTGCACAGATTAACCGAGAGGGTGGCTTCTGCAGTTGTACCACGTGTGTGATCGTCCAGATCGAGTACCTTTTTCAGTCGGCGGTTTACCAGAACTGATGGGCAGCACGCCAGGCTGGCCGGAACTGGACAAACCCACTCGGAATTGCCCATGGGAATAGCTGGAGATGGATCTTAATTTTGCCGTCCGTACAATGTAACGCCCTCTACATTGATTAGCTCAGGGTCGTCAATATGGCAGCGGCATGGCAATTACTCGCGTCATGACAGTCTGCCCATTCGACAGCCGAGATTGCATGGCTTTCTTTCTCGCCCCTCGAGGCACTTGGTTCCTTTCCGCCCCCATACCAGCTTCCCAAGTTTCTGCGAATCCAATATATCGGTATTCCAAAACAGTTGAAGCCCTCTCATATCTTCGTAATGCAACAAGCCTAGCTACAGTGCTATTAATAAACACGGCATACGGATATGATTTGTATGTGCTCAGTAGATATGCGTCATTTGGATCTAGGTATATACTACACAGTAGATCGAGCGAGCACACTTTGGTTGAGTAATCAACCATGTAGTAGGAGCCGAAATGCATGTGGCCAGCCGCATTTTGCAGACCAAAATCACGGCTTGATTCCTAATTAGGCAAGCTTTGCACGATCACACTAGAGTATAAAAGCCTTGGGGGTCATTTTGGGGCAAACCGACTCGGATCTCATAGGTGTCCCATCGGACTGGGGCTGCGGATCTGGTACCTCGAAACAGGAGCTCTTGAGTGAGAAACCAAGTCACTCGTCAAACCCATTCAGACTGACTTGCACCTGACCCTGCGCAAGGAGGCTGTGCTGCGTCATACGGTACATAGAAGAGGAAACATAGACCTGAATCACTAGATGGCCAATTAAATATATTGTTCTAGCCTACTTTGGTGCGTCTCTCGCTCTTCAGGCACACCAATAGCATTCCCATTGCAAGTAGGGACTGAAGCCGCAAATTCCGAGACGTCCCTTCCAACCCCACAGCAGACTTGGATGTCCGAATTCATCTGCCTTGTGGCGGCAAATACACTTTAGAGCCAGTCACTGCTCTCCAGTCATGGCTGCTATGATGGTAAACTTCACCTAGGATCGCGGTGTCCAAAACGTAACCTGTCTCTGGCCCCTGTCGGTTTGCAGGTCCAGTAGCCCTTGACTGTCTGCAAGGCAAGGTTACTGCAAGGGCCTGCGGTCCGATGTAAGTTCCAGTTCACTACCACCACGGCTGAGAATGGTGGGTGGATGTAGTATTCAAGCACCGCCAAGCACTCAGATTTCTTTCGAGGGCTCCACAATCCCCAATGTTTCCATGCTCACGACCCGGATCTGCAAGACGAACGCCGGGCGTCTATCCTGTGTGCCTGGCCGGTTTGTCATCCTTGCTCCTGAGTTGGGGATCCACCTCATAAGCGAAGGGCCTGGCACCGGCTACTGATGCCGTCAAATATGCAAGTGTTGTCGATGGGGATGTACTGTTTGGTGATGATCTTGATCACCTCCTGTGCTACCATACCGCCTATAACGGCCGAGAGATCATGGAGCTCACCGCCCGCAGCACGGGCAACCTCCTGAGCTGCCTGCAACACTCGCATATCATCGGCTGCCCCGGGGATTCTGCGAGAGACCTCGGCTTTGATCTCATCGATGGTGGCGGCTGCGTTGTGAGATGTTGCCGAGAGAGCCAAATAGATGGGCATCAAAGACAAAGGCATTCCCACCGCCTCGGCCAGCTCGTCGTTTGCTTTCTCCGAATCTGGCCAGAACGTCAGTCACAACTTTAGTCTTAGACGATAGATTGGATGGATGGAATCACCGTAGATCTTGGACAGGTCCCGTCCATCGGTGGTCGCATTCACCAGTTTCACGAAAGAGGCATTCTTGCAGAACATTTCCACCTCGGCAGGATCGACGTCCTCGCCACCTGCCATGGCCCTAGCTGTCTCTAGCACCTCGGATACATCTTTTCGGGCTTTTGCCTTGTAGATGCTCTGCAGCTTGACGTAGACCTTGGATTCGGCCTTCATGTCTGGCAGGCTGCCAGGCAGTGGCAACGCCCCATGCTTGTCGTGGAATTTTTTCACAGCGTTGGCAATTACCCAGAACGAGGAGCGTAGCTCAGCCTATTCTATATTAGCCAAGAAAGCGACAGGGCAGCGTACTGTTTACCTCATTTGACAGCTCATGGTCGAAAACTTCCCGCAGTGTGGGCTCAAGAGACTGAGCCTTGACGCTTCTGTTGACGGCGGCCACGGCCTCTTGAAAGTTCTCTTCGCCACCTTCTGGGTTGTCTGTTCTTGCGGCATCGGCGACTGTCTTGCGGAACTCTACCTTCGCTTTGTATTCTGTCGGGTTTGCGCCGTTGTGGGCGTCCCTCCATTTACCCAGGTAATAGAGAAGGATGACGACATAAGGCAAGTGCCCGTGAGCATGGTCATCCAGGCTCTCGATATCCTGAGTCATCTCCTCGGCAAACTGAACTAGCTCAGGCCATGGTTGCGTCAGACGAAGATCCACTGTCTTCTCGGCGTCGGGATGTGTGTCGACAATCGGGAATGCACCAGGCAAACTGATTCGAAAGTAGGAATAAAAACCTGCAGTGTGGATAGAAACAAGCGGCGTGCAATGCTGGCGTCCGTACGCCTCTAACGTAGCCAGATCCTCTGGCTTGATGGGCATCGTGTACATGATGAGTGTGAACGTAGGCGAAGTAGTGAGGATATTGTTCAGATCGACAGCTGCCTGTAAGCACGTGTAAGCAGACAGCCCAGACTTTTTCTCTCCATCCTCATCATAGAGCATACCTTGGATTTTGGGTACCAATCGCCTTTGACCTCCGGGTTTAGTTCCTGGAGAAGCTGTGTGCAGCATTGCGAGCGCAATTTTCCCAAACAACTTTCGTCAAGGAAGAAATTGACTCCGAGATCAGGCTCATCCACAACGGCATCATCAACGATAGTGAACCTCCCAATGCCTTTAAAGCAGTCAGTTCAGGTGCCGTGTTCGCAGTGATGGGGAGCATACCAGGGAGTACAAGGTTCTTAAGGGTCTCGATCCCCACAGTCCCAGTGCCAGAATTCACAAGCAGGATGTTCGCGGATTCGAGGGCTGCTTGGCCGCTGGCAGCCCAGAGACGCAGCTGCCGATCATACTTCTTCTCCTTCTCGGAAGGTCCATGGAGGATTGGTGGTGTCTGGGTCATGACGATCTCAGTCATGGCGACGGGCTGCTTGCAGATAACCAGAAGTCGGGTGGTGTTGATTGGTGCAAATATGTCCGGGACGCGACGATCAAGTCGGCGACACAGGGAAAATTGCTTGAGAGTTATGTAGAGACTCTCTTACCGGGTCGCGCAAGAACTCTTTTCTACTTCAACGATACCCTCAACCTAAGGCACTTGCTGGACTTCAACGCAAACGGGCCTCGTCCTAACTTAGGCAGTGACGTTGGTAACCTGTGGAGGCCCTTATCTAATACAGCCAATGGGATGTCCCACAGCGGGATCCACCTTGTCAGCCTCCACACATCCCTTGTCTCACTTTGTATGAGGATGAGATCGCTCTCTGGATCTCAACGTGAATTTATTCCCGAAAAAGCCACGCAAGGCGTACTGCATTGGGAGAGGGAGAAAAGAAAAACGGCCACATGAGTAATGTCAAAGATAAATATCAGCACAGCCTGTTTGCTCGCCTCCTGGTCGCAGGAAGTGAGTCGGTAGGACGGACGCTTAGGCGTTGGAAGGGAAGGCGCACTGAAGGTAGATGATTGTCATGAATGCAGTTTCTACTCCAAGATTGCACATGTCATTCTTGAAACTTTACAAACAAAACACGGGGCGAGAGTCAGCCCCTTCTTATTCTCCTCCTCCCCCCATTCATGGTAGACGAAGCTCCTTACCACACTGCTTAGATGTCGTGTCCTCTCACAACGTCGCAACTACCGCGATTGATGGGCTTGTCTAATATCTGCGGTCACTTCGACTTCGTTGTAGCCTATGTGTGTTAGTTCTCACTACCATGGAGCACATGCTTAGGTGCAATGCACTGAAATGCAGGAAAGAACTGAGTGGCCGGGCTTTAGTAACTACCTGCAGGTAACATACCTCTCGCGCTGAAATCGTAATCCCGCTCAGCCTGACTGATCGAATATACGAATAGCCACATATTCTGTACCGAGTGTGCGGCTCGCCTGGGCCTGACCAATTCCAGCGGAAGACACGAGCACCGAAACTCCTGTCCTGCTTGTGGCTCCCACTTGACCAATCCTGACGATGCCGTCGTCACCGAACTGAACCCCAGCGAGGATTACAAAACAAGTGTCCTGAGTGGACTGAGCCCGAATGTCATCATTGAATGCGCAAGTCGCGCATTGAGCTTTTGGGCGTACCAAACAACTCAGGAAGTGTGGGTAATATCTCGCTCGTGACATTCGCTCTGAATCTAAATGATATGACCAGCGTATATCAGGAGTATCTCGGAAAGACTCTGACGGAGAAGTACACAAATTTGAGTGTCCATCTTGACAAAGTCATCAACGAGGCCAACTCTCAAATCACATCCTTGAACAATAAAATCTCGAGTACGTCACTTTCGCTGTCATCTACGACACAGGAATCTAGTGTTGACATATCTAGATGTTGATCTGGATCAGCAAGCTCTACGCAGAAAGAACGATGAACTCGCTCAAGCGCTCAAGGAGAAGAACAAGAAACTTCTGCAGACACAGGAGCTGTACGATAAGCTGAAGCGAAAGGCAATGATGGGCCAAATGCAGGACGCTGCTGAGGACGCTGTGGATTCCAATCTGCAGACCGCGGCCAGGCTCGATGGTGGCATCACTGGGTTGGTCGAGGTACCTGGCCTCCCTGGCATCTATCAGGAAGATGGAAGTTCATTACAACAGCATCGTGTCGACTCGAACGCGTTGCACCGAACAGACGGTGGGCATGCATTTCCTTCCGCGACTCACTCACCCCCCGGATCTTGGGCAAGAACGGTTGGAGCTGGCAGTGAGTTTACATGGTGCATCGATAATGGAGAGCTTGCTGACTTGGACAGCGAATATCCCTGTAACTCCTTCTACCCACCGTCAAAGGTTGGGGGAGCCTTCTGCCGTAGGGTTGACTACCGTTCCGGGCTTTGTTCCTGGATTTCGCTCTCCCCGCCGCGCCATGAACATCCGAACTCCCCTGGCCGACGTCCCTAGTAATCTCAGAGGCTCTGGAAAGTATCCTGCTGTAGGCTTGAGCTCTGGATTGAAAAGTAGTTTCGTAGGCCCAGGAAGTCTTGATGGGTTTGCCAAGCCCCAAGGTATGCACAACCCCAGACCATCAACCAGCAAACCTGCTCACACGTGATATAGCCATACAACGGCCTGCCCCTACAGTATCCGCTCTGGGCCGTAGGGAGCCAGAATCAGTAATTGGTGATATTCGCAGTGCATCAATTGCTGGCAACATACGCGGCGGTTTCACGTCACGATAACCGCGGAGTTCCCAGCTCCAACTGTCAACCGGAACCTTGCCATTTTTAAGGTTCATTGCAGGACCACGGGATGCATGTTGTAGCCCAGTGCCATGCGAATGATGATAATGTAATGGAGGGTCGTACTCGAGGGACAATTCCTTGTTCTCGGCGGCCTCAATGGCGCTTTGGGCATTGACCAGGCCATTGACAGTGACGATAAACCGGGCTTTCAGAGAGGCAGAAGAAAAGAGGCCTTTGTCCGATGAGTGCTTTGTTGGGGCCAGTAGTTAAATATGGCTGTGGCTTGAGTGTTCTGGTCAAATATTTCAAAGGCAGACTCCTGCACTACGTAGTGTCTTCCCATAACTCGCTCAATTTAGTACAACTATGGCTCCACAGGTCAGCAGACAGGCTGCTTTTGTCGATCTGAGCCAAACCGGCACGACCTCAGGGTCAAGCCAGTACGCTTGCGGTGGTGAGCCCCGGCATAGCAGTCGCCGGGGCTCACCTAGACAGAACCCAAGAGGATCTGACGCGATGAACTCGTTGAGCAATGCCCACGCTTCCACCACATGGTCAGCACAGCCCATGGAACGGGTGACTGCGCGGGCTCCAGAGTTACGGAAAAACAGGAAGGTTCTTTCCAAGGAGTCCTCAACATCCTTTTCTTGGTTGCCTGGGAGGAAGGGGAAGAAAGCGGCCGATCGGACGTCGATCTCTCATACGCAGCGAGACCCGACGGAGAAACGTGGTATACCCCGTGTCGTCGATTTTCAGATCCCTGATGCCCCTGGACCAAACCATCTTGGCCGACCAGCAAATCTGCCCTCGCCTCAGCTTCTACCGGCCCACAGGCTGCAATCGCGAAGCCAGCATGTTGTGGGCAATTATAAGCCGGATCCAAAGAAACTTGTGACTGACCCAGCGCTCTGGAACTCTTCCCACCCTGTGAGGCGATCGCTGGCTCGGCCACAACAGTCTGAAGAGAATCGTCCCTTGCGCGGTCGACGGGTTCTGTCCGAAGATAGATCGCAAGCCCAAGAGAAGCCAGTTATCGAGGCTCTCAAGGAGTTTGATCAGCGAGATGGTTTTGCTGCGCGAGGTCGTAACTGGTCCACCACGGTTGTCATAGGGGACAAAGAACCTGCTACGCAATACACCTCCTTTCCGCCGCCCTGCTTTGATGAGGAAACGGCGACTACGGAGAAGCAAATGCGCCGCAGAGCTGTGTACTTCAAGCCGTCAGATATCCCTGCTGACCTTGCCCAGCTAGCAGACCAGCAGGAAGACAATGCTGATGACGCCCCAGCGGATATCTCGTACAATGAGCCGCGGGCAGTCTCGTATTTGTCTTTATTTGGATCTGACCAAGAATGTGATGGCGAGGACAGCGAAGAAGAGGATCGTGAGCAGGTGGAGCTGCCCTCCATCTTCCTTACGCCCCCGTCAAGAAAAGTGAGTGAGGCATCAGTATTATCGACCAGGCTTCTGTCACCAGGCCACGCGTGGAAACTCCTTGCCGAGGACGCACGCAGGGATGCGGTCCGCGAACGCAGGACGTCGGACAAAATCCTGGCTTACTGCTCGCCGCTCATCGCCGCGCTACAGGTGTTGCAGGGCTACCCAGAGTTCGATGGCCTCGAAGAGGCCTCTTGGGAAGGCCTAGACGAGGTGCTACGCCAGGTGCTAGAGGACCGTGATATGAACGGCGAGGAACGGGACCACGCGCTGGCGTCAGCCGCCTGGTTCCGGGAGCAGTGGTGGCGACTCTATCGTGAGTCCAAGCGCCAGTGCTATGTGCTACAGCATCCCACCGAGGATGGTGCCGCCGTCGAGGCTTAATCGAGACTCCGGTGGCCGGAACTGCCACGCCTCACAGAGAAGTGAAGTGGTGGCGATAGAGAGAAGGTAAGACAGTAAGTGATGCTGGAAATCACTCTACCTTTCTGGCCTTGGTTTGGTCATTTTCCACTTCTTGACTTCCCATTCTGCCAATTGCACGCTCTATGCGTATATTATGCAGCTACTCTCGGATTTACTTGTATCAACTACTGTTCTCTCCGAACAATGGGGACATCCTACTGGTAGGTGCCATTTCCCATATCATCGGTCGGCCGTCATACCCGACTCAGCTACGGACAGGAGAGGAGCGCAAACTTTCTTCGGCCAAGAATGGATGCTATCTTCTTCCCATTCCCCCCTTTATACCAGAGAGCCCGGCTGTCCTCGGCCGAGAACAGTTGGCGTGTAACTCTCAGGATATGTCTATATATAGGCATAGCAAGGACAGCCTTGACTTTACTTCGATTAGAAGACAGTCAGGCCTGCCTTATCATCTTCTCTTATGAACTTCTTTACTCACGAAGTGTCAATGAGCGTGGTCTCACTGCAGGAGCCAGCGTAACTCTTTGGCATTTGTAGCCGTGTAGGGTTTTGCAACTATACCTGTTTCTAGGGCGGCAAGTTTGCGAATCTCTACTCGTCTATGTGTATCAAGTCCTCAACCACCTAACTACGTGCGGCGGGAGTGTGCGTCCACAGCTGGGGCAAACCTCCCATTCCCGCCCCTTTTCCTGGCCGAGAGCCTGATTTTGCGGGTGACATTAATCAGCCCCAGTCAGCGCAGCTCTCCGATATTCGAGTACGGCACTTTTACGCACGACTCTGACGACCGAATGAGGCATACCATGGGACTTCCAAGATATAGATGGAAGGTTGTGCCGGATATTTAGATTGTAGATATTGTATTGGGAGTACAAGTTCTATGGGAATTGAAGCTCTCCCAATTCTTTCCGGCAGGACGCTGTGCGCGATGCCGGTTGTATAATTATGTAATATATTGCAAGCTAGACAATGGTTCCTCGCTCCTGTCTTCCTGGTGACAATCCGACAGTAATGGAGTCTCAGTTCTAAGCTTACATATCTTTCAAGGTATTGCTGTTCCAAACAGCTCCATCTCAACAGCACACTGCGTCCAGTCAAGCCAACTTGGTCACAAGTCTGTCTACTGACTACCCTCCCATACCAAAGTCTTCCCCACAGAAGCCGTGGCACGGTATGCCAACGATCTCGAACGGCAAATTCGCCGGGTAGCCGGCACCGTGCAGCTTCAGCGCATGGGTCCACAGCAGCACGTCTGTCTGCAGGCAGCCGGCGCTGCCGAAGCCCAGCGGCACGTCCGAGTGCGCATACTGGAAACGGACCGCGGCCGGATCCGCGAGCGCGCGGCGTCGCGCTGCCGTCCCGCTGGCGCCGGGCGCCGTCATGGGGTCGGCGTGGGAGACGACCTGCAGGATCGCGACGTCCGAAGTTTCCAGCCGGGCGTGCGCCAGGAGTGAAGGCAACGGCGACGGCAGAGGGTGCTCGAACGCGGGCGCTGCCGCTCCGGACGGTGCTTGGGCCTGCGCCTGTGAGGCGACTGAGGTCAAGGCTTTGTGGATAAGGGGTTCATGCTTCTCGCCCTCTGGCCTGCTCACTCTGTCGTACTGCCTCCTGCGGCGCGAGATCGTCTCTCTGAACCACGGGAAGAACACGACGCCCTTCTCTCCCTGCTGACGGATCACCTCCTCGACCCCCTCCGTGCCGTCCTCGCCCAACACGGGCCCGATCTCCCTCGCCCGGCCGCCGATGGACCCCGGGACCCGGCACAGGCGGAATCGGAGCAACCGGCAGTCGCTGGGGTTGCGAACGCGCAGCTCGAGGCCCTCTAGCGGCCGCCGGGTGTCCAGTACGCTGAGCGCCAGAACCTCTAGGAGTCCGGCCATGGAGGGTACGTAGTCGACGCTGACGTAGCGGACGGAGAGCGACGCAGCCAAGAAGAGCGGGTGTACGAACGTGCGCAGCTGGGCGTCGCCACAGCTGGCCCAGCGCTGCGTGTCGCGCCAGCATAGGATGTCGAGGTCTGGATGGAAGGACGGGCGCCGGAGGCATGCTTTACCCTCGTCCCCGTCGTGACGCGGGATGAGCATGCTGTCTAAGAGCGTGTGAAGGGATGGCAGGGGTTGTGACCCGATCTCGCGACTTTGGCTTATGCTGAGGCTTGAGATAGGGGCGGGGAGGGAAATCGGGGCAGGGCCCATGGCGATGCCCTCGTCCACCTCATCGGCGTCTCCATAGTCTCCCATGGCCTCGTTGCCAGCCCCGGACTCCTTGCTACTCGTGAGCAGCGCCGCTAAAACGGACCTTGAGATTTGAAGAGGCGGGTAGAGATTTCTCAGCTCCTGCCACGCTTCGTATCGCACGCCTAACAGCGCCGGCAGCGGCGTCCTGGGGGCATCAGTGTCCGGGACCAGGGCATAGCACGTCCACCAGTCGCGTTCCGAGCTCCAGTTCCAGGCCTCGAGGTCGAGCTTGAGGCGGACAGGTACAGATCTGCCTGGCAAAGCCATCCGGTAGATCTTGAGCTTCAGCTCATCAGGCAACAGTGGAAACAGGGCGAAGGCCGATGGCGCTGCCATGGTGCGTACGAGTGCAGGTCTCTTGTTGGCGCCTCGTAACACAGATGGACGTGTTTGAATAAAGATCCGTGAGGTTCAGAGGAGAAAAATTGTCCCAAATTCCTCTTTCTGTGCTCGACTCTGAAAAGCGAGCGTGAATCGTTTGAATGAGGCCAGCATTCGGCAGAATGAGCGTGGAAGACCTACGCGCCACGAATGAAATGCTGGCATGACGAGCTTCACAGTGACCATCAGGGTTGCGACTCTATACACAAGTGCTACCGACTCCCTGCTCACGGTCATTGTTGCGACTTGAGGCCTATGTGAAAGTGGCCGAAGGGGTGGCCATCAAGGTCTTTGATCTGCACCCAAGACATCCTGGATACTAATTGGTGGCGACCTCTGCATGCTTCAGGAATTCCTCGTAGTCAGCAGAAAGGGATCTAAAACCTTTCATTCAGAATGTAATATCGTGTGCTTAAGAAAGGGCCAAGGTCTGGAATGCCAGTTGCAAACCTTCCTGCTGCGTCTAAAGCCATGTTCGCACCTGGTCAGTGTATTTGTGCACCTGGCCTACTTGGACTGGAGACGATGTATCACGTAGATAATCACATATAGATGATGAGATGATGTCTTTCTAACTTTTGTTTATTTCAGGCCATGGTGGCCAATGTCGTTGGGTACGTCAATCGTTCTTCTCAACGGCGTCAAAACTTAGCGTACCCTATGTATGTACTTTGAAACGGCGTGGCGCCAAACGAAGCGGGTTATCTAAACCAAACCCATTGTCCCGGTATAACGCCTGGTGGCCTAGGCCAGATGCAAAACGCCATCCATTGCCTCTAACTCCAGCCCCGTATCCGTAACAGTGTATTATCTGAACGTCGAAAATTTTCAAAGAGTATGCTTCAACAGTATAATAGTGGCAAGTGAAAAGTCGTAAAGTGACCAACTTAGTCCTCGTTCAGTGGACTCATCAAGGGGCTTTTTAATCTCGTAGGACTACCAGCCCGACTTCGACTTCTTCCTGCACCCAAGTGCGGTGTAAGCCGTTCTCGGCTTTCTGTGCGCACCACCAGTCCGCTTCGGTCCAGAGCACTGCCGATGTGAGCTGACTTGGTGAGATCGTCAAAGGATCCCATCATATTGAGCTTAGGTGTGGCCAGACCAGATGTTCGTCCCTGACGTGTTCCGCTCGTGCTGTCGGAATGGTCGCCTTCGTCAGATTCGACCTCGCCCAGTTCAAACTGGGCTGCGTCGCCTTCTTCTATAATTCGCTCGTAGGTGTGAGAGTTACGACCGAAGAGCTTACTCGTAAGCGCTGACAGGCCACGACCGCCCTTGCGTGGGCTGCCTGGCCGGCGAGGATGGGGCCGGAGCAAAGAGTTCACCTTGCCGTACAGACGCATTCTCCTATCACGCCGGCGGAAGAGGTAACCAAGAAGTACAATGATCAAGACAAACAGCAGCAATCCAGAACTGGACTTTGCTTTGACATGGTCCACCAGATCCTCGGCTAGGTCATCCCAATCATCGTCGCCAGTCAGAGACAGCGCTGTCCAGTTGGACCCAGCAAATTGGAAATCGTCAGGGATGCCCTTCACATTGCTTCCAAAGCCCACCGGGTGTTTGTCTGTTCCGTCGATTGGCGGCACTTGGCCAGCAGCGTAGAGCACCATGGGTCCCAAGGTCCAGCTCACTTCAATGTCGTCGATTTTGTCGACGGCTTGGAAGGCGTCCAAGAAACCCTTCTCCTTGGCGGCTTCTCCAATGCCCTTCGTGATGTTGATATCCGGAGAGGGCGTATGTTCTATACCAACGCGCGGTATTCCTATCCCATCGTGGAGAACGTTGATAAGCCACGAAGCCTTGAAGCAAGCTTCTTGCGCGTCTTTCGAATGGTCCTTCTTTCGACTTTGGAGGGCTTCGATTTCACTCCACTCTTGGGAGCAGAAGTCCTCCACCTTCTTTTGATACGTATTATAATCGTACACCTTTTCGCCCTTTTCCGCAAACACGCCATGCGTTGTGTGCCAGTACTCCGACACTCCGACGAAGTGGTTCACGTCGAAATCGATGCCGGGGACGTGCTGTCCGTTGAGCAGACATGGCTCATCCTTACAAGGTACATCCTTCCCGAGCAGAGGCTTGGTCATCCTGAGACAGCCGGCGAAATCGCCGGTTCCGACGAGTTCCAGTTTGTCGGAAGCGCCTTTGATGGGTTCGCCGTCCTCGGTCGTCCGCAAGCCTATGGGCATGCAGGGGTCCGGAACCTCATGCTGTCCCTCGATCAGGTAAGAGTCGACCAGTTTCTGCACATAACGCTGGCGGGCTTGATTGACTCCGTAGCCGAGCCAGGTGGTGGTAAAGACCTTGTATTCCGAAGCGGCACCGTTCATGGTCCGCATGCGGAGGAGCTTGAGATCGTCTGCGTGCTTCTCGGCTTCAGTGCTGTTGGGAGCAAATGCAATCTGGGCCGATGCGCCACCCATGTCGAGGAAGCCGTAGGTGTGGTGTCCCTTGCCGTGAGCGTGGCCCTCGGCATCGTCAAACCCTCCCAATAGATAGTTGGCGGCGATCCAGCCGTACAGGCCCTCGACGTCGCCGGGGATGACCTGGATGTGCCTGTCACAGTCTGGGAGCGAGAAGCGCGTGTTCTGGCGGAAGTAGGTGCAGACCTCGGACAGCACGGCGCGTTGCTTTAGCGGTGGGAGCAGACGCATGCCGGCCGTGGCCATCAAGAAGATCGGGGTGTCTGCGTGTTTCTCCTCTGGAATCTGCTCGACAGCCTTCTCGACCAGAGACTGTAAGTAGTCGCCCACATCCTCTGGGTTGTCTCCGAAGGTCGAGATGCCCGGTCGCTTCTTCTCGGTCCACTTCTTCTTGGTCTTGATCTGGGGCAAGCTGCGTAGCTCGTCGTCATCAGCGTCCTTGATCGCCTTGGCGGGATCTTCCCATCGGTATATGTGCAGACGCGTCCCGGAGGAGCCAGCGTCCAAGATGACACCCCATCGCCCTGGAGAGCAGAACTGTTGTTAGTGACGGTTCTGAGTAGTTTGCCCGAGGCAAGGGGGGGAGCGTGGCGTACATTTGGATTTCCCCATCGGCAAACGAGTTTATCCAGATGCTGACAAGAGCTGTGGTGCAAAAGTTGAGGATAAAGGCGCAGCAGACGCGATGATGTGTCGATCTCGACTGCTGCCGATCCTATTGCATTTCACAAAGTCGTCGCGCCGTGCCGAACGGGTAGTCAATAGTCGGGAGGTTGCAGCTAGTAGAAGTAGTAGCAGTAGCAGGATTGAGGAAAAACGGGTTTCGACAATCTGGGGGTTCGGCGTCAGATCGTGGAGTGCAAGGTTCGGAGATTGCGCGTTGGGTCGTGCCAAGAAGTGTTGATTAAAGGGGGTTTGGTAGGTAGCGAGAGACGACGAATAATGGAACGCGGACTGATATGGACCACGCAGACGTGTACTCGACGCAGCACAGCAGAAGCGTCAATCGGGTTGCAGAACGAGAGTGGTGGTGACACAGGTCAATAAGCAATGTGAGGTTGCCCGGGGCGTTGGAGGGAAACAATGCGAGAGGACACTCCTTCTCTTCTGGGAGGATTTGGGATGTGTCTACCTTGGGTTGCGCTCGAGGCGGAATCCCTGGATGATGGCGAAGTGTGGCCGAGAGCGATCCTGGCCGCTGGACGCCGCTGGCCTTCTGGGCTGAACTGGCTGAATGATGCGATGTGAAATGCTGGCTAACGGGTGGGTCCACTGCCGCTAAAGCCCGCGCCGCGCTGCGGGATGGGGGAACAAGCCGACAAGGGGGCCTGGGGGCGAGGCAACGAGGGAAAAAGCTTGGATTCTTTTTTTGGACGCACCTAGCGAGCAAAAGAGAGAGAGAGAGAGACAGCACCAGTAGGAAAAAGCCGCTTGGCCACTGGGCGAGAACTTTTCAGGGCCCGTGAAAACCATCAACACCGTGTCAACGCCATGTGGGTTTCGCGACGTCTAGTGTCATGCTTAGAAGAGGTACGTAGCTGTCTCGAGGAGAGAGCTGGAGAGAGCTGGAGAGAGCTGGCCAAGCTGGCGAGATAGGCAGGCCGAATGCAGCAACTTGGCACCCTTGGAACCTCTAAAGTGGTACAGTTGTTTCTCTTCCTCCCTTATCTATTGGCACGTTTGTACTGTATCTCGTCGGCCGCCGCATGCAAATTTTAATAATTCCACCTTGCTCATGATAGAGAGAGATTGCATGTGACCCATGTATCGTCAACGCGATAAGCCGCAATTGACTCAAAATCCACCTCCATGGCAAATCATTGAGCTGCATCGCACAACGTTCCCATGCTCAATTGGCACTGTCCGAGCGACAACCACGTCTGGCTCACCACCCACAGATCAAGATTGTCTGATTGTGTGTCAGTGGTCAGACTCGGTGGTGTGCCAACATACGTAATCTCCCCACAGCCAGTACGAGCACGTGGAGCGTTCCCTGTCTGACAACTGCTTCGGAACTCTGTTGGGCTCTGCGACTTTTGGCAACAAACATCCAAGCATCTGGGTCTTGAGGGGGGAACAAAAAGCCAATGCCGGCTCCCTGGTCGAGGTAAACCCACCCATGAAGTCATCGCTTGGCTCCCCCCGGTGGCGATCAATTCCACATGTCTAAAGGATTTTTGATGTCCCTCATGCCTTCTTGAAGGATTGGAGGAGACTCTCTCCCCTCTCGGCGCTCTCGGGAGAGCCCCTCAGTATCAGACATATTACCATGGGGAAAAGGGCACGAGTTGACTCCAGGTTCCCCTCCATTCAGATCCGTCAATCGACGCCATCCCTCTAAGACACGCTCGTCTCATGTAAAGCCGCTGCATGCGACGCTCGCCGCTTGCAGCTTAAATCCCTAGCGCCCAACTGGGAGCGCCGGGCAGCGTGCTTGTCACCTGGCTCTGGCATGGACAAGACACGCCATCCCGCGATGGCTGCAGCAGCTTCAATACGAGGTTGAAGGACCCCGTATTTGGCGTGGCACTCGAGGTTGCACTTTGAACCAACATCTGTTATCTGCAACCCCATTTTTCTGTCTGTGCCTTGGCACCGTCCCAGTCCCAAGTTTCACCCAAACGCTTTACAAACCCCAAGAAACAGCGCCGAGCGCCGCGGCGTTTGTCGTGCGCCAGACTCGATGGGCGGCAATGCTGTCATCGGCCCACTGCTCGCTTCTCGGCCTGCCGTCTGAAGAGCTTGGCTGCCCGCGGCAGGGGTAGCTCTTCGGTGGTACTGTAGGTTCGGTGACGACCCCATTCTTTGCATGAAACTATCCGTTCCCTTTCGTCTGATTTCAGACAATGTACTCCACGTTCCAGATGCTGGTTGTACTTCGATCGTGCAGCTCAAGATTGATTGACGTGATGGTCGGCTGGGATGCCAATGTGTAAACAAAATTACCTCCGCTGGAATCTCGTACATGACCATTGTGCGGTTCGTATCCAAGCCCAGGTGAGGTTGACGATGCAAGGCCAATTTTGCTAAGCATTGGAAGTCCGACCAATGCGTGCCCATATCAGAGCGCAGTCCTGTTATAGGGCTGAGACTTCTACGAACCTGCTTCATGCTTGTGGCATGCTCGGCATCTCATTCATTGTATAGTGACCCCGTATCCTTGCCCAACGTGAGTACAGAGCGGTTTCAGTGTAGACGCCGCATCATACAATCGGTGAGCTGGTTTTCAGAGATCATGCGACCACATGTGACCAAGGCTCCCTAGGTTTCTGAAGCTTCCAAGGGAACGAGAGACCCAGCTTAGTGGGCATAGACCCTGATGCCACGCGTAAAGCCCGGATAGAGTTCATTTTGAACTAGGATTGAACAGACAATGATTTATTCTGTTCCTTTCCTCCTGCTTTCCATACCGTCATTACAAAACACGACGAGTATTAGTGTTAGTGGTCTAAGTACGCCACCGAAAATAACCCTGTCCTTGAATATGGAGATTTCTTGGAAGCTCAAGTCTATTTTCTTTACACGCTGATTATTATCGCCTATATTGCAGCGTTCAACTCAACTATCAACTACGTAGCCCGACCGTCTGCTATGCAAAATCAGCGGGGTGTTTATGAGTGACTATAGGCCTGAAAGAGGTGCAGAATACCCATGTGTTCTCAGGCCAATGCTCTAGTTCCCTGCGTGAGCTGCTGGTCCTTGTTGTGCGTTATTGCACCAGGCATCGTAGGATCTTCCGCATCTGCTTATCTTATGGGGGTATACCAGTCATCAGAGTGCCGTCCCATGCATCCGTTCGCACATGCTCTGAGCTGCCTCTCTGCGTCGTCTTGTTCCAGTCTGCCCCGCGCGAATGCCACATCAACGGCTGATGTGTATGGTTTCCCCAACAAGCGACTTCCACGCTTACCCAAGAGACAACTGCTTCACCTCCACAGCAATGCCTCGAAGTCTCATTGCTCTTTTCTGGCTTGATGCCTGACCCACTCTATCCTCAGTCCGAGTCCCTCTCCAGGAAACTTGGGTCGCTTCTAACCCGACTCTCGAACTTCTTCCACCACTCCTCGAAGGCCCTGAGAGGGACGACCTCGGTGCCGCCCGCCTGTCCACTGAAGCTAGCCAGGAAATTGAACGCGTTCTTGATGATGCGCTGCGCCAGGACTTGCGTCGTGGGCTGCGCGCCGCCGCTGCCACCAGCCTTGACCAGCGATCCGCCGGACGCCGCCTTGCCCTCCTCGATCCTCTGCGCGACGCCCGCGGCGTCCTCGACGCTGATGCCAATGACGACGCCGTCCTGGCCGCCGCCGACCTTGAAAACGGCGCTCTCCTTGCCCGGGCCGACGCCGCCGAGGAAGCGGAAGTTGGGCTCCTCGCGGCCGGCGGCGAAGGCCTCGGCGTTGGTCGCCAGGTAGATGGCTGCCGCCGTGTTGTCCGGCAGCGCCACCCCGGGTAGGAGAAACACGGCCAGATGCGAGAAGGGCTTGGGGTTCGCGGGCGTGGTGCTCGGGATGGCGTAGAGGAAGGACGTCGGCGTCGGGATGGACGAGGGCGCCGTTACCAGGGGATGGCCGGTGGGCACGAGGCCGAAGAGGGGTTGCTGTTGTTGCTGTTCTGCCATTTTGGCTCTGCTGTGTATGAAATGGAGGGGTCTCGAACCGGGCTCTGCTAGTCGTGGGCGGGGAAATGACTGAAAATTATGCTGAAGCTCTATTCAACGCTCTTCGACCGCGTAGGTCTCAATTGCGCGCTTTTAAGGCATGGTCATGAGGCTCAATGGCCTTTCGTCGTCAATGGATCAATGCCTTTGTGTGTCTCGTGGCAGCTCGAAGCTTCGACGTCACAAAGAAAAGGCTACATACAGCTGGGACCCCGCGGAAATTATCCCGCTGACTGTATCCTGCCGGCCCCACCCTGGGCCTTTCGGGGAGGGTTCACAAGGGGTGTTGTTCACATCAATCCCGTTGAAACTTTGTCTCTGGTTGGTTGTTTATTTGTTGGATGCTATACTTGCAGATTTGAGCAACCGTTCATTGGCTATGCAGATTCAATGAGACTGGTAGGAGCAAATCGTTCAGCGATTGGGAAATATCTTCGACCATCTCGGGAGACTGGTTGCGAACCTGCCGTTCGAGTAATCAATGACCAAGTAACCCCGTGCAGCCATAACAAGCGCCTGCCGCGGCGTGGTCTTCTGGCCTGGCCTGGAACTCAAAACTCTCGCATCTCAAGGCGATCTAGCACCCACATTGTAATACCTAATCGGAATCTCGCACAAGCCAGTACGACGTCTGGGTATTCTTACGCTCAGCATTTCTCCAAGATGGCACCATTGAGCAACCTGGACCTTGTCAAGCAGGTGGATGTGTAGGTGCCCCGGGAGCTACCTATTGATTACCCGCGAACTCATGCCTATGTAGAATCCCCTATGAGCCAGAGCTCGTTGCCAAGGCATTCCCCGAGCCGCTGTACACGCTGCTCCATCAGACGTCGACAGGTGATCAAACCATTGGGTATATGTTGAGCTCCGTGGTCAAGTCATTATTGTCGATACCAGAGTCTGTTCGTGGCCAGGTGAAGGTCGACGATGCGTCCAAGACTGTAAGGGCTTTCGACTTGCCTACCGAGACAGAGCGGACGCAGGTTGTGGCGAACGTCATGAACTACTGGCGCGAGAAGGGTCCCTGGGAGATCGTCAAGAAATGGCGCAACGAGCCCTGGCCTGTCTACGGCAATAACGACGATTTGCTCTACAGTGTCGAGAGGGCAGGCGCTGGGTTGCTGGGCGTTATGAGGTACGGAGTCCACATGAACGGTTATGTCAAGGACGAGGGGAGCGCACATGGCATCAAGCTGTGGGTGCCGCGACGTTCGGAGACCAAAAGCAACTATCCGAGGATGCTGGACAACACTGTCGCCGGCGGACTGATGACCAACGAAGATCCCTTTGAGTGCATTGTCCGAGAAGCGGATGAGGAGGCCAACCTGCCGGAGACGCTGATGAGAGAGCACTGCAAGACAGCAGGCACCGTCGTTTACCTCTACATCACGGACGAGAGGGCGGGGGGAGAGAAGTATCTCGTATATCCCGAAACTCAATGGGTTTTTGATATTGAGCTACCTGTCGACACGATCCCGACGCCCAAGGACGGCGAGGTGGAGGACTTCTACCTATGGACCGTTGAGCAGGTGCAGGAAGCGATGGCTCGAGGAGAGTTCAAGCCAAACTGCGCCCTCGTTCTCATCGACTTCTTCATACGCAGAGGAATCCTGACGCGGGAAAACGAGCCAAACTATGACGAGATTGTCCGGAGGATGCACCGCAAAGTGCTGCTCCCGGGACCGCACCAGACTGCCAGACCGTCCATCTCTGTGTCATGAAGGCTCTAAAGTGCTGGCATGATCAAACTAAATATAGCACTTCTCGTACGCCTGAACGCCAGCTCCATGCACTCGTGCCTCTAGGGCCCTCTTTTTGATACCAGGTCCACCGTGCTCATGAATGCGATTACTGCAGGGTTGGGGCTCTCCATCCGTGGCTCTCCTTGACGTGATTATCCATCCACTCACGGAGTCTACCCCGACCAAGTTTCGCGGTCGTCCCGCAATGGATTCTAGGTCTATTTCTTCACAAGTAGATATGTGTTGTCGACTCGCAGGGGAAGGAGCTTCTTGCTAGGTCCCTCGAGCATCATGAGAAGGCCACCAAAGGAGACGTACGCCTTTCTGTTGCCCGGGTGATTAGTCTTCCTATCTCGTCGAAGCTTGCAGAGGGCGAGGCAAGATCAACTTACATCGACTGCCCATCCGCGCCGTCCTCGAACTTGTAGATCTTGCCATGGCAGACATAGTCGTACATGTCGGCCAGGGTGCTCTCAGCGCCGGCTTTGACGTCGCGCCAGCCTCTCTCTTCCGAGTCGCCCTTGCCGTCCAGGGACAGGTTGGTGGCCAGGACCACCTGCAGGGTCTCGCCCGTGCTGCAGGGGAACAGCTCAATGTTGACGTCCAGGGTCATCTGCGTCGCATTGTCGTTCGAGGTGGCCGTGATACGCGCGACACGGTCATACTTGCTCTGGTCGTAGTTGGTGATGACGAAGGTCTCCTCGAAGAGCTGTGCGTCGCCGGCGGCTGCCATGATTGAGACCGTGTGGAAGATATGCAGGCTCGAGTCGGAAACTATGCGAATGGTAGAGGTGCGGCTTGGTGGGACGAGTTGTGCGGTGAGGCCCTGGAATGCTGCTATGCTATCTCTGTCTGATCAACTTTTTTTTCTGAAGCCTGCAATCGAGTCCGGGTGCGGTGCGGGGCGGTGAATTGGATTGGGCACCGCGGCGGCGGGTTGGCGGGTTGGCGGGCTGGCGGGCAGAGGCAGGGGAAGCTTTCAGCAGGTGGTTCCGCCCAGTGCGGAATTTGTGTGGTGATCTGAGCCCAAAAACTCGGTGCCCCGCGATGCTCCAGCTCCGTGACGAAATCCACGACTTACAAACCCACAAACATGATCCAGTAGTAACTGTACACAGTCTTCCATATCGCCAGCGCGAAGTTTGCGGAGAGATGTCTTTCAGGAAGAGAAACACGGTGATCAATACCTCTGCCACAGCTACTGCAACCCAGACAAAGCCCGAGAATGTATCAGCTCCTGGCGTGAGGCCGTCACCCCATGACGGCCGTTCTACCACCTCCACGGGGACAGCCTCGCTGGACAGTCTGCTTGCCGGTCACTCGGGCTTGCCGCTGGGAACGTCTCTTCTTGTTGAGGAGCACGGGACCACAGATTTTGCTGGTGTTCTGCTCCGATATTGTGCCGCTGAGGGCTTGGTCCAGGGACATCAGGTTCATATGTTGGGAATGCACGAGGGTTGGCGAGCCGAGCTGCCAGGTGTCTCGACAGACTCGAAGACGTCTTCAAAGTCTGAAACTTCAGCGAGCGACAAGATGAAAATCGCCTGGAGGTATGAGAGTTTGGGCTCAGTAGGAGCTCCCAGAGGTCTGTTGTAAGTCCGGCCAGCAGTTTGAATTATTCAAGCTAACATCTTCTCCTAGATACACCACAGAAGTCCATTAATGCATCGTCCGGCTCTGGCACATTCTGCCATTCGTTCGACTTGACCAAGCGCTTGTCACCGGTCGACGTAAAGGGCCAGATTGGATTTCATCCCACCATGAGCATGCCAAGCCTGACCCGGCAGCCCCAGGGGCTCTCCTCCTCTCCGTTCAAGGTTTTCCTTGGGGATATTGCTGTCAAGCTGGCAAATGCGCCGCCCTCGGGGGTTCATAGAGTCCTGGTGCCCAACCTCCTCTCACCAACCCTGTATTCGAGCTCGGCCTGCCGTCCAGAGGAGGTCCTTCAGTTCCTGCACGGCTTGCGCGCTTTGCTCAGGCAATACCCAAGCAAGCTCGTTGCCCTCATCACCCTTCCTCTATCTCTATATCCTCGAACTTCGGGGCTTACACGATGGATGGAGCACTTGTGCGACGGTGTGCTCGAACTTATCCCTCTACAGTTGGACCCTGTCCATGCTCCTCCGCCAGACGCTAAGTCGGAATCTAAATCAGAAGAGAAAACCCAGGGTCTACTCAAAGTCCACAGCCTACCAATCTATCATGAGAAAGGCGGCGGCGGCACGGAGGGGCACACGGGCGAGGACATGGCTTTCAGCCTGAGTCGGTCGAGAGGACTCATCATTAAACCATTCGTCCTGCCGCCGATGTTGGAGGACGAGGAGAAAGAAAAGAACCCGGCATCGACTACCAGCAGTATCGACTTCTAAAGTTCTGGGGGTTTCTTCATAGCCGCTGTTACCCAGTACCTTCGGGACCGTTGGACACAGCAACGCAGACAGGACAGTGCAGGTGGGGCTGGCTCCAGGATTCGGCACTGTGACTTGGAGCTGGCTGGGCCCCACGCCCGCAAAATCAAAACGATTTTCTACAAAGTTTCTGCTTCGTGGGAAACATGATTCTTTCCCTTCACTACAAACATCTGCCGCAATAGTAAGTAAACCTCACCTCCTCACCCTGCTCTGACCGTGATTACACAAATTTATATCTGTCAATCCCCTGAAAGCGTACATGTTGACAAACTATTTCAATCCATTATATATGACCGTCATCCTCCATCATCATTTGCACAGTTGATCTGCTCTGAGCTCCCCCAGCTGACTCGCAAATAGGACTGGTATAGGCCCTAGCCATGGCTTCCGAGACCCCCAAGCTGCCCATCAGGATCTCCAAGGTCACTGACAGATACCTACTGTTCGACATCGACGATGTGATGTACCTGCGTCGAAACCACAACATATGCTCGCCCTTCGTCGGAACAATGCCCCAGGCGCCTTCGCAGAGTGTGTTCATGAGCTTGCCAATAGAACTAATGGCCGAAGAAGCAACGGTTCTCGTAGAAAAGGGCGTAGCATATATCGCTGATGACTCGGTGTTCCACCCGTCACGGATAGTATCGCCCGATGCAGCCTCTCGCAACGCCTACTTGCAGGACCTAAGAAGGGACGGCACGAGAGCTGCTGCAGCTGCGCGTGAGCTTGCGGAGTACAAGAAAGCAAATGCTGCCAGCAAGGGGAAGGGTAAGAAAAAGGACAAGAAGCTGGACTCCGGTTCTGCAATCGATAAGGATGGTCCAGTGTCCGAAGAGATCAGTTTGTTCGACTCATCTAGTACGAGAGAGACTAAACCCAAGGCTGAACCTCGCGCTCCTGACGTGTGGGCTGTCACACCTGCAACCAGTGGTGCTCTTCTGACCCCACCACCCGAAGAGGACACTTCCGCGCTCCTAGATGTTCCTGCTGGCTATCCGCTCTATGCTCACCTACATGAGAACGGGTACTTCATGATGCCGGGGCTTCGCTTTGGCTGTGACTACAACGTTTACCCTGGCGATCCGCTGCGATTTCACAGTCACTTCCAGGCGACGCATTACGCTTGGAATGAGGAGATTAGTCTGCTAGACCTCGTGACAGGTGGACGGTTGGGCACAAACGTCAAGAAGTCGTACTTGATAGGCGGAGCGATTCGAAGTGGCAATGACAAAGAGGAGGAAGCTGATGAGAAGGAATCACATGTCAAAAACAAGGCCAGTTCCAAGACGCCCGTCAGGGCGTTTAGCATAGAGTGGGCTGCCATGTAGTTAGCTTCCCCAATCCAGTCAATATTCTCGGACCTTGCTAAGATATCCTTGGAACCTTGATTGCATATAATGAGCTTTCAAGGGCCACACTGCACACCTGGAGACCTCCTACACTGTAACCGCCCACGAGGATAGAGTTCATGACGCTGACAACTTCCTGTTGTTTCTCAGTAGAACATCAAGAAAAGGCAATGCGTGTAAGTGGCGCTGCATATCTTATATTCCGGTTGTTGCTGGCCACAGAACCGACTGCGGAGTATTATGCGCCAGAAGGTAGGTACAAGAACGAAAGAGCGCGTGCCTGCTCCAGTGCGGCGGCACCAAGTATCCATATGCCTTTACAAGGTGAAAGAAAACCCAAAATGTCCGTCGCTGTGCTAGTAGAGTGGATATGTCTGTGTGATCGGGTGCCCAAGAACAAGAAACTAAACAGAAAAGAAAACCAATCCCTGGATCCGCCGTAACTCCTTGCATCAAACCAATTGCGCATGTACGCCTCCGGTAAGCCACGAGGTCTGCCGGAGGTGCTCCGTCTACGAAAAGAGGGAACCCCATTGCATCAAGTCTCGCTGAGACGACCGGGCTTGGGGCTTTTCAAGGCACATAGATCCTCGAGAAGCTGTTGACCTCACGGCGGCAGCAGACGCACTTGTCAAAATTGTTCATGGCCAGCGTGACACGGCACTCGTCGCAGAGACTGAGGCAGCGGCACGGCCAGACGATGACGGTGCGCGGTTCCGCGTGGCACACGACGCACTGGGGTCCGTTCTCGCCGAGCCCGGCCCAGGAACCCGTGTTGTGCTGCGTGCTCTCGGCGCCGCTGCCTTCCAGCGCGCCCCTCTGGTGTTGCGTGGCCGGCGTTGCGGAACGACGCGAGTTGAGAATGAGCCCTAGGAGCTCAGCCTCCTCGTCCGGCGACATCCGCTGGGGGCGGTTATGGTGAGGGTGTTTTGGTTTGAGATGTTGCGCATACTGCGAGCGCGTCATGATGCGATCGCTGCTGAGATGGGCGGCCAGCGTATGAGCCTCCTGCCGATCCTCGGGCGACGAAGGGTTGAGGAGGCGGGCGAGATCGCCCATAGCCATCGGGGTGTCAAATGGGGTCGTTTCTCTTGACGCGAAGGGAGAGCGCTGAGTCGGTGTTCGTTGGCCGCTGTCTAGGGCGGCATCATCGTCTTCCCATAAGTCCTGATCCTGATCTGTGCTCAGGTCGCTTCCAGCCACACTGTGAATCATGCTTGTTGTGTCCCAGTCGTCGTCGTCGGGATTGGGTTCCCATTCACCGCTGGTATCTATTGAACCCCAGACCCCACCATACTTCCAATGTTTGTACAACAGAGATTCGAAGTCTGCCTCGGGAAGTCCAGCTGTCTCGGGCGAGCCGCGTAAACGGCGGCGCATCTCAGCTTCAACGTCGGCGTTTTCGTCGTTACGAATCATATACTCTGTATCTCGGCTCCTAGAGCTTGCATGGCCCACTTCCCGCTCCTCTTTTTTGCCTGTTTTGGATCGCCGTGATAGCCAGAGTAGCACACGGGGTTGCGTCGTGATCCCTACGCCAGCCAGAGCTCTGAGCATGATCAGAGACGCCCATCGCAATATTAGCCGGTTGATATTCACAATGAACTCCATGGCCAAGATCCACCGAGAGCTTCGTTCCAGAGCTCCCACTCCGTCTCGAGGGCGCTTATCGCCTGTCCTGGACTTTGACAGCCTCTGCGCAGCCCGCTCCCTGGCATAGCCACTCGATGCTGAAAGTTGGCCGTCTTTCACAGGCACGAGTCCTATTGTTCCCATTTGATCATCACGGGAATCCCCAAGATTTGAGCCCGTCCACTGCATACGGAATTTCTCCAGCTCTCGGAACCGTTCTTCTTCCAGCCATGTGTGCTGCTTCAAGTTCACGCTACGGTTCTCCGTCAGGTAGACTGCTTCACTGGCCATGCTTATGACACCGAAACCTGTCCGTAGTAGAGCTGTGTAGAAATCCATCTCCCGAGTTATCCGGATGTCAGACAGCGCGATGTTGGCTTGCATGTTCTCGTGGGCGAGACGTAGTCGTTCTCTAAATGTTGGTTGCCGGCCATTTTCTGGCACCTCAGACGGCGAAAGAGCCGACACTGTGAGGGCTGCGCCATAAATCATTGCGCAGCTGAAGATGCCTGCAAATACCATGACATGAGGGATGAAGCCAATGATGCAGACAGTTGGAAACCTGAATAGCCCCATACTGGATGGATCATCCAGCGAGAAGTTGAATGCCTCCAGGACGATGCTTCCCATGAAGCACATGGCCCAGAAGCTGGTGTTGAGCAGTCGAAACTTTGCCTGAAGATTGAATACTCCCAGAACGTGGCTGGTGACGTGGCTCATGGCAGAAAGAAAACCAACGAGTAACACTTCGGGGGGTGTATTCACTCGTCTCATGATCATCGACCGAGATATGGCAATGCTAGGACCAGACCCCGGCGTGAACGTGACATTTGCATTGCTTCCGCTCGAGAACAGCCCCCATCCAAGCTGGTTGCTTATCGCGGCGTCGGCCTCGGCGAACGCCAGGGAATGCTCAAAGAGTGTCATGCCCGTCTCAACAGCTACCGTTCGGCCATTCAGAGCGCAGGACAAGGTCTCTAAGAAATGGCTCAAGCAGAAGGTTCCAAACAGGGGCCATAATAGGGACAGCGAGCCATGTAATTCGGCGGGATAGACCGAGTCACTCTCGGGAATCATAGCAACCGCCCGACAGGAGTCGTGGTCGCTGGCGCCCAGGAGCAGCGTCTGGCTGACCGTATGCAGATACCCGCCGGGTTGTGTAAACATCAGGTCTGAGGACTTGCTCGCGTTACCCCAGCGCAGCTCGGAAAAGTCGGGCGAGGTCTGACATTGTATCGACTGAAGCAGCTGTAGTGCTTGGTAGAGGAAGAGAACGATAGGGAGGAAGCGGAGGAGCAGGCGTACAGGCCACGCCAGTCGCAGTCTGCGCCTCGTCGCGGCGAAGATGTGCGTACGGTTCAGGATGATAGCCATGGCTACACAGCACAGCGCCCACTTGCTGGTGGCATAGCTGAAGACGCTCCCCAGGCCCTTGGCCCCTTCCATTGTGAATCGGGACGCGATGTCGGCGGGGTCCTGGTCAACCAAGTCGGCCACATTCGCTGCGGCAACGGATGCGTCGGCGGCGATGTTCGAGGTCGTGCTGCCGGCGGTAGTGAGAAAGATGCCCGAGCCTGTCGTGTCGGGAATCGCACGCTGGCCGAAGCTGTCCACAGCATCGGCATAGGACATTATGGAGCCGAGCTTGGTGAGCATCCTCGGTCCCGCAAGGAGCAGGTCTTCGATGGACGGGGCGTATCGCGAGACATTGACGGAATGCCTGAGGTGCTGCCACGTCCAGTGCGTGAGGTTATGGAACATGCTCGCATTGTCGAAACTGGTCGGAGCCGGGACCACGGCGGCGCCCGGTGCTGCCATGGCCGTTGGATGTCCAGGTGGTGCTGGATGGCAGGCAGTGAAAGCGAAGCGATAGGGGAGATACCACTGGCTGTCGGGCTAAGCCAAGCAACGGCGGTCGCGGGGTGTCTAAGTCCGGGGAAAGCTAGGGGCTCCGACTCGGTGTGCACATTGTCGAATCAGGCCTCCGTCAAACCTCTCAAGACGAGCTCTGCGGAGTTGGGGGTAAATACAGAGCACGATCCAGAGGCACGGTGTTGTCGAGAGCGTGGTCGGACGGATTCAAGGGAGCTCGCGTGAACTAGTTACTAAGTGGGATGAGGTGATAATCCCCGAAGGAAGCTCCGCCCACCTCATCTGGGCCTCGCCCGTAAGTGCCGGCCCAAACTTAACAACAGCGAGATACCGGGCAACCCGGCACCTGCTACGTCTTGACCAGAAGGGAAACATTTCACATGGCACAAGACATTCTTCTACACAATCTCATAAAGAACCAACGGGGTCCTGTGGGAGACACGCATCTCTTGATTGCATGTGAAGCCGGTTCGCGGGGCTAGTCTAATGGCCTACCCCAGCTGGAGACCAGTTCATAGACGGCAAATCTCTTTCGCCTCCGAATGCCATGGTCCCTACAGCAGCCACCCGGCCCCCCTTGATCATTCATGTCAGAAGTCGCCTACTAGGCATACAACGCTTCCCTGTCCCTCTAGGTCCGCTAGGTGTCATCCTGTAGTATACCGTTGCCACGCATTCCACGAGACTCTGGCAGATCTGAGCTCTGAGCGTCCAATCCCGCGCAGCCCGTCCGGCGTGTTCCTAGCTGGGACGCCTTGCTCTCGAGGTATTTTCTGACACTGTTCTACATGGCAATCTGCCTGTGCCTTAAACGACCGGGCATAGGTCGGTGCTGGGGCAGATAGCATCCTTTTCGATGTGACTGGCGCCACGAAGTGTCAGGACTGAACCTGCTGACGGGTTGATTGCTGGGACCTCAAGTAGTATTCTGAACATTTTTAACCGTCTCGTTGAGGCCCTGAATGACAACCCGATTCGCACTGCGGCAGGCTATCAGACTCTTCTCTACCATCTTGTTGTAGAGGAGGATATCCGCCCCCGGTAGTTGCCCCTTGAACCAGACATTCGTAACCTCGTCCCTTGTGGGTAAGTACGCAACACAACAGGCTGCATGTATCTTTTGATTCTCCGCTACAACCGGGTCCACGACGATGACCGGCTGTGCAGCGTCGTCCCTGGAGACCAAGGCCGCAACGCCTCCGGCTACGGTGTCGACGCAGTCAATGCCTGCGTCCGCGATTGCCGCCGAGGCCACGGTTATACAGCCACTCAGCACGTTCATCATGTCCCAGCCCTGATCGTCCTCGTTATGCGGCGCATCGCGATCCTGGTCCCCCTCGATGATGGTAACAATAATGTCGACACCGCTCTTGGGCCACCGGTCTGCTATGATTGCTCCTCGCAAGGCCGTCTCCAGGTGTACGCCCAGGTCCCTCTCACTCGAGTCTCGAAGGTAACCATGCCGTTTCCTCGTAGCGAAGGGCGCGTACTTGACGTGGGTCGTAAGAATGATATGGGGGGAGAAGGGTGCTGATCGTGGGAGCGCTCGCGGGCCATGCACGGTACATGCTAGCTTTAGGCTCGTCTTCTGCGGGCTCGTCTGGTTCGGGTTCTCGAGCTCCAGGTACGCCGAGCCTGATGCCGAAGGAGTGACGCCGGTCTTGAGAACTGTACGTGAACAGATTAGCAAGGAGGACAAGCAGTAGGCATGGCGGGCGAGAGCCCAGAAGCGGTCGGACACCCCACTACATACATATCTTTCGCATGGCGGGCTGTTGCTTCGCAGCAGGGCGTTTGGGGACAGCCTCGTACACCGGCGGTGTTGTGGCCCCGATGGGGCCATTTATGCGCCTTCTGTCGGCCATGATCTGCAGGATTGGGCTTCTGGCTGAAGCTGGGGAGTCGTAGCTGGATGCTGAGAGCTGGTGATGATGCTGCAGGTGCTTTGCTGCGCTGAACTTCGAAAATTCAATGGGCCCGACAGGGATCACAGAGCTAGCCCCACCCAGCTTGCAAGCTCGCCCGCCCAGGTGCGCACTGGCCAGCACTTGTGGACGACATCTCACAATTTTTCTGGCCTTTGAATTTTCAACCCTTCTTCCTCCTTCATCACGCTCACAACCGAAGCAGCACACCATGGCTCTTCCTGCAAGCAACCGCTGGCCGCCAGCTCGGATGGACTCTCGAGGCTTTGGAAGCTGATTTGATTCGTCTTGTACCTCTCTGATATGTGAGGAAGTCTCACCTCTGCCGGCAGACATCGCTTGAGAGATTCGTCCGTGGCTGGCTGGCCAGCGGTCTTGCCCTGCTCGTGAGTGCAGGAAGTTGGGTAGCAAACCCCTTCTCTCCAAGTCATTGATCGCTATGTCTACTAAGTAAGTCAGCTTAAGTGCTTCCCTTCCCCGCTACTGATGATTTTGTTTCCACAGTTCTTAGCGATTTCTCTATGAGCGCAGAACAAACATGCATCACCATCTGAAGCATCCACCCTATCACATATTCTTTGGAGTGCCTTGGTTCATTGCCAACTAACTCTTATCCAGCAATAGCATGGCTCGTTGCAATATCTCACGGCCTCTGCCACCATACACAACTCTTCAGTGGTACGTTTTCCGAACTAAATTTTTTGCTTCAACCCCAGTCCAATCAATGTCCATGATGAGAAAAATATCAATCAGTTCTGCTTCTGAAGCACTGTGAAGATAACCCTATACCAATACCAAAAACTCTGATACATCCAATCAAAACTCCTCTCGTTGAATGTTGCTCTTGGGCCTTTGACTAACTTGGGGAAAAGAACAGCATGCATCCTCGACAGAAGAGATCTGGTTACAAACCTGCGCACCTAGGTAAGCCGAGACATGCAATGCAACAACCCACCTATTCCATCTGATGAAACGCGTTTATCCATTCAACTATCTCATCGAAGCCGAGTCACCCTCCCGCACCGTAGTTGTTCTCGGACATCGATGATTGGTTGTGGAGTTGTCTTCGGATGTCATGTAGCTTCAGTGCGTTGTATTTTCAAGCACCGTCTTGGGGTTTGGAAATGCAGTGCCGGCTTTGGTGAATGAGTAAAACGGCTTTCTGATTTCTGGAGCCTCATCTCTTGTCAATGCAGAACAAGTGCTGAACACTGCTGACTGGGATGTAGATCATAACGGCCCAACCAGATCTACTGAGTATGAACTGTAAGTAAGTAGATTCTGACTCTCGTCAGGTCTGTAGTACAAGGTGCCATCTACCACATTTTTTTCTTGAATGCTCTATAGGTCAATATACAATGTTCTATCAAGTTGATCTATGACTTCCTGTGCACCGTAGTGGCCCCTGCTTGGTTCTTGTGATAAATCAATGTGTCGGCAATGACAACGTTCTCCCTCCTCCCAGCTGTGAAAACCACGACCTCGGCAATATCCTCAGGTGTCAATGGCTCAACGCCGCTAAAAGAGCTTCAGTATAGATCAAGGAGACTCGGGTTGGAAGGTTACTCACGCATAAACGGCATCTGCTTTCGACTTATCACCACCGAAGCGGACGACGGAGAAATTCTGGAACGCAAGTCAGTCTGCATCAAGGGTAGCAACGATACGTTCAAGCTTACCGTCTCAACTTGACCGGGATCGATCTCAATAACCCTGACGTTTGATGCAACGGTCTCCTTCCTCAGACTCTCGGTGAAGGCGCGAACTGCGGATTTCGTGGCGCAATAGATACTACCACCGATATACGCCTCACGGCCAGCTACGCTACCAATCATGATGATGTCGCCCTTGCCTCCATCGGGCTTTGCGAGGAAGATGGGCAATATTGCCTGCGTCATGTTGATCAGCCCCGTCACATTCGTCGCAAACATCTCATTGATGTCCGCCTCGTTGATCTCGGGTGCCTTGGCGACGCCCTTGACCATGCCGCTGTGTACTTTTGTCAGCTATACAGACGTCTCCGGTCATTCGTGGAAAAGCCACGCCTTGTGGCAGTGAGAACCTACGCATTGTTGACGAGGACGTCGATGTCCTTCCACTCGGCCGGCAGCTTGCCGACGAAGCCGCGGATCTCGTCGGCGTTGCTGACGTCGAGCTGCACGGGCAGGACCTTGACGCCGTCGCCGACCTCCTTGGCGATCTCGGCCGCGAGCTCCTGGAGCGAGTCCAGCCGCCGCGCCGTCACGATCAGGCGCAGGTCCTGCGGCGACGTCCGCGCGAACTCGAGGGCCGTGGACCGCCCGATGCCCGAGCTGGCGCCCGTGATCAGGATCGTCTTGCCCGAGAGGCGCTTGGCGACGGCCGACGACATGGTGCGCTGCTGTGTGGAGCGGGTGATGAGCCGGGGAGCGTAGCTAGAGACAAGATTACCGCTGGTGTGAGGACGTCGGGCGGCGTTGGTGCTGGTGGTGATGAATTGGCGCAGGGGGCAGAGCGTCCTTCTTGGGAAGTGCATGTGCGTGCAGAGCAGAGGGACAGAGAGGCGAGACTACTTTATATAACCCCGTACTGGTCGTCACGGCAGCAGACAGGGCAGACTATATGGGTCCGGCAAGAGGAGAAAGGTCACTCGCGAGAGATAGGTCTGGCTCAATCTGATTGCTCGACGGCGTCGGGTGGAGGAGTCTATGTCCGGTTTTCCTGCTGCTGGTGGTCAATCACAACCCGGCCCAGGATGATGCCATCCCGGCCTTTGCGCCGAGCGTGACTACGACTAGCCAAGTACCCCGCCGCGCAGTTTGCTACCCCGCGACGTTACTGTCCGCCCGTCGGAGAGGACGCGCTCTCACGGGCCAAGCTTACTTACAGACCACAAACTGCTATACTGACGCCAGTTTTAAATGCTGATTCTCGAATGCTCAAAGACTCAATTTCCCAGGTCGTTTCTCACTAAATGAACCATCTTTTGACATACATACAGCTGCAACTTCATTATCTTCGCCTGCTAGGGGCGATGGAGTACATACCCTGGGGAGTCATTCGGAAAGTCGATTACACAAGGCTTGCAGCAATCGGATACTTATCCGATCGGTCCTGGGTTAGACAGCCGGCACGTTGCTTGGCTGCCGGCAACTGCCTCTCTTGCTTGGACCTGGGGAACAATTGCACGAGTCGTGCTGCACTAGACGAAACATGGAGCGAAGGAGGAAAAGCGCTCTCGTTGGAGCATTGCAAAGCGTAGATCACTATACGTTGTATTTTGGTCTCACTGCCTACCCCCTAAGAGGGTTGTAGTCAGCTTTTCCCTGTCCGAAGCCCCGACTTATTCTCAGCTCCACTACACACTTCGGCTAAGCCGTAACTTACCCTCTTCCGGGCAAATTATGCCTATGGCCAGGGCAAGCCAAGACAGACTTTAGCGCAACGTGAAATATCATGCATTAAGTCGCCAATGTTCCAGATATCACTTATCCGAGTATTCGGTTGTGTAGTGTAGCGGTTAGCACGTGGGATTTTGATTCATCAAGATTTCCTGAGACCCCGGTTCGAGCCCGGGCACGACCTGCTTTTTGTTCCAGCGCCTCATCTATGCGTCGGTTTATCCTGTCTGAGCTTAGACTAAATCCTCGCGTCAGTGATATTGTTTTCTTTTTGGTCGAGTGAGAATAACAGCCTTGCAAACTATTGCAATACTAGAATAACCCCGACCATGATTGGTATTAGGGGTATAGGGGCATGCTTTCTTTACCGGATTCACGATATATCTGTTGTAGATGTGTGAATGCAGCTTTCAAAAGCTGTGTGCCACCCGCACAACTTTGAGGGTCGTATCGAAGATGATGGTAGCGGTAAACAGTGTCACAAAAAGCTGTGTATTATAGCTAGTATTTTATCTATGCCCGGTTGATAACCTCGTGGCAAACTATGCAACCGCGTGGGCTGGATTTCGACTCTGTGTACTTCAAGGTATAGTCGCTGAGCCGCCTCCAACCCAGAGGATAAGCAGAGAGCACATAGCCCTTCATGCTCGTCGTTTTCTGTTGTTGAACTGGCGCCCTACTGCTCAACGCAGGTGGGAAAGCTCATGGACAGACCCGCAATGGCTGGGAGTAGGCCGTTGCAACATCAGACCCTCCCTGGGCCAACCTTTCATGGCTGCCGCTTGCTATGCCGGACCGGGCGGGTACACTGTGGCAGCCACGAGCTCGTTCTCCGTTTCATAACTGTCGTAACCTTGGGGTATCATTCAACCAGACGCCTTGCGCTGCTGTCTCATCTTCTCCAACTCAGCTTCCATCTTTGCCATCTCCGACTCCTCAAACGCCTTCGTCTCGGCCAGCTTCTTCTGCTGCTTGTTCCATTCCTTGTAGTTTTCTTCGTCTGTCCTGCCCGCTTCACCATCGTCGGGAATCCAGGAGACAATCTCAGCCGGTTGCAGAAAGCCTCTGGCGTCGGCCTCGACAATGGCCTCGAACAACTTTGTGCCCATCATTTCGTAGCCTGCAGTCACTGGGTGCATACCTAGATATTCAATATCAGTACAGCTGTGATAGAAAATCTACGAACTGCAGGCTGCAAGTCATCATCGTCTCCCATTGGGAAGTGCGGTGGCGATTGAGATGCGGGAGACGGGTAGCAATAGACACTTACCATCCTCTGCCAGATTCTCGTCTTGGACACCGTCCGGTCCTTGCATTTCAGCCAAGACCACGGGGAGGCCTTGCTTCTGGTAGATCTTTGCCAACCTTCGGATTTGAGGATTGACCCTGAAGACATCTTCCCGCCCGTTGAAGTGCTGGTCCCACGTTGGCAGCAACGTACCCAACACCAAGGTGGTCTTGTGTGATGCCATGAGGAGATATTGGATCAGGTTGTCGTAGCGCTTGTAGAAATTGTCTATATCAACATGCATCAGACAGTCATTGGTCCCTGCGTTGACAAGTATCACGTTCGGCTTGCTCTTTTCCACGATATGCGTGGCCATCTCATGGATAGTGTCGACCCGAACACCAGGCCCGGCCGTTATATCATTGTCGGTCATGTTTCCAAGCCGGTCAGTGCCCACGAAGTTGACCTTGTGGCCCAGCGCAGTGAGCCGTTGCCGAAGAGGTCGCCGGAAGCCATTGTTGTCAACCTCAGCCGGGCTGTCTCCGCGTGTGGTCGAAGCACCCAGAGCCAAAATGCGCAGAGGAATTCCTTTGGCAAGCGGGAGCTCGTAGCCCGGACGTTTGTACCCAGTATAGGTAATATGAGGGCGTTCGGTTAGAGAGCTCGTATTCGAATGCGCCAGTGATGAGTTCGCCGGGACATGGCCGACATGTATACCGTTCAGAGTGCTCGGCGAATGTGTATCGGTATCGACAACGAACCCTGACATAAGCATGCCTATTCGAGCGAGCGCGAGTTAGATCATGTAATGCACCATTAGTTTTGGCGGGCATGAGCGCATTACGTACCCAAGATCACAAGCGGTATGCCTATGGCAATGAAGAAGCGCCTCCTCGCCACGATCATCTCGAAGTATCGGTTTGCGCGAAGCGACCACATCACTCTGCGAAGCATGTCGCCTACATCAAGACGGGGACCACCCCCCGTATAAATTAAGCCCAGGAACCAGAGAAACGGTAAAGGGATGTGGAGAATCCGATGGGACGCGAAAATCCGCAACCAATTCAGCAAACTTGGGAGTCCACAACCGGGTCCATCTGGCGATCAGCGGAATGGAAGGTGCCTGGGATGGTCTCTCTCACGCCAACATCTTGCTAACTCTTTCGGGTTGCCTGCACCGTGATGATTGGGAGACGTCGGTTGGAGAGGGTTCCTTGTAGCCAAGTGACGACAAGATGCTGACGCCGAGACAGCGATTCAGCGGGAAACGGAGAGCGTCAGGCGTACAAGAAACGGAGGGCAGACACTTGAGAACGCGACCCGGCGGGTTATTTTTTTTCATGGCGATCTGCGATGCCGCCCTAACCGTGCCAAGTGCCAAGAGTCCAAGGAACGCGGCCGCCTTACCACGCGGCAGCTCACTTCGGCGGCGAGGGAGGGCCCTGAGGGCATTGCCAGAGGAGGCTCTGTCTGATTCGAGCTAGGGGCTCATTTGCGCGAGCGATAGGCGGGCAACGGGGCAACAGGGCCACGGGGGAAAGACCCAGATTTTTCCAAGAGGAAATGTAGCGCTCATGCAATAAGGCCGGCCAGATAAGACGTCGACTCCGCTGGGTTTCTGAGAGGCGGTCCAGCCCGGAGCCTATCGCCCGAACCCAGCAACTTACTTCAGCGGGTCGCGTGACCACTCTAAATGCCATAAAGATAAGGTTAGTTACCCAGCAATGCAAGTCCCATTTTCAGGAACGTGCAGTGCCAGACTGCTCGCTCGGTCCAGCTGCTTATACCATGGTATCTACTTAATTAGCAACCGAGGCCCTGAGACATCATGGTCCGACCCTATACTGTGTCGCATCCGAGTCAGAATCCATTGGCGCGAGTTTCGTATGCCGTGCTTGCCGTGCGACCGTCTGCTCCAAGTGACAACCACTACGCAAACGGATGGAAGCTTCTCCCTGCGATGTGATGACGCGGTCGGGTTGTCTTAACCTGGCATATTGAAAGGCCTGTTGCCAGGAAGATCGAGCTAGGCAGCCAATGGACCAGGATCCTTACGGCACGTGCAGATTGGTGACGACCAAGCCCCAATTCCTGGTGTTTCAACTCTAACTTGCCGACTTGCCGTAGTCACGTTACTGGCGCCCAATGATGACTGGAGAGCCAAAGTGTATAGTGAGTTTTCCATTTTAATGCGTCTTTCCACTTTCTATTTAATGTAGTAGTAGTTGCCGCAACTATATGCGTGATAAGGTAAAGATACCAATTCTATAAAATGGCCGACCAGGTGTTGTGGCATGGAAAAGACAAATAATGTCGCGGCCGTTGGCAGATCTACGACTTGCGTGTTCTGATTCTGTTTTTAATCCAAACCTCCAGTTTGACAAAGAATAGCAGTGCGGTTGCAGCTGCACTCTCCACGGATGGACCGAACTTCCAGACACACCCACCCCTTCAGCACTAGGTCTGTTGCAGAGCTGGGCGAACTGCATCGCGTGGGTTACGGTTTATTTGATTATTACATCCGCTGGCTGTTCACCTATTTTACTTAGGCGAGGCATGCCCAGGGAAACGAGGAGGCTACGACGAAACTGAGTATGAGTACGTCCAGAATCAGTCATTCAATATTGATTAATGTGACCTAGTATTGCCATGAGCTTAGACATTAGAATTCAAAGCTAATAAGAATCCCAGCTTTCGCAGCCACGAATCAAGAGCACTGAGCCATGATCAGCACTTAGTGAGGATCTTGGCCGAGCAGGCTCTCGTGATGTAATAGTCCGTGACATAGTCGCCCTTGCCCGTGCCCGAGGCGATCTTGTTCCAGAGGCTAGAATCGTTCGGTCAGCACGTGGTGATCATACCAGCAGCAACGAAACCCGTATAGCGCGGGTGTCTGACTCACTTGTTGCCGTTGATGGTCTCCCCGGTGGTCCAGCAAGAGAAGGACACCTCGGTGCCCTTGGCACCGAACTGGCCGTCGGCCGGCGAGTCGGTGGTGGGCCGCTGGCGATACTTCACATCGCTACCCGTGAGGGCGCAGGTGGTGGCCCGTTTCTCGATCTGCGCACCCTCGACCTCAGGCTTGGGCTCGGGCTTCGCCTCAGGGACGGGGTTGGCAAACGCCAGGAGGGGCAGAAGGGCGAGGACGAAGCTGGTCTTCATGGTGACAGCGGGTTGACTGGACAATAGGATAAGTCTTGAGCGGGCAGATGAAGTTCGAAGCGGATGGGTCGATGTGAGGGATAAGCAAAGACGTGAAGACGGGAGGAGAACATGCCTTTTATCTTTTTCGCGTGATCCCCTCTTCCACTGAAGGCTTCATCGTGGTCGGGCCTGGCGGTGTGAAAGCTCGCATCTGGACCTTCACGCCCGCAGGCCGATGAGGCCTTGTACGGTAAGCCAGGCGTGTTGCCCGAGACAATAAAGGCGCGATCCAGAGAAGGCGAACTTAGCGACCGGTATACCTGTGAGTAATTAAACCCAAAATCTGCTCAACCCTATACGTTTGCGCCACCATGCGATGCATCCCCGTTAGTAAGCCAATCAAAACGTTACAGTTATGAAATGAAGGCTGAGCTGAAGCTATATTTCCTTTCAGCTGGTAAGCCCGGACGGTTGAAGGTCCCGGGCAAGGCTGCTAGTCTAGAATCTTTACTAAATATATACCAAATCATACTATACCGCGGGTACAATACCCCCGTGGGGGCCGTATTTTCAACTAGCTCCTAAATTGGCAATAGGCTCCTTTGCAAAAGTTCTATACCAAACGACTTGATTTGCTGCCTAATGCCTGTGCGGCTGTGCTTACTTACATGTAGAAAATCCACTCAACCCTGGCTGTATTTCGCAGGCACACTACATGGCCACGAGACAAGCTACTAGAAAAGCCAGGCCTGGACGTCACAATGGGACTTGACGCATAGTCTGATTTTGAGAAAGCGGAAGAACTGGCAACAGGTAAACCACTCCGCAAACGAATAAGTGGTGAAAACACTGTGTAGGCCGCACTGAGAAGGGCATCGAGGAGGAACAACTACGATAACGGCGTATTGGTTTATAGTGAAAATTTCCGAGGCATAATACAATCAATAAAACGGCCAAAATCAACAGGGGGGATACATAATGGCCGGGGAACAGAGAAGATGTTTTAGTCGAGGCCACAAGTGGAGATGTAAATAAAAATAGATGTTACTAGTCATCATCAGGACTAAACACTCATCCAATACTAGGCCGGTACCATAGGGCACGAGAAGACAGCCTACCAGTCATGCAGAAGCACGCGACAGGGAGTAACTATCCTGCCATTAGCATGCCCAAGCTGTAGGCCGGCTCCGTCGTCCTCAGCAACCCTTGAAATCGAGTTTACTCACCAGGGACGTGATGCCTTACCACGGCAGTAGAGACGCAGTTCCGCGTCAATTACTCCAGGGGCAGCTCTGCCACACCGTTAGACTTGCAAATACTGAGACATTTGGCAGACTGGTCAAGGAAGAGACGCGTTGATGGTACCAGTCGCAACGTTGTAGCGGCTGGAGTTCAATAGTGAAGCGATTCAGGAAAAAAAGCTTCTCGACGTTGAGTGTCAAACATCATGGCCTGAGGGGTGAGTCAACTACGTTCGGAAGTCTCAAGAATAAGAAGATGGGCATCAAAATACAGCGTCATGTTGATACAATCAGGATATCTAGAGTACAGTCATCAATATGAAAAATAAGTCCTACGCCGCGCATGCAATGGTCTTGTCTTGCCTTGCTAGTGGAAACCCGTTCCTTTGAACTCGTATAACACTCCGTACGCCTCACCTATTTCTATCCGGCCCTTAGCTGATGAAGCACAGGCATCCCAGCCCGACATAGAAGACGAACAACGGGTAGACGGCAATGCCAACCCTGTTCTGGACGACGCCGCTGCCGCCCAAGATGCTAACACCGGCGGCGATAGCCCAGGCAACCAAGACGATGTAGACCGGGATCCTGGCTACAGTGGGGAGACCGAGGGCGGACCCCAGTGAGGCGAGGACGAGTGGGAAGAGGGTGTAGCCAATGATACACACACTCTGTGCGAATGAGCTAAAAGGTAGTCAGCACAACTTTGTCCATCGTCTCCGTTTCCTACTCTGGGTTCCGTGGACCAGGGCGCCGGGCGTGAGACTCACATATTTCCTCCCAGCAGCTTGATCTGCAGGGTGACGACGGCCTCTCCGATCCAGACCATGGCAAAGACGCCGCTGAAGACGACGTCTTTCTGCTCGGGCTGGGCGCGGAAGCTCAGCAGGACGGCCAGGAGCAGGCAGAAGATGAGCGGGCCCCACATGTCCCAGTCGCGGAGGCCGGGGGTCATGTTGTTCTGGCTGAGCAGGGCCTCGGGGTCCATGACGCGGCCGGCGAGGCTCTGGAGCTCCTCGCGGGCGCCCGAGAGCCCGGCGCCGCGCAGGTTGGCGTAAGCGCCGCGCAGGCCCTCGGACGACTCGAACATGGTGCCGCCGAACAGGTAGCGCGGCCACAGCACCTCGCGCATCTTGGACCACACGGCCAGCAGGTCGCGGCGCAGCGTCTCCCACACGGTCTCGTCGATGGTGTTCTGCGGGGCGCGGCGGTCCTCGCCGGGGATGCGCGACGTCAGATAGCCCTCGTTCAGCGGGTGCGCCGACGACGACGAGCCGATGTTGCCGGTCAGCGGCTGCCGCGAGGACTGCTGCTGGGACAGCGGGTCGTCGAAGTCGTTGAGATCGGCTGGCCAGAGGGTGTAGGGGTTAGCTCAGACTGCCGAGCGGGTCCAGATGATCCGCGGGAAAGGGGGAAGGGGGATGTGGCCGCTTACCATCATCGGGGTCGATGAGGTCGTCCTCTATCTCGGGAGAGTGGTACTGATGGGTGGACGAAGCCATTACTGCTGGTGTTGCTGGTGTTGCTGGTGCCGCTGCCGCCTGCCTGCCTGCCTGTCTTGGAGTTTCCAGGTTGGGTTCGTGCGGGTTCGGTGCAATAGGTGGTCGGAAGAGTATGGCGCGCAGTGTCTTCTACGCCTCGGGCGATTGCCGGCCGGTTCTGACAAGAGGCTGTCTTCTGTTCTGGGGTTTGCTGTTGCTCTCAGCCAAAGCTGGTGACAACTTTCCACGGTATCCTCAATTGAGGTTGAACAGGGAAAGGTCCAAGCTCCTTTAGCGTGGCTTAGCTGGCCTTCCAGCAGTCGGACAGCCCAGCAGGCCAGGCAGCTAATAGGTACCCAGTCTCCCACCTGCAGTCTCCCAGTCTCCCAGTCTCTCAAGCCACAATAGGGGGCCCCTGGTTGCTTTGGCTGGCAGCCCCCCAACCTGGGGTACCAAAGCAGTTTGTCTTAACCCCCCTGTCTCTTTCTCGGGGACGGGGAAGTTCTGCGCCATCAGCGAATCGCTTTGATTCCGAACGTTGTCTAAAGCCCCACAGTCCCCAAGTACAGTCAGTATGCACCCGAGCGAGGTTGAGCATCTACATCATAAGACGTCCGACCTTCGACAAATCACCCGAATACTGGGCACCATAGTGCTGGGCCTAGGTATATCAGTCGAACTTGGGACCCTGATGCTATCCCCAGAGTGGCAACTCGATCACTCACTTACGTATTTGGAGGAAGTTCGGCTGGGCTTCGAGAACACACCTCCGCCCGAGAGCCCCTACGTCTGGTACACAGCGAGCAGTGCAGCCTTCAATATTCTTCAAAAACATTCTCTGCGTATCTTGACCTTGAATTCCCAGGCCATGTGTCAAGCACATCTCAATTGCTATGTGCAGGTGATCGTGATCACATTTCAACTATTATCAGCCCCGCATGGCTTTTCCGTCGTTCCATATCGAACAGACATAATAGAAGCTCACATAGCATTGCTTGGTCCTAAAAGAGCAAGTGAATTATTTCGCCAACGCCATGCCCAATCCTAACTTGGCGGGTCTCACGTCCAACCCTCACATGCCTCCACCCCTCGGAAATATACGAATGCCAGCCTATCCAAGTCCCTCGGTTCAAGTTGCTCATTGCCATAGGTTCCGGGAAGAAGGTTGCCCGTCCTCGGCATTTGATGGTTGTGTGGTAGGAATGCCTTGGTTGCCGTTGTGTTGCTGCGCTTCATTTGCACCTGCTTCCGCCCAGGGTCCCTGCGCTGTATATGCCTCGCTCCTAGGCAACATGTGAGACGAGTATTGTGGCTGCTGATATATTGGCCCCCCAAGTCCGTGGCCATCCTGTCCGGCATTCGTCCAACTTGAGTGGGAGTACGACTGGGTGGTCGTGCTTGGCCCCGCAGTGGCGATGCCGTAATGGTCCGCTCCCGCAAACCCATCCATATTCATGCCAGTCGAGTGGGCGATGCCTTTGCCTTTGCCATCGCTGATCGCCGGACGTGACCAACGCCGGCTTGCTTGGTTTTCGGGGCCTAGGTAAGATGTTTTTCCCGCATTCGGGTCCCAGATAGGCAGCCCATCTGGCTGTGCTTCACCCTGGGGGATTCCGTGGCAATGGCTGGCAAGATTGCCATTTATGCCAACCAAGGCCCAAGCAAACACGGCAACATCCCGAATCGACCGCATGAGTTGGTCCACCGGTGGTCCGCCGGCTGCCTTGACATGCTCCTGCAGCGGCATGTACTCAGGTAACAGGGGTGGGCTGAAACGGTGGTAGTTTTCTGGCGGATAGTAAGGCTGGATCGGCTGCTCGCCCCAAGGTGCTGCGAATAGACCGTTCTGGAAGCCGGTGTGCAGCGAGGGCGGGTAGGCCGTTGGGATAGGGGGTCGGGCTCGTCGAAGAATCACGACGAGCCCATCCGATGTGCATGAGACAACGGCCTCTAACTCGAACGTCGCTATCGGCTCTGGACGATGCGCGTTGCCGTTCTGCGCACCTTGATCTGCAGCCGGCTGCGGGGGCGATTGTCCCGAGTGAGAGGCCTGGTATGATAAACCCTCCGGGACAACACCCACTGGAGCACCTGATGATGCTGATGACTCCCCAGTGGCCGTTTGCATAGGCTCCGCTGACGAAACATCAGGACTCCTCGGTTCTGTCTTGACCACGGGCTCCTCCGAGTCAATGTCCATTGGAGTTGCGAGCTGCGCACCACCGTCTGAGTCGCTGCTGCTGGGACTGCCTCCGCCCGCATGGCCATCTACCTCACCATCCTCCTCAATACCAAAATCTTCCAGTGTCCTAGGATCGCGGAACCAGAATCGAAGGTATGCGATGGAATCGTTAGACTTTGCGCTCTCCAGGCACCTTACGGCATCTGCAAGGCAATTGTCTGCTATACATTGGTAGAAGCTTTTATTCTGAAGCTGTTCTGGCCTCAAGCCGAGGATTTGAGCAACAGCATCTGTCGCATACATGATCGATAACGGTCTTGTGAATCTGTTGAGGATGAGAGCCGCACGGGGCTCTCGTTCCACTGGAGTCATCTTGAATTTGGGCGAGAGGTGCTCCAACATGTGGTAACGAGGGTCTCTCGGTGAGCTGGAGAAGATACGGCGAATCTGGGGTGCGTCAATCGCCCGTCCTGGGGAGTCATCAGTATGTGAGCGGCCACCGCGGGTTGTGCAGAATATACATACTCTGACTCTTGGATCCCCGCCTGTAGATGCTTGTACATGCTACCAACACATCGTGGACGACGGTAAAGCAGCACTCGCAGCTTATCCACTGGCCATCTCGGGATTGCACTCGTACATAATGAAGTGACGCGGCTTTATCCAGCCGAACACCCCGACTGTGAACCGTCCTTGCAAATGGTACTTCATCTGGGTGGAAGTAGTCGAAGCATGATCTGCCTTGCACCTCGTGAGGTTGGTAACCCAATATTTCAGCGATAGAGTCCGAAGAAAACAATATGTTGGCTTCAGCTGATAGATCTACGAGCCAAGAGACGTATTAGCTGGCTTGAGGTAGTCCACTAGATCTTTCTCCCTCCTGACGCGTGTTGCAGTCAAGGTGAAGGAATCAGATTACAGGGGTGGGGATACTGACTATGAATGGTCATGAAGGTGTGTTCCATAGTTCCAAAGTGTTCCTCCATTTTGTTACAAACAGTGGCGGCTTGACTTCCGATACAGAATGATTCGATGCGCCTAGATGAGGTGAACCGCTGAAGTCTGGCTGCGAATGCTGATTGAAATTGACAAGGTGCTTTGTAACCTCCCCAATACCAAACGTCCTCTGATAAGGACAGTGATGGACTGGGATATATTCTGGAAGTGGTGCTTTTCGCAGCTGCTCGGCTGTCTAGCACCGTTATGGAAGAGCTCTGGACGCGCAGGCCAACAATATGTCTCTGGATAGCCGAGTGTCGTATGACATAGATGCCGCCGTCACCGTCAGAAAGGTTTAGAAGTGCCACAGACTACCCAACGAGCAGTCTCGTGCAATGTGATACGATGGCGAGGAGATTGAAGAGACGGCACTTTGCAGCAGAGGCCACGGAAGTTTGGTCAGCTGCTTCGCTCCAGACGTTGCTATCAAGGCCGCCGATGAGCTGTTCCCTAGTTGCACGGCGTTCCCCGTTGCCCGGTTCGCTGCAGTCGAGAATGGAACGTGTGTGCAATGCAGCTGGCAAATGGTAGCCAGTGAGGGACGGGGCCGTAGGAGGAGGCAACGTAGGTGATAGGAGTAGGAAGCCGTACGGGTTTATGTAGGAACAGGAACGCGCGGAAGATCAGACGGGTGCCATGCGGCAGATGTTTTCAAGTGTGAATAAACAGCGACTAAAGCTACGATAGCAACTGACGGTGCCAACTTCGGACCAGGCGAGGTGGGAGGGAAGAGAGTTGCCTGGCGGGTAGTGAAATACTGTTCGCCGTGTGGCAGCACCGACTTCTCCTTGTGCTTTGGGTGAGTGGGAAGTCAGGGAAGATGCTTGGAGCTTGCAGGTGGAGGGCGAGACGAGGTAATCGGTGGCAGCATCGAAGGGGAGTCGGCGAAAAGAAATGAAAGAGGCTGCGGCCGACCTCTTTATGAGAAGCTGGTGCAGCTCAGGCCCAGGACCGCCGGCTGTGCAGATACCGGAAGCAAACGTGTGCCTGTGGATGCGAATACGCTACAAGCAAGCGTCCATCGATGTTTTGAATGGAAGCTGGCCGTCGAGCGTGTTCGGTATGTATGTACGTATGTATGTATGTAGTTACGTACTGGCAGGATGAAGTAAAAGTACCTCTGGTATCAAATGCCTGGCGCCTTTCCCGACATGGGCCCCTACTGGGAAGCTTGGGGAGCCCTGGGCCGGACGCCTGCGAGGGGTTGAGGAGGGGCGGACAGGGGCCATGTGCAGCCCGCAGCTCGGCTAAGGGTCATGGAAACTTCCGCGGGCCCATTGATGTGCACTTGGGCCAGGGTCGACGGCAAGGAACATTGATGAGAGTTACCGTACCGTACATAGCGTCCTGGATGCTGTGCGTCCCCCCCAGGGCCCCGGGTAGTAGGTACAGGTATTGCAATGGCCATTCCACCGGATGCCCAGGTCGGCAGTGTGCCGACTTCCCTGATGCATGCGAACCTGGCAAGTGACAAAGAGCGCCGACAATAGGCAGGGCACTCATTGATGTTCCAGGCAGATTGCGTATGGCGGGTACCGGGAAACATAGCGGAATCGCTGATTTGATTGGCCCAACAATAGTAGATCAATATTCCAATGACCTCGCCGAGCGTGATATTGAGATGCTATGCGCGCGAGTGAAGTGGCTGCGAATCCCAGCTGCCCAGCATGGTTGTACCATAGTGCGGTGTAGCTAAAGCACAACACAACTGTTTAGCGCATATAGACCTCAAGCGAGCACCCAGTGTGAGCTGAGCCCAATGAATAAGTAGCACTAGTGCTGCAAAAACTATACATTATCGGACTCCCATCCCAAGACATCTTGACAGTATTCTGGCTGTCGAGCACCTTGCCAACAAGCCAGGGCCGACCGCTTGTTTACTTATCTCGCGCCCATTGATGGTTCTTGTTCGTCGAGGCGTGTGCCATTGCTGATCTGCTGTAGAGTTGGCATGTCTGAGTCTGTCAGAAGTCGTCATCGCATTCTCAGTTACGCATTTGCTCAACTTGATCGGATTTGGTGTTGAGCAAAGCGACGTATCATCAACAGTATACGATGCAACTCTGACAAACCCAATAACTGCCTCACAGGTTGATATAGACGGCCCGGGGACATTCGACTATTCTGGTAGAGCTTGCGAACGGCCAGGGTTGCGCGGAGCAGACAGCCATTTCCAGCATGGACTCTGAAAGACAAACTCGACACACGCCCAGAGAGAGTGCAAGTTTGGTAGACCCCAACCCCACAATTCTTTGGCAGTCAGTCAGAACTCAGTTGTCGGGCACTCACTGGATGGGGCCTAGAAACCAGGTTCTCGGGATTGCTGCTGGGATCCCATTTTAGGTGCTGGGCTCCCCTGCACCTCGTCAGCCACGGTCAAATAGCAAGAAGAGCGAGCACCTTTGATGTTGGATACGATTCATGGCTACAGCTGAAGGTGCTGGCACCGTGGCATGTCGGACTACCAGAGCAGAGGTGAGACATCAAGCGAACTTCTCAGCAGTGGCTGTCTGCAAGTACGCCTTCAACTGATCAACCCCTGTGTCTGTCAAACTGCCAACATGCAGCGCCGTTGCTTTGACAGGCCACTTTGACTCGCAAATTGCATAAGCGTCAGGAACATAGTCCAGTCCCGAGGCAGATCAGACCATTTGGGACTGACGCCGAAAAGCCAGTACGACCTCATTTGCTCAGGGTGCCTTAGTATTGTCTCTGATAACGGGGTGTCGCGAACTCAGTTCGGCTCACTGTACTGCGAGAGTGCCCCCATGTCTTGGCGGTGGTGGAGCAGGTACGACTGGAATACATATGCAATGGGCACCGTGTAAAAAGCAATGGGTCAGATTCCCGCAAATGTCTACACCCGAGTGCTCTCATAGTTGAAGGCCGAGGAACCCATGGTCAAAGCCCGCGGCCTATGCGAAATAGGTAGCGGTATGCCGCCTACCCTTGTAGTCGTGAAGTCGGCGGGAGATGAGAAGAAGTACACTACATCTGGCATTGCTTTTTTTTTTTACTGCTCCCTCCAGTGGTTACTCGCGTAGACACAATAAGAACGTGAGCATGTGACACGAAAAACCCAGAGCAGGCTTTACGGGCACTACAAGAGACTCTGGACGTCGGGATGATGTCGCACGCGTCTCTTGGACCGCAACCCTGTTTGCGACAACCATTCGGGGAATTCCTTCCTACTAGCCAATCAGTAGGTGGGCTGCTTAAACAATATAGCGACATCATTATGATCTGGTCGGTACTTTGCAATCACGGTGTCCTTGAGGCATGGAAGGCTGGCCGTTGTGATGGGCCGATCACAGATCACCAAACATGGCGATTGATTTGCAACTGGATAATCCTCTGCCAGGTTCCTCTTGTAGAAGAAACCTGACTTGTAATGGAATAGAACAGTATACTGGCCATCTCGATGACCGGCGGCATATGGGAGGTATATAGTTGACTGGTCAGTTAGATCAGGACGTCCCTAGACACGACCTGGCCATCGAGCCAATCATGTCAACCACAGCCACGGGTCTGCGACGCGGGCTTCTGCACCCTCACCCCTCCATCATGCAACTGGGCTCTAGCAATTCCCATGAAGCTAGCAATGCATGTTACCCTTGACTTTACGCAAACCTAGTCCGCGGGATGTACCCTAAGCAAAGGCTCTAGACGACGTCTGTGACAAAGCAGGACAATTCAACCGTAATGAGCACGGGGCTTTGAAGAGTCGGCGATGCGTGATGGGCATTTTGACACATGCGGCCAAGGTTCAAGGGGTCCTGACAGGATGTAACCCTGATCCGGAGCAACAAACCAGCCGAGGGCAATCACTACTTCAATAAACCACTATGTGATGAATCGTGAGATCAACTCAATCGGCAAAGTACCGTTTTGGCTAGGTGGGAAGTGGGGAGTCCTTTCTCATGAATTCAAGATGGCAGCGAGAGGTGGCTTGTAGTTGGGACGCATCAGCGCCACCACCAGATGCGAGGGACAGTTCCAAATCCCTCTCTACGGAGGAAACCGCTTTGAACCACATTGTTCCAAAGTCTGGTTCCTATGTTCCTGAGCGAGTCGCGCGAATAGGATTTCATGTCCGGTTCAGGAAATCAAATCGCCTCATCGCCGGCATGCTGTTTTCTCATTGCTCGCAAGCTAGTAAACTTCTAAGCTTTCGCTAAAGACGGATTGTTCTGTCTCCTTCAGCTGGGGACCACAGTGAAGTATTGTACGGTACCGCGCCTATCGGATCAACAAGCTCGACCTACTCAGGATAGCTTGCATAGCTTATCCCTTAGCTTTCGGGAAGCCGTGCAGCCCGGCTGTCGTCTCGTGTGTACCTGTGTTCGTCGTAGTGATAACAGGTTCGCCGTTTCTTGGTACGGAAAATAGCTACGGAGTATTATGCGGCGGAATGTTTTCATGCATTAGGCTCTTATGCCGCAGCGACCCCGGATTTGCAACGTTGGACGTGACTGATGAGCAGCTAAAGCTGCATGACGTGCCGACGGGTGTCTCATTCGGGATGCAAGCTACTATGTATAATGTCAAGCCGTGATGTCACCCTCAATTGCAATGTTCTACATAGTGGGGAGGTATACTGAGGGATTACATTGTGCCATAACTACGTAACTTGTACCTTTGGGTACAACACTGCAACAAGGGCAAGGTATTTGATCAAGACCTAGCTGCTTGCCTAGCTAAAGTAGGGGACTTGACCCGTCGTATCCGTCCGTACCTTCGCTGGGAGATCAAACAAACCCGAAGACTGGACCCATTGTTGATCATTGATAAAATGAACATGGACGCATCGGATATGTACCCTAGCCAGACAACGAAAACTCGTCGTCTCCGAAAGCTGCTGAGTTGGGGCATTAGTACCGGTACCTACCCTGAGGAGGCTCTTTTATGAAAGAGAGCATCTGTCTAGAAGCCACATCCAACATAAGGAGTAAACTGATAATTGAACGCGGCAATCAGCTTTGGTTGCTTAGCGCGCTTCATATAATGACGAAGTATTAACAGTGTTGAAATTGCAGTGTTATAGTCGAGGCGAATATGCAGTTGGAAGATGCTACGGGCAGTTCAGTTCGGCCGAATGATGAGTCGTTTCGGAGTCGCGCTGTATTGTAGCTGTGTACTGTACTGTGTTCATGCATTTTGTGGCCCGTCAGCTCTGGATCTGCTGATAAGATAACGCCGCCACAGTGGACTGGACGCGACGGCGTCGCGTCCCATTAACTAAGTTAAATGTACTGCACGCTTAAGCCGGCTGTTCCAGATAATCAGGGCCGCTCACAAGAGCAGACGACCTAGCCTGTTAGCAGAGCCGATTCACAATATCAGTCGATAGCTGAGGCCTCATCCACATATTGATGATACAGCAGGAGGGTGTTCTTTTTTGGGGTAGGGTACGAAGCAAACGTCGGTGCTGCACACCCCTGGGCTTGCATAGTCCACCGATCCCAGTGACATAGCACTGGAACCTATCACCTTTGGTCGTGTCCGCGAAGTCTGCACAAGGCCGCGGGACAAGGAGGCAAGCAGGTCCTGCGAGGTCCCTGCTGGCAAGTTCGCGTCCTGCAGCAGCCGCATAAACCTGGGAGGGAACGTCAGCGTCGCTCATCAAGCTTTCCACCACCATTACCCAGGATTCTACAAGGATCGGGTCCAAGACCATACACGGTACTTGAATCCTGCGGCGAGGGACGGATGCTCAGCATCTGTTGCACCGATAGGATATTGACCATAGCCGACGTATCACAACCTGCTCATCAGTATTGTGGAAGCCCTACTCTGCGTCGAATCAGGGGTGGAGAAAGACTGTGCCTGTGCGACTCGCAGCATCTGCAAGACCTTGTCACAGCCAAGGTCTCCTGCTTCTTCAGCCACTGTGGGCTGATGCAACTCCGGCACTCAAGATGCCATCCGCCATCGCGAACGACGAATGGGACCTCCCCCGCCTGAAAGCCTCCATCGGATTCGAGGTAGGCCTGCCAGCATAGATCAGCCCATGACCGGCGTATTGTACTGATGGTTACGTCCTATAACAGGATGAAACTCGATACTCCTCGGTTTATGATCAAGACACCGGTTAGCATGACTGCCTATCAGATCCTTGGTGGCACGTACTGATGATCGTCGTCTTTGGCAGAATTCTTTGATGTCAAGTTTTACCCCTTCCTCGAGGCCACCGAGGACCCTGTCTTTGCGGCAGTCAGTAAGAAACATGTGTGTCCTTTCGTCATCCTGATGGCACCTTCCAACGTCCGACCCTGACTGACCATGCGACTGACCATGCGCAGATTGTGATCTATCGATTGTCGAACACGGCAAACCCGCCTTATGAATTAATCCGGCTTTTAAGAGACGATGATGTAAGTCCAGGATCCGCCGCGTCCATCTCACCCTCCAAGCCCTTAGGCTGAGCCATGTGTAGGACCAAGCTGTGAACTGCAGCTGCACGTGGAGCAAAGACCCAGAGACTGAAATTCCTTGGCTCTGTGTGGCGGGACGGGATGCAAAAATCAAGATCTACGATGTGTTTAACGGGTCTTTAATCAAGGTATGTTATACCTCCTGGGATACTGTCGGCATTGTTCTAACTGCCATACTAGACACTCGTGGGTCATGGCGCCGTAAGTTGACAGATATTATGTCTTGTTGACTCAGCGCAGAAACTAACCCTGATCAGGAAATCAACGATCTTGCTACATGTCCGACAAACCCTTTACTGATTGCTTCCGCCTCCGATGATACTAGCGTGCGGATATGGAGTCTTGATCCTAGCGATGATAAGCAACCGTGTGTTGCTATCCTTGGCGGAGAAGGGCACTCCTCTGGTCTTCTCACGGCAGTATGAGAGTCAAACATGAATCAGAGAGCCAAAGGCTGATCATCACTAGGCATTTCATAACGGCGGTCGATATCTTCTCTCTGCCGGCCACGACAACTGTGTATGCCTAGTAAGAGCCCCCCGTCTTGCTTCAGTAGAGGGACATCCAGCTAATGTTGTATAGTGGACATTGCCAGATCTTTCGGTGCGACCTAGAGACAAGAACCCTCCACCTCCCGTTATCGTCCATTATCCTCACTTTTTCACGTCCGAGGTTCATAGTGGAATCGTCGATTGGTAAGCATGGCTCCGTCGGGCAAGTGGTCGAAGTCCTACTAATTTCCCCAGTGTCGCTTTCTTCGGTGACTTGATTCTCTCCCGAGCTTGTCACGAAGACATCATTGTCCTGTGGCGTATTGAAGGGTTCTCCTCTCAGGACCCTCCACCTCCTCCGTCGAGCGCGCCTACTACTAGTGATACGGAACGCTTAACCCGGTCAGCCTTCGCGCCAGCAACTGCTTCAACTTGCCCTCCGCAGTATACGCGCATGATCCAGTTTCACACCCCCGGAAGCGGTCACCAGTTCTACATGCGCTTCAGGCTATACCATGATAAGGAAAAGCACCCCGTGCTTGCCTTTGGCAATGCGCACTCTACCATCTTCTTCTGGGACCTGGCGAGATTGACAGGCTACCACGCGTTCATGAACGAGCTCGACAATCCAGATCGCCAAGAGCCGGTCCACCGGCCAAGCTGGCTCCAGCCAATCGTCCATAAGCAGAAGGGCGACCCGGTCAGCAAGGTGAAGGACGCAGAAGATAGGGACTCTGTGATCTCGGGGCAGACCGGTAGCGGCAGCGACATAGGCCCCCAGGCCAACACGGTCACCCACTACACCCCGGAGACGCTGGACATGTGGAAGGGCAAATATGACATGACCCGCGTGGACGAGGCGATCAAGGCCCACTCGCAGAGCACCATCACCATTAAGGATTTCATCGGCAGGCAGGTGGCTTGGAGCCCGCAGGGAGACTGGTGCGTCGTGGTCGGCAGCAAGAACCTTGCGGTCATCATGAACAGGTGGCAGAAGAAGGACAAAGACGACAAGAAGTCGAGCACCACTAAGGTATTGTAAGAGGCTCACAACTTGACGCTGCATCCATGTATCATAGAAGGACCACAGCCATATTTCAACAGCGCAATCTGTATTTACACCTCTTTGGCGCTTGTTCCTCATTCAATGTGCGTCGATAAAATATCGTGACCAACGCATCGAGACTGCTCAGTTGTCTAGGATCTTCATCTCTTGGACACAGCTCTGTCTGAGCGCTCAGAACAAATACGCAGATGCCCGAGTCTACGACAGCAAAGAAGACACATCGCCATCCCTTTCATCGTCAGGGTCCACGAACTTGAGTAGCCAGGGCTCCAGTTCGCCCCCCTTTTCCATGAGTCTCTCGAAGAAACCCCTGGCCTTCTCCAGCTCATCCGCCCTCTGTCTCAGGGCGTCCCGGTCCCGGTCGCTCACGTCTCTGTGCACGGTGCCGCTTAGTGAGAGCCCCTGAAGCCTGTCCTCCAGCCCGTTGGTGTCCAGGAACCGCGACGACAGGTACAAATCCCCCAGCCACAGGGCCAGCATGCCTCTCAGCCGGAGCAGCTCGACGTGCGTCGCGTACGGCGCATTCTCCATCAACTGGTCCATCCTCGCCGCGATCTGCTGTGCGGCCGTCTGCGCCTCGGACCGGACTTCGTCGCGGCCCGCCCAGTGTACCTCCCTACGGCCATGCTCGCGACGCTGGATCTGCGACTCGGGGTCCTCCTCAGACCCAGGCGACAAGGGAGGAGGCTCCGAATCGTTGTCGTCGTCAGCAGCCGCTGACTCTGACTGTTGGTCGAGGCGGTGCAGAGCCCGCCGGCACTCAGCGTCGATGTTGTAGATCTCGATGCTGAACAGCGCCGGCCAAAAGTCGACGGCGCTGGTCAAGCGCGTCAGGTGCGGGTCGTAAGGATGCTGCTGGATGAGGCCTTCGAGGTAGGAGCGGACTTTGTCGATGTTGGATGCCGAGCCCCAGCGCGCTGGTGAATTGGATGTGGGATCAGACCTGTCTTCGTCCTCGACCCCTGTGCTGCCCTGCTCCAGACGTGAAGCCTCTTCGCGGCGCTGCTCCTCCCCATCCCGCATCAGGATCTCCGTCCCGATCGTCCACATCTCGTTGAGGCGTATGTCGACATCCTTTGTTCGGATCAGCAGGCTGAAGGCACGTTTGGCGCGGGTGATGTCCCCAGCGTGCAGGCAACGGTGGAGGATGGCCATCATGGTGTTCAAGTGCTTGATTCGCGCCGACGAGCTGGTGAGCACATCTTCCTCCTTGCGTCTGTGAGACTCTGAAGCATCCGTGTCGACGTCCGCCTCGGATCCACTGCCAATAGCCGACATCCTGCTTCTGCTCCTAGTCCTGCTTCGTCGGCCACGACTGTCTCCCGAGCGCCAGTCCGGAGGGAGGGATTTGTGAGGAAAGCCGGGGTAGATCTTGGACGGAACCTCTTCTTCTGGTGAAAGCCCCGCCACCGCAAACTGACGCAGTGTGCTTGGAGAATGACTCAGCGGATTGATGGAATCTGAGGGTAGATGTGAGGGTGTCGGTGTGTTGTCGGCCTCGGGTGACGGAGACCTCTCAGGCTGGGTTTCCTCAATTCTCTTGCGCTTTCTCTGCGACTGTTGCCCCAGGCGCCAGGCTGGCACAGGGAGTGCAAATGGGCCTGCCATGGCGTTTCTTTGTGCGTTGCAATATCTGCTAGACAGATAGTCGACAATTATGTCTCTGCGACTGGGCAAGTTCCTGTGCCTTGGCGCACTGGAGCCGTTAAGCACAAAGACAACAAGGTGTGAGAGGTAAGATGGATGACATATGTTTTCCTATCTGAAAATTAGTCTCCAAATCTTTGAGATACTTGAAGCTGAGTGTTGGGACCACTTACATCCAGTATCACTCTCTGGGTGTTCTCCTAGAAAATGCTGGCGCATGTAACGCATTCACGGATCTCCATATGCTGCCCACCAGCGAATCCTACTCTGTGAAACAACCCAGCTTCTAAGACTTGACTCGTCACGCATAATGGAAAAAGCCGTGACGGTGACCTGTCCGTCTTGTGTACCGACACAGACGAATAAAGCAGCCGCCGGGGTCTCGCTCCAGAACGAGTTCTCCTGGGTACCTAGGGATCTAAGGGAGAAAGAGTTGATGTAACTTATTGCATACGAGCTCTTTATGCACGAGTTGAGTTTATGCCAATGCACGCCGGCGCGGCGCACGTGATGGGCCAGTGGGTCCGGAGGCTCGACCAATGGTGAACTCGGCAAACATCATCCAAGCTGTCGTCGCCCAAGAAAGCTCCCCGACCAGAAGACCAGCCCCAATTCAACCCATTGGACATCGGTCAAGATGCGGCGGACACTACGACTCCTCGCAGGCGTCAAGCCGGCCCGCTACCTCGAGGCCGGCAACCCGACCGGCCTCACCGGCGTCTACACCCACAACTCGCCGCGCTCGACCCTGCTGTACCTCTACAACACCACCCTCGACAAGCTCAAGGCCGCCCCCGAGTCCTCGCTGTACCGCCAGTCCATCGAGGCCCTGACCAAGCACCGCATGGCAATTGTCGCCGCCGCCGAGCCGCCCGGATACAAGGAGTGGCAGGAGCGCGCCAGCAACATCCTGAAGGAGAACCCCGACGGCTTCAAGGTCCAGTCCGAGGCCGCCACCGACGGCGCCAAGGCCCAGATTGTCAAGCGCGGCAACGGAGTCTACCTGATCCGCACAGATCCCCCCAAGAAGGACGAGAGATACGAGGAGTGGGACGGCGAGGTCGATGAGGGTGGTGAGCTCGAGGGACTTCGCACCGAGGCCGAGCGCCAGGACCTGGAGCTTCTGTTCACAAGAACTCCGGTCGAGATCTCCAAGAAGATCCAGTGGGAGCCGGAGCCGCAAATCACGGCCGACCAGTATGTCTCACTCCACAATGCTATCTAGCCAGCTTGACAAGCAGAGCTGACATGCCCTACAGGGTCGAGGAAATCGAGCAGAAGATTGGTGCTGGTTTGATCGAGGAGGTCGTGCAGATGGCCGAGAGCGAGCTCAAGTTGGTCGACGTCATGCTCCAGAGCAAGCCGTAAGTCTTTACCATGCTGTGTTGACACACCGGAAACTAATACCAGGACAGCTGGGAGGAGCTGGAAGAGAAGCCCGCTGAGGGACAGTGGACCTACTTCGACCGCACCTCGGCATAGACTGATTTGACGCGAAACGGAATTTTACACTGAGTGATGAGCTCCGGACCACTTGTGATGTACAGTATAGAGCCCTTTTGTACATAGATACAGAGACGAGGACTGGGTGGACTGGACGAAAAGGGCCGAATTGAGCACCTAAAACTACGTTGCTCCCCTTTGCTACGAATGTTGAATATGCCCATTGTGCAGTGTATTTCCCGTACCGTGGGCAATACATATCCTAGTGTCAGAATGCTATCTCTGCCAACACGGAAGTTGCTGGTAGTGTGCGAAAAGCGGACAAAGCGCCATGGATGGATCTTACCCTATATGATTGCTCCTGGATTACATAGTGTGGTAGTATATCGTCAGCTGCCATATGCAAAGCCTCAAGTCGCCCAAGGATTTGTTAGGGCGTGAGACAGAGACTAGGCATTGCATGTTGGGGAAGTTTACATAGAGACCAGGGCTCGGCGGCGTCGAATGCAGAGCTGTTGCCCTTGTGTTAAACTGTCTAAACCTCTTGAAAATTCTCAACCAAGTGAATCTTTATGCCAATGAAGGAAATGGCAAGCTTTCACTCAGGCAAGTATGGCGCTTATCACTACTGTTTTGGCCGTTCCTCCTGAGATGGCTGATCAATGGAGCTACCACAAACGAAATGTAGGAGATCAGTTCAATTCTTTTACTATTGTTTCATAAACAGAAGATCATGGCTTCGTGCACAATCAAAGAGGACAAATAAGGGAATGGTATAAGTTCCATTGTAGAATACGAAGTTACTCCTATATCCCGTCTTGAATTCAAAGAATGCAAGTGAACCAACCATGTATTGCACTACAGGTGGGCAATCTTTAGCTGAAGTGAGGCTGGACGCATAATTCATATCTTGCGACAGGCCTTGTAAGTCAGCCGCAGCTCAACTCGAACGTCCTCTTGTAGTCATTTTCCCTTGCATCGCGCGCTCAGCCTCGGCACTGACAACGCAATGAGGTTATTGGAAACCAGCTCACTGGAGCTTGTCAAGGTTTTCCGGATATGGCGCCTTTATCTTTTCGCTAAGCTATTGTATCTCACTCACGGGGTGACGAGGAGGTGACGCTACAAGAAATGCTGGGCCCGCGACAGGATATCCTTCATAAGGAAGGGTACCAAAAGATCGAGCAATATTGTTGCCTTGCTCTCGAGGGTGGATTTCGTTATATCTGGACCGATACCTGCTGGTGCGAATTCCACTTGTACTGCTAGATAGAGAGGCTGACCAACCCTTGTAGCATCGATAAGACAAATAGTGTTGAACTTTCAGCAGCCATCAACACCATGTGGTCGTGGTATCAGCTGTCTACGGTGTGCTGTTCATTCCTTACTAATATACCTAGCGGACGCACCGCACTCGCGCCAGACGGAGGTGGCACGTTGGGGCTAGACCTCGGTGAGGTCCCCTTTGGACGCAGTAGACGGTTTCGAGGAGGTTGGACGCTTCAGGGACTCCTTGCACCAGCCTCTGGGAAGTTCTACGCTGGAGACTGGGCTGAAATTGGCACCAAGCGCAGCCTCAAGAAAGAGCTCAACATCATGACCGGGGATAGGGGAGCGCCTTTTGGAGGGCGGATCGCTGCACGCTTGTCACGTTGCCAAGAAAATGTTCTGAGCAACAGAAAGAGACACCACTCGATTCGAGGACTTAGCCTACTGTCTGCTGGGTATCTTCCAGGTTAGTATTCCACTCATATACGGAGAGGGCCGCCGGGCTTTCTACCGTCTGCAGAAGAAATACTGAAGAACAGCGAAGATTAAATCTTGTTGTTATATGGTCTCCCAGACGCACCGGTATTTGCCAACGAATCCGGAGGGACTTGTGGCTTGTCTAGGCGAATTATACCCTGAAGAGTTCAATGCAAGTGATTGAGCCATGCGCCGAGCCAAGGACAGTGTGGTATACGCTGCTTGGAAAGAACATGCAGAGGAGACGCAAGTCCTGGTCTCCTTGTAGAGTGACCTGAGGAGAGTAACCTGAGGAGAGCGACGGAAGAGGACTAGCGGAGAACATTGTTAGCGGTACCTGCAAGGCTCACGGAAGTATTACAAATTAAGTTACAACACGACATTGCCGTTGCAGTGGAGAGCAGTGGTTTGTGCTACTAGGTAGCTTTGATCAGTACTTCTATGCCTCATTAAGCCATGGAACTATTCAGTGATGATACAGGCGTCCAATAGCCTTATAATCTCAATGGATGTAAATGCGCCTTCCACTTGCACGAATGTGTCCTTCAGCTTACTATGCTGGATCGAGAGTATAATTGCACTGGCGTATAGCCAACTCCAGGTACGATCTTGGCCACGAATCAAGGAGCGGGAGGTGGTTCTTTTCGGCATGGCCAAGAGTGTCATCCGCCTCTTGGATCCGGCGCTTACCATAGTATAACAACGAGACTGGATATGGAAATCCCGGGGTTGTTGCTGAATTATCCTAGTAACCCTGCAAATGATTAATAAGGTTATGGCCCACCAAAAATGGCTTGACACAATCGTGCCATTGACCCCTAACAAGGGATGTCCCAAAAGAGCTTCCAATCAAGCCGACACCGGTTCTCTACCCAGCATCGAAACCAATGCTTTAGTCGAGATACGTGGAGTTTTGCTTATCTAAGGCGCCGGTGAACAATGCCGCAACACTTGTTTGAACCCGTCTTGCCGTCGGCTCGCGATAGTGACGGGAGCTAAGGGGAGATGCATCCAATGACTTGACAGGGGTCTAGCCTTACCAAATCCTTGGGCCTTAAGGGAAGAGATCCACCTTCACGGTCTTTCTCGGCGGCATTCATAGACGTTTGATGGCCGAGTGGATGCTCGCGTTTTCGCGATGTGCAAGTACGGCTCGTTATCTTCCCTGTGCGTAATAGTATCGTAAGGTCGTGGCTCTTGCCGTAGTGGACCGGAAAGCTCGTTATCGTGAGGCCATCATGACGAGATTCTATGGTTTCTCCTTTCCATTTAAGACTTTTTCCTGGCCTCTGGGTATTTTTGAGCCTTCAGCCATGCCCGTTCGTAATAAACGGTGAACCCCAGCTCGAAATGACAGCTCCTACATCGGCGACGTCCACGGTTGTGGGAAGCAGAGCGCCTTCTATAGTCCTCGCCTCGGAAGACAGACCCGTAGCCAAGGAAGAAAGCAGCGCGTTAAGTTCTGCCGACGCATCGAGAGAACCAACTCCCAACCCGACTAAGAATAATAAGAGAAAACTGAATGGAGAGCAATACCACAATAATATCGTTGGCTGGGATGGACCGGACGACCCCGAATGCCCTCGTAACTGGCCGCCCAGGAAGAAGGTCTTCTTCGTCATTGTTACTTCTTCGGTCATTGCTTGCGTCTCTTTCGGGTCCAGCGTCTTTGCCCCCGCTGCCACAATTACCGCCGCGGAGTTTGATGTGCCCATCATCGTTATGAAACTCGCCGTCTCCCTTTGGATCCTCGGTTTCTTTGCTGGGCCAATCTTTTTCGGGCCCATGTCTGAGTTGTTTGGGCACGTTCTAGTATTCGCCATCGGTGTAATTGGTTTGGCCGTCTTCCAGCTTCCCATAGCCTTGGGAGAGAATGTGCGAACCATCCTGATCTGTCGTTTCCTCTCTGGCGTATTTGGCAGTGGCGCCTTTGCCGTGGTATCAGGGATGTATGTGGAACTCTACGAGCCTATACAGCGAGGTGTGGCTCTGGGACTTTCGTCCATCTGCATCAACGTAGGGGCGACCATAGCCCCTATCGCCGGTGCTTATATCTCCTCTCAAAGGTCCCAATGGCGTTGGACTGCATGGGCAACGCTGATTATAACAGCAATCTTTGGGATAGCTGCTCTCTTTACGGTGCGCGAATCGTCAAGTCGGATGATCCTAAGGAACAAAGCTAGAAGGCTCCGTTTCGACACAGGCAACTGGGCTTTGCACGCCAAGTCGGAGGAGACTCGCATTGAGCTTAAGGACATCATCTACCGTTACCTGACCAAGCCGATTCGGATGTTCGTTACGGAACCGATCTTGATGATCTTCACCGTTTATCTCACACTTGTATATGGCACGCTGTACCTCTCCTTCCAAGCTTTCCCGACAGCCTTTCGACAGCGAGGTTGGTCGGTTCAGACCAGCTCGCTGCCCTTCATTGCTGTTATGTGTGGAATCATTTCCGCATGGGGGACACAGTCGGTGTTCACCCTGACGTGGTACAAAGCCTGCGCGCATAGACAGGGTGCTCCCCCACCACCTGAGTTCCGGCTGCCGCCAATGATGGCCGGAGGAGTAATCCTACCACCATCCCTGCTTTGGTTTGGGTGGTCTGGAAATGTCCATCCAGCATCGCAGGTCATCGCGAGTTACTTCATCGGACTCGGCTTGATGCTCATCTTCGTGCCCGGCATCTCGTACATCGTGGACGTGTACCAATTCCACTCCAACAGCGCGATGTCGATCCATGTCATTGTGCGAAGTCTGATTGCGTGCTCTTTCCCTCTGTTCGCCAACATAATGTATGACCAGTTGGGAGTTGCCTGGGCATCGTCGTTACTGGCATTTCTCTGCATAGGGCTGGCGCCGGCTCCTTTTCTATTCTTCGTGTACGGCAAAAAGATTAGGAGTTGGTCTAGTTTTGCTTTTGAAACCTAGCTTTTAACCTTGTGTATACAAAATTGTAATTCAGAGTCGTAATCTTGGATTATGTTCTTAGTGCTGTCCGGCATGCAAAGGGAAATTCTTCCGGGTCCTTGATAGAAAACTACAATTCCCCTTCCCTGCCGGTCTGCCTTAGCAGCCTCACTACGTTGTCGTAATGTGACTAAGAAATGTTCAATGCCATTCCAATCCATCTAGATTCGCCAACCATATCTACTCTATTGTGATTAATCTGATGTGAAAATCATCCCACTCATCCGATCATCGACATGGAGAGACGCCATGCCACGAAATGGGCCAACATCTGGCTCGTGACTCCCTTCGGAGTCCTCTTGATGGCTGCTTCTAGCATCTGCATGGCATCCGCTCCTCCGTCTGTAGTCCCGTCTTGCCCAACGAGGGGCTTGAACGCTTGGTCACATATCTGCGTAATCTCAGCACCTGAATACCCATCCGTCTGTTTCACCAGCACGTCAATATCAACATCAGGGAACTTCAACTCCCGTGCTTTCCTTGTGATTATCGCCTCACGAGCCATGTCATCAGGGAGGGGTACGTAGATCAGCTGGTCGAACCGTCCCGCACGGATCAGGGCTGGATCTAGAGACTCGGGCTTGTTTGTGGCGGCCAAGACGAACACGTCGCCCAGTTGCTCGAACCCATCCATCTCGGTGAGTAGCGTCGTTAGTGCTGTCGTGAGACCTGCCCCCCCGCCGGCTGAACCCCCTCCCACGCCTCTCGATCCCGCTATCGAGTCGATTTCGTCAAAGAAGATGATACTGGGACATGCTGCTCTGGCCCGGGCGAAGAGATTCCGGATGGAACGTTCTGTCTCACCAACATACATATTCAGCAGCTCTCCACCCTTGACAGAGAAGAAGTTGAAACCTGACTCTGTTGCCATTGCCTGCGCTGTCATGGTCTTGGAACATCCGGGAGGACCATATAGCAGTACACCCTTCGATGGCTTGTATAAGGCGATGCCACCCTGCGGTTTGCTCAAAGCCACTTGCAGTGTGCTCTTGACCTCCTGGTACCCTCCGATATCCTTCCATCTAACAGAAGGCGGTTTCAAGTTGATGTCGTGCATGGCTGATGGGCGAACCTCTTGTAGAGCCTGCTGAAGACCTGCCCAGGATGTCGGCTGTGGTCCGGTAGACTCGCCAGTCTCTGTTTGTGAAAGTCTGAGAGCGCGAGCTAGCAGACGCACGAGATCTTCGCCGGTATATGCGTGTGTCCGGTCACCAACGTCAGATATATACTGTTCGGCTTCTGCAGCAGGAAAAACATTCGCTGCATACAGGCGGATAATGTCCTTCCTGACAGATGTATCGGGAATGGCCAGCCTCGCACATTCGTCAAAATGACCTGGCTTCCTAAGACTTTCGGGCAGATCCTCCAGAAAGTTGCGGCAGGAGGCAACGACGACAACCTTTGGGCGTTGGCCATTCTTAGCTGTGAGGCCTGCTAGTTCTTCAAGGCCGCGTCGGATGGCCTTTGTAGCTCCTTCGCGGTTGGCCCTGGTCTCGCCCACAAGATTCTGAATGTCGTCTATAAGGATAATGTGTGGCTCTTCCGAGTCTATGGCATTCCTAAAATGTTCTTGGATTGCCGCTGGCTTGTCGCCATCATCGACTCGTATTACTCTGCCCCATCGAGTGGCAGCTACCTGCTCTAGAAGCTTGGACTTCCCGGTCCCTTGGCTGCCTTCCACGACAATGGCGCAGCTAGGATCGGCGGCTGCAAATGCTGGGGGATAATCTGTGTAGAAATTCCTGAAGAAGCGATTGAGAGCTCTTACGGGTGCTTGCATGCCGGGTAGAATATCGACAATCTCGAGCTTTCCGGGGGCGCCGTCGACTTCCACTGCATCATCGCCAGGCCACTTCGCCCGGGTACTGGAGCAGTATTTGGCTACATTGTCTTTGCGCCCGTTTACAGTCTCGACGACAAAGGATCGTTTGGGCCCTTTCCCAACGATGTTCTCCAGAGCCAGACCAGGAAACACGTAGTCAGCCTTCTCTATGCCAGTTGTCAGTATTGGCAATAATCATACGGCTAGCTGGCATGATCCAAGCTTACCAAGTGCAGCCTCGATATTCCACGACCAAGACTTCTGCTCCTCGGGAACAACTGGAGAAGCATGTGGCGTAACATCTCGGACCACCACTGTCTGGGCTTCCGGCACTTCGCCGGCGCTCGACACACGGATGGAGTCTCCCAGTTCCAGTCCAGCGGCGGCCTTCATCACGGAACTGAGCACAATAACGCTCTTGGCCAGTGCCTTGTCGACCGAGTTCCAGGCAACGGCTTCCCGGCGCCTGCTCCTGTCGTTGGCGAGGGTGGACTCTATGATGCATCGCTGGCCAATCTGGAGGCCTGATTCATAAAGAACCGTCTGGTGAATGAAGATCTTGGCAGCGTGCTTCGGGAACCTCTCATAGTCCTGCGTTTGGGCACGCACCTTGCCCTCGACGGCCTTCGTCTTCATGTTGGCTGCTTTGTCGTAGTGTAGTCGTTAGGAAGTCGCACCCGAGAGAGGTCTCAAAAAACCCCTGATGTAGAAGGGGTTTTTATTTATTTTATTATGCGCGGCGACCACCAGTATTGACTGGTATATGACTTGTCAACCTGCTGGAATGGCGAGAACTGATCACCAGATGTCACGGGGGCCAGATGGGGATATTCCAGCTCTCAAGTGTTGTTGGTAGGGGATGTATTGCTGCCAGGCGGCTCCAGGTCGACGTATAACAGACTCAATCTTAGCTCGGGAAACGAGTGACTCATGTTCGTATGAGAAACAACTCGGAGGGTATCAATTATAGCAGAAATTCAAGCACTAGCAAAGAATTGAAGAAACACTCTCTACAAGCCACTCGTCCTTGTGTGTGGATGTGGGACACTGACTGCCCAATTGTCAAGATTTTCGGGCCTAGTTACAGGTGCAAGAAGAGCACACACAGTGCCAAAGGCCCCCCTCCTGTGCACACTGTCTCGCTGGCCAAGGCACCTACCTCCCTCGTCCGGGGGCCCGCTAAAAGCCAAAGCCGAAAAGTTTCCCAAGCTCTGGTGCCAGGGCCAGAGCTTCAACCCTTTTCCGGCGAAAACCACCCATTCTCAGGACTGGACGCGATGCGCCGGACAGTCCATTGCACCATCCCATGGTCCTACGACAGCTACAGCTCCCGCGGTCCCTGACGGCGCGCACCATAGCTGCAGCATGGCGTCCTGTTCTGCGAGGACAGGGACGAGGACCGCGTAGCCTGCGAGCTCGCTTCTCGACCACCACCCGGCGATGGAGTAGCAGCGACAAGACCGACACCCAACAAGTATCGCCGCCGCCACCACAACGGCAACAACGACAGGCAAGGGACGAGGAGGGGCCAGAAAAGCCGCAGGAGAAATCACTCTTTGCCAGACTCTTCCCAGACGAGGCCAAGCAACGGGCTGCCGCGTCCTCCCAAGTCCAGCGCAGCAGCACCTGGGCCTCGCAGCTGCGCTCGCCCCTGGGCCCTGCCGAACCCGGCAGCGCCGAAGCGGCGGCGGCCGACGAGGCCCTCCGCCACGCGCCACGGCAGATCACGTACGTGGACGTGGATGCGGACCGCGACCGGGACACGAGCGCCATGGTCGTGCTGGGCGCGGCGTCCAAGCACCTGAACGAGTCGGACTTCTACCGGGTCGGGGCCGCGCAGTCGCGGCACGTCGCCGGCTGGGTCGCGGGCCTGAGGCGCGTGGTGCCGGCGCGCGACCCGCACACGCTCGACCCGCTGGGCCACTACTACGTGCTGTTCGACAGCCGGGCCGCCGCCGCCGCCTGGTGCGAGGAGGCCCGCCGCCTCTGGGCCCTGGCCAAGCAGACCACGCCCGGGGTGGGCCGGCGGCCCGGCTCCCAGTATCGCGGGGTGCTGCCCCAGGGCGACGCCACCCGCCGCGACGCCGAGTCCTTCACGCTCGTCAGCCCGGCCGGCCGCTGGGACCTCGAGATCGTCGACGCCTACACGCAGGTCCAGCGGGTGCTGGAGCGCTCGGGCGACATCGTCGACAAGCTGCGCCGGCGCGCCGGCTCGCGCTTCCTCGTGCTCGTGGTCGTGGACGGCGGGCGCATGAGCGTCGACATGCTGCGCGCGGCCATCCGGGAGGACGGCGCCGAGCGGAACCTGGCGTGGCGGGTCATGAACCTCGAGGGCGACGGCAGGAGCGGCGAGCACGGGCAGGGCGGCATCTTCCCGTTCGGCAGGAGCGGGCTCAAATCGGCGGACAAGCTCGGAATCGAGCAGGCCTTGCAGGAGCAGGCCATGCGCACCATGTCAGGGCCTGCTGGGAAGGACGAGGGCGAGGTGGAGGAACAAGACATCGAGGAGCAGCGGGAGGACGGTGCGGACGCCGCGATGGCCCAGGACCCGTGGACGGTGGTGCCTGGCATGGAGGAGCAGAGATCTTACCCGCGGTTCATCGTCCCGTTCCTGGATGAGGCCGAGGCCAGGCGCTTTGTGCGGAACTGGCACCGTCGGCAACTGACCCTCAGGATGGGCCAGCCCGGTGTCGATGCCGTGGAGTGGGAGGAGAGCCGGACCCTAAATGTATCATACCTGTGGTAATCACTGTACAATAACAACCCAACCTGAGAACAGTACCCGTCAGGAGAACAGAAACAGTATGGTTCCATGCGCAACCCTATGCCGTATCAGGTTCCCGAGTCACACATGGCGCTTGGGAGTTTTCCACCTGGAGATGTCCATCTCAGAGTAGCCTCAACCGGCATGAGCAGATCCAGCTTCACACATAAAACAAGTCTCACAATGCAGCACCCACGGGGAGGGTTTGAGGGCCACCCCAGGTAACAAAAAGAACTGTATTAAGAACCCATATCAACCAAACTCCGCCCAAAGATTTGCTCTGTTCCCTGCGCTGAACCGAACCTTTCCGGGCCGCTCTCGCTCTCGCTCTCTTTGTGCTTTCGGTATAGATCTGCTCTGTGTGCCTTTGCTTCTTTACTCCCACCCTGGTTGACGGGGAGCATTGTTCGGCACTTGGTGCTGCAATCCCCCTTTCTCACATCCCCCGGTCTTCTGCGCTGGCTATGCGGCGATGCACACGCTCGACAGACACAGGAACAGATTCGTCTCTTCCTTCCCCTCTCGTCCTCCGCCTCCAAAGAAAGGATAAAATGCCCCTCTCGTACCCTCCAGGAAATAATTGCTTGCTGGGGTCCTGATCCACCAGCAAGGCATACCTCGTTCAAAACCCTCCGAAAGCATCCCTCCTGAGCCGATCCAGCAGTCTATCATTCGCGTGCAGCTGTGGTATTTAGTACAATGCAAGCCCTGAGAACCTCGACATGTATTTCTTCTCCTTCCGCCGCTCCTCTGCCTCTCTCGTCACGCTTTGCTGCGCCGGTCCCGTTCTCTTGGGCGGCCATCGTTCCCATCATCTTGTTGTCCTCTCCGACCGGATTAACAGCACTTGCCCAGACCGCCCGAGCCTCCTCCTTGCGACACGTTGACGCCCGAGGCGCCTCCTGCGGGCTCGGACTTTTGGTTGTCGACGGCGCGCTTCTTGATGTCGGCGGCCAGGCTGTAGAAGGCCTTGTCGATGTTGATGTTGCTCTTGGCCGAGACCTCGAGGAAGGGGATGCCCAGCTCCTTGGCCAGCGCCTCGCCCTGCTCCGTGGACACTACGCGCTTGTCCTCCCAGTCGCACTTGTTGCCGATCAGGATCTTGTTGACGCCCTCGGTGGCGTGCTGCTCTACGTTTGCGAACCAGGTGCGGATGTCTGCAGGGAGGGCGCAACGGTGGTTAGTGACCCCGTCATGACCATGTCTTATAACCTGCGGTCCCCGCACGTCTCAGGCGACGAGAAGCGAGGACCGGTGGTATATAGGAGATATATAAAAGGAAGGAGGGTGCAAAGGTGAGGGTTCTCGCTTACTATCGAAGGATCTCTGGTCGGTCACATCGTAGACCAGTAGAATGCCCATGGCGCCGCGGTAGTAGGCCGTGGTGATGGTGCGGAAGCGCTCCTGACCGGCGGTGTCCCAGATCTGCAGCTTGACGCGCTTGCCATCGAGCTCGATGGTCCGGATCTTGAAGTCGATGCCGATGGTGGTGATGAAGGAGGGCGTGAACGAGTCCTCGCTGAACCGCAGCAGACAGCAGGACTTGCCGACGCCTGAGTCGCCGATGAGGAGCAGTTTGATCTGGAGAGGCAAGGTTGTCAGCAGAGGCCGCGGCCATCACGTATTTACACACACACACACAGAGAGAGAGAGAGACACAGATGTATAGAAAGCATGGGGTTGGGGAGGGGAGATGTACCAGGAAGTCATAGTTGCGGTTGCCTGACATGATGGCGGTTCTGGCCGGGGGCTTGATCTGTCGCCTGCGGGAACAATTGTTGGGATGCCGTCTGGCGACTTGGGGGTGTTGAACGGGCTGCCGGTGCTCACGTGAAGAGTGGAAGACGCAGGCGGTCAGGAGAGGGAGGATGGAGGATTCGGATCGCGGTACGGAGTCGTGGGGTGGTTCGTAGTCGAGATCGGGGGGGGGTCGTCGCGATTTAATCGTGAGACAAGGAGACGTGCGACGTGTGGTGTAGTGTAGTGTAGTACAGTGTAGTGTGGTAGAGCGTAGTGTGTAGTCAGTCGGCCGCAGTAACGACGCTTGCCTCCCCCCCAGGCGGTTTTGGTGATTGGTACGGCCTAACTTGGGTACCTTGGTCTGCAGCGAGTACTAGTCTCGCCAGTTACGTTACCAAAACGGGAGGTGCCAAAACGTGGGTTCTGGGTGTTGGTTCGGCTGGGTACGTAAGCCGTGCAGGCAATGGATGTCATGTCCTCAAGGATTATCTACCATGGTAAATCTAAAGACGTGTAGCGAATGCCATGCCAATGCGACAATAACCCAACGGTCTTGCTACCGAACGGCGGCTCACTCATACACCCAACTGAACTCCGGCTCCCAGGTTTGCTGATGGCAGGTATGGGGCTCTCCTTGCAAGATGACGAAGTGGTTTGGCGGACGCTGTGGGACGCTGTGGCTGTTAATCAGGGGCCTGGCATGTAAATTATGTACGTACATACACACAGACGAGAGCCTGGGGGACTCGATGGCGGGGCAGCTGTAGCCACCGACGTCGCTGCCGGGCCATTCCCATGCATGTCCCTTTCTTCCTCAGGACCCGTCACGTCTCTGGCGGCCGGTAGGGCGACTTATACCGCATGGCGGCCTACGCGTCGAGTCTGCGAAACAAAAGTCCGTGTCGCAGATAGTAGGTCACTTCAGATCAACAACGGAATCGCATAACTTGCGCATGTACCGGATCTACGGTATCGCCGCCCTGCAGGCATCTTCCCAAAGTGTTGGGTCCCCGTCACAGGGGCAGAGGTGCCAGTCCTGTCGAGTCCATCCCCTGAAGGTTGACGTGCAGTGCGCTAGCGGGGCCCAAGACATGACTTCCTAGGGTGACCCGGCAAGCATCACAAGTGCAACTTGCGCTTTTGATGAAAGGTCCCCGATCATGGAGACCCGACTGCGAGCTTAGCCTCACATGCCCGACTCGCGCGTGACCAGACCCGATGAAAGGTAGCATCCTCATGCAAGCCTAGCCATCCTGCCATGTCTGCTGTGCCACCGGGAACTGCCCGTGCCCATTCTTCGAGCTCAAACCGTAGCGGTAGATACTACCTCAACGTCCATCGGCATCCTCGTCACTTGCCCCCTTGCCTCCCTCGCCTTTGATGCCAAGTGTAACTACTATCGTAGGAACTCGGGGTCTTCGTCTTCTCGCCAGTAGCTGTGACCCAACCCGTAATTGCTGTCGCTTTCAACCGAGGAGCTCTTGCCCTGGCAGTCCTCGCATTGCTATAGAATCACGACAACGCGCGTCTACAATCTACAACATACACAGTTCAGGGGATGCATTCTGGTTGTTTGATAGTCATATGTTATTCGGTAGGCTAAGTAACGGCACTGGCGACTGGCACGCCCTCTGGTGCTACTTCAACCATTTTGCATACGCCCATCGGATACGGTCCAGAGCTCGCATCTGCGACTGTATGCCCTTGAGGTTTGCCAGGTCGTCGAGATCCTCCAAGAACTCCTTCTCGATCTCGGCCGGGACGAGCGGGTGCACCAGCCGTCGCAGGACATGAACCTCGCACACCAGCAGGCCGTGGTCTTTGTACGACAGAAGGTTGTTGGGAGACGGCGTAGCTTCCGACAGAATGCGGTCGATGTTTCGGAGCACACGCACACATTTGCCGGCACTCCGCTCGTCGCGGAAACCCTTTCGCCCTCCAAACTGCCTCCGGAGGTACTGCATCATGCCGATCGAGACGATGATGCCAGGCGTCAGTCCTACAAACCCGAATACCAACTCCTGGCTCTTCAGTAGTGCATCGATCCCCGCCATGGCCACCTCGACGTCGACCTTGGTTTTCTGGACCTGGATGAGCAGCGTCCGGACGAGGTCCCCACGGACCGCCCCGGTCAGGGGGTTTCGGAGGTCCTTCTCGTAGGCACGTAAGATTGGCGTGACGTCTCCTTCTCTCACTTTGGCCCGGATCTCTGCGATCTGAGACTCAGACACTGACGAGGCCCCTGTGGCTGCCATCGGCTTGTCCACGGCAAAGTCAACAACCATCCTTTCAAGGCTGTCCCGGTCCGCCTGCAGGCTGTCTCGGCTCATGATGGCAATCTCGCTGTTCGAGTCGTGGCGTATAGTGGCAACCACCTTGCGACTGGGCTCGACTATCCAGTTGAACCAGAAGTCTCTGACGGTGGTCCCAAAATCTCTGATCCATTCGATGATCTCCTGCTGCCGGTTCACAACTATGCGGAGGATTGTTGTCGAGGAGAGAAGAAGCGCAGTTGCCGGGAGCCAGTAGCGAACAAGTCTGGAAGGTCGGCCATGTTCAGCTACGAGCAGCTCGGTTGCCTCTAGGTGCCCTGGGAGATGTGTCGCGAGAAGGGCGTGCAGCCGCCTGGCGACGACGGCCGGCCGATTGCTCTCGTCTTCTTCGACCTGGATCGACAGCTCGGGGTCTTCTTCGACGCCGGCGAAGACTTTATCTTCGAACTCGGCGACACCCGACTCCAGAGCCAGGACGTCCTTTAAGACCATGTCCATCAGGGCGACACTCCGCTCGACCACGCCTTTCCATTCCTGATTATTCGACATGATGATGTCACTCTTGCCATCGTCGCTGCCGTTACCCCCAAATGCTAGTCCTTCGTCGATGAGCACGCCTAATCCGCTTGACATGATGTCTCGGAACTTCTTTAGCTTGGCCTGTTTCTTCCGTGCTTCCGATCGGGCAATGGCAGCTGGGGACATGATTCTCCGCTGAACATTGGTAAGCGATTTCTCTCTGATGCTCTCACGAACAATGCCGTAGAACTGCCGCCACCTCTCCGAGATGCTGGTGGTGACCTGCTCTTTGATGCCTTGCTGAGTAATCCCCCCCGCACCCGACGAACGGCGGCGGAAGCGATCCTTGCTGTCCGTGTAGATGTCCAGTGACCAGGCCCAGAATCGCCAAGGCGATGTCTGCACCATGTAGAGGGTGCTATAGGACCGGGAGGACAGGACGTCATCCCAATACCAGATGTGGTCGCTCAGGGGAATTATCTGGTCGAGCAGTGTGTCCATGATGATGCCGTACGTATGTACGGTAGCCTTGCTGACCAGGAGCCACTCAAGGTCAGCCTCATACTGATTTGGCCCAAAGTCCTGGCTGATAGTAACGCCCAGGTTGACCTGGGCCAGGAGCTCCTGCAGCCGCCATGCTGGCAGAACGGGCTGGGCTGCGCTAGTCGTCGACAGGGTTTTGATGACACGCAACAGGTCCTTGACGCGTGGCGAGTCTAGGCGGGTAGAGGCCTGCGACGTGAAGTCGTCGTCGTGAGGCTCCAGGTGGGTGAAGGGGATGCGATCCAGTTGCGCATCCAGGCGCCGTACCTGGCTGCCGGGGGGTGTTTGTCAGTACAGATGATATGACGGACGCGACGGGCGTGCACGAGGCTGACTCACTCTGCCACAACCGACATCTTTTGCCCTTTCCGAAAGGGATGAGACGAGGATGGTGTGAGGAGATTTATGTGGGTCCTAAGGTGAGGACGAATTCATCGTTGCTGGCCGGGCCGGGGACAACGGTGTGATGATCGAATGATGCGATGCGCCTGTTGGGGAAGTGTCGGGGCGCCTCGGGCTGGACGAATAGGGCCTTTTGCACGGCGATTACGAAACCCGAATACGAAAGAGTATATAGCCCCGTGCTGAGAGGCAGCTGCGGACGGCGAGAAGGGAGTGGGAGGAGAAGACCAGGTGGTCCTGGGTCTGGTTGTTTACTCTGTAGCTTAGCTCCGGGTGCAGGAGGTTCAAAAGCAGTGAAGTCATCCAAATGGCGGACGATCGAGCCCGGCCTCGGCCAGTCAGCCCTGTGGCCGATGTGTGGCGTCACCTGTCCAACAAAGCCGATAGCCCAAAACATACACTTGGCCACCACGCAAATATACAATACAACAGGTCACGCTCAGCTAAAACTTGCTCGGCGACCATGTGTGCCCCGTCCGATTCGAAACGCGATCAACGGTTCATTCCCCATAAGTTACGATAGGACCTGGCGGCCCTTCTTGGGAAAGAAGAGAAAGACTGGAGCAGCTGTCAAAACGTTGAAAACGTCAGATGGTTTGAGGCCGGTGGCACGACCCGTGGTGATTGGTGGTGCGTCCACGGTTGAAGCTACCGGGGGGCCGCTGTCGAGCACTGATCCGACTAGACAGCCCTGCTGCGGGGCCGCGATCTTCTCGTTCCTGCTGCTGGAGGATCGCCCGTACCTTGCTGTCTAGGTTGTTGTCATGGGCGGCTGCTTTCCAGTTCCACCGGGCAGTTGCTTGAGAGGCGTCTGGGGGCCATTGTTTGCGCCACAACGGGGTTTGCCGCTGGTTGGCTGGGGGTGGGCTAGTGGACTTTGTCGATTGCTGCTTGGGGCCGGAACTGAGGAATCCGTATCGTCCCACCATGGGGTGGGAATTTAATTGGCTCAATCAAATTGACAAGGCTCAAAAATCTCCCGGGGCGCCCCTTATCGCCTCCTCGACCCGCGCTGCTTTTCCTCTGAAGAACCCTATAAAGAATTCCAAAGATTCTCAGGGTCCCGACATTCCTTCCAAAAGGCTGCCTTGATCGCAGCCGCCTCCGTCTCTCCCTCGCCTCCGCTTCGCCGCCGGACGAGAGCACATACGCTCCTTAGCTTCCCCTGAGATCGCCTCCCCTCACCATGGCGTCCATGTACGTGCCTCGCCCTCCCCCCTTCCTCCCCCAGACCGCAACTTGCGACGCGTACGTCTACTGACCAACTCGCGTCTACAGAAATGCCACCATCGCGGGCGCCTTCACCCACCCTGACACCTTCTCCGGCGTCCTGGAGGAGGTCACCAAGTACAATGTCCATCTCAACATCGTTGAGCGCCTCTGGGCCGCCTGGTACCTTTGGATGCAGAACGACACCCTCGCCACCGGAATCATGAGCTTCGTCATGCACGAGGTCATCTACTTCGGCCGCTCGCTGCCCTGGATGATCATCGACCGCATTCCCTACTTCCGAAAGTACAAGCTTCAGAACCAGAAGATCCCCACCCTCAAGGAGCAGTGGGAATGCGCCAGCTTGGTCCTGCTCAGCCACTTCACCGTCGAGCTGCCCCAGATCTGGCTCTTCCACCCCATCGCTACCTACTTTGGCATGGACTACGGCGTGCCCTTCCCATCGCTCGGCAAGATGGCCTTCCAGATTGCCGTCTTCTTCGTCATGGAGGATACCTGGCACTACTGGTTCCACCGCGCCCTGCACTACGGCCCGCTCTACAAGATGATCCACAAGCTTCACCACACCTACTCTGCTCCCTTCGGTCTGGCTGCTGAGTATGCTTCGCCCATCGAGGTTATGCTGCTCGCCTTGGGAACCGTCGGGTCCCCCATCCTCTGGGTGTCCCTGACTGGTGACCTGCACCTCTTCACCATGTACATGTGGATCGTTGGCCGCCTCTTCCAGGCCATCGACTCCCACAGTGGCTACGACTTCCCCTGGAGTCTGCACCACTTCCTCCCCTTCTGGGCTGGTGCTCACCACCATGACGTGCACCACGAGCGTTTCATTGGCAATTACTCGTCGAGCTTCCGCTGGTGGGACCTGCTACTCGACACCGAGTCCGGTCCCGAGGCTGCCAAGAAGCGCCGCGAGAGAAAGCTTGCTGCTCTCAAGGCCAAGAAGGTCAACTAAACGAGTTGATTTGTGGCATGATTGGTGGCACTCGGTGAAAACCACTACCAAATTAGAAAGCATCTCGAGCCTAATAAGCTCGGGCGACACTGGGGCAAGTCCCCAAGAAGAAGAAGAAGAAGTGCTACGCGGAATGAGAGCATTCGGAGAGCATGATGCATAATGAGGCGTACGAGGTCCCGCGGCATTCGTTGATTCTGTACATAACTTGGGGGCCGGCGAGCTTTGTATACAGTTTAATTTTGGGACGAGGTATTCCACATAGATCACAAAAACCTAATGAAGAGAAACCCTTCTCGCCTCAGAGGTGGGAAGGTCTATAATTACACAATATTTTCTGCGACCAGGTCATCATCGTGGGGGGATTCTTGGCCGGTCGTCTTTGTATCCCGCTCTCTTGGATATGCAGTAAGACGGCACCAAAATACCCAGGCAATGACATATACACCCATCAGTCCGCTAGCCGCTACACCATGAAACATGCTCACCAGCAGATAAGCGGACTGCCCAATGGCCAAAAGCATTCACCGTAAGTACTGACCTGCGCGAACCTGGATCAAGCGAATCCTAAACTTCATGTCATGCAATGCAAGGCCCCCATCCACCCATCCGTCCGTCCGTCCATACAGCCAACCACCCGTACCAGCATCTCGAAAATAGACAAGGTTGTTTGCCCTAGGCCTTTGGCTTCGGCTTCGGCTTCGGCTTCGGCTTCGGTATGCAGCAGTCGCCAGCATTAGACGCTGCAGCATCAGCCAGCCCGCTGCCCAGACTGCAGCTCTGCTCGCTGGAAGCATCCTTGTCGACGACCTCGCCAAAGTCACGAGCCAGGCTGTCACAGATGGCCGCCAGCTCGACGTCGAGCGCCGAGAGGCCCTGCGGGCTGTGCGTCTTCCAGCGGATGAAGGTTGTGTTGTAGACCTAGAGAGACGCAGCGGGCGGCATTAGCGGGTGGCATCTCATAGGGAAGGGAAGTGCGAAGTAGAACATGCAGGGTAAAGGGGGGGTTGGATTTCTGGGATCAGCGAAGTCACATCGACGGCGCTTTAGTCAAGCTTTCCTGCATCACTGGCTATCACGCCATTCATTACGCCTGGCTACCGCGGTGGTGATATCTCTAGCGGCGCGGGTACGTGGAATGGAAGATGACATGGACCGCCCGGATGACCGAACCAAGGGCACATAGACGTTGGCGCAACTCAAGAAGAACTTGACACGCTGGTTGTGACTTACATTCGACCACTCCGGGTGGTGGTTCTTGAGTTTGCATTGTAGTGCTACTGCCGTCATAAAGTCCTAGTAGGCTGTCAGTCACGCGCTCGGTGGGAAAAGAAAGCGAGTTAGTTCATTGCAACTAAAGACATGGAGCCACTTGATCCCAAATATCCATCTTGAAGCATGACAGCGCCCAGGTCGCGAGCACATCCCAAGGTTGTGCTTGCCCATACGTGAGACTCTGGCTGGTCTCGACGAATGGAAAACGCAGGAACAAAAAGACGAGCCACTTACCCACGTCTTGGCAAACGTCTTGAACTTGAAGCTCCGTTCCAGACCCTCGCCGCTCGGGATCAAATTCCAACGTCCTCGTACTGCACTGGACTCGCTGTCTGCTGATGCTAGCAGGCCCTGCAGCTTCTGGGTCAGGCCCGCCTCGTCCGAGCCCTCAGAGAACTTGGGTACCGGCCGTTGTGGCAACGCCGATGAAGAGGTCTGGGTTGACATGCTGGAGACCAGTAGACGAGGTGCTTGTTGAGTCCTCTGCAAGATGGCCCGGTGTGATGGTGCTAGCTGGCAGCTAAAAGGGTGTCGATGTGCGTACGATGTGGATCGAACAAGTGTGGTCGGTCCCCGGGTGAGGGAGCACCTGTAGCACGTTCTAAGAGTTTGCATTGGAAGATACCCGAAATAGTTGGCTTCAATTTCCCAGTTGCTGAAACGCGTTAGATGTTATGGTCGGGACCTGCAGCTTCTCAGTAGACATAAGGTGAGTGAAGTAGCTGAGTGACGGGTATCAAATTTCAGGTAACGCCATATGAGCCGCAAAGTGGGTACGCTGAGTGACACAGGCGCCGCCTGTGACCAACCCTTCAGCGTATAGGCAATGGCATCCACCATAATCTCCTCTGTACCGCTGTATCGCACTACAATCCTGAATATATATTCCCGTGTGCGTCATCACTGGCTTGCTTGAATTATAGAGCACTTAGGTGGAAGTCGGTCTCAGGTACCAGGTAACCTAGGCGAGCCTGCAGTAGTTTGTGGGGTAACAGATCAGGCTAGATAGCATGTGGCAGGAGGTTGTTGATTGAGGGATTCATGTCAGCAATCAGCGTATGGTTGCGGCGAGTACTTGTATAGCATTGTATATCCATTATTCAACAATCTTCAAGGTTTACTTCAAGTCAATCCGCACTCGGTGATCTCAAGTTTTGTTGTTGACTTCCAAGATGCGTGTCCCTCACAACAGTGATGTTCCTGTTCGCGGAGCACCATCCTCCACGGTCAGAGGAACTGCGGCATTGAACGAAGCCGCCACTTCTAGCTACACAGCATTACGAAGCGACTTGCTTATTCCAGGGCGAGGGCAGCCCATTGAGCATGGAGCATTGGTTATCAAAGATGCTAAGATCGAATGGGTTGGCGAGTTCACAGGCCGACCGTCCAAGTACGGCAGTCTTGATTTCAAGCATGTGCCGGTACTGATGCCGGGACTATGGGATTGCCACGTCCATTTCGGCGGATGGGGTCTGGGATCCGGCACTATTGGTGATCACAGGACATTGCTGCCAGGCGCTCAAGCGTTAGCTGGTGCCGTCACTGTCGACGATCTACGACGTACTCTAGAGGCTGGCTTTACGAGCGTACGAGAGCTCTCCGGGGTAAGTGGTGTTGCAACGCAAAGTCTGGGCGGGTAATCTTGGCTTGCTGACTCTCATCAGTACGCCGGATATCTCTGGCCCGGGATCCGAGACGGTTACATCGTCGGGCCAAACGTATACTCCTCCTTAACAGCGCTTTCCATCACTGGTGGTCATGGCGACGTCCATGACCTCCCAATCTGCGCCGTGCATGGCTTTGGCGAAGCTGGCGGGAACTACCAACTTTGTGACGGTGTAGACGAGTGCCTCAAAGCCGTTCGGACAATGGTGCGTAGGGGAGCCCGTTGCATCAAAGTCTGTTCGTCTGGGGGTGTTCTTAGCCTTGATGACGACCCGGAGGATCGCCAGTTCTCGGATGCAGAACTAACGGCCATCGTAGAGGAGGCTTCTCGCTCAGGCCGCTGTGTCGCTGCTCATGCCATTGGCAAGGCCGGCATCTTGGCAGCTCTCAGGGCCGGCGTCACTAGCATTGAACACGGCTGTTATTTGGACGAAGAAGTTGCAGATATCATGAAGCAGAAGGGCACAATCCTGGTAGCAACTCGACACATACAGGAGAGCCTCTTTCTAGACCATCGGGGATTCCCCGAGCCCGTTGTTGAGAAGATAAAAAAGATCGTGCCTCTGACTCGGGCTAACTACAATCTGGCTGTTAAACTAGGAGTTAAGATTGCCCTGGGGACGGATTCTTGGAATAGTAAATCGGGAGAGCGCCTGTCCCATGGCAATAACGCCATGGAGTTGACGTATGCAGTCAAGGCCGGTCTCAGTCCACTCGAAGCCATTGAGGCCATGACTGCCACAGCCCCGGACGTTCTGGGAGGCAAAGCGCCTAAGAGTGGTCAGCTGAAGGAAGGTGAGCCACTGGATCCTCCTCAAAGATGCCTGTTGTTGGTACACGCTGACCTCGACAATCAGGGTATGACGCCGATATACTAGGCGTAGCTGGAAACCCATTACAAGATCTAAGTTACCTCACTGACTCGACCAATGTCACACATGTATGGAAAGGTGGCAAGCTATACAAGTCATCTTAAGAGATCTATCCTCGTTGGATATCTACCAGTCATGAGGCGTCGGCATTTTCTACCCCGGGAAAAGAAAACAAATCCAATGGAGGAGCAGTACGTACTATCTCGAGGTCATGCAAGTAGCACAGCGTGGTAGGGATCCAAGCCGGTCAAGAACACATCGTTGAGGTTGCCTGTTCGTCATATCATCAAGCGTGCTGCACAACCCTTACTCTTATATGCCCGATCCGTTTGTCCTCCTAGGGGTCCTACATATTCCTGCCACGCAGGCAGCCCTATCTTCGTGACCTCGAGACCGAACTGACGAATTAGACGATGGACACAACTTTGTAGATCGGTATCTTTTCCCCGAAGCGGCAGAACGCAACCACAAGCTTATGCAATCGAGGCGGCCCGGCCAGTGCATGGAGCCTATCCAAAATCCTACGCGCATTCATCCTAGCAAGAGTGCGATGGATGTATGACCTGAGATGCTGCTATTTATTACAGAATCATGTACTGCCAATGTGAAAATCGTACGTGGCTGTGGCCGGAGTGAGCCTCCTACGTCTCTATCATTCCTACATCCTCACTGTCTCTGCACTGCGCACGCCGGGTGAGGAAGCGTTTCTAGCTGGGCTCTGCGTCTCTCGTCTGAGGTTTCGACATATGGATCCGAGGTAAGTATGGCTCGAGATTGCTCTACGTGGGAGGGATATCCAGCTATGCGCTCACGCAGCCAAGCGGCCGAGCCCTGGGCAATCTTTTCTGTTTCCGAGACATGACTAACTAGGATCGCCACGACAAGCAATGTGACATGGCAATACCCACCAACTATTAGTCATCCATTTAGCAATATCTCCGCTGCCCGCTATCATGATGTTCATGTTCTGATGATATGATCAAACTTGACAGCCCTGTAGGAAGACGGTACACCACGCCGCCGGGGATAAGCTTGGAAAGGCTTAGTCGAACGCGCGTGAGCGTAACAAGGGCAAGCTCCAGCGTTAGTCCTTGGGTTGGGGTGGTAGTTAGAGCCGAGTAGGACGGAGGCCCGGAACCCTCGCTTGTTAGTCGGAGTTTTAGGTCATGCCGTAAGCAGACTATGTACAACTAAGATTGGAAGTGCAATTCATAGGCGACCCTTCGGTGGTGGCCGGACCCCTAGAGGTTGCTTTATGATTCCCTGATTAGGTAAATCGATAATCACCAACCTGGGCGACATGTGAGCTGACCGACGATCGCCAAGTGGCTAGTACACAGTAACTGTAAAGGGAGTGGAATATGAGCAAGCCGGCCCCGCGTAGTTTAGGATATTTCTGGCTCTCGGGATCCCATGGGTAGATTGCGGCCGCGTCAATGCTCTCCACGAACGGAGATCCACACCTGCATCTGATCTGGAAGGGTACAGAGGGTGGTGGGCTGCTACAGTACGAGTACGTCCAGGCTCACTGGATCAGGATGGAACGCTGAAGCCTGGTGATCCTCAACATTATCATGCAGAGCAAGTTGGCAGCCAGCCCGCAGAACCACATCAACAGCTCGAGCTACACGCAGGTATGCAAGCCGTATTTATCGTCCAGTTGGAGGCGTGTCTCGCATCCTGGGCGCACGGCTGCGTGGAGTCATGCATGCGGCGTATAGCTGCCGGATGTTGCTCAAGGTCTGGCTGACAATCCCTGTAACTGCCTGGAATGGGCGCCGAAGTGGAATTGACAGCCATCGATAATACCGTGCCCTTTTCGTCAGGACGGTTCATGACCCTGTGGTCGCACCACTGCAACCTGCAATCGACGGCGCCTGTGGGCAACTTGTGATGAGCACGGTCATGGTAACACCGGCCGCGACGGGTTATGTAATTCCGGCGGTCCTTCAAGTGGCTTTTAACTACCTAGGTACCGAGGAAGACTTTACCTAGGTAGTTGGACCCAAATCCGCGAAGCACAGCACCAGACAGGGCGGAGGACGAAGAAGAAGATAATGCAAGGCGGACGGGGACGGGGTGCCAGTCTCGGGCTTATTACTAGGCCTGTCGATGACGAGGTTCACCAGTCAGGAGCAGAAACAACCCTTGGCCTGATGGGAGTAAAGAGGAAGTCCGAAGTGCCACAGCCTGGCTGGCGTTGGGTAAATTAGAGGCTCCAGTGCCCAGGAGCTGATGCGCGGTACTTTGCCCGTCGAGTGAGAGCCCAGCAGGCCAGAGGAAAAGCCCCGATGTCCTAAACAGGCAGTAACAAGATGCCCTTCTGTCTTTCCACGCCTCGCAACTGCAGTTTCAATCTTCCGGACGAAACGCCTGATGCCGGTGGCCAAAGTACCTTGCGAATGAAGCCACCCGCCGTTGGAACTTGGAACAGGCCAACCGTCAACGCAAGTGTTGGGATTCCCGCGGTGCTTCCATCCAGTCCAGCTCTCAGAGCTAACTGGGCCTGACATTGATGCCCGCTCCGCTCCCTCTCTACATGATAAACACCTGTTCTTTCGTGCCGTCATGTAATCGAACCCTGCCAGCCTGCAAGTCATTGCGGTCTCTGACACTGACCACCGCCCACACACACCATACTGCTTGGCGAGAATCCCTCTCGGAATTAACCCCCAGAGCCAGCAGGTCCCATTTTTCTCTGTTGGTGTGGGAAGCCAACAGCAACTCGTGCCAGGGTCAGGGTCAGCCACGGGAAGTGCTGACAAACCCGGCCAACCCAGCCCGAGCTCTGCCTCCAGGCACGCCTCATCTGGCTCGAGGGCGAGTGCGAACGGGCCGGACTTGTTCGGGATTGTCTTGCATTGCACTTTTTCTTCTTCTGTTCTTACGACGTGCCTTGTTGTCCGCACGAGCTACGCGGCCGCTAATGAGCTCGGGCTGAATTGACACAACACACACACACACACACACGCCACCTGACGGGCCCCATCATCCATTCGTCCATATCATCTCGCAGGCATTCCGCGTTTTCTCTCAGCTAGGGGAACGGCGGCGTCTGTGAGTGGTGTGACTGACTAATAAACTTTTCCTCGATCCATCAACCATCCCGGCAATACATAGCACGCCAGCAGCACGCGCTTCTTTTCCCTCCCCGGACCACCACCCACTCCGCCCACCAGACAGCTGTCAGCAGCAGCGGCACCAGCAGTAGCATCTCGCGATTCATTCGAGCCGCACTGCCGGTGGGCGAATTCCGCGCTTCTGCTGCACGGTCAATCCCCGACACGGTACTTCTTTGCTCGCTGAATAATCGGGGCCTTGATTACGCGATAAAACGCCGGCCTGCGTGTCTGCGGACTCGCTTGATTGGCTGACGGACCGTCATCATCGCATTTAACACGGGTTGTAACAACAGCCAGCCCAGCAGCTATCGGTACATACGGTCACGTCGGTCTCGTGCGCGAGCCAGGAACACGCTGCGTGGCCTGGGGCCCTCTCCAGCATATCCCAGATCTGGTCGATCGTTCCCGGGTCTCACAGCCTTCAGCCAGCCAAGCTGCAGCTTCCACCAGATCTATCAAGATTTGAGATTGACCGTCATTACACCTCATCGACGATATGGAGTATGCCAGTGTAGCGGCTACCACCATGGCTTCTTCCAAGGTCAGCAATTAGCTTTTCCTCGCTTTTGTATCAGTCATCACCCGGCCCAACCCCCAGGCCCAGCACATCACGCATCGAACACATCACAGATGGTACAACACAACACCCCAGTCACCTTCCCACCGGCCGCCACCTTCGTCCTTTTGAGCCCTTTCTGGTACTGTACCCACGCTTGCTAGTAGTCGGAGAGTCACGGCGTGCCAGTATCTTTCGATGTCTTGTTTATTTTTCTCTCGTCCCAGCCAGACATCCCGTCTTCAGGCGGACAAAACCCAACTAAAGCTCCTTCGTGTGGGCTGTCTTGTAGTAGAAATCCCCGTCGGGCCGCTTGCTGACTCACAATTTGCAGAACAATACAAGCTTCAGTGGTGAGTGCGGGCGCTTCTCTTCGCCTACAAGCTTTGCTTCCAACCATATTCCTTTTCCTTTACGGCCGCACCCCTCCATGTCCGGTCATCCATTACGTTCACCACCCCTCCTCTGGTCATGCTAAGGCCGTTTAATCCCTTCCCGAATATGTAATCAGCACCTGCTGGCGCCAGAGCCTAGTCGTCCACCTTAGACGGCCTCGGTCTCGCGTTACACGCACATCCCTCTCCGTTCTATCCACTCACCGGCTACTTCATTACCAAATACCCGCTCTTAGGCCCATCAGGCCCTTGTCCGAGAGTTTCATTATCATACATATTCCCATCCTGGCCCACATCTCCAGTCAGCCCCGGCTTCTACTGGTTCTTATATTCTTCTGCCTTTCCCACACACCCGGCATCCCGACCGAGCATAGTCATTAGTGTGCCATTGTAGACCGACTGACTTGCGCATCCGTTCAGACGAGGCGGAATTGCGCGCACAACTCGCTCAGGCAGCAGCACTTCGGCTTGACGATACAGAGCTTCCCTCCAAGGACGGCAGAACCAGCCTTCCGCAGCAATCAACCCACCCAACGGTGCAACCACATGGATACGACCGCCAGAGTGTAGCTGCGCAAAATAATATACACCCTTCGCTGAGAGCGGACATCAACATAGCGCCAGCTCCAGATATCATGCCACCTGGCCCGACTGGCGCGGGCCCTTCCAATTCTGCCGCATCCGCAATGGCTGTCCAGGGACTTATAGATCATGATCCCGAGGATTCCGTGTCTGATGGGCGGAAAGCCAAGCGAGAACTCTCACAATCAAAGCGAGCCGCGCAAAACAGAGCTGCTCAGGTAAGTGAAGCATAACTCCGCATCAGAATGCTATACACATGTCGATTTCCCGGGGGTTGTGTGGACCAGTGGACCAGAGGACACGGAACGGGGGCTTTCGGGCATGAAGAGAGCATGGTGCGCAGATGCCAGCATTAGAGGGGTTCTCATTGCTCTCCCTTCGAGTGCGGGCTGTGTCAGCCTCCTCCCTCGGGCCAGGATGATTAATTACAACGATGGACGCACGTCGCCTTGACTCTGGCGCACACGAAACCCCGGACAGGCCCCTAGCCACACCCAGATTTCTCTTGTTACAAACAGCTATCTGCCATGTGAGCCATGACTGACAAAAACACAGCGAGCTTTCAGACAAAGGAAGGAGCACTACATCAAGAAACTAGAACAGCAGGTTCGCGAGTATGGAGAAATGGAGCACAACTTCAAGGCTATGCAGAACGATACATACGCGCTTCGAGAGTACGTCATACAGTTGCAGTCACGGTTGTTGGATCTTCAGGTCGAACTACCGCAGCCGCCTCCGAATTTGAATCTTCCGCCACCGCCGCCCAGGCCCGCCCAGCATACCGTCAGCCATCATCATCCTGAGCCTGGACCGGCCGGACCATCGGCTGGATCCCTGGCTGATGTAGCAGCTGCTGTCGCTGGCCTACGGGCTCACGGGAGTGCAGTGGATGGGTATTCGAAGTTCAAAGCAGAGAACGACGTAGGCCCCCGTCGCGAGGAGGACGCTCGGAGGTTGCATGAACCCTTACCGCCGTCTTCATCCCTCAGGGCTTAGGAGGCACACGGTAACGTGAAGAACGGGGTAGGCGATCATGCGCCTTCACATTATACATATCACCCCTTTACGCAGGCCATTGATCCCGAGCTGTCACGCGATGACATTTAGTCGAATGCGGATATACTGGCCGTGTGCCTCATGACGTGGGCCTCGTGGCACACAAGTGGTCTGAGCGGTTGCAAAAGACGATTTCAACATGCTTTCCCAATGGCGTTGGTGGATCTGACGCGTGTCAGACGACATCAGGTTTAGGCGTTTGGTTGATTGTTTCACAGGGGTGAGGAAAATCCCATGGCTATAAAGAGGCTGTGATTCCGATCAACATTGTATCTACTACGTAACCAGTGTGGTTCGACAGGCCCTTGTGGTTTACATGGCTTTGGCACCACTGTGTTTCCCCAGGGGAAAGGGCGATAACCGCCCTGTGAATAGTTCACTATCTGGAACTCGGCAGCTGACGAGCCGACTGCCGTGCTTAGAGACGTACTCTTGAAACATTGGTGCTGAAGTGAATGGATCGTCCAAACATGGACAGAGAATCCCTCTTGTGACGACACTATTTACGATTTGCAAGCTGCAGTTGCCACGAGCAGTCAGTACGAGGCTGCGACAGAAAGTCTATGTCGGATGGAACCCCTGCTCTTACTTTCGAATGCTGCTGCACTTATATCGACGCTTGACACGGCCTCAACCGCAGGTCGAAAGAGCCAACATAGCAGCTTATGCGGTTGATGAACTCCTCGAAGGAGCGTTGTGGTTTCTCAAAACGAAAACGTCGGTGTGTTTTACGTAGTCAACTCAACTCTCGCTCTATTTTCTTTTCCCGACTTTAGATCGTACAAGACAGGCCCTCCCTCCCCCCAATTCTTCTTCTTCGGCTTTGGTGCCCTCCACAACCATGGGCCGTACGAGCAGATTCCTCAGACCCGTTTGTCGGCTGGGTAATTTTCTTGTGGCATGCCACTCTGCTTATATCTGTCAAAAAATCATCATTGCGCCATCCCCCCCTCTGTCTGCTTTTTGCTGGTCTCGTCGATAGTCCACACTGCCCGAAGGAGCGCTACGACAGCTACCGTTTGGTGGGGGTAATCAGAACAAGGCTGATCAGTCCCGTACATTAAGACCATGAGTTGCCCAGTTCGTGCTCCTGTATTATGCATTACGTCAGCGATCTGATGTTTCGGCGTTGAAAGGGCAGCGTTGCTTCGGTGAGTATACGACACAATGGGCGAGGGTTTTGGTGTAACACCCGCGGCATGGAGATGGAGGGGGTGAATTGGGGTAGTATGCAAGGATAACAAGGAACGGCGCTACCACCATGGGCTTCCATGGGCCGCAAGCCGGAGAAAGAAGCTGACCCCCCCCCCCCCCCCCTCTCCTAAGCAGCCAAGGGCAGGCAAGCGAGCGAGCGGAAGCACGTATTCGGTTGCTTCTTTCAGCCTCGGCCACGTGTTGCTGATCAACGCCCAGATCGGGGTCACCCTGGCGACGGGTCGACAGAGCAGGCACACGGACGAGTGAGGTCGAGGCTGGCTTATGTCATGTGCGGCTGGATCCCGGTGGCTAATCTGGATTTGAAAGTCCGACGACCGTTGCACTCGCAACAATTGTGCGGACGGAAGGATTCTGCTTTGCTGACCAACCCCAGGGGAACTTCACAGGGTCTATACGACCTGGCGAATCAGGCCTACATGACCCTCGGCTGGGAGGCGGGATGGGGAGGGGATCGAATATTTGTTTTGGGAGGGGAGTGATTGGACGAAAGTCACGGATAGAGAGAGATGCGCTTGCATAACTGGCCGTAGCCAGGCAGTCAGACTCACCTTGAGATAGTCGGCCCCCTTCTCTTGCCATTCTGCCTTTGTAACAACGGCCGTGTTGTACCCAGATGAGCCCACCCAGCCTGCAGCGCCCTTCCAGGCGTCCAGGAGCGGGTCAGTTGCTCTGCGGATTGTCAGGGGGCTTCCAGCAGGGAGGAGCGCCGTCAGGCCCTGACGCAGCCTATCGTCGAAGTTCTCGAATAGCGTGTTTCCGCCGGTCAAGAATATGTCACGCAGGAAGTCGTCCCGGTTGATGCTTGGAATGCCAACCAGGCGTTGGGTCAAGATATCACCTGCGATCTCAATCAGGCCGGCCTGATCGACTCCGGCAATGGAAGGCTGGAATACCACCTCCGGAACCCTGATGCGCTCGACGTTGAGATGTAATTGATGGGTCTCGGACTGGGCACCCACATCAAAGGGCCGTGGACCTCGCATGAATGCGTGTAGAAGCGATCTACTCCAGTCGTTCTGGGCTTCGTATGTATCGTCGTGAGTGAAGTTGACATCGTAGCGTAGCAAGTCCTCTTCAAGAGCCTTGACCTGACTCTCAAAATCTTCTTCGCCGTCCTCGTCATCGCTGCCCTGGTCCCCTATTGCGATGTCTCGGTAGACACCCCAGTCGTCATCGTTGGCACCGAAGGTATCATCATCGCCACCTCGGCGTCGTTTGCCGCGGGGACCGTCGGAGGCGAGGTTCGCGATGGACTTCATCCGCATCTGTGAAGCAAGAGACTTTCGATTCCCAAGATCGGCCTTGAGACGGTCGCGCTCCTTCATGCGCTGAAGTGCTTCGGCACGAGCCACACGCTTCACTTCCAGCCATCCCTCGAGGTCATTCTCGCGGCGTTCTCGGTCAGCTTGCTCCTCCGCTTCAATGCGAGCCTTCTCGGCTTCCTTCTCCGCCTTGGCCCGAGCACGAGCTTCGTGATTCGATTTCATGAGGCGCTGCTGGCGTTTCTGCTTAAGGCTGGCCTCATCTAGCTGGTCATCCGGAACATCCAGCAGGCTAAAGTCGGGAGCCTCTTGCTCTTCCTCAGCGTCGCCCCCGACGTCCTTGTTGCGAGCCTTTTTGACGGACTTTTCAAGCTCTCTGATGGTCCGCTCGAGGTGGGCCTCGTCCTTCATGTCCTCGCCGTCCAGAAGACGTTTTGTGTCCTTCTTGTTGGCGTTGGCTATCCTCTCCTGCAGGTTCTTGTAGTATTCGAGCTCCTGCTCCTTGCGCATCAGCCGCTCGAGGCGCATCTTCTGGGCTTGCTCCTGTAGTCTCCGGCCGCTCTCCTTCTTGCGTTCTGCTATGCGCGCAAGCTCTTCTTCACTCTTCTGCACGATGACTTCCTCGGTAAACGGGTATTGTATGACAACATCTCTGTCCTCAAGGCCTGTCCAATCAAGGTAGGACCGTACCTCATCGTCGTAAGATTTTGAAACGTAGCAGTGGTCCCTTATCATGTGCTCGGCTTGCGAGGCATTGAGTTTCCCGGGGAATGAGGGATACTTGAGGCGGATAAGCTTCAAGAGGTACTCGGACGCATGCCAGCCACCCCAGTTGAGTCTGATGGCCTGTGCTAGCATCGCCTTGGAGTTGTAGACAGGTATAACATGGGTCGAGCTGTATGAAGACGACACCACCAGGCCTGTCGTGCCCTTGTTGTACCGATAAGAGAATAACGAATCGATCCCCGTAGCAAGGGAGGGCGCACCGTAGCATTCGAATATGATCTCGTTCATGGCTAGAACATGTGTTAGCGTGCTTGTGTGTGATCTGTGTTTGACTGTGCATTCTTACATTTCCTTGAATACGGCAGGTTTGCGACAGCCTCGGTCAAGACGATTGGCATATCGATGCCGCCTTCCGCGGCGTTCATACCCAGCTTGAGAAAGGTCCAGTCGAGGACATGCTCCATGACGTCCCAGTTGCTGACAACGCCAGAGCCGACCTCGAATGCGTTCCTGATGTGGCCACGGGCGTTGGTGTCGGCGTAGCAATCGGCGCCTGCGAAGGAGTAGGTCTTGCCCAGCTTGCGGTCTCTGTACTTGGCCATGATCGGGGGCAGAGTGAACCTCGGCTGCGACTCGAAGGACCAGCCGGCCCTGACGGCGGAAGAGCCTGGGTATTGCGTCCTGTCAGCGTGATCCAGCGCAGAAGCATGTGCGGAGAGAGGGGTTTGCTGGCTCACCATTGTCGATGACTATTGCCGCGCGGCCGGCGGGTTGCGCCAGCGCCTTCTCCCTGCCATCGGGCTGGGGAGGCGTGTGAGCCTCGAAGCGGAACTCCTTGACCGGGTAGATGTTGGCGGGAGGATAGGTCTTCTCCTCGCGCATGGGGATGTCCCCCAGGGACTGTGTGGACGGGTCGACGGCTGAAGGCGCCATGGCTGGGTGGCGATTCTACTTCACGATGGTGTTGCGGAAGGTTGCATGGCGCTGGGAATAGTATCGGAATGGGACCAGGCTAACACGGCGATGGGAGCGGCGGCCAATCGAGATCGGTGTCGATGACTGGCAAGCGAGCTCAGCCGGCACTGTTTCGTTTTGGATGCTCGGATTGCACGGCTGGGCCGAAAAGAAAGCGTCCTACTGGGAGGCGGGCAAGACGGGCATCGCAGTCTCACTCTCTCGCGTTGCGTTTGCCGTGATGCAAGGCTGAGATGCGCCTGGACCTACGGGTGTACAGGGGTCGCCGTCTGTCCACTTCCACTGGCCCTTTTCACGGAGCTATGGCCACCCACCCATTCCGCGTTCAGTTACGTGACTGGGAGCGGAACACACCACCGCGTAGAGGGGCATCGGGTAGACAAGTCGAAGGTAGGTATTCCAAGCGGGCGATGCGAACCACAGACGAAGGCAGTCAGGGTTGCCATATGACACAGGTCGTGCCATACTATAGGAGATGAGATGATGCGCACACTTGGGTATATACATCTATTTAGAAGACTCGACTCTCGTAGAACGCCTAACCATGACCCAGAGACAAGAACCGTGTTGCCCATTTCCGCATCTCTCACCTCACCCCATCATCTTGAGACTTTCCTCTCACGGCGCTCTTCATGAACCCTCCTACGAAGGATCCTTTAACCCATCCGTGGCTGTTCAAAGTCAGTACGGACCAAGATGTCTAGTTACAGTGCGTGACGTACCTTCGAGGTGGAAGAGCACGTTGGACTGGTAGTTCTTGAACATCTGCGCGACGAGCTCGATGTTCATGTTCTGCACATTGATGTCCTGGCTTGATGTGAGTAAGGTTACGCCCGCCGACCAACCTCCGGACGAATACGCACCTGAAGGCTCTTGTTCATCACCACAATGGACTCGTTCAGTTTCTCCTGGTGATGTTGGCTTTGGGTCAGTTCCCGGCAAGCTGTAGTGTTTACTCGTGCCAAAGTCCCAAGCCGACTTACAACATTTGTGATGATGCGCGACAGCAGGAGATTCTGCTGGTGCTCATGAGGGCTCTCCTAGTCATCCGGGTTAATAACGCCTCCCTCAGCTTCGGTAAGTTGGTCAAAAAATACCATTCTGCGTATCTGAAGGGTGTACCGTATTGTAGCTGTACATGCGAGCGCTTGTGTTTGGGCTTTGGCTGAGCGCCAGGGCGGTGGTTACAGTGAACAAGGCAAGGCTGGTCGGGCTTTACAAGCGCCGATCAGCCAGCCTCTCGCTCAGCGCGCCGAAGAGCTGCCAACGGCCAAGACAGCATCAGCCATCTTCGTTCCTGGCGACCACCTTCACTCTCAGCACTTACCGCACACAGGATCCAATCAATCAAGAAAGAAAGCCAACAGCCGAGAAGAACCGTCTTTCCATAGTAGCCAGGAGTACACAGCGTCCTAAGCGATAGCAGCCATGGCCGCACCCACCGAGGCGCAGATAGCGCACCAGGAGCTCATCGACACGCTCGACATCCACTCGATCCCCAAGAGCTTCCGCAGCACCACGTGGCGGCCGAACCAGCGGCGCAACAAGAACATCAAGACCATCATCGGCGACGCCACCCGCAAGGAGGCCTCGATGGCCGCCACGCCCCAGGACGCCGACAGCGGCGCCGCCTCGCCCGCCCCGGCCGTCGATGACAACGGCCTCTCGACCTCGGGCACGTCCACGCCCGCCGCCTCGGCCGCCGGGTCCGACGCCCAGCCCAACCTCGCCCAGGCCTCGAGGAGCCTGAGCAAGCTGGTGCTGGAGAAGAGCCTCAAGCCCGCCAACGGCAGCCTCGGCGTCGGCGGCGGCGCCACGGTGTCGGCGCCGAGTGCGACGTACACCAATATCGAGAGCGCACCCTCGCTGGCCCACACGAAACGGTACTGCGACATCACGGGCCTGCCAGCGCCGTACCTAGACCCCAAGAGCAGGCTACGGTATCACAACAAGGAAGTTTTTGGCTTCATTCGCAGCCTGCCTCAGGGTGTGGCCGAGCAGTACTTGGAGGCCCGAGGCGCTCATACCGTTCTCAAATGATGAAGTCATGTGGCAAGGACTATTCTCGGAGGGCTACTACACTACACCAATTGGCGTGCCAGGGCGAGCTCTGGAGGTCTCTCGTTATTTTGTCAGAAAAGTCGACTTGTACAGCTACAGCCCTGTGTACCAGGTTCTCTATGAAGAGCATTTCGCGGCAAACCGCGGCACCGGGCGGAAGACGCGGAAATCACACAGGAACGGAATGTCACAAGAGGCTCCGAACAGCAGAGCTGGCACATTGATCATGGCCAGAGAGCAGCAGTCACTCAAACGGGGGTTGAGGGGGGAATGTTCGACCAACAAAGTCAAGCCTATCCTACGCACCAGCCACCTTTCGGTAGACCGGATGACAGGTTACGCTCCGGCTTAATCGTGATAGAGAGATTTGTTCTCTGCCTGTGACTGACGGATACCGAGGATGCATGGAGGAACCAAACTCAGTTACCATAGCTAGATAGCTACGGTCGCCGCGGCAGATGTAATAATAGGATGCAACAGTAGAAAGGAAACAGTCTCTGCGAGCCTGGTCATATAGCCGCCCTGGAATCCTACCGTCGTTATACAAACCAGAAGTTTGAGCGTAACCTATTGAGAAGATCGCCCCAGCTCGTAGAGACATGTACAAGCCTCTCTGCGCCAATCGTGGCCTTGAGTTTGTATCACATGCTTGAGAACAGCGTGACATTGAGGCACTACCGGATGGGTTTCGAGCAGTGTGCGTGTGGGAGCATGCCAGACTCCTGGACGTCCCAAATGCCTGTGAAGAATTGGCAACAAGGAGAATGGCTGGGGCGTGCCAAAGAAAATAAATTCTCGAACCCCAGTGGACTGGGCACCAGCTCGCTTGTGGCTGATACGCAGCTGCAGATGGTTCCTCCGCCAGCTGCAGGGCTGAGGATGCTGCAGCCCGAGAGCATCATCCCTGTCCCCGGAGCTCCGACGTGTCGCGAAACCTCCAAAGCCAAGCGGCCGTCCGGGTTTTGGGATACGTGGAGTGCCATTGTGTAAGCTGTACAGGCCGGGCGCATTTCGGTGTAGATTGCAGTGCTGTCCTGGGACCGATTCCTGGTTTGGAGCTTGTGTTGAAGGTAAAACAGCCAGTTTGCGTTGAGGCGCGCCAGAAAGACACGGTTCAGACGCAACTGGTCACACCCCTGCTCCGTGTTTTAATGAGCACGCAAAGCTTCCAGCACCAAGACGTGAACTATCCCCCATTCCGTTGCACGCCGGGCTCTCATACGACCAACCCTACGATTCGAACCCTCTCCCGAGATATACGACCCGAACGCATCGAACAGAAGCAGAAGCGGCCAGGGATCACATCCCCCATTTCCTCCCGCAAGGATGCCGACCATGTGGTTATCGGACACGCAGAGTAAGCCTTCGTCGCAAAAGAGCTGGCACCCCTGAGGACCAAGCTACAGAGACACCACCAATATGGAATGCGCCGACTGACATGCCGATTCCCCGCGAACAGAGATAGGAGTCGCCTTCTGCTCCGGCGGTGAGTGAGCCCCCAAGCCAGCCTACGCCATGCGCGTGCGGCCAGAACGGGCTGGATGGACAGGAGACTGACGGACGGCCCTGCGCAGGAGGTTTCTTCCTGATAGGCGGCGTCATGCTCTTCTTTGACCGAGCCATGTGAGTCCACAACGCCTTCCTGCCTTGAATCCCCTCGAGAATGCCTAGGCATGGCGTACTGACCTCCTTTGCGCCCCTGACAGGCTGGCCATGGGCAATGTAAGTCAACTCGCTCCCATGTCCCAAGCGACCACACCCGCACCCACACACACATAAGCACACGTGTGCGACACACCCTCGAGGAAGCAACCCGTTCCTAACCGCTCCGAATCCGACCCAAAACAGATCCTCTTCCTGATCGGCCTCACCATCATCATCGGCCCGCAAAAGACGCTGCTCTTCTTCGCGCGGCCGCAGAAGGCCAAGGGCACGGCGGCCTTCTTCGGCGGCCTGCTGCTGATCCTGGCGCGCTGGCCGCTGATCGGCTTCTGCGTCGAGCTGTACGGCATCATGGTGCTGTTCGGCGACTTCCTCGGCACCATCGCCGGCTTCGCCCGCAACGTGCCCGTCATCGGGCCCTACATTGGCGTGCTGGTCGACCGCATGGGCCTGGGCCGGCGCAACGCCGAGCTGCCCGTGTAAGGAGAGAGGGGGGGAGAGATGTGCGATGGGCTACCGGTATGATGACTTGACGAAAAGAAAAAGGAGGGAGCTTTGCAGGTGGGGGTGCTCAGTCCTTCCCTGCGCTTGTCACCGCGCCTGCGACGATGCGCCGTGCTGTGTACGCATACATGCATGTGCGGACGGAAACCAGTGTAGCATTACAATGGTGTATAAATGGCGTTGTTGGAGTTAGACAAATTTAGATCTCTCTGTATCATGGCCATCCCCTGGAAGGATGGGTAAAATCATATCTATATATATATACCCTCAACCGCGTTCCCATCTGGTAAGGGGTTTGGAGAACTTCGCGTATTTGGGATTTTCATGTGTCGGGTTTGGTTGCGACTTTGTATCATCGATATGGGCACCAGACTAGACAGCATAATAGACAGCTTCCCGAACCTTGCCTTCTCGAAACTCGTAAGGCAAGTAGCAGTTGTCTAAAAATCCTCATTCTTCTCATTGAGTCAGAAATGGGCCATTTCTCATTTGCCTATGCAGAATCCTAGCGGGTGAACGGCTCTCGAACCACCCTTAAAAAAAAGGACGCCAGCCGCCTTGTGGTGTATATCATCAAGTAAAGCAACATCTAAAAAGTCGTCCCAAGGTTTCCTCCCCAGAACATCACGCCCAGCGTCGTTTGCTTGGCCCCTATCGATCTAGCGCCGCAAGCACCCCACGAGCGTACGGGTAGCGGATCGTCTCCTGACTACCCAGCGTCGAAGCAACGGGTTTAGTAGCCGACCTTGATCAGATAATCGGCGAGCGCCTCGACGGTCTGTGTTGCGTTTCCAGCCTGCACATTCTCGCCGTAGTGGCCCACCAGGATGGCCTGCTTCGTCTTGACGACGACGACGCCGGTTCTGCCCTGGATCCCGATCCCCGTGTTAGCCTCTCGTTGCACGTGCGAGTCTCTTTCCCCAAGCTCGTCCAGAAACTAGGTCAGCCGTCACTTACGTGTCGGAGGTACGCGCTTCGGTCCTCAATCTTGAAGGCGACGAATCGCTCCCCGGTAACGTGAACACCGTCACCGAAGGCCTTGGCCTTGGCGTCCTCGGAACCGCTCAGAATCGCGGCCAAGTTCTTCATCTCATCGGCTTGAATCTGGATACTACGTCAGTCCCATCGGTCCGAGTATCACACCATTGCCAAGGGGGCCGAAGCCGCACGAAGAGAGTTGGTGTGGAGCGGGGGGTTGTATCGTACGGTGAAGCCGCTCGAGGTAGCCCAGACGCTGTCACCAGCGGCGCTGATGATGGCGCCCTTGTCGATGTGGCCAGAGCCAACAAGGCTACAGAGGTACCCGTGTTAGTAACACCGCTGCTACAGCAGGGAGCTCATGCCGCGGAGGACGGGGGCGCACCTGGAGTCGACGTATGCTGTTGCGAAATGCCGTGGTCAGCCCTCATGTTTCCATTTTCCAGACAAAGGGTAGCCGAGCAAAGGTGGGGTTAATTTTTTTCCCAGTATGATATCGCGGGGGTCAGTCGACGGGGGCGGCGGGAGAGCATTTACCTTGCCAAGACATGTTGAAAGTGTGTGAGTATGCGTGGTTTCACGAGAAGCTCGAGGGGGTGGGAAGAAGGAGGAACTGAGGCCCGATGGGACAGGAGGAACGAGATTGACGAGAGAGTGCGTGCTGCCTAACTCAGGGAGGTCGAGGGAAAGGATGCAAATGGCGGGATGGAACTCGGTTGCTTGGGATGAGCATTGGAGCGGGACGACGTTTTAGGAGGGGCTCGCGCTGGGTCCTGGGGCCGCCGCTCCAGTGGCCGCTCCAGTTGGCGGTCCTGGGGCAGCTTTTCCGCCTTTCGCTGCCTGACGACAACTGTACCGAGCTGCCAGCCAGCGCCCTCCCCAGTAGCCCCCAGCGCCTCCGCGGGTGCCAGGCGGGCCCGTTCGGGTGGGTATCGCAGCTCGCAGCTCGCAGCTCTCACCGCAGCATTGCACCGCCGTTACTATGGTACGCAGGACCACTTGGGAGCGGGCCAGTGCCTCTGACGTCCCCGCCAAGCACGCGTTAGCAGAGAGCTAGTACAGAAGCCACCTGCCGACTGCAGTCAATGCATACCTCTGTCCTGAGACCTTGATGTTTCTTGTTTCCCCTTCTCCTCGCTGGAATGCTGAGAGGACTCTACAGTGATGGATGCATGACCGTCAACGCCTCTGCCCACACGCTGCCAAGTAAGTGTCCTCGTCTGATACACTGGACAATGTCGCGGAAGTCGAGTCCCCTGGGATGATTTCGTCATCGCTACCGCCAGAAACTACCCCGCCGAAGACAACCCAAAACCCAGGACGACAATGGTGGGGCGGGGCATTACACCAAAAAAGGTTCGCAATTGACCGCGACAGGTACCTTATTCAACAAATGCCCCCATTCTCGGATTCAGTGCTCGTTTTCTGCGGGCATAGCGAGATATGCTTACTCATGCTGCGGAGCACTCTACAAGTGTGCAAGGCATCCTCCCGTCTGAGGCTTCGAATTGCATGTTGACTCCTGCTCCCCTACCCAGGCCTGGGTTGGCGAATCGCTAGGTTGCTACACTTGTTACACTCTGCCTGTTTAAGCCGCATATAGTCCATGTGGTATTGACATGTCCGTTCTATAATGCGAGACATGAGCCGCACCGCTTCTGCGAGCGGCCCGATCCAGTCAAGCGAAGACGCAATGCTTGCTTTTGACGGCCTTCTATACTCTTACTAGAACGTCTCGCTATTCGGCCTTGACTGAACTGTTTGACCTATAGTTCCATTCGCAAATGTCCAGGTCGCGAGACTCATTCTCCGAAAATAATTATGCCTTCAGTCGTGAAAATGTCAAAGTTAGGCGTACCTACATCAAACGTGGGCGGTGAGTCGGGGGTTCTTGGAGCAGGATGAAGCGCAGGCTCGCTTTCAGCCTCAACTGACTAACAGACACATGGCTATAAAAAGCACCTTATGACGAACTCAACCTTTAACCGCTCGAATCGACGAGGATCCGAGTAAGATCGTCCCAGCGGTCAGTAATGCCATGCCGCCAGGCGATAAACAACAGTGATCCTCGCCCGAGTCAGGCCCAGGCCCAGAGATGTCAAATGCCAGGACCCGCCGCCCAAACCGTAAGATTGCGGATCTCAGTGATCTTTCAAACCAATATTGGCATCTCATATAACACCTGGGCGTCACGACAATCCTGTTTCTGCTTCTTTTCGCTTACACTGCTTGGATCCGCAAACAGGACGAATGTAAATGTAGTATGAAGCCAAGAAGTTAACGAAGCCCTAAGCTCGTGTGTCGACCACCACTGGCCCAGCGTCATACCACGTTTACATAGCAGCCCGCCCGTTGAACAATTTTAAATCATGAAACGCGACCACTCAGCCTTTGCCCATTTCACCCGCACTTGAAACCACAGGCTAGGTCACCTTCACCTCGACAAAGGAGGAACTGTTGCCAGTGCATGTGAGCACGCAAGTCACGCGACCATCCCATTGCTTCAAATTCTAGTATCGGAGCGCCGTGCTTGTGTAGGTCGGAATGTAGTCAGGTTTCAATGCCAGTCCGTCCCGTCCGTTGCTTCGGTGCGGCCGACGCGGCTATCGTCCCTAGTCACCTCACCCAGACAGTTCATCTTAAAAGTGGTTACAGCATATTGCCCTGGATTTGTAGTTTCAGTCGCTCGGCGGGATAAGGTTCAAATGTTCCCTTGCGTTGTGATTGAACCTACTGTAGAGGCCCGCTCTGTTGCATTCACTTGCCTCCCATCCCATATGACTCGCCAAAGGCGCTGGCGAGAGGCAGATTGCTCCGATGGTAGTTGACATGAGTCTTTGTTAGTTGGCTCAATAGGCGCTCTGATGTCCGAGAGTTGGCAGTGGGGGCGTCAGCACCTCGAACTCGGAATCACCCTCTCATTTCCCAGTTGTTCCATATTTGCTCGTTTCTAGCGCTCGACATATACTATGCAGCCTTATTGGAGGGCCCACTTGCGGCGCCCAGTCCCTTCGGCTTTCTCTGATAGACCTAGCCTCCTGACGGATGCAACAGCACAGATTCCTGCGTCGAATGTTGCCAGAGCTCAAGTGTGGTACTGCTAGCATTCATCAGGGGAGCTGGCAAGTATACTTCGCTGACAAGTGTGCCGTGGTGTCATTCATCCTACTTTGGTCGAATAAGGGAGAGTTTAATGACCTAAGAGGTTCCAAAACCACGCTTATTCTAACCCTGCTTCTCAAACTGCCAGGGGCAAGGGGAGGAGTGCCAAGGGGCCCGGTGCCTCACTCAAGTTTGTCGCGAATTCCTGCATTGCAGTCATCCTGGGGCTAAGAGCTTCTCGAACTCTTCCCGCACAATGTCTGTACTCGTCGGGCAATTCCTGGGAAGCCTAGTGTATCAAGTGATTGAGCCTATTCGGTAGCTAACGGGGCGGCGGCGTAGTGCTTGGGGTCCGCCGCGATGGCCGCCCGAGATCTCGGTCATCCTGAGACGCTTACGGGCGAGAAGATTAAAGCTGCCCTCCACACATTCTCTCGCCCCCGTCACGTCTTTCCATGACCCCAGTCCATCTCCCGAAGCTAACAAGACCTCCGAGATCCCTGGCAACCGTCTACTGCGACGCTCTGGTGCCATGATCCCTGTTGCTGATCAACCTTCTAAATAACCGTCCCATCAATCTCAAACAGACAGCCCAGAAAGGTCTTGCCACGAACTACCATATCGCCTCTGGCTAAGTGAGTACGATGCTTCGGGTACCGCGGGCCCAGCCGTAGGTGAGCACGAGATGTAAGTCTTTCCCGGTTTATAGAAGGAATGTTGGTCTTATTTGATTCCTCTGGTCTCCTCTCGACGTCGTCGAGTATTTCACAACTACTTTCATTTCTCCACCAGGACCAAGAAAGCAGGGTGTCTCACCAAGTTTCCTGTCGTTTTGTTTTTAGAAACAAGATCCTGGGGCAGTCGGGTCCGGAGCAAGTACTACCTCTCCCTTTACTATCGGATTACAGGTCCACTTGAGATTCCAAGGATCCTATGAAATACGGTTATGGAGCCCTGGGACAGGCCTGCACGGAATATGTTCAATCTGGTTAGTCGAGCCAAGATGTCGAAGGACGCTGCAGGAGATACAGCGGCGGTTGTGACGCACGTCCCCGGCTCCCCTTCTCAAGGTGGACAGGGCATTGTATCAGATCGATCCCAACGTACGGGGCCTACGCAGCTACAATATAATGGCGACGCTCCGCCTTCAGTCGCGTTTGCTAGTGGCAACCCGTACCTCGATCGTCCTCTGCCCGCTCCACCACAGCGCAAAGCGAAGATGGTTGAACGACCAAATACCTCGGGTGGGCCGAGCTCAAAGAGCCAGACCAGAGACAACAACTGGAACTTTGACAAATACGACAAGAGGGTATCCCGGGATGATTTTTACTTGAGCATGAAACCGCGGGCTGGGCTGGAGTCTAAGCCGCCACAGTTTCCACCGTTTCGGAGCCAGTTGCCAACCCCCGAGGGAAGCCCACGGTCTCAACCTCCTTCTCAGCCTGCTGTACCTATAGTGAGGTTACCAACACCGGACTCCGTGGAAGAATCAGTTTCTGGGCCTATCGGAATGGCGCTGGGCAGTCCCTCACACCCGCCTACAGCCTGGAATACGTGGAGTTCACAGCAGACATTACAACCACAGCCAGCACGACCTATGCTTCCAGTATCACCTCTATCATCAGCCAGCAGTGTGGATTCGTACGACATGCCTAAGGAGAGAAAACCGAGTGGGAAATGGAAGCTGTTTGGGATGTTTGGCAGGAAACATGCAGACAACTCGCAAAGTACGGTATCGATATCAGAGCCGAACGAGTTAAAGGGGTCGTACCAACAGTCACAGCAGACCACGCCCAGGTCACAACCAGGAAGGAGCAACACGGATGCCAAGAAGGTCCCGAAACACAAGCCTATAGTCATACGTTCACAAACTGCGCCTAATGAACATGGCATGAGGCTTTTCTCGTCATCGAGGACTAGAAGTCCCAGTATCGATACCTTTGGGAGCGCTGGGCCGCATGGCAGGGCCGGAAGCAACTTTGGCAGTATTCCCATTGCACTGGATTCTGCCGTCCCAAGTGCGAACGCCACACCAAACCTCTTGAACGTTGAGATACCGCAGAGCAACATGGAGAGATACAGTGTCATGTTCGGCAGTGTCTTACAAACGCAACCGAGTAACTCGTCGGCGTTGCTGGCTCGACGGCAGGCCACGCTGAGAGACCTGAGGAAGATCAGTGATGCCGTCATTCTAGAAGAGGTTGGTTGTTCTGCATTTGATATATGTCTTTACTAGAACACTAACAACGAACAGGAGGAGAAGCAGACTGGGAGGCCTCGAAGAGTATCATCACCACAACATGCAAAAGCATCGCCTGCATTCGCTCTATTTCCTTCACCGCCAAGTAGACAATCTAATCATCAACAAGTATCCCATCAACATCGTCAACCACCAAGGATTTTGCGGTCCAACACGTCTCCAGCAATGCTACCCTCCCCCTCAAGGGCAACATTTGAAGGCCCCTCAAGCCATCATCTCAATGATGCTGCAACCGCCAACAAGGCACAATTTGGTAATAAGGTGACCATTGCCACCCTCGCGAAGTCGAGAGAACAACAACAAGCAGTCCACGGCTTTCACTTCGGCGCGGAGCAGTCAGGACTCATTCTTGAGTCTCCAACTGAACTCAACGCACCTGAGTTTCCGGCGGAAGTGATCCGGACGAGTACTGTGCGACACAAGATACAGGAGCCGGACTGGCAGATCATCGAGCCGGCGGCCCATGCTGCGCCTTCCACAGCGTCGTCCGTGTCGAGCTCACGGAAGCGCTCACCATCCTCGGTGTCGTCGGCGCAGACACACATGACACAGCCGTCCGTGGACCTGGACGAGCAGGACACGGCCAACATGAACCCGGTCGAGGTTTCCATCGCCAGGCAGATCTCTATATCTAGGCAGCAGCGCAAGATGCTGCAGCCACTGCAGACATCATTCACGCCGTCCAAGCCGCGGGGCAGCCCGGGAAACCCGAGCCCTCCTGTTCCCATGATCGCCATCGGCAAGAACGAGAGGCTGGCTGAGACCAAGACGTCTACGCCGACCCTAGTCACCCCCTCGACCTTTGACTCGCAACTACGCCAACATCGCAAGAGCGAGCGGATCGTGCTCGAGGGCTAAACACTTTCTCTTTTTTTTTTTTTTGACCTTAATTTTTATTGCTTCAATTCATTTCCCAAAAACGTTTAGATTTGCTGCGTCATTTACACAAACCCCCAATGATAATTTCGATTAAGCGGGAATATGGAGGAACAAAACTGGGTTGGCTAGGATGGGCCAGGCGTTGGAACAACAGGGACATGGCATGGATTAGTCACGACTTGCGCGGGCGATATGGGGCGGTCGTGCTGGGAAACGGATATTGGGAGGAGGCATGAGTAGGATATACCCACGGGTAGCAAAGGAGCCAAGGGGATCCACCACCGAGTCTGCGACTCCAACACCTCTATTTCATTTGTACAACCTCGTCTGGGATGAGCCGCTAGGGGACTGTTGGGAACTCCTCATGTCACCAGCGGATAGGAAATATTCAGAAATACTACGAAGCAGCAGCTCGTACTTTCAAAGTCTCTGCATTCATAAATCGTGTAACCTTCGCAGTACGTTTCGTGGGCGATCCAGAACGCACTCCTTTATCCAAAACGCATCTGTTGCAGTATATATATCGTGCGTAGATAGCGTCGAATACGGAGGAAGTATCGGTAACGAAGCCCTTGTCGCTACAACAGATTATCGCCAAGCCTTGATATGACCTCAATTTCAAAACAAATATATTTGGCACCCACACATGGATACCCTATTACGTCGCCAGCGAATGAACATGTTTACACCCCTGGCAGTCCCTGGTGTCACTATACACACCCATATAGATGGAGTAGACAACCCTTCACTCCCTTGATATATCTAGCCAACCACGTGCGCTTCTCTTCTCTGCCTACTATGCCGAAACGAGATCGGAGAACCCGGAATCGCAACCAACGCCGCTTGATAACAGCGCGCCACCTTGGTCTGACATTTTGTATTTACATGAGCACGCAGCACGAGTTCTGCTTCTTTGCTTGGGCTATTTGGGGGTCACGAGTCAGCGACCGAAACATTGGGAAATGCAGAGGTTTGGGACGTGACAGCCCCGCGAGCGGACTTACTGTAGAACATCTTGCTCTGTTGGCTCAGGCCGTCGCTCTTGGAGACGAGGTCGTCGATCTTCTCGCCGCGCTGCAGGACGCTCTCGATGGTCTTGTGCAGGACGATCTTGGTCTCGTCGAGCTCGCGCTGGATCTTCATGATGCTGTCGGCCTGGTGGGGGTCCTGGTACTTGGTCAGGTACTCCTTGAGCTCGGGCATGGTCTGGGTCTGGCCCTGGGCCCAGGCGGAGCGCGGGTGCGCCGACAGGAACTCGTCCATGACCTTGGACAGCAGCTGGTGCGCCACCAACCCCGGGTACTGGTGGTCCGAGATAATGATGCCGCACACGCCCTCGGACCGCGCGTACGCGTGGAACGTGTAGTCCTGCTCCTCGACGTCCTGTCGCTGGCCCGGCCGCGTGCGCTCGGCGACCGTCTTGGCGAACATGGTCATGAACTCGCCATAGCTGTAGAAGAGCAGTCAGTGATTCATTCGTCCGTATTCATCATTCATTTCCGTGTGTGTGTGTTTCTCTCTCTCTTCCTGCCCTCCAGCGTGAAACGTGGGAAAGTGGCGATGGGGTTCGTATCGGTGGGATGCGTACTTGTTCTTGGTGAACCGCGAGTATGCGCTCAGCTCCTTCTCAGCCACCAGCTCGACGCCGGGCTTCTGCTCGTTCTTGATAATCTGTGCCAGCATGCCATGGTCAGCCAAAGAACATGGACGAGTTGCCACGGTCCCTCCTCGCAACATAGCGGTACCTACATACTCCGATGTAGTGCAACTTCATGGTGGGCAAGACTGGTTCGTGGCGCTTGATTCCCCTGGATCCGGACTTGCGACAGCGTAACGCTTCCTGAGGCGTAGAGGAGGATGCGAGAGTGTGTGGGCTGTCTCGGCTTTCTCGATTTGTAGGTGCAGGTTGCTATCCTTTTCGCAATAGCAAAAGTGTGGTATCGTGGTCTAGGGAAGGTCTTGAAACCAAAGGCAGGGTCGATATGGAGGGGGGAGGGCGATAATGGGACGCAACAATGAAGTCACATGTGCTGGCTGACCTCCTTGTTCGCATGGACAGACAGGCCCTGCGCGGCTGGCTTACCGCCTGATCCCCCTAATTAAGGTACCTGGCAGGCTAACGGCCTAGGGTGTCTGGCAGATGGGAATCAAACAACAGCACCACCCCCTCCCCCATATTTACACAGCTTACAACCTACTTCAATTTGAGAACGCGGAATGAACGCGGAAAGATTCAATACAAAATTGCATGATTTTCAGGAGTTATTGTTTTTGTGAGCAAAGCTTTTTTCCCTTCCCTTTTCATATACCTTGTGAATGTGTCGTTGATAGACTTCGCGGATTCTGGGGTTGAAGTTCATCTACCTGCCTGACCCTTAGGTGCCATAGACAGTTACAGGTATCGATAGCGGTGTGGCGCTGGCTGGCCCACTGTAGAGGGGCAATTCTTGCACTCGTTCCCCATTGGCCCCAGCCACGGCCCGCTGTTGAGAGTGGGAGCATCATCACTATCACCCATTCTGCAGATACCACAGCTTGCCGTTTGACTCAGAGGCCGAGGGCAAAGTAAGCGCACAGGACAGCCAAGGTCGATTTCTCAAGTTCCCAAAAGCGGAAATTGTAGACACGATCCGTGATAATCTTGTACCATTCTGCGCGGATTTTGCAACTACGAGCTTCCCTAGCGATAGAAGCAACCCAAACCGATACACAATGTCCAGTGACGCTGAGGCTCGATGGCGCGAGCAGTTCGCTGCCATGAAATCCGCCTTGGCCGACCTCAGATTGCCTACCACCGATTTGAACGGAACATCAAGAGAGGACACAGACTTTGACTTTGACGATGACTTCACCTCCGGAAACAGTGGCGACGATGTGTGGGATTTCATCTCGGACAGTGAAGGCGATCTCTACAGCAGCGACTTTGTAGAGGATGCCGATGGCCAGCTGGGTGAAGGAAGCCACAGGTCGACATGGTTTGCGAACCAGTGCGCAGCGGTTGCATCCAAGAAGGACGGCCTGTCTCCCGATGCGTTCCAAGCTCAGATCTTGGAGCTTCTGACCTCGAAGAGGGCTGAGTACGAGGTGCAATCCATGCTCACCGATCTTGTTGGGTTCGATGACCTCGACTTCGTGACAGAGGTTCTGTCTCATAAAGACGAGATCGTATCCAGCTTCGTTTCTCAGAACGACAGCAGGCCAGCAGGAAACCGCTTGCTATCCAAAGCCGAAAGAGAGGAGGCTCTGCGGCAGAAGGACTGGGAGCATAAGAATGCAGCGCTTGCACCAACCATGCACAAAGAAGTCCAGTATCCCCATGTTTATAGGTCTCACACTGCGGGTAATACTCTCAGCCATTCTGGTCAGAGGTATGCCCTACCTACCGGGAGTGAGAGGAAAACATTCGACAACTACGAGGAGATGTTTGTCCCGGCAGGTAAACCGGGGACTGTCGGCCCTGGCAGGAGGCTGCTTCCTATTTCTGAGATGGATGGTCTCTGTCGAAAGACGTTCAAAGGATACAAAACCCTCAACCGGATGCAGAGCCTGGTGTACCCAGTCGCCTACAAGACTAGCGAGAACATGCTCATCTGCGCTCCGACCGGTGCGGGTAAAACCGACGCAGCCATGTTGACGATCCTGCAGACGATCGGGCATTACTGCACGCCTAATCCTATCGAGAACAATGACGCCAGCGACTTCGGTGTAGATGCCGACGAGTTCAAGATTGTATATGTCGCCCCAATGAAGGCATTGGCAGCCGAGATCACCGAGAAGCTCGGGAAACGCCTCGCCTGGCTAGGCATTCGTGCTCGAGAATACACTGGAGACATGCACCTCACCAAGGCCGAGATCGTGCAAACCCAGATCATTGTGACGACCCCTGAGAAGTGGGATGTTATTACGAGAAAGGGTACAGGCGACACCGAACTGGTCCAGAAAGTGCGGCTGTTGATCATCGATGAGGTCCACATGCTTCATGACGAGCGCGGTGCTGTCCTTGAGTCTCTAGTAGCTCGGACAGAGAGGCAGGTCGAAAGTACACAGTCGTTGATCCGCATCGTTGGCCTCAGTGCCACGCTTCCCAACTTCATTGACGTGTCCGACTTCCTCAAAGTCAACCGTAACCAGGGTCTCTTCTACTTCGATGCCTCTTTCAGGCCGGTTCCCTTGGAACAGCACTTCATAGGTGTGAAAGGCAAAGCCGGATCCAAGCAGTCGAGGGATAACCTGGACCAGGTTGCATTCGAGAAGGTCAAGGAGATGCTGGAACAGGACCACCAAGTAATGGTCTTTGTTCATTCTCGTCGTGATACTCTGTTGTCCGCGAAGATGTTATACCAGAAAGCTACAGAAAACTTCTGTATAGATCTATTCGATCCCCAGGGCCATCCAGGTTACGAGCAGGCTATCAGAGATATGAAGTCTTGTAAGGCCAGAGAGCTCCGAGATCTTGTACCCAAAGGCTTGGGCATTCATCATGCTGGAATGACTCGATCAGACAGAAACCTGATGGAGAGGCTCTTTGCTGAGGGTGTCATCAAAGTTCTGTGCTGTACTGCTACGCTCGCGTGGGGTGTGAATTTGCCTGCCGCAGCGGTCGTTATCAAGGGCACCCAAGTATACAGCGCCCAGGACGGAAAGTTCATCGACCTCGGCATTCTCGACGTGCTCCAGATCTTTGGACGTGCAGGTCGCCCTCAGTTCGAAGACGTGGGCATCGGCATGATTTGTACCACTATCGACAAGTTGCCACATTACCTGACTGCAGTTACGGAACAACAGCCCATCGAGTCAAAATTTTCTTCCAAACTGGTTGACAACATGAACGCGGAAATTGCCTTGGGGACTGTCACCTCCGTAGCCGAGGCTGTACAGTGGATTGGCTACTCGTATCTATTCGTTCGAATGCAGCGAAGCCCTATGACTTACGGCATTGAGTGGGCAGAAATTCGGGATGACCCAAATCTGGTTCAGCGGCGACGACAGCTAGTAATACAAGCTGCCCGAACACTCCAGAAAAGCCAGATGATCATCTTTAATGAGATTACTGAGGAACTCCGGAGCAAGGATGTTGGTCGCATCGCCAGCCAGTATTATATCCAGCAGTCCACCATTGAGATCTTCAACTCAATGATGAAGCCGCATGCTTCTGAGGCAGACATCTTGTCCATGATTAGTATGAGCGGAGAGTTCGACAACATCCAGTCAAGGGACAGTGAAGCTGATGAGCTCACATACTTGAGGAAAGAGATCATACCCTGCGAAGTCTCGGGTGGAATTGATACACCTCAGGCAAAGACCAACATCCTACTACAGTCATATATCTCCCGAGCACAGCCGGAAGACTTCGCCCTTGGAAATGATCTCAACTACGTAGCTCAGCAGTCAGGACGTATCTGTCGGGCCTTATTTATGATTGCGCTCAATCGCCGCTGGGGACATCAATGCCTTGTCCTACTGACGCTGGCCAAGTCGATTGAGAAGCGGCTTTGGCCCTACCAACATCCTCTACACCAATTTGAGTTGCCGAAGCCCGTACTGAACCAGCTTGATGCTAAGGAATCTCTTACTATTGAGGCTATGCGTGATATGCAGTCCGCTGAGATCGGCGGCCTGGTACATAATAACAATGCGGGCAAAAAGATTGCTGGGATTCTGAATACCTTCCCAACGGTTTCTGTGGAAGCAGAAATTGCCCCCTTGAACAGAGACGTCTTGCGGATCAAGCTCTACATCACACCGGAGTTCAAATGGAACGATCACACTCACGGCACCACAGAATCTTTCTACATTTGGGTAGAGAACTCCGAGACATCCGAGATCTACCATCATGAGTATTTCATACTTAGCCGGAGAAAGCTGTATGATGACCATGAATTGAACTTCACAATTCCACTGTCAGATCCGCTCCCGACCCAGATATACCTCAGAGCAGTTTCGGATAAGTGGCTTGGGGCTGAGACTGTCACGCCAGTATCGTTTCAACATTTGATCCGCCCAGATACGGAGAGCGTATACACAGACCTTCTCAACCTTCAGCCACTTTCTATCAGTGCGCTGAAGAACGACGCTTTGGAAGACCTTTATGCCCAACGTTTCCAGTACTTCAACCCCATGCAAACGCAGATTTTCCACACGCTCTATAATACCTCTGCCAATGTTCTGTTAGGATCGCCCACTGGTAGTGGAAAGACGGTTGCCGCTGAATTGGCCATGTGGTGGGCATTCCGCGAGAAACCTGGATCGAAAGTCGTCTACATCGCTCCCATGAAGGCTCTAGTTCGCGAGAGAGTCAAGGATTGGGGCACCCGTCTCGCACGGCCATTGGGTTTGAAACTTGTCGAGTTGACTGGTGACAATACTCCTGATACTAGAACTATCAAAGACGCAGACATCATCGTCACTACGCCTGAAAAGTGGGATGGTATCTCGCGTAGTTGGCAAACCAGAGGGTATGTCCGCCAAGTTTCATTGGTGATTATCGATGAGATCCATCTGCTGGCGGGTGATCGTGGCCCAATTTTGGAGATCATCGTATCTCGAATGAACTACATTGCCGAGTCAACGAAGAACTCAGTCCGCTTGCTCGGCATGTCCACGGCTTGTGCAAACGCCACAGACCTTGGCAACTGGTTAGGAGTCAAAGAAGGCCTTTTCAACTTCAGGCATTCGGTTCGCCCTGTGCCTTTGGAGCTTTACATCGATGGGTTCCCAGAAGTCAGAGGCTTCTGCCCGCTCATGCAGTCTATGAACCGACCTACATTTCTGGCTGTCAAAACCCATAGTCCAGACAAGCCTGTCATCGTATTCGTACCTTCTCGTCGTCAAACGCGTCTGACAGCCAAGGATTTGATCAATATGTGCGGTATGGAGGATAATCCTCGTCGGTTCTTGCACATGGACGAGGAAGACCTCCAGCTTAATCTTGCTAGAGTCAAGGATGAGGCGCTCAAGGAGGCCATCAGCTTTGGCATTGGGCTTCACCATGCCGGTCTTGTTGAGACTGATCGACAACTGGCGGAGGAGCTGTTCTTGAACAACAAGATTCAGATTCTCATCGCTACTAGTACTCTTGCCTGGGGCGTCAACTTGCCGGCTCATCTTGTAGTTGTTAAAGGCACTCAATTCTACGACGCCAAGATCGAGGGCTACAAGGACATGGACTTGACCGACGTTCTGCAGATGCTCGGTCGTGCCGGCCGTCCTCAGTTCGACAACTCAGGTGTTGCGAGAATCTTCACTCAAGATGCAAAGAAGGACTTCTACAAGCATTTCCTTCACACAGGTTTCCCTGTGGAATCTTCTTTGCACAGTGTTCTCGACAACCATCTGTGCGCCGAAGTCTCAGCAGAGACTATCCTCACGAAGCAGGATGCCCTTGATTACCTCACTTGGACGTTCTTCTTCCGCCGCCTGCACAAAAATCCGTCTTACTACGGGCTGGAGATTTCAGCCGAGGAGCACAATAGCATAGCTGCTCAGCAGCTTGCCAACGACTTCATGATAGAGATGGTCAACAAGTCGCTGGAGGAACTTGCCAACTCGCAATGTGTTGAAGTATTCCCCAACGGCGACGTAGACCCCACACCTCTCGGCAAGATCATGAGTTACTACTACTTGTCGCACAAGACCATCCGTTACCTGGCCAAGCATGCCAAGCCCAAGGCATCTTTCTCTGACGTGCTCTTGTGGATGTCTAGTGCTACTGAGTATGACGAGCTCCCAGTCCGCCACAATGAGGACCTGATCAATGCAGAGCTGTCGCGCAATCTGCCATTCGACGGAAGCAGCTTTGGTTTACCGATGTGGGATCCCCATGTTAAGGCTTTCCTGCTTCTTCAAGCACATATGTCAAGAATTGACCTCCCGATCACGGATTACGTCGGTGATCAAACGAGTGTGCTCGATCAGGCGATCCGTATTATCCAGGCGTCGATTGATGTTCTCACTGAGCTCGGATACCTGTCCAGCTGTCTTGAGATGATGAAGCTCCTTCAATGCGTCAAGTCAGCACGGTGGCCGGAAGATGCGCCTCTATCAATTCTGCCTGGTCTCGTCCCTGAAAAGGTCAAAGACAGCACATTGCTTCAGAAACTGAGCACTATGACCCGGCCGCAAGTCGAACAGCTAGCTAAGAAGCTTCATGTTCCTCAATCGCAGCAGAACAAGTTCGGACGCGCCGCGTCCATCATCCCCAACGTAAGCGTCAAGACAGAGGATGTCACGGCTCTGTCTCTGACTGTTTCATTGAAGCGTCTCAATGCCATTGTCGAAAGAGAAGGCCGCATCTACGCGCCAAAGTATCCAAAGCCCCAGAGCGAGGGCTGGTTCGTTGTCGTATGCGATGTTGCTAGAGATGAAATCATCGCCGTCAAGCGCGTGGGTTGGAGCCAGGGCCCTGGCAAATCGGTTGGCGTGGGTACCAAGCCAACGGCAAAGGCGAAGCTCAAGCTGCCGGAGCCAGACCGCAGCGGGAAGGCGAGGAAAGTGGATGTGTTGGTCGTGAGCGACGCGTATGTCGGTCTCGAGTACAGGGTCATGGGCGTCGATATCCCGGCGCTGCCAATGGTGGATGACGATGTAGATAAATCCAAGACAGCTGCAGCTGGTGGTGCGGGTGGTGCCAGTGCCTCATAGATTTCTATAAGCTGTGCATGGAGATGAGATATCAGTTAATCAGAGTGGCCTCTCATTCCTCTCGTGCTTTGGCAATACTTCACTTATGCGCCGTTCGATGGGCAACATGGATCCTCGCAGGATCTAGAGTCAATCATGCGTCGAACTAAACCTTCACAAAAATTGCCCATACGACTCGGCTTTGGACTTTCGCGGATGCAAGTGAATGATTCAATTGAGTCGCGGGAATGACTACATTGGCATAGGTATGAGCATACAGGCCTTTCTTCAGACTCGTCAATAAAGTGGCCGCCGCTCCGGTACAATTCTCGTGCGCAAGTATAGCCAGTTGCTTGAAGTAAGAGTCGCAAAATTAGATTGCCCACATTCAGCGGTTCAAGTTTGCCACAGAAGGAGTCGACGGAGTTAGTGTAGCATTTCATAGCACATGAAGCTACAGTCTTCACCACTCGCCAAGAAGAAAGGCCTGGAGGAGCCTTCTCACTCCGATCATAAATTCGAGAATCGATAACCAACAGCTGAAGAACGCGCAAAAATTTTGTCCTCTAGGTAACCTAGAAGGGCACAGGAATGACCAGTGCCGGGCTCGATCCGGCGACCTTCAGTGTGTTAGACTGACGTGATAACCAACTACACCAACCGGCCTTTGAATTGGTGTTAACACCAACCCAGATTGCGTTTGTTGAAGAGATGGGCGCATATGTTAATCTATGACACAAGTTCAAAGCAGAGCCTGGAAAATGCCGCAGACCCCACCAGCCCACTACAGCGCTGGCTCCGCCAAGCCATCGAGTCAGGCTGGGGCAGCTCTAGGCGAACAAGACTGCGAAGGGTGCTTGACAAGTCAGGTCCGAATCTCATGGAGTCTCGAATTACAGTGGAAAATTCCGAGGAGATCGACCGAGACCTTGGTATACTTCTGTAACATTACGGCTGACTGCGACCTCTGCCCAGGAGGGGTTGCCTTATCGAACTGTTCCGTCAGCGCTTTCATTCAACGCTAACCTCGCTCTTGTTGGAGTCGCCGCGAGACTTGCCCAGTATGAACGACTTGTGAATACATCGAAGTTTCAGGCTATATATATTACGAGACTTTTTCACGCATAGGCGAATGCTTGCCGTTCTTGATTTCTCTTTGTTCCTTGGCCGAGCAATAAGGAACACTTGAGGACTGCCAAGGACTTAGTCCGGCCTATCAGTGCATAAACTATGTCTACCAAAGTATGCCCATCATTGTCGTTCTAGGGGTCCGCCATTAGTCCCAATCCGGTGCCGACGATCTTCAATCGTTATAGACCATGCCTTGGTCTTTACCTCAAGCAAAGTGGTGTGTATTTTCTCGTGCCTGGCATCATTGTAGAATGCCCCCTCGTATTCGTCACGAGTCAAAGTTGCAGAGAAAACACCGCCTGTCCTGATGTATGCCTTCGATACTTCGATACTTCGGCAGTTGAGATGACGCGGAATAAAATAACACCAGGTCGGGCTATTGTACAGCGCTGGGATAGGAATTTGGATTACATGAAGGGCGTGGAATATTTGTGGGCTCTGGACGGTTCGGCTCCGGCTAGTGGCCGGCCACCTCCGCCGCGGAGCTGGCGTGATTAACCCCAACTTATTCATTTTCTAATTGCCAGCAGTTAATGGAAGCAGTTGGTCAGTCATTCATCCTGTTCCCCTTCTTGTCATAAGCAAACGCGAGCACTTGTTTCCTTCTACACAAGATCTTTTGGATTGCTCGGTCGATCTCCTCCGCTTCCTCTGACTCTCGATATAGACAGTCTGGAGCGAACTGCGAATCTCCCCATCATCGACTGGCGGCGCACAGAGAAGCCTGAATTGGCGTTCTCAACCTAATAAGCAGACATATCGGGAAATTGACTTTTTCATAGCACATTATATTCTGCTTCCAGTCGTTCGCCATTTGACAATCCAAGATGGACTCCAAGCAATTCAGAGAGGCTGCCATTTCCTCGATTGACGACAGTTAGTTCCACCTGTTGCATTTCCTTGGATAGGGGCTGACTATTTCTAGTCGTCAAGTACTATGACAATATTGAGGATCACAAGGTGGTTTCGTCTGTAGAGCCTGGTTACTTGAGGAAATTACTCCCAGATCACGCCCCTGAAGACGGCGAGGCCTGGGCTGAAATCCAGAATGATGTCCAGTCAAAGATTGTTCCTGGACTTACGCACTGGTACGTAGATTTCCTCGCCATTAGTAATGCAATGTGGCTGACACCAACACAGGCAATCGCCAAATTTCCTGGCCTGGTTCCCGTCGTCGTCCAGCTACCCAGCGATGCTGGGCGAGATGTACTCGACCGCATTCACTGGTGCAGCTTTCAACTGGATCTGCTCTCCAGCCGTCACCGAATTGGAGACCATCGTCCTAGACTGGCTGGCCAAGGCGTTCGCTTTACCAGAGTGTTACCTGTCCACCGGATCCACGCACGGAGGCGGCGTGATTCACGGCACTGCATCGGAGGCTATCGCCACTGTCATGGTCGCAGCTCGTGACAAGTATCTTCGCGAGGCAACAGCGCACCTCTCAGGCGAGGAGCAGGAGGACGCCATTGCCCTGAAGCGAAGCAAACTCGTGGCTCTTGGGAGCGCCGCCACTCACAGCGCGACAAAGAAAGCAGCCATGATCACCGGCGTGCGCTTCCGAGCCGTGCCTGTCCATGCCAAGGACGAGTACAAGATGACGGGCGAGGGCTTGCGCACCATGATTGAGGAACTCCGCGCCAAGGGCCTGGAGCCGTTCTACGTCACAACGACGCTGGGGACGACGGACACATGCTCGACGGACGACTTCGACTCGATTGCAGCCGTGCTCGAGGAGCTGGCGCCGCCGGGTAAGGGCGAGATCTGGGTGCACGTCGACGCAGCGTACGCGGGTGTGGCGCTCATCTGCCCGGAGTACCAGCACCTGGCGGCGCAGTTCCACCGCTTCCACAGTTTCAACACCAACATGCACAAGTGGATGCTGACCAACTTCGACTGCAGCGTCCTGTTCGTGCGGCAACGCAGCTGGTTGGTCGAGGCGCTGAGCGTGACGCTCGCCATCCTGCGCAACGACTACACGGACTCCGGTCTCGTAACTGACTACCGCGACTGGCAGATCCCCTTCGGACGCCGCTTCCGCAGCCTGAAGGTCTGGTTCGTGATCCGCTCCTACGGCATCAAGGGGCTGCAGGCACACATCCGGAAGCACGTGGGGCTCGGGGAGACGTTTGCGGAGTTGGTGAAGTCAAGGAGCGATTTGTTCGAAATTGTCTCTGGACCCAGATTCGCATTGACTGTAATCAAGCTGAAGACAAAGGGGGCGGCCGCTACGTTGGAGGAGCAGAATGCTCTGACCCAAAAGATGCACGAGGCGGTGAATGCTGGCGGCAAGATTTTCCTTTCTAGCACTGTGGTGGGTGGCATTTTTGCAATCAGACACTGTCCAGCTACCCCGTTTGTCGAGGAGCAACATGTCAGGAAGCATTTCGAAGTTCTCGTGGAAGCAGCTGAGAAAACTACTGCTTGAGGATGTATCATAAACTTCGCGGCTTGTCTATCCAAAGCTACATAGAGTTGATTGATAATATAACTATAGAATTGAAGAATTATCGTAAAAGTCATTCATCATGATTCGTGATGTGTAGCACCAATTGCTCATGCCGTGTCTGTTTATGCTGGATCCGTAGGCGCCATATATTTTGCAGTATTTAATCGCAACCAGCCTATGCACCATAGAGCGTCACTGTCGTACGTATAGTGTGAAATTGTGATAATCGCCCAAACTCCTTAAAGCAATGTTGTCACAGCTACCTCACGCTTATGTGGCGCCTCTAGAATGAATCACGGCGGTTGCTGCGTCGCACACTTCCGTCGCGTCTGTCGGCATATCGGTAGTCGTTGCGATAGTCTTTGTACTCGTCCCGATAGCGACGATATTCTTGGTCGCGGAATTCCAAACGACGTGGTTCGTCTCTGTGGTCGCGTGTATCGTATTTGTAGTCTCTGGGGTCATCTCTGTGGTCATCTCTGTAGTCGTAGCGGCTGGATCCCCGGTCACTCCGGTCGCTTCGGTCGCCGTCTCGGACATCCCAAGTTGATGATCGACCGTGGTCATCGCGCCTCCTCCGCCGACGCTCTTCCCGTTGCTTCTCTCTCTCCTCCTCCTCTTCCTTGCGCTTCTCATGTTTCGAAACTTGATTCTCGATGTTCCACACAAGACCCACGCCTAGCATAGCTAGCACAAGGGGTTCCGTGTACCCATAGCCATGCTTCTTCTCGAGCTCCTTGCGCTTGGATCGATGCTCCGGGTCAGCTCTCGATGGAAGGACCTTCCGAGGGTCAGGAGGTGTGAATTTGACCATCCTTAATTATCGGACTTTTTACTGATAGGAGTACACAAGCGGCTATTCACGACACCAGGTATTTTGTGTCGGGTTCATCACCTTCTGTGCGTTGACAATAATGATCGATGGCGATACGAGAATGGTAGGATTCGTCAGCTATGAGATTTTAACCAATTTGAATGAGAGAGGGCTGCTACACATGTGCAGAACCTTTATGGCTTGGCTTGAGTGATTGGTCCTATTGATATGGTAGGAGGTTATGGGATCTAGCATGAAGTATCAGGCGTGGAGGGTGGGTACGACGATTCCATATATACGCCTCTCGGGAACTTGACGATGTTCTGCAGGGTCCATCCGGCCACTTCAGAAGCTTATGCGCAATTGGCTCGATGGCTTTGGGGAAACGCGTAGGGCGCTGTCGGATGTCATCATCGAACAGCGTCAACGCCCCTCGGGCTTTGCTGCCATTCGGCACTGTAGGTCTGGCTTGCTCTGGCCCGCTTGGACAAGATCAGGGGACCCGAATCTCATCTGAGACAGTGATGTCATTCCGGCATACGAGACAGGTGTTGGTTGGCCTGACCGCTAGACTGTCGTGGGTCCGACAGGAGGGGTCTGGCACGCTATAATTGGCTACTGGTCCACGTTCACGGCTCTTCCAACATCATGGATGGGGGTAAGACAGTCCCCAACCCCATTCAACTTGAGGGGTCCCAAGTTGCCAGGCCGCCAGGGGCCAGCAGGGCCGGCTTTACTATGGTAGTTAGCGTGGGTGATCTGCCATCCGCCTCGGCTGCTGCCGCCCCGCCCAATGACTAGGGTCGGGTCTCCCAGAAAGCCAGGGAACTTCATAATGTCGCTCGCCCGATCGCAGGACAACCCGAGACGGTCGCTAAAATGGATAAAAGAAATCTAAGAACTACGGTAGTTTGAGTTGTCAGACTCTTTCAGCATTCAATCTGTTGGCCATTTGGCTTTCAATGCTCAATAATATCAGCAACCTTGAATACCAGGCTAATGTGACCTGCGAGCGCTCTGCGGGCTCAACGACGGGCTTGAGCGAGGTCAGAAACCTAACCCTATCCCTGACACGAAGCATGGTGTTAAATCTGCCTAATATTAAGAGTGCTTTATTAGCACAGACTAGTACATGACAGAGACACTGGACGGTGGCCGCCTGCAGTACCTTTCGGGGTGTGGCCACACTTCGGGTGATTCGACCTGCAACTTTGTTAGCCTCCCAGAAGGGTTTTGGCGTATCGGATGGAAGAACATAGTCTGGCACCCTAGTATCAGCTCATACTCGGTCTGAGACTGTTCTACATGGACCACACTGTTTCTCATTGCCAACGTATATTCAGTGCAAATGGTGAGGCAAGTTATGCGACTCTGGACCGTCGCCGATGGGACGTCCACTTCTCCATGCAGTGGATTGACGCTGACTGGTATTGTTACCACATACATTTATAACCAACCAGCAGAAACATATAGGAAATTCTCTTTGGCAGAGATATGGTAGATCTGTCTGTCTTTGAATGGAAGCATGATTTGTTGTTAAGCATGCGAATGGTCGCGGAAATACAGGCTGCAGGTAGAAAACGGAACATGAGAGAAGGCCTCTCCCATACCAAATACTTCAAACTATACCTCTTCAAAAGCCAGAGCATACCAATACATCAATCAGGGCTATTCTTAGCCATTGTTGGATCTCAAAACGAACGTGATGGCAGGAGGGCTTCACATGACACCGAACTCATTCACCTCCGCCTATTCGCCAGCAGTAACAGCACTGGATGGCACCTGACAAACCTCGGTGACTATTCGTTGCTGCTGGCAGTCAAGGATCAAGAATCTGATGGAAATGAAGGGTTGGTTGTGTATCGCACGGAAAGTTTCCAGTATGATGGCTATGTAAATTCTAACACAAAATCCTATGCCAGTACTCGGGTTATCAACAATATTGAGTGTCTCATGATCCGGTGATGCACGGGCGAAGCTGTCTATTGGTACACCACCACCATCACCACCATCACCGATGAGAACCAGAAGAAAGTAAGGCCACCTGATGGCGTTGAGTAGAGTTACAAGGATATCTTGCGTGTCTGTTTGTCGACGGCATGAAGTGGCCGTGCTTCTTTCCAAGGCAAGCGATGTCACCGATATTCATTGTTTTTTTTTCCCCCGTCGATGTTGACCTCGCCCAACGATAGTCGCGCCTGCCTCACAGTGTGATGAAAGCGGCACTCGCTCCTATCCTTGCTTGGGAAGAGTAGACATCGTCAAGCCACTCACGCTCATTTGCTCTTCTCGTCTGTTTGGCTTGCTATACAGCGCCAGCACAGTCGTGCCTGAGAATATCATATCCGAAAACGAAGGTATCTACGTAGTTAATCATTAGGTAAGCCTCTTTGCCCAAATGACAAGCCATGTGCACCTTCCATTCTTTTAGTCAATGTGGCATTCGAATCTTTGAGGCAGGCACGCATGTACGACTGCCTCCAGCATGTACATCCATGATGCGTAGGCACCTGTCGACACAGGCTCATTCCCCAACGCCCTCGAGGTGGGGTCCGCCGTCCATAAAATCTCGTGCTTCTCAACTTTCTCTGGTTTTTTCTCTTCTCCTCTCCATGTTGCTGCAGCTGGTGCTGGTGCTGTTGTTATTGGCTGGGCCGCGAGGGGATCACGAAGCCCTCACGGCTGATGGCTCAAGGAGCCATCATCGCAACGGTGTACCGGCCGAAATTTTGGAATATTGGCCATAAACGCCCTGGTTTTTCATTGGACTCGTCACCTTTGTGATGACCCGAAGAAGAACGCCCCCAGATGCTAACCTTGCGTTGGCTCGTACTTTGTGCAGCAACCTGTGCTGGCTTGTGTTGATCATTTGATTCCAGCGGCGATCGGTAATATCACGCAATCAATATTTGGAGTCTGCTGCCTATGGTGGATTCATTCTCTCTCGACCATGCCTCGTCACTGTTCCAGGAGCCATCGTACGAGTGTAATCTAGGTATCAGATGGCCATGTTACCCATATTGGAGTGTTACTGCATGAACGATGCATGAATGAATCAACAACTAAAGGTATCTGTGTAAGTAAAATTTCCCGGAAGCCGGGAGACCCTTGAACCTGTGAGGCTGATGGACTTGGCATCCTGCTCGCACAACTTTACTGCACGTTAGAATTCCAATCCGAATACGATGCGATAATTGCATTCTTAGGGAGGCAAGTACATGGAGCCGGAGAATGCCAAGCGAGGCGGGCGCAGTATCGAGCAAAAGATTGGCCGAATAGAGGGTGAATGATCTCTTTGTGGACGAAACATCCCATAATTGTCAGTTCGTTGTTCTCGATTTGGCAGACGTATGGAAAGCTGCAGATGTCACAGGCACGGTTTCTCGAGGCGCAGAAGCGTTGCAGTACATGGCGGGACGTCCCGAGCTGCAGGCTCTTATCGCAGTCCATTGCAACCATCCAGGGGTCTTTCAGCTGGCCTCATTTCCGGGTATGGCACGCGCAATACCCTGATGTATTCTTGTTGTATTTTTAGATTGCTCTAGAGCATTGACAGGTTCTTGCGACTGTGCTGACATCGGATAATGCATGAGTCTAGAACACTGAAATCCATTTAGCGATATGCATGCGGCCGCCACATCGCGTGCACCGGTTGAAGTTCCAGTTCGAGTAAAAGATAACTGAAAGAAGCAAGGCACATGAAGACATGATAGCCTACCGATGGCGAGTAGAGGTGCATGGATTGCTTTTGATTGGAACAGGCCTCGATGTATGAGTTCTCAAATGACGCAGATCCTTAAGGCAGCAATGGGCACACAGATATCCAAATTAGTCGAAAGTGGCCAGAGCAACGGAACTGGGACGATAATGTGTGGCAGCTCGCCCCGACCTACCGTCCCCAGGGAACCCGTTTCGTACTGGTCACACATTGGCCTACTGATCGGAATGTCTACATATGGGAAGCATCCTTAACCAAACAGGACCAGACTATGCGCGACAGTACGCAGCATGCTGGCCCACAGCCTCATCCCACGCGGTGTCTGTAGGAAAGTGTGGCAGGAATTCTGAAGGCTGTTCGTCTGGCGTTGCATGATGGAACAGGCAATGGATGCAGATTCTGAGCTGTTATCTCCAGCATACTATCTTGAGCGGTCAACTTGCTGGCGTACCGGTGCCGCGTATCCGGAATGATCTGCCAAGAGAACTTCTTGTTACACTTCTTAGGAGGCGATTATAAAACGATACAGAATGAACTGTGAAGATCTCACTTGACCATCGGTCTCAAGTTGAGGTGTTGATGGACACCCATCAAGGTAATTTATGAATTTTCAAGCCGTTCTCTCAATGTATTGGATAATGTGATGTATGCAGTAAGCTACACTGTTGTTTAATGAGTTCATGAATTATATCTCGCTGTATGTGATTACACTATCGCAGGTCATGTGCATATTGAATGGGCGATACAGCTGTGATAGATGGCGGATTCCCATGCACCAGCGGATATATACGAGCCGAACAGCCGGTCTGACAAAAGTGCGCTCGACTCTTTTTTCAGCGCAGGCATGACTTGCATGTCTCGTGATGTGGCAGACTGGTGTAATTCGTCCAGTAGCCTGCTTTCGCTTGTGACTCAGCGTGTAGGTACTCGCTTCCCAACATCATTGGCGGAATAAAACGCTTCAAGTTTGTAAATCTATGTTATCGAATCACGTGTGCGTGACGCCATTGAAGTTGCGAAAGACACCTTCCCCTTGAGAAGTATGCAGCTCTTGCCTAGTATTGAAGTCCACCTTCTAAGTGAGAAAACTCCTCGCTGAAATCAAACCTTGAAAACCTTGAGCAAAGAATGATCGAATGTCGCGAGAATGGTGCGATATAGGAGCGAACAATGCGGGCGGACTCCCACTCTGCCGCAGAAGCTAGTGTCGTCGATCGTAAATGTAATGAGACTAAAACATATTTATTATCATGTCGGCTTCTAATTGAAGAGGCCACCTGTCGTAGGCCAGCAAATCATTTCGAGGGAGTCCAGTGGAAATGCGCCTCGCGCAGAGAAATGTGTGAAGAGTATCGGCAGTGTCGCATTTAATGGATACACTACGCTGCGACTGCATCCGCCTGCTTGCCGGTCCTGAACGACCACCTTCTCTTCTTGTGATCGTTGGCAGGTTTCAGCTCTTGTCTCTTAACGAGCTTCCCAGAGCTCTTCCCAGGGACGACAGGTTCGAGCTCAGATATGGAGCGTTCCACGGTCCGAGGTAGGGGACTGGTAGCATCTTCGATTGTGCGAGTAGGTGTGATCTGTACAGAAGGTATGATTTTGACGTTGTGGCGCACGGGGGATGTAGCTTCGGTAAACCTGGTGGCTTTAGGCTTCATCATTCGTTCGGACGAATCTTTGTCTTTAGGCATCGACGATAACTTGTCCGATGAAGGGAAAGGGGTAGCCACTGGTGTAGAGTGAACCGAGCTTGGGGTCGTTGAGAGGCCAGAGACAGTAGACGATGCAACAGAAGGAGGGCCAGATGATGGTGCGGAGGGTCTCGCTAGATTCTTGTACGCAGTTGGCAGCAAAGGGACCGGTGGGATAGATTGAGCAGCGGTAAGTGCCTGGGGATTCATGGGCCGAGGCGCTGTAAACCGTGTGTTGCGAGGGGTTGATGGTTGAGTTTGTTCATGCTGTCCTGATAGCCTTCGCTGATAGGATGGGTGTAGCCTATGCAAGCCTGGGGTATTTGCAGGAGTCTGTTGCAAGTGGCGAGGCTTCGTCTCATCGGTGGCAGTACTGGACCGATATGATATTGTACGGGCCGGCCTCATCTCGAGGTCCTCCTCAGATGAGCTCGAGCTCCCGGAGCTTGCCATGTGCGGCTCAGCTAGACCATTACTTAGCATTACTCAACATTTGCAGAGAGATACGGAGCCAAAATACCTTTTTCAACGCTCATATGCTGTGGAGGTTTGGCTTGTGCATGGACGGAAGTCTTTGGAGGCAAAGAAGACACAACTGCCCGTTCCTTCCCTTTGATGCTGCCTACATCACCGAAATAATCCACCTGGGAGTAGTTGATCGATCTCCTTTCATGCCAATCACCTGGTAGGCTGTTCCGACTGTAGTTCTTTGGCAATGATACAACGGGATTGTAGCTAATTGGCGGGTAGGAGACATTTGAAAGCGAGCTTCCAACGCGTGGGACGCTTCGAGAACTTGCGGATGAAGTCACCATAGCGCTTCGCCTGCGGTTCTCCTCCTGAATCCTTGGGCGAATTTCATGTTGCCAGCTTGCCGGAGCTCCTGATATAGAATCAATGGCAGCGTGTGTTGGGACATGTTTGTACGGTGTCTTAGCAGCCTCCTGTTGCGCTTTGTCGGCTTGCTTGGCGCTGTGTTCTTTGGCTTGTTGTCGACCGCGCTTGATAAGGGAAAAGACGGCCATGATGAACAGTTACTCTGCAATTTTGGTCGCCGCCAATTCCGCCTAGTGTTCGCTTGGGATGAGATGAACCGAATCAGAAGCCGAAAAAGTAGATAGATGGCTTCGGGCACACTCTCGTTCTTTTTGAGACCAGCCGGTTCTTCGCTTCTATTAACCCGAGGCGACAACCAAGTAGTTCCTTGCTCAGGTCTGAGGCAGCGCGCCACAGCCCAGGCTTCCAGGTATCACCGTCAACGGGATCCAGATGGAGTCCGCACAAGAGATTCGTACGTAGCGACCCGGCTACAGACGTTGGTTTGATGAATATTTGCTGCCCTTGAGGCTGTAGTATAGATCAAGTACTCGAGCCTTGCTGTAATGGTACGTCTGCCTTCAATTTGGTCTCCTTTAGATAGGTGTGAAATGTGCCAGATGCCTCTCCTGCGACTACACTGCGAGAAAGCTGAAAGTGACAAGGTAGCGAGCGGCTGCTCCTGATGAATTCGTCCGAAGTGGTCGCCCAGTCACTCACTTGACAGTGATTTCCGAGGACGCCGCCAGGATGATGGTGGGTCGCAAGCGCACTGGTAGAGTATACCGCTTTCTTTGAGTCTGAGTATGCCTCCTCAAAAGATGCGGATGCGGAAGTGATAAGAACTGCGACTAGCAATTCTCTAGGACACTTGAGAAAGTATTGACTGTCTCCGGGAACGAATCTGACTGTGTCATGTCAATAAAAGAGGTTTTAGGAGGAAAAGCTGGCAAGATGCAATGCAGCTGACGCTAGACCTGCATGGCATGACCACGCCTCAGGTGGCGTCCGGATCCAGAGGACCGCAGCATGGGTAGCACAAATAGTGTCAAGAAGGCGTCAGTGGGAGGGTCTAGATAACGGTTGCTCAGGCAGACGATACAGATTGGGAAATCCGATCATGGACGCCGTCGACCCAGGATGGGAGTTTCTTTTTGTATGCGACATGCAGCGTCAATTTCCTTCGCATGGCCAAGTCATCCAGGCTGGTCAGCCGATCAGCCTCGCGACATCCATTATGTATCAGGAAATCTGAGGAAATCGAGCCATGGCCTCCATCCTTCGCAATCAGGCGCAGGTAACCGGCTGAATTGAACCAGAGATTGGGGTTCACAGCTAACTCCAAAACTGGTGCGGGCGAATGCAAGCGTCCTGGAAAGGAAGTTCAGACCATTGGTGGATCTGTGGGCTCCCAACTCTCGTATCAGTCGATAGTCAGACATTCTGTGTATGTGCTGCGCACACGAACCAGGTTGTTCAGGTAATCGTTGACGAGACCGTGCGTACTTCACCACAGCATTGCCTGCTTGGGTGCAGGCTTACCACACTTCTAGTGCGGACGCAGTCCGGATGAGATGATGAGATGATTTGATGTGAGCATTCTTTGGGTCCACCCCTGCTCTTCGACAAGCCTAATAACCAGTCGGCTATGGAGTAGCCGCATCTCGGCTTCAGGGGTTGGCTCAAGGGCCAGAATCTTAATCGGCACACTAAATTCGCCGCAGATCCGACGGTCACAGCACTCAAGGGGCTGAACCTTCATGCGTTCTTCTAAACCGTTGAGAAATCGCCTCTCTGGCCTAATTAATCGGCGCGATATGTAGACACCTGGCGCCACGTATTATACGAAATTCCTGGGCTTCAAAAGGTTGTCCTCCAAGAAGAATTGATAACGCTATTGATGAGAGAGACAGCCTGGTAAAGCTATCCATCCCTTGCATAGACTACCGCACAGCACCAATCCACCAGCGGCCCACTATAGAGTACCTGGCTTGCATGCCACTAGCCAGCGCAGGTCTGACAAGACTTTGTTGACCACGTCCTTTGGCATGTTCAATACTTACGGCCGTTGAATAGGTGCCCTCACTTGTTAATTTCACATGTCTCAAAATGACGATTAGCCGCCAAACGCTGAAGTGGCGGCCACGCGAGAGAAGCGCGGCCAAGTCACTGCTTGCAAAGCAGTAAGACTAATACGAGAAATAGCCTTTCACTATTCAATGGTGGGCCAAGGACATGCATCACAGCCAGGTCTCTCTATTAAGCCACAACACTCCAGAAAACCGACTTGTTCAATGCTCCCCTTTCAAATGCTGATCTAACATATCATCTGAGGTTCTGCCAGACTATCAGCCCGAGAAACCGTAGTTAATATCCCATCGTGCTGATTATGGCCGCATCCGAGGGCGTATCGAAACCTATTGCACTGAAGACGGAGAATCAGTAGAGGAGCTCGTGCTTATCATACAGATGAGGTAACGCCGAACGCTCCGCGCGAACAACGCCGTCCAAAGCCACCGCAGCTCCGTATCAGTCTACCAAGCTATCAGATGGCTAAAGACCCCGGGAGCCTCACGTGGAAGCCGATATGGCTCCTGATAACCCAAATATCAGACCATCGCTATCTAGCCACGTAAATATGGCATTATGATTAGATTTCGCGCTCTTCTTATTAGGTGAGACTACTGTGAGTGAGACGTTATCTTGCTAGCGTGCATTCTTGACTGGTTTTCATTCACTCGGATGAAAAGTGGGTGACAAGGTGTTGGACCCTCAGCTGATATAGAAGATCTCAGCTGCATGTTTCGAGGCTGGTCCTACCATATGCACGTCCTGGACGGGAAGTGACAAAACAATACGTTGTTCGTTAACTCAGTTGTCGAATCCAAGAGCATTTCCACGGTACTCATATATATATATATTGTGAATGATTCTTTAGTAGCACTATATAATGGTAAGCATCCTTCCACAAGATTCATATCAAATGGCATTGCCCAAAATGCTTAAGCCATGGCAGTATTCAGTAAGGATGAGAAAGTAGGAGAAATCTTGCCCAAAGTTATTCACAACCTTGTAATCTGGCAATAACTTCCGGCAGTCTTGACATGTCATCCAGTACGGCATCAAACTCCTTCCCGGCCTCTTCCTTATCCACGTCAATGTCATCCGTCCAGCGCTTGACGTAGACTGTCTTCATGCCGGCCTTCTTTGCCCCCCTAATGTCGTACGCATGGGCTGCGACCTTCACTACCTGTTCAGGCCGGAGCTTGATAAGCTCGAGAGCCCTCTCGTAAGCGCGTGGGTTCGGCAGGTACTCGCCCAGCAGCTGGCTGGACATGAGCAGGTCGAACGTGCCATCGTTAAGACCGGCCGCGCGAGTGTTGTCGATCTGCAGGCGTGTCGATCCGTTGGCGTGCATGTAGACCTCGCAACCAAGGCCACGCAGCGCCTTGAGCGCCGCCGGCACCTCGGCCCACGCTCGCTGCCGGTGCCACGACTGGATGGCCTCCTCCGCCGATCTTGCATCGAAGTGAATGGCGAGAGTCCGAAAGTGCGTATCTTGGTGCAGGACGTGGTCGAGCGCCCGCTTCAGCGTCGTGTCCACATCCTCCACCGGCGAGCCCTTGCTGACGCGCCGTTCGCTCTCGCGGAAGTACTGCTGCCTCCACGCCAGCGCCAGTGGCGATCTTTGGTATGCTGGAATGGTGTCTGGGAGGCCCAGCGTGACGGCGCCGTGCCAGTCGAGACATGTCCCCATATAGTCGAAGATGACGGCTTTGATCGGACCAGCATTGGGTTGCGACTGAGACGGTGAGGAAGACATCTTTCACTAGACAGTTGCCCCGATTATTATGAGATGCATTATAATACATGTATCTGATGATTTTATTCAAGCTTATAGATGCACGACTGACGGTTTGTATGGTATGAAAATGATGCAATTCGCAGCCCCTCTCCAGGCTGAGTAATCCAACGAGCATGCACTTTCCATAAGACAGGTGGCACAGTACGCTCCTGTCATAATATCTCATCGTAGCCGTCGTAGTTGTTTTACGAAAGTTTTGGGAAAGTAGACAGGAGAATGATATTTGAGGATATCTCGATGCCTATAAAATCACTTGACACTTATTTGGTGTAGCTGGATCTTTTTTTTTTTTCATTGAGTTTTTTTGGGGCAATAGGGTATCGAAAAATAAGGGTCTTGTCCTATCTGGTCTAATGTGCTATTGCTGACTTCTTGAACAAATTAAAGCAGAACTGTGCAATGCTGGTGAATGATTTACAACAAACGAATCTCGTGGGGATACTATTTGTAGACTCCTTACAACTTCGATTTCTGCCCTCCCTCGGGCTCCGATATCTCAATAACCAACTTGCCAAACTGTTTCCCGTCTCTAATATCCTCGAACAGCCCATCGATATCTTTCAGGTTATCCAGTCCCTTGACTGTGCGACTGACAATCGGGTGGATCCGCTTCTCGCGCACAAAGTCCACCATCTCCTTAAACTCGACTCGCGACCCCATGGTGCTGCCCTTGAGATCCACTTGCTTCATGACAGCCTGCATGACCCAGTCCATCTTGGGGCTTGTGGTCATGCCATAGCACGAGATGACGCCGCCCGGCTTCAGGATCCGATACGCCTTCTTCACAATATCCCCACCAGCGCCGTCGATGATGGCGTCCAGGTACGGGCGGTCCTTGGGCAGCTGCTTTGCGAGTTCCTTGTCCCAGTCCTTGATGCGATAGCTCACGCCGCCCTTGGCGCCCATCTTCTTGGCCTTCTCGATCTTGTCCGCGGTGCCCGACGTTACGTAGACGTTGCAGCCCATGGCGACGGCGAACTGCAGCACCTGCAGCGCCACGCCGCCGCCGATGCCGGTGACCAGGATGTTGCGGCCCGGCAGAGCATTGCCGGACTTGGTTACGAAGGCCCGCCACCCGGTCAGCCCGACCAGCGGCAGTGCAGCGCCTTCAGCGGGGCTCAGGTGCGCTGGTGCCGCCTCAACCTCGGACTCGTGCACCACGATGTAGTCCTGAGCAGTGCCGAACTCGTACGCCGTTGCGCCGCCGATGACGGCAAACTTGTAGAAGTCCTCCGGCCCATCCGGGTGGCTATCCCAGCCGCGGCACGGCGTCAGTAGCACGGGCTTGTGCAGGAGACCAGACTTGTTGGTTTGGGGCCCGGCCTCGACGACGGTGCCGTAGCCGTCCGCCAGAAGCGGGTTGTCGAAGGAGATGCCCGGGTATAGGTGCTGGCGGATGAAGAAGTCGCGGTGGTTGAGCGCGGCAGCATGGAGCTTGACAAGCAGCTCACCGGGGCCCGGCTTCGGGATCGGGCGTTGAGTCAGCTGTAGGGGGTAATAGACCTGTCCGGGCTTGCCGGGAATCTTTTTGACTGTCAGAGTTCGAGACATAGTTTGCTTTATTGTTAGAGTGCCGAGTGCTCTCTATCTAGGTTGAGTGGTGCTAGGAACTTTGCTCAAGAGTCAATTGAGATGAGACAGCCCGAGTCCAATGGTACATGAGTGCTATCTGGTTCGGTAAGTGTATAAGGAGCATCTGAATCTACCTAGGCACTTTGATGCTCCCCGCATGCCAACGACGTCAACTCATCGAACATTGGGGGGAGCTTGACCCAGCTGGGCGGAGACATCGCCGCTAGACCTCGGCTTTTATCCCTGTTAGCCAGCTTGGTCGAATCTGGGGTAGCTGCAGCGGAGCCGTCTGATAGGCAGTTTACAGCACGTTGGACACCCCTGGGGCCACGCGCAGCAACAACTCTTCTGCACGGCAGGCCAACTGTGAATGACAACTTCCAGAGCCGCAATATCTGTCCCACTGAAGCAGCATTTGGCCGACGCAATATGCGGGAATGTCTCCACCAAAGTAGCGCATTGGACCATATACCTCCGGCCCCGTCAAAAACTGTTCAATTAATCGATGACTTTTCCACCTGTCATAATTTTACGATCAGAGAATGTGTTGAGACTCAATAAGCAGCCTGAGCGTTACCAAGCTGATGACCCCGCTGACTCTGGGTTTAACAGATAAGGTCAGAGAGGTGACCTCTTGTATACCACTTAGGTGCTCTTGGCCCCACGCTTGTCGCGAAGCAAGGCCGTATATCGATACCTGACCTCCAAAGGCCGCTCAGCGCAACAGTCTGCTACCAGACCTTGATTTGAAGCTCAATTCTCTCCAGAGGTCCCCAAACGAATCTCGTGTCGTTTCGCTCATCGCGCTAGCGCCGTCCCGAACGAGGCCCAAATTCAGATCACGGAGAGAAATGGGCACTGAGAGTTTGCAAAGTACCGCTGAGTACACAAAACTAAAGGTTCGCCTCTGGTTTTCTAGTAAGAGACATGGGACTTTTGCGGTTGGATCTGAGGTGAGCTAGGTGGTTGCTTACATACTTTTACCGTCTTGTCTGATGGTGAAGCTAGATGTCTTGTAGGGTGAGAAAATGAGCGCCACCATGAGCCGCATGGCACGTTTCTAACATAAATGGGCAAGGTTCAACGAACTTGCATGGGGCGCTTCGGGGACCACAAGGTTTCACCCACGCAACTGGAACCCGACCGTTCGGAACCAGGCAGGTCGCCGTGGCAGGCGTGGGTCTGGGAGCAGCCATTTAGTGCCCGAGATCGCCGACTAGGCCGCCCCCTAAGTAAACGCACCATCCGTTCCCCCCGTCTAGAATGGTCGCCGTCCACTTCTGGCCCAGGGTGTGGGTTTCCCAGCAAGCCCGTCCCGTAACCCCGACGCCTGTGTTTCTGTAAAGGCTTGGGCATGCTCGAAACGCCACCGGATCTGGGACTAAGCTGGAAGAACATTTATGTTGAGGGGTGGAAATTGTGAGCCGCCTTAGCTCCGCGACCGTGGACAAAACCACTCCATGACTTGGTTGGTTCTGTTCGCCGTTCGGTAACCCGCTTGCGTGCTGGTAGACGGCCGACCATGGCGGACGGCGGCACTTAGTAATGACACCATCGGACATGGAGCCCGGTAGTCGCTAGTTTGATCTCTGCTAGCCCGTATCAAGGGGACATGCCCGACGATATGGGTAAGGGGATCTCGACACGTTTATTTTTACAGGCGCACCTCCTAGGTTGTTCTCAGAGCGAATCCTATTGATACTTGGTCTGTAGGTGACCTGGGAATCAAACGGGAAGGACCTCGTGGCACCCTGTTGCGTCTACGTCGTCGACTCGCCTGGCTACCCCTCGACTTGGCCGTATCACTCAACGACTTTTGCCCCTGAACCAGCGACACGGGAGGCATCACAATGGCACTGAATATGTTCACAACGGTCCTCAGCGGCTCTGCCTTCGGCGCAGCGTTGACAGCGTCCGGAGTCCACCAGCCAGGTGTTATCGTGTCACAGTTTACTCTCGAGAATTTCCATATGGTCGAGTCGTTCCTGGCCGCCGCCGCGAGTAGTGTGTAAGCAGTCCAAACCTCCACCCGCCTGGATGTTCCACTCAAAGTCTATTCCAGTGCCCTGGTCACCTTATTCCAACGCCTCGGCTACGTCCAACTTCCGCCCCGGAGCCGCTCGTCGATAGGCCTGTTCGGCAACCTCGACGGAAACATCGTCGGCGGCCTGGTTCTCGGTACCGGCATGGCACTGTCAGGATCGTGTCCTGGTACTGTGTTTGCTCAGGTTGGAGCAGGCATCAGGTCGGGCTTCTACGCGCTGGCTGGCGGAATAGTGGGAGGAATCCTCTGGACAGGTGTGATCCGTCCGCTTCTGCCGAAACCCGCAGCGAATGACGATAGAACCCCCGCGCCGCTCGCTATCGACGAGAAGTTAGGGATTAGCAAACTCGGTGCCGTTGTCGCCCTCGAAGCCATCTTTGTCGCAATCCTTGCCACCACGATACGGACCTCTGCCGCCAAGACTCAGGGGCTAGTTGAGCCAGTGGCGGGCGGTCTGCTCATTGGTGCTGCCCAGCTTCTGACAGTAGTCTCCAGAAAGACGCTGCTGGGTACTTCGACCGCGTTTGAGGAAGTTGGAACCTGGTTTTGGTCGGTCATTAAGGGAGCAAAGACGTCGGCCTCGACTTCGTTCAGAAATGTCGTGTTCGTCCTGGGAGTGGTCCTTGGTGCGCGGCTCCTGTCTACCCAAGGCCCTGTTAGCGTTGGACATGATGTCGTCGCGCTGGACCATACAAAAGTCTTACTGGGAGGGATTCTGATGAGCATTGGATCGAGAATGGCGGGTGGTTGTACATCTGGCCACGGCATTAGTGGCATATCGCTTTTGTCCGTGTCGAGCTTCGTCACGGTGGCAGCCATGTTCGCAGGTGCTATCGGTACTGGCTTGGCCTTATATTGAGTATAGTGTGGAATATTTGTTTCTGAGCATAGCACTAGACAGTATGGAGGTAGTCTGCGGTGATTTATACATCGTATAACGAAATCGGCTTGCTGTCTCCGTTTTCAGTCGAATATCTTGACAATCCTTCTCCACCATGTCTTCCTATGCGAAATACATCGTTTCCAGTGTGATCGAACGCTAGACAGTCTACAAAGGTGCTGGACCATCCTCCTCCTTAACAAGCCCAGAGCCCTTCTTAGCCGTGACCTCGATCTCGATCTTCATCGCCTCGTCCAGCAGCCCAGTGACGACCATCGTAGCAGCCGGTCTGGTGGTGCCGAGCCATTTACGGAGCACCGACCAACACTTTGGGAAGTCCTCGCGGACCGGGAGCATATACCGGACTCTCACGATCTCCTCCACCTTCGCGCCGGCTTCGGCCAGGGCTGCCTGGATGTTCTTGAAGACCTGCTCCGTCTGCTCTGCGACATCAGGCGAAATGTCGCCAGTCTTGTAGTCGTAGCTTTCGAGTCACTTAGCCGATAAGTCCGTGAATGGGAAAGGATTCTCCAGATCGAGTGCAGGTTTGTCAATCGGAGTCGAGCCTTACCCTGTGCATCCCGAGACAAATACCCACTCCCCCGTCACGACAGCCCGAGAATAGCCGATTTCTTCCTCAAAGGATGACCCGGAGCTGATGAGTTGGCGAGCCATCAGTAGTAAACAACGGAAGGATCCTCCCAAAATTCTGAAGATATGTGTGGCAGGATGGGGAGACAGATTTTTGGACTTGGGGCCAAAACATGAAGGGGCTGTATAGCTCGCAGCGTAGTCGGAAACAACGTCTCAGACCGGACCACTGTAGCTTAGACTATGCTACCTGTGAGTCAGGCGAAGATTCGCCAAGTGAATACTGGCGCTAGCTGGTGGTAGTAGGTCCCACTTTTAATAGTGTACGCAAGGGCCGAATCTCGCACCCCATTTACATTAGATCTTTAGGGTATTACTACATCGATTCTGCACCCCATACATGAGGATTATCTTTCGTAGCACGCAAGACCGTGACACTACCATGCGGTTTCCAATTCATGCCCTTTGATCTCCGCATTGAACCATTCAATGATGTCAATCCGATCGGTACACGTCCTTGCGCCCTCCAAAACACCACTCTCCACCACCTTTTTCACGACCACATGCACCTAATGATTAGCAACATTGCGTCCTAGACAGGCTCTAGAGCCCAAGCCAAACGGGAAGGCATCGCGCTCACGGACACGCCGGGCCTGTACATCACGTGAGTCTTCCTCAGCCCGTGGTAGCCATCGTTCAGGCTGAAAGGCAAAGGGTTCTGGATACACGGTTGGGTTGTGATGGAAGACGTAGGCTTCTGCCCCAACCCTGGTGCCAGCAGGCAGGTGATATCCATTGATAGTGAGGCTAGCACTCTCCATAGGCACTATTCTCGTTGAGCGCGCTGGATTGGCCATTCCAAACCGTAGTCCTTCACGGACTACGGCTCGTAGATAAGGCAAGGATTGAGGATCAACCCCTGGGTTGCGCTGGGCCAGTTTGTTTCGCATACGTTTGCGCACTTCTGGCTGCTGGATAAGATGGAAAAAAAAAATCGTTGCCAGCATGACAGCCGTTGAGTCCGCCCCAGCAAACATCACTGCTTTGCACCTGGATGAGTGTTTCGTCACGCGCGACACCAGCTACCTGGAGTCTCGACTGATAAGTGCCGTTGTCCCAACCACCTGAATCAAGAATCCCCGCCGTGAACTGATTGACAGCTTGCATCGATGCGTTGACGTCTCCGTCTGCAAGGACACGCCTCAGCATGGAAGAGAATATTGCGGTGAATGCCCAGTTTGGCAGAAGCGAGAGGCGACTGAAAGCAACAGTTGCAAGTACGAAAGGAGTAGCGGACAGTTTATTTGCCCAATAGAGCCATTTCGTCTTGTTTTGACCTTTAAACCGGGCAAGGCTCTAGGGTGGTTAAGCGAAGCCGCCTTAGACGCGGCGGAATGCATATGCGGTCAGAATATCGATTAGTAGACGTGAGCAAAGATCCAAAATGTTTACCTTTGGGGTCGGCTTGGTCTTTTCCTCTTGAAGCCTCGAAATGAACTTCCGGACCAATGATGCCATCATTCCATCCTTGTCATGTGCTGACTGAATTCGACTGGGTACAAATAGTGGGAGCATTGCTTTCGCTCGCCTATCGCGATAATCATGGTCGAGCGTCGAAAAAATTGTATCATGACCCTCAACGAGAAGTTTTCGATATCATGCATCTTTGGGCAGTATCATTCAGCCATCAAACAGCCTGTGGCTAGCGCCTACGGGATGAAGGCAGCCCTTGAGTTTGAGCCAATCGTCGACGATTGCATTACTACATTTGTACGACGGCTCGACGAGGAGATGGTGCAGTGGAAGGGGAAGAAGGCGTGCGATCTGGCTGCTTGGATGCAATACTGTCAGTATTCAACTTCCTTGACGGGCTCCTCTTCTAGCTTCTAATACCTGGTGTATTCATTCGATGTAATTGCCATTATAACTTGGGGCAAGTCTTTGGGCTTTGTTGTCCGTGGTGAAGATGTGGACCATATGATCAGCCGACTCGACCGGCGGCTTGACCAGATCGCTCCGGTACCACACCCCTGTTGTTCTCATTTTGACCCTGACGACTCGATGCTTAGCCCTATGAATGCAACAGATGTCTCAAATGCCCTGGATTGACTGGCTCAAGACCAAGAACTTCTTTGTGAAGCTCTTTTGTGATAAAACAGATAACTTCGCCATCTTCGCTGCCTCGCTTATGCAAGACCGCCAAAAACAGATTGCTGCAGGAAAGATCAAGTCTGAGCCACGCTTATTCATTGACAGATTCTTCGAGGCTCAGCGCGATCACCCCGGTGTCGTTGATGGCCGGATAGTGGTAATTTACACGACGAGCAATGTCATGGGAGGGTCCGATACAGTTGCAATCACGCTGCGTGCAATATTTTACTATTTGCTACGGGACGTGAAAATGTTGAAACGATTACTTGCGGAGATTGAAGCAGCAAAACTTACTTTTCCTGTGACGTTGGAAAAAACTTGAATGCTGTGATCCAGGAGAGTTTAAGAATCCACTCACGTGTTGGGCATGGATTGGACCGCGTAGTTCCAACGGAGGGACTGATGATGCATGACGGGACACGAATTCCCGCTGGGGTACAAGTTGGTGTCCATCCTTGGGCTGTGCGTTATCTAGATCCGATCTGGGGTACGGCGCCCCAGAAATTCAAGCCTGAGCGCTGGTTACGAGGACCCCGTGAATCGACTGAAGAGAATCAGCTCCGGGTGGCTGCGATGAAGGGATCATCGTTGGCCGTTGGTGCCGGATAGAGAGGGAGTATGGAGCGGCATCTCAGTGTATTACAGATCACCAAATTGGTTCCAAGTCTGTTCATAAAATTCCACCTCGAACTGGTTGATCCAAACCGCGACTGGGAGGTTGTATGTAGCTGGTTTGTGCGACAGTCAAATATGGACGTCTTCATCGAGCAGAGAAACTAAGTAGATATCAGGAATTGATGCAAATAAATAAATATATATGTATATAAGCTATTCGAATATTTTATCTCAATTTATGTAATTTACATCACGCGCACCTTAGACGCACTCAGCGATACTTGACCAGTGCAACAATGTAGCATACGGGCCCGAGCGATAATGAACCGAAAAGTGCCGTTAGGCAAGCGATTATTGGTGCAGATTGTTAGCGATGTAAGGATGCCTGTCACACCACTTGGCGAATTCCTCAATAACAGTCTTATGTTTGGTCGTAGCACTTGCTCGAGACTGATAATCAGCTGCTGCATCTGGTTCGTTTGATCACATTTCAAAGCGCGCCCCCCTGCAAGCCACCGTTTACGACTTTCCGGCCGCGCAGAGATTTTGGCGGCTGCGACAAGCTGACAGTACTAAACGTTTCCCTGTAGATTCCAGCATCTATCAGCAGACTTTTCTATCAGAACAGCATGTTTATGAAGATGGTGCACTGTCCAATATGAAGCACAGACAAATGGAAGAAAGTAGATATCAGTAATGTAGTAGAGCTAACCGGCAAGCCCAACCTCGATGTGCCTGCTTCAAGCCCGATGCTGCTCTTCTATGTCCACCATGGCCTCGAATGCTTCCTTAGCCAAAGTTCGTACCTCGTAATCGATATCTTGGCAATCCTTGACCACTTGAAACCTCTCCTTCCACAGTTGCCACCGAAGAGGGCACAAACCTTGAGCCCCCTTATATTTGCGTCTCGTCCTGGCGGCTTCTTTCTTGTCCAATTTGTAGAGAGGGCCACCCAAGGTCCCATGCACATCTTCATCCCTACCGTACAGGATATGCCCGGCATAGGTTATCCACGATCTGGCAGCGGCGACCTTGAAAGCCAAACGGTCCACGGCGGTGGGGTTAGGGTTGACTTCGTCGGGCGCTCCCCGGATTGGCGTGGTTTCGCCCTCCAGAGCATCAGTCAAAGCCCAAACTGCGTACATTTCGAAGGGAACAAGGCCATGACCCGCAAGTCGGGCGCCGTACGTCTGAAAATTGAGCTCACGTTGATCTTTATCAGCTCCCTCAGGGGCTCGAGGATCCTCTGTTATCTGATTAGATGTGTCTGACTTGACTGGTTCGCAACTTACGATTCCACTTGTCGTAGAATACTGGCCCTAGGAGAGGCAATTTTCTCCAAAGTTGACTCTCCCCCCATTCGCTGCCCAAGTCTACGTTTTCGACGGGCTCTAGGTCATGCAACTCCTTCACGATCTCAGCCAGTCGTGCGCTGTCGGTGCTGTCATGGGGTACTTGACGGGCAAGATCATGCACGAGGTCCCAGAACCACCATAGAAATTGACCTCCGGCGCTTGGCTCGCTGTCTGGTTGATGTCTTGGGTATAGGTTATTCAACGCCACTGCAGCGTCACTTGTCGAAAACGCCTTGTCGGACGAGAAAACCGAGTTTAGTATTGCGACAACCTTTTCTGCGAAAGGCGCTGGTGCCTCGTCTTCAATTTTCAAAGTCAACATTGTGGACTGAAGGTGGTCAACGTCTACTTTTCGGCGCACGTAGGTGAGTGAGTGGAGGCAGGAACGGAGTGAGGGAATCGTGAGTCTGCTCCGGATAAATTGGTCTACTTGGTGGTTGAATGCAGTATTGGGTGTACTTGAAAGTGATCTTTTATTTCCCGAGTCGCATGTCTGCACAGAAAGCTGACTCATAGGTTCTTGTTACCAGTGAGGCGCGGTCAAACCATAGCAGGTGCTACGTCATGATCTACAACCACAGCCTGCCTGTCTGATCAAGACATGCAGGAACGCCCTGCCAAGCGCTTATATGTTTCACTACGAATTGTTGCACAACAGAAGACGATCTTTCGCTCGAAAATAGAATCTTACGTGGCATGTGATATTTTTCAACATTACTTAATTAATTCGGCATGACTAAGCAGAATTACTGGTGTTCATCCTCACAGATCTACAGTTGTGCGATACCAGATGATCTCAGCCAGTCAGCATGCGCATGCAGACTTCAAACTTGCGATAGGTCTTGCAAGACATCTCTGATTCTGCACATGTTGTGTCTCTGTGGCAATTAGTGGTACAATGAACACAATCGGAAACAAAAATGACTGAATCTTTTCAGTGCCACATCGTAGCTTCCAAGTACTTCCTGGGCGGGTCAAACAAGCACAGTACCTAGAGGCCCAGAGTCAGTTGTGCAAACACTCGAAACAACAGGTACAATCGAAGGAGATGACGAAATACTCAGCGATGCAAACAAGCTCCACTTCCAATCCTTGTGCCGTAACGCAACATTGCCTTGCGATCAGCCGTCTCGGAAGGCTACAGGATCCTTCGGCTTTCATGTCCAATGTGAGAGCAGTTTCGACAGAACATGGCTTCTGTCTTGATGAATTGTGTTGTGTAATCTTAGTCAGATACGATAGATGAGCTCGTCGATCACATTAACGATGAAGGAACCGTGGCCCGTGGCTGGGTTGGACGCTGGATTTCACGAAGGATCTCAGACTCGCATTCTCACGGCGATCATCGTGCACAGCCGGTCCTGGAATGTTGACAAATTAGTATATAAGATATGCACCTCGATTTGCGTATGTATATAAGATGGTTATTTCGACAGATCTGGAAAGTCCTTGGCAGAAAGCTACATCTTCTCGCACTTCTCTACTTGGAACCTCATCATCAGACCTCGCCACCCATTCTCTGACAAAATGGTCAACGCAAGCTACTTGTTTACCCTGCTGGCAGCCACAGCTGCCGTAGCCAGCCCCATCGCAGAGCCTATTGAGGCCGACTCCCTTGAGGCCCGCGCTGGCCAGGTAGGAGTTAGTTCTCCCTTTTCCTTGCCATCTGGCTAAACTGTGCAAAGATTTATACATGCAAGAAGGGTGACAAAAACGATGGAGCTTTGATCGGCAAGGTACCCCAAGACAAGGCCATTGGCTACTTCCGCGAGGCCAAGACGAAGTCAGGCAAGAGCGGGTATCCCAAGAAATTCGACAACAAAGGAAAGGTCATGAGCTTCGCGTCTGGCTGCACTGGAAAGGAGGTCTGGGAGTTGCCAGTCCTCAACAACGGAGTCAGATACGACTACGACAAGGGCAAAGACGGCAACAACCCCGGGCCCATGCGTGTCTACTACGCGGCCGACCTCACTTTCTGCGCTATCGGCAGCAAGTCAAAGGATGACAACTCCGGCCCGCCTCACAACTGCAAGGTCTAAAAAGTTCATTGCAGGGATGCAGACACACAAGAGTAAAGTGCTGGCGTCTCCTCAGAGAGAATATGAAACCCCGGCTTTGGCTATTCGTTTTTGGAGTTCTGGTATGAGATTGGCATGCTAGACACTGGATGGAGTTGGATCTTCGGTCGTTTAGTACAGAAACCATTGCATTTCCCCCTGTATCCAATTGCACAGTGATTATGCAGAAAACTTGACGTTATTTGCCCCTGGTTTAGGCTTCAGACTATATGGCTCTATCATTAGTGGTGGTCGGGGCATGCTTCCCGCAGTAGTGTGGCATGCTGATGAAAACTTTTCGTATACTCCACTCTCGAGTCAAGATGCTCAATACGCACCATTTCCAGCAACCAATCAACCAATTGCTCGGCTAGCTCAGTTGGTTAGAGCGTCGTACTAATATCTCCGTTATTGGAAATATCAAGTTTATGCGAAGGTCCTCAGTTCAATCCTGTGGCTGAGCAATATCTTTTGCATTACATTCCAAGTAAGAACGCCTTTTTTTCCTTTCAAATTTTTTTAGTCCGACTCCCGTGTTAGTGCGTAACGGGCCACTGAAGTTTGCCAACCTAGCGCCCACTTGTTGCGCATCGTCACCTACCTTTTTCCACTACCGGTCCAATCTACTTATTACCCCTGAGTGAAAGAGATAGGCTTGAAAATTTTGCCCCAGCAGCACATGAATTTACGACTTATACACTAACAACCTGCCATCATCCACAGCAAGATGACTAATCGGTTATCATCAGCTGAATATCAGGGGATGTGGTCTAGTGGTATGACGTTTCCTTAGCATGCGCAAGCATGGAAAAGGTTCTGGGTTCGATTCCCAGCTTCTCCACCATTGCTTTTGCCATAGCTGTATACACCACACCGGGATATACCATGGTCAGCGATCTTTTTGCCAGCAAGACGAGTATCAGATCACAATCATGTTATAGTGATGCCGGTGAATGTGTATGAGACAATCGCACCTAAGGAGCTTGGGTTTCTTTCGTTCTACGTCGGCTAAACCGCTGCTGGAGATTAATCAAAGTGTCTATAACAGCAATACCCTGCCCTGAATTCATGGCTGACTGCCTACAACTTGCCAACAGCTTTCAAAGCCTTCTCCCCGTCCACCAGTACACACCAGCCCTCATGACCCCTGCCTCCATCTCCAGCTACGACCTCGCCGCCGTACCCGCCATCCTCGGCCTTACCTCTGGCGAACTTTAGGACGGCATCGTCAAAGGTACCCGGCTGGAGCCAAACGGCAGGGATGCCAAGCTCCTTTGCCTCCTTGAGGACCTGGAGTGTAGCCGGCGGCGGCGTGATGATGGACACGGACGTCTCCTTGGGGTGTGGCAGCGCCGAGAGCGCTGGCTTGGTGTCGTAGGCCTGGGTGTCTACTGAGATAGTGGCTGAGCCCGGGTTGATGGGTGTTGCCGGCAAGGAGTGGTAAGTATACCAGGCAAAGACTGTGAGTTGAGTTAGCGTGGCAGTCGTAGAAATGAAGCCTGGTCGAGAATGGGTGGAGGCATCTGGCTGGTGAGACTCACTCTTGTGGCCGAATTTGGCGGGGTTTGAGCTGGCACCTACAACGGCAAAGTAGGGCGACGAGAAGAATGCGCGGGCGTTGGCTTCGGTAGACATTTTGAATACACGTTGGAGCATGAGGTGTGAACGGGACTCTACTTAGAGGGAGAAAGTTGACATTTGGGGTAATTTTGTATGCTGCAATATTGACATCACGCAATGCGGTGCTGAGACCGACTCATCCCACTGTTACTTCCGCTTGAGCGGGCGATGTCACATGGTGGGGCTGGTGGGTGGCCGGCCGGCCATGAGCGCAACTGGGCTTCTCTCGGCTCGGTTTCGGTCGCCGTATTATGTACGAGGCTAATTACCATGCGACGAGCCATATATAGTCGCGTACCACCTACCTAATACGACCCTTGATAGCACCCGCCATCGCTACATTTGTTATACCAGATGTGGTAGCCATCGACATGTCCACATTTGCGTGAGTTAACGACTAAATCTGTTGCACACCTCACACTAACACATATTCAGGCGCTCCTCATTCTCAGCCAAGTCTTATGCGGCCTTCCGTCCTACATACCCGCCGGTCCTGTTTAGGACAGTGCTGAAATACCATCAACTGCCCACGCCATCGGGGACACTGCTGGACCTAGGATGCGGCCACGGTCTCATTTCGCGGGACTTGAGCCCGCATTTCAAGTCCATCACAGCAATTGACCCTTCAGCTGGAATGATCAGCCAGGCAAAGGCAATGACCATAGAGTCCAACATCACATTCCGCCAAGGGTCTGCAGAGGACCTAGCGTTCGTGCCTGACGCGTCTATAGACATGGCCGTCGCCGGACAGGCCGCACACTGGTTTGATTATGGAAAAGTCTGGCCCAACCTCGCCCGGGTCGTGAAGCCGGGCGGCACAATGGCATTCTGGGGGTACAAGGACAATGTTCTGCTCGGATACGAGAAAGCCACGGAGATCATGGAGCACTTCGTCTACGGCTTTGGAGAGGTCGCCCCGGGGTTTGAGGGTATGGGCAAGTACTGGGAGCAGCCAGGACGCAGCATTCTGCGGGATCTGCTCCGGACCGTCGTCCCACCAGAGGCCGACTGGAACAGCATCGAGAGGCTCGAGCACGAACCCTGGGAGACGGGGCACCCGGAGGAGGTCGCGTGGCAGACCAAGAAAATGAAGCTCGGCGAGGTAGAGGCTTATAGCCGCACCTTTAGCTGCTTCTCCAATTGGAGGGAAGCCTTCCCGGAGAAGAAAAGCAGAGCCGAGGGAGGAGATGGCGACGTCGTTGATGTTATGTGGGATCGCATGCTAGATGCTGTGCCTGAATGGAAAGCGATGGGCGACAGGTGGAAAGAGGCCGATGTTGTGTCGGATTGGGGGACCTACCTGCTGATGGCCAGAAGGCGATGAGTCTGTCACGTGCCCATCTCTATAGACGATTGGATATGTATCTACGTAAGTATAGGACTATTGACGTCCAACAAGAGCACTCTCTGGGGAACCAGGACCCAGTCTGTTGTTATTAATCTACCGTGACACTCGCGGCCCAAAACCCACATTTCAAGCTAGCGCCATAGGGTGCGATTGATGGCTGTTTGTTGATTGAAACACAGATTGCATATGACGTACGAAGCCCCGAGATCTGGTTTGGAGTTTTCCTGACAGTGCACCGGGATCTCCGCGTTTCAATGCATCGCATCGGGAGCTGAGGGAGGCCGCATTGACTGACGAGTGTTTGGCCAAATTGCCCCCTTGCTGGCCGAGCTACTCTTCGTTGCCCCGTCAATAGGCGACCCCACCGCCCGCGAACTGGGCGCATGAAAGGCACAGACCAGGGGACTGGCATTCAACGCGGGCTGATTAGGGGAAAAGGTCGGTCAGCCCAAAACACCTTTCATAAACTGTTTCAAAGCCATCTCTCCTCCAGAAAACATCCCCAGCGACCTCTGATACTCGTCTGCCAGGCCTCAGAACCTGTCCCAGCAGCCTCCCAGAACCTTCCACGCACAATGGTGAGTCTCACTTGTCTCCTAGCTGAAAGTTTGTCGCTCTCCAGTGCCCCCCGCGCGCCCAGTGCCTGTAAACAACACGGGCGGCAGCCCCCCCTCGGGATCTCCAAGAAAAGAGCACCCCGAAAGCCCCCAAATCCCTGCTTTTAGCGCGCCGACGACAGCAGACATGCAGCCAGTAGACGCTGCGAATCTTGGCCTAGGTGGCAGCGCCAGTTGGTTGCCGGTTCTACAGACTCGGTGGTGCAGCCGATCAGGAGTTCAACATTTGACCTTCTTGCCCATGACCGACTTCGCACTTCCTCAGTTCTCGCAACTGCTACACACATCATCCATCGTCGCACAACACCCCAAGCAGCGCCCATCTTCTACTCCATCGTTCCCCTCTTCCGCGGAGACATTTGCAACACGCCGGATCTGCGACTTTTCGCACAACAAGCGTCCGCAATGGCAGCTAATTACGAGTCTCAGGCTTCTACCAACTACAAGGAGGCTTTCTCCTTGTTCGACAAGCGAGGCAACGGCCGTGTCGCCCTCGACAGCCTCGGCGACCTCCTGCGCGCCTGTGGCCAGAACCCGACTCTGTCCGAGATTCGGGACCTGGAGAAGAACATTGGCGGTGATTGTGAGTTCCCAGTTTTATGTTTACTATCGCCTCTGGCGGCCCAACCCCTCAGCCGGAGGTGCACAGCTCCACGCTTCTGCTGGATTCAGGCCTGTGAAAGTCCCTCTAGGATGCAACATATGCTAATGGGAATTTGCAACCTGCAGTTGACTTTGAGACGTTTTCTCGTGTTCTGAACCGACCTGGCGGGTTCCGCGACCCCGGCGAGCCTGATGAGTACTGCCGCGGATTTCAAGTCTTCGACAAGGACATGACGGGCTTCATCGGCGTCGGCCAGCTCAAGTATATCCTGACGAACCTCGGCGAGAAGATGACGGATGAGGAGGTCGACGAGCTGCTAAAGTCTGTCGACACGAGCTCGGGACAAGTCAATTATACTGGTAGGTCCCCTGAACGACACCCGGCGGTTATCGTTTCTTTTCCGAACTGACACGGTCTCAGATCTCGTCCGAACCATTCTGGCCAACTAGACACGCGCACCTTGTGAGGCGGGCGTGGCGTTGCGTTGGGGATCATAAACAATTTCGACGAGATGGTGCTGCCACCGCACGGCCAGACATCATCCGGCGTTGAGGATTTTGCATGAAACGACATGGCGTTTGTTATTGATTGATGGGACATGTGTATGAATCTGGCTAGCGAAGGGTTTGGCTGTACTCGTAAAAGAATAAGACTAAGTACCTAGGTACACGATCGTGCGGCTGCGAAGCCTTGCCGCGCAACAAGCACCAAAGTGTTCATATACCCTCTTAAGGTACCTCTGTGCAGGACAGACCAGACCGACCGTGCGTGAAAAGTGGCATCTGGCGGGCCACAACTACCTGCAGTCATGAAAGCATGGATATATGCTGATGGGCAGGCGGTGCGCCGAGAATACTATGGTATCAGCCAGAAGCAGTAGTTACCCGGGTCTCTGGCAGATGCATAGCAACAGCCGGGTTCGGGCGTCAACATGAATTATCGCCAATGGCCAAGCCAAATAACTCAGTATCTAGTTGACCTACTTCGTATGCGCGCTTGGAACATGTCTTCTGAAAGATCAACAAATTACGTAGCTGCGTGGAGCCACATCTTGTTTTCATCAAATCAACAGAGTGCGCCATGTGTCTGTGTTTGACATCTTGTTGCCAATCATCAATCAATGGTCTCGCTGGCAGTTGAGCACATTTGTTTGATGTGCAGCCCTGACTGCGTACATGTGCAAGTTTGTCGATTCCCAACAGCTGCGGCGCCTGTGACTGCAATCCAATGCCCAGGTGGGCGTACAGTTGCTTTCCCAGGCGCACTCGTCCCGCTGTCTGGGGCACCACAGCTACACAGTAGGCAAGGCAAACGCGTGCCCCGCAGCCTCATGATCAGCTTCCATGCAAGGGTACCAGGGTCCTTCTGTGGGTAGCGACCGAGCCCGCCGAGCTACCTACTGAACCTAGTACCTGGGTAGGTACTGACTGGGAGCTTGGAGCTTTCTTTACGTGCCGAAAGGGAAGAGCAGTTGCTGGCGTGTGTCCTCGTTCGATGCTGTCAGTGTGACTTTGCCTACCCAAGCTACCAATAACCTGCCAATCTGTACACTCTCAACGACTGGACTGCCACCCACGATCCCGCCCATTCACCAGCCTGCATCTTGTTGCCAACCCAGGCACCTGCTCAATTGGTTCAGGCGTCTTCTTGCTTTGCCTGCTTCGTTACCCCGCGTTTGCTGTCGTGCCGTCCCTTCTGCTTGGGACTCGTTTCGCCTCGCTCCCCGTGCATTAGCCCCGCCTCACACCACAGGGTCGCCAAAGGACCACGCATGTAACAGACTGAAGACACACCCGTCCAGGTCGCATGCCATAGCACTCTCCATCCCTCCCGCTTCCGCTACTTCTATTCCCTGGGGATCCTGGCTTCGCCAATAAGAGGCCGACGGACCCTCCTCTTCTTCATCCTCTCTCTCCTCGTCCTCCTCCTCGCCATCAATCTGGCGCCCTCCAGAGCTCTCCCACGTCTGACGTCCTACCTATCCCACCTTCGCCTCAGGCCGACGACGACCGGCCTGCTGAGGAACACTTCGCCCCAGACTCGGTCTATCGTATCTGCCATCATGGCTCCCGACAAGTATAGGACTCCGCCCCAGGCCCCGCCAACCTTCACTGGTAAGTTCCGTAGTGTCTACGGAGGAGACTCCGCGCACGCGTGGCTTCATCTGAAGCTTGCATGGTTGTTCTTCATGTTCCTCCAAGTCCAGACAAGAATCGTGTCCCCTCGGTTGATATGAAGCTACGCGCAGCACCAAAAGGTTTGCATCTGTTGACGTTACGTGTGACTAGGCACCAAGGATTCCATCGTCAAGGACGCCAAGGATTTGTGCGACTCCACGCGAAGCCTGCTTGACAAGATAGTAGCCGATGTCTCCGTCGAGAAAGCCTCATTCGCTTCCGTCCTGAAGCCCATGACCGAGGATGAGGACCAGTCTGGTCTCTCGGGCCGCATTCTGGGCTTCTACCAATACGTATCGAGCAACGCCGACCTCCGCAATGCCTCGACCGAGGCCGAGACGATCATGGATGAGTTCGGTATCGAGTGCAACATGCGAGAGGATGTGTTCCAACTCGTGGATGCTGTTGCCAAGCGCCAGAAAGAGCAGGAGCCCGACCTCGACCCCGAGAGCCTGCGATTGCTAGACAAGGAGCGGAAGAACTACATCAAGAACGGCCTGGGCCTTCCTAAAGGCCCTCAGAGAGACCGCTTCAAGGAGATCAAGACAAGACTGAGTCAGATCGGCATTGAGTTTCAGAAGAATCTGAACGAGGAGGACAGCGGTCTCTGGTTCACCAAGGAAGAACTGGTGGGTGTCCCCGAAGACGTGGTCGACAATCTCGAGAAAGGGTCCGGCGAGAATGACGGCAAGGTCAAATTGAGCTTCAAGTACCCAGACTTGTTTCCGACGCTCAAGTTTGCCCAAAATTCCGAGACAAGGAAGAAGGTGTTCATTGCGAACGAGAACAAGCTGAACGAGAACATCCCACTGTTCCGGGAGGCTATCTTGCTGAGGGACGAGGCTGCGCGCATGCTAGGCTATCCCAACCATGCTACCCTCCGCATCGAGGACAAGATGTCCAAAGAACCCGCGACCGTTAACACCTTTTTGGCCGACCTGCGAAAGCGCCTAGCCCCTGGCGGAGTCAAGGAAAAGGAGCACTTGCTCGCCCTGAAGAAGAAGGACGAGGAATCTCGCGGCGTGGAAACCGATGATAAATACTACCTGTGGGATCACCGCTTCTACGACCGTATGATGGTCGAGCAGGAGTACAGCATCGATGAGACCAAGATTGCCGAGTATTTTCCCCTGCAGAACACCGTGCGCGGAATGCTCAAGATCTTCGAGGAGCTCTTCGGACTTGTCTTTGTCGAGCTCGACGCAGCCGAGCGTGCAAAGATATCACCCACTGGGAAAGCAGAGGATATTGCCTGGCACGAGGATGTCATCATTTTCTCTGTCTGGGATGACAGCTCGGAGGGTGATGGCTTCGTTGGCTATCTCTACCTGGACCTCCACCCCCGCCAGGGCAAGTATGGCCATGCTGCCAACTTCAACCTCCAGCCCGGCTTTTTGCAGCCCGACGGATCTCGTCGCTACCCCGCCACTGCGCTCGTCTGCAACTTCTCGAAACCCACTCCAACCAAACCCTCCTTGCTGAAGCACGACGAAGTTGTGACGTTATTCCACGAACTTGGCCACGGTATCCACGACTTGGCTGGTCGCTGCAAATATAGCCGCTTCCACGGCACAAGCACTGTCCGTGACTTTGTTGAGGCTCCGTCTCAGATGTTGGAGAACTGGTGCTGGACCCCCAGCCAACTGAAGGCTCTGTCGAAACACTATGAGACGGGTGAGCCTATCCCGGATGATTTGATTAAGAAGCAAATCGCCACCAAGCATGTAAACGATGCTCTCTTCAATCTAAGGCAGCTTCACTTTGGTATTTTTGACATGACAGTCCACACCCCGGAGAGTCACGAGGAGCTGGAGAAGATGGATTTCAGCAAGCTCTACAATGAGCTGAGAAGTGAGATCGCTGGGTTAGATGGCCCTGAGGCATTGGGTGAGCCCAGCACTTGGGGTAATGGCCAAGCCACCTTCGGCCACCTCATCGGTGGTTATGACGCTGGCTACTACGGTTATCTCTCGAGTCTTGTGTACAGCACCGACATGTTCTACAGCATCTTCAAAACCAACCCCATGGATGGAAAGGAGGGACGCCGGTACCGCCACACGGTCCTGGAGCGTGGAGGCAGCCAGGACGAAATGACAACTCTGGAACAGTTCCTTGGGCGGAAACCAAGCAGTGAGGCTTTCTACCGCGACTTGGGGGTTACAGCATGACTAGATACTGGGAACAGGTCACGGCTTTGACCTTTGTGCTCAACCTATGTAGTCCATATTATAAGCAATGGAAAATATCGATTCCCCTCTACTACATGGTCCAAATGAGATTTCCATTACTCATTTCGGACTTCTTAGTATGCAGTACGTCCCCCTTCAACCGTAACATTGCATCTAACTGAACTTATTCTGGGCCAGATCGGGCTAGTCTATACTTTTTGCTTAACTGGCCTAATAGCCTGCCTACCGAATGCGAACCGGTGCTGAATTCCTCCAGGCAGGATGGCATTAGCGCCTGGCTAGTCAACTGCCAAAAGCGACGCCATGGGGAGAGGTTCGTTTGCGATGCGTTGCTCTTCGCATTTGTCAGGTCAGATATCAACCCGACCATGTGTCAACCAATGGTGCAGCTCTGAACAACGTAGTTTGCGATGATCCTGCGCGGACGGCTGATATGTTCCTCCGCGGCATTCTTGGGCTCGCATTTGATCGTGCCACGGGTTCACCGTTGTTAGACCGATAGGTTATAGTAACAAGGTATTCTATATATATGTGAGAAGGATACTCTGTATCATGGGCATCATGACATTCAAAAGTATATATGCTGCAACCCATCTTGCCTTTATATCCTGACCACCTATAACTCCTAAAAATTTGCCCAACCTTGCTAAACATCTAAGATCAATACAATGGTATCCTCTTCTAAGAAAACCGTTCTTATAACTGGCGCAACGGGCCAACAGGGCCGGGCTGTCATAACTGCACTCCTGGAGCAGCACCGAGACTCGGCAGGTATGGGCATAATCGCTGTAACCCGGTCGCCCTCGTCGCCCGCAGCCCAGAAGCTCGGCTCCCTCTCTCCCAGCATCCGCGTGATCGCCGGCGATCTCTCAGATCCGGCCGCCATCTTCGTCGCGGCCGGCGAGCCAGTCTGGGCCGTCTACAGCGTGCAGGTCAACTCAGACGCCGAGGAGGCGCAGGGCAAGGCCCTGGTCGACGCCGCCGCCCGGCACGGCGTCCGACACTTTGTCTATTCGTCTGGAGACCGTGGCGGGCCTGCCAGGTCCGACGCCAACCCCACCGACGTGCGCAACTTCCGTGCCAAGTACGAGATCGAGCGGCATCTCCGGGCCCGGGCCGAGGCCTGCGGCATGACCTACACGATCCTGCGCCCCGTGACCTTCTTCGAGAACCTGGGCGGCGACCTACACGGCCGCGGCTTCGCCCGCATGTGGGCGCAGATGGGCCGCGAGAAGAAGCTGCAGTTCGTCGCCACGGCCGACATCGGCTGGTTCGCCGCCCAGAGCCTCGCGTTCCCCGGGGACGCGCGCTACCGCAACGAGGCGCTGACGCTCGTCGGCGACGAGCTGACGCAGGCTGAGGCGGACATCGTGTTCCGCGACGTCCTGGGCGGCGGCGCCGGGAGCTCGGACAAGCCCAGGATGCCCATGGCGCCGTGCCTCGTCGGCAGCGCGGTCAAGTGGGTCAAGCGCGACACGGTGGGCGACATGTTCGCCTGGTTCGAAAGGGAGGGGTACGGCGGCAGCGTGCAGGAATGCAGGACGTGGTATCCCGGGATGCGCGATTGGAAGGCGTGGTTGGCGGAGAATAGGGGACGGTGGGAAGGTTGGGAGGGATAGGGGAGACGGGGGTAAGAAGAATAAATATGATTTAGTGCAATGCGAAATCCTTTATAGTATACTGAAGAACATACGTAGAAGATTCACCAAATTGTCTGGTCGCTCCGCGGCAGTTTAGTCACTTGCAGTATAGGGTTGTTTGGTAGTCTACTGAATGGAGCAGAAAGTCAAAGTGGTTTAGAGTTTTGCGGCTCTAGTATTACGACGCACCGCGCCACAAGTAGATGGTTGGAGTGAGTGCTACGACTTGTTGGGTTTCTATTCGTTCGATGGAATTATGGGATATGACTGTATTCGTTAGGAGAGAACTTGGACATTGGCGCATGGAAAATGTAGAGCATATAGCACGAACATGTATGCCGGGGTGTAAGTCAAGGCATAACATATTGTAACTTGGACGCAGTAACATATCGGGCAACACTCGGATGTCGGCTACTCAGATAATTGGTCAGAACTGGCGTATTTCTCAATTCAATGATGATACTGCCTCTGGGGCAGCTTACTAGTCATTAGAATTACTTCGTGTCTCGTCATAGTAATAATAAGTTAAGTTTCGCAGCTATTGAGCTTCCCTACCGGAAAACTCTCCGGCCGCTTAAAACTTCGCCAGTGCCATCTTCATACCCAACTTGAGTAGATTCAAGCCTGCAGCGCCACCCTGTTTTCCAAGCGGTGCCGATCTCTTGAACTTGGTAGTCGCAACAGTGCCGTTCTTGTTAAAGCGGTTTGCGATCTGGTCAATGAGAGTGGTATTACCAAACACCTCGCCGAGGATATCCACCAGGGAAGCGTCACCGTCGGATCCAGCGATGCTATTGACAACATCACTCAACAGCTTTGTGACCGGTACGTACGAGGTCACACGTTTCTTATTGAGGATGGCCTCGACGAAGGGGATGTGCTGGCCGTTGACCATGGTAGCGTTCCCGGTCGCGTCGATCTGAATCTTGCCATCGTTCAGGGCGTCGGCTTGGCTAGCGAGGATCTCGCCAAAATTTTGCGCCAGTTCGTTGAGATAAAGCTGGCCGTCGAAGCTCCTCGTGTTATTTCCAGGAGGAATCACGACGTCGTAGACGGTGAGGAGGCCAAGCCTGACATCGCCGGACATCAAGTTAAGCGAAATGTTACCGAGGCCAAGGGTCAGCGAGCCCCAGTTTGGCAGATTCAGCGTTCCCTTAATATTATTTCCATTCTCATCAGGCGGCATAACCAATCGCAGATCGATGATCCCAAAGCCATTGAGCTGATTGAGCGACTGTACACTGATAGTCTTGTCGATATGTGCATTAGAGTGGAGGGCACCAAGATGGACAGTCGAGTCGCCACGAACGGACAAGTCTACTTGCGGCAGGTTGAAGACATTGTCAAACCAGCTGATGAGTTCCGTGTCATTGGTAATAGTAACGGTCTGGTTCGTGACAATGATCGGCGTATCCCCTTTGAGATACTGCTCTGGCAGTGTAAGGTTGAGGAAAGGAGAAAACTCGGGAGTGCCCTTGTTGTATAAGAACAGTGTCAACGGGTCTATCCTTGCCGGTAACGGTGTATTGAGTGATGTCTCCAGAGAAACGGTGAGCTCCGTGGGCGAATTAGCAACGAAGGCGCCTCCCTTCACTGGCATTGACTGATCGTCAACTATACGCTGCACAATGGCTGGTAAGATAACCAAGAATCTAAACTTTAGTTAGAACCTTACGTGCATAAAGCTACTCTCTTATTATCCTAGTCCACTCACAAAATAGGGAGGAATATGGCATTGAAAATGATGAATCCTGCCAGGTACCACCACTTGAACCGCCCACAGTGACGCTTGACTTTCTGCTTTTTGGTCAGAGGCACTGGGGGAGGCGCCTTCTCTCGAACATGGTCGCCCGAGGACGAGTCCCTGACACCTTCATCGGCCTGGCCGTCTTGAACCGCATCTCCTCTGCCGCCATGGACAGAAGTCCGGGGGCTGCTGGGCTCATAGTGAGAGTTGTCCTGAAAGGCCGATGCCATGATATCCTCTCCTTCGGTGACACCACGATAGTCGGAAAGATGACATGCAGCAGACGAAGTGGGTGATCGCAGAGCGTTCAAAGAGAACAACAACAGACCCGGACAGAAGACAGGGTGCTCACGAGTGGGCCGTCACCGCGCAAGGCCATCTGCGCCGTCGCCGGAGTCCCAACATAGCGACAGCCCTCCCTGCTCATGTCCATCACTTTCGAGTGATCGCATGTGAACAACGGTGATAACAGCAGATCTCACCCATGTTTGCAATCAAGCTCGGCTCATCGAGCTACCCCACTGTCATCAGCTATCTTGGCTCTTCTCCCCGCACTTTAGAGGCGCTCGTCATTTTCTTCTTGTCAGATTTAGTCCTAGTCAATGCACATCACATTTTCAATATTGGCAAGGATCCTGGTCAGGCGTCGAAATTCCCGCCAGCTAAGTGGCTCCGCTTCACTTGACCCCGGACCCACCAGCCAAGACGGCCCAATGAGCTTGATTCCCAGTTGCGGGGATGGCCAGACCAGCCCGTGCAATATTGATTACTTTCTGGTCGACCTGATGTCATGGTGGCTTTAGACTCGAGGCCATTCATCCGAAAGGAAATCCGAGCACACTCTAGACTTCCTCTTTCGGTCAATGGTCCAGGAGACATCCAATCGGCAAGGAGGCAATTGGCGGTGACTGGGTCTGGCTGGGTCTGCCCTGTCTAAGTCGCTCTAGTATACACACGAGCAAAGGGACGAGGCTGTGCGTACGCAAGCTAATCACTCACGAGAGATGAAGAACAACAGAACAAGTCGGCTAACATGATCGACTAGGAGGTGAGGAGTTTGCGCACCACAAGCATCTTCTCGGAGCTGATCCTATACCACCAGGCACCACGGCGCAAATCTCATGGCAACCCTACCTCGGCAACTTGTCCAAGAGGGGGTCCCCCGCTGTTCCCAAAGTGAAGATCACGATGCGAGGGTAAGAAGCATCACGATGTGGCCCAGTTGCCCACCTCGTCGCCCAGAGGCGATTAGGTTGCGAGAGGCATCAAGTGGTAGGGTTGGCACCTTTCAGCCTCGAGACCGACCCACTCGGCTCTTCTCAATTTTATGTTTCCGCAATATGTGTAAGCTTGGTAGGTTGTATTGGATCCCGCCGATCACTTGGGGGCCCCAGTCGTATGGCATCTCGAGTGGGCCGACTGACAAGGAATCCGGGGAAAGACCTGGACCTGCCAGGGCAGGGGCCCGCATGCGCTTGCGGTGTATCCGTGCAGTCACCACGCAACTTACCGAAGATGGATAGGATCAACTTGAATACGGAAACATTGTCGCTGCAGTTGGCATGTGCTCCGAGGCTATTCTCAGTGGTCATTGACCACGATGTACGATCCTCATAGGCAGAAGACGCGTGATGGCAATGGCGTGAGGTGCCCATATTCTGAGCCTTCCCCAGCCGCGCGAGTCTGCCGTGCTTCTTCATCCGCTCTCGATCTTTTTGGCTGGATCGGGGTTTCAAGGTGGTCTCAAAAGGGAGCAATATCTTGAGAGCCTTTTACCCATTAACTGGGTTCATCGATCATCATGTTGTTCTCCAAGCTTCTCGTGGCAGCGTCTCTGCCGCTCGGCCTCTTTGCCAATGATGCGCCCAGGACAGCCTCCGTCCCCGAGCTCGAGCTCGAGGCATATCTCGCAAAGCACAATCTTGCATTGGTGCCTCGGTCAGAGCTCACTGAAGCGCTGACGGAGCTCAATGCTCTGCTCAGAGAACAAAGTCAAGAGAAGCAGCGAAGGGCTATCCTCAAACCTCTATACCCACGACAAAATGACTCGGGATCAGATTCAGGCTCAAGTTCAGGGTCCAGCTCCAGCACGAGTGGCATAGATCTTGGAGACCTGCTGGGAGGAGCCGGTGATCTCGGTGATATTCTGGGTAGTCTCACCAAACTGGTCACTCAGCTGGGTGACATCTCAGGATATCTCTCGGCGCTTCAGCAATTGCTGAGCGACGAGTTCCTACAGGCGCTGCATGATGCCATGGTGTACCTGTCGCAACTTCTTCAGCCTCCAATCCCGGCCATCACCCGGGATATTCTCACCAAGACCCAGCCGCTTATTGATTTGCTCGGTTCATTGGATCTGGAGAGCATCATCAATGAGCTCAAGGATGTCGACATCGCCGGCCTAGTCAAGGTCGCCTTGACTCTGCTGACGGCTGACAACCTTGCAAACATCCAAAGCCTACTCACAAATGGCGCAGCTTTGTTGACGCCCTCGTTTGTGAATGAGACGCAGGCGCTCATTGGCGACGTCTCGCCGTTGCTTGACTCGCTAAGCGGCATTGACCTCAAGGGCGTTCTGGATGCATTGTCTCCTCTCCTCACGGCAGACTCCATCCAAGGCCTTGTTGGTCTGTTGGGCAATGCAGAGGATCTTCTGACAGCAGACACTGTCTCTTCATTGAAAACAATACTCGCCAGTGCACAGCCGCTCATCGACAGTTTGGGCAAGATCGACCTTCAAGGCATCCTGGATGCGTTAGCACCCTTGCTTACTCCGGACTCGGTCCAGGGCATCGTTGGCCTCTTGGGCAACGCGGAGGATCTCCTGACAGCAGACACTGTCTCTTCATTAAAGACAATACTCGCCAGCGCACAGCCTCTGATCGATAGTCTGGGCAAGATCGACCTCCAAGGTATCTTAGACGCCTTATCGCCTCTTCTGACTCCAGACTCGGTTCAGGGCATCGTCGGCCTCTTAGGTAACGCAGAGGATCTCTTGACAGCAGACACCGTCACCTCGCTGAAAACAATACTTTCAAGCGCACAGCCTCTGATCGACAGCCTGGGCAAGATCGACCTTCAGGGCATCCTAGATGCCCTCTCTCCACTTCTTACGCCAGATTCTGTGCAAGGAATTGTTGGTCTGCTCAACAATGCCGAGGATCTCTTGAGTACTGACACGGTCTCGGCACTGAAGTCGCTCCTCTCAAGTGCACAACCTTTGATCGATAGTCTGGGCAAGATTGATCTGCAAGGCATACTTGATGCTCTGGCTCCTCTCTTGTCGCCTAGCTCAGTCCAAGGTATCGTGGGACTTCTCGGAAACGCTGAGGACCTCTTGACCTCGGACTTCGTGGACCAGACAAAGTCTCTGATCGCAGGAGCTGCGCCATTACTTTCTAGCCTTGGCAGCCTTGACTTGAAGGGACTGATAGACCAAGTTACACCAATATTGAACGAGATCAGCCAGCTGGATCTCAAGAGCTTGTTTGATGCGATCAGCCCGTTGCTGACGGCAGATTCCATCAAGGGCATCGAAGGACTTCTTGGAAATGCTGAGAATCTCCTGACATCTGACTTCGTTGATCAGACAAAGTCCCTCATCGCAGGGGCCGGGCCACTACTTTCCAGTCTCGGCGACATTGATCTGAAGGGCTTGCTTGATCAAGTCACACCACTGCTCAACAGCCTGAGCAAGATCGACCTTCAAGGTCTCTTTGACTCTATCCAGCCGCTGTTGACTCCTGACGCCGTTAAGGGAATTGTTGGGCTACTAGGCAATGCTGAGAGCCTCCTGACGAGCGATTTCGTTGACGAGACCAAGACTTTGATCTCTGGAGCTGTGCCTTTGATCTCAGCTCTCGGCTCCATCGACTTGAAGAGTCTAATCGACCAACTGTCACCTATCCTTGCTGCACTTGGCAAGATCGACTTGGTGGGCTTGATCAACCAGCTGCAGCCTATCTTGACTGCGCTTGGCAAGGTCGATCTTTCGAGTCTCATTGATCAAATCGAACCTATCTTGAGTGCTTTGAGCCAGGTTGACTTCGCCACCCTGATCAAGCAAGTCAGCCCTCTTCTGAACGAACTGGGTGAAATTGACCTCAAGGGCCTGTTCGACGCGATTGCGCCACTGCTTACACCCGACTCGGTCAAGGGCATCGTTGGACTTGTTGACAATGCTGAAGACCTTCTCACCAGCCAATTCGTCAACGAAACTCAAACACTCATTGGTGGCGCGACACCCTTGGTAGCAGCCCTTAGCCAGGCCGATCTCTCTGGCTTATTGAAGCAGCTTTCGCCACTTCTTTCTGCACTTGGCCAGATCGATCTGGCTGGACTCGTGAACGCTGTAAAGCCGCTCTTGAATGCTTTGGGCAGTATCGACGTCCAGGGCATCGTGGATGAGATCACCCCACTGATCACACCAGAATCGGTGAAGACGCTTCTGACGCTTCTCGCCAATGCTGAAGATCTGTTGTCGGCAACATTCGTCTCGCAAACTACGGAGTTGATAGGAGACGCCACACCGGTAAGTTTCCATATACCTCAATTGAAGGGTGACGCCCTCTCTTTACGGGCTCAGTTACTGACTTGTGTAGCTGGTCGCATCGGTCTCGGATTTCGTCACCGCTATTTTCCAAGCGCTGTCGCAATGACGTGAATGATTTTACGTAGTCGTAGTAATGATATACGAGTAAGAAGATGCATGGAGTCAACTCCCTAGGCTGCAGTCCCGTCTTTCCGGGCACAATGCTAGCTTGACGCATAAATGATAATGATAATTCAGTTCATGATCTTTCTTCCCGTGACTTGACATGGAGGTGACATGGCGCTTCGTCGGACGTGTGATACCGGTAATGATCAAATAACTCGCAATGCCATCTGTAGCCATATTGCAGTGAACTCCCGCTCACCAAAGCCTTTAGAGGCCACGAATATATGAGATCAGACACAATCCGGTGTGAAGTCTGTCGAGACTCTGGCCGATTTGCATGGAACCCCCGCCGTTATGACGACAGAACGTCATACTAGCCGAAGCAGCCGAGTTCGGGGCGTCCTGGATCGGACTTAGCTACCCTCCGTCCGTCCTGCCCGGTTCGCCCTTGCAGTATTCAGTTATCTGTTGCTCGACAATTTGATACCGGTATCATACCACCGTTTATTCGGCGGCTTCGGCGATTACTCCGATAGGCTGGCAATTTTCAACATGCGTAGTTTGTAAATGGTTGATTGGTTATGGATTGAAAGCCAGTTGGCAGAGAAACCACAGCTAGTATTTGTATGAATGTTTGAAAAGTACAATGCTGACCAACAACTGGCTTGCCTTGCTGTTATTTTTATCATACCCCGCTGGTATGGCTACTTCCGATGCTGCTGCGAGGAATGCCGAGTTCGTCAGCCTACTCGAATACCCCGTACTCGAGTCGACATGATTAGAGTTAATCGATGTTTCCTCCTGCCTCGGTGATCACTCAACTATCATCTTAAACAGAAGCTTCACCGTCGCTTTTGTATATTCTGGTGAAGCTTACAAAGTTGAATTCGAGACCTCAAATAATGCGAGTTAAGAGATGGTCTAGAAAATAGCGGCATTCTTCTAGGACCGGAGATATACACAATCGCGGCATGTCTAGATCTTTATAAAAAATAAAAGAGAAAAACCTCCGGAAAGCACGATTATTCTCCTATATTTGAGTGGTGCGTGAAACTCTATTGTCTTTCATCCCTGAACCGATATATGCAGTTGAGATTCCCCCCCCCAAACGCCTGACCAATCATCTCGCCTATCACTATCATACACCTCCGAGAGTGTCTACCGCGAGATCTGCCTTCCAGTACATAATACATAGCCATGTATGTTGGGTATCTTCAGTTCACAGGAAAGGAAAAAATGTACAACATCTCACGCAGTCTCCTTATTCGTCTGAACGGGCACCGGCTCAGCGGCGGCTGCGGTCTCCCTCAGCGTCCCATCCGTCTCAATCGTCGTCTCTGCGTCCGACTTTGCGCCAGCGTCTGTGTCCGTCTTTCCTTTCTCGGCATCGGCCACCTTGGTGGGCTTCTTCTCCTTGACGCTCCTCCATTCCATGGCGATCGAACCCAGGATGGTCAGGCAGCACATGATCAAGCCGATCTGGAACACCTTCCGCAACGACTCGTTGTATGCCGAAAGGACGGCGCCCAGCAGCTCCGGAGGAACCGAACTGCTTAGCGTCGTGGCCCCGTTGTTGATCACGAGGCCAATGTTGAAGTTGGGCAGGCTGCTGAGCCTCTCGACAAGTTGCGTGTTGAGGACGTTCTCGCCCACCGAGATGAAGATGGCGCCTCCAAGCAGCTGGCTGAAGAACATGAGCGACGATCCAATCGGGACATCCCTGTTGGGCAGCACAGTCTGAGCAGCCAGGTTAGGCGCCTGGAATGACAGGCCCATTCCAAATCCGTAGATGACTTGATATCCGAGCCACTTGGGTTGCTCGGTATCGGTCTGCAGAGTGGTCAGGAGTCCGGCACCGATCGCCAACAGGCACGTGCCAGCAAGCAAGAACGGTGTGTAGTAGCCAATTTTGGAAGTTAGAATGCCTGTCATCATGGACGCCACAACCATTGACAGGGTCAAGGGAAGCAGGCGGATACCAGAGTCGACGGCAGACACCTCCTTGATGGCCTGGAACCAGATGGGCAAAAAGTAAACAAAGATCATCATCTGGGATCCGATACAGACGGTGGCCCAGAAACCAGCGAGGATACTGCGCTGCTTGAGGATACGGGGTGGGATGGTCGCGGTTTTCGGCATCAAGACTTGGACGGCACAGAATGCCAGGAGAAGCACGCCGCCGAGGGTCAGCAGGGCGATGATGCGGCCATTGCTCCAAGCATAGTCCAGCCCTCCCCACTGAAGAGCCAGCAGGAGGCAAACCACGCCGGGAATCAACAGTGTCGTACCAACCGCGTCGAGCTGTGCTAGCTTCGCCATCAGAGGCAGTTTAGTCTCTTCTCTGTCGGGTATCTGGAGCAGGAAGCCGATGACAACAAGTGCCACGCCACCGATGGGAAGGTTGATGTAGAAACACCATCGCCACGTCACGTTCGACGTGAAGGCACCTCCAACCAGCGGACCCACGACGGATGCCAGACCGAACACGGCTCCAAAGAGTCCCTGGAACAACGGTCGCTTGTGGAGTGGGACGGCATAGACGATGATGATGATCTGAGCCCGTGTTAGTATGAACTAATCAGAAGGGAAAGATAGCATTGAGGATTCAGTTGACTTACAGCACCGGAGAATATACCGGCGGCACCAACTCCAGAGATGGCCCGTCCAACGATGAAAACGTTCGAGCTCGGGGCAGCACCGCAGATGGCGGATCCGATTTCAAAGATGACGACGGTCGCCAGGAAGACGGCCTTGATCGAGAAGAAGGAGTAGAGTTTTCCGAACATCAGCTGGAAGGCACAGGTTGTCAGCAGGTATGCGCTTCCATACCAGCCGACGTCCTGCAGCGACTTGAAGTCATCTGTGATCTGAGGAATAGCCTGTAGTTGCGTCGTCAGCGAGTGTGGCCCATGAAGTGCAACATGAAGACCAGGGGGGAAAATCATGTAGACCTCACGAGGTTTTCTGTTGGATGATAGGATACATACCGTTGAAATAATCAGTCTGTCCAGAGCAACCAAGAACATGCTCATGAAAACCGACAGCATGAGCAGCCCGAGACGGAGTCCCTGCGGGTACTCATGGGTCGTCGACGCTCTCGACACCGTCTTGGACATGTCATTTTGCCCCTTGCTCTGGGTTTGCTCTGCGGCCACGGCGATGTCGTCGTGGCCAGACGGTTTCTCGTGCTGAGCCGTCGTAGGATCTGGTTCGTCGACGGCCGCCTTGGCGCCCGCTGACTTCTTGCCGAGCCCGAATCGCATGGCTAAGCTTTTGGGGCCTGTCAATGTCAATCACTGAACGCACTGTGCCGAGCTGTGTAAGTCGCAGGGATTGCAGTGTAGGTTCCCGTGGAGCGACGTTTTTTTGCTCAACGCCACTGGTTGCTTAATCCCAGAATTTCTCTGAAGACAAGATTTCCAGACGGAAGCGCAGACAGAATTTGGCGAAATGCGATACTCTGAAGAAACGAGAGAAAGACCGGCCTTGGCGCCATCTTTTCAGCTGGGCTCTTGAGTCAAATATGTCAGTCTGCCTCCCAAGGGGGGACGGCTTTGTTGCACGTTACGACCGATACTCCGACCCACGAGTCGGTGCTCGGCCTGCGCCAATCCCGCCGCGTGGGCACCGCTAAACAGTCTGGCGGTAGTGCGCGTCCTCTAGCCCGCCAGGACCACACGGATTTCGGGCAATTAAAGAGTCATAAACATAAGCCTGCATGTTTCGGCAGGGCACCGTTCCAGCATGGTGCGGCCCGCTTCGTGGCCTAATATCAGGCGGATTGGTCAGCTATTTGCATCGCTTTGGCTTCCCTGGCAGGCCTGGAGTCCCAGAGAACTGGTGGTGCAAGCGTTGGCCGCTTACCACCAAACTTGTTCGGCACCGAGTTGACGAGTTCATATCCGAAGCGATCTCAACACAAACATAGTACCTGTTTACCCAAAAGGATTCCTCACCGAGCTGACGAGGCTTCCCGCACCTCGAAATATGGCTGCCTGGTGTCTTGCTGTTGGAGACTGCTACCATCGAATATGTGTTTGAGACGGGATGATGGCATTCCTTCCGCAGCAGAGAGCATTCTTTTGCTTTCATTGACTAGATGCATTTGACTAGCGTCGCATACCAGAAGCGGGACTTTGTACATCAACCATCGAGACTTACAAAGGTTGTAATTACTTATCAATGAACTTTTCCGTGCCAAAGTAGGCCCTCGACTAATAGTTCAATATAGCAGAAAACCACCACAGGTGCTCCATTGTGGCCAGGTTCGGCTTTTGGGAATGCTTACACCCACACTTTCAGGGCGTCCTTAAGCCCGCTCCGCTCCGAGCCCGAGAGCCTAGGACGGGAACAGCCACCAGAGCTTAGCGGCAGGAAAAAGGTACAGAGCTATCTACTTTAGGGGGCCCAACGCGGGTCAGCAATCTTACCGCAGCTCGGTATTTTCAACATGTGCGAGCACGTTTGGCGAAGCCAGATTGGTTCATCTCAATGAGTCACCAAGACCTAGAACAATGACGAGACACGTATACATGGGGTGAAAATCTTGGTTCCATGTGCCTGATTGCTAGCACGTCCCGTCGCACTTTGACAGAAATTCTATTTGATTCGGACTAGAGTCATACTCGTACAGGAGTAGTGATTCGCCATTACTCATAAACTTTAAACTACAACCACTGGTTGACATGGTGAAATTGTCCCAGATGTGACGACCCATAGTTTGCGTAGTCCGTACCCATGGTTTGACCACCCTGGCCAAACATATCCCAGTGTACACTAGACGTATCAATGAAACCAAGCATCTGATCCCACGGCATGTCGACGCTGTTGGCCATGCCGTCCACATTGACGGACGGCAATGGCACCTTTGTCTCGTCATCCACGGCCTCCTGGGCCTCGGCATCGGCGCCGAGGAGTTCCTGCAGTCTCACAATATACCACGGCGTCGTCGGGGTGTTGCCAGTAGATGCTCGCAGAACCCCCTCCCGCTTCCTCCATGCTCGAAGTAGAAAGACGGCCAGGGACCCGTGCGGCTTGATAGACAGCTTAAACATCTCGGTGTGATAGTGGTAGAACTGATCAACAACGTGCCATGCTCTATCGACCAGCTGCCCGCTCGTACGTGAGCACAGTTGTCCAACCATGAATAGGAAGACTTCGACTTGGAAGTGGGTCATAACTAAAGTTGAGATCAGTACAGGAGGTCAAGAAGACTGCGAGGTCAAGTCTTACCGAACCACAGGAAATGGCCTCTCTTTTGCGTGTGCAAATACATCCTTAGGGAGTGCTCGCCAGTCGTAATGGCGATCTTGAATAAATTGTCCTTCGGGGTTAAGATCTCGTTGCCCCATTCAGGTTGTTCTCGAGGAGGACAAATGAGTTCTCGGAGTTTGTTGACCATCATTGGCCTCTGTTCAGCGGCAAGTTCGTGGATCGGGCCCATGGATGGGTCGCCGTACTTCCTCAGAATCTCTCCTATAGCAAAATCAAGGTCGTTTATACGTCGCCGCGCAGCTTCTACCTCGGATGTGCCAGGGCTATCAGCAGTTCCCAGTTCGTTCTGCAGGATCACAGATTCGAGGCCAGGGTATTCCATCAACAGCCTGGCAATCTCGTAACTGATCAAACAGAAAACCATGTCAGTCGGGCCGTCTTTTGCTTCAACCTTCGTCATGGTTGGGAAAAGGTCTGCATCGTTAACGTTCCTGGGCTCCTTCGTATCCCAATGTCGTGGCAGCATAGATGGCCCAAGCCCAGACATCATTGCGTATACGGCATCTAGTAGAATAATCTGCCACCAGACGCGACGCCGCATCTCCGTGTCAAAAGGAGAAAGACCTAATAATTCACCATCCCTGTGTAGGCCCATTTTCTGAGCAATGCGAATAATAACTCCATTGAGGATCCAAGCTGCATGACGATCATAGCGACCGCTTATGGAGGTCTAGCACATATTAGTGTCCGAGAAGTACCTTCATGATGCTGTAACACCTACCAGATATAAGACCATTGCCTGCAGAACGACGAGATCGTATTTATGGAGGATGCCAATGCGCATCAGAGCAACGCGTGCACCTTTTGAAAATCGTGCAAAAGCGTCGTCTTTGGGTATGCCGAGTACTGCGATACATTCAGACTCGGACATTGCAACTACACCTAGAGTGTATATCGAAAATAGCAGAGCCTCCACATTCTTTGGTAAGTTGTCTTTGTTAGTCGCTGCCTCAACGACTAATGGTTGAACCGAGGGCACGTGTATCACTTTGGTCAAAGGATTCACTCGCTCTAGGAAGGTTTGCCATAGGCGAAACACATGGGCCGGCTCAGGGTGCAAGTCAGCCAGATTCGAGTCCGAACCATCCGAAAGCAGTAACCCGGTGTGATGATCAGGCGTCTGGCCATCCGCGGGCGTTACGCCCGAGCTTTCATCATCTTTGTCGTCCTCGTCGACAATCTCACGCATAGCTCGTACCTGCCAACACTTTTAGAGGCCTGTCCGGAGCAGATGGAAGAGGGCACATGTGGCCGGTGAACTGAAAAGGAATGTGGTGTGACGGTAGGGTTTATCTTACTTCATCATGTACAGTCGCCCACAGAAAGCTGTCCATAAAGCGTACACTCCCGTCATCAATGATCAGCTTGCCGAGTGACCTCCAGGTTTCTTCAGGATTCGCCGGTTCGCCATTGGTACTTGGCGGTTTGGCTGTAGCATATTCTTGCAACAGCTCCTCACACTTTGCTAAGCGCTGCTGCAAGTCCTGATTTGGCCGCCGCCTCTTCCGAGCGGGAGCAGGAGTACTTGGTGTACAGGTCACGCCGGCCTTTGCGCAAAGATGTTAGGGCTGCGCCTGGAAGCCAAAAAAGACGCACACATATTGGTTTCTCACCTTGATGCAGTTGGAGCAGGGAGAGTTCCGGTCACATTTGATCTTCCGATGTTGGCACAGTACACAGGCGCTTTGACGCAATCAGCAAAAGATGGACTCGACTGTATTACGACACCTAGCACTTACAGGACTCGGGGACTTTTCCCCGGCGTAGAAGATGACATTGTCAAGACCAGTCATCCGAAGTTGCGTCTCTCAGGTCGTGTAGGTGTATACAAGCCCGAGAGAGCTGCTGGGTTTCAATACAAAATCAGACGGGTTTCGGGTTCCGGTGCAGGCCGGCGACACCACCAGGGATGGCAACTATCGAGGAGAATAACCGCCGGACAGCAAGCTTATGATGCAAGGTGATGAGCAGAGCAAGGAGGGCAGATGTGCGGATATGGAGAATGAATGCGAACCGTCCTGCTGGAGCAGTGCTGGAGCAGTTCTGGTGCAGGTGGTCGGCGCTGGGAGGGTTGTCTTGCACGTCCGCGACACTAGTGTGCCTTATCCTTCCTGATGGAGGGGCTTTTCTGGCGGATAAGAGCGCGATCCAAGCCGGAAGACTGATTCTGATGCCTGACAGGGGGGCGCGCGCGCAGAGGCAGACGTGGCGTGTAAGCTGAGGGTACTGTGTAAGCTACAGGCTTCTCGAATCCTTCCCAAAAGGCTGGATGTGCTCGAACATGGATGGAATGCGAGGATAAGAGAGACACTGTGACAGACACCCTGGATGCGCATAGGGACATGTCATCATACCCCGTGGCTCTCCCGGGGGTTTGGCGTGCAGAAGCCGATGGATGGATTTATCAAATCTAGGTTCGAGCCAGCCCCCGCCAGCGGCGTGTTCAGGGGTCTCGAGGAGCTGCCGCCGGCTGCCGCGCCCCGCCGAAGGGCTGCGGGCCAGCTGCGAGGCCTCCGCCAGTCCTCTCAAAGTTGTCCCGGCTCGGCGACTTTCCGAGTCAAGGCAGCACAATTCACGAGTTGGTCAGAAAGAGAAGTCCACCATGTCTGCCTCCTGTCTCCCTTTATTAGTCACAGTGGTAAGTTACAGCAAGCAAGAAAGTATTGGCAAGCCACCCCCCATCCTTTGGCATCTTGTACTACAGATACGTGATCTGCTCCGTGTCCCGTCCCTTGTACTCCGTGTTCGTAGTCGGTTTCGCAGATTGGCTGCTCGGCTGCTAAGTCAGTGGGAACACCCGAAGTGACCAATCGGCTCTACGCGCCCCAAACGCCGGAGTGTGGGTGAATGAGTGCTGTGTGCATGGAAACAATGAGATCTTCTTGTGGCTGATGAGGAGGCTACTGTAGGAGGCGTCTTCAGGCCGTGTGCGCCAAAGGTGAACGGCCAGTTCTGCCAGCCTGCCACCGGACGCGGCTTTGCCACAGCGTGTCGCGGGGGCCGTCAACCCCCACTGTCCAATCACCTGCAAGTAATTATCCAGCACGGCACGATACCGGAGCGCGGCCCCACGACAATTGCCTACCGAACAAGGATTCTCCAGACTTTTTTTTCCTCGTACCTGACCAGTCTTCAATGGTCTGACTACATTGGCGACTCTCTCGCAACGATTCCTCTCCATTGACGGGTCTGCGAGCCGCCCCTCTCTGTATACCTACCAATTGGTGCTGTTCCAAGGTTGCCATGAGACCGGCGACCCTTGATCATCAGCCATGCGTCGTTTCGTAGTACGTACCTGCGTTGATACTTCGTTTCCAGAACATCATCAACTGACGCGATTCACAGGGTATGACTCTGGCGGCCAGAGCCTCGCTCCGGACCTATGCCCTCCCTCATCGGTCCATCAGCCGGCCCATCGCACGCCCATACACTGCGACCTCCCAGCGACGACAAACCGCGTTCCATTCACAGCTCGACAATTCGGCATCTTCAGCCGTCCTCTCCTCCTTCAACACGGCGTCCCAGACGCCCCAGACCCTGACGGAGAAGATTGTACAGAGACACTCCGTCGGCCTAGCCCAGGGCAAGGTTGTCAAGTCAGGCGACTATGTCACAATGTCTCCCGCGAGGTGCATGACGCACGACAATTCATGGCCTGTTGCTTTGAAGTTTATGTCCATTGGCGCATCCAAGATCCATGACAACCAGCAGCTTGTCATGACATTGGATCACGATGTACAGAACAAGAGCGAGTCAAATCTCAAGAAGTACTCCCAGATCCAAAACTTCGCGCAGCAACACGGCGTCGATTTCTACCCGGCCGGGAGGGGTATTGGTCACCAAATCATGGTGGAAGAAGGATATGCGTGGCCCGGTACTGTCACCGTGGCAAGCGATTCTCATTCGAACATGTACGGTGGTGTGGGCTGCCTCGGCACCCCAGTAGTGCGTACCGACGCTGCCAGCATTTGGGCTACAGGACGCACATGGTGGCAAGTGCCGCCAATCGCCAAGGTCACCTTGACTGGCGTTCTTCCTCCCGGCGTTACTGGCAAGGATGTAATCGTGGCGCTATGCGGTCTCTTCAACAAAGACGACGTCCTCAACCACGCCATTGAGTTTACTGGTTCAGAGGAAACTATGGCGAGCCTACCCGTCGATGACCGCCTTGCGATCGCAAATATGACGACTGAATGGGTATGTACGCTTTGCACTTTTTAACCCTCTTTGGCAAGTTTGAAGAAATCAGGAGCTGTGTGGTCAAAAAGCCACACGCCCCATGACTGGCTTGAACTTGTAACCCCCAGAACATACTTCACCACATAATTACTAACTCGGGTTGTTAACAGGGAGCCTTGAGTGGCCTCTTCCCCATCGATGCCACTCTGCAGACTTGGCTGCGTGCGAAGGCAACTTCATCTGCTGTTCTCGGTGACGGCGTTGCTCTGAACCAGTTCTCACACCAGAAGATTGACGATCTCATTCAGAACAAACTCACAGCAGACCCCGGCGCTACCTACGCAAAATCCCTGTATTTGAATTTATCCACACTGGCTCCGTTTGTCTCAGGACCCAACTCGGTCAAGGTTGCCACGCCGTTGAAGGACCTTGAGGCTCAGAACATCAAACTCAACAAGGCGTATCTTGTCTCGTGCACGAATTCCCGAGCTTCCGATCTCGCCGCTGCTGCCCGCGTTTTCAGAGAGGCAGCAGCCAAAGGGGCCCAACCCAAGGTTGCCCCAGGTGTAAACTTCTACATCGCTGCCGCGTCTACTGTCGAACAACAGGCAGCGGAAGAAACAGGTGACTGGCAGGTACTACTAGACGCGGGCGCGCAGCCCCTTCCATCAGGCTGCGGTCCTTGCATCGGTCTTGGTACTGGACTCTTGGAGCCGGGTGAAATTGGGATCAGTGCGAGTAACAGGAATTTCAAGGGGCGTATGGGTTCAACGGAAGCGAAAGCGTACCTGGCAAGTCCTGAAGTCGTCGCCGCCAGTGCTCTTCAGGGGAAGATTGCAGGACCCGGCTGGTATCAAAAGCCTGATGATGTCGATAAGGTCATCATTGGTGAAGGAGATGGCAACTTGGAAAAGGACATCGCAATTAGCATTGAAGAAGCTTTGGAGAAGATCATCGCTCAGGCAGATAGCCTCATCTCCGATGCCGAGGGCGGCGCTGGAACCACAGAGGTAGATGATGGCCCCGAGACTCTCACTGACATTCTGCCGGGCTTTCCAGAGAAGGTCGAGGGAGAGATCGTCTTCTGCGATGCGGATAACGTCAATACTGATGGCATATATCCCGGAAAGTACACATATCAGGACAATGTGTCTGTTGAGAAGATGGCCGAGGTCTGTATGGAAAATTACGACAAGGCTTTTGGTGCTGTCGCCAAGGAAGGCGATATCCTCGTCTCTGGTTTCAACTTTGGCTGTGGCAGCTCGCGAGAACAGGCGGCTACTGCCATTCTGGCCAAAAAGATACCCCTCGTAGTCTCTGGAAGCTTCGGGAACATCTTCAGCCGGAACAGCATCAACAACGGGCTCCTGGGTCTGGAGGTCCCCAAGCTCATCCAAAGGCTCCGGGACACCTTCAAGGCCGAGGACGGAAAGGCGCAGATTCCCACCAGACGGACCGGGTGGAAGATCCTGTGGGACGTGAGGAGGAGCAAGGTCACGGTCACCGAGGGCGAGGGCGGCCAGACGTGGAGTCAGAAGGTTGGCGAAATGCCGCCCAACGTCCAGGAGATCATCGCGAGAGGCGGCCTGGAGAAATGGGTCAAGGCCGAGATCTCGCGGGCTTAAAAAAGATATTGTATACTTGCTGATGTAGTGAAATACCCCATTGTATGGAAAGCAAAATCAAGGATGAAGGGGCTGGATCAAGGCTGACATAAAGTACAGTATAGACAGTGGAAAATCATGGAAATCTTGACATAGAGCAAGAGAAAGAACTACCTGCTTAATGGACACTCGGTCAGCTGAGCCCGCTTAGTATCGCAGGGTACTTCCTACAGTTCGGATCGGGATCTCGTTGAGCTACTTAAACCCAACCGCCCTAATTGAAATCCGAAACCTAACGACCGTAGACCCAGAAGGAGTTACACAACTGGAAAATCTTGGGGTGCAGATTTAGCCAGTGCCCTTTGTGCTACACCGGGGCCTTACACGCGCCGTTCTCATGACTAGGGCTCTGGTGCAGGAAGAAGCAATCTCGCAGGTTATCGGAGATACTGGAATCCTCAATACTTCGTAGGTACGGTGGTTCACTACTTGCGAATCTGTATAAAGAGTCCGTAGGCGCGCAACGCATGCGTGCGCGTGTCTCATCTCTATGTTTACCTCGCTATTATCAAACAACCCCCTAATTGAGGCGACTAGGGTATGAGTAGTTTCAGGTCCACCAAGGTCTAGATACATACATAACATGACACGAAGCCGTCCCGTCCAGCCAGGACCTCTCCGTAGATGCATTTGATTTTCGTTCAAGTTCCGTTGCCCCCTTGTCATGATTGCATGTCACCGTAAACGCCTGGACCGCCGAGAGGGAAAGAAAAGGAGTACCAAGTAAAGCATGACCTCTAGATGCCGAGCCCCTTAACACAAGTCCAGAGAACCACGGGCACAATCACGTTGTCGTTTCCACCGGTCAGGACAGCCTCCGTAAGACTGGCTACGCTGGCGCAGGCGCCCGACTTCGTTATCACCACGGGCAGCGTGTCGAGCTGTGCCGAAGACGGCCACCCGCCGATGCGCAGCCAGACGTACGCGGCCATGAGGCCGAAAAACACCGCCGTGGCGAATGCCACGCTGCCCTCGAGACTCTTGCCGCCGCCCCAGAGCCATTTGCGGTGTCCATAGCGGCGGCCGATCAGGGAGGCCGCTGCGTCACCCAAGCCGACGCAGATGACGCCAGCCACCATGCTTACCTCACGAGTAGGCACCTCCCATCCTTCCATGTAGCCAGACCCCGTTCGGGGCAGTGACCCGAGGGACAACCAGAGGGGGATGGCGCAGCCGATGAGGAGAAATATGTGAGAGATGACCACGGGCCCTCGGAGATCACGGCCATCAACGTACGGTGCGAGGAAAGACGCGAGGGGTTTCGAAAGGGGCGGAAGTTGACTCGCTCGAAGTAGATCGAGGAGGAGGAAGAGAGCAAGCACGATCGAGAGTGCCAGTGCCACGAACGGTGGGTCAACGTAGATGGAAGGGGCGAACATGGCCACCATCATGAAGTGGAAGACTTTCCGCCTAGTGTCCACCTCGTAGATTGGCGAAAGCTGAAAGACGACCAGGAGACCACATGCGATTACCGGGAGGTAGTAGGCACATAGAAGAAGTCGCGTGTTTGCTTCACCGAAAACCCCCAGTCGAAGATACTGGACCCAGCCGAGATCATCTAGCCCCTGGATCTCTGTTCGAGGTGGAAGGCAAATCCACCGTTCTAGGTTGCGGCTCACAACTTGCCACCGGAACCAGGGCAGATCGCCAAAAAGATAGCCGAGCGCCCATCCCACCGGCTCGTATCCATGTAAGGCATGTTTCTGCACAAAGTCTTTAACGCCGAGGAGCTCAACAGGGATAAAGACCGCCCCGATAATGCAGATATAGACGTATAGAGCATACAGCCATTTTCTGGTCGTGGCTTGAGTCTGTGTAAGCGAGAAGAATGCTCGCACAGACGAAGAGGCTGAGCGCTTTCGTCGACCTGACGGTGTATGCGTAGGAGATTTCTTGGACGGTCTATCGAGGGTCGGCAACGTATGTCGGCGTTGATGGCCAAAGACCTGTTGCGTTTCTGGCAAAGTGAATTTGACTTCGTGGCGATCGTCGTCGACAGCTGAGAGCGGCCCATCATAACCAGTCGCATCGGCGCCATCCATCCCTACGGTCCTCACGCGTGCGAGCCCTTGAGACGAAGGGCTTCCAAAGCCGTCACTATCCTCATGATCGTCCACAGCTTCGCATGAGCTGCAGGAGGAGCTATCCATGGAGGCATGGAATAAATCGTGCCGGACTCGTTTCCACGACATGAGGGCAGCAAATATAGAGGAGGAGCGTTTCGTTGGCAACTCGACACGTTTGAATCGCCATTTGGGCACGCGAGCAAGAGAAATCGCCCAAAGTATCACTCGCCTGCACAGCACGAGGATATCTAGACCACCTACCCACAGCATGGCCTTGAGGATGGTGATCTGCGGGGAGTATGCTAACAGTAGCACGTTGAGGAGTGCTACTGATAGAAGCTGGAGCTCTGCAGTCAAGAGACTGGAAGTCGTGAACGAATGCAGAGTCATGCACAGATATTTGTGTAGAGGGTATAGGAGAACCAGGCTTTCGGCCTGCAATGGTGAAAGTTGCGAATTGGTTCCCGGCGGTAGTGATCCAAGTTTGGCACTGTCTGTTTTGGAAAGGAAGAGGGGAATGCATGTTATAAGCCAGTGCAGCGAGCTACACAGTTCGCCCTCCGATAATGCTGGGAACAGAGCGGGCGGGAGAGAACAGAGCGATAGGATGATATTGGGGAGCAGAACTGCTTCGCTGTTCGCCGCGATGAGAGCGGAAACGAAGAGGGTGATGCTCGGGGGGTATAACAGTGGCGCCGGGTCCAGTGATGTGGACACATGAATTGGTATCCTCTGTGAAGGTGACCGATGCCGGTATCCCCAAACGGTCAACCTCAAGGGATAGAGCGCGGCGAGAGCACCTGCTAGGCCAAGGGCGGTGTAGAGCTCTGTGGAGAGCTTAGTAGGAGGTCCAAAGCTCGTTCCTGAGGAAAGCCTTACCTGTATGCCATCTTTGTAATACTGGGCGGACCTGGTCATTGGCTTGGACTAGAGCACCAAGCCCTCCGAGCAATAGGAACTCGGTGAGTCGCCGGACTATTACCTTCATGCGCCTCGTGTAATCTGTGTCTGCCCGCTTCCCCTTGCCTACCCCGAGATCCTTCTTGGGACCCGAGGTGGCATACAACTGCCGTCTTCCATCGTCGTCGAGCGGTGCCGGCGAGGGTAGAGGGGTCGAGGTTCCCGACAGGACCTCGTTGCGCCCACGTAGGCCCTTGTGCAGCTTCGTCTTCGGGGCCGGCAGGCCTTTGAGGAAGTGTTCATCGTCGGCCTCGGTTCCGCTGTCGCTCGTCGGAGTGGTGTCGCGGGAGACGGCCGGAAACGAAGTGCGGCTCCGCGGCTGGTTGCCGTCGAGGCTGGACCGGAGCGCCGAGCGGGCGGTGCTGTAGGTTGCGAAGCGATCCGAAGGCTCCAAGAGCTCGGATTTCTGGCGGTGGTACGGGTGGGGGGACCTCGAGAGGAGCCTCAGGGCTTCATTCTCCTGCTGCAGCTCGCTGATGGCATCTGGTCGTGCTGCTGTCGAAGGGCTCAGATGCTCAGGCATATCGAACCCCCGGAGAGGACCTGGGCTGCGAACCCGGCTGGTGGTTCATGCGAGGGGCGGGCGTGCTGTGCTGTCGCATCTCCCGGGGCTGTCGGGAGGGATGATGGCAGTCGGCGATGTTTCAAGAAGCCATTGCCCACCGGGTTGCGCGCTGGAGGGCCGGTCTGGAGGTTCTCGGGGTGCAGTTGACCTTGGTTGGTGAGCCTGGCGGACTTGGGAAGTCGTGCAAAGAGCAATTCACATGCTTCCGTCCCTTGCAGGCGCAGCACTGGCGTTGTCGTCAGCCTTGGGCGGTGGTCCGTACCGTCCAGGTCCCTGACTTATGGGGATACGAAGTACCCGCCATGCTCACTGGGTACGGTGTGGTACATAGCTTAGCTCGATCAGTGGCTGCATGTGGCTCCCCTATTGGACGGAGGATGTAGCTGCTCTACCCCAACAGCCCGTCATGGTCAACGAGCCACCTTGGCGTACGGATGCAACGGCAACGAGCGAATGGATATGATTTGATATGGTCATGCTCAATAGCGATGACTTATAGTGCCGTTAGAGAAGTTCCAATCTCTCCCAGCACTGTTGCAGGGATCATCTCGCAGATGCAGCTTGAGTCGAGCCATTCAGACCCAGACCTGGCATACGGAAACCCAGGGGTTGTAAGCCGCCTCTTAATAAGCAACCGTCAAGAGACATATTACTTAAGAATGATGTGACTGCATCTGCATGGTGAGGCCCATGTCGCTCCCACGACAAGATTCGGCTCTAGTGTCCTTGGATATACCCAGCGTTGAGCGGGACCTACGGCGCATCCTCCGGCCTGGCCTAGGAATATCACAAACTGTAGGGGCCCGCCTGCAACCTGGAACTCGGAGGGGTCGCTACCTTTGTGGGTTGCCCCACCACAGCCAGTTGCAACGACATCACTGCTTCCAAGCATAAAAGCCACACTTGTCTGCCCAGCGTTGCTTGTCGTATACCACGCAGGAAAATAGTCACGCCTCGTACACGACTCAAAGCCTCTTCAAGCGGCTGCCGGTGCTTTGCTCCTGCCGCAGGCATGCCAGACACTTTGAAACCCGAGGCGGCCGAGGATATGGTGAGGCATGTCCACTACGACAACGAACAACTCAAGCCTCAACACGACGATCGTGAATACATGTCAAGTGCTAGCGACGAGGACCTGAAAGCTGTCGAGGTGCGCTTCCCACTGTTACTTCCCCATTTATGAGTCAAGAAACTACAGTGCTGATTTGCCGCCAAGGTCTCATTTGACCCTACGAATCCATACCGTAGGAAAAGCTCCCTAGTAAGCAATGACGCGGTAATGCCGCAGATGGACCGCCAGACTAGGAAAACGCAATGCCTGGTGCACCAGATCCTGGAGAGCCATCGGCGACGTAGCGGTCACGATAGCATCACCCATGAAAATGGCATGGATCGCATGGTCGAGCCAAAGGGCAAAGGCAAGGATAAAGGCAGCCCCCCAAGGTCCAAAGTCGAGCCAGACAGCGCCGAGAGCACAGATGCCGGGCAGCTTGACGAGAAATCTTGGAAGTCGTCCATCGACAAGACAGGATCCGAACTCGACCTCAACAGCGAGCAACATGCCGAACTCCACAGCAGGCTTCTTACCAAGAAGCAATTGAGTGAGATGGCTTGGGGCGTCCGCGAGTTGAGCAGGAGGCTAGGTAGTGTGCGCCTCAAGTTCAAGGCCAAGACTATCTTCATCCTCACCAAGATCTACGACCAGGAGTTGATACCCAAGACGAGGGAAGTGACTAAGTGGCTGCTGAGCCACGAGCGTGATGTACGGTACACGGTCTATCTTGAGGACGGGCTGAAGGACAACAAGAAATTCGACGCCCAGGGATTACTAGCCGAGACGAGGCAGGCATACATCGACGCTGGTGAGATCGAACCAGACGCGCCCAGAGAGAAGCTTGCCGGCAGACTGAGATACTGGAATGAGGAAATGTGCAGGAAGCGGCCGCACACGTTCGATTTTGTCATCACCTTGGGAGGCGACGGCACCGTATTGTATGCTAGTTGGCTCTTCCAACGCATTGTTCCGCCAGTTCTCAGCTTTGCTCTGGGGAGTCTGGGTTTCATGACCAAGTTCGATTTTTCCGAATATGAGGACATATTGACCAAGTCATTCAGGGATGGTGTGAGCGTAAGTCTGCGCCTGCGCTTCGAAGGTACAATCATGAGGAGTCAGAAGAAAAAGAGATCCATCACAAACGGCAGTGATGAGGACGACGATGAAGCCCACAGGAGACGGGATCTCGTTGAGGAGCTGATCGGGGAAGAGAAGGATGACGAGCATACACACCGACCTGACGGCACGTATGAGATCCTGAATGAGATTGTGGTTGACCGGGGTCCGAATCCGAGTAAGTCGGCCCAGCATCGTCATGATACACGAAGCTAATTTTATCTCAGCGATGTCATATTCTGAGATATTTGGTGACGACGAGCATTTCACATCAGTACTCGCCGATGGTATATGTGTCTCGACACCGACAGGCTCGACAGCATACAACTTGGCAGCAGGGGGCTCTCTTTGCCACCCTGAGAACCCCGTGATGCTGGTGACATCGATCTGCGCGCACACACTATCCTTCCGGCCCATCATCCTTCCGGATACCATCGTGTTGCGCATCGGAGTTCCATACGATGCCAGAACGAATTCATGGGCCAGCTTCGACGGGCGCGAGCGTGTCGAGATGTTCCCCGGCGACTACGTGACTATTTCTGCCAGCAGATTCCCGTTCGCGTCAGTGATGCCGCAGGGCCGCCGGAGCGAGGATTGGGTGAATAGCATCAGCGGCAAGCTAGGCTGGAACACACGCCAGAGGCAGAAGAATGAAGGATACAAGCCTTGGACGGCTTGAGCAAGCGAAACGACCCATCGAGCACACGTAGGGATAGGAATGTCATAGTTGGGAGTTCCGGTGCACGTAGGATGGGATGGATTCATGATAGTTTGGATTACTTTCGCTTGAAAATGTGAAAGTGCTCCTCGAACAGAATGGCAGGGTTACATTGTGCTGCATGGGAGTCTGGAACCGAGGCATCTAGACTGGTAGAGATGGACCATACGCATCTACATTGGGTATGGAGTTACTGTCGAGTTGTGGGATTATGCGAATGAGACGCATGGAAACACAATACCGTCCATCAACGGGCCCGCTGACAAAAACAAATATACGCACTTCCGATCAATCTATCCCCTGACGCTGCCCCCCACCGGCTGGTAACGCATACAAACGTAGTGGCGGTCTGTAACCCGGTATTCTTGGCCTTGTCGCAGCCGCGGCGGGATCGACGCTGCCAACGAGAAATCTGGACAGGCCACTGCCGTCTTGGGAAATGCTTGTTTCATGCACTCACAGGCCGGGAAGCCTTCCCTTCCGGTCTTGTCTCACATCATCTCACATCAATCCCTCTTGGAATGTGGGGGGACTGGCGACCAGGCATGCGCATGCGAGTCTGCACTCGGGTGTGGGGAGGGTTACTTTCATCCCATCGCCTACTCGCCTGTCCCCCATCGGCACCGAGGATTAACGTGACAGTTTGGAGTGGCTGCTATTTTGAGCGCCGAGACAGTATCATCTATGTCTAGTTTCCAAATAGTCACACAAGAGACAGTCATGCGGAAGCGAGAAAATCTCGGGGTTTGTTTTTTTGTCCAGAATCGTGTAAATTGAGGCCGGTCGTTTTTAAGCTGTTTATACTAAGAGTGGCAGACTATAGTAAGCCCCTTTCTAGTTCTGTATGCTGAGCATGCCGTGTGGCTCTCTCCCACCTAACCAATTTGCCCGCTGTCTTTGCCTAGATAGATAGAGAAAATAAAATCTTCATTTTGGACCAGAAAACGCCCGGAAACGAAGACTCGCATGTCGCTCCAATGAAAAACAAAAGCCAAGTGCCGCGTGGTGACAACCCCCGAACCACGCGCCCGCCACATCCCCGTCTTCTTTCCGCCTATGGTATCATCGCTGCCATTGTACAGGAGCCCGTCGAAACAAGTGTCTTTTTCGTAGAGAGCCGAGTAGATTTTGGTATTAGTCGTAATTGATTAAGGGTGTATCGATCGTTTACTCGTCGTCTTCCGAAGTCTCGACGAAGGTCATGGTGATACCTTGAGGGTCGTCAACGTTCAGGTTGATGGCATCGATGCTGGTGGTTGTCTCTCGCTTCTCCTCGGCAGCCTCCTCGCGCCTCTCCTTGGCAGGGGCGACAGCCACAACGGGGACCGACTTCAGGTCGCGGGTCTCAAACTCAGATGTCTGCAGAGCTTCGACAATGCGAGTTAGCATGCCGTAGATAGCTGGTAACTGCATGATTGGGGTCTTATAAACTTACCAGCCGGAACGCCACGGCGGACGTACATGGTGGTCACCTTGGTTCGGCGACGGGGCTGGGATGCGGAAGACTCGTCACGCTTAGCAGCGGGGGTTGCAGCACCAGCTTCAGCACCGGCACGGGCACCTCCTCCAGCGGCGGCGCCGTTGGCGGGTCTGTTGTCGACAATAATACCAACACCGGCACCACCCTCACCAGTGCCAAGCTGAACAACAGGTCCCTTGGTCAAGGCGTTCTCGGCGTACTGGAGGGCACGGTCGAAGCCCTGCAGGTCACGCTTGGCCTTGGGGGACTCTCCCTCACGAGGGGCGATCTCCTTGCCCATTCCTTGGAGTGTAGAGATCTGAGAGGCTAAACAGGGGATTAGCCTAGCTCGGTCTACTTGAGTCTCATTGAGTCCTACCTTGCTGGGACAGAGTCGGGTCGGCAGAAGCAGCGTTGGCGGCGACAACGGGTGCTTCTTGAGTGGCAGCACCGGTGGCGGGTTGAGCGGGTGTAGCAGCTGGGGCAACAGCAGCACCTTCGGCAGCTCCAGCTCCAGCTCCAGCTCCAGCTCCGGCGCCTCCAGCACGTCCGGTGTTGGACTGACCGGTAGCAGCGTTGACAGCAGCACCCTCTAGGGTGTTGAAGAGTTGCGATACATCTTGACCACCTCCGAAAGAGATTTCACCATCACCGACCACCCTGTATATGAATTAGACATCTGTGGAAACCCGGGGGGGTCCGTATATGGCAACCAATACTTACAAGGCAGGGGAGTAAGCACCGAGGTTGATGTTCAAAGGAAGGGCGTAGACCGAGGCAACAAGGCCGGCGGCAGCGACGAGGCGATAGCTAACCATCTTGACTGATTAAAGGTAGCGAATTTGTTTTGTTTGAAAGTAGTTGGCGAGAGAGCTTGGAATGATTGACTAATAGTATAAACAAGCGACCAGCGGCGACCAGCGTAAGAATGAAAATATAGAAACGGAACGAAAGGGTCGGATTCTGGACTCGAGCACAGCTGAGGAACAAAACTGAAAAGATGAGATGCCATGATGAGCTTCATATATGCCAGCGGGTCCGGTCGAGAGCCGCGAAGGCCTGGCCACCGGGGACGGAGGGCTCGCCGCCAAGCTGGTGAGCGAACGGCATGGTGAATCGCATCCCCTGCCATGCCAAGGTGTTTCTGCGACCTGGACCATGATAACAAAAATAACTGCCAGTCCAGCAGGGGTGGCGATTCCTCTGCCCAGACCCTGGCCTTTGCAGGCGGATTGACAGGATAAACAGTACGAGCTGCTCTTGAAACGTGCTGAACCAGCGCCGCTGAGTAGCCTTGCTGCTCGCGTGCGCGAGCTAGTCAAGCTGATGTAGCGTTGAGGCTCTTGGCTGAGGCTGCCAAGTGCAGTGAAGCGTCAATGCGGCACGACGCAACAGCGATACTAGAGCGCATTGTGAGAGCCGGGTGGGTCAGTCATTCATGAGACCTGCCAAGCGTGGACCCAAGCACCAAGACGGATTCCCCTCGGCGCCCAGTGCGTGCGACATGGAAGAAGCTTTCTGGAGGTGCCCTCGTAGAGCTTGTCTTGTCTTGTCTTGCTGTCGGTGGCCTATGAGCATCTCCACCGAGTCACCGACCAGTCTCGCCCAGATGCCCTCCGCAAATGGAGCCGTCTTGGGCCTGGGGTAGAAAGTGGGTATACTTCGAGAAGCCAAGACCCGAGGGGTAGAACCGTAACCCGCCACCTTGATGTTTCAAGAAAGGCACACAACGCTGATAGGGCAATTCATGAACAAACAGCCGGTCAGTCTACGTAACTCAGTCCTTTTAACAATTGCCGGCCGTGTGTTTGGGGTCCATTGTGCATGGTTGATGGTGATATGTGCCACACTAGCAAACCGCCATCCCCAAAGTTGCAGCGAGCTGCAGTGATTAGCGGGATCCCCAAACACCACGATAGCCTGGATTTAGCATATTTGCAGATGCGCTCTTACTTCCAAGACTTTGGACTGCGACGCGACTAAGCCGCGTGCAGATTAATGATCAAACCCAGTCTAGTTGAATACATCGGTAGTTACTACTCTCTGGGGGTGGGAACCGGAATGGATAATCACGCAGGCGAGCCAGAAATACTCACTTACTAGGCATTTAAAGTTGTATTGTTGTTTCTCGCCGTCGTTGAATGGAAAGCTCATCCCATATTGTATAGTAATGATGCAAAAGCCACTGGTTGATCTCAAAGGGCCCCATTTGAGGGCCACAATTATAGAGTAGTAAGTCAAGCATTGCCTAATCACACCAGTACATGTACCCCAGCCTTGGGAGGTCTTGACCAAGATCTACAACCATGTCTGAGTTGGGACGGGCGAAGCAATTGGTGGGTAACTGGTGCCCAAGGATTCTGGTGCTTCAGGGCCAGATCGACGGTCAGAGATGCCCAGAGACGAGACGCATACCAAGACGGAACTTTGGTGGAAGGATCTTGGACAAAATGCGAGTAACCAGGGTCCTTGTTCAAAAACGGGCTTCCTCGACTACGACATGGAGCACCGCCAAGAGATTCGGACATACAGTGGGATTTGTTTGTCGACATTAGAACTCGACGGCCCGTTTGGTTGGCCGTGCAATCGCCAGCATGGACACTGGCTCCATAAGTGCTGTCACCCCCTGAAATCATCTCGGGGCCGTGATGGTTTTCGGGGTCGGGCAATCACGCAAAAGACCGGAGGCGTTTCTTCCTCCGGCATAGGCAGAGATTTGATATGGCCATGGATCCAATTAGGGATGTAGGGATGGAGCGGTAGAGCGCCGCTGGATCGACACGTACATTTGTATGCTGCTGCGGGCTTGGCTGGCTTGGGGCTTCTTTTATTAGCGCGAAACCGACTATACTGAAGCTTAAAGCGGGGCACGGCGTTTCATGCCACACCCTTTGAGATTATCAGACCGAACCCTTAATAACACCCAAAGTCAAGTGGTTCAAAGTGATTACCTGACTATATACGTGGTGGAATAATGGAGAGAAGGATTTGCAGTGAGATTGTGTACCTTTTCGAGGGAGAAACATTCTATGGCTGCCTGCCGGGCGTAATCCTACGTGTTTAGTGACACCAATCAAATGCCACAAGGAGCGGCACAGCCTCTGGGCGTCGCTTGCCCTTTCCCGACGTCATAACTCAACGTTATGGCCATGCAGAATACTATTGTGTGCTCCTGGCCGATTCCACGTAGACATCTGCTCCACAGAAGTGCACAAACAACTCCGCGATGCCGCCCTTTCAGAACCTGTCTGACAGAAAGACTGGGGAGTCGAAAATAGAAGGCCTTCCCTCGGCACAAGGGCAACAGTGGGTTGCTCGCAGGGTTATACTCCGACTAGTATGCCTTCTATGTCTGGTTTGGTATGCGCGGTATCCGCTTGGACTTCTTACCGGCTTCTCGGGGCAGCACTCCCCTCCCGTTACACCCCTTGACAACGTTGATGATCAGCATGGTATGGTTGATTGGACCAAAGTAAGCCCTGCCATAGGCATAGACGTCCGACTTTCGTGAAGTCTTGGCTAAGAGGTGTCATGTAGATTGAACCCAGCGAACAGCTTGCATGGCATTCATGCTATTCAAACTTGTCTGCTAACTTGAAATGTGCAAGACTGACCCTCCCAATGGACTATCACCGTCCCCTCGTGATGGGAAACGGTCATCCCAAAGTGCACATCGCCTTAGTGTTATCCCCAGCCCCAGGCCGCACCGAGGATCCAGCGTCATACGCCGAGTCCCCCCTTATGGTTAATCCAGGAGGACCTGGGGGTAGTGGAACTACTTTTGTGGCTCTCTACAATAAGCAGCTGCGAGGGGCCATTGGCGGTGACCATGATATACTCGGGTTCGATCCACGCGGGGTGGGCGCAACCACGCCAAACGTCAATTGCTTCGAGTCTCCCGATACCACGGGTAGCGGTCCCAATGCGGACCTTTTCAACAGGTTCAGTTGGGTCATCGGCGGCCGCGAGATTGGCCTCGTCAATTCGAGCGACCATGCTCTTGCGCAAAACGCCGTTCGTGCAAAGGCAGTGGGGCAGCTATGCAAGCTCAACTCGGATGCCCAAGGTAAGGATAGTATATTCCACTACCTGAACACTGCACATGTTGCTCGAGATATGCTCTCCGTGATTCAAGCCTGGGATGACTGGAAGCTCGGGTCGTCGAAACGTGCCCAAGCAGCCAAGGCTGGGCGCCATGCGCCAGTGTCAGATCCGTCGCAACATACTCGGATGAACACCGACCCAGATACCCCAACACATGGCACGCAGGGGAAGCTTGTTTATTGGGGCTTCAGCTACGGTACCGTCCTCGGGGCGACCTTTGCTCGACTCTATCCTGACAAAGTCGGGCGGGTCATTCTCGATGGTGTGGTAGATACCGATGGATATGGCGAGGCCGTCTGGATGGACAGCATGGTCGATGCCGACAAGATTCTGGACAAATTCTACACATACTGCCATGAAGCTAGATGGAGATGCAAACTATACCGACAAGGCGACGAAGTTCAGGATATCGCGACCCGATATGAGCAGATCTTGGCTTCACTCCGAACCGAGCCCAAGATCGTGTTCATACCTGGCTTCTATACGCCTGTCATTTTGACAGCTAGTGATGTCCACTCGGCCATGTTCGCAGCTCTCTACAACCCAATTGGAACATTTCCGATAATGGCCGAGTTTCTTGATGCTCTCTGGACAGACCAGCCTGTGTGGGTCTTTGTCACAACACCAGTTCTGTGGCTTCTCTGCGGTGAGGTTCAATTGCCCATACGACCAGATGATTCTACTGCAGCCATATCTTGCAGTGACAGGGTCAAATCCGGTGTGAGTACTTCATCAAAGCGAGCAGCATCTCGCCTCTATGTGGTTTACTGAATGGAGGCCTAGTTTAACGAAACGCTGCCACAACTTCAGTATCGGTTCGAAAAGCTGGCCAAAGTTTCGTCATTCGCCGATGTAGTAAGTTTCCGCCAACTGTAGGTCACCTGCGTATACTGCCTCAAGTGCTAACGGCGGCCTTTGCAGTGGCTAGGACTGAATCTGGTCTGTAATGGCTGGCCGATTGAGGTCCGACAGCCGCCAGACACGAGCAATACCGGGCCGGTTCATGAATCGGCACCCATCAACACGAGCTTCCCCATCCTCGTACTCACCAACACCCTCGACCCCGTCACACCCTTGAGGGCTGCAATGAAGGTGAACCGCCAGTTCGCCAACAGCAGTATAGTAGAGCAGAAGACAGAAGGCCACTGCTCGCTAGCTTGCACCTCTATTTGCATCATAGGGCACATCAGAGCCTATTTGAACGAAGGCAAGTTGCCCCCGGCGCCGCAACTCGACAGTCCCGATACAGGTGAGCGGGCAACTTGCGAGTGCCATGAAAGCCCCTGGGGGATATTTCCAGGCGACGAAAAGGTCGCCTTCGCCGAGCCTGTTGATTATCTTCATGAAGATCCTATTCATGGAGATTGGACGAGGAGCTGGGGCAATCTCCGGCATGGGTTCTTCCAGCAGCTGGTGGGTGATAAGCTTGACGACCGGCACCCTCTGAGGAACCTGGTCACAGGCCAAGTATTGGGCACCGAGGGGGAGTCGATGGCTTCATCGAGGCAATTGAGATGATTGAGAGCAGTGAAAGGTGTATGAGATATTGCTGGCTTTACATTAAGCATTCGAGATCACGAATCCCTGTCGGGAGAAAAGTGACTTTACATGTATTTACAGACAGTCTCCAATCATTCATCACTTATATGCAAGACTTCTCCAGTATGTAGGAGGTGGTTGACTTATCCGCGTCCACATTGGGGTGCAGCCAGCAAAAGTTCCAATGAACACGACCTCAAAACTTGGACTTACATCTGCTGGGGAGTACAGGTGCTTGAACGAATCGTCGGGGATCATGATAAGATCGTACGTTGATGGCATTTCTAATGTTAGCGACTAGGAAACGGCGGGACGTCCGAAGCGGCTGAGGAACTAACTTACAGTACGGACGTGCATACATGGATCGATCACCCAGAGCTCTCAGCCTCGAGGGTCCAGCTTTACAAATTGGCGATGCTGATTGGCTTGCTGAGCTTCGACCTCGGGGCGGTTTGGCCCAATTGGGTGGGGTGTTCGATTCCGCGTCGCGCTAGCGAAAATTTCAGAGAGTCGCAGGAGCTCCAGATGCAGACTGGCTGGCTGTCGGTCATAGTGCATTTCCATCCACTGCCTCGCCCTGAGCGACATCATCCATCCCATCCCATCCCATCTCTCCATCTCCGCTCCTTTCCCTTCGCCGTGTTGTATTGCCTTTTCCCCAGTCTTTCGGGTCTGTAGTTTCAAGATGTCGGCAGGACTCAGAACACTGGCGCCTTTCCTGCGCGCCTCGCGCCAATCCCTCAGAGCCGGCAGCACCGCCAACCCTCTGCAGTACTCCTTAAAAAGATCTCAGAATGTGACGGCCGCCCTGAACATCGCCCGCTCCTACGCCGCCGTCTACGAGCGATCAAAGCCCCACGTCAACATCGGTACCATCGGCCACGTCGATCATGGAAAGGTAAGCAACACCGGAGAGCAGGCGACGCCCCCTGCCGACGCCCACACCATCCCGTGCCAGGTCATGCGTACGGCGGCTTATACATCGAATCTAGACTACCCTGTCCGCCGCCATCACCAAGCGTCAGGCCGAGAAGGGGCTGGCCAACTTCCTCGAGTACGGTGCCATTGACAAGGCCCCCGAGGAGCGCAAGCGTGGTATCACCATTTCCACCGCACACATCGAGTACTCGACCGACAACCGCCACTACTCGCACGTCGACTGCCCCGGTCACGCCGATTACATCAAGAACATGATTACTGGTGCTGCCAACATGGACGGCGCCATCATCGTTGTTGCTGCTTCCGATGGTCAGATGCCCCAGACCCGTGAGCACTTGCTGCTCGCCCGCCAGGTCGGTATTCAGAAGTGTGTCGTTTTCGTCAACAAGGTCGATGCCATTGAGGACCCCGAGATGTTGGAGCTGGTCGAGATGGAGATGCGTGAGCTCCTCACCCACTACGGCTTCGAGGGTGACGAGACCCCGGTTATCATGGGCTCTGCTCTGATGGCCATGGAGAACAAGCGTCCTGAGATCGGCCAGCAGAAGATCGATGAGCTCCTCGAGGCTGTCGACGCCTGGATCCCCACCCCCGCTCGTGACCTCGACAAGCCCTTCCTCATGTCCGTCGAGGATGTCTTCTCCATCGCTGGTCGTGGAACTGTAGCCTCCGGTCGTGTTGAGCGTGGTGTCCTCAAGAAGGATTCCGAGGTCGAGCTGGTCGGCAAGGGTGGTGAGGTTATCAAGACCAAGGTTACCGACATCGAGACCTTCAAGAAGTCATGTGACGAGTCGCGTGCCGGTGACAACTCTGGCCTGCTTCTGCGTGGTATCCGCCGCGAGGACGTCCGCCGTGGTATGGTCATCGTCCAGCCCAACACCGTCAAGGCCCACACCAAGTTCATGATCTCCCTCTACGTCCTGACCAAGGATGAGGGTGGCCGCCACACAGGTTTCCACGAGAACTACAGACCCCAGATGTTCTTGCGTACTGCTGATGAGGCATGTGCCCTGTTCTTCCCCGAGGACGCTGAGGACAAGAGCCGCATGGTCATGCCCGGTGACAACGTGGAGATGGTCGCTCAGCTCCACAACCCCATTGCCATCGAGGCCGGTCAGCGCGTCAACGTTCGTGAGGGTGGCCGCACTGTCGCCACTGGCATCATTACCCGAATCATCCAATAGACAAGCCTAGGAATGCAGAAGGCTACTAATACTTGTACGAGGGAAGGGTTGAGCCGGCAGCTTGCTTAGACTCCGGGCATCATGGGAAAAGGAGTTTATTGAGACACCTGTATATGGTATGATACAATGTACAACACGAATGTTTTTGGGAGCCCCATGTATACTCGAAATTTTGGCTTTCGGCCTCTGGTTCTGACGGCCGCTCTTCCCTCCATCTCCCCTCTACTCCTTCTGTCCATGTCTTTGCTCCTGTAATTTAGAATGCATGAGGAACTCATGGCAATACGAAAGAAATCCAACCAACGTTTTAATCTTCTAGTTGAACGTGAATGTGTGGTGCTGGCAACGTCGTTCTGATGAAATCATACCGTCACGTATCACTGTCATCCTCGAAATTGGCGATGCCTCGTCCGTCGTCCAAACCGGCAATTTCATGCCGTAGGACAGCAACGTTACTCTACCTGTGTGTGCCCTGCCTTCGTGTAGTCCGGTAAAGCACCTATCTCGCACGCGTAGCCAGCGTTTCTTGTACTACATGCTTTCGTAGAAAGGTGCACTATAGTCGAGTTTACACACCCGCCACCAAACTTGTCAGTTTTATATCCGCAGCTGCATTTGAGACATTTCTTACCAGCCCAACTGTTTTTCGCCTGTGTCGCTGTTTCAGTCTCATTCACAATCATAGGGAAATATATTTCTTATTCGCCACCTTGCACACGCAACGACTTCCAAGTCCTCCATGCCTCCTGTAGCGCACCGTGATGCGTCGTCCTATGCCGGTCACTACCTAGCCTGTGAAGAGTAAGTTTGCCGCTGGCACTTGCCCCGCTGGACAAGTTGGCTCCGTAAGAGAGCTGCAGCTGACGATGGATGCCGCCAGACTGGCTCTCCGCGGCGAGGACTTTTGCCACTGGGCGCTGCAGCCCCTGCACAGGGCCGACACGGCGCGTCAGATCGCCTTGGACGCCGAGCTCCGGGACCCGGTCGTCTGGGAACATGAGTGGAACACTTGGCACTATCTCCTCCTGATTGTGGTCGCATTTTGTGTTGTTTCCATCGCCGTGGAGCGGCTGAGGGTGGGAAGTGATGGCGCAAAAAGCCTGGTGAGGCGTATCAGGAGCCTCGGGACTGACAAGGGTGGATGGCGCATATGTGCATGATATGGCGGGAAGCTAAGCAAATTATCGATGCTATGCTACCTACGGTCCTCGTTTTCTTTCCGTAGCATCTTTGGGGATGCCTCCTCCCTGTTGAAATCTGTGCTTGTGTTGAGCCAAGACAGCAACAGTAATCTCATAGTAGAAATAGGGGTAATGATCGGTGGTTTCGTAGCAGCATTCTCCGCTTCGTGCATAATCCCCACAGGATCTTTACAATGCTCCTCTTTGATACTTGTGGTAAATTAGACTCGTGTGGCTGTTGGACAAGGCTCTTTGTGAAGGTGTGACTGGCAGTAGGAGAGCCAGGCCTTTGGACAAGGAGACTCCGTTGTAGCCGTGGAGCAAACAACGAACAGAGACAAAACGTTTATGGGGTCACCAGCAGCCACTTCCAAATGACATGGCTAACGAATCCTTGCTTGCCTTACTTTGATTCACAAGGGGGCACTGGCCATGCTGCATGAGCTGAGCTGCACAAGAGCCTGACAGGACACGACTGGCTATATATTCCGTGAATATTGCAGGCATGGATCACAAGATATCACCCAAACCAGTGGCTGATGCTTTTGCACTGCCAGAGGTGAAAACTCCCTTGCTGCCGGGCCCGTCTGTTGTCGGCCACCGGAGTGCGCGAACGACCGGGGGCGGCTCGTCCGTCCGGGCCCCGACCTTGTCGGCCACCGATGTCCGCGATAGCCTCACCGGCTCGTCCGCATGGACCCGCGAGACGGCACGCACAGTTGGCTGGCTGCGATGGGAAGCGGAGCCAGGCCTCATGTAGTGCAATAAACCAGAGGCTCCTCAACAAATCCGGCAGCACGACTCAATGGTCGAGCAGCAGCACCCCTTGTAGTAACCAGCTGCCCCTTCCATGGCAGGCATGGAAATCAAGGGGCTGCGATATCAATAGCCCCGGCCTGATCACCCCCCCTCCTCCGCTGACCACCCCCTTGACACACCCCCATTGTCCCGGGGGAAATCAGGCTAGAACTCCTATCCTTGAGAGGTCAATGCCAAGCGGATGGAGGTCATCAGCTGGGCACATCTTTTTTGTCTTTCTCCCTGCAGCCTTCTGACCTGTGATCTGGGGTGGCATGTTGTGACTCCCGTGAATAGCAGCATGCCTGGGAGGAGACCCTTTAAGCCCGGACAGTCCGTGATCCTCACAACAAATTCGGCAACACGGCGGAGTGGTCGTTCGATGCCGACTCGCACTGGTCAACCCTGGCTTTCGCCCAAACCCCATGGCAGTCGGGCGAACGCAGTGCAAGAGCAAGCATATTGGTTCATCTCGTGCTGGGCACCTGGAATCATGTGAGAGACGGAAAGCTCTAAGGTGTAGCTATATCTTACGGGCAAGGCACTTTCATACATCTCTTTTTTCCTTCTCCAACTTGTTTTGTCCTGATAATCTTGTGCCGCACCTTGGTGTCAGGTGGCCATTGACCCCTTTACAAATTAAAATAGATGAAGTCTTTAATTGGATTTCAAATCTGGTCTCTGATTACCTGTACTGGGGTGAGCTTAGTAAGAAACTTGAGCATTATTTAAAGAAAGGCGGAAAAAATTAAAGGGGTAAAAAGGGGGTGACGCCTGCGATTGAACCACGCGCGCTTCATGATGATGGCCACGACGATGGACATGATGACTTTTGCCATGCCATCTCCTGTACCTTGGCAGGGACGAAAAATTCACCATGTCCAAAACCACACGCAGTTGCTACGAGGAACGAGTGAGGGTGGGCACTAAGCTTGTAAGGGGGGACAGTGCTGAACTGCAGAAGTCTGCTGGATGTCTTCTGTCAGCCATCAAAGACAACATAATCAGACAAGTTGGTATTGCACACACGAGGCACAAAGGCTTACCGTTTGAAAATATCTGAGTATCAGCAACCTCAGGCCTGAAAGTAGTAGTACAAGTGATGAGGAATGTCACATTTCAGGGAGTTATGGCTTTAGTGATGCAGACATCAGCCCAGGGAGAGTCGCACAGAAAGAGAAAGTGCGCTGCTTCATGTTGATGTGAACAAGTCGAGCTCAGTGACTGACAAGAATGAATGTTCTACAGTAGCGTGATGATAAATAGATGTCTGTTGCGATGTTTGTGCCCCATTCCACCAGATTCACCTACCACCACGACTGTGGTGTCAAACTATGGTCTTCATTTCGATTCAGCCAAAGGAGATCTGGCTTCACATTTCCAAAGTAGGAAGAAAGAAGGTTTCAGGATTCCGAGCGAACCCAAAGGAGTACTTGGTGGTAGAGCCACAGGCAATTTCACGTACCTGTTGCTTTTAGCCACAACGCCGTGCAAAGCTTGCGCAGATCCATTCTCAGCTCTTGTATTCCATAACATGGCATCAACTGTGCTAGACGTTGCTCACGTTGAATGATTTTCCAGCAAATAAACTTGGCATACTTTGAGCGTTTCAAGTGAGCAGCAGACATGAAAAAAATACTCGTAGCTGGTAGCTGAGAACTTGGACGGGCATCTCCGGTCATTGACATCAATCAATCAATTCGTTTCTGGCTCGGGATCTTTGAGATACGGTAATGGACCAAAGCTCGGAACATCATTCCGAGGAACGGGCAATTGTAGTATTCAGCATGTCTTGTACCGGTTCTCTGAGAATATATTCTTTAGACAACGTACAATCCACTGTTCCTTAATCTTCTGGGAGTAAAGGTGGGAATGAAGTAATGCGGTTAGGGAGCCGGGTAACAGAAGTCAACTATCGTAATACCAGAGCTTTCCTGGAGATGGTAGAATATGCCTATTCGTACGATTCGTCTCGTGAGCTTAAGCGCCACAAGACTACGACATATCACGGATACACTACGAGAAACATAAGGAGACTGGTATGGAGGCCTCGCCTGGTGGACGTAAGTGGCTCGTGTACTGTCTGCAACGTTCAAGCGCCACAGCGGAGTTATTGAACGCATCTGGCCATAGCTAGCATCCCTTCGGCTGTAGTCGGGAGACGCCAGGTAAGGGAGCGAGCGGACAGGTTGAGCCCGGGGAAATGGAGCTTGCGCGGCCAGGGCGGTCGAAATGGACACGGGCAAATCCCTGGACACTCGAAGCAAGGGCAAGCCCATACGCAGATAGGTGGGCGGGTGTCTCGTTCGGGCTATCTCGAGGGCTTTTCCTACATTTCCTCTTGTATCGTCGATCCAGGTCCAGGTCGATTCACCAAGTCGAAAACAGGGAGAGAGTCGAGGCATTGTTCATTGAGAATCCATTTGTGCACTGTCGCGGTGATCTAGCCTGACCCTGTGACAGCCGAGCCCCAAACCCTCCATAAGAGCCCACCACGTTTGCACTAAGGCATATGCTGAGGAACCGTATCTTTTTCCATGATCAAAAACCACAACTCCATGTCCGCAAAACAGCGTTCGTATCGTAGATGCCTGGGCGAAGGGTATGAGAGGGAGACGAGTAGGACGCAAGACGCTTAACGGTGCTGGATTGCTAGGGTCAGTATTTTTGTGGCTCTCGGGATTTGGGTCGTTTCCGTGATCGCAGGCCTCTCGCTTCTGCTTTGGACAAGGGGGGGAAGGGTTTCCGGTCGTACCTTGACGAAGCCAATGTCGGCGGACTTCTCACGGAAGCACTGACGGCAGATGTTGAGGCCGTACTTGCGGATCAGACCGGCCTTGTGGGTGCAGACACGGCTGTAGAGAGAGAGAAAAAAGTGTCATGTTAGCCCATCGTGATCCTTTCTCGTCCAGCTGGTATCCATCCTATCGAGTCTTTCGCAGAAACGTACCACGAGCGGGAGCCCTTGCCGTAGGTGCGGGGGCGCGAGTTCCAGACGGATTCGTGAGACATGATGGCGGTGGCTTCTGACGAACTGTCGACGTTGTCGGATGTGGGTGGAAGCAGGAGTGTGCTGTGGGTTGACGGTCGGTTGTCTGGTCGTTGGTCGCGAATGGTCCCTCGAAACGGAGAAAGACGCAAGCGGAATTATTTTCAGAATTGTGGTTTGGTGTGCGCCGGAGTGGGGCCCACCCTCTGGCGGCTGGCGCGAATCTGCGAACTCTGGCAGGGTTGGAAAAGTGGCTTGAACGCAACGGGCAGGACGGGCAGCAGGACGGGCAGCAGGACGGGGAGCACAGCCACACGATGCAGTCTCACAACCTGGAGTCTCTTCTTCCAGCGCCACACTCTGGAGAACACCCAGCCCAGAATCCCAGTCCCTCTCGACCTCTGTCCAATGTCCAATGTCCAATGTCCAATGTCCAATGCCCACCGCCCACCCAATCCAGGCTGCTCCCTGGCTTTTTAGCCGCTGCCGATGAGCACATCGCCCGAGTTCCCCTTTAACTAGTTATCGATAAGACACGGCACCCCTGCCCCCCCCGTCACAGGCGAATTGACAGGTTGCTGCTTGCCTTGCTGACACACAGAGAGAGAGAGAGAGAGCTTGGGGGGCGCCTAACTTATCACCTACGTAGCTTACCAAACCTAGTCCGTAACAGCTGGGGCTGGATTGAAACCAGTACTTCCATATTCATTCACCCGAGGACAGCCTGTCTTCTCACATCACTGCAGTGCTTTCTTTTCCCTATACCCATCACATCTCCACAAGCTCTAGTCCCGTCCCGTCCCGCCAGCAGATACCCCATCTTCACCATGGTCCTCATCAAGAGCTTCGTGCTCACCGGCCTCGCGGCCGTCGTCGCCGCCAAGTCTGCCGTCCTCGACCTCATCCCCGACAACTTCGACAAGGTCGTCCTCAAGTCCGGAAAGCCCACCCTGGTCGAGTTCTTTGCCCCCTGGTGCGGCCACTGCAAGAACCTCGCCCCCGTCTACGAGGATCTCGCCCATGCCTTCGAGTCCTCCAAGGACGTGCAGATCGCAAAGGTCGACGCCGATGCCGAGAGGAGCCTGGGCCAGAGGTTCGGCGTCCAGGGTTTCCCCACTCTCAAGTTCTTCGACGGCAAGAGCGACAAGCCCTCGGACTATAACGGTGGCCGCGATCTGGAGAGCTTGACCAAGTTCATCACCGAGAAGACCGGCGTCAAGCCCAAGCGAAAGCTCGAGATGCCCAGCCAGGTCGACATGCTGACCGACAAGACCTTCAAGGAGACCGTCGGCGGTGACAAGAACGTCTTCGTTGCCTTCACTGCCCCCTGGTGCGGACGTGAGTCTCCACTGAACACCCGTGCTACTCGTAATTCCTGGAATTAAGCTTACGCGTGCCCAATGCAGACTGCAAGACCTTGGCCCCCATCTGGGAGAAGCTCGCCGAGGACTTTATCCTCGAGCCTTCCGTAACCATCGCCAAGGTTGACGCCGAGGCCGACAACAGCAAGGCCACTGCCCAGGACCAGGGCGTCTCCTCGTACCCGACCATCAAGTTCTTCCCCGCTGGCTCGATCGACGGCGAGGCCTACAACGGTGGCCGGTCCGAGGCTGACTTTGTCGCCTTCATCAACGAGAAGGTCGGCACCCACCGCGTTGTTGGCGGAGGTCTTGACGCCACTGCCGGAACCATTGACGTCTTGAACCACATTGCCCTCAAGTTCGCCGCCGGTGGTAATGCGCTGACGGATCTGGCTGCCGAGGCCAAGAAGTCCGTCGAAGGTCTTGGCAAGGACGCCCAGTACAAGTATGCCGAATACTACATCCGTGTCTTCGACAAGCTCTCCAAGAGCGACAACTACGTTGCCAAGGAGCTGGCTCGTCTGGATGGCATCCTCAAGCGCGGTGGACTCGCTCCCGCCAAGGTCGATGAGCTCCAGAGCAAGACCAACATTCTCAAGAAGTTCGTCGCAGACCTCGCCGACAAGGTCACTGGCAGCAAGGACGAGTTGTAGGAGCAGCTCTAGAAGCTACCGCTGATAGACAGCTGCGGGATCACATCAAGGGCAGGCCTCTCATTCCTTTACACTAGAGCGATATCATCACGTCCTTAGTATACTATACCACAATCCGCGACGCCGGGGCAGAAGAAGTGATGAGTGATGGGTTATGACATTCCCGGATCCGGGATCGTGGAAACAGCATCCACAAGTACCAGAAATCTGTAGTCTTTGGGCGAAAGCCTCAATCGAGACAGTCATTCATGAACATGTCTTGCGTGTTCTCCCATCTCTTGCTCATGGCAGCCCAATCATTCGTCGACCCTGGCAATGCCCTGTGTGTGTGCACTGTGGATTCGGCCTCGGCTCTGTGACAACCAAACTCCTTGAACGCCGTAGCTCTCCCATTCATATATACTACTCCCATGAACTGACCATCTCTACTTCGAAGACGAGCCTGAATTGTTCGGCTGCGCCTGCAGTGCCGCCTCGAGGTTGTCTAGTCTCCGCGACATCTCGTCCACTGCTCGCATTGACACGTCAGTTGGTCGCACCTATTGGGCGTATGCGCCAGTCGAGGAGGGAACGGTGCGCTGGGGCTAAGGCCACATACTCTTGGCGAAGATCTCGCTCGACACGCCGGCGAATTTGTTGGATAACGTGTTCAGAAGGTCTTCGAGGACGGCGTTCAACTCATCGGAGGACTGCGAGAAACGAGTAAGCCGCGATGCGCGTGGAGATATGGGCCAGGGTGTTGGTAGCACGACATACATTTCCGGCAGGCTCCTGCGTCTTATCATTCTCTTCGGGCTTCTTCGAGGACATGGTCGCGGGTCGGTAAGGAAGACCGGCACTGTGATGGAGAGGAGACTTCTGTCGCGTACGAGACGTGGTTCGCTGTTCTGGTCGTCGTCGTCGTCGCGAGGGACTGAGGAAAGGCTTCGGAAAGTGTCAGTCAGCGCCAGCGGCTTGGACGCCTGGCCCCCGGGCGCATTACTGTGGTGCTGTGGTGCTGTGGTAAGGCCTGGGTCGGCGGGGTGGGCCGTGCTGAGACCCCTGGAATCCCGGCCGCGGCCCAGAGCGGCACAGCTCCGACCGAGCCCTGGAGCTCTGGAAGTTACCGTACTGCTTTTACGTATGACCTCACGCGACCAGACTTCCAACGCCCTGCTACCAATCCACGCCGCAAGTCCCTCCTGCGTATGCTCCTATACACAGTCTGATCTCGATGGGCTGCTGCGGAATGCCAGCATGGATACGATGATCGAGAACCCAACGACGCCATAAAGCCGTGCTCCATGCGCGACAACATAAGCCTGCTTGCCAACTAGGTAGCACTTGCGCGCCCGTCGCCATGCCTCCGCCGCAGGACAACGCCCGCGTGGTCCTTCTGATCATCCTCCTACTCTGGGTCTCGACCAACGACAACGGCGCCGGCTTCGTCCAGGCGCCCTCCCAGACCAAGGCCCGGCTCGCGCGGCAACGCTACGCCCACGGCGTCCTCAACAGCACCAGCTGGGGCGACTTCGCGCCGCGCCTGGCCGACGTAGAGCTCCCGCCCGACGAGCCGCCGCGCTACCTGAACCTGACGGGGTTCCGGGAAGAGGACAAATACGCCTGGGACGATCTCGGGCGCTTCAGGAACCGCTGTGAGGAATGGAGCCGGAATGCCGTGGGCGACCCGACTGTCTCTGCGCCCGTCTGGCAGAATGTGTCGGGCGTGGTTCGCGGGCCGTGGGCCAGGAGGGAGACAACCGTCTCGAGATACCATTCAAGCTACAATTTGAGCAATATCACTCCAGAGGTCGAGTGGATCGGCTGGGCCGCCGATTGGAGCAGGAATATCACTGGCAGGGAGGGCAAGATGATGGTCCGGATCCATGATAATCAAGACGCGGGCACAGAGCCGAGCGAGGAAGCACTCCACGAGAAGGGCCTTCTCCTACCGTCCGAGATCAGGGCTAGGGCCGTCTCTGCTACTGTGACGGTCGACGATGAGGAAGGGTCCGGAAGCAGCAATGAGATGAGGCTCCACGGCGTCCACTGGCCACGACAAGGAGCATTACTCCTGACAACAACGAGCGAGAAGTATGCCGGCATATTCGGTCTACCGCATCTCACCTCTCGCCCCGAGTTCTTCGAATCCAGTCAGGCACTGTTAAACAGGACGCTCGACGAGGTGCTACAGGCCAAAGAGAAGCGCTATTTCACAGACCATGGAAACCCATGGGGCTCGAGCCTTGACGGTGCCAGTGAAGCACTTGGGCCTTCGCCGCATTGCGAGTATGTGTTTTATGTACAAATTCACCCTCCAAGTAACGAGCTCCTCAGGGTGCAACCCACGCTCACCGGGCCTGAAAACGTGGCCAAAGCCATCGAGGAACTGGAGCATGAACTCAGGTTCCCACAAGGTGCTCCACAGGAGGGCTTACCAAGGCTCCAGATGTCTGCAGTCGTCTACTCCCCTGACTGTGCTTTCATGCTCGAGACCAAAGGCGCGCCAGACTACCCACCCACGGAGGGGCGGCATCTGGAGGGCTGGAAGCAGGAGCAATGGCTACACAGCGTCAATACTTGGATGCTCGGCTTTGCCGTCGTCATATTCTCCCAGGTCCAGCTACTCAAAAGGCAGATGAGAGAAGTCTCCACGCCATCAACGCTAGGGAGGATCAGTTTCTACACTGCTTGCATGATCCTGTTAGCCGACGGAATCATCTTTGCTGGCTCTGCGGCTTGGAGTCTTTCGGCCTCAACTACGCTTCTCCCATCTCTAGTCATCACTGGTGCCGCTTGCTTGGCTACGACAACGGGCATCTTCTTTCTGGGAGAGATCTTCAGAGTCCAAGAGCCCGAGTGGCGAAGAAGGGATCGGGACAGGCAGGCCACGTCTACCAGCAATACGCCACGACCGCCAGCTACTCCTACTCCTACCGGTATACCTGGAATAATCCCCGGGACCGTCCCCAATACTATACTCTCTACGGCTGCCCGGCGTGCAAACCCGCCGCCGCCGACACCGCCCATCATCATCCCATCGGATCAGGACATTGATGCTGAGATCCAGGAGGTGACGAACAACACAGGACCCATCTTGCCTACAACCGCTCCTAATGCCACCAATAATCAAGCCGTCAGCCAAGCCACCACTCTGAGTAGCATATTTGGTCGCATCATCATGGTTGGCATAACCACACTATTTCTTACCCTCGCCGCCATCACCTGGCGTCCCACTCTCCGCTCCATATACTTCAACATTCTCGCCTTTACCTACTTATCCCTCTGGACCCCGCAGATCTATCGCAATATCTACCGCAACTGCCGGCGAGCCCTCTCTTGGCAGTTCGTCATCGGCCAAAGTGTATTGCGCCTCCTCCCCATTGCCTACTTCTACCTCCTGAGGGACAACTTTGCCTTTGCCATACCGGACCGCAAAGCGTTCGCTGTGCTGGCCGGCTGGATCTGGGTGCAGATCTGGATCCTCGTGGCGCAGAACGTCCTCGGGCCCCGCTTCGGCATCCCCAGGGGCTGGATGCCCGAGGCCTGGGAGTACCACCCAATCCTGCGCGAGGACGGCGTCGAGAGCGGCGGCCTGCCCATCGGGCTCGTGTCGGACTCGTCGGGCACCGCACCCAGCTCCCCGACCCTCGAGCGCACGCGCAGCGGCGGCGGCGACGCCGGGCCGCGCAAGCCCACGCGCATCCACGCCATCGACTGCGCCATCTGCCGCGAGACCCTCGAGGTCCCCGTCATCCGGGCTGGCGAGTCCGACCCTTCGGGCGGCGGCGTCGCCGGTGTCTTCGCCCGCCGCGCCTACATGGTCACCCCCTGCCGCCACATCTTCCACAGCGCCTGCCTCGAGGGCTGGATGCGCTTCCGCCTGCAGTGCCCGATCTGTCGCGAGGAGCTGCCGCCGCTGTAGTGTTCATATGCTGTCGTAGGTTTTTTGGGTACGCGATTGCGGCGCTCGGGTGGGTTGCGAGCCATGTATATATCTTGTATTATGAGTAATGAGAAATGTCCTTGTCGAGACTGATATGATCTGTTTTAAATATGGGTACCAGGCTCCATTAACTGCCATCTAGACACAAATTCTACCATTAACCCATTGCTTCGTACGGTCAAAAGTGACGTGACAGCAATATCAAGAGCCTCGAAGGCAACCTCTCTACGACTGTCCGAGAGTGTACTTGATCTCATAGACGTATGGGCCAGGGCATAACAGCGTTTACAAGGGGGGTGTAGAAAGTATAGCTAAACATGGCACGTAGACGAGTATGGTGACTATTACTCTTCTGTAAACAGAAGCTTTTCATCGTTTGCCAAATCTGTCTTTATCTAATGAGTATGAGAAACCTGTTTGTCTCTACGCAAGGAGTCTCCTGTCTATAATAATTAATGGCGCCCTCGACCACAACATCGAGAGGAAGATGTCGGACGGGGGACATCATAACGGCTGCGCTACTCACTTTCACCACACAGGAGGCGGAGGGAGCTGTTAGGGTACGACTCGTGGCGGCTTCAGATGTGTCAAACACTATTTGCACGGGTGTCTATCCTAGTGGCCCTGAGTTGCAGCAGCGGTACCCGGTAATCTCCTACGCTCGCAATTATATTCCCCTCTCCGGAGTTGAGGATTTTACACTTGTCTCGATGCCTCAGAACTCCTTCGCTCGCATTAATCTAGTTCGGAACTGCGGGTTTTCTTTGGGCGCCGGGGGATTGATCTGATCGCACACAGCTGTCATGCCATTGCACAAACCCTTGGTGGCTGGGTCTTACTCTGTAATACATGCTCAAGTTCGTGTGCGATGCTCTCCTGAAGTCAAGTCTCACTCAAAGCCATTAGCTGTGAAGGATCTTTCGCTCAATGCATAAGAACAGCACTCCTTGTTTACTTGCCGCCGTTCCTCTCAGCACGGCCGACACCTCGTCTGGTCTATGAGAAACACCATGTCTACGCGTCTGATTTATGCGATGCCATCCTACGTAAGCTCCCTCAAGAATTTAGCAACATAGTTGCATACGAGGCAGTAGCGCAAACAGCGGTTCATAGGCGATATAGGCAGCATACTTTACACATCTCCCGGAACTTACGATATGTGCTACTTGCATTTGGCTTGGCGATGAGCAAGAATCACCGCGGAGAATATGATGCATATGTGTCCTGTGGCGCAAAGATGGCGGGGGAAGGCTGCGGGATCTGGAGGTTTGCACTCCGCCCGTGTGGTGGTGGTTGTGATCCTGTAGGATTGGGGGTCTCGGATTGTTACTGGCGTTGTCCAGCCCGACGCATAATCCTGCGTATGCGTGCACTTACCGGAATGCGGAGAGCTGACGGGAGATCGAGAAACGGGAAAAGTCTCACACCACGTTACAGACAGGCACATGTGCAAAAAGGAGAAGAGAGTTGTGGATTGGTGAAAATGCTATCTCAGGTTTGTGTAGGCCGGGGCGGTTTCTTCACGAACAGTGGTATACCTGAAGAATATGCTCGTCGTGGCCCCCATCAACCAATAGGATTTCCGGGTCTCAGGTGGGCCATGCAGTGGAACTCGACACAATAATCAGTGCTCTTGGCTGCAGCTTGCCCAAGGGTAGTGGGATCGTGGAAGTATCGTCGCGTACCGTTTGGTTCAAGTGCGTCGTTGCCACTATCCCATGCCTGCAGACAGAGAACACGTCTGCATAGCTAGATTGTGGAATAAGCAGGCGCTTCTCAGGATGAAGGGCACGGGTAACTTCTGCGTCGAGAGTCCTTCCCCACCAAGTCAACCACTTACTGGGACGATTGGAATCGGTGAGCAGGGGTGTATTCCTTGCTGGCAAGGCTCATGCGTATCATGGAGTATTGGGGCAAAGATAACCGTCGGTTGCGGCCATCGCATAATACAGGCAAGGGTGTTTTACGCCGATTCAGGGACTCGAAGAGGAGAGTACAGCATCCGGTGTACACGAAGTTCAGCGAGGTATAGACAGACATGGGTGTCCTCATCCACCCGTAAGACCCATGGCTTGCCCGGAAACCACAGCCTTGCGGGTATGGTCTTGCCAGCTGATTGATCCGTCGTCCGATACTCGGCTGGTTCCTAACTTTGAAAATAGCATTGGTTACACGGCTTTGTTAGGCGGTAACCCGATGTTCCGAACTGAACTCAGCCTCGACATGACAGGTGCAATCGGAACGGCAGCCAATAACAACCCGCGGCTTTCTCAGCTAGTGAGGCTGAGGGTGGTCCAACTGCAGGTAACCACCTTATTTGCACATATGCATCAAGGGCTGGGGGCCGCCGAGGAATTGATATGGTGCAACATGCTTCGGAGTTAGTGACACGCCGGCCAACGTTCCGCAAAGGAAAAAGACTCAACACGGAGCCGTATAAGCAACTACATGGAGACGAGCAAGTATGATCATAGAATCGCCAAAGTTGCCAACACTTGCGCCCTCAGCCTCTTGGTGGATGCGGATCCTAGCTACCCGGGACAGGCGATGGAAGGGAGCGAGAAAAGTGCCGATGCTTGATCAAGCTATTGTTAGAAATGCATGAGTCGTTGCCATGTGGCGCGCCAGGGAGGCAGCTGGGAAGGCAATCGGAATTCAGATGATCAGAGGGAGTCGTGCGCTTTGCAAGGGAGTCATTTGTTGCGATCTGGTCAATGAAACTACTGGGGCCCGGGTATGTCACGTTCTGGGTATGAAGGGATCAACCCTGGCGGGGAAGTTGACTTCATGCGGACTGATGCCATACTCCGCTGATGATCGCAACCATCAAGTAACGAAGTATCAGAAATGCAACTGAGGATTTCGGATAGGCTGGTGTGATGACAATCGCAAATGCCAGATCGCCTTGTCTGCTCGTGGGAATATCGAGCATCCACTGAAGGACCCTGGACCCTGGAATCCTTTGGGCGATCAGCTCTGCATACCCGTTGATGTCTGCATTCGGCGTCAGCGTCAGCATTCAAAGCCCCCGCAGTCAAGGCAGCGGAGGATATGACCCTCCGCTTACGAATGTAGCGATATTTTTTCTGCTCATTAACAGAAGTGTTGGCTACTCGCTTGGAAAGTAAGCTTATTACTACAAGGAGCTCACAGGCAGGTATCGTGACTCTGGAAGGCTGACGAGAAAAGTGTCAGCCCCATCGTTCGGCTAGGTTAAAGACTAACTTTATTATGGGAGCGCAGGCGCTAGACCGTGTTGAGCTAGAGCGGTTCCAACTGGACAATCCGTCACGCTATTCGCTGGTTTCAGATGGCTGGAGCTGGGATCTCCGCCAGATCGGTACCCACGCACTTCCTACCTAGTTCCCAGCTCACTAGTGACGCCATCTTGGGCTGGGTACCAATCCCATGGCACCACACGGTGGTGATGCATTCTTGCAAAACCCGGATTGTCTGGAGGATGTGTTGAAGTTCACCCGTGGCAATCAAGAGCGCTTATCACCTCCCAGATACATACTTGATGGACGCGCATTCTGCTGATCGAAAGGAGTCGCATCGTCCCAGAGGATTGCCAATCGGGTTGATCGTAGACAGAAACAGACGGGGTTACGAAATGTTCCAGAAGAACGAACAGATCACGGCTCGTTCATCTTGAAGCAGTTCCGATGTCAAATGTGTTTTGGCGTGGCCGGCAAGCGATTGCTTATCTGTGAAGCTCTCGGGAGTCCGGCGCAGGTGGAAGAAGATCAGACGAACGAGGGTGCCTGTGATGTTTCATTGCTCCTGAGCCTATGCAGTGTCGCATGCCGCCACGGCGCCGGCGGTAAGGGTGTCGAAACTTTTTCCCATACTTCGAACCTGACCACGGGGCAGGGCCAACCCGGGCTTGATTGGACACTGTAAGGAAATGTTTTAGAGAATAGCCGGTGCTTGCTTGTCTCGTTTCGAAGATGCTGTGAAGTCGCAGAGCGGGATAAAAGTCGGTCTGTGAACCTGGACAAGAGTCCGACGACATGATTTGCAGACGTCGTCGACACTACTGGCGGAATGGGTGTGTGAGGTGGGCAATGAGGTGTCGGAATGGGTCGAGGTGGTAGCGCCTCTGGGGCCGAGTATCGTGGCAGCACATCCACGCCGGCCGCCTTGAGCTATGATTGGGCCAGCCGACATGCTGCACCCCTTTTTGCCGCTGAAGAACGCAGTAGGTGTCGACTTGTCACGATGCACATGACCGCTTCAAAAAATGGCGTTCCCCCTGCGCTGCTGTTTCTGACTAGCCCATCGCGTTCGTAAGACAGGTCTTGATTGATGGCTTTAGGCTGGAGCAGATCAATTGATTAGCTCTCGATTCGTGCCTGGCGAGCATGCACCAGCCAGGAGGTTGACGGTGCACATCCTCCCAAAACTCTCTATACACACTACAGGGCATGAGATGTGGAGGGCCGTGGAGGTTGGAGCCATACCCCGAAGAGGTTTGTGACAGGTCCCGCACCGAAAAAGAAAAACCAAGAGAAGCCGCAACCATGAGTATGGTAGCTACGGCTTTTGCTGCACGCTTTGAGTTCACTTGGAGTGAATCGCATGAGGCTGCAAATGAAGATCGAGCATTGACTTATGCGGCACGACGGGTCCGGTATACCTTTTCTGGTGCGACAAGCCGGCGTTGTCTAATAAGCCGTTGGGTGACCCCCTTCTGTGTTCTAGGCGGGCGCGACTAGTAAGAAAAAATCCGTCAATTGTGGCCGACGAGACACTCAACGAAAGGCCGATCAAGTGCTCCCTCCGGGAGCAAAGAGCCGCATGTCATGTCATGACCTTCTCTGGGTGACCAGCCCCCATGGCCCCAGAGATGTATCTTCGTCGGTGGAGAATAAAAGTGTGACGCTTGCACCGGGCAGCAGGTAGAGTGGCCGTCGTCAACAACACGAGAGCCCATGTCTATAGCCACGCAACGGCGTGAGAGCAAGCGGTGGCGTCCATCACCCACTCATTTCGTCGGCTGGCGCTATTCAGTCTCTTTTTTTCCTTCTTCCCTCCCCCCGCGGGCACGTAACAGCCTCCTGTCTGTGATGATTGTCTGAGGCACGCGGCGCTGGATGGGCGCTACGTTTCTATCTCGTTCGCGCTAGCGGAGGCCTAATGGACATGGTGAAGCGAGGCCAACCAAGGCCCCTGCCTGGGCCATCTCCACCGGGCCCCCTGTCGCTCCTCCTGCCACTAAACCTTGCGCCCTAGTAGGGGCCTGCTGCTCGGATCTACCGTTCAGGTTCAGGGCACTGCCATCCTTTCCCTGGTTTGGACCCCTCCAACCAAGGTACCGCAGTACATGGCAATGTACTCTGAGGTAATGGGCGGCGAAGTTGGGAAGCAGGATGCCATGTTGGATCCCAAGTGATCAGGAATAGACTTCGTGCGCCTACTTAGTCGATGGCTCTTCCAACCTCTCAGCTATTTACTTAGCTCTGACAGGCAGACAGACATCCGTGTGTGTCTTACATATTTCAATCTCTCCCTCCTGTCCCGTCGCTGCTTCGTGCCTGATCAGAATTCCTTCTTGGCCCCCGGTGGTCTACCGTCGTGCATGCACATATTGACCTGGCTGGCCTGTGCTAACCTAACCTCATATTCGCAATCCCCCAGCTTTACATGAAACAGATATCGGCTGCGACCAATCGAAGCCAAGGCTCCTTTGGCTAACCGGTTACGTCTCTCGGCCCTCGAGCACAAAGTGCGCCAAGCCTGCATCGAGGCCGCTACCACACCACCCCCTTCAGTAAGCAGAAACGTTTCTGTGGTCAACTCCGTGACCGAGGGGTTCTGAGCTGTCCCCAGGACCAGGGGTCGACAGTTTGGGTGGATCCTGGCCCCAAGTATCGACTTACAAGACCCAGGCCTACTTGTATGCCACTACACCCCGTTGCTCCCCCTTCATTAGAAAACGTATTGCACAAATACTATAATCCCATCCTCACTTTCACTCACCTGAAGCCACGCGAATCTAAGGCTTGCAATATATTAGTGTGGATGGGGCAAACATAACGGCGAGCCCCACCGACTTTTTGCACCTATACGAGAAGAGCACGGGTGGGCGAAAACGTCTATTACTACCAGACCAGCCCGCCATGGCTTCGACAGAGGGTGTTTCCTCCACGGAAACCTGTGTCAAGAAGTTCGAGGCTCCCGAGAAGCCCACTGCAAATCTCACCCGTGACGAGTCTCATGACAGCTACACAACCTGTTCTACCACGTACGACGCCGACATTCTCGACGAGTTTGCGGATATGGATGAGGACTGCTTAGTGGCAGATGCTACCATGGTTGGCACCGAAGAACCAAAGATGCAGATAGCCGCAGCGGAGCCACCTGCGCTTCCTCAGAAGTCCAGCCTGCGAGCATCACGCATTCTGGACAGCCTCAAGCTGAGCTCGATCGAGTCTGCTACGCAATCCCTCAACACCCGCCACGACGTCTACCTGTCCTCGGAAGAGGACGGCTCGTCTTCTGCAGACGACTTCTCAGACTATGACTGGGAATCATCCAGCGAGGGTTCGGAGAAGTCTCACATGCGCAGGAAGAGCTACGAGGACACGGCACGGGTCGTGTCGGTCATCTACTCAGGCAAGCCATGCATTGTCGACTTACCTTCACCAAGGCGATCGACTAGCCCTTCCACCACCGAGGGCTCGGATTCCGAGAGCGGTTCTTCCTCTTCGCCCTCCACCAGCTCAGTGTCAGTGGAGAGTCGCCCACCACGGACTAGCAGCCTGGCACAATCAAACCAACCAGCATTCCTCAGGGACGACCCCTATGCAGGCAGCCAGTACACTATGGGTCTGTCTCAAGAAGAGAGGCTTGACGGCACATCGCGTGCATCTAAGCCGACTACGATGAAGACAACCGTCCAAAGGACATTCAGCATAGTCAGGAAGCGCAGCCGGCCATTCCTACGCAATTACTCTACAGTGTCTAGGGAGGATCTCGCTCTGGCTGCATCATCATCAAGTCTGAATTTATCACGGATATCTACGCCAACAACCGAGCAGGCACCGATATTGGATAGCCCAGTCCGTAGCGCAGAGCCACCTCGAACTCCCGTGCGCTACAGTGACATTATCAAGACTTCAAGGAAGCTAGCCACAACAAGAAACGACTCTGTCGCATCATTACCTGCTATAACACCACTCAGCCCACTTTCAAAGAAAAGTCTATTCAGCGGCTTGAAATCGAGCCGCCGACGCAGCTTCAAGGCGTAACTTGAAAACGACAGTCATTCATTATCAGGAGTTCAAAGGAATTTACATGGGTCACGGCGTTTTTGGGCTTGTAATAGCCGTACGGAAATTTCTAGGCGCACTGGTTTGGGTATGGATACATGGCTCGAGTAGCCACTGGGAAAGGATTCATTAATGGGGAGGCATTTACGATACCTATTGGCTACGATTGGCAGGACGACGTTCACGGGCTTAGAGAGCAGAGTGAATGATACCACGATACCCAAGTTTTTATTAAAGCTGCAAGTCATCTCCAAGATGCCGGTTATGCTTAATAGTGACCATTACCAAAGTGACAAGCTTCCGCGATCCAGGCTTTCTAACCATAAGCACGAACGATCCTCAGATCGCCGGATTCCGTGGATCGCATACCAACCGTTTGCCGGTGTTCCTGTCTGTTTCCTGACTGTAGATATTACTGCATGCGACAGAGGTCGACAGTCCAGATTGGGCTGCCCATCATGCTCCTTGAGGACTGTGCAGCGAACGTATGCAAGGCACAAGCAAAGGTTTCTATGGTCTCCTGCCCGACTAAGCACCCCCGCCCGACGCTTTAACAGATTAACAACCCCCAAGACATATCCGGCATTTTCCGCCACTGTGGAACAACACACAACTCAAATTGAACCCTGGCACTCGGCCCTGCAGACCGTTATGTAAGGTGGCCAGTATTGGTCTTTTGTGGGCAGATGATCGCTACATCGGCTCTCGCATTTACCTATATCGCCGCACTGAGCCGGGCCCACTAGTCGAGTATACAAATATAGTATTGACGGACGAGCTTGTACGAAAAAAGACCCCATTATTCCGCAACCTTGCATGAATAATATGTGTAAGTTTTAATGACTCCACCAATCCCACATTCCTGACGGCCTCGTGGGGAAAATGTGTCTTTGTTGGCTAGAACTTGATGGTGGATGTCAAGATAATCATGCGGCGACGCAGCGTCCGCAGCTGAATTCGTCATCCTCCAAGATTCCTAGGGTGGTATCGCGCATCCGTCGACGTGGGATGCATAGGCGCTTGGGATTCTTCATCGTGGCAGGCATCGTAAGCTTTCCAGCAGACAACCAACAAACAGCGTGAGACTTCACGAAGGAAGAAGTAAGGGTCCAGGTGCCGTGAGATCGATCGCCACCTGAAGAATGCCGTAGGCTTTCGTAGGTGATCCCATGGCCCACGCATGAACCCCCATGTACAACCAACGGCCTGACAGATATTCTTGGCCGCCAGTCAATGCGCACGAGTCGCTCACAGATCCATTCCTGCGGCTTGACGCCTGCGGCAGATGGAGGTCGAGGTGCAACCTTAATCCCACCAACACGATAGCCATCGCCATTATTGCCGCCGGGTCTTCAGCGTGGCCGCAATGACCGGCCGGAAACAGAGGCGAAACAATTCGACTCTCGCTATGTTGCTTCGAATGCCGCCCGTCGAGATCGAAACAGCTCCCGAAACGACACGCCCCTCATCGAGCTGGTCGCAGGGGGTGTTGCAAACCCCCCTTCCCCGCGATCCTAGATAGGCTCAATCCGACATATCAGCACAGACGCCGCACTAACACTTTCTTTTGGGTCATGTATCTTAATAAGCTGCGAACAGACACTTGTCAGCTTATGCAAGCTCTTTCTTTCAGCGCCGTATTAGTGCCGGTGGTGTTGAACCTGTTACGTGGTGACAGTGGCGCACGGCCGTCCCGATTCGCCTAACTATCTACCTTATTAGGCCGTATGTTCTTCCACAGCATCATGGACGGGTGGACGGGACAGCAAAGACATGAATTCAATAGTCATCTGGTCTGGCATTAACTTTCGGCGCGGCATTGAGCCTCGAGGCGTGGGTTTCCAGCCACGAAAAACGGTTTGCCTTGGTCCCAGCCTACCCAAGCCACCAAGAGCACCGGCGGATGTTTCGTTAATTAATAGACAGAGTTAAGGTTCTCGGCACGCTCATTTGAAGATCCCCTTACATGTGCTTAAGCTTCCCGCTTCTTGCCATAAGCACCGAGCCCCGTGTTAGGATGATCTAAGTTCGATGGCGCTATTCATGATCAAAGATGACCTTTTCGACATCATGTGTAGAGGACATACATACATACATAGACTCGCTGGTTCGAACTCTATACCGACCAGCGTGGCTTCACTGCTAGATTGCATAACGCCAAGAGGTGTTACTTCAACTAATTTTAATCGCATGGACTAGCTTTAGATGCATCTACTCGATGGACACGTCTCAGTCTCATTTAGCGCGGTATATACCCCTGAATGAAAACAAATGTATAATATGCAAGAGTACACGTGTGTATACCATTTTATACTATTCTCTTAGTAATAGACTGGAGTTTCTTGATCTAACTCTGGGTAGAAGTTAAGAAACTAAGCATCATTCACAACACGACTGCGTCATTGCCAGGATATAGAGAAGGATTATTCCAAATGACTTGGTGTTTTTGACAATCCGTCATGAAGATCTCAGGCTGACTTCACTTTCAATATAATGCTCTCATAGCAGCCCAGTATCAAGATGAAACATCGAGAACATCAGAGCTAGCCTGGACGAATCGTAGTAGCTTACATGAACTCCATAGAGTGTCGGTCAATAATACTCATTCTGATCGTCATGTTGAAGTCAGTCTAGGAATGTATATCGAGGTGGATAGTTACTTACATTTGACCTGAGAACTGATCTTTGCCGTCACGATCTCTCGGTTCAGAGGTTTGACTACTGTTATATTCACCTCTTCAGCAGAACCCATGGACTTGAGTCACAATGGATGTAGAATACACCTGTGAACCAGTATCGATCTTGGTCTAACGGTTCTCTTCGCCAGCTCAGTGGTGAGTATGTTAGTTTCTGCGCTCAGTGAGAAGTTTCCGACATCATCGCGGCTGAACGCCCAGGCAAAGTGGTATCAGTATTCCCACTAACATCGATATATGATCCACTATGCTTTCATTGACTTTGTCTATGGTCTCGTGGTTCTGACAAGACCACCTGCAAGGCGAAAATAGTAGTGTGAGTGTAATAGACGGAGACGATAGTCTGACGTCAAAACCTTCGGCAATCAGGAGGCAGACTTGAGTTTGAATTGCCACATGGTATTATTCTCCTTGAGATACCATGACTTCCATTTGCTTCAAACCGTTTCCATTCACTGAGCTTCAATACCGTGTTAACAGAACCGGCCGGGCGGTACAGTTCTGCTGCACTGCGGACCTCATTCTGACGTCAACGACTAGTACCCATTCTAGCCCACCGAGACTACGTAACACTGATGGGTCTAAGAAAACAGGCCTGATGAATGCATAGCGATTGCAATCGGGCCTATAAAGAAAATTCTTGGCAGTATTTTGAAGTGTTCGCTCTGCAAATTTCTGTTTATTTAAATCAACGGTGCATATTGTTTTTGCGAGATCCCTCAAACTTCAATCAGCGCAACTCAGTGTATTGGCATATAAACAAGTGACTCATATTACTAATAAAAATGGCGAGCAGATCCGGCGGTCTTGATGTGAAGAAGGTTTGTCTTGAAGCAGAGTATATCCGAGTTATGGGCTTATTCTCAATCAGGTCGGTATGCTTGGCGTTGGAAGCATGGGGGCAATGATGTCTCTGCTAATGTCAGAGCACGGTTTCGAGGTGCATTTCTTCGACCCCAGTAAGTGAAGTTCGTTAGTCCCACGATGAGAAATCTAATCGCTGTCTCAGGCGAGCAAAACATGGACATGTTGCAGCATCAAGGAGAGGACATCCAACAAGACAAAAGGGTGCTTAGAGCCAAGAGCTATGAGGATGTCTGCAAGTCTATAGAAATCTCGGGGCAGCCAAAGGTCTTCATGTTCAGCACCCCGCACGGCGGTCCTGCCGATAAATGTGTCGATGGAATCCGGCCATATCTCAACCAGGGCGACATTATCATTGACTGTGGAAATGAACACTGGTCCAACACGGAGCGACGGCAGAAGGCCCTCGAGCCTACAGGCATTCACTACATCGGCTGTGGAGTCTCTGGTGGTTACCAGAGTGCTCGTCATGGTCCGTCGATGTCCCCAGGCGGCAACGCTGAGGCGCTGGAGAAGGTGATGCCGTTCTTGAGAACAATGGCAGCCAAGGACAAGGATGGTCGCCCATGTACAAGTCCAGTTGGTCCAGGCGGCAGTGGCCATTACGTCAAAATGGTACACAATGGTATCGAACAGGGAATAATGTCGGTAATTGCCGAGATTTGGCTCATTCTTACTCACGGCTTGGATCTTGATAACGAGGAGGTCGCAACTATCTTCAAGTCGTGGAACGAGTCCGGACCCCTCAACAACTGCTTCCTCATAGCAATTGGAGTCGACATCGAACGGGCTAAGGGTGAATATGGTCAGCACGTGCTATCGGAAGTCCGAGATAAGGTCGTGCAGGATGTCGATGAAGAGGAAGGCACAGGCACTTGGACCTGCGAGCAAGCTGTTACTCTGCACTCCCCGGCTGCTTCTATTCTCAGCGCGCACCTTTTCCGTTGCGCGTCGGCACACCTCAAGAAACGAATGGAAAACGTTACGTCAGCATCCGGGGGTGTGAAAGCACAGAAGCTATCGGTCAAGTCGAAGGACGACTTCGTGAAGCTCCTCCATAACACGACATATTTCTGCTTCTTGGCATGCTTCGCTCAGGGACTTGACCTCATTAGAGAGAAGGACAAGAAAGAAGGCTGGAACCTGGATTACCGAAAGATTTTGCAGCTTTGGCGTGGTGGGTGTATCATTCAGGCGGATCACATTGCTGATCTTCTTGATGGCATGTACAAGCGCCCAGACCATGACCCGGACAATATCCTTGGCAACGCTGAAGTTGGCACCGAACTATCCAAGCTCTACCCAATGATCAAGAAAGTCGTCTTGACAGCCATAGAGGCTGATACTTTTGTGCCCTCCATCAGTCAGAGTCTGGAGTATTATAAGTACGAAACGTCGACCGAGCTACCGACACAGTTCATGGAGGCCCAGCTGGACTTTTTTGGACAGCACATGTTTGACAAGCAGAGTGATCCAGTGGGCGGGCCGGAGAAGGGTATGCATCACTTCGAGTGGAAACCAGCAAAAGGATTGACCGGCAAATAAGATACTCTGTAAGGTAGAGATTGAATGGTTTGTGCTGTTGTTTCCCATAATCAGTAGTCTTTTGAGCGCGTACCTCCTCAACCACGAATCCTTGCGCGTACTGTTCATGTTGGTCAAGGTCAATTTGTTGTATGGCACATTCTGCTCCGTGACTAGTCATATATCGACATCTCCTTATTTCGCATCGTTCTTCATCCCAGCTTGCACCCAGGCCCTGTTCTTCTCGGCCTGTTTCTCAATCTCCTCGTCAGTCAACTTCTCCTGCTCCAGGGCCCGGTGGGGGGAAGGGACATGTCGACCCTTCTCCAGGCCGGGGCGTTCAAGTAGCCGATCCCTCCACTGCTTCAAAGCAGGGAACTCGTTGATATCCACGCCGGCCATGGCTTAGAGGCTGTTAGTTGCATGCGACAGAAGAGCGGGGGAGCAATGGACTAACCTGCCGCAGCGACCCAGCCCCAACATGAGAAGTCGGCAATGGTGGCGCGATCGCCGACCAGGTACCCAGACGAAGAGGACGCCAAGGCCGTATCCATCGTGCGGTATAAACGACGGGTCTCATTCTTGTATCTGTTGATACCGTATTCGATCTTCTCAGGCGCATATCGGTTGAAGTGGTTCAGTTGACCTTGCATGGGTCCGAGTCCTCCCATTTGCCAGAACAGCTATTCATGTCAACGTCAGTGCACGAAGCCAGTGACTGATGCATCATCGCATACCCAGTTGTTGACCTCCCAGTACTCTCGAGAGCCGTAAGGGTAGGATATTTTGTGGTCCTTATCATAGCGATCCACCAGGTATTGCATGATGGATGCGCTTTCAAATAGCCGGATTGTCTTCCCATCTTCAAACGTATCCGTCAAAGCCGGGATGCGGCCATTGGGGTTGATCTCAAGGAACCAAGGCTCCTGGTGAATGTGTCAGTCCCAGATTCCGGCAACTGGAAGAGTCCTCCAGTATTTACCTTCTGCGTGTTCTTGCTGAACTCAATTTGAGTGGTCTGGGGGATCGGTCAGTTGCGAGTTGCCAGACGGATGCGGATGTTGGAAACATCATGACCACATGCCTTGTATGTCAAACCCAGCTCCTCCAGAACGATTGATACCTTGATGCCGTTCGGCGTTTGGGTTGTGTAAAGGTGGATTTCGGATTTCTCAGCCATATTTGAAGCTACTTGGGATACAATCTGTGCAACTCTCGCTGTCATCGTAGACTGGAGGAATCACCGGGGGGAATGCTTCGTGTCTTATTATAATGATTGGGGCTCTATGGCATGAGTATACTGGTGCGATGAGGATTAGAAATCAGGTTTACGTCATCCAACCGGGGCTAGGTGCGGAGCATCCGGGCGGGCGTTATTTTCGCCCGCTTATTGTCCATCTAAGGGTCAGATTCGCACCGCTGAGCACATTGACTGAGGTGTGAGCCGTACGATAGGTCTACATGGTTGCTGATCCGTCTTGAGGCACATATTCGGGACATTTGAGACTGCTTTGATTAAACACTGGTCAAATTTGAACCGGATTATCGGTTTCGATTCGATAATTGTCATGAGCATAGTAGGGGCCGTCCCGTGATTGGTCGGGCCCCACAGCAAGGAGGTATGTATTGTATCTGCCGCAGTCGATGCTAGATCCGAGAAATGCCTCCATATTTGGGCAGGAGAATCAGCTGAACAGTTAAATGCATTATTGATGATAGGCTGCTGAGAAGCTGTAGACTTCAGTGAGCTTCGCAGACGCCTTTGCAGTTTGCGCAAGCCACTAATGTCGTACAGATCTGAGCAGCTTGGCTGCCAGGTGCGAGACAAGAATCATGGGAATGCGGAGATGAATATTTTCTGGGCTCGGAATATCTGTGAGAGAATCTCTGTACTCAAGGTTCAAGAGGGTGATTATGAAGAGGACACGCAAACGGAGAGCGACAGGTACCCTTATGCTATCATGCAACAAAAAGAAAGGCATGAAGGTGACCAGATGGAGAAAATCAGAACATGGGGGTTTCGAGTCTTGCAAAGACAATACAAAGGGTCCAATGGCGAGCAACGGAAACTCCAAAGGACATGACAGTATGCGGGAACAGTGACGAGATCACTATGGGAAATATTGTTCACTCGCCGCGTGAGTAGGCATGACGAGCACGAAACGCTCAAGAATGCCACAAGAATAGGACCATTTAAGTACCATACACAAGGCGTGAAAACTCTGGTGGTGAATATGCGCAATCATTGGCGTTGCCCCCAGAAGTACAAGTGTTTATTTCCCGAAGGTAGGAAGTTCACAAACACGCCTACTCAACGCAAAAAACCAGGTGAGCAAGCTTCAGAAGACTTCACCTTGTGGCATTTTCGAGTGGCCGAAGCTCTCTATCATCCCACCCCAATACCGCAAACTCATCGCCGCACTTGACGCGAAAATTCACATCACCCCATCATCAACAATCTGAATTTGGTAGGTCTTACCAGGCCGTAGTGGATCGTCGTCCGTTCAACGTCATCACTTCATTTTCGTCCCATAAACATCTTTCTTTCATCGTTTCCGGCAACTTACTAGCCATGGCCGCGTCGTCGTCCTCATCCGAGTTTATCGCGTCGCCTCCCAAGCCTCGCTTTCCGGGCGACATGGACCCGCTGCGTATGCATCCTGTCGACAAGTTCAAGCCGCCTACTGCCAAGACGTTCCCGTTCTCGGTCTCCGGTCTCTGGAAGTCAAACGGCAACCTGATGAGATGGATCACTGAGGTCCCCACTGTTCATCATGACATGGGATTTGAGCCTGCCACTTACCAGAATGAGAAGCGCTCGTTGGTAAGTGATTTGCGACCTTTGTTGGACTTTTGTCCTCCGTCTTTGGGAGCAGAGGATCAAGAATTTAATTTTGTTCCCCGAATATTGAGTGGGCTAATCGTAAATGATAGGGCCCTGAGGGCGCTGTTGATGGCCATGATGGAGGTGAGCACCGCAGCAAGAAGACCAAACTGTCTTCTTCCGGGGACCACCACAAACCGGCCACAACTCGGCGACGCGATCGCGTGTTACAATCCTCGCACAAGGCTGCACGAAGAGTCTCGGGGCTCTTCAACTTCCCCCGAAGCCATGATCAGCCTGCTGGCCCTACCATTCAGGGCAACGGATCGATCCTTGCCACTCCCTTGCCCAGGACCCCCCCCCCCCCCCCCCCCCCCCAAGAGACTGAGATACGTCTTCGTCGGCGACACCAAGTGCGGCAAGACGTCCATGCTGCTGTGAGTAACAACTGCGTGTCTTCGATCTTGTTCTTCTAGCTGATTATTGCCATCTGATAGCCGCTTCTCTCGTGGTGCCTTTCCGGAGATGTGGAACCAGACCCAGTACGAGCTCTTCAGCAAGAATATCGACGTCGATGGCAAGGCCTACGACCTCGAGTTGTGGGACACCTCGGGCATCTTCGAGTATCATCAACTGTCTCTTCTTAACTACCTCACTTGGGACGCCATCTTCATCTGCTTCAGTGTCAACAGCGACAGGAAGTTCATCAATGCCCAGAACAGATGGGCCCTAGAGGTCATGAAGTACTGCCGCGGTGGTGTTCCGGTGTTCCTCGTTGGGCTGAAGACGGATACTCGACCTTACAGGGGCGTCTGGTCTCCCTTCATCGAAGAAGTTGACACCCGTGTGTGCTTCGGCGAGGCGAGTAATATCACTCACTACACATTGTCGTGCAACTACTAACTAACATCGTCCAGGGCATGATGGCAGCCCGGGATATGGGCGCGGTCAGGTACTTGGAATGCTCTGCCAAGACTGGTGAAGGTGTCGACCAAGTTTTCGAGGAAAGCACCCGCAACGTCGAGAACATTCGAGCAGGCAGGCCCGTGACGCGCGAGAAGGTCAGCATTGGGCTTGGTGATATTCTGTGCATGTGATCGCGAAGCACTCAGCAGGGGCATGGATTGTAAGGATTGCTAACTCAGTAGACGGAAAGGGGCCTGGAGAGCATTGGCTAGGGCCAGATGTCCCGCTAAGGGAAGGAGGGAGAGAACACAATGAGACGACGGAGAGTAAACGTCTCTGAGAGAGAG